GACGCTTTGTCTTCCTTACTAGCTTCGCACTGCTTCTTGAGCATTTCACACTCTGACTTTGTATAATTTACTTCAACTTTACTGCATTTGATTTCGCTGTTTGCCTCTAATAGTTGTGCTTTGAGCTCCTCTAACTTTTCCTTCTCTTTTCGAAGCGATTCAAACTCTCCAAGCAACTTCTCGCCATCGGATTTGGACGTTTCCAACTGAATTCTATAAACGTTGTTTTCTTCCAGAACGCGGGCAATATTGGCCTTCATACTTTCAGTTTCCGATTGAAAGCTATTGGCCTTTTCTTGTTTCTTTTCGCACTCGATGGTGAGACGCGCGATTTCTCTCTTCAAATCGTTCGCTTCTTCCTTGACTGTTTCACACTCTTTAGCTATCGTTTCTGCTCGGGCATTCGCGGATTGAATTTGCGTTTCAATTTGCGAACGTATTCCTTTCAATTCACCAAGTTCCATCATCATTCCAGCCTTTTCCGCGAGAAGCTTTTGAACGTTTTCTACCGATTCTGTTTTTTGCGTCAAGGCGTCCTCGAGCTTTTGCCGGGTCAAATTTTGCTCTTCTTTCATTTGCCCGATAGTGTGTCTGCTCTCGCTCAGTTTCAATTCTAATTCTTCGGTCGATGCCCTCGTGTTTTCTAAAATACGATTCGTCTCCTCAAGGGTCGCTCGAAAATCAGCGACTGCTTTCTCATTCGCGCTATGCTTTTCCAGCAGTATACCGCATTCCTTTACTAGTGTCTCCCGTTCCAAAACTACCGCGGCGTATTTTGATTCTGTCAGCTGAAGAGCTTCCTTTGCTTTCTCAACTTGTTCGTTTGCACTCGTTGTCGCTTGCTCCGAAATGACTTTGTATTCAATCATCTCCCTCGATAAGGACTTCACCGCTGGTTTGAGCTTTGTTTCAATGAAATCTGTCATCGCCTTCATCTTGCCAATGTGGTCAAACTGCGTCTTTCCTTTCGGTTTGTATTGCAACAACTTTGCTACGAGCGCCTCCGAGATGGAATCGTTCGAGTCAATCTTTTCGCCTTCCGCGGGGAGAGTCGTCGTCGTCGTCTTCTGGCGTTTCCTCTCTCCCGTGTTGTTGTTGTTGTTGTTGTTGTTGTTGTTCGTATCGGCTCGTTCTTTTTCTTCTTCTCGTTTGATCCTCTTCATCCTGTTCGTTTTGTTCATCTTCGCCGCCGGCGGCGGCAGCGGCGACCAGACGCCCGCAATTCTCTGTTGCTGCTTCTCCGATTGTAACTCTTTTCCTTCCTCCTCGTCGTCGTCGTCGTCGTCGTCGTCGTCAAAGCACTCCGCGTCGTTATTCTCCTTGTTGTCTTCTCCTCCTTCTCTTCTCCCCCCACTTTTTCTGTGACTCTCGTTCTGCTTCTGCTTCCTCGTCTTCTGCTTCATCTTCGTCCGACCACCTCGTCCGTCGTCGTTTACGTCGTCGTCGTCGTAACCGCCACTTCTCTCCGCGTTGACGATGATACCATCGCTCCTCGAGGATGATGATATCTTTTGCGTGTTTTCAGTTCGTTGCGATAAAATTTTCTTCCCCGACGAAGGAGACTTTAAAAACGTTTGATTTGTTGGAAGTTTCGGTATCCGAGTCTGGAAAGTAACGCCTCGATCCATCTTCTTCTTCTTCTTCTTCTTGAGATGAGATGAGATGATTATTGTGTTTTATAATAAAAGAGCGCGCGTTTCCGCGTTTCCTTTAACTATTTGTGTTGTGAGGGAGAAAATTCCATTTTCCAAAGAGGGGAACGAAACACGGCATTTAGGGTTTTAGAATGCAACCCTAAATGCTCTCCTCAGAAGAATTTTTGCGACGACGTTACAGATAGAACGCACAGTAGTAAACACAGGAAGAAGAAGAAGAAAAGAATATATTAAACGCACGAAAAGATGGTGGAGTATTCAGAAGAAACCACCAGCGACGCGGTGGTGAAAGCCTCTTCTCAAAACCAAGAAGAACAGTTTAACGACTTTGAAGATGAACGCGAAGAACAAAATTTATTTCCGTCGAGAAAAATTGCGAAACTTTTACGAGAGAAAATCTTCCTCGTCTTGCGCGTCGTTTGGAGGCAGTTTGAACTGTACGGGTGGTATTTCTTGTTCGCACTTTTGGTGTACGTAACGTTCAAACGACACATCAGAGGATTTTGTCGCACGCTCTGGTCGCGAACGGCGGGGAGACTCCTCGAGAGAACAACGAAAGGGAAGAGTTCCATAAGCGAAAAAGACCGAGAAAAGCAGCTGGAACGAGCGAGACGAAAGCAAGAGGAGGAGTGGGAGAAAGCGTCGAAGGAGAAATTGACGAGCAAAACGAACGCAGATAAACGAATAGAAGCGGTGGAGAAGAAAGCGAGCAGATTAGGAGTAGCGAAGCACAGGAAAGGGCACGTTTTAGGTAGAGAATAAAAGGTTGCGTTATTTTCATTACGCGCCGCGCATTAAAATCAAACCGCAAACTCTTGGCGCAAATCGGCTTCAATTTTCTTCTTTTCTCTAAATAGTCTCTCTACAGCGCGTTCCGCACTCGCTCGAACGTCATCGACGAGTTCGCTGCTCCATCGCTGGAGGCGCTCTAAGGTAGTCTCGTTACTCTTTCCATTCTCCTCGTCCTCGTTGTTGTCTTCTTTTTCTTCCGCCGTTTCCGTTTTCTTCGCCTTCTTCTTCTCGGAAATGATCGGGGGAGCGACTCTTTTCTTTGGCCCAACCGAAGGCAAAGGACTCTTCGCGGGCACATCTGCTAAGTTATCGTTGTCGGTTTTTTTATTCCCTTTCGCCGAAGCCGATAACGGCGACTTCTTCGTCTTCGTCACCTCTATTGCTACTACTCCTACACTTTTCTTACTCGCTCCAGTTTGCTTCGTTTTCTTTTTCTTTTTCTTTGCACTCTCTCCTTCTCTTTCATCGTCATCGCCGACTTTTTCTTCTCCTACTTCTTCTTCTCCTTCTCGCGGGCGTATCCTCGCCCTCACGGTCGTTTGGTTCCCGATCTTTATCGTGCTCCCATCTTTCAACGCTCTCGCTTCCGAGTGTTCGTCCAATTCCACGTCGTCCACGTACGTCCCGTTCGAGCTTCCCAGATCTACAATTTCCCATCGATTGGTACTCGCGTTCCAAAAAATGTGCGCGTGCTTTTGCGACACCGCGTCGTCCTTCACGTGAATCTGGTTCCCTGGTTTCACTCGGCCGATTTTCAACGAAGGAAGATTGTTTGGATTTTCGAATCGCGTGCCTTTGAATGGGCCTTTGACGAACTCGAGCGCGATCGTCTCCTTCGGTCTCTCTCGTGGATCTCCCGGAGGAACTGCGCCTTGATTTTGGAGACGACTCCTACTTTTAGTCGTGGTGATGGCTTTTGCTTTTGCTTTCGTTTGTTGTGCTTTTGGTTTTCCTTTCGTCGTCGTTAAAGTCGTCGTCGCGTTTGATTTCTTCTTCTTCTTTGTTCCCCGCGCTGCTATTTTTGCGGTTTCTTCTTCTTCTTCTTCTTCTTTTTCCGTCGTCTGAATCGTCGCGCTTGTAATTTGCGCGTCAAAATCGTACACGTCCACCGTATCATCTTCTCCTCTCAAAGTCTTAGCAGTCGTCTTCATTTTCTGCCTCTTTGGCGCCATACTTAAAGAGGAAGGAAGTGTAAAGTGCTTTGCGTCTCTCAAGAGTTCGTTTTTTTGTGATGAGTTTTTGTTCATTTTTTTTTGAAAAAAGTGCGACGTTTTGCCTCAAGAATACACCTCTACTAAGAGCACTTAAAACTATATGCTAGGCGTGATTTCCATCGCACGGGATTCCGTCGTGAGAATGATGATGATGATGATGATGATGATGATGGTTGTGTTCCGCATGCGACGAGTCTTGAAGAGAAGGTCTCGCCGCCTTGTTATGAAACGTGCAAAAGAGAGGGTACCGTTGATGTAACCATCGGTAGGAATACTTTTTCGGCTCGGCGATTCGTTCCTCCCCGCTTTTTCTGGCTTCCATATTGAGGGCATCCCAGTCCGGTATTTGGTCCTCTTCGGTGAGAAACGCGAGACAGTTGGGAGCTAAACCGCGATCAAATGGGTTCAAGTACGCTAAATTTTCTTTACTCATTCTCAAATACTCGTATCGATGAGAATTTGACATCTCGTTTGTGGTCAAGTTGGAAACAGCGCAGAAGGTTTGTCGGATTAACAAAATGCCGGCGTAGCCGACGCCTCCGAGAACTTGAAGCGCAAAGAGGATGGTTGACATCGGATTACTGTTGAGCGTTCGGAACCACGTGTAAAGAAGTTGTTCATCCGGGTTTTCCAATCGATTCGCCACGAAAGATTCGCTTATGTAACACCAATCGAATCGAACGAACGTGCACGCCGCTATGAAACAAGTCAACAAGGCGAAAAAGAACCATTTTTGATTTTTCGCGCCGATGCACGTCAACGCAATCGGGCAATGGTGATCCATTTTGTACACGCATCTTTGACAGAACGGACAATGCTTCGACCTCAATGGTCTCGCTGCGTGACACGAGGCGCAGAACCGTCCATTTTGTGACATCGTAGACGCTTTTACGGCGATACTTCCGTTTTCAACGTCGTAAGTATTTGCAACGCGCACCATATTGCGCATCCATTCGTCTTTCTCGTTCGTGTCAGTCACTCGGGGAACGTAACCCGGTCCGACAATATACGTCAATAGAAAAAATATAGGGCAGGAGACACCGATAGCTAATCCAACATTCACCGCTGAATAATCTTGGGAATATTTTGGTACCAGAAATATGCAATAGTGCACGAGCGTGATTCCCAACAAACCATGAAACCACATCGCGTGACGAGATGCCGATGCGTCCCGCGCCTCTTTTGGGCCAAATTTCTCCACCGCTTCCGCGCTGACCAACGAGAACGCGTTACTTTGCGTTCCAGCTAGACCGTCAATCTTCCCTTTTGCAAGATGTAACAGACCAAAACTAATGATTAAAACGAACAGATTCGCTCCAGGAACTAAGGAAATCGTATACCACAAGTACATGAATACAAACGGAACGTAATAATCGAAGTTTGGTATCCACGATCGGAAATACGTCATAACTAACGCTTTATTCGAGCGTTTTTGCGCAAGAGCCCTTGACGAGCGCTCTTTGGCGTATACTTCTTCTTCTGCGGCCGACGATTCTCTCGGTTGTTCGTTCGAGTTGGACGGATCGTTGTATTTAAACTCTCGAAATTGACTTTGCATGGTGGCAATTTCTTCCAGCTCGTCCGCGAGTTTTCCAACATCACCCTCGCCGATTAAATCTTGGTACGTCGCGAATAAGGCAAAATTATCCTCTCCTCGTTCGTTTCCAACCGTACTTAATTGGAGCGCTTTTAATAAATTATCAATGCCCTCTGGAGTCGAGATTACTTTCTGAAGCGAAGGCTTCGCGAGTATCATTTTACCGAGTACCGGAAAGACTCCAGTCGTCCGAGCGAGCAAGTCATGTTTCGGCATGTGACCGCATACTCCTTGGTTTGGATTCAATGCCATGTAATCTAGCGAACGCTTGCGTACCGTTTCAAAAGTAAATTCAGCATACGGAGGAGGTGCCATGTACTGTTGTTGCTGCTGATTGCGCTCGTGGATGGCAATCGCTTCATCGATTTTCGCATCTTTCGAGGCTTGCGCGAGCTTTCGTAAACTCTCCCTCGCGCGCTCGATTTCATCTTGCTCCATCTGTTGCTTTTGTTTTACGTTACTATCGTCGTCGTCCTTATCACTCTTTGCGTTATTACTAGTAATATTGCTACTACTCTTGCTCGATTTCTTCTTCGTTTTGAGTACTTTAAGATCGCCCAACCCACCTTTCATCGTGGCCATCGTCGTCTTCGAAGCTTCCTCCCCTTCCTTTTTCTCTCTTCTATTCGCGCTAAGACTATTTAAATATTTCTCACCTAAGTTTATGGCCCCGCAGTGACAACCCGGACACTGCCCGTTCCTCGTCGCCTCTACGAGTTCTTCTATGCTCAAACCCAACATTTCTGTGCTCTCGTCAGCGCTCAAAGGCTTTTGACTTCGATACTTCTCAATGCATTCTTGCGACGTCAACTTTGTACGCGTCACAAATACGGCGCAAGCTCTTTTATTAACTTTTCGTCTCGACAACCCAAGGAACAGCAATTTCTCGCACTGCGATACCTCCACTCCCGTCTCCTCTAGCAGCTCTAGACTTGCGCTGTCAAATAATTCAAACGTAACGTCTAACAACTCATCATCCTTGCGAACCTGAACGTTTTCCGGTTCAGGATGGCCACCGGCGAGTACAATCATCCCCGCAGCCTCGCCGACGTTTTGCGACCGTCTCAACGCCAACACTTTCCCGTCTTCGCACACGCAAAACACCGCCGTTCCGAGCGGATTCGCCAAACTTTTCTCAGGCAAGTCTTGCCAGTCTTCCGCTAAGTTCGTCCCCACGAACGACTTATAATCCGTCTCTCCGACGTGAATCTCTACCGTTTTATGTTCTTTTCCGTCATTACTCGAAGATTTCTGCTTCTCCTCCCAGGAACTCAACCGGAACTTTGTCCCGTTGAACAAGCTCGGGTTTGTCTTTGTCTTTTCCAGCCATATTTCGTTGATGAAATTTTCTCTCGTCTCGTCTGGAATAGATAAACGGTGCGCGAACTTATCGATCGTGTCCACTTTGTTCTTCGTGTGAAAGAGGCACGAGACGTTCGAGCGCGGAAGTGGACTGTCCGCGCAGTCGATCAACAGCTCAAAATCGGAAAAACTAACTCGCCGCCGCCGCTGTTGTTGTTGTTGTGCGAAATGCGACGAACCGTCAAGGTCGTCATTTTCATCGTCCTTCTGCTTTTGCTTCTTTCCGTTTTCGTTTTCTGTCGCCGCTGGGATTGAGATCGTTTTGATTGGCGGCGACGATGGCTTGACCGTTCGTAACGCCATGTCTTTAGCTCTTCTCTCCCAGCGGCGCTTTAAAAAGCGACGGGGTACTAATCTGTTGTGTGGATTTAAATCCAATAACATTAAAAGATATTATTGCGAGTACGAGAAGTTGGGGAGACGACGAAAAAGCAAAAGAACACAGACGAGAATAGGATTGGTAAAAGAGAGAAGGAGAGAAGAATGTTCGGAAGTGTACGCATAAGTATATTTTAAAGCACAAAGTCTTCGGCTTTTCGCATCTCGTCGGCGAACGCCTCCAACCACTCGCTCGCGTCCGCTTCATCCATGCACCTGTTGTCGATGCTCAACGTGGCGGATATGGACAGCTGAGTCGAGAGTTGGTCCTCGCTAAAGACCGCATCCGTCGCGGGTTTGTCGACATTGCCGTCGTCGTCATTTGATGATGAATCACTTCTCGCGCTTTTTGATATGACGACTCGCTCGGTACCTCTTCCTACGGCTAATATAGCGCCTTGCGGTGGATTTTGTATGGCTTGAAACGAGTCCACCGAGAACATGCCTAAATTCGAAATCGTAAACGACCCTCCAATCATTTCGCTCGGTTTCAACTTGCCATCTTTCGCTTTACCAGCCAATCGACGAACGTCTTGACCAATTTCGGAGACACTTTTGTTGTCCGCGTTGAACACGATTGGAGTGACTAAACCCGTAGGCGCTGCTACGGCTACCGAAATATCCACCGTGTCAAACTCCATCCTCTTCCCTAATTTTTCATCGTACCTCGAATTCACCTTCCTTACTCGTCTCAGCGCTTTCGACGCGGCGTATAAAATGCAGTCGTTTACGGATACCTTCGTCTCGTGCTCTTGCATGGCTTTCTTCCTAAATCGATCCACTCCGGATGCGTCCACGTCCATAGTCACGTAACTGTGCGGCTGCGCGCGTTTCGACGCTAACAGTCGCGAGGCGATCACTTTTCGAATCGCGCTGTTTGGCACGTCCTCAAACTCCGAGTTCACCACGACTACTTTTTTCTTCCTTTCATTCCCACCGATATCGTCGGAAGAAGAAGACGTCGACGCGTCTTTCGTCCCGTCAATCCTGGCGTAGTTCTCAATCAGACGATCGTTGTTCGTGTTACTCGAAGAAGAAGAAGAAGAAGAGAGGAATCGCATCACGTCTTCTCTCGCGATCACTCTTCTCGATCCTCCGGAGGAAGGAGCCCCAGTGTCCTTCAGCGAAGCCACGACTGCGTCCACCAAAAGATTCAAAGACTCAGACGACGACGACGATTGTTCAGACGGCGACGACTTTACTAATGTTTTTTCTTTCAACAAACGCAACGCGGACGGCCATATTCTCCTCCTCATCGTCGAGTTCTCGTTTTCGTCGAGGGAGAACACGAACACTTTTAACAGAAAGATTCCTTCCGTGATGTGTAACTGCACCGCCGCGTGTTCGTGCGTGTTATTCGTATTGGAATACTAATATATATATATACTACTCTGAGTAGGTAGTGTTTGTGTCGTCGACACTCCTCTCTCTCAACTGTGTAAGTACTAAGTGGACTTTCGTTTCAAAAATGTGGTCGTTCTTTTCTGAAGAAGAGAAGAAGAGAAAAAAGGTGAAAAAAAAGGACTGCTTTTTTAAGCATCTTATTAAAAAAAAAAGAGCTTCAGAAACGCACGAGAATGAAAGTTGAGAATTTGAGACCCTAAACATAAAACCAACTTTGCACGAGAGCGTGACACGTCATCACTTCCCTGTCCCCTCCACGCGCGCGCGTTGACTGGGGACCGCGCGCGAGAGAGAGGTGCTGAAAACCGCGCGGATGCACGCACACACCTCATAAATCGTTCGCAGGAACTCGGAGCGGGAGAATACGCGCTTTTTACGTATTCTCTCTCTCCGTTTATTTTCTTCGTCGCAAAAAAAGAAAAAACAGAGGGAAAATTGGGGGAGAAAGAAAAAGAAAGAGAAAGAGAAAGAGAAAGCGGTAAATTTTGTATCTGTATCTAAAAAACGAATTTTTTTTTGCATTTCCTCTTCACTTTCTCGCGCGCGCATTTGCGCGCATTTGCGCGCGCATATAATATCACTTTTTTATTTGCGTGCGCGCGCGCGCACGCGCGCGAGAAAGTCACACGCATTGCTATCATCGATAGACCTCTATCGATGATAGTGGGTGGAAGGGTGGGAGCTCTTTTCTTCATCGTTTGCTTTCTTTTTTATTATATAGATACAAATCGATTTTTGTATCTCTCCTCCCGCATGCATGGCAGATTGAATGAATGAAAAGAGCTGGGAAAGAACGGACAAAGGGGGTTCGAGTACGGAGAGTTTTGACTTGCGCGGGCGAGTTTCTCCCTTTTTTGTGTTCTTTTCTTTGTCGTCGTGTTATTGCATATCTTCTCTCTTCTTCATCGAAGAAGAAGTCAACGACGACACATGGAGGAAAGAGCATTTTTTGGGAAAGAATTCCAGCCTTTCATTTTTGAAAAAGGAGTTTCAGTACCGTTGGGAGTTTGTATCGATTAAAATCGAGAGTTCTCTCCTTTTTTTTTGGGATTGATTTTGGATGGAAAACATGTTTTTGGATTGCAGAAACATGTGAGACAATACGACGTCTCTCGAGCATCCATTTGCGATGCTCAGCCTATCATGACACTCGGCTCTCATGAGATCGATCGAAGAAACTTTGATAGGTGAAGTACGTTGATTTTTGATTGAAATATAATAACGTTTAATTTGCGCGGCGCTGACTTGTAGCGATCGCGGCGCCGAACTTTGAAAAAAGGGGAGTTGTCCGAAGCATGCTCATGTAACGACTATTGAAATATTTTCGGCAGAAATGAATCTGGGAGCCCGTGGTGGTCTTCTATCCAGAGTAGTCTCGTGCAATGAGATGGAAACGGAGGAGATGGAGAGGACGTAAAGCTTGTGCGACGGTGTGTTTCTGTTTAAACATCACAGGAAATATTTAGGATGGGGAGTTATAGTTGAGTTGTAATACTAGTTAAGACTTTTGCCAAGAAAAGGACTCTGCTCTTTTTGATGAGGGATTCTTTTGCTGAGGATCGTCTCCACAAAAAGTATAAATTTGTGTCTCTTTCGCACAGAGAACACACAAAACACGAATACACGTTCTTATTATATTCGTTCGCGCTCCTCACTTTTAAAGAGTTTTCGTTTTGCTGCTGCGATAGAATAGTCGAACAACACTATTAAGAAGAAGAAGAAGAAGAAGAATAACAACAACAACAACAACAACATGTCTTCTTCTTCTTTGTTGTCTTCTGATTTCGCCAAAGTGCAACTTCAAGCCTCTCTTGCGACGAGAGATTTCACGTGCGAACCGAGAGTGGAATATCGAACGGTGACTGGGGTTTCCGGCCCTCTGGTGATTTTAGACCGGGTGAAGAACGCGAAGTTCGCGGAGATTGTGGACATCACTCTGAGCGATGGCACGAAAAGGAGAGGACAAGTCTTGGAAGTCGACGGGGAACGCGCGGTGGTGCAAGTCTTTGAAGGGACGAGCGGCATCGATAGCAAGCACACGACGTTAGAGTTTACCGGGGACGTGTTGACCACCCCAGTGGCGGAGGATATGATGGGGAGGATTTTCAACGGGAGTGGGAAACCTATCGACGGAGGACCGAACGTTATGGCCGAACAGTATTTAGATATTAACGGCAGTTCGATCAACCCATCGGAGAGAACCTATCCAGAAGAAATGATCCAAACCGGAATATCCACCATAGACGTGATGAACTCAATCGCGAGAGGACAAAAGATTCCTTTGTTTTCCGCGGCTGGCTTACCGCACAACGAAATTGCGGCGCAGATTTGCCGACAGGCTGGGTTGGTGAAACAACCCGGCGCGGCGGAGGAGACGGAGGAGGACAAAAGCGAGAACGACTTCGCCATCGTCTTCGCCGCCATGGGGGTGAACTTGGAAACCGCGAACTTTTTTCGAAGAGACTTTGAAGAAAACGGTAGCTTAGAGAAAACGGTGTTATTCTTAAACTTAGCGAACGATCCAACGATTGAACGGATCATCACCCCTAGGATTGCGCTGACGACGGCGGAATATTTAGCGTACGAAAAAGGGAAGCACGTTTTGGTCATTTTGACGGACATGTCGTCGTACGCGGACGCTTTGAGAGAGGTGTCCGCGGCAAGAGAGGAGGTTCCCGGAAGACGAGGTTATCCCGGTTACATGTACACTGATTTAGCGACGATTTACGAAAGAGCGGGGAGAATCAAAGGGAGAAAAGGGAGTATTACGCAGTTGCCGATTTTAACCATGCCGAACGACGACATCACTCACCCGATTCCAGATTTGACCGGGTACATCACGGAAGGTCAAATTTACGTCGACAGGCAGTTGCACAATCGACAAATTTACCCACCAATTAACGTTTTACCGTCTTTGTCGAGACTGATGAAATCTGCAATCGGGGAAGGGATGACGAGAAGAGACCACGGCGACGTTTCGAACCAGTTGTACGCCAACTACGCCATCGGCAAAGATACGTTAGCCATGAGAGCGGTCGTCGGCGAAGAAGCCTTATCTGGCGAAGATTTGCTTTATTTGGAGTTTTTAGAAAAGTTTGAGCGAAAGTTTATCGACCAAGGAAACGAAGGCCGATCGATTTTTGACGCGTTGGATTTGGCGTGGAGTTTGTTGAGGATTTTCCCGCGAGAGCTTTTAAGGCGCATTCCGGCCAAGACTTTGGATCAGTTTTACGACAGGAAAGTATGACGATGAAAGAGAGAGGAAAGAGAAAGAGAAAGAGAGAGAGAGAGAGAGGGAAGAGAGAGAGAGAGAAAGAAGAGAGACATACACACACTTACTATTAAATACACTTAGCTAAAGTTTCATTTCTAAAGACTACTAAAACTATGTACCCACCACATACGTAGTACCCCGTACACATCATCAAAAATGAAACACCTCTTCACGAAAATCTCTTCATTTTGGATGCGTTTTGTCGCACGACAACACCCGAAAGCGTCGTCGTGGTCTCCTCAAGCGTCTGTCAACAACGACGAAAAGAAAACAGAGAACGGAAGGAAACAAAGAAGAGTAAGAATCGTGCACGTGAAAGAGGTGCTCGAACAGGAAAAGATGATGAATTCTTCTTCTTCTTCTTTGAAGATGTGTTCGTCGAAATCGAAAGTTGTCGAGTGGAAAACGTTGATGGAAACCAAATGGTTGAGGTTTTCTTCGATAACGTATATCGATCCAACCGGGGAAGAGCGGACGTGGGACGCGGCGACGAGAACGACGAAAGATCCAAACGCGGTGGCAGATGCCGTGTGCGTGTTTGCGAAACTGAAATCGTCCAAACGCGAGACGCAAACGCTGTTGGTGAGGCAGTTTCGTCCTCCGATGGAACGAGAAACTATTGAACTTCCCGCGGGTTTAATCGATAAAGGCGAAACGGCTGAACAAGCCGCGCTAAGAGAATTGAAAGAGGAAACTGGATATACGGGATATAACGCCAAAGCGACGCCGTGCTCCATGGCTCTTTCGCCGGGACTGAGTAATGAGACGGTAGTTTTAGTCACCGTGGACGTAAACTTAGACGAGTACGAGGAAGACGAACGCGGAGGCGAGGATAAAGTCGTCCCGGAACAAGAGCTCGAAGGGTCGGAGTTTATCACGGTGATTAAAGTGCCCCTGAATAAAATGAGAGAAAGTTTAGATAGTTTGAATAGCTCTGGCTATAAAATCTTTGCGGGATTGTATATGTTCGCGCTCGGATTAGAGTTGAACGAGGCCGAATGACTGAACTACTGAATTACGTATTTATTGTCATTATTATTATTATTATTATGTACTGCTAACTAAATCGCGTCTGCTCTATCTAATCTACGTTATTATTTCTAGTTATAGTAAAGCTCTAAATTGCTCCCATCTTTAACCTCGTAATCGTCCAACGTGATGTGGTCTTTGTATATCGTGTACCACTTTTGAATCCTGTTTTTGTTTGTTTGTTTGTTTGTTGGAGAGAAGAGCAGAAGGAATTTTAGTTTTACCAAACACACATTAAACGCGCGTTTTGCTGCTGTGCGAACACACACACACACAGAGAGAGAGAGAGAGAACGAGAGAGAGAGAGAACGAGAAAGAGAGAGAAAGAGAGAGAGAGAGTTCTTCTTCTTCTTCTCTACATCCAAACTCCAAATCCAATTCACAAAAAGCGACTCCACAACAAATCGTCCGACACCACATCATCACATCAAAAACGAATATCATCATTAGTACCGTATTTTCTCCGGCCTGGTTCCGGTTTGCGCCGCGACTAACTTTTTCAAATCCCCGATGGTGTCGTCCTCGTTGCACTTCACGCGTATTTTCTTCCCCAAGCGGTCGTTTAAGATCACCTCGATCATTTGTATTCTTATTCTTATTCTTAGTAGTAGTATCTAACAAGCAAAAGAGTCGAAAAGTGACGTCAAAAGAGACGACAAAAAAGTTCTTCATTTTAAGAGGAGTATTAAGAAGAAGCAGAGAAAGTATCACACGAGGAAAGAAAAAAAGGTGGTCACCGATCAGGTCGTGCTGCTCGTGATGTCGCGTGGAAGAGCGTTTGCGAGTTGTCGGAGTCATTACCATCATCTCGATGGCGCGAGGAGGAGGAGGACGATGGAACGATTTTTGTTTTCGTCGTCGTCGTCGTCATTTTCGACGAGAGACGCGAAGAAAGCTTTTTCATCGACGACGACAATGACGGAAACGAAAGAAGAGAGTTTTGGAAAGAAGAAGAAGACGAGAGAGTTTAATTCGTCAATTCCCGCGAAAGTGGACGTCGCCATCGTTGGTGGGGGGCTCGTCGGCGTCGCGTTCGCGCGGGCGTTGCGAATGAGCGCAAAAACGAAACACTTGTCTGTGGCTGTTTTAGACGGGAACCCGCGAGCGTTCTCCATGAAACGAGAAAAGAAAGAAGAAGAAGATAAACAACAACAACAAGAAAATCCTTACAAACCGAAAGCGAGAGTCTCTGCGTTGACTCCGGAATCGATTGACTTTTTAGAGCGCGAGTGTGGAGGCGTGTGGACGCAGATTGAGAAGACCAACTTGGGGAACGAGTTTGACGCCGTGCAAGCGTGGGACGCGATTGGCGAAGGATACGTACGGTTCGAAGCAAAAGAGGCGAACAGAGATAGACTAGGGGTGGTGGTTGAAAACGACGCGACGCGGAACGCGTTGTGCGACGGACTGATTGAAGAGTTTGAAAAAGGAGAAGAAATGGAAGAAGAAGGACAAGAGAGGAAGAGAAGAAGTTTGTTTTTGTTGCCCGGGACGAGCGTGGTTGGTACAGAGACGACGGAATCGTCACCATTTCGAGTGGTCAAGTATAAGAGTTCTACGGGTAACTACACTAACGGGGACAGCGAATATGAAGAAGAAGTGAAGACAATTAGCGCGCGATTGGTTGTAGGTGCGGATGGTCCGAACGGCGCCATGAAACGATTCGCCGGGGTGCGGTCGTTTGGGTACGATTACAACCAGAAAGCGGTGTGCGGTACGGTTGAGCTCGACGGGCCGACCAAAACGGCGTTCCAGCGCTTTTTGAAAAACGGACCGATTGCTTTACTTCCTATTGGCAACGGGAAATCGAAGACGAGCAATAATATAGATGATTCTCAGTTTCCAATTTATGCAAACATCGTGTGGTCAACCACGCCGAAAGAAGCTGAGCGCATAACCGCGCTGAGTGACGACGACTTTGCCAGCGAAGTCAACGATGCCATCCACGGAGGCGGAGAGTACAATTATCAGCTTCGTAAGCAGCAAGTTCGTGATTCGAAAATCATCAACGGAGGGTTCGCGAAGAGTTTCTCGATGTTTATCGTGGAAAGTTTCGCCAAAGATTTATTTTCGTTTGCGGTCGATACTTTAGCGAAGAACAAAAAGATGGAGAGTAAAGTGAGAGAAATTTTACAATCAACGCTGAAAGAAAACGAGTTTGAGTCGCCACCGAACATCATCGCCACGGCGAAAGGGTCCGAACGCGGCGCGTTCCCTCTCAAATTGAAAATTGCTGGTACGAGGACTCACCGCAGAATGCTCTTGATTGGCGACGCCGCGCACGTGGTACACCCGTTAGGCGGTCAAGGCGTTAATCTTGGGTTTAAAGACGTCGCAGCGGCGATTGATGCGGTTGAGAACGCGATATCTGTTGGCGATGACATTGGAAGTGAAAACACGCTCCGAAACTATAAAAACGCTCGTTTCTTAGAAATGTCAGCGATGGTGATAGGATTGGATACGCTCCAAAAGATTTTTGGACCAACTCTGAGTTCCATCGCACCTTTCACGCAATTGCGGAGTATCGGCATGCGCGCCGTGAACTCGATTGCGCCAGTCAGAGAAAGTATTACGAAGTTCGCCGCGGATGGTGGAGTCTTGCGCAAAAAATAATAATTGTTTTTTTTGCGCACTGTGTAGTACCTGCTGCTTGTGTATAATAAAAAATAAAGCTCGAGTGCTATAGTCCTCTCTCTCTGTCATTCTCTCTTTATTTCTCTCATTTTCAAGTCCTCCGTTGCGTTTTGTTCCTATTTATCAAACTACCTATGATCCCTCCTATTCCACCTCTATTATTCGCGTTATTCATTTCTCTCGGCGACTTAGTTTCCCAGACGACCCCTGAGATTCTTTTTCCGTTTCTTTTTGTCGGCTTTGGCGCGTCCAACCGTCTCAATATCGCGTGCAATCCCAATATCGTAAACACCACCGCTACCGCCATGGAAAGACTCGCAAACACTCTCGTCACTATCGACACCACCCAAATCAAAACCTGCAAGAAAAACTGAATCACCGTCTTGTGCGAATCCTGTATCGCCACGGTTTGACCGAGCACTTGCAACACGTCGTACAGTTTCAAGATGATGACGCCGCCGGCGATTGCTTTCGGTTTTTTATACAACAAAGCCAAAGCTATGATCCACGAACACCTCCGATAATTCCCTAAATACTCGTACACGTTTCGATCGAATCGAGCGTACGCCTCCCTTTTCGTTCTCGGCACGCTATACGACTTTCTCAAATAGTCCGTGCTGAAAAACTCTCTCCACGGTTTCGCTTTCTTTTTCAAGTCTTCTATAGTTAGATACGCCAGCTTTGGTCTGTCCTCGACGAGGACGTTATCTATTCTCAGAGCACCACCATTTCCACCACCACCTCTAATGTTGTTAAAGTTGTTGTTGCTGTTTCTCGACCCTCTCTCCTCCGCGTGATTACTCTTTTCATTCTTTTCGCACCTTCTCTTCTCTTCCTCGTCGTTCCAATCTCGTTCCAATTGCTTCGTCAACTGTTTCAAGTTGTGCTGAGGCATGGATAACGAGAGCGGGTTACGGTCCGTAAACGACATTAATTTGCTCCGTGTTTCTTCTTCTTCTTCTTCTCCTCTGCTTTTCTGCTCCCCGTCGTCGTTTATGTCGTCGTCTCTTTGTCTTCTCTTTCAAGAGAAGTTTTCTCTTTTGGTTGTTTTTTTGGAGCAAAATGGAGCAAAATTTGTTGGAAAAGTCTTCTTCATTCATCGGCAGTATCAGCGCTTTTGTAAGTTGTGATGGAATGATGATGATGATGATGATGATGATGAAATGACGAAGAAGAAGAAGAAGAAGAAGAAGAACAACACTGTCATCATCGAAACGTTGCTCAACTGGGGAAGAGAGAATGGAATCCGAACGCATCCGAACGTCGCGATACAACAACGAATAATAAAGAATGGGGACGAGGACGACGAGGAGGACGAGAGAGGCATTTTTTACGTGCGCCTCGACGATGAAAGAGACGACGTAAACGACGTAAACGATGCCACGATGACGACGACAGAAACGCTCGTGTCCATCCCGGAGAAGGCATTGTTGTGTGTTCCCCGACGACGAACAGAAACAGTAACAAAAGGACTCGAGGAGGAAGAGGACGACAGTTTGTGCGAAATACTTCTGAGAGAGACAAAAAAGAATACGAAAAACAACAACAACGAAAGCGGCGGTAGTTTCTGGAGCGCGTATTTACGAACGCTTCCGAACGAGTACGATTTATTGGAACTGTGGACGGACGAGGAGATTGAGATGTTACAAGTCGACGCGGCGAAAGCGTCGGCGCGCGAGCTTCGAGGGAAAGTTTCCGCGTCGTACGACAGACAGTGTAAGAAGACGAAGAACGCGGGGATTTTTTTTACGCGAGCGGAGTGGGCATATGCAAAAGCGACGGTGAGATCGAGGACGGTTTCGGTGCCTTGGTCGTCCGCAGGGGCGTTGGCGCCGATAGGGGACATGTTCAATTACGCGCCAGTTGGAGGTTTTCTCGGCGGTGATGACGATGATAACGGTAACTTTTGTAACGGTGACGAAAAGGAGGATGGATGCGTACCTGTTGGGACGGGAGCGTGGAACGCAAACGAGAACGCGTTTGAGTTTCAAGGCACGCTTCCCAAGAAGTTCTCCCCTACAACTCGCTCGTTCGAGTTGTTCATGAACTACGGCGCGTATACGAATTTGGAACTGTTGTCCTTGTATGGCTTTCATTGCGGGGAGAACAATCCGAACGATGTGATTGTGCTCGATGTTCCATTGATTACAACACAAACAACGGAATACCATGCAAAAGTTATCGCAACGTCTGGAGCTCTCACGTTTGAAAGTGAGAGAGATTTGCGATTAGAATACGCCGTTCTCACCTCGTATGAATCTTACAGCGACAAACGCGCGCAACGCGCGCACGCCTCGGCACAACGCCACTCGTTTTCGGCGTTCGCATCTCGAGGCGAAAAGCTTTCCGACGCGTCCGAGCACAACTTTTGCACCGCCATTCGCGACGCCGCCGGTCGAGCCTTGCTCTCGTTCGCGACGACCGCAAAACAGGATTGCGAGTCGCTCGAACATCTCAAAAACTCCAGCGCGAATACAGAAAAAGATACGAACGCCAGGGCCACAAGAAGAAGAAGAACGAAGTTAGCAGTAGAATATAGACTCGCCGTGAAAAGGGCGCTGCAGAAAACATACCGGATGTACGAGAAAAGAATGAATGCATTAATAATATAGTACCGTTATAACGTTGTTGTATAAAGTCATTCGATTGGATGTTGACATCATGCGAGAGGAAAATGAAGATTTTTTATTCCTCTTTCTCACACAATCTTCCGCAGAGTAAACAGTCTACTTCTTGATGCGGTTGCTGCTGCTCGCGGCGAAGTGTGGTGTGCATCCCCCACGAACGCGACAACAACAACAGAAACAACAACAACGACTTTCACATCGTCAGAGCACGCAGTTTTGTTCTGCTTTTTCATCATTATCATCGCAAAACAACAACGGGGAAAACTTTATCCAAATCGGACGAATAAAACGTCGTCGTCACCAGCGGGTTTGTGCTGCTTCCGAGAGTAATACTAATAATAAGAAGAACAACAACACCGACGACGACGACGAGATGATGATGAAGAGTAAGAAGAAATCACCAAAACAACCAAAAGTCCCGAAACTCGAGGATGTCGTCTTCGAATATCTCAACGAGAGCACGAAATTCGTCGTCTCTGCAACCGCGATGGTCTTTTTGATGTTCCATCCGACGGTGGAAACGTGTTGGTGTTTACTCGGCTCTATCGTCAATTCCGTGAACGGGAAGTTATTAAAACGCGCGTTAAATCACTCCCGACCGGATGGTGCGAAGAAAGTCGACCCCGGGATGCCGTCCTCGCACGCGACGAGTTTGAGTTATTTGAGTTGGTACGCCGCGTTGGCGTTTGCGTTCGAGCCGAACGCGTTCGGGTTAGCGACGACCGTCACGAGAACGCTCGCGTTTGGTTTAGTTTCTCTGGGCGCGTTTTTAGCGTACTTACGCGTCAAACTCGGCTTTCACACGTGGCCGCAAGTATACGTCGGCTACGGGTTAGGGTCATCCACCGCTCTCGTTTGGATTTTGTTCGGCAAAGGATATTTAATCCAACACTTGGCGAGACATCCGGAACGACTGAAAAATCTGCACGCGTGTCTGGTCGTCGCCATCGGATTGTTCGCCTTGAGCGCGATTAAATGGGTGAAAGAATTGGTTAAATCATCATCCAAGAGTAAAAAACAGAACGCGTAATAGAGTTGTAGAAGTAATTCATAGTGTGGGTAGTCATAGAAGAGATGTAGTATTGTCGCGTAACCACTTGTATTTATAACGCATTCGCTCTTCAAATCCTCCACACATCTTCCTTATTATACATTGTTCTTCTTCTTCTTGAATACACAAACACGACACATCAAATGAGCGACGATAAAACCATCGATGGTTTTCTCGTGCGAGATAGGGACAACGCGACGACTAAAACGACGAAAGAGGAGTCGCGGTACGAGTTTCTCCTCCGCGTGATTGAAAACGTCAAAACTGTCGCGAAAGAACAGTTGCAACGGAAACGATTTAAAAAGAATGATGATGAAGATAAAGAAGAATTAGAATTAGAATCGCTGGAGACGTACCACGATCGACGGAAAGACGCGCAGTTCGTTTTGATCGAGTTGAGACGGGCCAATCGAGACGCAATGTTGGAGATGGAAGAAAAGAAACTGAATTTCGTTGAACGGAAACGAAAAGAGGTTGAAAAAATTGGGAAGAAAGTGTTATCCGCGGAGTACGAGAAGTCACACCTGACGATGGAAATGCAATCGAGACAAGGCATCGCGACGTCGGAAGACGCGTTGAAATTTGATTTCGTGGACGAGGAGACGTTTTTAAAATCAGAGAAGAAGAAGAATAAGAATAATAAGATGTCCGCTTTAACGACGAAGAATAAAAACGCGTTCGCCGAGCGAAGGTTGGAGGACGAGTTGGAACGCAGGAAAGAGCTTTTAGAGCGAATAGAAAAAGCAAAGGAGAGAAAGATTTCACTCCAGAGAAGTAAGCTCGAGCGAGAGGAAAAGAAGAGAGAGGCGGAGAATGCGATCAAGGACTTGAAGAGGACAGCCGCGATGGTCGGAGAGAAATTTAAAACCATCGTTCACCAAGAAAAGAAGTGAATATAATAAGCGACTGCTCGTGCTCCTTACTCACATAGCGGCGGCTGCGGCCATTTGTATAGTATCATGTACACTAATAAGAACTCTTGTTCTGCTACTCTATTGCAATTTATATGTATCTAATTAAAAAGGGACCACCCTTTTCGCAAGTTCAACGATGAAACGCGGACGCATCAACGGTTGTCGTTTAAACGTTTTACTTAAACCTTCGCGGCGGAAGATGAACGTCAACAAATCTTCCAGCAAAACATCCTCCGACCTTCCAAGGATTGGATCGAGTATGAAGGGCTCGACGTGACCTTTGCTCTTGTAATACTTTTCCATGACGCTAATGCCTGCGTTTGATAATGTTGGCGCGAAGTTTCGGCTCTCTCTGGTAGGCGCCGACACGTCTTTCTCGCCGTGGATCAAAAGAAACCTCGGCAAGACGTGTGCGCATTCGACACCGATCAACTTAACCATCTCCGATGGTGAGTTCCTCCCCAACGCTTCGATGTGTCGACCACTGAAACCCGCCTCCATTATGGAAAAAAATATCTTCCTGTGAAGGCCCTGTCTATCGAAGTGCGCAATCAGCTCTTCGCTTTCCGGATGATAAATGCCGCTAATGCCTACAAACCCGATGATATCTTTCGCGTGCCACGTCTCCTTCAAATCATCCCTCAGACTCGCTTGTTTCAAGAGCGAAAGCGCCGCCAAGTGCGCTCCCGCACTTTGTCCGATCAAATTAATCTTCCTCGGATCTCCGCCTAAACTTTTCGCCGCATTCACCGCGTATCCGATCCCGTTCGCTACGTCTTCCACCATATCACCGCACACGCCTTGAGGAAAGTTTCTATAATCTATGCATATCGTTATGACTCCAAATTCGAGCAAACTTTTGGCTAACAAGGCGCCCCAAACTCGATATCCAATGATCCACACCCCGCCGGTGACAAAAATAACCACCGGCTTCAACTGTTTCTTTTGTTTGGTCTCTCCTCCTCCTCCTTCCTCGACGTCTTCGTCTTCCTCGTCTGATGGGACGTAGACGTCTAAAAAATTCCTCGCGTTTTTCCCGTACTTTATGCCTCTTTTGATTCTTCCGTCCGTGACGTAGAACCACCCGATCCGAATAAAAGCCGGCAATAACAGCGCGGAGAACAAGAGAAGTCTGAGAAACTTTGCGATCCAATTCAGTCGCAAAAACGTCAAGAGTTTGAACAGTAAACGGAAGATTAAGAGCACGTTGCGCATCACTCGACCGATCATTTTTTTATCCGTCCCTGTCCTTTGCGCGCTCTCTGTCGTTGTCTTTGTCTTCTCTTTCCTTCCTGAGCCCCGTCTTTCTTTTGATGAGATGATTGAATGAATGAATGAAGGAGTTGTGTGGCCGTTACTTTTCCCTAAATATCTTTATAAACGCTCCTCTGAAAGCACGACGATTCAGACGACGACGACGACGATGCGGACGATGCAGACGATTCAGACGACGAGAAATGCAACTCGACATCCTTTCTGTCGACGAAAATCTTCTCTGACGATGAAGAAGAAAGAGAGGACGATGCAGACGACGGCGACTTTGAAGAACGAGAACACAACACGAACTCCTGTAACCACCACTGTTGGCGCGTTAATCCAAGACGCGAAAACAGTCGAGGAGATACTCCGCGCCGCGTGCGATAGCTTACTGCTCGAAGGGGAAGAAACGTTGCATTTCCACTTCCAAGACGTGCATCGACAGAAGAATAAGAGCGCGTCGGTGAATGGACTGAAACGATTGGCGAAAATGATGTGTTCCTCGAGTGGTTCGTATGAGAAGAAGACAAAGACGAAGAACAACGAGCGAATAGGAGGCATAGTTCGATTAATAAAAGGCGCGAGTTTAGATGGAACGAAAACAACAAACAGGAAGAAAAGAGCGTCGGATGGAATCGACGCGCTCAGGGCGACCGCGTCTCTGTTGGTATCTCTGTTTGATGAAGACAAGGACGAGGACGAGGACGACAGCGATACGAGTAGAGAGGAGATGCGAAACGCGTGCGACGAGCTCGTGCGTAGGGTGAGAGAAGACGCGGAATATTTCTCAGACGGAGACAGGATAGTTTTCGATTGGGCTTTGCGTGTGATAGAGAGTAATATTGCGAGCAGTAGCGGCGAAACAACAGCAACATCAGAGAGAAGAGGAGATGCGACGATTACCGTCGACGAGTTTCCCTTTCGATACGTAACGCCGAATATTTCCAACGTGCTAAAAAGTATTACGGTTGAAGATTTACGCAAAGAAGTGCCTTTTAAAGCGGAAAAATTAATCACACGAACTGGAAAAAGAGTGGACGAGAGAAGAGAGACCTGTTTCGTCGCGGAAAGTGGTATCGGTGGACTCGCGTATTCTGGAAAGATTATGGAACCGACGCTATTGAACGAAGCGTCTCTGCCGTTGGTAACTACCATACGGAATGCCATAGTAGAAGCTTTGAAAAATGACGAAGATTACGCAGGATGTGACATCGATTTTGATTGCGCGCTCATGAATTTGTATCCCGATGGATCTTCGGCATGCGCGTGGCACACCGATCCCGAGATGGGGACCGTATGGGATCGAGACTCAGTTATTGTGTCTATAGGCGAGACGCGGCGATTCGCGTTTCGAAAACTCGCCGGCGGCGGAGATAAGACACAAAATGACGGCGAAGAAGAGCAAGTATGGGTGCGAGTGCATCACGGGGACTGCATCTTAATGCGAGATGACTGCAATGATAACTGGGAACACTGTGTCTTTGGGAAAGAGAACGATTCGAACAACGCGGCTCGAATCAGCCTCGTGTTCAAGAAAGCGCTTTCGAGAGGAGGCGGCAGGAAAAAGGGACACGGCACAAACTCAAAAGAGAAGAAGAAGGCGAAATGATATCAAACTAAGATTTACGTACATGGGTACCGGTACTACTAGCTTTCCATTTGTAACAAAAACAAGAACAAGAACAACATGCGCGCGCTATGAGCATCTCTCATTATTCAACTTCCCGAGCGAGATTAATAAATCATTCTCTCCTTCCAATTGTCTTCGTTTCCTGTGAATAACCAAAGGCGCTTCGCCCCCCCAACTGAACAAACACTCTTCCTCCGCGATGACTTCTAACTTCTCGCTCGGCAAAGGAAGAAAAACGGTAACAAATATCGACCCTTCTTTCAAATGTTCCGCCGCGCGCGCGAGCGTTTCCATCTGTTCGTCCTCCCACGTCAAACAGTTACAAAACACGTACTCGCATTGACTCCACATCCGAACGCGTTCGACTGAAAATATATCGTCCAAATCTACTCTCAACTCTGTCGTCTTGTTATTGCTATTATTCATCGCATTCGTCATAGGTTCAATCATCTCGCGGTAATCCTCCACCACCGTCGTCGCGACGCCGTGTAAACACTCCAAAATCTCGCACCCGCCCGCGAAGGAAAACTTCCCGGTCAAAGCCGCTATGAACACCGACTTCCCAGTTCCGCTCCCTAAGTCGTAATACTTTCTCGACGACGATGATTGCGGTAGGTGCGCCTCGCTCGAGCGCGATAAAAAATCGTAAAACGGTTCCAACACCACTTCGCCGTACACGAAGTTGTTGCGGTTGTTTCTGTTCGTACACGACGTTCTCTTCTTCCCCTGTTCTTCGTCGTCCATCATCATCCTCATCATCATCGCCTTCTCTTTTTCCTTCTTCTCTCGAATCTCTTCCAAAACCATCAGTTGCAACACCTGCGGTCGAATCTGTTCGAATATCACTCTCGCGTTTTCCATTTTCGCGAGGAAGATTTCATCATTCGTCTGATTCGTCGAAGAATAACACCACCAGCATTGGATTTTATGGCTTTTTTGCGAGTACTCGTACAAATCGAATCGTTTGCCGACGCCGTTTTCTGTGAGCGTTCGGAGCGTCTCGATTTCTTTTTCCAACTGATGATTCATCTCTTCTTTATAGTCTTTGTCTTTATCCTCGTCGCAGAAGAAGATTTCCTCCTCCATCATCATCGTCTGAATCGTCGTCGTCGTCGGAGGAACACGTCCATCATCGCGTATTCCTCTTCTTTTCCTCTCGTTAGTAGTTCAGTGTTACACGGAGGAAGCTCTTTGTCGCGTATCTCTCGCGAGTTTTGACGACTGTTTCTGATAAGCAGTTCAAGGGAAAGAACTCTTCTCTCCTATTCTTCATTCTCTCTTTCTCTCTCTGTTATTATAGTATTATATTATTAGTATTATGCGTTTCGCTTTAACAACAACAACAACAACATCAGCAGCGGCGCTGTTATCATCGTCGTCGTCATCGGGGAGTCCTCGTCGGCGTTTCCAGCAAAAACGTCGTCGTGATTTGCATTCACTTGGAAAGCGTGAGGACTCCCCGATGAAGATGATGATGATGATGATGATGATGATGAAGAGAAACGCGACAAAGACGAGCGCGGGGAGAAACACACACACTTTTGCCTGCCGCTGCTTCGATGATCGTCGTCATCAAAGCGGAGATTATTGCGACGATGAGAGCAGACTTTTAGTCACCACCACCACGACGAGAAGAAGAAGAAGAAGAAGAAGAAGAACGAACGATAACATCAACAATAGGAGTAATAGTACGACGAGTACGAGTCGTTTTCATCGCGTCTCTCCTCTCCGAGCAGTTTTGAAGAACGGGGATGAAAAAGAAGACGAAGACGCAGACAAAGAGCAGCAGATTCAGCAGCAACGACGAGTATTAACGACAGAAGAAGAGAACGAACGGACGATGTTCGCGCGAACCTCGTCTTCGCTCGTCTCGAAAACGAAGAGCAACAGCAACACCGCGGCCAGGAAAGAAGTTCCGAATATATACGGCATCCCTCGCGACGCGGTCTTCGCTCCGCTCGCCGGTTTGTTGGTATCGCAGTTCGTCTTGTACATCGGCGTGGGCGTTTTGTTACCGGCGTTGCCTTTGTACGCGCAATCGATTGGATTGTCGCAAAGCGCAAACGGGTTAGTTATTAGCGCGCCGGCGTTGGCGATGTTGATATTGAACGTGCCGACTGGGCAGATGGCGGATAGGTACGGGCGGAAACCAGTGATGATTGCCGGACTTGGAATTATGGCGGTGGCGGATATCGGGACGGCGCTGGCGAAGACGATGGTATTTTTGATTCCGACGAGGTTGTTGCTCGGGGTTGGTCGAGCGGCGTGCGAAGGCGGAGATCGAGCGTATTTAGCAGATTTGACGAAACGCGTGCCGGAGAAACGAGGTATTATTACCGCCGCCCAAGCTATGGTGCACGGTTTCGGTTTAGTCATAGGCCCGCTCATCGGAGGGTCGGCGTTGGACGAGTACGGACCGGCGACTGCATTTTACGTCGTCGGTTTTGCCGCGGTTGGGACTGCAATCGGATACGCGTTTTTACCGGAAACTTTATCAGAGTCCGAGCGGTCTACGGACGAAGATTTCTTTGGTTCTGCGGATGATAACGACGACGGAGATGCGAACAACGCCGCGAACAACAACGGCAACACGATGCCTTCGTTTTTAAAGTTTCTCAATTTAAAGAACATGACCAAGAGAGATAAGAAATCAAATCTCGGAAAATTATTGAAAGATCCCGATCAAAGATTGCTGTTGACGTGTGCTGCGGCGAATTCCTTCGGCTTTGTCGCGAAATTGACCGTGATTCCTCTGTTTGCGTCCGGTCAACTCCACGCGACTTCTTTGCAAGTCGGCGAACTCTTCTCCTTGACTGCGCTTTTAGGTTTAGCGACTGCGCCGGTTTCTGGTTTACTCTCGGATGCCATCGGTAAACGATGGGTGTTAACCGGCTCGCTCGCGTTGTGTGCGCTCGGTTTAGCCGTCGGCTCTGGTTCGGAAGATTTAGAAACGCTTCGTCTCGCGGTTGGATGCTGGGGCATCGGCTGCGCCGCGGCTGGTCCGGCGGTCAACGCGTTAGCGCAAGAAATCGCTCCAAAAGGTGGCGAAGGCGAAAGCTTAACGCTTCCTAAAACCGCCGCCGATATCGTCTTTCTCGTCGGTCCAATCATTTTAGGTGGCGCGAACGATTTCACCGATTCCCAAGGCGCCGGGATTTTAATCACCGCTGCCATCGCCGGCGTCGCTTCCATCGTCTGCGCGTACGGCGCGGTTACGTATAAGAAACCGCCCCAACGCTTCGGTTAACGCTTCGGTAAAAAGAGAGTCAGAGAAGTTCCGCCCGCCGCGTGTATAATAGATAATAATTCCACTAATAATGATACTATACGTGTATACGAGACCTTTATATTTAATATCGCGCGTGTGTCTGTGTGTGCTGTCTTCGTTTGAATGTTTTAGCTTCTTTTATTCTCGCGCCGAACGTCTTTCTTTCCACACAACACCTTTTGACTTCTTCACAAAAAGAACTGAAGAATTAAGAAGAAAAAATGTCTTCAGCGCTTCGTCGTCGATTGTTGTCGGCTTCGTCGTCCTCGATTTCCTCCTTAAACGCCTCCACGAATATGATGACGACGATGCGCGCAACGACAGCAGCAGCAGCAACAACGACGACGACATCTTCTTCTTCTTCTTCTTCTTCAATATCATCATCACTTAAAATTAGTAATGGTGAAAGGCCAAGGCAAATTTGGTCTTCATCGATCCCCAAAGATGAAGTCGTTCCAAAACCAATCTCTGATGATGCTTTCGAGAGCAGCAGTAAACACAGTAGCAGTAATAGTAGCGCTTTTCATCGACGACGAGGACGAGAAGTTAACGGTTCAGTTGGTGATTGTATTTTCCGAAAACGAAGTGTGTTGGATGATCACCACAAGGGAGGAGGATTTGGTCGACCTTTTCACTCCTCCTCTCTTTTAAAAAAAATCGCAGAACACACAACGAAACAACAAGAGCAGAGAAGAGAGCAGAGCACTACCGCCGGTGCGAGTGGTGCGAGTGAAACTGCTGCTCCTGAAGATGACGCTCAAAAAGAGCAGCGAGCGAAGGGTTTTGTCGCGAGTTTGGACAAGAACATCGTAGATAACGTGTTGAACACGCGCCACGTGCAAAACCTGCGCGAACGCTTGGACGAGATCAAATACACGAAGGAGTTCATTACGATCGATAAGTTCGCGGAACTGTGCAAAGAGAGCGGGTGCACTGAGAAGAAACCCGAGGAGTACGTGGATATTATGAAGAATGCCGGGCTGGTGATTCAAATCGAAGATTACGTGTATTTAGAACCGCAGAATATCACGAGGGCGGTTATAAACGCCTTGCCGGGAGTTCCCCCTCGAATCTACGGCGTCTCGGACGCCGAGTTGAGAAAACTGAACGAGGAGTACGATCAAATGCGGGAAAAAGTAGTTTTAGCGGAGAAGAAAGCCGCGAGAAGAGCAACGCAGTTGTTATACGGTGGTTTCATCGTTTTAATCGCGCAATTGGCCGTGTTCGTTCGGTTTACGTACGTGGAATTTTCCTGGGACGTGATGGAGCCGATTTCCTATTTCGTCGGTTTAGCGAACGTCATCATGGGGTACATGTATTTCATGTACACGCAGAGAGATTTTTCCTTCGGGACGTGGCAAAACCAAATGATGCAATCCGCGATGGACAGGCAGTTGAAAACCGGGAAGTTTGACGTGACAAAGTACGAACAAATGGCCAGAAAGTTACGACGAAGGAACATGATTCGGTGACGAAGAAGAAGAAAGATACTTATTATATATATTATTCGTTGATGAAAACGTTGAAATATTATTTTGTTGTAAAAGAGAACTCGTGCTCTATCGTATTATACTTATCACGCGTATTGATTTATACATCAGCGAAAACAACGAACGCGAAACGTGTTCTCGCACCGTGTACTCCTTCACAGAAGCCTCTCTCAGAAAATCCTCAGATTTCCCCGCACACTAATCCTTTTCACTCTACTCTTAAAGGTATTACAATAAAATGGCCTCCTCCTCCCAAACGCAAACACAACAAGTCCCTCTCGTGTGTCACGGCCACAGTCGCCCGATCGTCTCTTTGGAGTATTCCAAGGAGACACCCGACGGGACGTTTCTCGTGTCGTCCTCGAAAGACGGGAAACCGATGTTACGCGACGCGCAATCGGGCGATTGGATAGGCACGTTCGAAGGACACCGAGGCGCGTGTTGGGACGCGACGTTGAACGCGCCAGCCACGCACTGCGCGACGGCGAGCGCGGATTTTTCGGCGAAACTGTTCAACGCCATCACCGGGGATTGTTTACACACGTTTGCACACAAACACATCGTCAAGACGGTTTGTTTTAGCACGTGCGGGACGAAATTAATCACCGGCGGGAGCGAAAAAGTTGTCAGAATATTCGATTTACGAAAGTTAGAGTTAGATAGCAAGAATAAGGATAAGGATAATATTACTAGCGTAACGCAACCGATGAGCGAGTTAACGGGCGCACCGAGCCAAATCAAAACCGCTCGGTACATATGTAACGACGAGTTGATTTTGAGCTCGTGTTCGGATAACCCGGATTTAAGAGTGTGGGACGCGAGGACGGGGATCATAGCGACGACGTTGAAGACGGAAAACGCGGTGACGTCGATTGAAATTTCCGAGGACGGGAAGTACATAACGACGGCAGACGGGAAGAACGTGACGTTGTGGGACGTCGGGTCGTTCCGACCGATGGAGACGTGGAAGATGAAGTATAACATGGAATCGGCGTCGGTGTGCATGAAAGAGGGGAAGTTCGTGTGCGGAGGAGAGGATATGTGGGTGCACGTGCACGATTGCGCGAGTGGAGAGGAAATCGGAGAGCCCGGGAAAGGACATCACGGGCCCGTGCATTGCGTTCGGTTCGCCCCGGACGGGAAGAGTTATTCCAGCGGGAGCGAAGACGGAACGATTAGGATTTGGCAAACGCCGGCGAAGAAAGGATGATTTCTCTATCTTAATAAACTAAATACGTATTACAAATCATTCATTCGTCATTTTGCCGCGAATTATAAGAAGAAGACGAAGAAGACAGATAGAAAACCAACGGCGATTTCAACATCGCCATTTTGGTTTTATACGTCGGATGAACAAACTCTTCCGTCTTTAACGCGAGCAGTTTTTCGACGACGACCATATCTTCTTCGACGACTCTACCTATCGGCGTGAACCCAGTGTCCCATTCTTTATGATTCTTCGTCGCGATTAAGAAATCGTCTCCCCCTCCAGGTATGCTACCAAAAACGCCGCGATCCCACGAGAACGAATCCGACGCGCCTTCCGCGCGCTTGCCGAAATTCCCGCCAAGTTTGCCTATACCGGCGAACTTGCCTTGTACGAGCCCATAGGCGTTCTCCACGCGATTAAACTGACACTTGGATGCGCCACAAAATGAATGTCTCGCGCACGCGCCGGTTCGTATGGTTTCTCGAACGAGTTCGGAAGATTTTGGCGCGTTTTTGGCATCCAGTGTGATCCGAATCGATCCGCGCCGACGCTCGCTGCTCTTTTCGTCGTACCATTCAACGTGTAACTGAAACTCGTCGTCGTCGAAATCTAACGTTTCGGGATTGTTTATCTTCATCTTGGTCATGCCTTCGCACGCGCAAGGACACGATTGGGACATAAAGGACGGATTCGCGTCGCACTCGCCGTCGCACGCCCACATCGCGCATGAAGGATTCGAATCCGCGCACTCGTTTTTGTTCGCGTTATCGCTATTGCTTCTAGTTCTACCGCTACCACCATTACTACTCCTACTACTCCTACCACCACCGCTACTAGTCTCGCTTATTTTATATTCGTCGTCGTCGTTTTCGTGCTTGTTTTTTCTTCTCCGTTTACCGAGCCATTTGGCATCTTCGATGACTACTTCGTTACTTATACTATTACTTTCGTCGTGCACGGAAGCTATGCTCAGTCCAGACCGCTCGGTTAAATCGGGAACTTCCGGTAAAAATCCAACGAGGAGTGCGAACCACGTGCACATGACAATCAAAAGAAAAATGACCACCGGTGCAAACGCCGCTCCGCCGCAATAATAAAACAACCCTTTCCTCCTACGTTTCTTATTCCTCGCCAACAACCGTTCTCGCGCCTCAAATAACGATTTCTTTCCTTTCGACGGCGAACTCCACGGAGAAATCCAAGGCGATAAGATTCCGCCTCCTTTCCGCGTCGTGCTGCTTGAAAGTGATACCCACCGCCTGGCACGGCCATTGTTCCGTTTTGAGGCGAGTTCTCGCAGCGCTGCAGCTCGTTGAGCGGCGCGACGCGGGGAAGTTATTATACTACCGTCTTTCCTAAACGAGGCGGCGGCTTCGATATCCCTCGCCGCTTTCGTCGCCGCCGCTTCAATCGAAACGCCGCCGCCCATCGCCGCAGATTCCGTCTTAGAAGAATCTTCTTCGTCTTCCTCCTCCTCTTCCACCGCAATCTCCTCCGGCTCCGGAAAGTACGTCAACTCTTCCTCTGCCATACCCATGAGGTTCCATCCGTCTATTAACTTTGGCAACGACTGGTACGTCTTTTCCAAATTTTGCACTATTATCTTCTCAATCTGCTTCCCCATTCCGGGAATACTCACCGCCGCTAACCCTTCCACAATCACCGTCGTTTTCTCCTCGGGAAACTCCGGATGTCTCGCGAACGTCACTTCCCCCAAAACTTCCGCCGCCGTGGATATGTTGTTCAGACTTTGAAACTTTTGCGTAAACGGCGCTCGCCTTGAAGCCCCTCCTCCTTCAAACTGTCTGCTGTCTAAAAACTCCACCGCTTGGCCTTTCAAAACGGTTTTACGAATCATCCACGGTAAATCCAGCTGAGGCACGACTCGAGTCACCGTCGTTATCGTCTTTTTATCCTTCGATATGGAAGTCGACACCGTATCGCTCGATGTCGTTCCGGTTTCTCGCAGGGCGAATTGCTTAAACTCCTCCGTCTCTTTGATTTTCAGGTACGAGAGGCAGTTCATGTTCAGTGAAACGGAAAAGGTGAATTCGGTCCCTTTTTCTCCCGAAGTTGAAGAGGATCGCATGATTTTTTCTCCTCTTCTTTCTCCTCCTATGTGTCTTCCGTTTTAATACTGTGTGTGACACTATAAAAGGACTATCGGACGATGATGATGTTTGCCATTTTTACGAGACGATGAGAGACGATGGAAAAATAATGACGGATTGAAGCAGTTCAGAGTAGAGGGGATTTATACACTACAGGGTGAATGAAGTACTATCTTGTTATTCCACACACAACAGTCAAAGACAAAGACAAACGCATATCATCATGATTTTCTTCTCTCGTCACCATCGACGCTTTCGACTGCGTACAGTAAGATTTCATTTAATCTGCCCAACATCTCCCGCGGATCGTCCATCGTCCCGGCGGCGACGCGAGCGTTGTCGTAGATTTGAAACGCGATGTCTTTGGCGACTTTTTGTACTTTTGAATCGGAGGATTTCCTCGCCGCGTTGATGGAAAGTAAGAGAGGATGTTTGCAGTTCACTTCTAAAGTGGTGGTTATTTTATCGGTCAGCGCGGTTAAGCGTGCGTTGACGGCACTGTCGCTGGCCATGCTGGCCATCGCGCGGTAGCGTCGCATGGCTTCCGGTTCGTGGCCGGAGAGTAAAGCCGGGGAGGAGACTAATCGGTTGGAGGCGGTGACTTCTTTCAGTTGGAATTGGAGGACGTCGCTGAACCATTTAAGTAAGTCTTTCTTGTCGTCTTCACTGATTGTAGTGGTATCATTCGCATCGCTGTCGTCGAGAGACACGTCGGCGTTTTCAGCTTCCACGCTGACGATAAATTTACCTTTCACGTTGCCCAAATGTTGCATGACGAATTCATCCACGTGCGCGTAGAGGTACAAAACTTCGTATCCTTTCGCTTTACACGCCTCTAAATACGGCGAGGAATCTGCTTGCGCTCTCGACGGCGCTACTAAGTAATAAATATGTTTCTGATCTGGTTTCATGCGTTCGATGTACTTCTCGAACGAAGTCACTGCATTAGCGTTGTCCGTCATCCCCTCTTCACTGTCCTCTTTTTGTTGATGTTGTTCTTCTTCTCCTTCTACTGGTGCGTTCTTCGTTTCGCTCGATTCAAAGCGCAATAACTCGGCTATTTGTTGCGTGTGGTTCGGTTCCGTGCACGCGCCCTCTTTTAAGAAAAATCCGCACTCTTTGAACCATTTATCGTACGCTTTAGGATCTTTCTTTGCGACGTCTTTTAGGTGTTTCAACGCTCTTTTCGTGACCACCTCGCCGAGTTTACGCAGCACCTGCGAGTCTTGCAACGTCTCTCGAGAGATGTTTAAAGGAATGTCCTCGCAATCCACCACGCCTCGCAAGAATCGCAAAAACGGAGGTAGTAATCCGTGCGCGTTTTTTTGAATCAACACCCTTCGCGAATACAACGCGATGCCGGAATCCACTTTAGCGTGCATACCTATCCCTCGTTCGGGATTTGTTTCCGGAAAGAAAATTAAAGATCGAATTGTTAAAGGCGCGTCCGCTTCAAAATGCATTCGAAATGTCGGGGAATCCGTTGCTCCGGAAACGTACCTATAAAACGCCGTCGCTTGCTCGTCCGATACCTCGGAATGTTTCTTCATCCAAAGCGCGCCAATCTCGTTATATTTGTTCTCGTTAATATAAATAGGAAACGAAACGAACGCGCTGTATTTCTTCAACGTCTCCTCTATCGCCCATTGCGACGCGATCGTCTTGCAGTCCTCCTTCATGTGAATGACAATTTTTGTCCCTCTCGGCTTTGGCGCCTCGTTCGATTTACTGACGGTGAACTTCCCGGTACCTTCCGACGCCCACACGAAACTCTCCTTCCCGTTGGACGTGTGAACTTCAACTTTCTTCCCAACCATAAACGCGGAGTAAAAACCAACCCCGAACTTCCCGATGATGTTACTCGCCGCATCTTTACCTCCTTTTCCACCGCTCAAATTCTCCAAAAACTCCTTCGATCCGCTCTTCGCGATCGTCCCTAGGTTTCTCGTCAACTCCTCCTCGCTCATCCCGATCCCGTTATCCTCGACGATTAATTTCAACTCCTTCCCATCCTCTTCTTCTCGCGTGGATATCTTAATCCGAAACTCTAGGTCGTCTTGAACTCCTTTCAATCCGTATTCACTCGCATCTTTAATCGCCTCGTGTCTTCGTTTCTCCAGAGCATCCGAGCTGTTCGAGATCAACTCCCGTAAAAACACCTCTTTTTCTTGGTACAAACTGTTCGTCACGATATCTAACAAGCGACTGGTTTCCGCTTTGAACTCGTGCTCTCGCGTTTTTACATCGTCCTCGGGGTTCGTTTCAGAAGAAGAAGAAGAAGCGGAAGAAGAAAAAGGAGCGAAACTGAAGAATCTGCTTTTTCTGGCAGTATTCCTCGCGTTTCTCTTCGTAGTACTACACGTCGGCTCTTTTCTCATCACCCCGGCGGCGACGACAGATTCCGCAGATGATGCATCATCGGCGGAACGATGAGACCAACGAGGAAAAGGAGTCGTCGTTTCCCCCCTTTCAAGCGAGGAAAAAAGAAGACGACGAAGAGCAACACTGCCTCGTCTTCCTCCTCTGTTTCTTGAGAACAAGAGCGAGGAAGCAAACGAAGCCATTAAAGGGGGGGACATTATTTCTCGCGTCTCTGCGCGAAAGAATCTTCTGTCGTTTTGTCTCCACTTTTTGTTTTCCAATTTTACTTCATTCTCATCACAGATACCACAATACTACTCTCTAGAAGAAAGAAGAGGATGGCGAAAAGACCTCGAAAGGGCGGATCTGGTGCGGGAGGACCAGGAGGACCAGCGATGAGAACGACGAATACTGATTCAGGAGAGCATGTTCGCAAAAGGCAAGCGGAATGTCGAGGCGTGTTGGAAGCGTTGAACTTCCAATTCTACTCGCACGTGTGCGAACAACACAAGAATAACCCGAGGAAAAGTTGGGCCGAAGGATGCCAGGATTACGTGAAACACGTGAAAAAGTTGATGGTGAGGAGTTGATTCAGATCTCTTTCGTCGATTGCGGTTTTTATTCGCGCGCGCGTAGTTGTACCTTTTACTTTGTTTGTTTAAACTGACCACCACTCTCTGTGTGTTTCCTCTCTTATACAACAGAGCGACTTCAAAGACATTCTCGAAGAAGAAGAAGATCAAGGAGGAGAACAAGGAGACGCGAGAGAGAAGAACAATAATAATAATAATAATAATAACGACGAGGACGATTCCGATTCCGACGACGACGGACAACCGAAGACGTCTCTTTTTGGCGACTTGCCGAAACCGACGGCATTTGGGATGGGCGCGAAATCGAACCCGTTTGCAGCAGGCGGCGGTAGTGGCGGCGCTCCGTCCTTGTTCCCGCCGGTGAGTGGAGCGAAGAGCGCGTCGAATAATCCGTTTGCCCCTTCCACGACAGCGTTTGGAGGAGGTGGAGGATCGACGGCGTTTCCGAAATTCCCGGCTGGCGGTGCCGCGGCGCAACAGGCGAAGGAAGAGGAAAACGACGAAGAACCGGAGCGACCGCCGTCGCCGTCCACGGCGGAAGCGACGGGTGAAGACGACAATGAGTTCGTGGACATGGAAAAGCAAAAAGTAAAACTGTACGTGAAAAAGGAAGCCTCGGAGCCGTGGGCGGATCGAGGGGTGAACAGGTTACAATTTAGAAGAGAAAAAGAAGGGGCCAAAGGCGCGTGTCGCATATTAATGCGAACATCCATTGGAAAAGCGGTGATTAACGCAAACTTATACGACAACATGAGCGTCACGTTCGCAGAGCAAAAGGATAAAAAAGACGGGTCGATGAAGAAAACCGGGGTGATTTTGACTATTTTCAACGCGTGCGAGAATAGCGAGAAGCAAATTGTGCTTCTCAAGTTAGGATCTCAGGAAGCCGTGGAAGAGCTCCACGGACTGATCGTGAAGAATACGAGAAAGTAACAACGAGAAAAGAAGAAGTATCTGGCTGTTTTTTAATGTCACCACCACCAGTACGATTGACACATATGTAGACGATAATTTTTACTCCTCCTCTTTTTCCTCTCGCTTCTCCCTTCTACGTTTATTCGCGCTCGCGCTCAACTCTTCCACGACTTCCCAAGCCGTCGCGCACGCGTCCCCACCTTCGTCGCACAAAGACATAGCCTTCTCCACTGCTTCGCTAATCGCATTTGCCAACGTTTTATCGCTCTCCTCGTCGAATTTAGACCTCTCCTCTTTGTTTGGAATCATCATCGCCCTCTCCAATATCCCTCGACTGTTCATCTCGCCGGTTTCAGCCTCGCATCCTAACGGCCCGCACGGATCTAAATCTTTCAAAGGGTCCTCGAACGGATCCACTCTTTTTGCCTTCATCGCGCGTTCTTTCAGCTCCTCTTCCGTAAGACCGACTTCGCTCATCTTCGGTATCCTTCTCGGCGGTTGCGCGCGCTTCGTCTTGCTCGTACTACTACTCTCGCTACTACTACTACTACTCCCGCTACGACTCTCCACGGTCCTATTCGTCCGACTCATCCCAGCTCGCATGGCTGCATCTTCCAACTCGTCCACGATTTCCCACGCCGCGCGGCACTCTTCTCTTTTATTACTAGTATTATTACTCCCGTCTCCTCCTTCTCGTTCCTCTCGTTCTTCTTTGCACAACTGTTCCGCTCGGTCGATGGCTTCTCTCAACATCAATCGTAACTTTGGTCGTTCCGGATCTTTCATCATCTGCTCCTCGTTTAAGAACGGTTTGTTGTAGAGGACATCGAACGCCAAGGCGGCGATTCTTGCTTGGTTCGAGGTTAGTGAAATCGTTTCCGTTTCCGCGTTGTCTTCATCGTCTTCGTCCTCGTCCTCTTCGTTCTTCTTCGTATTCGTCGCTTTGGGAGGACGAACCCTCTTCGAATTGTTCCTCCTGCTTAAAGACGACGACGACGGAAACGTCGAACGTCTTCTGGACGAGAAAGAAGAGGAAAGCGCCGTCATCGTTCTCGTCGTTCGAACAGCAACGGGGGCAACCGCGCGGTACATCGTCGTATCTCTTCTTCTTTGTCTTCTTCTTGGTGTTCTCACTTTCGAGAAAGATTTGAAAAGTGAAGAGAAAATCTCAAAAGGCGAGGAAACGAGAAAACGCGAGAACGACGGAAGCGAAGAGATGGATTTTTACAGACGATAACGACGAGTGTGTTTCATTTCAATGTAAACAATGATGAGTGTTATTACAACTTTACATTCCTCTTTCTCTCTCTCTCTCTCTGAGATTCTGAGATGTGGTAATAAAAGGAACTTAGTAAAGAACGCGCGCAAATATTTTTGTTGTTCTTTCTTTCTTTAATAGCCATTCATGGCGGCTGGCCCCCATTGGAATTCCGCCATCAAAGAGACGTGATCGGAACTCCACTGCGTGTTCGGTAAACCGCCGTATTTAGCTCGCGCATCTTTCTCTCCGGGAAGTTCAAGAAGTCCGACTGGGCATAACGTATCCTCGGTGTAGAATAAGTAATCCAAAGCGCCAAAAAAATCCTTCGTGCAGTTTGTAAACATCGGCTCCGCCGTTCGAGGGTCCACGCGGTCGCGCAAACGCTCGAGCGCTTCAGATTCGAGCAAGCGATTGTCTCTTCGTAAAGCGGATGAGTACGCCGAGACGAGCGGTAACGGGTGGGAGAGTTTCGAGGCTGGGCGCAAGATCCCGAGAGGATCTATTTGCAACTCAGGGTGGTTGTTGTCCACCATACCTCGAGTCAACAACCCGTGCGCGGCGGAACCGGGCGTGGAGTTGAAATCACCGCAGGCAACCATAGGGATCTCTGCCGAGGCGGCTATTTTTTCCAAACCTTTCAACAACGTGTGCACTTGCCAAAGCTTGACGTCGTTGTGGTCGGTGTTGGCGTGAATGTGCGTGTTGGCCACGCACAAAAGTTTCCGTTTTCCAGTTTGTTGCGTCTGTTGTCGCTGTTGCGAATCGAGAGCTTCCAAGACGACGATCAACGCGATGTTATCCTTCATCAATCGGTTCAAGGCTTCTTTTTTGGAGCCGCCGGAACCGACGAGACTTTCTGCCAACGACAACGCGGCTTTGTTAAACTCCACCTCGTATTTCTTAATCAACGCGAATTTATCCTTCTTGAAGAAAATCGCGCATCCGTCGATGACGTACTTCCCTTCCGAGAAAATCTGCGCCGTCTTCTTCTTATACACGGACGAATACCCGTATTTCGCCAATTCGCCTTGGAAAAAGTCTTCGAAGTGGTCCGATTGTACCTCTTGCAAACACAAAATGTCCGCGTCCATTTGGACCAACTCTTTCAAAATATTCTGGCGTCGGAAGTACCAACTCAGCGCCCAAGGCGGGGCGTACCCGTACATCTCCGTCGTGCAATACACGTCCGCTAAAACGTTATAGGACATGACCGTAAACGAACCAGGTTCTACTGCATCGTTCTTTTGAATCGGGACCAAATTCCTCTTCGGAGGACTCGGCGCGGGAATCACCCTCGAGGTAACCACCGTCTCCGCCACCCCTCTCTCGTTCGGCGCCGGCGCTTTCGCGTCGCACGGCTGAATCTCGAGTTTTAACACGTGTCCAACATCTGTTGGTTTGACTAAATACGTTCTATCCGTAGACACTTCGATCCATGGAGGCACCGCGGCTGCTTTCGCCTCTTCCGCCGCCGAAGCATCTTCCTTGTTCAAGTTCTCGCGACTCCCAAATTCACCCTCCTTCTTTTGCTCGTTGGCCACGTTATACTTCGTCGCTCTGGTCGGTTGTCTCCTCTCCACCTCTTCCTCTCCAGTCGCGATTCTGTGACGCATCCACTCTCGCCATCCTCTCTTGAAACACTCCCCGTCGCAGTGGTACTGCCTATTGTGCACATTCTGCAACGTCGCCACTTCCGCCGGGTGCACCGAGCACACCGCCGTTCTCGACTTCCTCCCCGAGCGATACCACTTATATCGCAAATATTGTCCGTCGATGGCGTTTTCTCGAGGGATATCGTCCGTCGTCGACGTCCCGTCGCTTTTGCGCGTCACAATGTACGGGACGATCTCCACGCCCGCGATTGGGGTTTCCGTGTTTAACGTTGCGCGCGTGACGACTAAACTCTTAATGGAAGAATCACTCATCTTGATGACGATCGATCGATGGATTCTCAAAGATGATTTTACGAGAGGAGGAGGAGCTGCTGCTGCTGCTGCTGGTAATGGTGGTAAAAAACAACCACCACTGAAAGCGTTCAGATCTCTCAGAGCTCTCTCTCTTTCTCGAAACGTTCGTCTTTAACGTCTTCTCTTCCTTCAAAATTAGATTGCACTTATTAAAACGTTGTTCAACGTCTCGCCGATTCGATCAAATTCTCTCTTTCTCTCCTCGCCCTTTATAATAAAAGTTGCTTTAAAAAGAGAGAGAGAGAGAGAGAAGAGAGAGAGAGAGGAGAGGAGAGGGGCGTTCTCCCTCTCGCGCTCTCGTTCTCGGAATAATATAATAATACGAATAATATGTATATGTATCGAAGAGAACACTTGTGCCGCTTGTGTGCGTCTAAAAATTGGTACAACACGAGTTTAGGGTTTATTTAGGGTTGAAAACCCTAAGCTGCATGGAGAAAAAAACAACACACACAACAACACTAAGAGTGGCTTCTTTGGAAGACGACAAACAAACGCACCGATGACGACGACGACGAACAACAACAAGAAGAAGCAAAACGCGCTCTTGTTGAGAAGATGTCTCGGTCTCGCCGTGCTCTTACTTTTCCTCTCGCTGGTGATTATGATCGTGGAGGATGTGTTTTATTATTCGTCGTCTGGCAATCATCATCATCATCATCGAGAGGAGGAGAGTTCTCTCTCTGTTTTCGGGGGTGGTGGTTTGCAGCACAGGAAGAGCAGTAATCACGGGATGTTTGTGGCCACTCCTGATTCTGATTCTTTATCTTCATTCGCGGGAGAAGGAGGCGAGGATGATGATGTTCGTGATGATGATGATGATGATGATTCTTTTTCTTCCTCCTCCTCCTCCTCCTCCTCCTTGGGGTACGTGCGCGGGATGGTACACAACATGGACCAGTACGTGTATAAACACCTGTTCCACTCGAAATATTCGGAAACGCACGGCGTAGGAGAAGGAGACGACGACGATAACGATAATGAATTTTCCTCCTCTCATCATCGTGCGCGTCATCAAGAAGAAAAAACGTTGGACGAAACCACCGACGAGGTGCACCAAGAGGTGAAACTGTTGAAAGAGAAGATTGGTCCGACGACGACTTCGGTGAAGAAGCCGAACGTGAAGCCAACGGGAAGTTTGAGTAGACGAGAAAGGAGTTCGAGCTCTGGTGGGAGTGGAAGCTCGAAGGATTTAGCGTGTCGGTTGAGAGAGTGCGACGCGATTAGCGCGCCGTTCGAGCTGGGGAAAGCCTACGCGCAGAATTTTATCATGAGTAAGCAATCGACAAAGAGCGGGAATAACGTGAAAGTGCCAAAGTTTTTAGGTATTGAAGGGCAAAAGAGTCGACTGGCGAGAGGAAAATCGGACGCGTCGATTATGCACAAACAAGTGAAATGGTCGCATTTAGGCGGGTTCCCGAGTAACGCGGCAAAGTGTTTGCCCGAGAAGGACGTCGTGAGGCAAAATTTTGGGAAGATAAAGTCGTGCGCAGTAGTCGGGAACGGAGGCGGGTTGTTGTTGAAAGAGTACGGAGAAGATATCGACGCGCACGATGCAGTCATTCGGTTTAATGGTGGGATTACCAAAGGGTTTGAAAAGTACGTCGGGAAACGGACGACGTACAGGTTGGCGAATTTTGACCACTTTGCGTTTCACGAAGAGAACGTTGGAGGGAGTAAGGGTAGCAGTAGTAGTAGCGATGACGGCGACGAGGGAGAAGGGTCTGAAGAGAACAACGACAACAACATAGAAATTGCAGTCTTGCAGCACGTCACTCGGCCAGACGCGCTGACCAAATACGGCCAACTCTGCGAGAAAGGGTACTACTCCAAACACGGCGTCCCAACCGTCGCTTTACACCCGGACTTCCACTACTTTGTCCTCAACACGGTCGCTCGAGGCGGTCCTTCGAACGGCTTCTACGGCACTATCCTCGCCAACGAGATGTGTCAACGCATAACCCTCTATGGGTTCCAAAAAAATTGGAAAGGCACGAAAGTGAAGTACCATTACTACGACAAGATTGAACCGACGGATACCCAGGGCGCTCGAGACTCGAGCGAAAAGAGCAGGTTCGAACAGTACGTGAAAGAAGTCAACGCGTACAGCAGAAAATGCGCCAAGAGCGAAAGCTGCAACGACAGACGCGTGGATAAAGAGAACACGGAGAGAGATAAGATTGTGTACGGATAGAGAGAGAGAGAGAGAGATGATGCGATAGAGACTTTAGTAACGAGAAAATTACCTCGTGATAAATTTGGATAAACCTCCGCACAAAAAAAAATGTCCTCGTCGTCTTTACCGCCTTCGCTCCTTCAGCGGAGACACAACACCAATGGCGGCTTGTGCGGCAAAAGCGGCGGTTTCGTCGTCGGCTTCTTCGCCTTCATCGCCGTTCTGTATTACGTGAATAACGCGTACCAGATTCTCTTCATGAACCAGCGCGCGCGTCTTGTGTTCCCGAGTAGAGTAGGGGAAATATTTTCGTCCGCTGCGCAAAATACGACGACGAGCGTAAAAAAATCTTCATCTTTATTAGCGATGAATGTGAACGAGGATTACAAGATGAATCCGAATGATTTCGCGTGGGTGAAACGCTGCACGGAGGCGTTTTTACAGAGGGACGAGGACGGGGTGTCGTCGTCCGCGTCGTCGACGGAGATGACGTGCGAACTCTTCTCGCGGACTGCCCGAGAAAATATCGGCGCGTTTAGTTCGAACAGATATTTTCACGCTGTCAGTTTTCTAGGAGGAGGAGACAGAGGGGCGAGAAATCGACGAGTGCAATTAAAAACATTCATGCCAAAGTACGTGTACAGAGACGCGATGGCAAAATACACGGAGAAGAACGTGAAAGAGATATCGAAGATGAGCGCGATCGCGAGACGAGGGATCTTGAGCGAACGGAGAAGTTCTTTCTTGCGCAAGAGAAGCGCGGACGCGTCCGCCGAGAGGAGGAAGAAGGCGAAGAACGCGAGGCGGTTGATAGTGTCTTCGGAGAAGAAAAGTGACGATAAAAACAAGAAGAATAAGAAAGAAAAACTTCGGAGAATCATTGGAACGCACCATAAAACAGGGACGGCGTTGATGCGCGACGTGTTTGATTCGATTTCCAGAGAGTTTGAGTATAATTTTTTCAACTTGAGGGTCTACGAAGATTACCCCTACTTGCAGCCTGGCAATTTATCGTCTATTATCGACGAAGCGGATGTGATTTTGGACTATCACTTTTCAAAGCCAATTCCATCGTATTTCATAAACGCGGAGGATTGGTATTCAAGCGATCGTCGCGTGCGAAGGTTTAATAAGCAGCAAAGAGAGTGCCAATCGCTCGCTTCGTATTACCGAGGCTCGTATCGAATCATTCACCTGATTAGAGACCCTCGGGACGCGCTCGTTTCCGGCGTACTGTATCACATGCAAAATCCCGAGGACGAATCGTGGTTGAGAGAAATTCGCGTCGGCGACGAGCTTTTCAATAGCACTTCGTCGTCGTCCTACGTGCAATCGATTCGTCGATTGAAAAATCCCGTAGACGCCCTCGCGGCTGAATTGAAAATTGCCGACGACGAGCTTCGGATGCTCGGTTTAGCGGCGCAAGATTGCGAAATCGACATTCGCGCGATGAACGTTCGCTTAGAATCATTTTTCGACGAATTAGACGATATTTTGCGCTTCTTAGAGTTTCCTGAAGAGGACATCGAGGAGATGGTGCGCGTCGCAAACTTGCACAACGCCAAGACGTGGGAGAAGAACGAGACCGAACATCACGTACATTTTACGAGTGAGAATCCTGATAGACACAAGTATATAGAAGCCATGTACGAGGAAGGTTTCGTGAATAAGACGGTGAGTTATTTGCGGTACGCGTTAGGGTACACGAATAACGCCTCGTCGGATGCGTTTCCAACGTTTGCGAACGAGCGGTAATGTTTTTTTTTTCACGCTCGTCGTTGAGCTCCATAGAAGAGTTGTGTTGTAATTATATTATCAATGAATAATTTTTGCTTTTTTGCTACATATTTTGATTTACATCTCTCGGTCGCCCATCGGAACACCGTTCGGTTGCGCGTTCTTGAGGATCCACGGATGTTCGGTCACTTTTCTCAAGCTTATTCTATCTTTTGGATCCTTCACTAATAATTGCGTGATTAAATCTCTCGCGCCCGCCGAAACGTGGTCCGGGAACCGTAAATCCACCTTACAGATGCGCTTGTACGTCTCCGAGTGCCCTTCCGCTTCAAACGGCGGCACGCCGACGAGAAACTCGTACGCTAACACGCCTAAACTCCACACATCCACCGCGTGATCGTGATCTCTTCCTTCCACCATTTCTGGCGGTAAATAGTCCAAAGTCCCGCACAACGTCTGCCTTCTCGAGTGCGGCGCGTGCACCGACCATCCAAAATCGGCAATTTTCAATTCGCCTTTAATCCCAATCAATAAGTTTTCCGGTTTGATGTCCCGATGTATCACGTGCTTCTTGTGACAATACAACAAAGCTCTCGCCAAAGACGCCACGTACGTCGCACTTCTCTGCTCCGAAAACCTCCTCGCTTTCTTCAACTCCTTATACAACTCCCCTCTCGCCGCGTACTCTAAAATCAAATACACTCTATTCTGATCGTAAAAATACCCGTACAATCTCAATATATTCGGATGCCTCAAGTGCGACTGAATCTCGATTTCTCTTCGTAATTGATGTTCCACGTGCGATTGTTGCAGTTGCGATTTATACAGCACTTTCAAAGCGACTATGTATTTCGATTGCTTCTCTCGCGCCAGGTACACGTTGCCGAATTTCCCGCGACCGAGCGGTTTGCCTATATCGAAGTCTTCCAACTGTTTATGTTTTATTACGCGTTCGCAATTTAAAATTCGCGACAAGAAGAGAGAAAAAGTCAGTAAAACTTTCTTTATTACGCATCTACTTTTCGAGGAGGAGACAAAGTGATTCTTTTCGCCGTTGTTTTCCTACTAAAATCACCCTTCTTCTTCATCAAAATCGATTTAATCGAAAAAATTTAAATTCTAAAACGACAGACGAACACAAAAAAGAGCGTTTTCGTCCGTTGGAGAAATACTTTTTACCTGCCACCGCTTCTCCCCCGTGGTCGTATTCGCTTTTGTCGTCGTCGTAGTATCATTCAAAGAAGAAGGCATTACATGGTGATTGTGATGATGGTGTTGAGTCGTCGTCGTCGTCGTCGTCGCAGCACCACCACCACCCCGTCGAGTTGATTTCCTCGCGCCTTCGCGCTGACGATGATGATGATTTTTTTCATCCTTTTCGTCGTCGTCGTCGTTCCCGGTGTCCGTAGGGGTGTTCGAGACGTCTCGGAGCTGCTGCTTCATCAGAGTTTATAAAAGAGAAGAGAGATACACTTTAGTCTCTGCGACTTTAAAAAACGCAATCAATTTTAACGCGTGTAAATACTCTCTCTCTAGTCTCTCTTCGATGAGTAGATTATTAGAGAGGAGTAGGAGCAGTAGTATTCAGAGCGCAACGAAAACGACAAAGCTCGTGCGAGATTTTAAGTGATGCAAATCTTTTCGTGTGTTTGCTTTCTCTCCTTTTCTTACTGGTTTTAGGCAAAATTCTTTCTTTCTTGGGCACGACGAGTTAACTCGAATTTTGCCCTTTTTTCAAAAGTGTGAAATTTTGTTCTCTTCTGTCTTTCTTTTGTTCTCTTCTCGTTGTGCTTTCTTCGAAACAAGACCAAAAAAAGAGGAGAATTTGAGTCAAGAAAAAATTCTGTTTTGTTCTTTGACACACTTCACACGAAAGAGAAAAGGAAGAAAAAATTCATCACACTACGAAGGAAGAAGCGCTTTCTGAAGCGCTTTGAAAGTCTTCTTCTTCTCGAGAGGACGCTTCGTGGTGCTATCGAGTAAAGAGCTTTTTTCTTTTTCTATTATTGTTCTTTTATATAGCAAACAGTAGTATTCTTTGAGATGAGACGATGATGATGATGATGAAAAGTCGTTGAGAGAAAGAGAAAGAAGACAAAATGCGCAAATTCTCTCGTTCGAAAAGCCTGACGATTCCGACGACTTCTTACGCAACGAAGACCTCCACACACATGAACGATTTCGAGGAAAAAAAGAAGAACACGAAAGATCATGCGAATGAACTGGAAAGAATCGAAGCGATGACGTTTTGCGTCAGAGGAGGCGTTCTGATTAAATACGGGAGACGAGGGAAACCGCACGGGGCGGAGTTTAAGTTTTCCTCAGACGGGAGAGCGTTGGAGTGGCAAAATATAAAGAAGAAGACAAAGAAGAAGAAGACGAAGAACGACGAGAGAGAGTCCGATTTTGAGAACGAGTTTTTGGAGCGAAATGGAGGTAAAGGAGCGTCCACGTCGAAGCGCGCGTCTTCTTTTTATAGCGGCGGGAGTAATACGTCCACCTTGCAGTTGCGCGACGTCGTCAAAGTGACGAAAGGAAGAGACTCGGCGATATTCGATCGGTTTCCGAATCTTCACGACGAGAAGTGTTCGTTCTTCATAGAGTACGTGGAAGGAGGAGGAGGAGAAAACGATGTCGTCGCAAATATAAAGAGCGGCGTTGCCAAGAATACCAAAGTTCGAACGTTGAATGTAGTCGCGGAAGACGAGCAGAGCAGAGACAAGTGGATGCTCGGCATCGAGACGACGCTGTTAATCGCAAAAGGTTTGTATTACTTCGACGGATCTTCTGGCGCGACGCGTTTGAAGCACGTGGGCGCGCTCGCGACGAGGCAACGGCAGAGCTTTCGAGTCAACGTGAACGCGAGCAAACACAGCGGCGACGTCGCGGTGGCGTTTGAAGAGAGGACGAGGGATCGCAGCAAGAATTTGTTTGAGAGTAAACAAAATTTCATCGCCAAAGAAGGGGAAGATTTTGGGAGCACAATCAAGCACATACGACAGCTCTCGCGTTTATCGCACGGGAGATTATCGGATGGCTTAGAAGTAGGAGGAGAAGGGGAAGATCGTTCACCAGTATCGCTGTTTTTGAAAGAGGATGTTCCCGAGTCCGAGCCATCATCGCACGACGCCTCGCAACCGACCAAAAACGCGGACGCGGAAGCGGACGAGTCATCGTCCATATTTTCGACAGAAAATTCGGTCTCACTTATCGGCAATTCACGCAGGGGGGCATCGTCCGAGGGGAGAGGTCATGCCTCGACCAGTCGAGAGAGCTCGGGGCAAATACAGAAAACCGCGGCGCTGAGCTTCTTGAGACCGAAAGATATTTACGTCTGGGGTAATTTTCAAGGCGAAGATGATGGCGAAAATACCAACTTACTTCCATCCATGCACAAAGGTTTCGAACATTTGGACCCGATTAAAGTCTCTGCTGGTCGGGCGCACTTCGTTGGCATTTCTAAAGGTGGTTTCTTGTATTTCTGGGGCGATAAGCAACGATTTCAATGCGGAGATGCCGTAACCACGGGCTTTCACGACAAACCAAACGTTTCGCACCCGATGAAATTATCGTTTCCTACGGATGATATCCATCGCACCGAATTCGTCGATTGCGCGTGTGGAGATGATTATTCTCTCGCACTGACTCGAGATGGCGAGATAAAAGCGTGGGGTGCAACCGGATGGGTCGAGAAAGGATCAACCGGGCGTGGAGGCTCGTTTGGAAGCAAGCGAATTATTAGCGTTCCGGTAAGTTTAGAATGTGTCGGGGCGCGGAAAGTAAGTAAAATCGCCTGTGGCCCTGTACATTGCGCAGCCATTTGCGATTACGGAGAGAGCGTTTACACGTGGGGCGAAGGTGTGTTTTACGCCTTAGGCCACGGAAACGATTCGCGAACGCTGGCAAAACCGAAGCGCGTCGAGGCGTTGGTCGGGAAGACGGTGACTGCGATATCGTGTGGCGCCTGGCATACGGTTGCGTGCGTCGCCACGAACACGAACAGAACAGGAGGAAACAGTTTGAATTTAGCTAACTACAGATCGAGTGGTGTTGATATGGTTGACGCGTTTGGAGGTGACGTATACGTTTGGGGAGATGGGAGTGAAGGTCAGCTCGGCCGTCGTGTCGAGAAGGCAATCAAAGTACCGACAAAAATCTACATTGAGAACGACACACCTTCAGCTTTGAGAAACGCGAGTAACGCGGACGAAAATCTCGTCGTGCCAGAACGTGTCGCTAACGTGAGCACGTCAATCATAAAAGTAGCGTGTGGTGCGGCGTATACGATTTTGTTGTCCATCAACGGCGACGTTTTCATCTCCGGGAAACTTGGAAAGTATTCTTCAAAGACGTTTGAAATTATCCCGGAACTCTCTCGTTCAAAAATTGGCAACGATTTAGTCGTTACGCGGATCGCAGCTGGAACTGATCACTGTTTATTTGCCGCTTCGTCGACCTCGGTTATGCCAACGTCGTATACTGCGAGGAAAGGTGATGGCAAGAAGCGCGAGAAGAGAAGTGCTAAACTTTTTGCGATTGGCGGAAATAAATTTGGTAAGATCGGAGACGGTACCCTTCGAGAGGCTGCGGTTCCCATCGAAATTGAAAAGCTGAGCGGAATGAGCATCAAGTCTTTGGCGTGTGGAGGAAGCGTGAGTGCGGCTATTGTCGCTGAAAGTGGTCGAGACAAAATATATAAAGATCGCAAAGCGAAGAAGGCGGAGATGGAGCTTTCGGTGGCTATGAATGGCTATCAACGTTCCGATTCTATTGTACACTCGAATTCCGTAGTAGTAGAAGGGGCAGAAATCCAGATGAAAGATAAGAAACTAGTGGGAGGAGTTTTGGAACGTAAGAAATCGAAACTGAGTCGAATCTCATCCTTTTTAACACTCGCTCCGACGGCGACTTCGGAAAGTTCAATCTCCACCGGATTTGGCGGAACAATGACGAAAAATCGAGAAGGAGACGATCGCAGTCTTCCTACATACGCTGTAGATAAGAATTCGGATTCAAAAACTTTGCTGAATCTTTCGGCGAGCTTGCGTTCGCTCGCTTCGCCGCCTCGGATTTATGAAATTGAACGGCTTCCGCCATCATCGCCGATACCGGAATCACCGGCTTCGCCAATTCCGGTGCCTCGACGGACACCTCCGCCGCGACCGAGCGTGATCAAACCACTCGCACCAGTAGCATCACCACTCCCGCCACCACCACAAAAACTCGAACAACAAGAAAAAACGAATGGCAGTAGTGTTACTGCGAATATTCATCCGGCACCAGCTATGAGCAGCAGAGAACGCCTGGTTCAACTCGTCGAGCGAAACGTTCAAGACGCGAAACTGTCTGCAAAGGAAGAAGCTGTGGAAAAGAAGACGATGAAAAAGAAAGCACTACCGCAATCATACCCACCACCACCACCACCACTGTCAGTGAATAGACACGGGCGAAACAGCAACTCGCAAAATCCGCTCAACCCGTCGTTCGTTAAGAAGTCAAACTCGGACGTGGATATCGTGAAAACGCCTCCGCCGTCGAAGAAACCTCCGCCGTTACGAGCGACCAAGACAACAACAACAACAACAACAACAACTGTACCAAAAGCGAGACGAAAATTAGAAAAAACGGCGGCGGCGGCGACGGCGACAATAATGTCGAAGACGACGATGACCGAGACAGAGAACAAATGGGTGGAAGAAATCGAACCGGGCGTGTTCTTGACGTTTACAAAGCTCGACGCTTTGCGCACGACGGTGACGAGAGTTCAATTTGCCAGGCGAGTGTTTGCAAACGAAACGCAAGGACTAAAATGGTGGCAGGAAAATAGAGCGAGAATATTTCGAGAACGAAAGCTAGCCGCACCTACGACGTAGTAAGAGTAGTACTGATTAGCATAGATGTATTATAATACACAATAAATAGAGCACATAGAGCGTATTTTATGAAAGAGCGAGCACGCTACATACCTACTATTCTTTCCCCGCCTCGCTCGACGACGACGACGACGGCTGTTTTGGTTTCCCCCACAACAAAATAATAAACGCGAAAGCGATGAAATCGTAAAAACAGTGCGTAAACATCGCGCTTCCTAGCCCATCGTTCAAATATTCCCATCCAAACAAGAATCCAGCCAGAGTCGCCCAGATCTGATACGCCGGGGTAATCGCGTGTAAAGCGCCAAATATAACCGACGTTACCCCTAAACTCGCATACGTTGCCACCTCCGTGCCTCCTAACCCTCTCTCTAAAATACCATTCGAAAGCAAAGGCATCAAAAACCCTCTAAACAGCGCCTCCTCTCCGATACCCGCGCCTAAACTCAACATCAAAATCCCATTCGCTCCCGTCGGCGCGACGTTCGGTATCACCCCGTCCACCATCAACTCTTTCACCTCTTTCACGAATTCTACTCTTTCATCCACGAGTAAAACCATTGCCAGTGAAAGTAGTAAAGGAACAGACCAAATCGTCGCCACGTCTGGGTTGAACACGAAAATCTGCGCGAATAAATCTGGATGGATGTTGAGATATGTGCACCCGGTTTGCGAAAATGCCGTCATCACCACGTAAAAGGTCACCGAAGTTAACAAAAACTGCTCTGGGTTTGGTTCAAAGTTGTTTTTTATAGTTTCCGGCTCCCCGCCAGGAGGATCGTCCTCTGTCCATAACTGCATCCGAGAACACTTTCTCCTCTTATTTTTCCTCGTCGTCAAAGCGTTTCCGTTGCTGCTGCTCATGCCGCAGCTTGTCCTTCTTTCCAATCCTTTTCGTATTAGGGGATTTCGATTTCCCCTACGCTGAAGCGTTTTAGAATCACAAAATCTGATAGTATTCTCAGCCGCCCTTCTTCGCAACGAGGAAGACAAAGAAGAAGATGATAACGAGTGTGAGAATAACAGATGGTGGTGGTGATGATTCAACAACATCGTGGTCGAATACTATTCGTCTTTAAAGTCGTTCGCTTGATGTGTAAATCTTTTTATCACATCCGGGGAAAGAAGAGTGAAGTTTCCAAACACCTATTTGCGTTATAAAAAACACCACCACTCGCGCAAAGAATGACGACTCTCGACGGTAAAACCCGCCCAAAGTACGCATATATAGATGTAGACATCGATAATCACCGCGTGAAGTACCAACTCGCCTGCGATTTTGTGTCCAACACGGATCTGAGGTACCATTGGACCTCGAAAGTCTTGAAAGAATTGGGAGGCGGGGAGAAGTTGAGAATAAAAGAAATGTTTGAAAACGACTTTGAATGGTCCGAGAAAGGCACGGAAGGAATAGAGTTAGAACCCGCGAAGGAAGAAAGAATTATATTTGAATTGTTTTGGGAGAAAGCGCCGTTAGCGTGCGAGAATTTCGCGCACTTATGCCTCGGGGATAAAGGGATGAGTAAGAATTTCAGTGGAAAGGCATATCACTACAAAGGGTGTTATTTTCATCGATGCGTGAAAGGCTTCATGCTCCAATCGGGAGATTTCGTCCATAACAACGGAACAGGGGGTGAATCCATCTGGGGAAAGAAATTCAAAGACGAACTCGGAGGTTTAAAGGGTAAACACGACAAACTCGGTATCCTGAGCATGGGAAATACCGGTAAAAATAGCAACGGCTCCCAGTTCTTCGTCACGCTCGGCGCGGCGAAGCAGTGCGACGGCAAACACGTCGTCTTTGGCGAATGCGTGAAAGGTCTCGAGTTGCTCCAGAAAATAAACGAAGAATTGGCGAGAGATAGTAAAGAACACACGGAAATCCCGAAGAAAGCGATTAAAATTGTCGATTGCGGTGTTTTGCAAGCCTTGAGTACTGACGCGTAAATAATATAGTTTTTAGTTTTAACATCACATCCACAAACTCATATAAGTGGTAAGCACTAGAACTCGTATTTTTGAATGTCTTTTGGCAAAATTCCACCACAAACCCCAAAGAGGAGTCTTAAACCCCTCGCACAGAGAAAATGTGAACAAAAGAGAGCTCTTTTCATCTCGTTTGGCCTACAAAGGGTACATGCCTCACCTTGCGTGTAAAATAAGTGGTAAGCACGATAACTCGTATTTTTGAATCTCTTTTTCCGATACAAACATTTCTTTCCCGAACAAATTACTTAACAAGACGACGACTCACAAGAGCACGCACACAAAGCAAGACCAACAGTAACACTTTTAACGAGTTTTTGCGCGCGACCTATTCTCTCTTTTTCTCTCGCTTTTAGAAGGAATAATATGGTCGTCGGTGCTGATCTGTGTCTTCTTTCCTCTGATGATTTCGACGAGAATAGAATCTCGGAAAACGACGAGAGTGGAGGTTTTTCGCTCGATTTTAACGTCGACATGCGTCCACACGAAGAAGAAGAAGAAGACACAGAGGAAGAAGAAGAAGAGAAAGAAGAATTATACGCTTTGCACTTGAACAACTTCACCTCTCCTCTCTTTATATCGCAAACGAATACAGGAGAGTTAGGGTGCCGAGTGTGGAATTGCGCGCTGGCGTTGTGCGAGTATTTATCAGTCTCCTCTTCTTTGTCTTTCCCTGTGTTGAACAAAGCGGTGTTGGAAGTCGGGTGCGGCGTAGGATTGGGCGGGTTCGTCGCGGCGTCGTTGGGCGCGAAAACTGTCTGCTTAGCAGATTGTGGGAAAAACACGTTGGAGAACGTCTCGAAGACGTTGGAGAGATGGGATGCGTTGGTGAGGATGAAGGAAGGCGTTTTTGCGGATGTGAAAAGGAGGACGACGAAGTGGGAATCGAGGTGCGGTCGAATCCGCTTGCGAACGCACCTTTGGGAAGAGGACGAGGAAATCGTGAACGCTTTGGTAGAGAAGAGAAGGAAAGAATCGGTCAGACATTGGAGTAAAACGAGCGGAGAAGACGATGTGTCACTGGCGCCGAAGATGGCGGACGATGAGACGTTCGATGTGATTATTCTTTCGGATTGCTTGTATTACAGTTCGCAAGAGCTGCCGTTGGCGAAATCGTTAGCGTTGCGGCTGAAGAAGGATCCCACATCCACTATCGTGCTATTCCAAACCAGACGAACTACGAATAAGTTAGTAGAGGAACGGTTCAGAATCTGTTGCGAGGCGCAAGGTTTAGAGGTGGCCGTAGAAGATGTAGCTTTGGAGAAACCGAAGAGGAGCAAGTTGAACGGCGTCCACGAGACGGCGCATACGATAGGGTACGCGAGGATGATTATGAAATGGCGCGCGCCGTGATGTAAAGTATGACGTATAGCAGTAGTAGTATCGATAATGTAATAATAATATAGTAATAAATGCTAATGTTGAATTTAAGTTACAATCGCCGGAGTTAACGATTCGTGGATTTTGCCAAGCGCTTGCCAAGTCCCCACGTACAACACTTCCTCTCCATCTTCTTCCGCATACGGAACGATATCTTGTTTGCACAAGACGAGAGCCATATTCTTTGCGTTTTCAACCACGGCTTCGATCAATGCTTCACCTTTCGCATACTTTTTCGCTTCGGCGAAGCGATCGAGAACGGCTAACCACGTCGGCGCAAACGCCTCTGGATCTTCCGCTTTCATCGGCGCTGCGTACTGAAGGAATGACTTTGAAACGCACGCGATGATAATAGTCGCCGTTCTTTCCCACGCGTTGCTATTATCGTCGTATCGATCGCCATCGTTGGCGATTTGTCGGACATTTTCGCTCGCGTGTTTCAATAAAGGCGTCAACGTGTGATGGAACAAAGCCAGCCAATGCTCCGCGGGCGCGTCAAACGCTTCCGCCGAGAGCAGAGTGTGTTGCAACGTCAAGACAGCATCATCTCTGACTGCGCTTCGTTCGTCCTCGCTTGCAAATCGCGCGAGTTCTTTAGCTAAATCACCCCACGCGCCGGCGAGGATTTCAGAACGCAACTCGTTCGAACAATCCGCCGATCTCGAGCGTTCGCACAAGGCGTCGTTCGCATCTTTGAGCAAACTCAAAGCCTTGATTGAGCGTTCTTCGCCGCCTCTGTTGCTATCAACGAACGCACACGCGCACTCAATGAGCGCGCGCGCGTTCGATGCGTTGATATTTGATCCAGATTCCATGACAAAGCTCAATGCATCGAAACCAGAAGCAGAGGCTTTTGGATGGCGAGAAGACGCCGCCAAGAGTTTGCAAATGGTATCCCATCCTCTGGCAGTTTTAATGTGCAAGGAAGCGCACTGTCGAACGAGAAGGTTGAGCGACTTCGCGATGCGTTCGAAGAATGCATCTGCAACTTGCGGCTCGAGCGAGAATAGAACGCGCAACGCATCTATGGCGTGGTCGTCTGCGATGCCGTTCGGTCCCCCAGCTGTTGAGTTTGCAATATCCTCGTGACTTTGCAAGCCACTTTGTTCTGGAAGAACTCTACGAACGACTCGCAAAAGTTCGAAGATTGCTCTCTCTACCAACGGCGTTGGCTCTTGCGTAGCAGCGCCAACAATTGCTTTAATGTGCGACACAACTCTCGGGAGACACAACCTCGCGCGGTCCTTGTTGCGATAACACACGGAAAGCATAGCGTCGAGGCAAAACAATGCCGCGTCTTCGTCGTCTGCACTTTGCGGCGGCTGCGCTGGATCACCAGCGGCCCAAGCTAACGCAGCGACAAGGTGCGCTAAACTTTCTTTTCCCAAAAACTTGGAATCAGCAAACAAATTGGAAAACTTGCACGCTCTCGCACACGTATCAGACTTCTCGAGCAACGCTTTTTCTCTCTCCGTCGGTTCTGGCAAACGCGCTTTTTCTTCCTCGAGGGAGTAATCGTAATCGCTCCCACCAATGAGCGCAGAGAATGAACGAAACAAGGAGCCACTTTGCGCGGCTTTCTGTCTCGTTATGAAGTTATTCGATGTGATGGGTTCTCTCTCTTCCTCTGCGTCCGTCGGCGTTGCGGCGACGTCGTCCGGAACGACGCCCAATCGTCGCATATGCAAGACGCAATCCAAAACGTTACACCACCCGCGTCTCAAGTCATCACCGTGCGCGTTCGCGACAGCAAAAGCAGCTTTAGCAGCAGAACGTGTCTTGGCATCTTCGCCTAAAGCGACACCTGGTCGCAACGGGTTCATCTCGACGGCGCGCTGCGCACCCTTGGTGACAAAGGCGCACATCGTCGCCACTAAATGATCAACAACGTCGGTCATGCGGTGATTGGATGCGATTCTCGCAACGGCAACGAAAGCTTCGACGGAAGATTCGAGCACATCTTCATCCGTGGCGCGTTCAAAGATGACCGCAACCGCAGCCGCGGTCGGCGCCCAAACGAGCGAAAAGACATCCGCATCGTATTGGCGCGACTCGAATTCATCCGGAGGCGCATCAAATTTCCCCTGGTCAACTTCGCACGCGCGCATGACGTCGTGCCATGCAGAATTGGAAAGCTTTGGCGCGGCATCGTCGGTGAGACGAATTTCGTCAGTAACAATGGAATCGAAAATAGCGACTAGAGTTTCCTTCGGCCAATCCTTGCCACCGTTGGTACCTCGGTTGTTTCGAATAAACTGTTCGAGCGTCATTTTCTTCTTCACTTGCTTGTTGTGCGCGTCAGTATTGAGCATGATGATGGAATAGGACAAAACATACGCCGAATCCGCATCGGCACACGAATTCGGATTAGCGCCGAAATATCTCGCCGCGTACGCTTCTAAAATTCTCGAAATCTTCTGCGCTTCGCCTGGCAATTTGAAACCGTCCAAAAACGTTCTCAACGCTTTATCGAGCGTAACGTTTTCAAAGTTGAACAAATCCGCGTACTCCTTCAAGACTTCTACTTGGAAATCTTTCGGATCGCCCAAGTATTCACCGACGACTTCTTTATCCAAACCTGGGGCGAGCTTGAGAAACTTCGCCACGGCTTTGGCAGTCAAATTTTCAGGAAGCAAGCCGTACTCTTGCATGTAAGGGATGCCCTTCTTCGGTGATCGATTAAAATGCTCCGCGGCAACGACGAGACGACGTTTCAACGCTCGCGATTTGCGCAACCCTCGCGCGCGCGCGATTCCAGACGGCGCCGCCGATGCTTTAACGTATTCCCAGGGATCTAATCCGCGCAATTCGTCACGCAGCGCCGCCGGCGAGTCGCCTTCCTCCTCGTCCTCATTCTTCATGATCCCATCATCCGAGAATCCGTTCGTTGCCGTTGAGGATGCCTTCTTCTTGCCGTTACTCTCACCGAGCAACATGGACGAATCGCCGCCGAGGGGAGAACTTGCGCTGCTACTTTCCGCGGTTGTCGATCGAGACACCGTTCGAACAATAGCGAGTAAACCTTCAACAGAAAGTGCATTCGCGCCGGAAAGTCTCGCCCCATTCGCCGGAAACGCAGAGGCGGATAAAGTAGACACGAGCTCTTCGAACACACACGCTTTGCTCAAGTCGCAGTCAAAATGCATGTAGCAATCAGTCACAAAGTGCGGTTGTCTGCACAAATCGACCACGGTCTCCAACGCGATGCGCTGCGTTTCTCTGTTAAAGGTGACCGCGGAGTTTGATGACGTGGCATTCGCAGCCGAGGACGCCTTATTCTTTCCCGCCGCGCACAAAGGAATGAGCACGACGCGCATGAACATTTCTAATTGTAATTTAAGTTCCGAACGCATGGTAGCGTACAACATCGTGAAGCAACCGCATGCCGCAGCGGCAACCGGAGGCGCCGCGTTTGGCTTCAAACTCGTCAAAGCTTTGCACAAGTCGTCTTGGATTGCAACAAAAAGCTCCGGATATCTGTTCTTCACGTTATTATTCGTGGCGCTAGAAACTACGATGGTTTCCACAAATGTCCCGACAAGTTCTATGCCAAAGAGCATGAGCGATTGTTCAGCCTCTTCACTTCTATCACCACCATAAACGAGAGGTTTCTCCGTCGGAGCTTCGCCAGAATCTCCGCTACCTGTTCCGTCTTCTCCGTTCTCGTTGTTGCTAGTCGATGCACTTTTCTGTTTCGCTGCGCCTAAAGTTGCCGAACTGCTCGCTTCTATAAGCGAGCACGCAAACTTGAAAATCTCCAACGCCGCAGGTGAAGCGTGCGGCGCGGGTAAAGACTTGAGCTTTTCGATCGGTGCTCTCGTTGGTGGAGACGATGGTGTCCCAACATCAATCTTAGGCCCACCGTCCTCGATGGCTCCCGGACCTCGTACTGGGTCAAAGCTCTCGTTGCCTTCGCGGTTCACCGGAGAAATGGCAATGTGGTGCGGTGATCTCGGCGGAGTAGATGGAGTCGTCGTCCTCTGTTTCTCGTCGTACAACTTTTCGAACGCCGATGCTCTCTTCGCCAACTGATCTCTCCACGTCGCCAATCGCGCGTCCTCGGAACCGCCGGCTGCAACGTTCTCTTTCAATCTCAACGCCACGTGTTCTGCAATCTCTCGCATCGCGTGTCTCGAGCAGTGTCTCAAAAACCCACTCTCCTTTCCACTTTGGTGCCCAATTCTATAACACGCTTGTAACACGTCGCACACGTCGTCGTCCGAGAGCAATCTCCCCGACGGACACGCCACACAATCAATCAGAACGTGTAAAATTTTACACAACACCGCATCGTCGTGATCCGGATCTGTCGCCTCAAACCTCGACATTGTCACCGCTTCGCTGATATCTCTGACCACCACAGCCTTCTCGACGTCGTCAGAACCAAAAATCAAATCTCTTTTCAAGATTTTATGCACCGCCGACAACGCTTGGGAAGTTATCGGGCCGCTCGTTTCCACGCTCACGATGCACTTCAAGAACGGTCGAATGAAATCCGCGCACGATAACGGTTGTTGACCCATTTTATTATTAGTATTGTTTCTGCTACTCTCGCTCCCACCACCAAAATCTCCGAGCGCGGAGGAAGAAGAGGTCTCCAACATCAACCCGTTCACGAACAGCGCCCTTCGCAAGCTCATAAACTCCTGCACCAATGGATCATCCACCAAACTCTCATCAATATCCAAACCACTCGCGGCACTTGAACCGCTCCCATACGAAGACGACATCGTCTGCCGAGCCAGAATCGCGTACTTGCTGTTTTGTCGCATCGTGGCGACCACTCTCGACGCTTCCGCGTTGATGATCGCCGCGAAAGATATCATCGCGTTGTTCGAAGACTTGTTGTTGCTCATGATGACGAGAATTCGCTCTTCTCTTCTCTCTCTCTCTCTCTCTTCGCACTTATTATTCGAAAATGAAAAGTGCGTCAAAAACTGTGCTTATGTATTGCGCGTTTATGCGTGAGACGTCTGTGCGTTCTCGCGTCCTCGTCGGTCCTTCTTTGTTTTGTGAGGAGTTAAAGGACAAGAGAGATCGGATTAATTTTGTGTCAGTCTCGAAAGGAGAAAATTTTTTGCATGAAGAAAAAAAAAGAAAAAGAGCAACCACGAAAGACTTTCGAGTCCTCCAGAGGTACGCTTTTCTCTCTTCTTGCGTCGTCGTTCTCTGAGCGTTTCCTTCTTCGCATGATGATTGTGTACTTTATGATGACTTTGGACTGGAATCGAGGATGAGAGTAGTATTATTTTAGTATGAGTATTGATGTATTAAATGGCTTCTTCGCTCTCTTCTACGGGACCAAAACAGCTCTTTCTACGGATTGATCTCGCCTTGCTCCCACATATCCACCAAGGGATAATCGGCGAAACCTTCTTGCTCGGCTCTGAGTTTATTCAGCGCTCGCTTTTGCGCTCTCCAATGTTTCGGGTCGTCCTCGCTTAACCATTCGATTTCACCGTTTTTGTATTTTTCAACCAGTTCCGGGTCGTAATCGGGAGCGTTTTTGTCCAAAGCTTTCCAGTATTTCATTTGGCGCATGTCTACTTTGTCCATCTGTTCGCGGATGTGCGGGCCTATGGTTTGTAAATACGTTTCGTCGCGCATGTTTTTCAACCAAAGTTGGCGGATCTTTTCGTAGTGGGCTTCGTTGGTCGCGTCGGACATAGATCGGTGTATGAACTCGTCGTAAAAGAATTCAAACTCTTCGCCCCATTTATAATCCCAGACCGACCACGGTTTGAAGAGTTCATCCTCTTGCGAGGTGCGTTCGATGCCGGCTCTTTCAAAGACTTCGATCAAGTTTCGACCGCTGATTTCGCCCGTCGTCATGAGAACTTCCTTGAGCGTGAAGAGCATCTCTCTATTTTTCGGTTCGTGCATGATGCACAAAGCTCGGCGGCAAGAGGTGATGATCAGTTTTCGAACTTCGTTGTATACGAGCATGTCGAGCTCTTCGGACATGTTGTATTCAAATCTGTAGTGCTCTTCCGGGTGATCGTCCTCTCCCAAGCCTAAAAATTCTTCCTCTTTGATTCGTTTGCGCATCAAACCTACCGGACCGAGTTCGCTCCACCCGTATTTGCAGACGTAGTCTAAAGCGATATCTGTGGCTACGACCATATCTCGATGGGACATGGTAGATACGCCGTAAGGACCGTAGATGTACCTTTCGGCCATGTTACCGGCGACTAAAGTACACATTTTAGATTCCATTTGCGTTCGACGTCTCACATTCATCGCCGCTTGCGAATCGAGCTCGCGAGCGATGTATTGAATCACCGACGTTTCTTTACCTCCCGGGAAGACGATGACGTTTGCAACGTCGTCGTATTCTGGGGCTACCATAGCTACGACAACTTGCGCGGCCGTGTATAAGCAAATCGAGTCTCGAGTATACGGATTCATAATTTGCATGGCGACGTCTTCTTTGAACTTGGATCTCGTCATCAAAGTGTCCGTGCCGTCTTTGGAGCCGCTGCTGAAAGACTTCGTCGCGCGAATGCTATTGATGATTTTCAAGAAATCCTCAGTCGTCGCCATTCCACCTTTTTGCCCGGCGGCTTTGGCGATGCACTGCTTGACCATGTTTTCGAGATCGGCGCCGCTAAATGCCGAGGAGAGTTTGGAGATGTAATCGATATCCAAATCCGGCTCGCAGTTACCCCACGCGTCGCGTTTGGTGATATGTAATCTAATGATATCTGAGCGAGCGGACTTGTTCGGTAAATTCATTTCGATGATGCGATCAAATCTACCGGGACGAATAAGCGCGGGATCTAAAACTTGCGGGCGATTCGTCGCGGCGACGAGCATGACGCCAACTTTTTCCTCGAACCCGTCCATTTCCGCGAGGAATTGGTTAATCGTCGCGACGCGTTCGTCCACGCCTTCCTCCGTGCCACTTTGACCGGCTCTCTTTTGTCCAAGGGCGTCAAATTCATCGATAAAGATGATGCAGGGAGCAACTTTACGCGCGGCGGGGAATAAGTTTCTCACCCGAGAGGCACGGATGCCGACAAACATATCGGTAAACTCCGTGGCAGCGACAGAGAAGAATGGAACACCGGCTTCACCGGCAATACATCGCGCTAACAACGTTTTTCCAGTACCAGGAGGACCGCTGAGCAAAATTCCCCCGGGAACAGCCGCGCCGACGTCTTTATACTTTTGAAAATCTCTCAAGAATTTAATCAACTCGTACATTTCGTCCTTCAACGCCTCGATGCCGGCGATATCGTCCAACGAAGTGTTTCGATTTTCCATCGAAGACTTCTCCGGCGAGTACTGCCTGGCGTGAATATTCGCAAACTGGTCCTCTGTTTCGTCCGCGCGGTAGATTTCGTTCAACATCTGGTAGCACACCGCGACGATGATCAACGGACACAACGCGTTGAAAATCCCGTGGCCTAAGACCCACCAAAACGGATGCCCACCCGGGTGCGATAACTCGATAAACTCGCCTCTCGAGTGCGGTCTCGGTTGTAATATTTTCTTTGCGATGCGTTCATCGTACGGCAAGTACGTGAAAAATACCTCGTCGGTGCCGTCCACGTAATACTTTGCGGTCGTTTCGTTTCTCCCAAAGACGATTTTGTTGATTCTCCCAACCTCGAGCAATTTGTAAAACCCAGTGTAAGAGGTTTCCGTGGGATTTCGATCCGTTCCCATGCTCGAATACGGATCTTTCAAGTAGTTGTAATTGATCGTTCTGACGAACCGCTTCGATGCGTCCGACCTTAACATCTTCCCGAACCAACCTTTGCGTTGCTCCAACCACGCCTCGCGTTCTTCCAACAACTCTTGCATCACTTCCTTCCTCGCTTTGGACAAATTCTTCGCGCTCTCTTCAATCTCCCCGTAATACGTATCCATTTGCGCCAACGTCAACACGGCTTTATCCGCCGCTTTTTTCGAAAGCTCTTTGAGCCTCTTATTGTCTCCCGCGAGCTCGGCGTTCCTCTTCCTCAACTTTGCCTCCCACGCCGCTTGCGACCCGTACTTTTTCATAAACTTCTCCTTCTCTTCCTTCCACACTCTCCTCTTCTTCGCGTCACTTTCTTTCTTCCATTTCCTCGCCTCTGCGCTTTCTTCGTCCGTCATTACGCTCGTCGGCATTTTTCGAACGTCGTTATCGAACCGCGCCCGAAAAAGTCTCGTCCGCTCATCCGCTTTCGGCTTCACGAAAGACCACAATCCTTTATCGGATTTCACCGGAGGTTTCTTCTTCTTCTTCTTCTCCTTTTCTGTTGTAGTAGAGCCGTCGGCAGCCGCGATGGTCCCGACCGCTTCGTTCTTAAACCCTCTTCTCGTTGGTTTCAAATTCGCAATCGGTTGAAACGAGGACGACGAAGAGGACGACGAAGCGACTTCGCCCGCGACTCTCTGGTTGTTCACGTCACCACCGTCTTCTGAAGAAAAACAGACAAAACTCGTATTGTCGTTGTTCTTATTGACGGTATCGATGGACGCGTTGGCGGCTGATTTCTGCCCTCCCAAGAAGACAATCGTGGAGACAATCGCCGCCGCGCCGAGCCGTCTCGCGAGGTTTTGTTTCAGCTTTTCGCTTTCATCAGAAGACGATTCAGACGAGGACGCGACGATTGAAAAACACGCATCGTTCGCGCTGTTTCTTTTCGACGACGACGACGACGATGCTCTTCTTTTGATGATGAAAATCCTCCTTCCGGTTGGGTTTTGCAGCCGCCTCGAGGACGACGATCGCATCATCCACTTCTTCGAAGAATCATTAAAGGAAGAAGAAGAAGAACCCACAAAAGCAGATACAAAAGCAGCAGCGCTTCTACTCATCGTCGAGGACATCATCGAATTCGCTTTTTTTGCGCGGAGTGATGGTATTCACGAGAGAGACACCAACAACAACTCTCAAACAACTCTCAGATCCCTTTTTGTGCAGCCTTTCGGGTTTTCTTTTCTCCAATTTGGAGTTGTGCTCTTAAACCCTAATTCAAATAAAACCCTAAACAAAAAATTTTCTTCTTCAAAGAAGGAGCTGAAAAGCGTTTACTCTTACACATATCACAGGCACAAAGAACAGAGAGAGAAGTGAGAGCGCGCGAGATATAACACACTCGCGCGCTTTGTTGTGTTGATTTTATTGTTGTTGCAAAATAAACGCTTTTAGAGGACGACGAGGAGGAGAGAGAGAGAAAAGGAAAGAATACTAGAGAGAGTAGAAGAAATGGAAGCTTTTTTACCGGCGGCGAATTACGCGAGTTCTTCTTCATCGGAGGAGGAGGAGGATTTGAAAGAGGGAAGAGGAGAAGAAGCGGGCTTTAGTGAGAGGAAAAGTAGTGTTCGTGTTGTTAACATCGATCCGGCGCCGAACGTGAACGTGGCGAACTTGGCGTTGACGAAAGAAGACGCGCGAAAGTCGTCGTCTCTCGGGATTGATGATTTTGAAGCGGCGGCGAAAAGAGGAGGCAAAGCGCTTTCTTCGTCCGCTTCGAGGTCTGTGGTAAAAGTCGTTCCGAAATCGGCGGTCGCCAAAAACGCGAACGAGGAGGAATTCTTACAACCGAACGCGCAGGTTTTGACGACGAATTTAACGTACGAGCAGATGAGCGCGAAAGTGGAAGGTCCGGAGCATCCAAACTTGAAGCGACGGGACGAGAGGAGAGCGAGGAACCATCACATGGGTTTCGTGCAGACATTGAACGTGGATTCGTTCGCGTTTGACGCGCAATATAACACGCAAATGCAAGCGCAGCAGCAACTGCAACGAGAACAGCAGATTGCGAGAGGAGAAGGTCGAAAGCTGAGCGGGAAAACTGCGACGACGACGACGACGAATACGAATACGAATACTAACTGGAACGCGAAGACGGTGTACGACATGACGAAAAAAGAACGCCGAGAAAGACGAAACGAAACGTTGATGGAAGCGGCAGCCTCTTTCAACGTTATTGGCGGCGATGGTAACGAGGACGATGGGACTGGGAATGCGAACGGCGCGTGGGCTAAAAGTCCAGGGGCAAAACTAGACGTGATGAAAAAATCCGAACTTTCTCGAGAACAGAAAGAATACTTGGAATGGCACGCGAAACGCAACGACGCGAAACGAAAAGCGAGAGGTAAATTAGGGGACGCGGGAAGAGACGACGATGACGTGGTAGCCGCTGCCGCTGGAAAGAATAAAAATAAAGAGGGGGACGACGAAGAAGTGGACGAAGTTGAGTTGAAAAGAAGACAGCAAGCGGCCAAGACCAAGTTCCACGGAGAAGAAGAATTCAAATACGACGGATCTTCGTGGTTGGCGAAACCAAAAACGTTAAAAGCTCGAAGCGATAGATGTTACGCGCCCGAGAAAACGACGAAACAATGGATTGCACACGGTAAAGGCGTTTCTCATCTCGAATTTTTCCCGAATTCGGGTCACGTTTTGCTCACGTGCGGGATGGAAGGCGTCGCGAAAATATGGGACTCTGGCGATGAAAAGAATAAGTTTAAGCTTCTCAGATCGTACAGTGGTCACGCGAAAGCAATTAAATCGGGGTGCTTTACTCCGAACGATGGATCGAGGTTTGCCACGTGCGGTTGGGATCAAAGGATACATCTCTGGGATACGGAAACCGGAGCGGTAGTGCGCACGGTCTCCTCCGGGAAAACGCCTCTGTGTTTAGCTTTCCATCCGCAAAAGTCCAACATTTTACTCGTCGGTCAGAGCGATAAAAAAATAGTGCAATACGACATGCAATCCGGGGATGTCGTTCAAGAATACGATCAGCACTTGGGTGGAGTGAACTCGATTGCTTTTTGCGACGGAGGGAAACGCTTCGCGTCGACTTCGGACGACAAGACGCTCAGAGCTTGGGAGTTTGGCATTCCGGTGACGATGAAATACGTCGCAGATCCTTTGATGCACTCGATGCCATCGACTAAAATGCACCCGGACGGCGATTATTTAGCCTGCCAATCTTTAGATAACTCGATCAAAATTTATAGCACAAAAGATCGGTTCCGAGAAAAAAGGAACAAGTCGTTCATGGGGCATCAAAACGCCGGATTCGCGTGTGAAATTGCTTTTTCTCCGGACAATGGTAAATACATGGCGAGTGGGGACGGCGACGGACGCCTATTCTTTTGGGACTTCAAGACAGGGCGAAAAGTGAAAACATTTAAAGCTCACGATAAGGTTTGCATCACTTTAGACTGGCATCCGCTGTTAGCATCCAGGGTTTGCACAGGATCTTGGGACGGGAAGGTTAAGATTTGGGATTGATTTCGATTTATAAAATACTACAAAAAATTTAACAATAACACGCTTGTTTGGGTTGTCCTCTTTTTTTTTCATTCTCTCGAAGATTCGGGGACGTACTCTTCTCTTTTCTTTGCTTCTTGGTTTCCTCCGAAAGCTGAAAAGAAATCGCCGATGGCGTCCGTCCATCCAGGTTTAGCTTGAGCTCGAATACCATTTCTGGAATCTCGAGCGGAAGCTATTTTCTCCGTGTACACTTTGATCGCTACGTTCTTTACTTGATTGCACACGTCGGAACATTCAAAGTCTGACAAGCTCACGATCTTTGCCTCCAAGTCTGCGACGTACGCGTTGAGCTCGACGTCGAGCGTTTGCTCGATGCGGTTTGCACCAAACTTATCGTTTTGTTTTAAAGCTGCAGCGAGTTGCTTCTCTTTTTGGAGCGTATCGTGTACAGCTTTTGAAAATTGTGCGCGCTCCAAATAGGGTACCCACGAGATCCAGTTGTCTTTCAGATTTTTCGACGCTTTCACTTTCGAGTTCACGAAATTTCTCGTTAAACTTTCGATGCAGGCATCGGCGAGCACTCTGTCTGTCACAGACACGTCGTGCTCGACGAGTTCGATGATTTCCATGAGATCATTGTCGTGCGCTTGCGACAAATTTTCTACATTTTGCAGAGCGCTGAGAAAACCCTCAAAGCTTTCGCGACGCATAGAGACGACGGCTTCTTTATTCGTAATTTCCACCACGCGTTGTTCATACTTCAAAGCCTCGACAAACCCAAACTTCAAAGAGAGTTGGGCGGCATCGTAGGAAAATCGTTTAATATCGCAAGAAACTGAATACAATTCGTTGATTAGCTCGCAATCGGCGTACACGCGGGCCAAATTTTCACATCTCCTCGTCGATTTTGTGAACAATACTATGGCTTCGTGTAAAGTCCTCGTCGGCGGGACGAGAAACTCTCTCTGCGCGTTCTTTTCGATTAAATCTCCGGCATGTATCGCAGGTTGCTCCGCTTCGCTCAACAATTTCTCCATATCTTCTTTTGGAGGTGGCGGAGGCTGCAACAATTCGATTCTTTCTGAAACAGACTTTGTCATCATCATGAGCGCATTTTTATTATTCGCGTGCTTTTCTTTGCACCTTTCCGCGCGATGAAGGAGGTAGTCTCTGCATTCTTCGAGTCGGCCGACTGCACGCCGTCGATTCACATCCGTTTCAAATTTGTATACGAAAAGACCAACTTCAGCGAGCTGCGCAGAGGTTGCAATCGCGTAGAATCGATCCGCTGCAGCTTTTCTTGCTCCGACCGGATCCTCGTTAAAGGAAGCCTCGGTTTTCTTAAGTTTTTGTTTCACTTTCTCGAATATCATGGAGAATAAAACAAAGCAACGAAATACGGTTAAAACGCCGACTAAAAACAAGACCAAAATGACCCCCGTTTCGGCTTGCGAACCATCCAATGCAAAGGCGATGATGATCACAAGAGCTTGTCCGCAAAAGTTCATCACGTCCGCTCTATTCATCACGTTTCGAACCCGAATCGGTCCGAATGACACCGTGATCCTTCTCCACGGCTGAATAAAGTAAACCAAGTACGCATTTGCGGCGTAGACGGGCAGCATCAGCCCCCCGGAGATTTCACCACCTCCAGCTTGCTGCGCGAGCACCACGACGATCAATTTATTCGCGAGTTCAATGGTCATGTAGTGAACGGCAAAAAGCGACGCGAGAGTGTATACTTCATTTTCAGCTTGCGGTCCGTCTGAGAAGTTCTGTCGCTCGAAGGATTTTGCCATGGTTCGAATCTTTTCAAGTTGTGGTTTAATTTCCATTTCCGACGTCTGTGCCTTATCGATATCCGTGGAGACTGTCGCGCGCGACTTGGAGCGAAATAATTTTGGGTCGAACGTATTTTCAATCGCATTTCCATCAGAATCTTTTGCTCGTACAATCTCGTTTTCGTCTTCTTCTCCGTCTGCGGCTCCACCACCATAGACCGTCTCTTTCTTCATCCGTTGGCCGGTGAGTCGAGCCAAAGCTGCATCGAAGTATCCGTATTTCTTCTTTCTCGTAGTTTTCGTCACCTTTCGATTGACAATTTCGAGAGCATCCGTAGTAGGGCGACGAAATACCTCATACCAAGCGCCAGCGGCGTCGAGAACGCGGTTATCGTCCAATTTATTGCGCACGCGGATGTGCCTGACGCGAAGCAACACGAATAAAGGTATCCCTATTCCCACGGCGCAACCAACAACACCGGCAACAGATTGGACGAATAAGTGCGTCTCGGAGTCGCAGTCAACTTTCGCGTCCGCCGATAATACTCTAGTGCTTCCGACATCGTAACAGTCAAAAGATTGCAAACACAAATTAATCACCGGTAAATATATGACTGTCATACAAAGACCGAAGAACTTTCGAAAAGAAGCGAGTACTTTGTACTTCTTGTGCAGCGCGTACAATACCTTGTCCCCGTTCCAACTGATGCAGGTTTTTTTGTGTCCAATCATACCACCAAAACTTCCTTTGAAGTAATATCCTAGCTCTTTGTCGTGGCGAATCGATCGAACCATGAGCTTGTACTGCAATTTGGCCATATTTAAGGCGAAAAATATGGTTCCAAATATCATGCAAGGAGCGCCCACGACGCCTCCCCAAAATACTTTCGTCCAATCGAAACCGGTGATGCATTCTGGAGCGAAAATTTGTATACCAAAATTAAAGGAAGCGAACCAATCGGCGACGTCTAGAACCGGTCCAGGCCACTTGAAGCTCAAATTCAAACTCACAGATAAATATTGTATCGTGTTGAACACTGATCTCAGAGCTGAAGTTGAGACCGAGTCCAAGGTGTCAGCGGCCCCTACACCGACGAGTACTAAACCGATAATACCCAACGCGCCAACGCCGTACATGGCGTAGTTATCCCCACACTCTGCACACGCATCGCCCTTGCGATAATACCCTTCCGAGCAGGTATAACAAGCGGTACCATTCGCACCAACTGTACACGACGATCCAAACCCAGGACAACGTTCTGGAAAAGGGCAAATTGTGATATCAACGCACATCGTATCGACCGAGGCCCACGTGCCAACCGCGTTCGCACACGAACAAACCGATCCGAGCGTTTCGTTATATTCGCACAGAAAACCGGTTTCGATGGCACACGTCGTTGAACAACCGATGTCACCGTCTCGAATATTCTGAAAATCATCGCATTCTTCGCCCGCGTCTATGACGCCGTTTCCGCACAAAGGCGGCGGCGACGGCGCCGGCGGCGGCGACGGCGGCGGCGGCAATGGCGGCGGTGACGGCGATGGCGGCGGTGACGGCGATGGTGGTGGTGACGGTGGTGGTGGTGGCGATGGTGGTGGTGCCAAAGCTAAGAAGGTTGTCTCCGTTGGGGGCACAACGTCCTCCACGTTCGTCAAACCCTCATTGGTAAGCTTAGTTTTGATATCGTCGATTTTCGTGGTATCCGTGGTGACCAACGCTTCCTTGACGGTATCGGTTTCGGTGAAAGTCGTCAACTCAACTTTAAAATCCACGGCCACGCCACTGGATGTTTGCAAAGTATTCCTTCTTCTGCTTCTTCTTTTTGCCAATCCCGCGGAAACCTCCGAAACGGATATGATTGTAATAGCTCCGGGTGAGACGTTTAAAACAGACGCCATCGCGTTGATAAACATTGCCTTTTGCTCTTCTTGAAAGTCAGCTACGGAGTAACCCGTAAGCTCCATCGTTGCTTCTACCGCAGCCGCAGCTGGTGGTGGGCTCGGTGGTGGGCTCGGTGGTGGCGACGGTGGCGGTGGCGGCGACGGCGGCGACGGCGGTGGCAAAGGCGGTGGGCTCGGTGGCGGCGACGGCGGCGGCGACGGCGGCGGCGACGGCGGTGGCGACGGCGGTGGCGACGGCGGTGGCGCTGGTGGTGGACTCGGTGGTGGCGGTGGCGATGGTGGCAACGGTGGCGGCGATGGTGGTGGAGACGGTGGTGGGCTCGGTGGCGGCGCCGGTGGCGGCGACGGTAAAGCCGGTGGTGGACTCGGTGGTGGCGGTGGCGACGGTGAAGCCGGTGGTGGAAACGGCGGCGGTGGCGGCGCTGGCGACGGCGGCGGCGATGGCGGTGGTGGCGGCGCTGGCGGCATTGGAGGCGAGTAGGCTGCGGTATACTTACACGACGGGAGGTCCAGGTAAGTAACTTCCATTTCAAGTAACGTCCCGTCACCATAATCGAAGTTAAGATTCGCGACGCCACTTTCACACGTGAACATCATGTTAAACAACGTCGCTCCAGAAAACATAAAATAAGTCGGTTCTATGAATTCTGAGTAAATGTTGTTGTCAAAATTGTAAAGGGAAGTAAAATCCCAATATCTGCCAATGTTGTGTTCAAACGAAATCGCATCTTCAAACATGAACGACATCATGCTCACGGAAGAGACGTCCCAGCCGGTGATATCTTCGTTGTACGTCGTCGCGTTATTAAACATACCTATCATCGATGTAACTCGCGAAACGTCCCAGGATGCTAGGTTTCCGGCAAAATTCACCGCGTTTCCAAACATGGCGTTCATGCTCGTCACCTGAGACGTATTCCAGACTTCCATGCCCGAATTTGTTCCATTAAAGTTTGAGCACCCAGCAAACATGGAATCCATATTTTGAACATTCGATACGTCCCAATTTGAGAATTCGGCAGAGTTTATATACAAGAAAGGATCGTTCGCAAACATTCCCTCCATTGTCGTCGCGGAAGATGTGTCCCAATTGTGTACATTTATATATCGTTCAGACCCTTGCCAGTGACCTCCGATACCCCAGTATTCACTAGAGTACGGATCCAACATCGCGAATGTGAACGAAAAATCCTTCACGTTCGCAGTATTCCAGTCTGAAAAAGCTTCGGGCCTATAATTGTCCGCTCCTTGAAACATGCGACTCATCGACGTGACGCTGGACACATCCCAATAAAATGGGACACTGGTTAGGCTCCTGGCAGATTCGAACATGCTTGACATGTCATTCACACTCGACGTGTCCCAGACGATATCCGGATCCGTTTCGAAACGAAGCGACTCGAAATAGCTTCCAAACGATGCCGTGTTGTAAAACATACCATTCATTTTTACCACGTTCCCCGTTGACCACCCACTCAAATCCCCATCGAAAGAATTGCAGTTGCCGAACATGCCCTCCATAGTCGTTACGCTCGACACATCCCACTCCTTGAGGCGCCCATCGAACAAAACGGCGCCGTTGAACATATCCGCCATACTTTCAACGTTAGATACGTTCCAAGTATATATCAAGGTGCCCCTGAAAGCGAAAGCATTATAAAACATACTCGTCATGTCTGTCACGGACGAGGTATCCCAATTCTTCAAGTCTCCATTAAATGAAGATTTCTCAGAAAACGCGGACGTCATAGTTGTCACGGCGCTGACGTCCCAGTATGAGATTGGCCCGTATCCACTTTCTTCGCAATTTCCATACACCGGATCAATCTCCAAGCACGAAGTAATGGCGGAACTAAAAGTATTATCCGTGATAGAGTTATACGGAGGAGGGCTTTCCGCTGGCGGCGGCGATGGCGGCACGTACACGCACTTCCCTGGACACGAACCGTCGATGGCATAGTACCACATGTTCGGATTCGACACATCTTCGACTTGCGAAAATAAATATTGATTCCGAACGCATTGGATGCACGGAGAACATTCGTAAGAGTAAGAACCTGACTCGTACGAGTCAAGTTTCGACCCACAAAACATCTCTTGTTCCATCACGTGAGAGTATCCGCAGCTCGCGTGTGAAGTACATAGAGTGTCAAATGCATTGGTAGCAGAGCAACCCCCTCCATGAGTTCCCAAGACTGTCGAAGTAGTTTGGTACGAAGCGACCACTTGATTAATAGGCGTCCACGTAAATTCAATATAATCAATCATGTCTGTTGTTACGCCGTTATTACCCATGCTCCAATCCGTGTAATAATAGGGGGTGGGAACATACGCGTCGATCAAAACCGATTTTACGCCCGAGGTATCGCCAAGATCGGATTCGGTTTCATATTTACAGAAACTGTTTATGTACGTATACTCTTCTGAGTTACCCCATCGAGTGTTGCCCTCGATAAGCATTTGTCCCCATACCGCTCGCAACGATTGCAAGCTAATCCAATGCAAATTCACATTATTTACGAATTTCAAGTCACCCCTGACGTTTGTTAGAGAAGAGAAATACAATCCGACATAATAATCTCCGCGAAATGTATTCCCCTTGATTTCGATCGCAACCTCAGCGGCACCGGACGTGTACGCGTAAGAAGTGTTTGCGAGACTCCACGCGTTGTTATTTGAAGTAACGTACGCATCAGAAATGGAGTCGAAATAAAAAGTCTCCGGACCGTTTTCGCCAACTCTACCGAGTTGGTTGAATTCGCAATACTCTATACCACCGTTTGGGCTACTTCCGCCGTTATCAACAATTTTGATAAACTGGCTCACCCCCAAAAGACTCTGCAAATAGACTCGCTCCAGCACCGGATTCGCGGACAGATCAAAAAACCCGATGATTTCTTCCAATTGATATATATAAACGCTTTCGAGAGCATCGTTTTGAGTTATCTCAATCTTTCCCGTAAGGTTATACGGCGAACCGTCCGACATTTCGAAAGTCGTCAGCGTCGAACACTTGTATAAAATAATATCTCCAGAGAACCTGTCGAAATTTCGGCTCGTCAAGAAGATTTCCGTCGGCTGCACGCTATTCGCGTTCGTTTCTGAATCTTCGCACAAGATATTCGCCGTAATCACTCCGTCCACCGGTTCGATATCGCACGTATCCCCAGCCGCCGCGTTTTCCGGCACCAAGTCGTCCCAATTGCAGGTCCCGGCTTTGCACACGCACGCCGAAGCCGCGTCCGCGAATAAGAAGAATCCGAAACTCGTCCTCGACGAGATCGCTCCTCCTCCTTCCATCATCCCCGCTGCTCGGTACCGCTCGTCGCAATGAAATTGATTTCGTTGTTCTCCTTCCGGCGGCGAAGAAGCCATCAACAACATCGCGCACAGCAACGCGAACAAAACGTGGTTCAAAATCCAGTCTTTTTTGGTCCTTCGCAGCAAAATCGTCGTCGTCATCCTCCTCCTCCTCGTTTTTGCGCGTGGTGGTGGTGTTCTTTTCGCCAACGGTGGTGAGAAAGAGGAGGAGTGTTTTTGTTCTTCAAACGACGTATACATCCAAAGATGCCGCGCACACGCACACGCACACACGAGAGAATTGATGTCACAAAAATTCCTTCAAATTCCTTCAAATCCGTTTGAACGACGACGCGATGAAAAACAAATTACACACAGAATAGATATATATAAATACAGAAGAACGATAATAAATAAAGAGCGTATTACGACGTCTCTCTCTTCTCTCTGCCGTTCCTCCGCCTTTATGATAAAGCTTTTCTCTTCTCGCTCTCTTTCTTTTCGGACCGAAGAAGAGGAGTAGAAGGTTTAAAGAAGAAAGGTAACTTTATTCAAGTGCGGAATGAATCTCGAGAGAGGTTAAATATCTGAGGACATCAGACTTGGGCGGAAGAAAGAAAAAAGTGCCAGAGGGGTGCATTTGTGTTTAATTGACTGTTTTTTTTTGTGCTGCTGCTTCGTAAAAATATTCTTCTTGGTCCACTCGCACGTCACATCTCAAAGTTGTCTTTTCTCTCTCTGATTTATATAGTCTCACTCTTTAAACGCGGTATTAAATAAACACGCAGAGGAGAGAGAGCGTGACAGTGAGTACTACGTGAGACTCAAAATGTTTCGCGCGTTCGTGGCCGAGGAGGAGTCTTCTAAAACGAGGAGGACGAGAAGAATGAAAAGCGCGTCGTCATCTTTCTCTTCCGTTATTATCTTTTACGTCGTCGTGGTAACTGTCTTCGTCTCGTTGGGAGTGTTCGTGGACGGACGAGAGTTTGAGCACAGAAGAGCTTCTTTTGGAGGTGGTTCTTCTTTGGAAACGACGATTCAGACGACTGCCTCGGAGGAGGGGCAGCAGCAGCAGCAGCAGCAACAACAACAACAACAACAACAACAACAACAACAACAATTACGTGCTTCTTCTCTCCTCCTGACGAGAGCGAAAGAGTTTGTCCTCAAAAGCCTTGGAGGAAAATTGAATAAAAAAGAAACCGATTTGGAGGAGGAGGAAAAGGAAAAGGAGACGAGAAGGCATTCGTCGTCGTCGTCGTTTACGTCGTTGTCCTCGTTAGTATCGTCGTCCTTGAAAGCGATCGAATCGCGAGCGGAGTTGCGAGAAAAGTTTCGTCACTTCGTATCCGTGCAATTTCCGGAGAAGAAGAAAGAATACGAAAGGAAAACGGAAGAAGAGTACGAGAAACGCATGGAGATTTTCCAAGAGAATTGGAAAAGAGCGATAGAGCGCGAGATTGACGATCGCAAAGGCGGCGGTTCGGCGAAACACGGCGTGACAAAGTTTTTCGATTTGAGCGAGGAGGAGTTTCGAGAGCAGTATTTGGGGTTGCTCTCGACTTCTACGTCTTCTTCTGCTTCAAAAGATGCGTTTAGAAAACACCAGATGGAAGCGCCATCGGAGGAGGATTTGGAAAAGTTACCGCAATATTACGATTGGAGAGCGAGAGGCGCGGTGACGCCGGTGAAGGACCAAGGTCAGTGCGGCTCGTGCTGGACGTTTTCAACCACCGGAGCGATCGAAGGCGCCAATTTTATCAAAACCGGTAAACTGGTCTCCTTATCGGAGCAACAGCTGTTAGATTGCGACGTTGGGTGCGCCCCAGATATACCGAACGCGTGTGATAGTGGCTGTAACGGTGGTTTGCCGTCCAACGCGATGGAATACATCGTCGAGCACGGCGGATTAGACACGGAAAAATCGTATCCATACAAAGCTTACAAGGAAGATACGTGCCGCGCGAAGGAAGGCAAACTCGGCGCGACGATATCCAACTATACCTTCGTCGGTAAAAACGAAACGCACATGGCGCACGCTTTAGTAAAATACGGCCCACTCTCCATCGGCATTAACGCCGCGTGGATGCAATCCTACGTCGGCGGCGTCGCGTGTCCGTGGCTCTGTAACAAAGACGCGCTCGACCACGGCGTGTTGATCGTCGGCTACGGCGAAGAAGGTTTCGCCCCTGCGCGTTTACACAAAGAACCGTATTGGGTCATCAAAAACTCCTGGGGCATGGGCTGGGGCGAGGAAGGCTACTATCGCATATGCAAAGATAAAGGTAACTGCGGCGTAAACAACATGGTCGTCGCCGCGCTCAACGAATAAGAAGAAAAGAGATTAAGCGGTTACTATATACGCTCGCTCGCGCTTTATCATCGTAAACGATGTGAAAAACATTAAACGCACTCCTGTGTACATATTCTTATTCTTACTCATTCATCGCGTAATACAACCGACTATACTCTCTCTCGACTCTCTTTCGCGTCGTCGTCGCAAAGCTCTCGCGGTCCCAAAACCTTTCTCTTTCTCTCTCTCTCTCTACTCTTTCATCATCCCCACGGGTGGTTTTGGTGATGCGTGTGATCTCTCTCTCTCTCTCTCTCTAAACTATAAATACACCTGTCGCGCTTTCTCTCGTCGAAATCATCTCATCGCCATCACTCCTTCTTAACAAACGTCCCTTCTGGCGCCCACATCTGGCTGGGAATCCCGTGGTGCGGAAACTGCGGCCTTTTCTCCATCTTCCTCGATTGGTTAAACACGAACGCCGAGGCGACGAACACGATGCCAAATCCAATCGCGGTGTTTCTTCGCCAGTGTTTCGGGTCCGCGAACCACCCGCCGTACGAGGTCCACACTTGCGACGTGTCGAACGATCCTCCCCCCGGCGTCGGACTAGCTCCTCCCATTTTTTAACGTCTTCTGAATCGTCGTCGTCGTCGGTCTGTCTGAGGATGATAAAAGTGAGGACACATCGACTTCGATTTCTTCCCCGAAAACGGACGATTGGAAACCAGATCTGAGTCGTCAGACTTTTCTCGAGCGGCGAACTTTTCGCGACACCGACCCAAAGAAAACGAGCCTTTTAAGAGGAGGAAAAGGAGGAAATATATTCGCAGAAAGAAGAACGAGAAAATAATGTTCCAAACGCGATCGGAATACGATCGAGGCGTGAACACGTTCTCCCCGGAGGGCCGTTTGTTCCAAGTGGAATACGCCATCGAGGCGATTAAACTCGGCTCGACTGCGCTCGCGATATCGACGAAACACGGGATCGTCTTGGCGGTGGAGAAACGAATCACCTCACCTTTAATGGAACCTTCTTCGATGGACAAAATCATGGAGATTGATTCGCACTGCGCGTGCGCGGTGAGCGGGTTAACCGCGGACGCGAAGACGATGGTGGAACACGGACGAGTGGAAAGTCAGAATCATTATTTCACGTTTAACGAACCCATGCCGGTGGAGAGTTTGTGCCAGACGCTGTGCCGATTGGCGATGTCGTTCGGAGGGGAAGGCGAGAAGAGCATGAGTCGACCGTTTGGGGTGGCTTTGTTAGTCGCCGGGTTCGACGAGGAAGATAAAGGAAACGACGTTGGCGGGTACACGTTGTACCACGTGGATCCGAGCGGAACGAAGACGAAGTGTCGGGCGAAATCCATCGGGAGCGGGAGCGAAGGCGCGCAGACGAGTTTGAACGAGGAGTATAGGGAGGATTTGACGCTGGAGGAGGCGGAGACGATGGCGATGAGCACGTTGAAAGCGGTCATGGAGGAGAAGGTGAACGTAAAAAATGTGGATTTTGCGGTTTTGAAGAGCCCGAAGTTCCAGGTGTACGACGCGAAGAAGATTCAGGAGATCATCGATCGGGCGGCGTGATGAGCGTGCGTATGCGCGAGTAGTCGTCAATTGTTTAGTTAGTGGTGATTTTATTTTCAAGGTTGTTTATAAAACGCGCATTTGTGTGTGTGTATAGCTATGCTTTCATTATTCTTATATTGTGTACACGTTTTTGCATCCAAGATGGCGACAGTTCAAATACATTTTTCCTCCTCTCGTTACGGTGGTGTTTTCTTCGTCCTCTTCGCTTTCTTCGGCGTCGTCGCTTGCGGCACCTCTTCTTCTTCCTCTTCCTTTTCCTCCTCGGGAGATTGAAATATGCTCTCGTCGTATTTCTTCACGCCTAGACGTTGCATGCGTTCTTTCTTCATTTTGGCCATTTCCGTTTGTATGCCTTCGGTGTGCTTCAGAACGTAGTTGCCGTCGTAGACTTGAAACGGCGACTCGTTGAAATCAAAGTGTACCACGCGTTGGTCTTCACTAATTTCCACCTCTACCGTTGCTTTTTGGTCGGTTTGCACGAGAATGAATGGCAACTGGATGCCGTCTGGCACGGATGGAACGTCGTCGTCTTCCGCGACTGTCGTCGTTGTCTCCACGTTGTCTTTTTTAGCGCTCTTTTTCTTCGCCGACGCAGATGCACCACCTTTCTTCGTCGTCGCGCCCTCTGCCATTGTCGACGATTCTTTTTTCGGCGTTGCCACTTTCTTCTGCGCTTCAATCTCGTTCCGTTCGTTTCGTTGGACTAACGATAACAGAGCATCGAATTGTTCGGTTAATTCCGCGAGATACAGCGCTTTCTTTCGAATGCGCTCGCGCGTTTCTCTGTTTTCCGTTTCATTCTCTTCTTGCTCTTCAACCGTCAGCTCTTCTTTTTTCATGATCATTTGTTCTTCTTCTTCTTCTTCTTCTTCTTCTTTCTTCTTCTTCATTATTACATCCTTTTCTCGTTTTGCATCGTCTTGTTTTTCGTTTTTATCCCTCGGTGGCGCCGCGAGGTCGCCGTATAAGAACGCCTCGCCAAACTCTTCCCCGATCCCGTTCCAGGTGATTGTCTTCTTCTTCTCTTCGTTCTTATCTCTCGAAACAACGTTGATGGCGATGAGCACGTTGAGTGCGTCGTACACTCTCCGTCGAATATTTTTCTCGTCGACGGTTTCATTCGCGCGCTTCGATTTCTTCTTCTCTTTCGTTCCCTGCGGGGTTGTCGTTCCCGATTTTGATGGCGGCGTTTTATTCGCCTTCTTCTTCTTTCCGTCGTCTTCTATCGTTGCCTCTTTTGTATCATCGTCGTCTTTCACCTTCACTTTCACTTCAACTTTGTTCCTCCTAATTGGCGACGATAATCCATCGCCTTCCGTCATCGCCTCGTCCTCGTTTCCTTCTTCTTCTTCTTCTTCTTCTTCTTCTTCTTCATCTTCCTTCTTCTTATTTACTTTCTTTCTGTTCGATCCGCCACCTATGGATAAAGGAATTCCTTCCTTTTCTCGTTCGGCTAACACGTCTGCCACGAGCGCATCGGAAACTTCATCGTACGTGGTCGTGCCTCTTTCCTTCACTTTTTCGCACACTTTCATGGCGAAAGATTTCAATCCACCTTTGATTTGTTGCGGCGTCGCGTTCACGTTTGGCGTCGTCGTCGCCGCGGCGTTGGAACCTTTCCTCGACAACGATGGCGGCGGCGTCGACATTATCATCGCGTTATTTCCAACGACGTCGTTTTCTTCTTCCTCTTTTTTCACGGCAGCGCCGCTCTTTTTCACCGGCGTCTTTCTTTTCCTCCCAGAGGCTGCTTCCTTTCTCTTTTCCTCGAGCTCTCTTTCCTCCTCCGTCTTCGTGCTCTCTAAATACTCCGCAATCTGTACCAATAACTTCGTGCTCGCGTCTCGAGCCTCGTTCGCTTCTTTCTCATCGTACGGGTCTTTTTGTTCTACTTGTTGTTTAGCTCCTATTATTGCGTCATTTTCTTTCGTCAAAGCGTCGTTGGTACTCGCTGTTACAGTATTTGTTGCAAACAACGGTGGCCGCACTCGACGATCGTCGCCTCTACCACCGCTATTAGTATTATTCGTCATCCCCTTCGACAACGACGAGAGATTATTCGCGTTCCGCCTCGCGCTCATCGGCGGACTCGTGCCCATCTTCCCGCCAAACACCGTCGCGGGAGACCCGTCCCGAGCTAAACCGGTTAACGGCCGGTGTCGTCCACCCGCGTCGTGGTCAATCATCGACGAAGACGGAGGACTGAAACCGCTTTCATTACCACCACGTCTGTGATATTGATGCGCTTGGCTGCTCCGATTGCCCTCTACCACCATCCCTTTCAAAGGTGACGATACATCCGCTCCTCCGTGTCCTCTTTCTCCTCCTTTGTTGTTGTTGTCGTTGGGAGAGGAGGACTGGGGCAAGATGTCGAACTCGTTCGCAAAGTCGTACACTCCCTAAAACGCATCGATAAAGAAAAACATCGTCGGTCAGTTTACTGCCCGCGCGTGATAAAAAACGCAAAACGCAAAGAAAAGCAAAGCGCTCACGCGCGACGAGACTACGCATCACGTCAGAGAGTACAATTGAAATTCCCCCCTATAAAAGCAAGCGCTCACCGTATCTCTTAAACTGTTGACTAAATCTTTGTGCAACTCCCTGTCTAAGCGTTTGTTCTCGTCGTCTGAATCGTCGTCCGTTAACAAAGGAACAATGTGGGGCGGCGACGACGACGTTCGGGCCGCCGATGGCCTCATGATGCTCTGTTCTTTGAGCGCACTCCTCTCGAAGTGAAGAATTTTGGAGATTTTCTTTTCGACAGTTTCTGCACAATTAAGTAAAATAATGTTTCGAAAGCACGCGTGTACGAAGACGGATGATGATTCGGTGATACTTTCCGCCCCGCTGGAACTTCGAGGCGTCGCGGAAGAAGAAGACGACCACCACCAAGGTTCGGGTCGTCGCGTGAGAAAAGTTATCCACGATTTAGGGTCAAGAGTGCACGCCACGTTTACGTTTACCTCGCGCGGGATGATGGATTCGATGGAATCGGAAAGCGATTGGACGGAGGATTTTCGAGTGCGAAGGAGAAGGTTTTCCGGCGACTGCTCGAGCGAGAAAGCATTCGCGATCGATGTCTCCATCCCTTCGAATCCGTTTTTCCGATACTACTGCGAAATCGACGAAATGCAGTTCGAAACCATGAAACAGAAACAAAACTTATCGGTGAACTTAAACGGATTCTATCTCGCCTTTAAGGAGAGTCTTGTCTCTTGCAAAACGAGAGAAAGCGCGAACGTGATGGTGTTTACCATGAACGGAACAGACGGCATGGGGACCTTGGCGTGTCTCGAGGATTTAGGACATAAACACGTGGAGACGTTACGAATAGATTTCGTGCCGTACACGGAGAGAGAGATTCAAGAGCGAGTGCAATTGGAATACAGGGAGATGGCGAAGACGCTGTACGGGGAAGAGGAAGAATACGCGGCGCCGTTTGCCGCGCCCAGGCGGCGGTAAAAAAGAGACTTTTGAGTTTAGTAGTAGAGTTTAGTAGTAGCAAAGCAGTAGTTGTATAGTAGAATAAGCTTATGAGAGAAAATGTTATGTATCGCAACAACATCTCTCATCAGTTACCAAAAAAGCTATTTTTCCTCGGCGGCGTCGGCGGACGTTCGCGGTTGATTTCTTGCATCCACAACGCGTGGTCGAATTCTCCGGGCGAAGCCGAATCCATCGCTTCCGGCGGTAACGGGTGGATGAGTTTCGGGTAGAGCGTTAAATCGCGTCCTAAAACTAAAATTGCACCCGCGTTATTTGCCGTCCCGCAGTAGTTCGTCGCGGAAAATAACGTCAACAGTTGGCCTTGCGCGAAGCGTTCAAAGCCGTCCATGACGCACTCGTGCGCTCGAACAATCATTTGTAAACCGTTATTTTCGCAAAACTGTTTGACGCGGTCCGGGCCGAACGTCACTAAGCCGGGACCTCTCGCGTTCGGTCGCAAGCCTTCCACGGAATCGTTTTCAGTCGGATCCGACCAGAGCAAATCCATGAGTTCTAATCCTCCGGATTCCATAGAACACGGGCGTTCGAGCTGGTCGATTTGTTCGATGGTTTCAATCGAACGACCGATGCCGCCGTGCATGCAACACACCTTGTCTTCGATGACCGCCGCTAACGGGAGCCATTCGAAAAGTGCGTTGAATCTGCGCCAAGCGTGTTCGCCGACGCGCTCACCGAGCCGTTCCACGCACTCGATGCGGAAACCAAACAACGCGTTGATATCCGCCTCTTCGTGGTTCCCTCTCAGCAAGTGCACGTTTTCTGGGTGTTCGATTTTCAACGCCAACAACAACGCGATGGTTTCTAACGAGTGCGCCCCTCGATCGACGTAATCGCCAAGGAACAAGTAATCGATGTAAGCGATATCGCCCGCCGTGGACGGACTTCCGTATTCGGCAAATAAACGCATGAGATCGTAAAATTGACCGTGCAAATCTCCAAAAATTTTCACCGGCGCGTTGATGCGCAACACCGTGTTTTCGCTTTTGAAAACCGCTTCGGCGGCGTCGCAAAGCTCGTCAATTTGCGCCGCGTTCATGAAAAATGCCCTGTTCGGTGGCGCTTCCCACGAGGTTGGGTTTAACAACGCAGACAAGACGGTTTTGTGCGCCGGCACGTGGCCTAAATTCGAGGCTCGTTGTTCCCGGGCGAACCGTTGCGGCGTGCCGCCGTTGGCGTAGCCCGGCGAGTTCGTGCCGCCGCCGTTGCCAAACTCTGGTGTGCCTATCCGTCTCGCTTCGTTTTCAAACTGGTCTATGCTTAATTGTCTTACTAAGCTCCCCAATCGTTTGGAATTGGATCCGCCGGCAGAGTCCATCCCGCCACTCGCGTCGTTGTTATTACCAAAGCTACTGTTGTATCCTCCCGATCCTCCGTTACCTGAACTGGAAAAAGGTCCACCGCTATCCCCCATGGCTGCAACTACCACCGCGCGGTGGTGCAAGCGAACGCTCGAGTCTCTCAATCGCGGATTCGATCCTGGCGTCATGCGTCTATTTTGCGGCGTTCGAAGACTTCCTTTGGAGTCTCGCGAATCCGTCGGCGAGTCTTGGTCCGAACTATCCGCCGCGAGAGATTGTAATCGTCTTTGAGAAACTAATTCCATAGCCGCTGCGGCTTCCGCGGTTGCATTCGTCGCTAATCGAAGCTGCGCGGTTTCGTTCATCACTTGATCCGGGGAACCCGGCGAGTCCGTGTTGCCGTCGTTGTCGCTCTCACGACTCACTCGGTTTCGAAACCCTCCGGCGACTTCCGCGGGAGACCCAAACGCGGTGACGACATCTTTCGCGTTCTCTTTCGCGGCCAAATCTCTCAAATCTTCGCTCGATAACGTTCGACCACCGACGCGCAAGACGCCACCTCTATTTCGCATGTATTCTTCCTCGTCTTCTTCGTCCGAACCGTTCATCATGTGGTGAGACGGTTGATTGTTGTTCAGCCCCGCGAACGGGCTCGCATTCGGACCGGCAACTTCTCGGCTCAATTTAACATCCGCGAGCCATCTCGCCCAACTCGGACTTCTGTGGTCGATGTGTAATCGTAACTCTCTCGCTCGAGTGCTCGTGCCGCTACCGTTCGAACTTCCCGGGCTACCTGGACTGCTAATGCCACCGATGGAGTCCGCGTCGCTTTCTCGGCTCTTTCCAGAAAGCTCCGGCGGTTCCTCCGCGATGATGACGTCGCCTAACAATTCGCCGCCACGCAACCCACCGTAGGTAATTAATAGCGGACCAACCGCGGCCGTCGCGTGTCTGCATCTCTTCGCATCTTTCAAAGCGTCGAATTCTTCCCCACCACCGTTCGTAATCTTCCGCCACCCGGCTCTTCCGCTCGCGCTCGTATCCAACGCCGCCACCGCGCAATCCTCGGGCACGGTTGTCCCACCCCCATTCGTCCCGCCAATCACGTGTAACCTCGCCTCTACGAACGCGCTCGCGTGTTGATACCTCGCGCAAGGTGCTTGCCCAGGCGCGGCTGCCCACTCCCACGTCCCGTCTCTGTGTCTCGCCAATCCCCTCGCGTCCGCCACCGCTTCGCCTTTCGCGTTCCTCCCTCCCGTGAGCAGCAACAAACCATCGCTCCTGGCGCACGCGCTCGCGTACATCCTCGGACTCGGCACATCACCAGTCGCCTCTAAACGTTTCCACGCGTACGGTTTCGCCGCGGTATCCAAAACCCACCCGTCGTCCAAACACTTCGACCCGTCGTTGCCGCAACAGCACACCAAATATCGTCCGGCGACAAACGCCAGCGAGTGCGCGTACCTCGGCACCGGTCCTTCCCCGGACACAACCACGCGCTGCCACTTCAGCTCTTTCGCAGGTTTCGACGAGGAACTATTTGTCGCGTTCTCGTTCTCGTTCTTGTTGTTGTTATTCGCGGCGTGATAATTCGCCAAATCGAGGACGTGTAAATCCGGTCCGCTCAACCCGCTCGGACCTATGCCTCCGTGGACGACCAACATGCCCCCGACGTTGGCGGACGCGTGCGCGGCTCTCGGACTCGGAGGATCCCCGCTCGGGCGCAATTTTTGCCACGTCCCAGACTTCACGTCGAACACGTGCACGTCGTTCGTCGCTCCGGCTAAACGTACCCCCGAAGAACTACTGCTGTTCGTATTCGCGTTCGCGTTCGCGTTTTTGTCCGTTGTCGTCGTCGCATTTGAATGTGCATTTTCCAACGCCGTCGCGCCTCCAAACGCGACCAATCTGTGCACGCCGTCCCACTGTAACGCGGTTAACGTGTGCCCGCATCGAGGACCCGGGTGGTCCGACGACGTTTCGTGGCATAAACCGTGGAATTCAGCCGAAAGCATTCCTTGCGTTTCTCTCTAATGCTTTCTGATGATGTGCGGGAAAAGAAGCGTGGTCTTGCGTGTTAAAACCGCTTCTATTGCTTAGGGTTTCCAACCCTAATAGAAGAGCTCCTTTTCTCTCTCACAAATTTTCAAATTTCCGTCAAAAGTTGGTCTCGTTTGCTCGTCGCGTTGCGGAGGAAAAGGATGACGACGACGACGAATTCAAGGAGGAGATTCGCACGACGAGATGATTTGGGGTTGCACTTCTCGCCGTTGTCTTCGTCAAAGAAGAAGTCGTTTTTGCGAGAAGTGACGAATACGCATTCGAACACCGCGAACACCCCGAACGAGGAGGAAAAGGAGGAAACGTTGAAGAACAACGGACAAAAGAAGACGTCGTCGTCGTTAGAACTGAAATATCGCGCGACCGTCGCGGTACTCCAAACGCACGCGAACGCGTTCGAGCAACTTCAACGAAAACTCCAGGAAAGCGAACGAGACGTGAAAAGAGAGACGACGGAGAAAGAACTTTTGGCGAACGAATTGGAATCGAAAAAAGAGCAACTCGAACGGCTCAAAGACGCGTTGGAAACGGCTCGAAATCAGGAAAATACCTGGCGCGCGGAAAAGGAATCCGAAACGCGCACCGTGCGCACAAAAGTGGATGAACTGAAACAAAAATTCGAAACGAACGCGGAAGAGACGCAAAGAGCGATGGCATCGATGGAACTCGAGAGAGTTGAATGTGAAGGCGAGATGAGACGGGCGAAAGCGAGCGAGCGCGAGGCGAAAGCGGAGGCGGAGAGGCTGCGCGGGCGACTGGATTCGAAAGAGACGGAAACGAAGGAGAAGGAGGAGAAAGTCACGGGTTTAGAAGAAGACGTTGGAAGGTTGAAAGAGGCTTTGTTGGAGAGACGGAAGACGCAAGAGGACGTGGAACACGCGTTGAGAGAGACGAAGAAGAAGTGCGTGCGCTTGGAAGGGGAGTTGAGAGGGAGGAGGCAGACGCGGAAAAGTGGTGGTTTTAGTAACGGGAGTAGTCCGGCGGCGGCAAATACCACGTCGACGCCATCGTTAACGTTAGCGACGACATCATCAACGCCATCATCACACGACAATGCGTATGCTACTACTACTACTACTACTACTACTGGTGAGCGACCGCCGTGGGACGATTCGTTCCACGCGAGCGCGAATAGGGGAGGCGCGCCTGCGTCGTCGATGATGCGTCCGATTGCGTTCCCGGACACGCCGATGTCGAGTAGTACCGCGCAACGTTCGACTTTGTCGCCTCCCAATACTAATATCAACAACAACAATAATAGAAGGAACAACGACGACGAGTTGCGAGACGCATTCCGTCACGTAAAAGCGTTTGGTCAAGAAATTGCCCACTCGTGGCGCGAACGCGCGACGCGAGCAGAAAACCATCGCGAACAGCTCGAACGAAACGTAAAAGCAATAAACGCCAAGCTCGTGGACGAGCAATTAAAAAACGTAAAGCTACTCGATGAACTGAAGATAACGAAAGCGACCATCGCGCGGTTAGAAGCTGAAAATGCGACCAAAGAATCGGACCAATCGTCCGCGCGAAAAGAGTGCGAACGTCTTTCTGCTCTCTTGAATGAAGTCAACGAACGGAACGCCTCCATCGAAACCGTCTGCAAAAAGCACAGAGATTCCGCGCTCGACGCCTCAAAACGCGTCTCTGCCGCCGAAAGCATCCTGGACGCGTTAAAGGCGAAAGAGCGCGAAGCTTTCCGTCTGAGAGAACTCAGCGAACAACGGCTAAACATTTGCGAACGCGAGTTACGCGCCATGTCCTCTGAACTCGAAAAAGCCAAAGAACACGCGTGGAAAATGGTCGAAGTGCAAGAACTGACGATGCGTCGCGCGGAACTCGCGGAGAAGAAGTTGGTTGAAATCACCACCAACAACAAAATGTCCACCATGAATACCGGTTTAGGAGGAAAATTTTCCATCACGGAGGAAGCCGCCTCGCCTTCGATCGACGCTTGGATCAAGACGCCGACGAACGGTCAGACTTTAATGACGCCCAGCGTCACGCGAGGTGGACCGACTTGGACTCGAACGCCGCTCAGAAAAGTCGCGTAATAATAGTTTATGTAATAGTATCGATGCTGTGGTACCTAGTACCTCGCGTATTTAATGAATATTGAGATGGAATTTCCCTCACTCTGAAACCTCCCATGTCCATCCTCCGGGATTTTTTCTTCGCGTGCTCGGAAGGTCCCGAGTGGCTGTTTACCACCAAAAAACACCCTCATCCAAACTCTCACTCGCACGAACATCAGCATCAACGCGGTGCGCTCATCACCAAAGCGAGAGTCATCTGGTCTTTGTTGCATTTATTTTTACTCCACTTCCTTCTTTCTTTCGGGAATAAAACGAACGCAAACGTGCCGTTCCCGAGCGCGAAAGAACAAACGCTCTTCTTATCCGCGATCGTATTGAACGCGCTGGCTTATTTTGTGGTGTCGTTTAGTTCGCCAGGGTTCGTGATGCAGCCGATTATGGGGGCGTTTCCTTCGTCTTCTTTGTCTTCGTCGTCGTTGATGAAGATGTTTGCGAGGAGCAGCACAAGCACAAGCAGAGCTTTGAGCGAGAAGGAGAAGGCGAAGGAGGAGGACAATTCAATTCGGCTTTTCTCGCCAGAAAGAGACGAGGCAGAAGACGCGGAGGATGAAGAAAACGGTGGTGGCAACGATACGACGACCGTCAACCGAGAATGCGTGCACTGCCAACCGCCGGTGTTCCAACCGATCCGAGCGAAACATTGCTTCGCGTGCAACCGGTGCGTGCGCAAGTTCGATCATCACTGTCACTGGATTAGCAACTGCGTCGGGGAGAAGAATCACGGGAAGTTTTTGGTGTTTTTGACGACGCAGTTTATCGTCGTCGCGTGGGGATTGTTGGCGTGTACGCGAACGTTCGAGTATTATAGCAGCAGCAGTAGTAGTAGTAGTAGTAGTAGTAGTAGTAGTAGTAGTAGTAGTAGTAGTAGAAGCCATCGGAAACCTTCGAGTATGGCGGAACTCGTCGCCAACAACGGATGGAGCTGCTTCGCGACGCTCGTGTTCTTCATCCTCACCGTCTTCGTCGGCGCGTTGTTCTTCACGCATTGGTATCTGATCCTCTCCGCGCGAACGACGTACGAGTTACTCGCGCCGAGACGCAAGGTTTGGTACTTGCCGCAACGAGGAGGAGGAGGAGGAGGAGGAGGAGGAGGACGACACCAACAAAATCATCATCGAGAGTTTACGAGGAGCCCGTTTACATACGGAACTGGATGTCACGGCGCTTTCATGAACTTGAAACGAACCGTGTGCATCGATAGCACCTTACCGAACGATATCGGCGTGAAATGGGTCGTTCCGACCGAGAGAGCGTTAGCGGAAAGGGAAGCGGAGGAGACGTGTTTAGAAAATTCCACGTACAGCTGTTGTTAAAGAGTTCAGAAAGTCAGAGAGAGAGAGAAAGAGAGAACGAGAGCACGAGAAAAAGAATTGAACGTTTTATGGCGTTGTTCGTTGTTGTTGTAAAGAGAGAACATTTAACATATTCGCGCGCTGTATATTCCTCACATTTACCTAAAACGACACACACTCGCGAATTTCTAATGAAACGCCTTTCGGTACGACGACGCCGACGATGAAAACCGCCGCAAAAAATAACCACCACCATTGCGACGGACGTCTCCTTTTCCTTTCCGATGCGTTTCATCGTCGGAATCATCAAAGTTGTCTTCCCCGTGGAGAAGAAGAGAAGAAGAAGATTTCGTCGTCGTCGTTTCCATTCTTAACCGCTTTTGGTGCTTTTGACGAGGAAAAGAACGAGAACGAGATCGGCGATGAAAGAAGAAACAGCCCCTTTTCGACGGAGGAGACAGAGGAGGAGGAGATGAAGAAGGAAAAAATGTCGTCGTCGACGTCGTCTTTGTGGGCGACGGAAGCTGAGTTCGCGAAGGACGCGAAGGAGATGGAACGGTTGAAGATGATGGTGAAACGCACCGTGGACGAGGCGAAGAAGAAGAAGAAAAAGAAGTTAAAGAAGAAGAAGAAAGGAATCGATGTTGACGGCAAAATGGCTACTATCTCGACGGTGAAAGTAATGCTTAAAGGCGAACGCGTGTTCTCTCGTCACGCGATGAAATCGTTTGAAAGAATAGAATCGCGAGACGGGAACATCGAGCGTGCGTTTGGCGAAAGACGATTGAGGAAACTGTACGGGCGCGTCGCGAAGAGCGACGAGAAAAAGAAAGGGACGACGATGGTTGAGGTGCACATAGATCGCGTGCAAGGTTATTCCGACGCCGACGAAGAGAGCGATGTCGTCGTCGTCGGATGCGTCGACGCGTCTTCTACCGGCTTGGGCGTCAAATTTGAAGATACCCCGGAGTTTCGAAACGAAATGCGTCTGCGCGTGGACGCGAACGACGTCATCGAAGGCGTTCATCATCCTTTTGTGTTTGTTCAGCTCGATAGTTTAGTCTCTTCGTTCGGTTCGGAGTGTCGTTTCGAGTGTTACGACGCGAGAAACGATTTCGAGCCGCTCGATTTTGAGATTGTGTACTAATAAATGTAAAGTAGTGCGTACAAAAGTACCAAAAACTGCTGTGTATCGTAGGAGATGACGAAAATTAAGTACCTAGTACTACGGGTAGTAGTGTGGTAGTTTGTGTTACAATCGACTCGCGTTCAGTCATTCTTCCGCGCCGCACTTCAAATTTCTCGGCAACGAAGCGTCTATTTTCTTCGGATACGGTAAATTTAAATCTTTCATAATTTGGACAAACTCCTCCTTCGTCTTCCCCGCGCCTAACCTCGGGTTCAACCGTTTCTCTTCTCCAATTGTAGACACCATCCTCCCTTTATAATCGTGCGCTGGCCAAACTTTGCAAGTATCCGGCAACCCGCCGAACAACTTCCCGGTGACGCCGTCGAATAACGTCTCGGAGGACCCGCCTTGAAAATCCGTCCTCCCGCACCCGCGAATTAACAACGCGTCGCCGGTGAACACGTCCGTGTTGTCTCCTAAAACAAAGCTCACGCACCCGTCCGTGTGCCCAGGCGTGGCCAAGCACTTCAACTTGACCGACGTCCCGACTTGGACCACGTCGCCTTCGTCGATGAGCACGTCCGCCATCGCCCCGGCTCTTTTACTAATCACGCTCTTCACCTCTTTCCTCATTTTCTTAATCTCCCCGGACCCGGTGATGTGGTCCGCGTGACAGTGCGTGTTCACGCAGAGCTTCAGCTTCAGTCCTAACTCATCAACCACCCTCAAATCCCTCTCCACGGTCTCTAAAACCGGATCGATGAGTAAACACTCCCGCGTCTCCGCGCACCCGAGAAGGTACGTATACGTCGAGCTCTCTTTCTCAAACAACTGTCGAAATATCACCTCCGAATCCGAGAGGCTCTTCTTCTCGATGCTTCGTTTTAAAAACTGCACGAAATTCTCTCTCGTCGTCACGTTCAATTCCATATCTCTCGCCACCCGCATCGCCGTCTCGAACGAGAGCGAGAACTTCTCCGCCAAATATAACACGTACGGAATGCCCGCTCGTGTGGCTGTCGAACACTGAATCACCGCGGGCGTTTTAAACTCCGTTCGCATGTACTCCAGTAAATCGTTTTTCAAATGTTCGTTCAAATTCGTCCCGTCGATTGGGATGACTTTAAAGCGAGTCTTCTCTTCTCGTCCTTCTTCCTTCCGTTCGAACGAACGGACTTTCGCTCGAGGATTCCACTCGTTCCTCTCGGGGTTCAGATACAACCACGATTGGATGCCAAACTCATTCCACAACGATTCGACGGCGAGATCGTCTAAATCGCCGCACAAGAACACGGCGTTGTTTTCCAGAGGTTTGATTATCGATTGATCGCTTTTCTTCTCGCTCATTTTCGGAATGAAGGTCTGTTTTTGTGGTGTTGTCTTTCAAGAGAAACGGGAGTTATGTGTGCGCTGAAATTCTGATGAGAATTCTCACGTAATGGAGAAGCTGTGTGGTGCTCATATTTACGTTCGAGACGCGCTCGACGCATAACGCGCTTCTTTGGGAAGAAAAAACGACGAAGATGATGAAGGAGCTTTTGTTGTTGCGCGTGATGATGCGCTTTTCTTTCTTTTTATATATTTAATCTCTACGTCTCTCTCTCTCTCTCTTACTCTCTCTCTGTAACTCTCTTCGTCTTCGTCTCTACTATATAGTATTAAGCAATCTTCCTCATCAAGCAATACACGCGATCGTCAACGTCCACTTCGCTCATCGCCTTCGCGTCCGTTTTCACGCACGCCAACAACCCTCCGAAAGAAATGTACGTCGCCGTCTTCTCTGTTCCGTTTGAAACGTCTTCGTTCGGTTCCGTCTTTTTATAGCACTTCCCGTGCGTGACGTATTCGTACTCGTCGGCTAAGGTTTCTTTGTTTCTCGATTGATCGAACGTGGTTGGATCTTCCGGACTTCCGTCCGTATTCAACGTCGACGCTAACACCAAGGTAAACTTCGTCCCGACTTCGATCGGGTACACGTCCACGTTCACGTCTAAAGTGAGTTCGCTGTCCCCGTACGGCGTCGATCGGCAGACGAATCGACTCACTCGGTCGAATTTTTTCCCGTCTGGATCCACGTCGATAGTTTCGAACATCGCTTCGTATTTGATCGACGACGACGCTTCCGCGTCTGCCGCTCCTCCTCGCGCTGCTGCCACCATAACGATATCTTTTTATATTACTTAGTATAACGCGTGTTTTAGTGCGCGTGCGTTCTCTTCGTAACGCTCTGAACTCTTGCAATCCTTTCTTGTTTTATGCGTTGCGGCTCCAAACGCACAAAATCTCTCTTCTCTCTCTGTTCTCTCTCTCTGTTCTCTCTCGCGGTCTCCTCAAACACGAACACAACGACAGTACGCGCTCCTCTTCGAGCCGCGCTCCGCTTCTCCTCCTCTCTCTTTCTTTGCTTTATGTACTCGTAATGAATACGCACTAATTAATGGAGAGATTTTGTTTTCCTCCAATCCCTTTCCACACACGTCCTGTGTGTTGAACGAAAAGAAACGAACACGAAGGAGAGTGTACTCTTTCCTCAGTGCAACGCACGAAAAAGCGTAGTACTCTTCGCAGTACAGAAACCGCCCTTTTTTGTACTGAGAAGAGTAAGCCCGGAGTACCCTCGACAGACTTACACCCTAAATGATTGTCTTTTCACCTTCTCTCTCTCTTGCGTTGGAGATATTTTCACTCCATTGCAAAGCGCACAAGACACACGCACTATTACTACTATCATCATGGCGGGAGAAGAAGAAACCGAAACGTTCGCGTTCCAAGCGGAAATCAACCAACTGTTGAGTTTGATCATCAACGTGCGTAGTGGTACTTGTTTTGTATGCGATGTACCTCTTCCAGAGAGCGTCGTATTCTTTTCCCGCGCAAATCTTTTCATCGGGACACGAGCGTTTTTTCTCTCGTCTCTTCGTATGCGCGATGACACTGACCCTTTTCTCTCTTTAACGCTCGCATACACAGACGTTCTACTCGAACAAAGAGATCTTTTTGCGAGAATTGATCAGGTACGTTTATATGTTTGTGTGTTCTTCTTTCGAAAACAGCAAACGAAAGAGAGAAGCGAAAGTTTCGTTGACGCGACGGTTCGTCGTTCGTTTCCCGATCGGCGGCGGATTGGATTGTCTCTCTTCTGACGATGATTGCGAAGAAAACTAACGCGTAATAATACCTCTCAACTCTTACTCTGTTGTTGTTAAAACAATAAAATTATTACAGCAACTCCTCGGACGCGTTGGATAAGATCCGATTCGAAGGCTTGACCGATAAGAGCAAGTTAGAGTCGCAGGTACGACGACGCAGAAATCAATTAAAACATTCTTCCAAAAGCTTCTTTTTCCTTCTTTTTGCTTCTTTTTTTTTCCTAAAAATTCGGACCATTTTTGCTGACATTTTTGTTCTCTTTCTCTCTTACGCGATACGAATGACGGTAAACGACATAACAGCCGGAATTATTCATCCATTTAATCCCGGACAAGACGAACAACACCATCTCAATCATCGACTCCGGGGTTGGGATGACGAAAGCGGATTTGGTGAACAACTTGGGGACGATCGCGCGATCCGGGACGAAGGCGTTTATGGAAGCGTTGACCGCCGGCGCGGATATTTCCATGATTGGCCAATTCGGCGTTGGTTTTTACTCCTCGTATTTAGTCGCGGAGAAGGTTGTCGTGTATACCAAGCATAACGACGACGATGGGTACAGGTGGGAATCCCAAGCTGGCGGGTCGTTTACGGTGACCAAAGACGCCGACGCGGACGCTTTGGGGAGAGGGACGAAGATCGTTTTGCACTTGAAGGACGATCAGATGGAGTATTTGGAGGAGAGACGATTGAAGGATTTGGTGAAGAAGCACTCGGAGTTTATTTCCTACCCGATTTCGTTGTGGACGGAAAAGACGACCGAGAAGGAAGTTTCCGACGACGAGGAAGAGGAGTCCAAAGAAGGCGAAGAAGAGGAAGGGAAAATCACGGAGATCAAAGACGAAGACGAAGCCAAGGAGAAGAAGAAGAAGACGGTCAAGGAAGTCTCGCACGAATGGGCGATCATGAACAAGCAAAAGCCGATTTGGATGAGAAACCCGGAGGAAATCACGAAGGACGAGTACGCCGCGTTTTACAAGTCGTTGACGAACGATTGGGAGGAACAGTTGGCGGTGAAGCACTTCGCGGTGGAAGGTCAGTTGGAGTTCAAATCAGTTTTGTTCGTCCCGAAGCGCGCGCCGTTCGATTTGTTCGACGGGAAAAAGAAAGCGAACAACATGAAGTTGTACGTGAGAAGAGTGTTCATCATGGACAACTGCGAAGACATCATCCCGGAGTATCTCTCGTTCGTCAAGGGTATCGTCGATTCCGAGGATTTACCGTTGAACATTTCTCGCGAGATGTTGCAACAAAACAAAATCTTGAAAGTCATCAAGAAGAACATCGTCAAGAAGTGCATCGAGATGTTCAACGAAATCGCGGAGAACAAGGACGACTACACGAAGTTTTACGAAGCGTTCGGGAAGAACTTGAAGTTGGGCATCCACGAAGACACGCAAAACAGAGCCAAGTTGGCGGAATTGTTGCGATACAACTCCTCGAAATCCGGCGAAGAGATGACGTCGTTGAAAGATTACGTCACGCGCATGAAGGAAGGGCAAAACGACATCTACTACATCACCGGCGAAAACTTGAACGCGGTCAAAGCCTCGCCGTTCATCGAGAAGCTCAAGAAGCGCGGCTACGAAGTCTTGTACATGGTCGACCCGATCGACGAGTACGCCGTCCAACAGTTGAAAGAGTACGACGGCAAAAAGTTGGTCTGCTGCACCAAAGAAGGCTTGCAACTCGAGCAAACCGAGGAAGAGAAAGCGTCGCTCGAAGAAACCAAGGCGAAGTTTGAAAACTTGTGCAGAACGATGAAGGACGTCCTCGGCGACCGCGTGGAAAAAGTTGTCGTTTCCGACCAACTCGTCGACTCGCCGTGCATTTTAGTCACCGGCGAATACGGATGGTCCGCGAACATGGAAAGAATCATGAAGGCGCAAGCCTTGAGAGACAACTCCATGTCCGCGTACATGCAATCGAAGAAAACGATGGAGATCAACCCGGACAACGCCATCATCAAGTCCTTGCACGCTCGCGCCGAATCCGACAAAGGCGACAAGACCGTCAAAGATTTGGTCTTGTTGATGTACGAGACCGCCATCTTGACGTCTGGTTTCTCCTTGGACGAACCAGCGACGTTCGGCTCTCGCATCCACCGCATGATCAAGTTGGGCTTATCCATCGACGACGACGACGACGAGGAAGGCGACGACTTGGCTGACTTGCCGCCGTTGGAGGAAGACGTCGACGAAGGTTCCAGAATGGAAGAAGTCGATTAATTTTAATGCACGACAAAAGCGGAGGTCGAGGAAAGAGGAAGCGAATCATAAAAGAGAAAGCTTACTACGAACGAATAAAGAGGAGGTTGAGGAGGAAAAATACACGAAAATATACACACACAACGGAAAAAGAGAGAGAGAGAAAGAGAGAGAGAAAGACGCCGCGATATCGCGAAGGGAGATATACTACACGTATTTAGAGAAGGCGTTTTAATACATAAACACCTCCTAAAACTGATACACTTAAAAACGAAGACACGAAACCCCTTAAAAAACGCACTAAAGCGCACGCGTCGTCGTCATCACAGGTGATGACAATAATAATGACGACGACGACGACGGCGCTTTTATTGAGTAGTATTCGCCTTATTTTTTTCCTTCATAAAGAGCCGCGTCTGTCATTTTTTCTCCCCACAACACATACTCCTCCTCATTAATTCGCGGAAACAAACGCACGCGCAAAACGCAACACGCGCGCGAGAAAGAGCGAAAGAGAGAGAGAGAGAGAGAGGCGTTCTTTTGCGTTGAAAGTGAGCGCGAATACTTTTGTGGTTGTCGTTGTTGTTCGAGAATAAGTACACATGAGCAGCCACCCAGGGGGCGCTTCTGGGGAAATGCAACAGACCAGGCACACATCTTTCACCAAGCGAGAGTACGCGCAAATGAAGCGAGAAGTCCAAAAAGTCGTACTCCCAGTCTCGGTGGCGATATGGGCGACCGTGTGTTTCGTCGAGATGCTGAGAACAGATTCCGACGACGACTCTTACGATGCTACGAATACCAACGGATCGATGGTTTCCTCTGCCTATAACGAAAAGGCCACCGACTCGACGAAAACGAAAATGATTGGAAGCGTAGAAAATGCATTCATTTTTGTCCTCTTTGTCACCGCGGCGACGTTTGGTCTGTATTTATTGTTCAAACACAGATGCGGGTCGGTGATTTGGGCGTACATGGCATTTTCTGGGTTTAGTATATTCGGCGTTTTAGGCGCGACGGTGGCGCTGCAGGTGTTGCGGAGGTACGAGATAAACGTGGACGTTGTTTCGTTCGCGTTTTATACGTGGAACGTCACTGTGGTTGGCGTTTTGAGCGTATTCTTATGGCCCGGGAGTTTACGCGTGAAGCAAGGGTTTTTGGTGTTGATTTCGGTGATTGTTGCGTATTATTTCGTGACGCAAATCGCAGAGTGGACGACGTGGACGATGTTGGTGTTTATGGCGATTTACGATTTGTACGCAGTGTTGACGCCAAACGGGCCTTTGAGGAAGATTGTAGAGTTGAGTCAAGAGAGAGAGGAGGCGATTCCAGCGTTGGTATACGAGGCGAGAGGCGGTAGTAGAAGTGGTAATGGTAGCAGAAGACGGAGGAGGAAGAAAAGTAACAGTGAACGGCAAGGAGACGACGCTTCGTTAGACGGAGACTTGTCGTCTTCGCCCGAGAAGGACGCAGTCGGGGAGAAAACATCCCTCTTAGGAAGAGAAAGCAACGGTAGTAGCAAAATAGAAACCGCGCCACTCCTCCAACGTTTCGACGAGAACGATGACGACGACGACGACGACGACGACGAAGGCGACCTCCCGGAAGGCATCAAACTCGGCTTGGGCGATTTCATCTTCTACTCGGTCCTCGTCGGCCGCGCGGCTATGCAATCCTTATTCTGCGCCGTCTTTTGCTACGTCGCCGTCATCAGTGGCTTAATCGTCACTCTCGCCGGTTTAGCTTTGCACAAGGCCGCATTACCAGCGTTGCCAGTCTCCATCGCGCTCGGCGTCATCACCTTCGTCGCGATTAAATTTTTGATCGAACCTTTCCTCGTCTACGAGTTTGGCCGCGACGCGATGGAATCGATTCCGGACGATTACAACCCCGGCATGAGTAGTAGTACGAGTAGTACGAGTAGTATGAGTAGTAGTAGTAGCAGCAGCAGTTACTCGCTGTTAGGTCAATCCTCCTCTTATTGGCCTTTGCATTAGGAGAGAGAGATAAAGTGTTGTAGTTTTATCAGTTTGTTCCACGAGGTTCCTCGTACTTTTGACTCCATTAAAAAATACTGCACCATCGGACAATTAAATTAAACGGAGATGCCACGCGCTCGAGGATTTCATGCGCTTTGTTTCTCCTTCCTGTGCTTCATTCGGGTGGTTCTCGCCATCGCCCCGCGCGATTTATCAAACTTTCAGGGTTTGTACAGCTGTCCCGTGGGTGCTTCGATTGCCAGAGTGAGTTCTGTTTCGCAAGTGCAAAAGGTCGTGAAAAATGCAAAGAAAGTGAAAGCCATCGGCGTCGGGCACTCGTGGTGGCGCGAGAATTTCTGCGCCTCCTCGTCGTCTTTATCGTCGAACGAGGGAGAGGAAACGACGATACCTCTGGGAGGCGCTCGTGGGATGCGATACGTCGGAGAGATTAACGAGAGAGAGAAAACGGTGAAAGTTGGATGTGGGATAACTATTCGCGACCTGTTGGACTCTCTCGAGAAGAAGGGATACGTGTTACCGACGTTTCCTTGGTACATCGATCAAACGTTATGCGGTGCCATCGCGACTGGATCCCACGGTTCTTCTTTAAAGTTCGGCAGTCTTTCGAGCGAGAAGATGTTGTTGGAGATGGAAGTCGTCCTCGCGAACGGCGAGTTGAAACGGTTGACGCGAGATAAAGATCCGGAGTTATTTTCGGCGTTTAGTGTGAGTGTGGGTAGGCTCGGGGTTATCGTGAGCGTAACCGTGCGAGTGGAGGAAAATTCAAGGACAGAAAGGCACGTGAAAGTTATGAGCGCGGAAGAGTTAATCGAGGAGTTGGACAGAGCCGGAAAGGAGTTCGCGGAGAACAACTTTACTGTGACGGAATCGCTGATGAACCGATTGGACACGACGCAAAGCTTGTGGTTTCTAACCCGAGGGTCGAGTAAAAATGCCGCTTGGCGAGCGACGCACGTGACGAGACCGAAAGTGGCCCCGGTTCCCGGTTCGCCGTTTTACGAAGCCGAGAGAAAATATTGGGAGAAGAAACGAGACGCGTTTGTCGCGGCGAACGAAACGCCTGAAAGCGCCGCGCAAAGGTCACTCGGACGATTCCAAGAGAGAAGATGGGTGCGAGAGTTAGACAGAAATACAGATGGAAGCGAAATCTCCACGCCGAACGTGCAAACGTATTCGAACATTCGTTTCGATCGTCAACCGAGAAGAATCGAACGGCGAGGTGAAATCCCTTCGTTGGGCCTTGCCGCCACATCCGAGATGGTCGCGTATTTGCTCGAACGCGACTGGCTTCCTGGACCGGATTTTTCCAAACGAGACGCGCTCGTCTCGCAACGATTCGAAATGTCCTACAACGCCCCGGACGCAAACATGTACGATCAGTACGAAGTCGCCGTACCGTTAGAAAAAGCTGCCGAGTGCGCCCGAGAGGTTTATAAAGAGAGCGGCAAAATATTCGAATCAACCGGCGATACCGTGGCGAGAAGTGGTTTTCGAGTCCCAATCTTGTTACGATTCGTATCCTCGGAGCCGGAAAATCTTCTTTCCCTCTCCTACGACGGACCAAAAGTGTACTTTAACTTCGAGGACTATCTCAAATACCGCTCGCCATCCGCCTCGGAACCGAACGCCGCCTTCCGCCTCGTCTCCAAAGTCTTCCACTCCTCCAAATGCTCTCACGGTCGCAACCACTGGGGTAAAACCAAAGACTACAAAACGTTACAATCTGTCTCTCAGCCGTTGCACGAACAGTTCAAATCCAACTGGTGCTCGTTCGGGTGCGTCGCCAAACAGCTCGACCCGGATCGAAAGTTTGAAAGTTTGTTCCAGAAAGGATGGACCTGGGACGAGAAAGCTTTGGAGTGCGGATGTAAATCATCATCATCATCGTCAAAATTTACATACGACCACGTGAAATGCGGGGAATGGTGCGGCGGAGGCTCGTTCGCCGAATAAGAAGGAATAAAATGAAGAATACGTGTCACGTGTTTACTACGCTAGCGAGTGCGTATTTTTTGCCTCTTTTTGCTTGCAAAGAAGAACCTAATGGATAAAGAAGCAGATTTTTCTTCACAACTTAAACACGCGCGCATATACACGCAAAAACACACACACGCACGAAACATCGACATGTTCGCAACGACACCTTCCGTTTCTTGTGCTTTCACCGCTCGAGACTCGAGAAGAGCTTCTTCGCAGTCCGCTGCTTCCTCTCGGTGTTCCTCTTCCTCTTGTTCCCGAAGCGGCTGCGGATTTCCACTTCTGAAAGTCTTTTCCTTTGAAGGTGCGCGAGGGATAAGGAGCGATAGAGGGAGTATTACGAGCATCAAAAGAGAAGGAGGAGCACATCACCACTCGTTCTCGCGACGACGTGAAAAGAAGAGCATCAGTATCAGTAAACGACGACGACAAAGAGAAAATGGGTTGCTGTTTTGCCCCAAAGCAGAAGCAGATAAAGAAGGCGAGAAAGAGCAACCGAAACGTTTATCGAAGAAAGAAGCGGAGGAAGCCGCACGAGCCGCGCTGATGGGTGCCATCGGGAACAAGAAAGATAAACTGAAAGCGTTCGATAACGGAGGGAGAGGCGGCGGTTTTTTCAATTTCGGCGGCGGCGGCGGCGGCGGCGGCGGCTCCGGCGACGGCTCGAATAAAGGGACTTTGCAAGTCCTCTTCCTCCTCTTTTGCGTCGTGTTTGTCTTTTACGGGTTGAAACCTGTGAGCGCGATGTTCGTGAACTTGATTTATTACGCGTTTAAGATTCCAACCGGGCGACCAGGCGACGAAGAACCGGAGGATGCGTTGAGTTACGCATCCGGGAAAGCAGGGCAGAGCGCGGATGCTGACGTGATCAGTAAATACGGAGGAGACGACGACGACGACGACGACGACGACGACGACGAATAACTCATAAATAAAAGCTATAGCCAAGAAAGATACTACTAACAAAAGGGAAGGTCCTGATGATACTCACGATACCAAATTTATACACTACTGCTCCCATTATCCTCCGTCCCTGGTCTCCGTATCTCTCGCTTTTGAAAAGTCATCTCAGAGTGCAAATCACCTCATTAGTATTCAAACACCCAAAACACCTCCTCTCTCGCGAAAACTCCGCGACAAAATACACACAACTACTCCTCTCGCAATAATGGTCAAACACGTGGAATCTGCGGATGAATTTCTCGCGCTCAAGAAAGCGAGCAAACCGGTACGTGTATCTCTTTGATCATCTCTTTTTCCCCAACGGTCTCTACTTTACAACAGTCGTTTTGTGTTTGAAACGCGCTCTTATTCTCTCGTTATATCTCTGCTTTGCGACGACTTTTGCGCGCGCGCTCTCACTCACTCACTCTCGTACTTTTACGATCGACGAGATGTGAAGAGTGCGATCCTTTCGCGCTCTCGCCGCTGACAAACGCATCTCTCTCTTTCCAACAACATTTCGAACATTTTGATCTGATTTTCCCCGACAAGTTATTGGTGGACTTCACGGCAACCTGGTGCGGCCCGTGCAAAGCGATCGGCCCGTACTTCGAAGAGCTCGCCGCAAAGTTCCCAGACGTCACGTTCGTGAAAGTAGACGTGGACGAATTGGACGACGTCGCGGCGTCGTGCGGGATTTCAGCGATGCCGACGTTTCAGTTGTACAGCAACGGGGTCATGGTGAAGGAGATGTGCGGCGCGGATAAGGCGAAGTTGGAAGCGTTGGCGAACGAGGCGAATGAGTTGTAATAAATGAATCATCATTAGCGTCATCATCGTGCGTTGATTAGAGAAGTATTCTTTTAATAACATATATATATATAATAAAATATATACCACGTGGCGGTACGATGATATCGAGTCGCTTATTTTACTTTGGCTGCGGCACTTTGCTACCACCACCACCATCACCGTTGCCGTCGTCGTCTCCAGGCGGTCCGCCCGTGGCCCACCCGGGCGGTAATTGCCCACCACCGCCTCGTCTCGGCGCCGTCGTCGGTGTCAATAAGCGCTCGTCTTTAAACTCCACCTGACTCTCCGCGTCTCTCAAAAAGCTACCAAACGCCACGGCTTCTAAAACCAAACGTCTTTGCGCGGCATATGGTAACGTCAACGTTTCTACGTCGTTGTTTGCCACCACCTCTCGAACTCTTTGCATGAGTTCCTCCGGCGTCGTCGCGTTGTCGCCGACGGCTTCCATGAGTTCTTTTTGCAATTCTTCTAAAGATCCGAAAAGAGCGCCGGTTTGGCGTTCAGCTAACGCGACGCCTTCTAAAGACACGATTCGAGCGGTTTTGGCCAAAATCTCCCCGTTAAACGTTTGCACGTATTGCTTCAGCGTCAACTTGCCGGTTTCCGGCGTGTCCACCCGTTGATTTTGATTGTTTCTAATCTTTGCTTTTTCCTCCTCGCTAAACCCGCCGAAAAACTCATCTCCGGCGTAATTCGTCGGATCGTCCTCGGCTTCGTCCATGGAATCCATCGCCGACGCCGCGTTGAACACATTCTCCAACGCGATAGCAGAATCCATTGGATTTTGCGGCAACGTCCCCAACGCTCGATCCAGCTGAAACCTTTTATCCACTCGCCTCACGAAATACCCAAACATAATCGACGCCGCGTACACTTGCGCCGCTTGCAGTTTGCTCATCCTCACCAACTGACTCGGCCACGAGTTCGCCGCTTCCGGTCCTAACGCCGCCATCAAATGGTCCCGAACCATTTCCAAAGCCTCGCTCGAGTGCACGCCCGACGTCAGTCTGCTCAAATCGATGGATTTAAGAAACGCGTCGTCGTCCAAGGGAGGGAGCATGTCCACGCCGGACGTTAAAAACTGTGTTCGTTTTTGTCGTTTAATAAAAGCGACGAAAGCGATTGAGAAAGAGAGAGATGAATAATAAGAGAGAGGTTAGTACACACACGCACACAAACATCATCAATCCATCGTCATCGTCATCAAGAGGGAGAGAAAATATCTAAACTGTTTTTGCATCAATTAATTAAAATAGTACCTTGTGTATGATCGAAGCGTACATCGCGTCTTCCACCGCTCTTCTGCGGTCCATTCTTTTGATGTCGTTGATTCGTTTGTACAACGTCAACGACATCTCGGAATCCTTGGAATCCTTCTTTTCATCGCTCTCGTTCATCATCGAAGACGAAGACGAAGAATCGATCTCGTCGCTTAACTTTTCCAAAACGGATTCGATCGCCGCTTCGAAGCTTTGCGGTTCCGTGGAGAGGATGTATTCGAGCATTTCTCCGTGCGGGGACGTCGGCGTGGCCGGCGCTAAAGAGAACGACTTATTCTCGTCTTCGCCCTCGTCGTTGGACGGCGAAATAGCATTCGTCTTCGCGCTTCTTCTTTGACGAGGAGGGTGCCTTCGTCTTTGCGTCATCTGATGTTTCTTCTTTAAGAGCGCTTTAGCGGGAGGAGGAGGCGCTCTCGAAGAGGACACGGCGTATGAAGCGACGAAGGACGGTGCGAATACCGACGAGGACGGCATGGTATTAATTTCGCGAGCGTTCGTTTATGAGTGCGCGCGCTGTTTTTCCGCGTAAAAATGAAGCATTTTTCTTGCAAGGAAAATGCTTCATAAAAGAGAACTTATAATAAGCTCTCGCTTAACCGCATCTGGAAACGCTTCTCGCGCGAAAGAGAGCGAGAGAGAGAGAACGATAACGTCGACGATGATCTGTTCTCGTCGAGCGATGGAAAGGGCGCTGCTTTTGAAAAGGAAGAGCAGCAGGTTTACGTCCACTTTCGCGTCCATTTCGTCGTTTTCCTCCAAAGCGCAACAACGAGAAGACGAAGATGAAGCGCAGCGAGGACACCGGCTGGGAGGAACAATAACGACGACGAGTGCGCTTCCTTCGCTTCGCTCGAGGATGAAACACTTCGCGAAAATCGTCCACCCGGATATTCTCGGACAACATTTTCCAAGAGCGAACGCGATGCACGAATCAGAGGACAAAGAACGGAAATACGTCTTGGAGAATAACCAAAACGCGTTGGCGGAGTTGAACGCGGTGCTGGATTCAATCACGAAGGAGAAGAAGTTTCCCAAGACTGGAGTGAAGGTGATTATTGCGGTTTTGTTGTTGAAGGCATTTTTCTTGTCTCTCGTCGTCGTTTCTTTCTCTCTCGCTCTTTGTCTTTGTCGTCTCGGATGGATGTTCGTTCCGCTTTATGCGAGCGGATGTTCGCGTTCGCGCGCGCTCTGTCTGTCTGTCTATCTTGTCTCTGTCTGACGCGTTTCTCTCTCTCTCTCTCTCTCATAACAGAGGCTGAAGTTTTATTACGTCACGCGGGAAAGGTCCGACGTCGTCGAAAAGAGGATGATAAAGAAAGAAGGCGAAGGGAAGGAGGAGGAGGAGGACGAAGGCGAAAAGGAAGACGAACTCGTCTTGCGCGAGGCCAAATTTACGCTGAAAACGAACGGCGGGGACTGTAGGAACGTGCTGAAGCAAAGTTTGCGGAAGTTGTTCGCGGAGGTTTTGGAGACGAGTACGAGTGAAGGCGGCGGCGGCGGTGGTAGTAGTAGTAGTAATAAGAGGAGCGGGAAGAAATCTAACAACAACTCTTTTTCTTCTTCTTCTTCTTGTTCTTCTTCTTTGGGCGATTTTACGTGGGAAGCGTCGGATTGGGCGAACGAAGGAACCGAAGAGGAGCAAGAGCGGGAGCGGTTTCAGGAGGAAAGGAAAAGGCAAACGGAGGAGTACGAGAGAATGGTCGCGAAGAGGGAAAGAGAGGAGAGGATAAACGGTAGCAGTAATAGTAGCGATAGTAATAGCCGAGAAAAAAGCTCTTCTTCGCACGCGTCCGAAAAAGAGATGAAACGAGAACAACGGCGACACGAAAAGTTACAACAAGATTTGCGAAACATGGACCCGTTGTTTGAAGGCATCGCGTTTGTCCCGTGGTTGCCGGAAAACGAGGCTGGAAAAAGTAGAAAATTAAGCGTCGCGAAAGAAGTCGTTCCAAAGTTGCAAAAGAACGGTTGGAATTTGAAAAAAGAGAGCTTGAAAGAGGTGTGGCGAGGGCAAAGAGACCGGGCGGTTTTGTTAGAAGGTTTGGACGGAGCGAGTGCAGCGGCTATGCACGCGATATTGAGGCACTCGGAAATCGCGGAGAAGCAGTTAGGACCGCCGGTGATGAATAGCGCGGATACGTTCGAGTGGTTCGATTGATTGCCCGCTTGCTTGCTCGTATGTTTCGTATCTCTCTTCAAATATTTCGTTGTATTTATAAAAAAGGAATGTAATGTGTATATCAAAAAGTAAAGCTTGGGTGCGAATACAGCAACACGTACGATTCTCTTTCAAACTTTTCAGTTTCGTTTAATCGCGCATTGCCGGACGTGCCCACGATGTCCTCGTCGTATATAGTCCACGTTTCTTTGTGGTGAACGTTACCGCGTTCGAGGACTTTTTTGTTTCGCACGTGGAGTAGCGTTCGACCTCGTTCTTCGTCTTCACCACAGTGCGAGAGAACCGAATGTAACGAATAAACCCCGTCCCCTATATCATTAGTAGTTGTGGTAGATGCGCACACCTCCGGTGGAAGGGTGTGGTTGGACGATTTTGGCAACAGGGAAAGAGGAAGATTTTTTGGACACGAGACGCGCCAACACACCTTGCGTCGCTCGTTGACGCTCGGATCGTCTTTCCTCTTCATCCAGACGAAACGGTTTACATGCACGAGTAGATATCTCGGCAACTGCGTCAACAAACGCGTTTCTTCCGCGACATCTGCGCCGCACTTTGCGCACCGGTGCTCGATAACTTTCGTCTGAAAATACTCTCTCAGTTGCACCTCCAAAGGGTGATGCCGCAACGAGCCATTCGCGCTATTCAACGAAGGCATGTCGAGAGATAAGTGCATCATCGTCTCTTCGCGAACAGAGACGTCTTGACACGCGACGCATTGCGTGCGAACTTCGCATCGCATCTCAAAGTTCCGTCGCGCGGGGCACCTGGTTTCGTAGACGGATAGGTTTTGGCACGCTTCTTCTTCTTCTTCTTCTTCTTCTTCTTCTTCTTCTTCTTTTTCTTCTTTCGGTTTCCATAACGCCTCTTTTGCGGCCATTTCTTGCGCGACGATTTCACCAAAGTTAAGTGGCGCTTCTAATTCTTTCTTGTCCGCGTCTTTTGTCGTCTCTTCCTCTTTCTTCGCCGTTTCCTCTACCTTTTTCTTCTTCTTCTTCGGCAACTTACCGACTCGATGCGCCTCTACCATTTCCTCCTCTAAAGTCTCCAACACGCCCAAAAGGATCTCTCTCGCATCGCTCGCCTTCTCGCCTCTCTTTATCTTCACCCTTTTCCATCTTTCCTCAACTTTTCTCGCCACTGCCACCACCGCCCTTTCTTTCTCCTCGCCGGCTAAAGTGTCCGCGCAGTAAAAGGCGTTCGACGACGACGCCAACAAAGCCTCGCGCAAGATCGGAAAGAACCGCCATTCTTTCCATAGATACGCGCTCGCGATGATCTCCGGATCTTCCTTCGAGTCTTTTACAAACGCATCCACGTGTCGCAGCATCGTCACGACAGCTGTCCACGCGACATCCGGGTGCTTCGAATCGTCTTCTTTGTCTTCGTCTTCCTTCATCTCAGAGGTCGTTTCGCCTCCTCCTCCTGCTCCTGCTCCTGAGTCCGCTCCTTCGCTCAAGCTCTCTTTCTCTTCCCTCACAGGACGACGACGAGGATAAAACTTCTTCTTTTCGCCGCTCGTACCACCGAACGCCATCGTCGCGTTCCTCCTCTTCTTTATCGCGTTTGGTGTCTTCACGCACTGTTGTTGTTGTTCTTCGTCCTCTCGTCGTTTCTTCGCCGCTTTGAAGGTCACGTTTACGAACGGGACAAAACCTCTTCTCTCCTTGCGTTCGCGCGCTGTCTTCTTCATTTTGTGTGGAAGAGCACAGAACGCGTTGTTCGATTCTGGACGAAACGAGTGGATTCGATGTTCGCGTCGTCGTCACCTTTGGTCGTAAACTCGCGCGTATTCTTTCGCGTATTTTCTCTGCCGCTTTTTGTGTGTTTCGCGTCACAAAATATGTATCACCACACGTCTTCTCTCTTTGCGAAATGAGTTTTAACGAAACATGAAACCGTACGCGCGGAACGAAAACTACGCGTTCCTTTCCGGGTGCACGATCACGACGACGACGACAAAGACCGATGCTTCATCGTCTTCATCCGCGCATTCACGAGGAAGAAAAATCATCGATTTTTTTCCAATCAACGACACGTTTTTGCACGTCAGCGAACAAGTCGCGGTGGTGTCGATTGTCTCCGCGGTGTTCGTTTTAGTGGACGTCGGGAGAGTGAGAGCGAAAGAGGTTTTACTTTGGAGCGTTTTGAGCGCGATGGTTGGGATGGTTTGCACGAGAGTCGATGATGCGGACGAAGCTGAGGAGGACGAGAAGAAGAAGACAAAGAAGAAGTCAAAAACGAAGAAGATGTTACGGAGCAGCGAAAAGCATCGTCGAGATCATTTCGTGACCGCGCTGAAACGCCGAATTCGGCTCGGCGTCGGTGTGACACTCGCCGTGGCGATATCCTCTCCGCTCTTTCTAACGATGACGGCGTCGGTGTCCGACGACACCGCGGTGGCGGTTTCTGGAATCCTCGCGTTTGTCCATCTCGCGACGCACGATTATCGCGCCGAGAGCACGAGTTTAGGCAACGCCTTGGAAGGAGTGAGTCTGGTGTCGGCGATTTTCAGCGCGAGTTTAATGGCGAGCCGGTTGAAGACGGTTTTGGACGCGTTCGCGTGCGCGTTGTTGGCGGTTGGCGCGTTTACGATGTCCATGCCGTTGCGGAGGCAGTGGCGAACGAGGGAAAAAAGCACGTCGTCTTTCGCGACGACGGTTTCGGCGCACGGTATCGCCGCGTGGATGCTTGAAATGATCGACTCTAAGTTAATGATCGCATATGTTATTACAATTGGACTCTTTTTAACGCTCGCGCCGCTTTCGTTCGCGTTCGCGCGACGGACGTTAAAGATGAAAATCGAAGGTCCGTGGGCGGAAGCGAAACCGGAGTTGGACCTCATGCGATCCTCGGTACGACGCGCCGGGGTGCCAATTTTTAGACACATTTTAGCCAACGCGCCGTCCAGAGGGAGAGAGGGGCGATAGATAGATACATGAGCAGATAGATGGATAGATTTTAGTGGTACTTTATGTATGTTAGTTCTGTACGAGAAAGTCTTAATTTTAGTCAGAAACGCTTTTTTTTCACAATTGTTAAAAAAAAAGTCAACAACAACAACATAAAAATTCGCATGGTTTCTCCTCTTACTTAGATGACTTTCGGATCACACATCAACCGCGCGATGTGCGTGGACTACTCCTCCGCGTTTCTTTTCGTGTACGTCTCAGTGCTCGGCGTGTTTTTTAGACGAAAACATGGAGCAGGGGTTGCGAACGCGGAGGAGGTTTTTGATTCAATTCCGACGAATGTTTCTTCCTCCTCTTTTTTCCCAACGGATCCGATGTCGCCGATGTCGTCGATGCGGCAGCCGATGGCGGATCCGGCAGAGATTCCAGAAGCCGCGCAGAGTGTCCTCGCCTCGCACCCAACCTACGAAGAGCGCTGTTTCGACACGCCAGGGGACGGGAAACTTCCGTTCTGTTGGTATTGCGATCCTTCGCGGTGCGCCAAGACCAAAAATTATGAAAATCCGGATTTAGCGAACACGGAATGGTGTCCGTCCGAAGCGTGTAACGGATATAACGACGCAGAGAAGTGGGAAGGGTATAATTTTGGATGCGGGTTTGAACGAAATTGGTGCGAAACGGGCACTGGTTCGGAGACGAAGTCGCAGTGTCAGGAGAAGTATCGGCGCTCGGAAACAAACTGTAACTGCGATCCGGAGAATCCAGTCCAGTGTCCCTCTTCGTCTGCGCAACCGTCGCCGCCTCCGTCGCCGTTGCCGCCACCGTCCCCGTTGCCACCTCCTTCACCACCGCCAATTTCGTCAAACGCAAATGGTAACGATGGAGGCGACAGCTCGTTCACAAATGTGGAGGTGACAACCATCGACGACAACGACATCGACGGTTTGTTTTCATCTCCGCCGCCGCCATCAAAAGACGCTTCTTCCGCAGACTCTGGATTTATGACACCGTCCAAGCTTGGCGGCGCTGCCGTGGGCTTAATCGGTATTTTCTTCCTCGCGGCGTTTGTTGGGTATCGGAACTATATTTGCGCAAAGATCATGCCCAAGTGGTACAAGAATAACGCGAATGTGAACGCGGCGACTTCAGACGAAGAGAACGTGCCCCCAGAGTGGGTTTCGAATAAGTCCGCCTCCAAAAAGAACAAGACGAAAAAGAAGAAGCGCGCCCCGACGACGAAAACGGTCGCAAAATGAGAGGGAAGATGTTTGCTGTGTGTGTGTGTACATAAATACCGTGTGATTTTATTATTTATATGAAAATGAATTAAAATCTTGTGTGATGTTGTTCTCGTCTTTCGTTGTTTGCGGCAAACGAGAGAGAAAGGCGGCGCGAAACACCGCTTCATTTCGTCGGTTAGTCACTCCCCTCTCTCTCTCTCTCTCTCTCACGCCCCGTTTCTTTTTTGTTTTGCTAATATTGATTGCTATATGTGTCCTTTTTATTCTTCTTTTTCTGTATTTTATATGTTTAATATTGTGTTGGGTAATGTTGATGATGTGTATTGTGTTCATCGTCATCAATCTGTACTTTTACTTTTCCTCGTCCTCCTCGTCTTGCTCCGGCGACATGTTCGGCGCTTGCGGAGAATATTGCGGTCCGCTCGGAGAGTAAATCGGCGACGTCGGTGAAGCTGACGGCGATAAAGTCCCTCCAGTTGGCGAGTATTGCGGCGACGTTGGCGAGTACGCCGGCGACGTTGGTGAGTACGCTGGACTCGTCGGTGAATACGCCGGCGACGTTGGCGAATACGCCGGCGACGTCGGCGAATACGCTGGACTTGTCGGCGAATACGCTGGACTCGTCGGCGAATACGCCGGAGACGTCGGTGAATACGCTGGGCTCGTCGGCGAGTACGCTGGACTCGTCGGCGAATACGCCGGAGACGTCGGTGAGTACGCCGGGCTCGTCGGTGAGTACGCCGGGCTCGTCGGCGAGTACGCCGGGCTCGTCGGTGAGTACGCCGGGCTCGTCGGCGAATACGCCGGGCTCGTCGGTGAGTACCCTGGACTAGTTGGAGAATACCCTGCACCACCCGGACTGAATCCAGGCAAACCAGCACCACCTGCACCACCTTGACCGTAATCATAATTCGCCGGCGAGAACGCCATGCTCGCATCGAATGGCGAACGCGCCGGGGAGATCAAGAAGCTCGGAGATCTCGCGCCGACGCCGCCACCCGGGGTCATCACCATCTCTCTACCCGGCGTCGCGCTCGTCATGCCAGCACCGGCACCTTGCGGATTCCCGAACAAGTCCAAGTCAATGGCGTCTTTCAACATCTCTTCGTTGAGATGCAGACCGAATTCACCCGTACCGACTGGACAGAATTGGCCGAGCATGATGTTTTCACTCACGCCAGTCATTCCATCTCTCTCCGAAAACGCCGCCGCTTCCATGAGGATATCGACGGTTTCCTCAAACGAACATCGCATCAACGGACCAGTTTCCGCGCGGTTAATACCGTGACGAGTGATGGACATCAAATGGCCTCTGTACGTCATTACCTCGACGAGAATCGCCAAATGTCTGTAGTTGACGTATGAACCGTCGAATTCGATGACGCCTCTGAGTTCTTTCAACAACGCGTTTCGTACGGCTTCGATACCGAGGATGGTGATCACTTCCACGAGATGGTTCGAGGTTGTTCTCGAAAAGTCAACGTCTGGGTGCGCCATGACTTCGAGCAAGTTGCACCCTTCCGTATCGAGCATCCACTCCGAGTGCTTTTCAAAAGTACCCGTGGCTTCGTTGAGTTGCGTCGAATTCGCCTCGCGGATGAACACTTTCTTAATGTCCGGAATACCTCGCAACGCGAGCGTGGATAATAACTGCGCTTCGATACGTCTGAGGAAGACTTCGTCCTCAATGACACCTTCGTCCGCATCGGCAGCTTTGCCTTCTGGCGTAATTAACCGCAAGCGCAAAATGAGCTTTTCGCTGTTATCATCGTTGAAAATGACGTGAATGTCGTCTTGGAACTCCTCGGAGATTCTCTCCGCGACGTCCGCCATGGACAATTTCTTATCGACCATCATCTCTCGGTTCAATTCAATTCTTAACAACCACGGAGAGATTCGGTTCGGGTCAATTTCCTCGTCCGGCATTTCGTAATAGGATTTCACAAACTCTTTATCGAATGGGATCACCGTATCTTGAACGTCAGGGTCGTACCAAATTTCAGTCATCGCAGCTACGGAAGCTAACGTGGTGTACTCTAACGTCGCTTGTACATTCTTCGCGTGACCACGATCGCTGGCTAAATCTTTCCGTAAAGCAATCGTCAAAGATGGCGTCTTAATTGACTTGGCAATGTTGATGATTTCTTTTAATCGAGGGACACCCAAGGTGACGTTCTTGGCAGAAACGCCCGCAAAGTGAAAAGTGTTCAAAGTCATCTGCGTCGCCGGTTCCCCGATGGATTGCGCGGCTACGGTACCAATACCATCGCCCGGTGGTGCCAACGCTTGTTTAAATCTGGATTCGATTTCACCGATGACCCAGTTAAACGCAGAGACGCCGAGTTTGTGTTCCTTCATGACGCGTTTCGTTGCCAAGCACGCTCTGACTTGCGCGTAAAACAAAATCGTCGCATTTCTCTGGGCTTCAATCGATAACTCGTCTTTACCTGGTACGACGATGAGTTTGGAAAGCAAATCGCGGACGCACGTGATGATGTAATCTGGATCTAACTCGTTTTCCATGAACGCCTTGGTGTCTGACTTTTTCGGGTTGGCGTATTCTTTTTGCGCGTTCCAGATGATTCTCTTCAAATTCACAGGCAAGTGCACGCCTGGATCGCCATTCGCTAAGGTGTAACGCAAATTGTCTCGATCTGAGAGTAACGTTTCCCACTCGAGATCCAATAACTGTCTTTTCTCTTGATCGCGAGAAATCGCCTCGGCTCTTTCGTCGCTCAACCACCCGTCGTTCCATCCCGGAACGTCCGGGTCCACGCGAAACTTCGCCTCGAACTGCGCGTTGGATAAACGCAACGTGTCAACCTTTTGCGATTCAACAGCCGTCGCGTCCATACCATCTTCCCCGTAAAGAAATTGAATGACATCTCCGACGGAATTTCTAACCGTACCGTCGTATTTTACGATGACGTCTTCCATCGCCTTGACCAAACGTCTCTGAATGTAACCGGTTTCGGAGGTTTTCACCGCGGTATCGATGAGACCTTCGCGGCCACCCATGGCGTGGAAGAAGAATTCTTGAGGGGTCAACCCTCTTAAGTACGAGTTTTCGACGAAACCTCGAGACTCGGGACCGAAATCATCCTTGGAAAAATGCGGTAAACTTCTGTCCACGAAACCGTACGGGATACGTTTTCCTTCGACGTTTTGCTGACCGACGCACGCGCACATCTGCGAAATGTTTAAGAAAGAACCCTTAGAACCGGCTTGCACCATCATTTTAACGTTATTTGAATCCTTCAAAGAAACTTGCGCGGCTGTGCCGGCATCGTCTCTCGCCTTGTTCAAGATTTGGTTCACTTTTTGTTCAAACGACTGCTGCATCGTCATCCCCGGTTGCGATTCCAACTCGCCGTTTTGTGCGAGTTTGATCACCGCTTTAACATCACTCTTCGCCTTGGTGATGGTATCGTTAATAGTGCGCATGGTACCGTCATCGGCAATCGTATCGATGATACCGCACGTAAAACCGTGGTGTAGAAGCCAATAATTGACGAGTCGTTGAACCTCGGAAACGAGATTTCTCGCCGCCGTCGGTCCCCACTCTTCCCACGTGACGTGAATTAAACCGCCACCGCCAGATCCCATGGTTTTCTTACACAAAGTACCGGTAATTAATTCGCCTCGTTCGATCCTCACCCCGGTATCGTCTACGCTGAAATCTAAATCATCCGCGTCTCTGGCCCACGAGGACGTGCGAATCAAGTTGATGTGCGGAAGCATCATCGATAACACTTGCTTCCCGGTCCACAACGGCTCTGGTTTCAAAATCGCTGGTTTCGGCACTTTCCCGTCCCAGTTTTCCAACCACATGATGATGTTCATGAACACGTCTTTTTTGATGAACGTTTCTCGAGAAGTCATTTTTCGGCACCCCAAAAGCGTATCTTGCACGATGGCCATAACCGGCTTGTTCGCTTGCGGAGATACGATCATTTTCGGTACCATCATCAACTCGGCAACTTCCGCTCTCGTTTCGTACGATTGCGGCAAGTGCATGTTCATTTCATCGCCATCGAAATCGGCGTTGTACGGAGGCGTCACGGAGATGTTCATACGAAACGTCGAGTACGGCATGATGCGCACTCTGTGTCCCATGATACTCATTTTGTGCAAAGACGGCTGACGGTTAAACAAAACCACGTCGTCGTTCTTCATGTGTCTTTCAACGCGATACCCAAACTCCAACTTCTTCTCCGACGCTTTCTTCAAAAATCGCAAATCCAAACGTTGGCCGTCTTCGCGAATGATGTACTTGGCGCCCGTTTCCCCCGGCGGTGGGTGCGGTCCATTCTCCACCAATCTCGTCAACTCGTCGATGTTGTACGGCGTAACTGTTTCCGGGTACGTCATATTCAAAGCAATCGACCACGGAACGCCGAGTTGATCCAACATCAAGTTTGGATCGGGCGTGATGACCGTTCTCGCGGAAAAATCAACGCGCTTCCCCATCAAGTTCCCTCGAATTCTCCCGGCTTTCCCTTTTAAACGTTCCGAAATACTCTTAATCGGTCTCCCCGATCTCGTCATCGCTCTCGGTTGCCCAGCCACCGTGTTATCCATGAAGGTCATGATATGATATTGCAACAACTCGGCAAACTCATCCACCACGTGCGCCGGCGCCCCGTTTTGTTCTTGTCTCTGTAAGTTCTTATTCGTTCGAACAATCTCCATCAATTTCACCGTCAAATCATCCTCGCTTCTCGTCGAGGCATCGAAGGATACCGACGGTCTCACCGGCGGCGGTGGAATCGGCATGACTTGCAAAATGAACCAATCCGGTCTCGCGTGTTCTGGGTCTAATCCCAGCAATCTACAATCTTCGTCCGAAATATTCTTCAAAATCTGCAACGCCTTCTCCGCGGTAATCACCACTTTCCTCTCCCCACCGTCCGGCAACAACTCCTCGTCGCACTTCTCAAAGTTCGCGGTAATCTTCATCCCTTCGCACCGATACGACGGTTGCGCCGTCCCGGTGTGCGGACACTCCGTCCTGGTCTTGCACGCGTCCGTCAATTTCTTTAATCGATGTTTCGGGTTCTGAATCCGCATGATTTGGTTAAACCTCGCGTCAGTTTCCGGATCCAACAAAATTCTCGACGAAGAATATCCCACGCACCTCAAAACCTTCAACACGACGTTTAAAAATCCGTGATGATACACCGGTTTCGCCAACTCCAAGTGTCCAAAATACCCCGGATTGTGCACCGAATCCGCCCCGTCCGTTTCACACACCGTCCCTCTGTCCATGGTCCCCATCCGAGGGTCGGACAAACCGCCTCTCTTCGGTTTGCCCTTTTCGTACGTTTCCGAGGTTTCGATTTCGCACACCGACATTTTTCGCTGTTTTCATGAAGAAAGAGAAAGAGGGAAAGAGAGAGAGAGAGAGAGAGAAGAAGAGAATTAATGTCAATAATTTGTGATCATCGCGTTTGTGAGCAAAGAGAGATTGTTGATGAAGAAAAAAACAGCGCGCTCGGAATTCGAGCGAGAAATTCGAGCAGATGACGACGTCCTTCTCGTGCCATTTTGCGCTCAAAATCTCACTTAAGAGTGTTTCCACGCGCAGAAGAGGAGCCACGCGTGTGAAATCTTCTTTCGAGCATTTCGATATCGTCTCGCCAGCGCGTACCGCGCGAGCGAAAGATCAACACGACTGCTCGACCGAGAGAACACCCCGCGACAGGACGAGAGAAAAAGAAAGAATCGCGCTTTGAAATCATCAATTTGTCGGCCGATGATGATCACTCGATTTTCCCTCCAAATCATTTCCTTAAGAGAAAGAAAGACAAGTAAACTCACGATTTCATCCGGCGATAAAACGCCAAACTGAACGGTTTTCACCCGTTTCAGTTCCGCGGTCGAGTGCGGGAAGCGGTCTAACACGCTCATTTTATTAAGAGAGAGAGAGAGAGAGAGAGAGAGAGAGAGAGGAGAGAGAAATTTGCTCTGAGGGAAGAAAGGAAAGAAACAGAGAGAGACACGTTAAACCCTAATAGTATACAAACCCTAAACAAAAATGGTGATGCATTTGGAGGCAAAATTTTGAGCAAAAATTCGTTACAAAAAGAGATATGAATCGAATAACGATTTCCCCGTTAAAGATCCCAGCGGTCGAGTTCGGGAGTTCAAAAGAGAGCAAGCGAGGGTTGATATGCATACAAGAGTGGTGGTGAGAATAGTTGTTTTGTTTTTGTTTCTTTTGTTTTTGTAGTATATTCTCTCTCTTCTTTTTTTTCTCATCAAAAGTTCTTAGAGTTCGTTATAAAAGTGGAGAGAGAGATACTTAGTATTAATCATGTTATTCTCTCTCGCTCTTGTCTCGTCGCTTTCAAACGAATATAGGGGGGTAAACTCTGGGATTTTAGCGCACGCGGAAAAGCTCTCGAACGATTTCGACGCGTACGTGGTCGTGCCTGATTTGTACAAAGGGAAAATTGGGGTGGACAAAGAGGAAGCGAGTCATTTAATGAACGAGATGGATTTCATGAACGCGGCGAAGGAGATCGGGGAAGTCGCCAAGTACATGAAAGAGACGAAGAATGTAGAAAAAGTGGGGACGATTGGGTTTTGTATGGGAGGGGCGTTGAGTTTGCTCGGAGGGTGCACGAGTGACGACGTGGATGCGTGCGTGGTGTTTTACGGCGTTCCGAGCGGATTCGACGTCGAAGCGAACGTGAAGAAACCGGTTTTGGCAAACTTTGGCGAGTTGGATAATTTGGAAGGGTTTTCGAGCAAAAAAGACGCGACGGAGTTGGAGGAGAAGTTGAAGAAATGTCCAGCGTCGGGCGATTGTGAGGTTATTTTGTATCCAGGCGTCGGGCACGCGTTTATGAACGCCAAGCCAGATCCGTACGAGTCGTTCGAGGCGAGAGAGAAGTCGCAAGGGTTCGCGCCGTACGACGAAACCCAAGCGAACGAGGCGTGGAAGAACGTGAAGACATTTTTTGAGAAGTATGTGTGATAAATGAATAATAACGGGTCGTTTGAGCAGCGCTTTTCATGTGGACGCCACCCACGTGTGCGTATATATGTACAAAACTAAAACTCCCAATAATATTCGCGGGGCTTCAAGCTTCAAACGTTTTTTCTTAAAGTTTCGATCGCGCGACAATATTTGGTCCAATCATCTCCCTCGGATTGACAATCGTATCGAAGTCTTCCTCGCTGACTAACCCTAACGCCAACGCCGCTTCTTTCAACGTCGTCCCGTCCTTGAACGCTTTCTTCGCAATCTTTGCCGCCTTGTCGTAACCGATTTTCGTATTCAACGCGGTCACGAGCATGAGCGAACTTTCCAAATGCTTCTGTATCGCTTGATGGTTCGGTTGGATCCCACGAACGCATCTCTCCGCGAAACTTTTACTCGCATCTGCTAACAGTTCCACCGATTGTAAGTTATTATACACAATTAATGGTTTCGCGACGTTTAATTCAAAATGCGACAACATAGAGTTCCCGGCGGAGATGGCGCAATCGTTACCAATAACTTGCGCGCACACCATCATCAACGCCTCACACTGCGTTGGATTGACCTTTCCGGGCATAATCGAACTCCCTGGCTCGTTCTCCGGCAAATACAACTCCCCTAATCCAGCTCTCGGCCCAGATCCTAACAATCGCACGTCGTTGGCTATTTTTGAAAGACTCAACGCGACTGTTTTCAACATCCCGCTCAACGCCACCTGCGCGTCGTGCGCAGCTAACGCTTCAAATTTGTTCGGTGCGGAAACAAACGGTAATCCAGTCAACTTGGAAATCTCTTTCGCCATATCCTCGGCGTAATTCGCGGACGTGTTCAACCCGGTGCCAACCGCCGATCCGCCGATGGCCAATTCCAACAAGTGCACCAACGATGCTCTCACGCGTATCAACGCGTTCTTAATCTGTTGCGCGTATCCGGAAAACTCCTGCCCTAACGTAATCGGTACCGCGTCTTGTAAATGCGTCCGCCCAATCTTCACGATATCCTTCCACTCCTCGCTTTTCTGTTTGACGTCTTGGTACAACAACTGTAAATTTGGAATCAACTTTTCGTACACCTCGTACGCCGTGGCAACGCTCATGGCGGTTGGAAACGAATCGTTCGAGCTTTGACTCATGTTCACGTGATCGTTCGGGTGGACTAACTTTGACCCAAACTTCCCTCCTAACAACTCCGTCGCTCGATTTGAAATCACCTCGTTTACGTTCATGTTCGTTTGCGTCCCGCTCCCGGTTTGCCAGACGACCAACGGGAAATGATACCGATCAAACTTCCCGGATATAACTTCCAACGACGCCTGCCGAATCGCATCCGCAATTTTCGGGTCTAAATTCCCGTCTCTCTCGTTCACCGTCGCCGCGGCGTGTTTCACCATCCCCAACGCGTGCACCAACGCGAACGGCATCTTTTCACCACCAATTCGGAAATTCTCCAAACTCCTTTGCGTTTGCGCGCCATACAACGCTTCCGCTGGAACTTCCACCTCCCCCATCGTATCCGTTTCGATTCTCACACTACTGCTACCACTACCACCACCACCGCGTTCTCTTCCTTGCCTTCCCGCGTGCTCGTCGCCGCCGTAAAATCCATCCTCAAATTTCATCCCCAAACTCACTTTTGGTGGAATCACGCGATACTTTTGCCTCTCCTCCGACGGTCGCCGCATCAGTTCGTACAACCGGTCGCCGATTGAAGACGGCATGATGATACTTCTTCTTCTTTATCTTCTTTTCCTCGAGACAAGTGTGTATTAATTCCCGCCGCGCGATGATATACAGAGTGTGAAATGAGTTCGTTATTCAGAGACTTTGGCCCTGTATTGCGTGTGGGTTTGATGCGTCATTTTTATTCATTGGCTTTCGTTTGCTCTCGCATAATACATATGAGCTGATGAGAAGAAGTGCGTTTCGAATACTCCCTCAAAAAGGTCTCTCAGTTTTGCACATCTTGTCTAGTCGTCGAACAAAGGACTTTTTGAAACGATTTGCCCTAAAAAACTCCCCCCAAAAACAACAACAACACTTCCCTCATAATTCAAACGCTTCTGGCGCATTTAAACACTCACACACACAACAACAACAACACTCTCTGTCTTTGAGAACAACTCTCGTCCTCGATCCGAAGAAAAAAGGTGTTTTCAAACGCGACCGCGCTTAAATCGTCGCGAGAGGGAACGATCGAGGTGGAGGATCAGGAGGACAAAACTTTGAAACGATGATTCTTCTTCTCGGGAAAAACAATTGTCGACCGCTTAATTGTCTACCGCTCTTTGATCGCGTCATCATGAAAAGGAACGCCGATGAGTGCGGTTTCTCGAGAAGAAGGAAAAGCGAACGTAAAAGAAAAGGGAGAAGCGCTTCGGGGTTCGTTTTCTCCTCTCTTTTATCTCTCGCGTTCTTGTTCTTGTTCTCTTTCGCCGGGGTAGAGGCTCAGATTGCCACCGCAACAGCAACAGTAGGAAGTGAAGAAGAGGAGACTTTCGCGGTGAAATCGTACGTCAACGGCACGGTGGCGGTGGTCTCCAAGACGGAAATTCTCATCGACGCCTCGGTCGTTCGCGTGCCTTCTGACGTGTACATCGCGGCTTTGGAAGACGACAGTTTAGATTTAACCGGAGATGTCGGGTTCGATTTGGACAAGGTGGAAGCGCAGTTGACAAAGTTGAGCGACACGTTAGCGAACGTGAAGTTGTTATCGGCGAGTGATGCAGGGAACGTCCAGTGTAACCGAGACGGGACGAAGGAGATGAGATTTGACTTTGAGAGCAAAGCGTTCGATGCGACGCATTGCGTGTGTAAAGATCAATTTGTGGGTGATCTGTGCGAAACCGCGGTTGGAGCGTTACCGGGAGACTACACGGATTTTATAGCGGCGGTGAACGAATGTTTGACGGTGGATCCGGTACACGGGATTTGCCCGGACAGCGCGTTCGGCGTGATGAGCGATTGGGACGTTTCGCTGGTTTCTAATTTTGCAGAGGCGTTTAAGAGCAGATCTACTTTTAATGCAAACATTACCGGTTGGGATACGCGATCGGTGGTGGATTTTACAGGTACGTTCGAAAGTTGCCAGGCGTTTAATCAGGACCTGTCGCGCTGGAGTACGTCGACGGCAACGTCCATGTCACGCATGTTCTTCTCTGCGACTGAGTTTGATTCTGATCTTTCGGGCTGGGACACGAGTAAAGTGGCTAAACTAGATTATTCTTTCGCGTATGCTAGTAAATTCAAAGGCGTCGGATTGAGCAACTGGAATACGGCGAAAGTCACGACTTTGGAGGGCACGTTTTATGGGGCGGCGGTATTTGACGAAAACATTTCGAGCTGGACGACGACGAAAGTGAAGAATATGAATTTGACGTTCGCAACATACTACGGAGGAGCGCATGCATTCAACCAACCGATTGGTACATGGGATACGTCGAGCGTGACGGCCATGGAAACTACGTTTTATTCCAACCCGAATTTTAATCAAAATTTGAAGTGGAATACGAGCTTAGTGGAGAGCATGTATGGAATGTTCGGGTACGCTTCTAAGTTTAACGGCGAACTTGCAACTAATGAAGCGCTCGGGTATTGGGGCACTGGGTCGGTGAAGGATTTTTCAACTATGTTCGCGAGAAGTTCGTTTAATCAAGATATCTCTGGTTGGGACACGTCGTCGGCGGAGGATATGTCGTACATGTTTTCTGGTGTTTCTAGTTTCAATCAAGACTTGAGCAAATGGGACGTCTCTAAAGTTACAACATTCAAATCAACGTTTAATGACTGTCAGAACTTAGACACGGATCTAAGTCAATGGGATGTTTCTTCAGTCATGAGCTTTCAGCAAACGTTTACCAAAGCGTACTTGATGAACTCAGATATGTCCTTGTGGAACACCGCCAAGGTTACAAACATGTATGGTATGTTTCAGTACGCGAGGACTTTTAATAGTCCAATTATAAATTGGGACGTCAGCAAAGTAACAGACATGAGATATATGTTTTACGGAGCATTGGCATTTCAGCAAGACATTTCCTCGTGGACGGGAACGGCAGCGACAACGGCGCAATCTAACATGTTTTTCGGAGCGACTGCATTTGAAGCGAATTTCGCGTGTGACGACGCCGTCTCCGGTCCGGCGAGTTCGTGTAAAAGAAGATAGTGACTGGGGAGGAATGAAAAGTGTGGAAGTATATCGGGAATCATAACTATTTATGAGAATTCGAGACGATATAAGGGTCGCGCGAACATTTAGCCAGAAGCCGTAGAATGAAGACTCAAATCCATTCACGTAAAAGCACAAAAACATATCTGAATTCATCACTTTTATGTCGCTCTTCTTCTCGACGTTTCATCATCAAACTTCCTTCAGGCTCTGCTCTCGTTACTCCTCGTCCTCGTTTTCTAAATCGTCGTCTGGAATAAAGCGTCTCTCTTCTTCTTTCCTCTTCGTAAACGAAAGTGAAAGGAAGACGTTTCCTCACCGTCGAGTTCACTTTTCCCGAACGCGCATGTCCAAGAGAGATTTCGGAGATACGAAAACAGCGGCAACATCATCGAAAAGGCATCAATCCATGACGGGAACTGAAGACACCATCGGCACGCACGATGGGTCGTTCCACTGCGACGAAGCTTTGGGGTGCTACTTGCTTCAAAACACGGAGCAGTTCTCCAACTGCCGAATCGTTCGCACGAGAGATGCCGACGCGTTGGCGAAATGCGCGGTCGTTCTCGACGTCGGCGCGGAGTACGACGTCGCAAAGTTACGCTTCGACCACCACCAAAAAGGGTTCTCGGAGACGTTTAACGATTTCAAGACCAAGTTAAGCTCCGCTGGGTTGGTGTATAAACACTTCGGGAAGGAAATCGTGAGCAAGAAGATCGAGAAGAGTGTAGAGGACCCGATGACCAATCAGTTGTATCTGAAGATGTACAAGAGTTTTATCGAAGCGGTGGACGGCGTCGATAACGGAGTTTCGCAATACGATATTTTGGAAGGCGCGGAACCGAACTACGAGAACAATACGAACTTATCCAGTCGAGTTGGAAAGCTGAACCCGAATTGGAACGAACCGTTCACCGCGGAACGGCAGATGGAACAGTTTTTGAAAGCGGTCGCGCTCGCCGGGAAAGAGTTTGACGAAGAGTTGAACTATTTGGCGAACGTGTGGTTGCCAGGGAGGAAGCCGGTGGAAGAGGCGATTGCAAAGAGAGAAGAAGTGGACACGTCTGGGAAGATTATAAAGTTGGAGCAGTACTGTCCGTGGAAGGACCATTTGTACGAGGTGGAGAAAGAGTCCGGGCTGGATTCCGAGGAGAAGCGCGTGGAGTTTGTGTTGTTCGAGGACGAAAGTGCGAAGAAGTGGCGCGTGGCGACCGTACCGATCGCGGCTGGGAGTTTCGATAAGAGGAAAGGGTTGAAAAAAGAATGGGCCGGGTTGAGAGATCAAGACTTGAGCGAAAAGAGCGGAATTCCCGGATGTGTATTTGTCCACAACGGGTTGTTTATCGGAGGGAACGATACGTACGAAGGCGCGTTGGAAATGGCGCGAGTCTCGTTGGAAGCGAAAGATTGATAGTGAAAAAACCATGCGAAAGATTTTTCGAGAAACTAATACTGTTGTGGGCATTCAAGTGAATTCAAAACAGATATAAGAAAGAACAGACGCATTATTCAACGAGGTTTAACAGCCTTAGTTGTGGTAGCTGCGCCCTTTTGTTTCTTCTTTTTCTTTTTCTTTTTCTTGGAAGCAGATTTTTCGAGAAGTTCGCTCTCTCGCTTTCGCTCCCTATGCGTTCGGAAACATCTCGCGATGACGATTTGAGCGGAAACACGCTCTTTGATTCTCGCGTTCATTTTCAGTCGCGCGTCTCGTCTCTCCATTTCTTTTCTCAACGCATCTTTCGCTTCCTCCAATCGTGTCGCTTTCGCGTCTGTCCTCTCGAGCGTCTCGAGCAGAGCTTTCCTTTCCGATTCTGCGTCTTCCTCGCGTTTCTCGTTTCTCCTCTCGACTTCGCTCGTCCAAAATGTAGCGTCTCCGAGCATGCTTTGCACGAATCTCTCGTGAGATAACTGTTCGTTTTCTAACGTTTCCTTCGTAACCTCGACCTCCTTTCGTAACTTCTCTAGTTCTCTACTCCTTTCCTTCTCTTTCAATCTCGCCTCTCGCTCGGAGCGCTCCGCTTCTCTCTTCGTTTCGATTTCAAACTCAACTTCGAGTAACGTTTGCTTTTGCTTCAACCTCGCCGCTTCCGACTCGAGTCGAACGATGTCTTTTTTCTCGTGTTCGCTCCGTTCTTCGCATTCTTTTTGCTTCGTCTCATCTCTTTCCTTCTCGCGATGTCGACAAAAGTTCCCATCCGAAAAACCTTCTTCGCTTTCTTCCTTCTTTTCCTCCTTTTCCTCCTCCTTTTTCCTTTCCAATCTTCTCTCGATTTCTCTCTCAATCCTCGCATGCTCTTCTCTCAACTCTTTCTTCGCTCGTTCGCTCGCCTCTTTCCTCTTCTCTCGTTCTCGCAAAGCCTTCTCTCTCGCGAACACAGACGCTCTTTGTGTGCTCTGCTTGACTGTCTCGTACGAGAGGTACGAGGTTTGTGCGAAAGCTTCTTCGAGAGTTTTCGCGGAGATTTGAAACAAAGAAGAAGAAGAGGACGACGACGACGACGCGTCCTTAATCATCTCTGTTGTTGTCGCGAAGACAAGACTCAACGAGAGAGGTGAAGAGACGCAGAGAGAGAGAGAGAGAAAAGAGGAAGAGGTGTTTGGTCAACGCGCACTCTTTTTTGTGATCTAAAAATAAATAAAGACGTTTTTAAGAAAAGAAGAAGAGACCACATGTGTGTGTATATAAGAGAGAGAGAGAAAGAGTTCTTTCTGTGCGAGAGAGAAGCTGCGGCGAAAATGCCCTCTGCGTGCGCGTCACGACCGACATCCTAAACCACCACCACCGCCCGAGGAGAAGAGGGTCTTTGTCTTCTTTGTACCACCAAACTGCTCAACTGCTTTTTCAGAGCGTGTCTTTCCCCACAACAACACCTAAAGTTTAAGACGAGATGATGATGAAGAAGCGGACGACGACTCGCAAACTCTCCTCCTCTTCTTCTTCTTCTTCTTCTTCTCTCGTCGTTGTCATCTTCGGAGCGTTCCTTTTCCTCTCTTCTTCTTCTTCTTCGTATGCTCCCGTCGCCGTCGCGGAAAAGGAGGATCCAACGACAACAACGTCAACATCATCACAACTGCGCTCGAATTCCAAATGCATCGACCGTGGGTACGACCCGAACGTGGTGCGCTGCGACTACTGCCGCGTCGCACTGAAAGACGCGCTGGGAGAAAACGACTACCAAAACCAGTTCGTGAGCGAGTGCTTGGAGTGTTGCAAAGAGAACGACGAGGATGAAAACGACGATGCGTTTAATGGTGTCAAATTCGATCGCGCGACGATAACGGCGTGCTCGTGACGGTTGGCGAACTTTCCCGGTCTGAAGGAGTTAGTCTCCAACCCGGGGAAAGAGACGGAACAAGGGAAGAAAATATCGTTACAAAAACAACCGGAACGAATCTCAGAGTTTTATTCGAAGTTGAAACTGCAAATGAAACAAGGCGCGCCGGCGACGATAACGTTCACTCGAGATGCGAGAGTCGGCGAAGACGCCATCGAGGAGGCGGTGGACGTGGACCAAGCGTGGTCGAGAGAGGATATCGAGGGGATGTTTAAAGAGAGGATAGAAGGGTTTGAGATTTTAGCAAAGACGAGCGATGCAACGAAGACGGAGTTATAGTAGAAGGACGCGCACGCGTACGGAGAGAGAGAGCGAGAGAGCGAGAGAGCGAGAGAGCGAGAGAGAGAGAGCTGCTCGAATCCCAAGCCCGAACGGGACATCCCGAGCGCAAGTTAAAAGAGACTCCGACGAGAGTAGCGCGGCGTATTTATATATATTAAACAAGTGAACGAACAGCCTTCAATAAAGTTAATAATGGCTGTTCGCGATATATACATATATATATATACATATATACACATCTAACATCTGCGCGCCGACGGCGGAAATCTCATCTGTCCTCTCAAGTCTGTCTTTTCGTCACTTTTCCACTTTGCTGCGCGTTCCATCTTTACCGCGCGAAGACGTCAACAAAACGTACCCCGCGTCGACGAAACGCGTTTTGTCGTCCTCTGAATCGTCATCATGATCTTTCGTTTCCCTTCTTCCTCCTTCTCTTCCTCTTTATCGTCATCCTCGGTCTTCTTTTTCCTCCTCGCGATGACGATTGGTTTCGTCGGGGAAATCCTCTGCGCTGGAGGGAAAGACTATTACAAAGTCCTCGGCGTGGACAGACAGGCGGACGATCGAACGTTAAAGAAAGCCTACCGTCGCGAAGCGATGAAACACCACCCGGATAAAGGCGGCTCCGAGGAGAAATTCGCGGAGATTGGCCAAGCGTACGAAGTTCTCACCGATACAGAGAAGAGGCAGATTTACGACCAGTACGGAGAGGAAGGATTGAAACAACGCGAAGGCGGCGGCGGCGGCGGAGGAGGAGGCGGGAACCCGTTCGGCGGAGGGCACCCGTTCGGAGGTTTCGGTGGAAGAGGTGGTAACACGTTCACGTTTGAGTTTGGCGGCGGCGGCGGCGGAGGAGGATTCGATCCGTTCGGGGACATGTTCGGCGGCGGCGGCGGCGGCGGGAGGCGGCAACAACAGAGACGAGAACAACCGCCGAGGGAGAAGGAGGATTTGTACGATCCCAAGAAAGGGCACAAGACGAAGAATTTGAAACGGTCCAAGTTCCCCGATAGCAACGCGAAGAACGTTTGGTTGATTGAATTTTACGCGCCGTGGTGTCAGCACTGTAAACGGTTCGTGAAGGATATGGAAAAGCTGAACGAAGATTTGGACGGATTCGCCAGAGTCGGAGCGGTGAATTGCGAGAAGGAGAAGGCGTTGTGCTTGCAGGAAGGGGTGTCGGAGTATCCCAAGGTGAAGTTAAGAGTAGCTGGGGTGAATAAACAGTACGACGGAGAGTCGGTGAACTACGCGAAAGTGAAGGAGTGGGCGTTTGAGAATTTGCCGAGTAAAGCGGAGTCGATTCGTAAGCCGGAGATGTTTACGAAATTTAGAGAGAAACACTGTCCGGAGGGACAAGGAGTGAAGTCGGTGTGTGTTTTGTATTTCAATAACAAACAGACGACGCCGAACTGGTTGAAGATTGCCTCGTATAACGTGGGAAAAGTGCACAAAGAAGTGAAATTCGCGGACGTTCGAGCGCCGAATAATCAAATAGCGTTGATGTTTGACGTGGACAAAATCCCGTCGTTGGTGGTGTTTTGCGACGGCGACTTTAAGCGATCGGTCGTAGGTGAGAAGAAAGAGTGGATGGACGACGCGGCAAAGCCTTCCGATTGGAGCGAGCCGTGGTTGATGGAACACGCGAATAGAGAGTATTGCGATAGGAAGATGCGAACGAGAGACATCGTCGGCACGACGATTGATCCGAGTATGGATTTTTCCAAGATGCGCGTGGCAAAGTTGAAAGCGATGTTAGCCGCGAACAACGTGTCGTGCCAACTGTGCGTGGAGAAAGGCGATTTCGTAAAGGCGCTGAAGGAGTTTGCAGCGTCGGGAGGTGCGAAGCGAGATGAGCTTTAATCCACACCGTTTTCTCTTTATTCTTCTTCTTCTTCTATATTTATGTTTTCGTTCTATTTTGATGAAAACTTCTACAATCCATTTCGTGCTATTTTTAAAAACTATTATGGAGCGTTCGCGTTCCCCCACGCGCCGTCCATGTACGCCTCGTCAAAGTTAGCGCTGCTATTATTATTTCGCTGCTGATATTGCTGCTGATTTGTATTTTGATTGTACCCGTTGCTATATTGTCCTTGCTGTCCTTGCTGTTGGCCTCTTCTCAAAGGATCAAACGGAGGCGGCCGCTCCGGCACCGGGTACCCCAACGTTTTCAGCACGATCCTCGACATTTCCTTGTACAACACGTGGCCTCGATCTAACATTCCTAACAAACTCCCGACGAAAAAATGCAACGCTTGCGTGTTTTCGTCCACTAAAAAGCTAATCTTACCGAAGAAATGGACGACGTCGGATAAGGTGCGCATAATTTTCGACCACGCGGACATGGCTGGATTCACCGGTTCGTTCGGATCGAAGGACATCGGACCGGTCGGTCCGTACATGCCGCCGCCATACATGCCGCCGCCGTATCCGCCACCGTATCCACCATACATGCCACCACCGTACCCACCACCGTACCCACCACCATACATACCACCACCGTATCCGGATCCGTAGCGACTGCCGTACATGCCGCCTCCGTACATCGAAGAACCATACCCGCCGCCGCCGTAGGAGGACACGCCGCCGTACCCACTTCCGTACCCACTCCCGTACCCACTCCCGTACCTACTTCCATATCCACCATCTATTCCGTATCCTCCTCCGTATCCTCCTCCTCCTCCTCCGTACGACATTCCGCCGCCGTACGCCTCCGCCGCCGGCTCCGCCTCGCTGGTCAATCCCGGATTTTCCCCCGTCGTCGGTCGACCGCGGGGCACTCTCGTCTCCCCGGTCGGGTTCGATTCCGTCCTCACGTTCGCTGTAAAATCGTTATCGTTACGAAGAGTAAAAGAAGTGAAAAGAAAGAGAATAATCGAAGTTTAGACGTGAGTATCAGATGGTCAAAATGCACAAATCACCTACCAGACGGCGTTTCCCCTGCGCCGGGGACGTCCCACGGTTTCATCATTTGCGCGTTCGCCAACGGCGTGTCTTTAGAAGAACTGCTGGGAGTCAAAGCCGCTCCTTCTGCTCGTTCCCACGGTTTCGGCGGTGGTGGCGTGGACATACTCTCTGTGTTACCTCTCGCGTAGTCTCACACGCAAAGCGCCCGGCGAGACGCAATTCAATGAATTCTTTCTCTCTGTGATGGTTTGCGCGTATACGTACCTCGCGTTTTACCCTCGGCGACACTTTTCACGGAAAGAAAGAAAGAAAGACTCTCTTTCCCGTCGACGGACACAAACACCTTCTTCGCGCTCGAGAGAGAGAGAGAGAGAGAGAGAGAGAGAGAGAGAGAGAGAAAGCGTGTAAGATTCTTGCGCGTAAAAAATGGAGCACATCGAACCATTCCCCCAAAGAGAAAAAGCTTTGCTCGAAGTTCGAGAGATGATGATGCAAAGAGACGGAAACGACGGAGAGACAACGAGAGTGAACAACGCGACTCAAACGAACAACTCTCTCCACGACGCTTTGCGCGCGCGAGAAACCTACGGTTGTTCAACGAAAAGAACAGTCGTTGTTTCAAAGAAGCGGAGGAATGCATTATTAACGCGTCGAGGAGGAAACGCGGGAGAATTGGACGACGACGGAGACGACTCGAGTCCGACGACCGACGAAGAGGAGGACGAGGACGAAGATGATGTCGACGACGACGACGAGGAGGAGAAAGACGACGACCGAAGGAAAGAGAGGCAAAGGAAACCAACGATACGCTCAGAAGAAAGAAGGACTTCGTGTTCGTCCTCGACGTCGTCGGCGAAAACGTCGCTGGAGAACTTCGTCGAGAGAGATTCCTTGAAACGTTTCGCCGCGAGGTATTGCGCGTTACTCCCGAACCCGCGATCGACCATCGCGAACGCGTACAGCTGCGACGGAACGCACGTCGCGAGCACGCACGGAGACCACACGGTGAAAATCATCGAAGTTTCCAGCGGGACGTTGGTGAAAACACTCTGCGGGCACAGGAGGACGCCGTGGGTCGTTCGGTTTCATCCGTCGAATCCGAACGTGTTAGCGAGCGGGTCGTTGGATAATACGGTGCGAGTGTGGGATATTAGCGGATGCGAGGAAAGTGGGACGAGAGAGAGTGGGAGCGGCAAGTGCATTGCGGTGAGGGATTTTAATAAACCGATCGCGTCGATTGCGTTTTCGCTCGACGGCGGGTGCGTTTTAGTCGCCAGCGGGCACCGGTTGACGTATTGGAAGTATCCGGAGTATCAGGCGCGACTGCGAGAACAACTGCAACAACAACAGATGATGATGATTGATAATGAAGTGAATAACCCAAGAAGAACACCTGAGAGCACGCAGCAGCAGCAACAACAACAACAACAACAACAGCCAATTGAAGAGAGTAAGGAGACGGTGAATATATTGTTGAAAACGAAACGGAGTTTGCGATGCGCTTTGTTTCGCCCGAGAGGGTTGCCGTTGATTTTGACCGCGGAGGTGAGCGAACACGACATGGAGCCCACACCTGGCGGTAGCTCTATCAATATGGGAGCAGCAAACATCGCGGTGACTGGGTTGAGCTATACCGGCCCGAGTCCGTTCGTGGCGGTGCAAATGCCGAGTGATTTGGAGAGCGGGGTGTACGTCGCGAGAGGTTTTCGCGGGAACTTCAACAGCGACCTTAATCAACTGCGATATAGAAACGCAGCGGGACAAGTAGCAGGAGCGAAGAAGAAGAAAGAGCGAGAAGAAGCGAGCAAAAATAACGACGCGGAGGAGAGAGAGGAGAAGATACGAGAGCTATTTCAAAAAGACACCAACAATCAGGATGGGACGCAAAACATTGTATCGTCGGCTCCCACGACGCGGACGAATAGAACGATTCCCGATTTCGATCGCGCATCTTCGCGAAGACGCGCATCGATAGACCTCGAACGCGCGCCGGTATTTCTGAGAGGTCGTTTGCTTGCCCCCATGGACGTCGATACGACTGCAGAAGTCGCCGCGGCGGTGGGCGGGTACATCAGAAGAACGCACAGAAATGTCCAAGGACAGGATAATGTTGACATGGATGGAAGAGAAGGAACGGCACCGTCGCTGGCTGGTGCTGATACGACCGACGGTGACGTCGAAATCGTCGAAGATGTGCACGACGCGTACAACGCCGACGCCGGCGAACGACGCCTCGCCGCGATTCGAAACACCATCGGCGGTCTTCGCGTCGTCGATATTCACGGCCGAGACGCCGCCTACGACGCCGGCGCCTCGCGCTTCGCACAGCAAGTTGCCGAAGAAACCAGCTCTAGGCCTGGACAGGAACAACCGTGCGCGGTGCAAATTAAGCTGTGGAAATACAACCCGGCTAACGTAAACGTCGCGCTGGAAAACGCGTGCTTAACTCTACGCCGAGCCGTTCTCTGTTCCGAAATGGGCGCGCACTTTTCTCCGTGCGGGAACTTCCTCGCCGCGTGCGTCATATGTCAACACCACGCGGTCGGTGAACATATCTACGAACTCCGCGTCTACTCGTTACAAAAGCGTAACTTTGGCGAAGTTCTCTCGGCTCGCCGCATTCGCGCGGCGCACTGTCTCACCTCGGTGCAATTCTCCCCAACTTCCGAACACGTCCTCGTCGCGTACGGCCGCAAACACTCCTCCTTAATACTCCTCGTCGCGGATGGTGGCAACTACCAACCAGTTCACACCATCCTCGAAGTTTACCGCGTCGCCGACATGGGCCTCGTCCGAGTCATTCCTTCCGCCGAAGACGAAGTCAACGCCGCCACCTTCCACCCGCACCCGGGCGGAGGTCTAGTCTACGGAACAAAAGAAGGACGTTTGCGTCTCTTGCGTTTCGACGGCGGTCGCGACAAGCGCTACTGGAAGAACAAAAACCGAAACCGACGACCGAACAGCCCGACATCCACGCCCTCTCTCGAAGACGAGCTCATGATTCGAAGGCGAGGGGCGAACGAAGAGAGCAACTCGGACGAAGACGACGATTACATCGACGCAGACGTAAACGACGGAAACAACAACATTAATCTCGCCGCGACGACTGAAACGTAATAACGTCAAAGAGTCTTCTTCTGTTCTATTTATGTAAAAGGAATACTGTCAGAGTCGCTGAAACGATCGCGACCGATAGCTTTGTTATTACATAATACATACGTGTTTTTGCATTTATTGAAACCTCGAATTCACAAAATACGCGATAAAATCTATCACGTCAGAAGCGCACAAATACATACGTAATACTACGCAACGCGAACAACACGCACGGCTTTTAGAACCTGAAAAGAGCACAACCCATCGAAGAGTGCGTGTATTTCTGTTCTTTTCCCTTCTTTGAAGCGACATGCGGCTTCAAAAGCGCGCGTTATTATCCCCCTCCAGGGGAACATTTCCGTCCCCGCAAGAAGCGTTTTCTTCTTCAGAAGCGACCGCTGTAAAGGCATCGGGAAGAGGAAATCAACCGAACGAGGAAGACACGTTCGTTTCGTTTTCGTTTTTCATCGTCTTGATGGCGTTGCCTGTCGTTTCCGTCTTGTTTATGTGTTTAAGATATATGTGCGAAAGGCAGTCCTCGAGACGAGAACGAAGAGAAAGAAGAGAGAGGGCGAGAGCGGCGCTGAGGACACATTTTGTTTTGGCATCGTCGTCTTTGCCAGAGACAAGCGCGGCGAATGGTGATTGGCGAAGAGAAGAAGGCGCAGGAGGGAGCGATGCTTTGGTCGCGTTCCTCGCTGCGAATGATACTAGTAATAATAACGCTCGCCGCGGCGTCGTCGACGCGTCGACGATCGATCGATTAGCGGACGCGGTCATCGCCGGCGCCAATCCAGGGTACAGAAGAAGACGCTCTTCGCGACGTCGACGACGAATAGAGGAAAATTCGATAGAATCGTATCGCACGGAAGCGGTGAGAAGAGATTTGAGGAGAGCGTTTAGAACGGGCGACTTCTCTAATTACGATAGAAACGTATTGCACAGAGTCTTGCAAGAGCAGCTCCCCGGGAACGGCGCCATGACTGAGAGCGACGACGACGACGAGGAAACGAGGACAAACTTCCGAATCTCCGCCGAAAACGGGGATACCCTATTCGTCGCTGACGAACCAGGCCCAGCCTCTCGGAAAACGCTCCAAAGCCTTCCGTCGTGTAAAATCGGAGACAAAAACTGGCAACTTTTCATCGCAGGCCGCGCTCGAGACGACCTTCAAAATCTCACCACCTGCGCGTTATGTTTGGAAGACTTGAAAACCTTCCAATCGAACCAACACCAAGTGATCGTCCTCGAGTGCGAACACGTCTTTTGCAAATCCTGCGTCATCCCGTGGTTTCAATTGCGCGCGTCCTGTCCAACCTGTCGAAGAGTCGTGTTCGCCTATTCAAAGGAAGACAGAGAGAGCGTGTTTTCGCCGCCGCCTCTCCTCGAAGAGGTACCAAGCGCCGTCGTCGCGAAAGAAGAAAAAGATGCTCCCCGGGAAAAAGACGTCGAAGCAGCCGTGCCGGCGTGAAAATGAGAGAGAGAAAGAGAGGGCGCTTTACGCACGTAAATGTTCTAAATCTCGCGCGTATTTTGACGTGCAAAATCCAAGAGACAGACTGCACAAATTTTGTATCTTTGACGCACCTCCTCAGAGTCTTTTTCCGCGCTTTGCGCGACGCGGCTTTCGCGCTCAAAGTACGCGCAAGAGAAATACATGAACACGTTCTTACCGGTCAGCCCTACGTTCGAGAAGAACCACCATCCTCCTTTGGATCATCGAACGGGGCGTTCTCTTCTTCAACCAAATTCGGTTTCCGATTTCCCCCCCGGAGTTCGAGAACAACAGTTACACCATCAACACCAACGCGGAGGGTTCTTCTTCGGTCACTCGTCGCCTCACAGAGTTCGCGTGCTCATAAATGGAAAACATAAGTTCGTCGCGAGCACGGACGGCTGCGTTTCCGTCGCGGACTTTGTCTCGAAAAAGCTCAAGGACATCGAAGTCTTGAGAGGCAAAGAGGTCAAGGTAACTCTAGGGGATGACTTCGAGCTGATCGGGTCGTCGCCGATTTCGATTTTAGGGCAAGACGAGTGCGTTCGCGTGAAAACGATCGACAGAAAAGGTAAAGAAGAAGAAAGGTTTTATTCCGACGCGAGCGGGGAGAGCGAAGAAGAAGAAGAAGAAGAAGAAGAAGAAGAAGAAGAAGAGACTTTTGCATCCGAGGAAGAGGAGGATTGGATGAAGCCGCGAAGAAGAAGCGACAAGAAGAATGGCGTTGGCGTTTCGAGGAGAAAGAAGATGTGCGGTCGCGTGTGTGTTAATGGAAAGATATGCAAGCGGATAGCGGGCGAGTGTCCGTGGCATTCTAAAGGTAAAGTTCGCAAGGAGAGAGTATCTAAAGACCGGGATGAAGAAGACAATATTATTTGTGCGATTTGCGATAAGGGAACGTATCCGGCGAAGCTCGTTTTGTGCGACTCGTGCGACCAAGGATATCACACGTTTTGCTACGGTTTAGAAAAAGTTCCAAAAGGCGAATGGGTATGCGCGAGCTGCGCGATTAAAAGAAAGAAAGTACCGCCGAGATCGCCAGCCGTGCAGGCGAAGAATCCGCGAAACGAACACAACGAAAAGAAGAAGAAGAAGAAGAAGGTGAGTTCGTACGCAAACTTACTCACGTACCGGACGGAAACTACGCACTCACCGACCACTTCAAAATCCGGCGTCGCGAAGAAGAAAACAAAAGTAGATTCCACCGTTTCCATCGAGAAAATGTGCGACGAAGCTTTGCAGAAAACCCGCGAATACATCGAATCTCTCGGCGGAACCTTGTCTGGCGAGTGGAAGTGTTCGTGTACCATGTATCGATACCAATCGCACTTTCTCTATTTCAGCCCAAACGGTGCGACGTTTCGCAGCCGCAAAGCTGTCGCCAGATTCCTCGGATTTGACGTGGTATGAAGAGACAGAGACAGAGAGCGAGAGCGAGCGAACAACAAAAAAGCGTTTACGTAAACATCGCGCGATACAATAAAAAAACGCAGATACCGCGCGCGCGGATTTTGACCCGTGAAGAGGTAAAGAGAGAAAGAGAGAGAACAAACCTCAGGTCGTTTTAAGTAAACATCTTAAAGATACAAAGCATATACCTGTATTATTCGCTCTTCGCGTTCGAAAGAGAAGGCGCTTTACAACAAACGTAAATGTTCTAATCTCGCGCAGCGTATTTTAAAACCTTCACATTTTTCAAAACCTCCAATAAAAAGAGACTGACATCCCTCATAAAAAATCACTCTTAAATACACTCTCGCTTCTTATTCTTATTGTGTTTTCCACGTCGAGAGAGGCACAACACACGCACGCGGTACGAAAAGAACATCGCGTTTGTTTTTCAGCGCTTTTCGTTTGAAACGAAAGAGTTCTTTCCGTCGTTCGTGTTCTTCTTTCCGTGTGTTCGTTCGTTCTCCGTTTCCGTTGTTTTGAGAAGAGATTTCAAATGATCGACGCGACGCAGAAAACGCCGTCCATGTCCGGAACGACGGAGGATTTCGAGGAGGAAGAAACGTTTAAGAAGGAGAAGGAGAATCACGCGATGGAAACATCGAGCGATGAGGACGACGAAGACAAAGAAGACAAAGAAGACAAAGAAGGATCATCCGAAGAAGAAGAGACGCAATCGATTTCGACGCCAACGAGACTGCAACAAAGACGAGCGAGTTCCGGAGGAGGAGGACAAGGACAAGGACAAAAGCGAAGAGCGTCGATGGAAACGAACGAACTCTCCGGCGTACCGACGATAACGTCGAAGAAGTTAAAGAAAAAGAAGACAAAGTCAAAGAAGAAGAGGAAAAGTAATAATACCGATGAGAGTAACGACGGCGAGGACGGTAATAATACTCCGCTGGCGGCGCACGCGAAGCGACTGCGACGAGCGAAGCGGTTGTGCTTCGAGTTGGCCGCCGCGAGCGCGACTTTGAAAGAGTTGGAGGCGAAGTACGCGACGAAGAGTAAAGATGTCGTTTACGTCGTTGCCGTCGGTTCGTCTTCGTCTTCCTTGAATAACGACGATAACAACAACAACGGTGGTCGTGGTGGTGGAAATGAAGTCATCTCGAGATGGTTCGAGAGACAAAAGGAAGCGCAAATCAAATGGAGACAGTTGACAAAAGAGTTGGTGGACTTGGAGACGGAGTTGAAGAAAAGAGCGAACGAAGTCGACGTGTACAACGGCGGCGGGAATATGCACGCGTTGAAAGCGGAAGAGGCGGCGTTGTTAAGGTACGTGCAATTCGCGCTCTACAGAGCGAAACCGACAACGAACATCGGGGAATTGAGAGACGACGAGGTGTGCAAAGCGTTGGAGAAGGTGGTGAAAACGCACGGCGTGCGATTCGTGCTTTCGTTATCGACGGTTTCGAAACAGTTCCAAAGGTGCATTCGGTCGCCGTTGGTGTGGAAATCGAATTTTAATCTTTCCACGGAGACTGGAATTTCCGATCGGAACTTGTTGGAGATTTTGAAAGAGGACGACGCGATGAGTTTGTGCAAGAACATACGATTGGATGGTTGTAGATTTCTAACCCAACGAAGCATTTTGAAGTTGTTGAAACGCGCCGGGAAATCGATCGAAACGTTATCGATGGTGAACGTAGCTGGGGTGACGGATGCAGTCATGCAATTCATCTGGGAAAATTGTCCGAACATTCACACGTTAGACGTGCGCTATTGCGAAAACTTAGACGCTAATCTAACGTTACTTAACCCTCACTCTCACATGAGAGTACTGAGGTTGTACGGGTGCCGGAACTTGCGAGGTCGCGTGCCGTTGAATCATTTTCTCAACCTCGTCGTGACGTTGGAAAATTTTCACGAAGAAGAGGATAATAAAATTGAAAAAATTTCCGGGATTAGATTGCACGAATTGAAAGCAAAAAACGACGGCGTGGTGGTATATCGACGCGACGACGAAACCGTGACCGAAGAACAACGAAAAATTGCGAGAGAGGTAGAAGCCGAACACGCGTGCGCGATTGACGTCGAGAGACTCATTTTTAGCACGCGAGATAAGGTTCAAAAGTGGCAAAGCAACGATTTTGTAGGCATCGCGGCGTGCGAACACGCGGCCGCCGTGCAGCACGGCAATCCTTTGGCGGTAAACGTGCTCACGTTGATGCCGAGATGCGGGCACGTCATGTGCGACCGGTGCGAGCTCGACGCCAGACGACACATGGTGACGCACGCGCGAGACAACGGGCCGAATTCGTATTCGTACCCATGTCCGGCGTGTAACATTCCGATGCCTCCGCCGGGTGGATTCTCGATCGAGTTGTTAAACAACACGATTGAATAGAAGAAGAAGAAGAAAAATAAGACGAAGATGGACGGTAGTTCGTATTTTAATAGTTTTGAAAAGGCGCGCCACAACAAGAAGGGAAGAAAGAACTCGGATTCACGACGAGAGAACAGCGAGACGAAACATTCGGAACTTCCCGTATCATCATCATCATTTGTAATTTTGTTAATATAAAGAAGCTGTAAAGTTAGACCATAATACTGATAATACGGTAAGAATAATAATGCGTGTAGTAAGTTATATATTTCGTATTGATGAAACTTTCGTGTGATTCTCCCGTACTTTCTCAAGACTTTCACGCGCGAAAAGGAAAATCCCCTCGGCAGCACTCATCACAAAAAAGAAAACAAATTTACTTGGCGCACGCGCCAATCGCGTTCAAATCCTCGTACGCGCCTTGTAATCTCTTCACCGTGGCCAACTCCGCGGAGCGCATCCACGCTCTCGGATCGTAAAACTTCTTGTTCGGCTTGTCCGCGCCTTCCGGGTTACCGATTTGCGTTTGCAAGTACCCGTTGTTCTTCGCCTCGTAATCGCGAACGCCTTCCCACATGGACCACTGGGTGTCCGTGTCGATGTTCATCTTGATGACACCGTAGGAAATAGCCTCACGGATTTCCGCTCTAGACGAGCCAGACCCGCCGTGGAAGACAAAGTACACCGGTTTTTCTTGGCCGGTGATGCCTTCCTTTTCGATGATGTACTTTTGCGCGTTGCCCAAAATGGTCGGCGTCAACTTGACGTTACCCGGCGCGTAGACACCGTGGACGTTACCGAACGCCGCGGCAATCGAGTAAAAGTCCGGCGCAATCGGTTGCAAAGCCTTGTACACGTCGTGAATCTCTTCCGGCTTGGAGTACAAATCTTCCGGCGCGACGTCGCTGTTATCGACGCCGTCTTCCTCGCCGCCGGTGATCCCAATCTCCATCTCCAAAAAGCAGTTGATCGCCTTCATTCTCTTCAAGTACTTTTGGCAAATCTCCAAGTTCTCCTCGATCGGTTCTTCGGACAAGTCCAACATGTGGCTGGTAAACAACGGCTCTCCGTGTTCTTTGAAATACTTCTCGTTCGCTTCCAACAAGCCGTCGAACCACCCCAATAAGTTCTTCGCGCAGTGATCGGTGTGTAAAATCACCGGAACGCCGTAAAGTTTCGCCAACTCGCGAACTCGCAACGCTTCCGCCACGCACCCAGTCACGGCTGCTTTTTGGTCCTCGTTCGACAACCCTTTCCCGGCAAAGTTCAAGCCCCCGCCGTGACTGAATTGAATAATCATCGGCGCGTTGGCCACTTTCGCCGCTTCCAAGCACGCGTTCGTCACCGAAGACATGGTGCAGTTCACCGCAGGGATGGCGTACCCGTGGTGTCTCGCGTGGTTCATCACGTCGATGAAATCTGCGCCAGTCACCACGCCGGTTTTAAGCGTCGTCGGCACCGACACCGCCGCTTTCGTGATGGTCTTTTTGGACGAAGATCGCAAAGATGAGATCTTTCGTTGGCCCTTGATGAGACCACCGAACGTGGCCGAGGAGGCTTTTTGCGTGAGCAAGGAAGCAGAAGACATGGTGGTTATATCTGTTACAGAGAGCAAAGCGTGTGCAAAGCGTTTAGTGCGTGTTTTTGCTTCTAATACGTGCGCGCGCGTAAGAGTGATGAAACTGAAAATGATTATCCCCGAAAGATAAGGTAAACGTTTGTGGTGAAAAAAGGGAAAGATTTTTTTTGAGTAAGACGTACGCACTGAGGAGTACGAAGGAAGCACTTGTATTTTTAGGGTTTAAATGCTCATGCAGTACTCGAGGACGGAAAGAGTACGACGAAGCACTTACACCCTAAATAATAGTGAGCTTGAGGCGAGAGCGTTTCTGCTTTGGATGGATGCACGCGCGCGTGCATTCCTCTTTTTTTCTCCGCGCGGTCCCGTGACGTGCGTTTTGTCGCTTTAATGATGCGATTCTCATAAAGCGCGTTCAGAGGGAAGATATATGTGTCAAGGATGGTTGTTTGTGTGAGGAACACATAGAGGTACACTTTTATTGTTGCGCGCGGTTTCGTACGTCACACCGAGTGAGATATCTTTTCCCCGAAACGTATACTCAAATCCAGAGAATACGAGAGAACGAAAAGAGATGGAGAAACAAAAAAACCCGTTTGAAATCCTCGGCGTTTGCGAATCCTCCACCGCGAGGGAAGTCGACGACGCGTTTAAACGACTCGCGAAAAGTTCACACCCGGACGTGATGATGACGATGCATGCGAAGAGTAGTAACAGTAGCAGCAGTAGTAGTAGTTTTGCGACGACGAGGAATTTTCAAGCCATCTCGCACGCCCGAGACGAGTGCTTAGCGATGATTGCGGAGAGAAATATGATGCATTATAGTAACGACGAGTTTGGTGGCGGTCGTTACGATCATCATCATCATCATCATCAGAGGATGGCGAGAAACGCGAGCGCGGCGAGGTATTACTACGCTCGAGCGCGCTCGCCTTCGCACGTGAGCGCGACCTCGTTCGGGTTGGTCTTGGCGTTTCCGTTCGTGTTTGGGTTATCGTTTTTAGGGTCCGTGATGAATTCGTCGTCGGACGGAGAAAGTGTTTTGGGGAATTCAAAGTACGGGGTGGGAGAGATTGGACGACCGAATGGCGTGTTGCACCCTCCCGAGAACGCTTGGTTGAAAGACGACGCGAGAAGTCGCACGGTGAGTTCTCCGACGTTTCAAAAGCTCGTCGGTATGTTTGGGGGGTTGTTTGGAAAAAGTAATAATAGCGATGATAGTCGTAGTAGTAGTCGCGATGATGCGAGTAAGTAGACTAGCGCTTGCGTTTATTTTCACGCGTCCTCGTGTTTGTAAACTGTAGTAGTACTTGTTGTAAAATTATACGATGAAAAAAATCAATTACTTTCTATCCAATCCGTCGTCCTCGCGCGACTCTTCTTCGTCCTTCTTCTTCAACCAACTATGCGGTATCCCCATGAACTTCTTCGTTCTCACGTCCACCACCTCGTCCAAGTTCTCCTTCCCGTGCTTCTCCAACATCTCTTTCCTCCTCTCCAACGCGCGTCTCTTGGCGAAATTGACTCTCTCCTCCCACGACTGCTGGATTTGCGCCTTATCCATCGACCCTTTCGCGCCTTGACTTCTCCCTTCCTCCACGTGCTTCGCTCTCGCTTCGTCCAGCATCTTCTCCGTTCGTACGAACGTTCTCACGAAAAATTTATGCAGCTTCGTCGCTGGATTCTCGATGTGTCTTTGCAAACCCCGAACGTTTCGAATCGGTAAAAACTCCGATAAGCCGTTGCACCACGTCAACGTGTGCTCGTCGATGACGTCGTTCACCCAGCACTTGCGCATGCACTCCATGTTACACGGACCTCGCGCCCACCCGGTGCGGTCGCGGTAAAAGAACACGTTGTCCACAAACGCTGTAAGAAGATTAAGAAGAATATAAGAGAGAGGATTAAAAAATGTCAGCGCGAATACTCTTTCTACTCAAAGGTCTTCTCTCGTTGCGAAGAAGAAGAAGAACAAACGAATCGAAATTTTCCAACGCGACCAACACCAACACGACATATATTTAATTAACAAAAACGTACAGTCGTACGCGGACAAATCGCCCGCTTGGAAGATTTCCTTATCGCTGAAGGTATCCTCCATGTTTTTGTGCAAGTCTTCTCGGCCCATGATGCGATTTGATATCTCGTATACGTGTATTGAAATCGGCTAAAAATGTCCCCAAATCAGCGCCTTTCCCTCGTCGTCGAAGAAGAAGAGATCGTTCGGGCTTTGGTGCGCGTAAAAAAGTGTCGAAGCGTTTCGTTCTCTCTCTCTCTTTCCTTGAAGTAGAAAGCGAAAGAAGGAAAGGCGTTTATGTGTTCGTTTGTTCGTGTGAATTGTAAGGCGTTTCAGAGGGTTTCGTTTGAGGAAAAAACCTCCTTGAAAAAGAGGCAAAATACTACACACGCGACTGACTATCTATTCTAGTTTTTCGGACGGCTCTTTGAAATCGAGAGGCTCGTACTCCGAATCCTCCTCCGGATCGACGACGACGAGAGAGTTGTTGTCGTCCTTTTCTTGCGAATTCGATGAACTTTTTCGGCTTTGATTCCTTTTGCTGCTGAATCGAAAGTTTGGGATTTTCACGTCCCATAACGAAGCCAAGGCGTTGAGGAGGATTTGCGCGGCGGCGTCGTAGGCGGTTTCGTCCACGTGGACGCCGTCCACGGAACATTTGGGGCCACATTTTTCTGTTAAAGCGCCGAAATCGATGGCTAATGTTTGCGAGACGTCGTCGGAGAACTCTTTTTCGGTCGCTTCGCGGTACGAGGCCCAACTGTCCTCGGTTAAGTGGGTTTGTTTTTTGACTGAGTTCATCAAGTGCGACGGGCCCGGTTTACTCACGGTCAACCAAAACGGCACGGTGGTTTTGAAATCGATGTCGTCTAACAGCGCTTTAACTTCGGCGATTTGGCGTTGGAAATCGTTCGCATCGGCTTCGTGAAGCATGTGCCACAACCCGACGCCGGCGACGAGGAAGTCCGGGGAGGCAAACTTCGAGTCTTTGGTCGATTCGCCGTCGGAGTCTAAGAGTAAGCGCTCTTTGACGACCTCGACCACGTCTCGGGCTTCCGGCGCCCAGACGAAGTGCGCGACGCCGCCGCCTTGAATAGCAAACGTCCAGTTTCGGTGTTTAAGTGGATCCGTTTTCGCGCGCTTATCACCCGGAATATCACCAACGACCTCGGCTTCGATGTTTTCTTCCTCTAAAACTTCCTCTCCGTTTACGACGTCTCCTTTCGATTTCCGAGCGATTTTCGCCGCGTACGCGCGATACTTCCGATTGAAGGGCGAATTTTTCAATTTCTTCGGCCGTTGCAGCGGATGCAAGTGCGCCTCGTGCGCGTCGCCGATGGCCGCGAGGCGCAAAAACGCCGCGTACACGTGACGAACTTGACTATCTCCAACGAACAGCGCATCTCTTCCGCGCATCATTCGTTGAATCGCGAAATCGTTTTCCGCGTTTTCATCTCGAACTTCTTCTTTAACTTCTTCTTCTTCTTCTTCTCGCGCTTCTTTCGCAACCTCGACCGCCGTCGCCGTCGCGTCGGTATCGATCGCTACGCTCGTACTACTACTACTAAAACTACTCCTACTCGTCTGAATCGTCGCAGACGCAAACCTAAAAAACTGGCACGCGTCCATTAACCCTTCGTCCGGGACCCACGCTTTCGCTTCTTTCCTTCTCGCTCTTCTCCGCCTTCGCTCGAACCACCAACCACTTGCCTCATCACCCTCATCACAGGCATCAAAAGAGTGCGCAAAATCCATCTCCATCTGTGCGTATTCGCACGCGGTTTCGCCGAAAAACCACTCGCCAACGTTGGCGACTTTCGCGCAGTACGTTTTCTTACGCATATCGTCATTTTCGGGTACGTTTTTGAGCAACGCGCTCGCATCCGAGCGCTTGAGTAAAGCGCCGTTCTCGTCCTCATTTTCGACATCTTTCGTCGTGTTTGTCGTCTTTGAAGCTGCGAGTAAAAGCACGATCAGAGCGAGCAACGCGAACAGAAACGAGAGCAGTTTCGCGTTGTTCGCGTGCGCGTCCGGAACGGCCGTCATTCTCTTCGTCGTCGTTGTCTTCAAAAACCGCGCAAAGCGTGAGATAAAAGTGGAGCATTTCTCGGGGAAATGCTTCATTACGCGGACGAAACGTGATGCGCAAAGAGCTCGCGCTCGCGCGCAGGTGCGCGCATTTTTCTCCCCTAAACTCTTTGCACGCCTTCATCTCTCGTTATTCTCTCGATTCCCTTCGTTTTTTTCGCGCGAAAGCTCACGGAATACCTCTTTCTTCTCTTCTCCTCGACGACTTCGCACAGAGTGTTCCGGGAGTTCCTCTGGCTCTCCAAGAGGAATTCGAGGACGATTTCAGAACACCGCGAACGCTCCGAAGAGCTTAAACGAACGATACGAAACCAATATTACCACCACCTCTCGTCCGAGAACGTAAAAAGTGAGAATGACGAAGTTTTGAGCGCGAGAAAAGTGGAAGATGAGATCGTGAAATTCCTCCTCGGGAAAGTTGGGTTCCTCAAGGCGAGAGCGAGCGGAGCGACGACGAGAGAACTTCGCGCGCGAGAAAGACAACGAGAAAGAGTTAAAGAAAGCGCAATATCGACGACATTCGTGCTCCGACGCGGGGAGTTAGTGAACACAGAAAAGATACACGTGGAATCGAAAGGCGCGCGCGTGAACGACGGGAAGCTCTCGAACGAAGAGGCGAGGAGTTACCACGAGCGGTTGATGAAAAGGCAGTACTACGGGAAGACGCCGCCGAAAAGATCCGAGCCGTTTTAGAAAGAGAATGAGCTTACTTAGCCGCAAAACGAGAGTGCAATACGGTTTTAGATGCGTATAGTAGACGTGTAGAATGGAAAAATGTCACATCGAGCGGTTGATGAAAAGGCAGTACTACGGGAAGACGCCGCCGAAAAGATCCGAGCCGTTTTAGATTAAGAAAAGTAGCTTAGATTAGCAAAACGAGAGCGCAATAAGGTTTTAGATGCGTAGTAGACGTGTATAGAATGGAAAAATGTCGCGTCGGCGCGTTTCGCGTAACAGACGCTCCACTTCAACACTTTCGGGAAATCCTTCACAAAGTACAAGTCAAACTCCGCGCGAGAACGCCACCAAAACGTGCGTTTCACGAGACGAAAAGAGCCATGCGCGCGGGATAATGCCGAAACCATCGAAAAAGTTGTTCAAGCAGACGCCTTTTTTGGTGAAAGTGCTCTTATTCCTCGCCAAGTTCGGGGTGAACATAAACCGTCCTCCGCCTCCTTTGCGAGCGATCGCGCTTTTCGTCTCCGCGTTTACGCTCGTTTTACTTCTCACGTTTACGCAGCGTAACGCATCATTTTTTACTTTAAACGGAGAAAAACCGGATCGACGCGCCATAAGGTGCGCGAGGACGTTTCCACAAGTCGCGAGTCACCAGTTGTTGACCGCACAACCGCGCGTGACATCCGGGGGAAAAGACGCTTTGGATTACTTGAGGGATGGATTTGAAGTGAAAAACTACGATATCGGTGCGGTATCGCGTGCTTTGCTTTCCTCTTCTTTTCGTCGTTTCGTCTCGGTATACGTTCTCACGAGTCGGTTTCTTCTCCTCTTGGATGCGCTCATCGTGTGTGGGTGTGTATTTCCTCTTAAATACTCGGTGGATCGATCGAGCGCGTTCGTTTACACGTCCGAGACAACATGTGACTGACATTTTCTCCTTTTATTCGCGATACTAATAAAACAGACGCGGTGCAGTTGAAAGACGGCGCTTTATTAGCGGCGCATCCGCAGAGACTGTTCGATAGGATTCAAAAAGACGCGAAAGAGGTGACTTTGAAAGAGGCGCGAGCGTTAGGGGCGGACGAGCGGTCGTTTGTTTCGTTGAAATATTTGATCGAGCACTTCGCGACGTCGACGGTTTTACAGAGAAAGACTGGATCATCATCGCCGGTAGGATGGAAAGGCGTGTCTAGGAAAACGACGTGGTTGGCGCAAGAGTTCGGGAAGAACGTTGGTGGTATGAGTAGCAACGCGAAGCGACCTGTCGGCATCGACGGGATGTTCTTCGGCGTGGATTTAAAAGGCGACGCGTTGAACGTAGAGAACGTGGTGTTGGTGAACGAATACGCGAAGAAAGCGAACGTGGTGGACGCGGTGAGTTATTACGTCACTGACCCAGAAAGTGACGCGAGTAAAAACATACAAAAAGCGTTGGAGAGTTCGTTTCCAAAGAGCGAAGATAGAATTAAAACGACGTGGGCGTTGAGAGACGTGGACGCCTCTCACTGGGAGACGGAGAAGTTCACCAAAGAGAATTTGGAGAGGATGAAAATTCACGGGTTGTTACCGAGCGCGAAATTCGACGAGAGTTGGTATTCGAAAGTGGTGAAAGAGAGCAACGCGTGGGTGGAGAGTTGGGTGGCGGACGATTTAGAGACGGCGTTGGAGTTGCGGAAGAAAGGCGCGCACGCGATGATTACAAACGTGCCGGAAAGCTTGATTGAGGGAATCAAACAGTTTTGCATGAATGGCGAGAATTTCGACAAGGCGATAGCAGCGTTAGCAAAAATGCGAACTTAGCAATGTAACTTTTCAGATGAGTTCAGAATAAACTTACTATATGTGTTGTTCTATTATCACTGTTTCTCCTTCAACGTCAACGCGGTGAAGGCTAACGCGACGTTGAATAAAAAGACCGCAAACTGTCCTTTCGCGGCATCCCTCGCTTGACCTTTCGCTTTCAACCCAAACTCTTCCAAAACATCTTCTCCGCGCTCGGGGCCGATGGACTCTAACTTGCTCGTCGCCCATTTCGTGGCGTCGTATACGATCGAATGCGATGATTTCTCGCGCTTCTTCTTTTCCGCGCGCAAACGAAGTTGTTTGGACGAATCCGTTTCGACGTCGTTCTTATCAAAGGTCAAATTTTCGAATTCAGACGCTAAGACGCCTTCGAAGGACCATTTGACCACGGACAAGTTGCTCAACGGTTTCAACGCTTGCGGAACTTCACCGAAAGCGCCGGTCGCGTCGCCGAGCATGATTGACAGAACCATGAAACACGGCCCGACCGCTAACGCGGTTTCCGAGGTTGGCGCAATCGCGGAAACGGCCAAACCTAACGCCGCAGAACTCGCCGCGTGTAAAGCTAACGCAGAAACGAACTTTTGTCTCCCGGCGGGATTCAAACCGACCATCGGCGAAACAATCATACCAAACGCGACTGGGAAGAGCATATCGATTGGCGTTTCGACTAATAACTTTGCAAAAAAATACGCGCCGGGATGGTACCCGCCGACGTTTCTTCGCATTTCGCGTCGCACGACTAAACGTTCGCGAGGGAAGTTGTTCAACGTGCGGCACAACGCTAACATGCCGTTGTTGATGCAACTTTGCATCAAAACGCTCACCCGTCGTTTTACCGTCGACGGGTGCTTGGAGATTCGAAAATTACACGACCCGAACGCGGTCGCGAGCCCAACAGAGGCGACGAGTCGTACGCCGTTGACCCACATCTCGCGACGCGTTTGCTTCCAGCTTCGACCGACGAGCAGTTGAAATTGCTGAAACGGCGACGGCGGCGTCGAACCGAACGAGGCAAAATTTCGGCCTCCATTTGCGTCGTAGATTTCAAACTCAGTCGTCGTCGTATTCGCCGACGTCTCGGAGGCACTTTTGGTGACTTTGGAGCGTATGGTCGTCGAGACCTGTCTTACGAACTGTTTTAAAGGCCCGCCGGCTTTGGTAGCAGCGTTTGTCGTCGGTGCAGCAGTAGTAGCGCTTTGATTGTTATTTTTGTTGTCTTTCTTTTCCAAGTGCACATCCTCCGCGCTTCCGGAACGCGAAAGAATCTTCTTCCTCGTTTTCTCGAATTCATTCAAATTTTCGTCGTCGTTTTCATCGTTGTCGCTCTGTTCATTTCTTTTCATCGGTATCGTCGATGCGGTTTTATAGCCGTCGTCGTCATCGCGTTCGTCGTCATCTTTTTCTTCGCTAAATCTGCTTTTCTCGATCCCATTATTCGCCGTGTCGGTACCGTTATCAGCCGTACTATTTTTCTTACTCGCGTACGTCTCCAACGGTTTCGCGAACGTTTTTTCGAAATCACGAAACGATAACGGCGCACCATTTTCCTGCGTAATCGTCGTTTCCGCTCTCGTCAGCGTGTGGTCGTGCATCATGTTGTGGAAATCCTGGTACGTCATCAGCGTCCTCTGTTTCTGATTTCTCTTCGGATCGAACATGTTCCTCTCCGACGCCTTCGTTTCCTCGTACTCGGCTTGTATCGATTGTCTATCGACGAACGGTTTTTGTCTTCGCCACGTCCTGCATATATCGTCTACTCTATCTATTGAATTCTCGCACGCTTCCACCCCGCAATCGGTCACAATGGATACCAGGTCGATGAGAAACTCCGCCGGGTTGTAATTCGCCGGACACTCGTACCCGATGCTCGTAAAATACGGTATACATTTCGATACCGGACCGTGATACGCGACTCTCCCTCCATTCGCCAAGAGCATGACATCGTGCGCTCTCGACCAACTCGCCGATCGAGGTTGATGCAAAGAACACACGACAACCGCGTTTCGTTCAACCGCGAGACCGGCTAATTGGGAGACCACGCGATCGGCGGAAAACGCATCCAAACCCGACGTCGGCTCGTCGCACACGACCAACTGATGATGATGTCGATGTTGTTCTTTCCGCTCACCATCTGCTACAAAACTACCAAAACTGAACGCCGTTTCGCACGCTATGCTCAACCGTCTTTTCTCGCCTCCCGATATCCCTCTCACTTCCTTCCCGCCTGTATCCCCGCCGACTAAAGTATCCGCGCAACTCGTCAATCCGTACCTGTTCAGAACGGTCTCGACCATCGACGCGCACTCTCGTTTCGTCAATCGACAATCCCGTAATCGACAGTCCAACGTTAACGTTTCACGCACGGTCATGTTGCTGAAAAATTTCGGATCTTGTTCCACGTACGAGATTACATTTGTCCGATGTTGACCCGTATCGCCGCTGAGCGTCTTCGACGTCTTCGAACGCTTCCTCGCTTGTCCCACGAGCTCGCCGTTTAAAAGCACGTCACCGTTGAACACAAACTTCGTCGAATTCGCGTGGTCGTTTAACCCGGTGTTTTCGTGCAGACGTCCACTCAAAGCGTTCAAAAACGTCGTTTTCCCGGACCCAGACGGCCCGAGGACGGCGAGTAACCGCCCCGCGCGCTGCGAACCGGAGATTTGGTCCAAGACGACGTTCGGGGTCCCCGTGGACGATGTCGCGCTGTTTTCGACTTTAGCGCGTAAATCCCACCACTCTAACGCGTTATTTGTGTTGCTGCTGCTGTGATGATGCGTAGGACTTCGTCCGCGTTGGGAGGAGGACATCTTTACGTGTCTCTCTGTATGTGTCTCTGTGAGTCACGCGCGTGAGGGTTCGTTTGTGAGGAAAAGTTCGTTGCGACGAGAAAGAGCAAAAAGGAACATTTTACGCGACGTCGACGCGAAGAGCGTCAGAGTATGAGTATTCTCTTTAGTGGTATCGTTATTCGCTAGAGCTAGAGTAGTGTTGCGCGAGTAAAGCGCTCGGTGGTACCACCGGCGCTTTTGGTTCTTCTTTTTCTACGTTCGCATCCGCGGATGTCGCGACGACGCGTTGTATCGCCAGCTTTTTCTTCGTCTTCGTCGTCTCCTTTTCGAAGGTTTTCTTCGTTCCGTGTTCTTCGCCGACGTCTTCGATGATTTTGCGCCGTCGAAGCCTCGCTTCTTCCGCGTCTCTCGCTTCTTTTTCTTCCTCGTCTTCGCTGTAAATGTCTTCTAATTTTTTGTGTTCTCCTTTGTCGTCGGCGCTTTTAGTATCGTTATTAGTATTAGTACGCGCATCTTCTCCTCTTTCTCTTTGTTTCTGTTGTTGCTTCTTCTCCTCTCTCGCTTTACTCTCTTTTACCGCCATCTCGTACATTTTCTTCGCGCGCATCTCCTCCTCCATCTCTCTCTTCTCCCGCTCTCGCTCACCCATCTTCGCCACATTTGCGACGACGCCGTCGAAATCCATCCTCGCGTGCCTCGCGCTCAACGATTTCATCTCGTCCAAAGCCGCGTTCAAATCCATCTCCCTCTTCGACGCTTTCGTCTTGTTTTCCAGCTTTTTCATCTCGTCCCCTTCCTCCGCTTCTTGTCGTTCGCGTTCTTTCAACTCGTTCGCGGTTTCCTCGCCTTTCCACGGCTCGTAGTTTCGAGACGCGCCGGATTCAACTGTTGTTGTCGTAATGATAGTAATAATGATATAATAATAAGAACGGTCAGTAAAACGGGATGACACAGAGAGAGAGAAAGAGCGAGAGAGATTAAAAAGAGAAAACGAAAGATGTTCGCGAAAATCCGCTCGACCCGTTTCCGCCTTTACTGCGTTCGCGAGCGGATTCGAGCGAGACACCATTCAAACGACACTCAAACGCAAACGCATCACTCGTACCTACGTAATCGCTCCTTTCCGGGTCTGTTTTCATCGCAATTTCTCCGCTACATCTCGGACATCGAAAATAGAATCGAAATATCCGTAACCCTAGGTACGTTTCTCCTTTCGCGTCTTCTTTTCGGCTGTTAAACTTCGTCCCTTTGCTTATGAAGTTCCCGCAGGTTTGGCAGCAGATGCTCATCGGAAGCATCATTCGTACTTTGATTTGGCCGTCGGCGGGGCGTTTTCCTCGCGGGACTTTCGCGGGGTCGAAGTCGGGAGGGATGTATTTGTTGAGGACTTTACGTTCGCCCATTTTTTATGTGTATTTATTCGCGTTGTCGTCGTGTACGTCGTGAGAATGAAGAACGCGTGAGAGTTTTGTGTGTGTGTTTCCCTCTAAGGTGTTTTAGTATGAGGAAAATGGTAGTCGCGGACGATGCGTAGTAGTGCGAGCGCGTGCGAGAGCACGCGAGTATACCACAACGATTGACGTCTAAAGTGGTAGCTTATTACGCTATTCTGCTATTTGCGGTGTTCGCTCGCTCAGTTCCACGCCCGCGCTTTCTGATTCTTTACTCGCAAAACTCTCTTCTTCGGTTTCCGTGCTGGCGTCTAAATGTTGTCCTTTCGTCTCGCGTTCTAATCGAGAGACGACAAAGGCGGACACTATGGCTATGAAACCGAACAAAAACAAGACGAATTCTTCGGCGCCGTTGCGAACGAGGTCGACGGCGAAGAGCGGGACAATCATGCCCGCAAATCGGCTGAAGGTGTTGGAGACGCCGACGCCGGTGCCTCGGATTTGCGTGGGGTAGACCTCGGAGCAGTAGGCGAAGAGGACGGTGAAGGCAGCCATGGAGGAGGAACGTGCGATGGCTAAGAAAGCGGTGATGACGTCGCGTTTTGCGGATTGCATGATCGGTATGAAACAGACCGCGGCGACGACAAAGCCTAAAATCATGGATTTTTTACGACCGAGCGTGTCGATGCACACCATCGCCGAGATCATGCCGGGAAGCTCAGAGAACGCAGATAACGTGATATCGCGGTAATCCGCGTTGGTGAGGTCGGGGGAATTATGCGCGAGACAAACGACCGTGGACGGGTCTAAGTTTTTTCTCGCGCCTCCGCTGTCGTCGTCCATCAGTTTCAAAGTCGTCGTCAGCAAGACCAGACCGTAATACAAAAACGCCACGGAGAAGAAGAGGAACCACAAACTCATCGTCGTCTTTCGAAATTTTGGGACTAACAGGCGTTGTATTTTTACCGGCGTGCGGTTCCACACGTACCCTTTCATGGACGAGAAGAACGAGAGAGAATACTCGTCGTCCGTGTACATGTTGCCTTGTAAACTGGTCATTTCCCTTTGGGGAGGACGAGGAGAAGACGCTCCGGCGGCGGTTTCTGTCGCATGGCTCTCTTCATCCATCGACAACCGTCTATCCAACCACTCCTCTCGTTTCCCTTTATCTTTCTCCTGGACTTTCAACACTCCAACCGGCAAAGGTTTCCTATTCATTTTGGCTATGAATCGCAACGTCCTCTCCGCCTCTTCCATCTTCCCTTTACTCGCTAAATACATCGGCGAATCTGGCATCCACACCAACAAAACGCCCAACAAAATCAACGGCGACACCGTCGCGCCTAACAAAGTCCTCCACGAACTCTTCGGCAAAATCGTCCACGCCAACAATGCCGAAACCATGCTCCCGAACGACCAAAAAAACTCCAACGACGACAAATACACGCCTCTCTTCTTACTCGGTAAAAACTCCGCGCACAAGTTATACGCCACCGGAACGCCTCCTAACCCAAAGCCGACGACCATTCTGGCAAAACACAACGCACTGAAAGTCGGCGCGAGCGCAGACCCAACCCCGGCTAACAACGTCAACCCTGTCGAACACCTCAACGAGAACAACCTTCCTTTCCTATCCGCGAACATCCCAAAACTCGGCGCTCCGAAACCCATCCCGAGGAATACGAAACTCGTCAAACTCGACGCCTGCGTCGTCGTTAACCGCCACTCGCACCTCGCCGCGGGGCCTATGAACGATAACAACATCATCTCCATCGCGTCGCATAACCACGAAAGACCGGTCACGGCTAAGAATACCATCTGAAATTTACCGAAACCGATGTAATCGATCGCTTGTTCCACCGTGTATTCGTTTACGCTAATATTCGACTGCCCCACGAATATCCTCTCTGCGCCTTCTGATTCTTCTTCTTCCGTCGTCGTCGTCATCATCATTCGGTCTCTCAATGAAGTCGTCGTCGCGGAAAAAGGAGGAGGCGTGTTGTTGTTCGTCGCGTTATTCAACTCGATTTCGTTGAAGGAGTTAAACGCTTCCTCTCCCGCTCGTCGTTCCTCGTTCTCGTCGTTTTCTCGCTCGATCGAACCAAACGGATTCGTAGTAGTAGTATTCGCCATTAAAGCGGTATTAGTAGTAGTATTGGTGGCAAATATCCTCTCTGAGAAACGTGGTATTCTCCTCGTCTCTCAATCGTCTCTTCTTTTATATCCTCTTCTTTATGTTCTGCGCTTTTTCTTAAGAATACTAATGAGGAATATTTGTCCAACGTGATGGTTGAATATCTCCAAGAAGAACGCTCCGCGCGATGATTTTGATGTCGCTTTATGATGATTAGCATACATGCTGCGCGTCTATTTATTACAATTCTACCGATATGAACTACTGTTATTATTACTACTCAGTGCCGTTCTTCTTTTTATCACTAATATTATTCGCTTTCCTCGGACGAGTACGAGGACGGGGACACGTACGCTTCCAACGCCTGCCATTTTTGTCCATCGTCCCCAAACTGCGCTTCCAACTTGACGAGGAAGCTTCTTCTTCGTCTTCTGTTTTGGTCCTCGCGAGTTGCTAGCGACGACGACGATTCAGACGACGGCGCAGAGGGTACGACTACAGAGTACACGTGGCCACGAAGAACAACGGGCGGCGAATTTTGGTGGACGTCGTCATCGTTTGATAATGCCGCCGTCGTCCTCCTTTTAGGAACGTTTGTCTTCTTCTTAATATTCTCCTCGAGCGGCGGCGGTGGTTGTGGTCCCCGTGGAATCATCGACGCGTGTTTTGTTTTCTTCTTCATCTCTTTTTGCCGCTGCCAGTAGTTCTCTTTAAACTGCTCAAACTCGCTCGATTTAAGAAAGGCGAAACCTTTCATCGGTGGTTTCGAGGCGAGCGTTCTCGAGAGCAAAAGTTCACCAACTTTTTCACCAACCGCCGCCGGTCTCGCGCCGCCGTTTTGTTGCTCTTCTTTTGCCATCGTCATCGTCTCATCCTTCATTGTTTCTTCTTCTTTTTCGTCGTCTTCGTCTCCCGTCGCGTTTGCGTGGAATCCGCCCAAAGAGGCTTCCAAGAAGCTTCTTTTACCACTGCTCGCATCCTCGGCGTTTTTCTCCTCCATTGCAAGGTTGTTCCTGTCTCTCGCTTCTGGTTCGTTTGGTGGTGTCGTCAGAGCGAAATCTGATATAGTATTGGTTGGTTTTCTCCCTTCTTCTTCTTCCTTCTGTTTCTTAATCCTCCTCGTCGGGGAATCCCAAAGCGGTCCCCACACCGTTGACTTTTTCTTCTCGTTTATGTTGTTCTTTGACGAGAGCAGGGATAAAAACGTCCGTTTCTTTTCACGAGAACTACTTTTGTCCGTCATCTCGTGTAGAATCGTCTCTCTCTCGTATTGCTTCTTCTCGTATTCTTTGTCTTCTTCACGTGTTTATATCTCAACACATCTCACATGTAAAATGACGAAATTTGAGCACTTCCAAAAACACATCAATTCGCTCATTTGGCCAACTTTGAAGACCTCTCGAGAGATCAATTCGAACGGAAATCACAAATAAATACGATGAATCGAGAGATCTCTTCCGCACGTATCACCGATATGTCTATCGTTTCTTTTTACCATCTTTAATGTACATCTAGAAAGCGTCAAAGTTGGTCATTTCTCGCAATTTTTGCCTAAAAACTCACGTCTTTTTTCCACTTTATCCCCATTGGAAAGCACGATTGGAAAGAGAATTCAAACCATTTAATGTCGCATTAGACGAGCTCACACGAACACGCGGTAGTAAAACATGGCATCTCGCATCCTGGCAAACCTCCTGGTGATGGGTTCCGGCGCGGTCTTCCGAGCGATGTCACAAGCGTGGCAAAAAGCGTTGGAAAATGCGCGGAAATCCGGCGTCACCGCGGAAACGGCGAAAGAGGCGGTGAACAAGTCAAAGTCGTCTCTGAGCGCGATGATGCCGATCGAAGAGGCGAGGAAAGTCCTCGATGTAACCGAACACGCGACGAAAGATGAAATGCTACAGAAGTTTCAAACGATGTTTCGTAAGAACGAAGGGGTCTCGTTTTACGTGCAGAGTAAATTGGTCAGGGCGAAAGAGCAGTTAGGGAAAACGCAGTTCGGGATGGAGGAAGAGGAATGGTCCAGAGATCCAAGAGAAGAAGAGACTAAAGAAAACAAAGAAGAAAAAGAAAAGAAACTGGACGAAGGGAACGGTGGTGGTCACAGGACGGAAACGGAAACGAAAGAGAAGGAATCATCGTAACGAGCGGATTAGAGAGGCGAAACAACGCAATATTCGGGACGGAGAGGAAGAGAGGAGTGGTCCAGAGATAGATCCGAACAGAGAAGAAGAAGAAGTGGTGGTGGTAACACGACGACGAGACGAAAACGACGAGAGAAGGAATCGTAATAACGAGTAGAAATTGGCTAAAATCTGCGTGTGTACTATAGCACATATCATCTCCCGCAGCGAGTCTCGATTCGTATTCGCTTTGACTCTACTTTGTTGTAATTCAATTAATTGCTCTCTCTCTCTCGTATACTCCATTAAAAACAACCACACAACATGAAGAAAACGAGAGAGAGAAGGAATCGTAATAACGAGCTGAAAAAGGCGGTCTATATCGTCTCGCGTTTGCGTCTCGTCTCGTATTCACTTTGTAAGTCAATTACTTGCTCTCTCTGCTCCATTAAAAACAATATGCTTCGGAGTCCTTTTTATTGAACGAGAGAGCGAGCGAGAGAGACTGAGAGAGAGAGAGCAACATCAGAATGGCACTCGTGTCGACGAAACGGTCGCTGGCGATTGCTTTCCTTTGGCTCGCCGTCGCCTCCTTGTGCGGTCTGTTCGTCTCTCGCGTGGAACTCGATTTCGTGTTTACGAAGTTTCCCCGACGAAAAGAACTCTCACTACGTTCCGGAAAGGGAAAGGAAACGAAGGAGGAGACGATGAAAACGACGAAGAAACGTTCAGTCGACGACGACGATGACGATGGTGTTGGTGGTGATGAAAACAACCGTTCGGAAATGATGCGTTTTAAAGGCGGGAGAAACCGTCCTCAACCCCTACGACCAAAAGGTCAAGGAGAGGACGAGTCGAACGGGTTCGGGTGCGTTTCAATCGAAAACCTCTTTTTCGTTCGGGAGATGTGTTTACTCGACGTGAATATGGAAAACAGTGCAGAATATGAAGGGTACAAGAAGATGTCCGCGCGATTGACGGTTCGTAAGAAAATGAAGGACGACGATAAAGGCGGCTTTGAGTGGTCGTGCGGCGACTCGGTAAGAGTGGCATTCGAGACGTCGGACGCGTTGTTCGGGCCCGTGAATTCGCCGATTTTTGAGGAGAGAGAGGAAGAGAGTGGGGAGAAGGTGTGCGGGGAGTTTCCAGTGGAAGCGATCGTCCCGAGGGAAGGCGAACAGTATCGAGGTATTCGGGCGAAAGTGTGGTTGTTGCACGTGGACGGCGAAGGCCTCCAAGATCCGGTGAAAGAGAAGCCGTTTCCGGAGAATTTAATGGCAAAGGCAAATAATTGTCCGCCGTGCGATGGGCCAATCGTGTATAATATTAGGAGGACGTTTCCGGGGAAAGTATACGTGGACGAGAAGGACTATTTCGTGAGCGAAAACATGGAGGAGGATGTAGGCGCAGGCGAGAACGTGTTGGAAGACGCCGCGGGATTTACCAAATCCTATAAGAATACCAAAGAAGACGAATCGACGCACGGGTGGTACAAGATGGAAGCGTATAATGAGCGTCACGAGAATCCATCAGAGGAACTCGCTTGGAAGCGGGAAGGTTCGAAGATTCCTTTTTGTACAAACGGCGACGGCGCCGGAAGGTGGGTGTTTTCCAAGAAAATGTACCGAACGCAAAGCGAAGAAGACGCTTTAGAGTGGCGGTATTACGGGTGCAAAATTAAACACGTATCAGGATTGAAATTGAATAGATGCTTAGAAAAAGTTGGACCGGTTAAGTTTGCCGGCGAGAGTACTTTAGGACACGTATACGAGGCGTTTCTGCAACATTTGAACAAGACGGAATATTTTTGGCCTACGAGACACGATTTAGACGCCAGAAAAGTTTACGGAAGGTTAGATTTACTTCGCGCGCAGAACGATCACAGCGATTTTCACGGCATAGATATGGTGAACAAAAACCTATTCGACGAAATTCATAACCACAAACGCACGGCAAACGTGAAATTCGAAAACGTGGTGATTCTACAAGGCGCGAACGACGCCGCGAGGTATTCGATTGAAAAGTTTAGAGAGAAGATGAAAACTTTCGTAGAAACCGTGGTGAGATACCGCGAAACGAGCAACGAGAGCGAACAGGTTCGGTTGAAGCGTTTAGTGTGGGTGACTGCACCGACGAGACAATATAAATCGAGCAGCGGACCCGGTGATAGCATGTGCCCGAACGGATCGTCCTCGGAATCGATGCGAACGTGTAGCGCGGGAAACAGCGGACAAGCCCACACGGACGTCGGTACGACGAGATGGCACGGCATCGAGAGCGGTACAGACGCGAATGTACCGCCGAACTTGTACGGTACGCACGAACGAAGACAACTGTTGAACCAAATAGCAAAGAAGATGCTTCGAGAGAACGAAAAGATGTTGGCGGATGAGGTGTACATCGTCGATTACGAAAGTTTGACGGCGGCGTTGCCGTCGGATTATAACTACGACGGTGAACATTGGGGATGCCCGTGGCGAAGCTGGGAAAATAGAAGAGGATCAGGATACAGCTGTAAAGGCTTAGCGAACGTCGTGGTGTCGAATATCATTAGTCATTTTCTAGGATGCAAAGATTTGCATCTTTGATCTTTCCCTCGTGTCGAGGTTCTTGAAAAAACATTCTGATTAATCGGTACTAAAACCGAACAATACAAACTCGGTTCGCAAAAACTCGATGCGTTTAGCTGCAATCTCGAAACTCTCTAAATGATTTGTTCTCAACTCTGTCGCAATTTTTTGCGTCAACTCGGCGGTGATTCCCGGAATAAATATAGACGAGTTAGTCGCGCAAAACTCTCCGGCGCGCGCGTCGTCTTCGTTCTCGTTACATTTTTTCAAAACGTCAATCGCACCTTCTCGCACCGCCAAAAGTAAACCATCCATCGCGTCAATTACGGGTTTAAGCGACTGCTTCAGCTCGTTTTTATCCGCGCTCTCAAAAATCTTACCTTCAATCATTAAAAGTAAAGCGTTGCACGAAACGGTCAACACGTGCGATGCTACGTACGACGTCGTAGGGACGATACCGTCCAGAGCGAATTTTATGGAGTTTGGCAAATGCTTATTGGATGCGATCGCGCGTATATCTTCCGAGAGATGACGCGAGCAACCAATAACGATGCGTGAAATGGCATCGAATGTGCTCGTAGCTGATGTATTTCGGATGATTGCTTGGATGAACGTTTCGTTGAACGCAAACACGTTCGTTCGCGTCCACGATGAAGAGGCTTCTCCATCCTCCTCTTTTGCTTCTCGCCCCGAGGCTGAATTTTTTCCCACGCGGTGTTCGAACATCTCGCGAATCGTCTGTTTTCGTCGCTCGGCGGTGTTTTCTTCACACGAACCCAGAGATGCAACCGAGAAATACGCGAGGGATTCGAGTAGATGATTTCTCGTCCACTCGTCCCTGTACGACGCATTATTCGTAGCGCAAGAATTCTGTGCTAGAAACCACGAAGGCGCCGCGAGCGCTGGTGCGCTTAAGTGCGGAGGTAACCACGAACTGTTCGTTCCCGTCGCATCGTCCGTGTATGTAAAGCAAAGGTTTTTCCACAGATACAGCATGTTCATTTCGTGCTGTTCCTCTACGTCCCCGTTCCCGATGCAAAGTATGCCGTTTGAGCAATTTTGCGATGCCACAGCAAACTGCTTCGTTACGTGGTCGAATCTCTTCTTCACTTTCAGATTAAACTCTTCTTTGTCTGTTATATCAACATCGAGACCAGCGTGTTCGATTAGACCCATATCGTGCAGATATATCGACCGAAATTTTGAGCTAATCGCGTCCATTTGACTAAACGCGAACGAACGCTTCAACGTATCGCGAAACCTCGTAAATTCCAACGCTTTATCGAACGCCTCGTATCGCAAAGCCTTGGCGAATGATTCTCCAATGTCGACATCTGATTGTTGTTGTAAACTCTCGCACTTTAAGCGAATTTCGTGAAACTTTTCCATACTCACGCTGTTGCCATCGAGCGCGGGAACGACGTGATGGAATAAACTCGCCATTTGTATATTTTTGGCATCCAGAAACGCAAACGTATCGAGCATGGACCGCGACGCGCCAAGCAGACAGCTCGAAGCTATTTCGTCGAACAATGCCTCCGCGTTATGTTTTGAACGCTGCAAAACTCGTTTTGAGAGCGCTTTCGCGCACACGAGAAACATTACAGCTCGTGAATGGCATTCGATGATTTCAGATTTGAGCGCGGAGCGGCTTGGTTTCAAATTTAAGCACGAAGCCGCTTCGGCGACCAGTGCGTGCGTGGCGTAAACTCCAAGAACATCTCGCGGTGTCCACTCTCGCGAATCGAGCGATTCGACGAGTGTTTCGCACTTTTCAAATCGTTCCATGAAAATTCTTGCGCGATTTTGGCCAGAGCAATCTTTGTAAACCAGCGGCGGCGAATAACAATTCTTTTGCTTGGTCACCCAAGCGGTATCTATCTCATCCCTCGAAATATCCGCTATGAGGACACGACACGCTGCTTCAACTCGTAACGCGTCCATCGCGTCTTTCTTCTTCAGTTCTTTGTCATCATCATCATCATCATTTTTGTCATAATACGCATCCAAAGAAGCAGCGGCGACGTCTCTGCGTTTCGCTAATCTTTCCCGACAGCCCTGAATCGCCTCAGCGTTGCCACAGTCCATGAGCGCTTGCATAAAGGTGCGAAGCTCTCTCGCACAACTCGTCCACGATGCAAAGGCGTCGACATACTCGGCTATTGATTCAAAAAGTATTTGTGCGTTCTTGACGTTCTTCTTTCGAGAGAGATTTTGACGCGCGGCTTCGAGAACGGCGAGGTACGGTCCTCTGCCTACGACTTTCGCACCGCCGTTCGCTTCTGACTTGGCTCTTAACGCAAATGCAAACGCCATCGTTCTACTATCACTACTACTACTACTATCTTCACTGAGGCCTAGCTTTGCGAGGTGCGCGATTGCGTCGTCTACGTTCCCTTCTTTTCCGTCTTCGAGCTCGGCGAGTAATTCGATGGCGTTTACGATAGCAATCCAATCGTCCGGTGCGAGGTCAATAATATCCACGTTATACTGAAACGCTTTTAATTTTGCGTCATCTAAGGACGCGTATAAGTCTGCGAGCAAACGCAACCGTTCCAAAGGTGAACTTTTCGCGAAACATTTTTGACCAACCTCGCTCTCGAGAAACGCGACGGCTATTTTTCTATTCGCGTCGCCTTTCGGGTACTCTCTCCGTCTCCTCTTACTATCGTTACTAATACTATCACTACTATAAATATCCTCATCCTCTTCATCCTCTTCAAACCCAACGTCCGCGCACATTAATGCCGTCACGTACGCCCTCGCGTTCTCGCTCGTCAAATCCCTCTCTTGATTATCGTACTCGCTCGTCTTCAAGCTTTTATACATCCTCTGAAACATCGCCTTCCCCAACTCTCCGGACAACTTCTTCTTCTTCTTTCTCTCCTTTTCTTTCTCCTCCTCGCTCGCAACGATGTGCCTTTCTCCGTCTTCCTCCTCCCTCTCCTCTCCGCGCCACGTTTTCTTTTGCATCCCAATCGCTAAACTCATCGTCGCCGCGGCGCGCGTCCCTCCCGTCCCGGTATGCGGCTTCAACCGTTGCAACTTCACCGCGTACGTCTTCGCTTTTTCCAAATCCCACTTCTTTACCATCACGTTTTGTAATTCCTCGAGAATGTCGCAATTCCCCGGATCTTTCTCGTGTTGTTTCTGAACGACCAAATATTCGTTCTCCTCGTCCCCGATGGACTTGTAAAAAATGCTCAACACTCGTAAACTTTGCGCGACTGTCGGACCGAAATCGGTTTCCAGATTTTCCTCCTCATCGATCCTTTTCATCACCGTCACGCACGCTCTCGTCGCCTCCTCGAACGCAGTCTCCTCTTCCTCGCTCACGCGGAGCATCGCTAAAGCTTTCACGCACGAAAACAGCGAGACGGATGGGAACTGCTTCGAGGCTTTCGAGCACAAGGAGACGCATTCTTTCGCTTTCGACGGCTCGTCGACGACGTCGTAGATTTGGTGCAACGTTTTGTTTAACGCATTGAAAGAATTCATACTTCTTCTTCCGTCGATATAAACACCAACACCAACAGGTTTTGCTTTCCAAACGAGACGACGCGAGAGAAGAAACAAAGCGCGAGTGAGATGAGTTGTTGCGGAGTAAAATATCAAGAATTCCAATCAACTGTCCAAGAAAAGAAAAGAAAAAAAGCAAAAAAGCGTTGAAAATACACAAGACGCATGTGAGATGCATAAAGACTTCATTAGTAAAAAGATCTCGCGCTCTCTCGAATACTACTACGAATAACAACAACAACAACAATGTCCAAAGCGTTCAACACAAACTTCATCAAATGTGTCTTCGTCGCCGTTCTTTTCGGGTTTCTCTTCCAACTGCGCGAGATCGCGGCGGAATACCAGTGTCCGAGTTTTGGTGCGTGGTTTTTTTTTGTCGTCCAAGACTTATGTGTCAACAACGTTCTCGAGATGTTCCCGACCAACCACGGAGGACGGATTTGATTGGTTCTCGATGAACCTATCCGCAGGAACGGCGTGAAATGTTAACACGTGTTTCTCTCTCTCTCTCTTTTATAACAGATCCGGCGCAGTTGGAGCAACTCGCGATGCAATGCCTGGAAGATCCGGACGGTTTGTGCGGCGACATGTGCGTGAAAGCGATAACGTCTTCGGCGGCGAACCCGCAGGTGGCGAACGTGAAAGTGCCGTGCACCGGGGGCGTCGATGGACTCATCGAAAACGTTTTGAAAAAGTGTACCGAAGAGCTCGGCGCGCCCTTCGATCCTTGCGGCGGGAAAACGAAGAAGGCGATCATCGACGCGAGCGCGAAGATTAAGTGCGAAGAAGGCGGCGTGCTCGCCGATTACTAAGAAGTTTAAACTTCTTCTTCTTTATTACTCTCTCATGTTAGCTGCGTTTCGTGTTGCTATTACAAAAATATTTTCTAGGTATATAAACAAACTACTCCAAAACAAGTACACGCAGGATGAACGATGAGGATCGTCGTCGTCGTCGTCCAAGTTTACTTTTATCGCTTGGAGGAGAAAAAGTTTCCGAGCAAACCTCCTACTCCACCTTTAGCTTTGTTACTGCTGCTATTGCTAATCTTTTCCCCCGCGACGATCTCTTCGTCTTCGTCTTCGTCGAAAAACCCTTCTTCCCCTTCCTCGTACGACACGCTCGCGCTTTTCACTTTGACGATTTCCTTGTCTTTGTTTGAAATCGTTCGAAACGCTTTGCTCACGCCGTATTTTTGCAACTCTTCGCTCGCGACCATCCCGAGATACTGCTTCGCATCTTCGAGATTTTCCGGGTTGCCGTCTTCTTCGAACTCTCTCAATTGCGCTTCGGTGAACCCTCCGCTCTCGTCCGTGCCGCTTCGCGCGACTCGGAAAAGTAACCACGAACCGAACGAATCGTACGCCAAGGTACCGTCTGCGTTCACTTCCTGTCCCGTCGGGAACGGAATCAATCGATCGATTTTCTTCAAAAGAGACGGTCGGTTTAGCATAAACCGGTCGAATTTCGAAGTCATGGCGGATATTCGTCGTCTTGGAATCTTTTTCGTCAACAATCTGGCAAACTCCCAACCGGCTTGGTCGTTCGCGTCTAAAATCGCCCACGCCTCCGGGTCTCTAATCTTCGCTTCATTCGCGCGTCTCCATGCGCTCAGCGATTCGTTACTCGCGGTTAAATCTTTTCGTAACTTTTGCACGCCGGCATCCGTGCGTAAACTCTTAAAACATAATTGTAAATACATAATCCCTAACGAATACATGTCGAATCTATCCGGTAAATTCAACTGCCACAACACCGGCGAAAGCGCCAAAGCGATTGGCGGAAACGGCGCCTCGGGCGTTTGCGTGCTCATGATGTACTGTTCCGGCGCCGCATATCTCGGGTCGAATATGAATTGTTTTGGCACGTAGTTTACGCCGAAACGTAAATCCGCGCTCCCTCCAAAATCAATCAACTTGAACCGCTGCGTGTTTTCGTCGAAAATTAAATTCTCCGGCTTGACGTCTCTGTGAACAATCCCGGTCCCGTGCATTTGCACCAACAAATCCAAGCACTGACTCATTATCGCCCTGATCGTCGCCGCCGTTCTCTCCGGATCTCCAACTGCTAACGTTCTCGGATAACTCTCCTCGTCCGGAAACAAATACGGCTCCAAGTTATACGGAAAGTCCTTCTCCTTCATAAACTCAAACAACGTCCTCCCGCCTTCGTACTTCCACGCCAACCACAACGGCGGGTACGCCCCAGGCTTCGACGGCTCGCCTTGCCACGACCCAACGTACGGCGCGCACGCGTTCCACGCCGCGATCTGCATCCTTCGGTTCATCCACTCCTCCGCTTCCCCGTAATCGTCCGCTCTTTTCAACACGTACGGCTCTCCCGTTTCGTTATTCGTCGCGAAATACACCACCCCGAATCCGCCTTGGCCGAGTTTCGTCCCCAACGTAAAATCCTCCAAACTGTACTTTTTCCGCATTCGATCTTGTATCGGTTGCACGACGTAGTATTCCACGTACCCAGGTAACGCCCCGGGCGTGATGGAGAGGAAAATGAACAAGGTCGATAACAGCGCCGCGCCTTGCGCGGTGAACAAAGGTTTCAACTCCCTTCGTAATTCCGGATCTAACGTCGACCGGTAAATCATATCGCCGCAGTTCTGGACGGTGCACGGAAGCCCCACGCCGGTGGCGACGTCGAAGATGTGGGACATCTGTTGATGGATGTCTGAGGTGGTCAAATTTTCCATTCCTTCAATCATCATCCTCGTCGTCGTCGAAACGGATATCGACGACGCTGAAAACCGTCTCCGTCGTTTTTCGATGAAAATTTTGCGCACTTTTTTCTTCGATGATGATAAAGTTGTTGTTCGAGACGAACTTTTACGCGAAACGTGACGAGAGAATGCACAGGAGGAGGAAATGCGTTTTGCGAGACCGACCCCCATTTGATGCTTTTTTAAAACGAGAGAGAGAGCGTTCAGAGAGAGAAGTAATAAGTGTTCTTAAAATGAGGGAAAACTCGAGAGAAGGAAAGATACGATGGATAAAATTTAATTGTTGTGCAAAGCAAACAGTTTTGGTCAAACAAAAAAGAAAGCAAATCTCATTCCTGAAAAACGTCTCAATTTTTATTAGAGACGAATCGAAAGCGCGCGCATGAAGAACAACATCTCAAAACGAAACGTCACGAAAGAATACTGATGAGCAGCAGACGAAGAAAGAATCCACATCCGAAAAGAGCGGTGAACGCGAGGACGGTTTTGAAGGGAGAGAAAGAAGAACCAAATTTGGTGTTGTGTTCGAGGATTCCTGACGAGGACGATGATTTCAACGAGGCGAATCATCATCAGATACAAAAAGAAGAAGAAGAAGGAGAAGAGGACGAAGACGAAGAAGACGAAGAAGAGATAACTGTTAGGAAAGGAACGAAGAGAAAGAGAGGGCACGAGTGCGATGTTTGCGAGAAGGTGTTTCGATATCCATCCTACTTGGCCAGACACATGCGTACTCACACGAAAGACAAACCGTATGAATGTGATGTGTGCGAGAAGCGTTTTAGTCAATCTGGTCATTTGCAAGACCACGTGCGTATTCACACGAACGAGAAACCGTATGAATGTGATGTGTGCGATAAAGCTTTTCGTACATCTGGTGGTTTGACACAGCACAAGCGTATTCACACGAAGGAGAAACCGTACGAGTGTGATGTGTGCGAGATGCGTTTTCGTCATTCTTGTAATTTGCAAACGCACATGCGTATTCACACGAACGAGAAACCGTTTGAATGCGATGTGTGCGAGAAGCGTTTTCGTCAATCTGGTAGTTTGACACAGCACATGCGTATTCACACGAACGAGAAACCGTTTGAATGCGATGTGTGCGAGAAGAGATATCGTCAATTGAGTGGTTTAAAGTACCACATGCGCACTCAACATTAGCTCTCTTTCACAGTCCTCTGTAAACACATACATATACATCACATACTCAACGAATCAAACGAACTTTTACTCGCGCTTTCGCGTGTCTCGCGTTTTACAGCACATTTCACAAAGTTCCCGAAAATCGACACAAAACGCACAAATTTGCGCGTGAGATAGAGAACCACACGATAAAGATGACCACCACCGCGTTTGCGACCAAAACCGGGTCTTTCCTCTCCTCTTTGAAACATGCAGTTCAAATCGTCTCTCTGGCGCACGTGTTCAACGAAAACGTCTTCGAAGTGACCGCGTGCGTCGGTCCGAGCATGTTGCCGACGTTTAACCGCTTCGGGGATATCGTCCTCGTGGACAGACGAATCGATGTCGGGAAAGGCGACGTGGTCGTCTCTCGGTCGCCGACGAATCCGAAACACATGGTGTGTAAACGCGTCGTCGCCGTGGGAGGTGAGAGAGTGGAAAAGAAAGCGAGCGCGAGCGACGTTTCGAATCATCGACAGAGGAGAGAGGACTCGGAGGAGTTGTTCTTGGACGGCGAAGGGTGGAGCGGCTATCGGAAGTGGGACGAGATCAACAAAAAGACAAAGAAAAACAAAGAGTACGTGACGGTTCCGGATGGACACGTGTGGTTGCAAGGGGATAACGAAGGGAACTCGACGGATTCGAGAGATTACGGTGCGGTACCGATGGAGATGTTGCGAGGTCGCGTGTTCGCGAAAGTGTGGCCGATGCGCGAGCGCGGTTGGGTGGAAAGAGACGAACGGTACGCGTTGAGAGATGAGAAAGAGTAGTTTAGAGTAGAAAGTAGGAAATACAAGTAGTAATAGAGTTGTTCAAAGCAGCAATAGTAGAGAGAGATTTAGGTGACTCTACCAGTGTTACGTGTAATAATATAACAATATTTAGTATCCTTTCGATCGACGATGGTATAATTTATTTAAATTTTCGTTTGTTCGCACCCTAACAACGTCTTCAACAACTCGTACGCGACGAAACGGATGCTATTTTGCGGCACGACTTTCATCGTGTTTGCCGTCCACCCTCTAAAAAACCCTCTCGCGCCTTCGTCTCGCATGATCGTCGTCATCGCGTCCGCCATCCCGTTGTACGTTTTACCTTTCATTTGCATCCGTCTTCGAATGGTATCCAACGGGTAACACACCGTCGCGCTAAACGTTCCCGAGGCTCCACCGATGACCAAATTCGCCATTGGATCTTGCTTGATGTTCGCCCCGTCCCCGTAGTACATCTTCTTCGCCACGTCGTAACTGGCAAAGTTACACGCCGCGTACGGCGCGATCCCGGCCAACGTCGGGATCAAACCTTTATACAGCGCTCTCACGCCTTCCGTTCTATACACCACCGAAAATGCATTCACCATCCCTTTATACGGATGATTCGGTAAAGCTAATCGTAACCTAATCGTATCCAACGGATGCGTCAGCGCGGTCCCGGTCATCCCCGCCATCGCCCCGGCGAGAAGTCTTTCCTTCACCCCTAACTTGCCGTTTTCGTCTTGCAACTTGCTCTTGTAAAAATCGTTCGACGTCAACTGCGCCGCGGCATACGGTGCGACCCGAATGACGTTCACCCCGTTCCCTTTCCAAAACGACAAAATCCCTTCCTCTTTGTATATTTTCTTGAACGCTTGCCCGACTCCGGTGTACGCGGTGCCTTCGATCCCGGACGACGCCATCGCTTGCACTTGAAACAACAGCTTGATTCTATCTAAAGGCGCCGAGGCTGTTCTCGCGATGACCCCGGCGCCGCCACCGGCGGCGACCATCCTCGAACCGTCCAATGTTTTTTTCATTTGAGAGAATATGCCTCCGTCGTCCTTCTCGTTCGCGGAGTGTGCCGCTGCTGCACCCATCGTCGCGAAAGAAGAAGAAGATGATGAAGATGATGATGCTAATGCCGACCGGGAAGCGTCGCGGTCTCGATTCATTCCGTGTTTGCTTTATGTGTATATCAAATATATATATAAATACTCGCCGCAAAGAAAGGTCTCCTCGCAGAATAGAATAAAAGAAGCGCCTCCTCACAGAGCGCGTAATTCGTTCTCGTTCTCTTCGAAAGAAGTGAACGCGTTCGTTTTCCTTTTGTTGCGTTGCAGTCTTTATTAAACGAATAAAGATTATCCAGAGAGAGTCTACGCTTTAAGAAGAAAGTTGCTTTTTGTGGTTGTGTGAAGCTCAAAAAAGAGTACCCTTTATGCACTCAAGGGTACCCTTTAGGCACTCAGCGCCTGCTTTTTGAGTCCCCCTTACGCACTAAGAACTCAAAAAAAAGAGTAACCCTTTACGTACTTAAACCCTAAACACAAATTTATATACCCGCGGCAGGTGCGTTTCGCGTCACATTGCGTTTCGATACAAACGCACACACACACACATCACGCGCGCGCATCTTTGCGGGTCGTTCTCGAGAGAGAGAGAGAAGAACGAGAGAGTGGCGGAGAACAACAAAATGGCGTACGGGTCGCTTCCTTCTTTCGAAGACGACGACGAAAGAAGAAGCACATCATCCTCATCGCGTGCGCAGCGCGGGGAACGATCGCCCGACGAGGGACAAGAACACGAAGTTATGATCGCATCATCGGAAGTGAGATCCTCGGAGAAGACCAGAACGACAGGAAGGAAGAAATACGTCGCGATCGCAGTGGTTGGCGCGATGTGCGTCGCCGGCGTGTCGGCGGGGTCTTCGTCTTCTTCTCCCGCGAGATTACATCATCAGCTCGGAGATGAGGCCGCGGTTTTCACGGAGAGAAAGGAGCAAAATTTTCAGCCTTCGAAACTGGCGCGCGCTCGTGTCGCCATGGCCTCTCTCGGAAAGAAGAACAAACAAGATTGGCACTGGGAACACATCGGGAACGGGTATTACTGTCACAGCAACGCGAAGTACATTTGCGAGTTTTGGGGATCGCCGCCGCCTCCGGCGTATCCGTTTCCGCCGCAGATGCCGAATCCTCCGCCGCCGCCGAGTCCAGCGCCGCCGCCGATGAGTCCGGACGTGCCGTCACCACCGCCGCCACCGCATCCGATGCCACCGCCGTTGTGCGCGAGCGAAGCGTTTAACGAAGATTCGTGCACGGACGAAGTTGTTGTGAAGAAGTGCACGAGTAAAGTGAGCGAAAATAACAACAATAACAACAACAACGCCGACGCCAAGGCGACGCCTCAATTAGGCGAGGAGAAGTGCGAAGACGTGAAAGTCCCGGTGTTGGGGTATTGTTCCATGCAATCCGCGTTGCACAAAATTCAGTGTCAAGTGGACCAGACACCGTCGGCGCACTTGGCGCAGTCGTTGGAAAACTTGTGCACGGAATTGCCGGCGAAGATTGACGCCGTCGCGAACTTTACGATGTCTAGAATGTTCCCGACCGATCCGAACGTTTTAGCGGAAGCGTTCAACTCGAGATTCGCAGCATCTGCTACGGCCTCGTTGGGTGGTTCATCTTCTTCTCCGTCGTTAATCGGCGCTGAAGAAATGTTGGACATTTTCGATCCGGATAACGAACACGTGTTCAGAGACTCTATTCGTAAACTGTTGCGAGGCGAGCCCGGGGTCGCGGACAAGAACAGCAAAGGTCACGAGATTGCCCCGTTGGGTCGCTCAGCGCACCAGTTGGGCGAGCAAGCGTTGATTGCCACCTTGGGCGGCAGAGAAACGTGCTTCTCTGTCCCGGTGGATACGTTCCCGCACCACGAAATGTCCGGTCAATTCGAAATGGAATGGCCGCAAAAGTTGCACGCTTCTGAGTATCGCCCGTCGATGTTCCGAGCGCAATTGTTGTCCCCGGAATTCGTTTCGTGCATCACGATGAATAAGTTTGAGATTCCGATGGAAGTCGCGCGAGGTATCGTGGACACGTACCGGACGTACTTCAAACCAATCATAACCAAATCGTTGGCGCAAGTCAACGACGCGACGTGCGGGAACAACAACCAAATGGGAAGATCGTCTAGAATGGGTAAAAATGAAGCGTCGCAATCGAAAGATTCTATCGAAAAGATTAAAGCGTTTACCGAGGAAGGTTTGGCCGGCGCCGCGAAGAAGAAGACGGTGGTCGGACGAAGTTTGTTGAGCAGCAGTTTAGAAGAGAAAACGAAGCCAAAGACGTACTTAAGAACGACGACGCAAATTCCAACCGTAGATTTGAGAGGTGCGGCGGATATTATCCAACGCGAAGCGAACATGGGCGGTTCCGTTGACCACGCTTCGTTGGTCGAGGAACGCATCATGTTGAAGATCAACAACTTGCGCGCGCAGTTTCAAAAGGACCCGTTGCAAGACAAAGCGTTCACCCAGAAGAAAAAATCCGAGGCTGAGAAGAAACACTCCTCCAGATCTCTTTTGAACGTGGATAATTACAACGAAGCCATGGAATCTGCGAGAATGTCCTTTACGAACGCGTTGAAGAACACGAGAAACGTCGATTACGAAGCTGAATTGGCGACGTCTATCAACTTCAAAGCGTCCTTCAAAGCCGCGAACACCATGTTCAAACACGGCGATTTATTCGATTTGACGGATACTGGACCACCGGTGATTAACAAAGAAGAGATGATCTCCTTGGGCGTGCCGGGCGTGTACATGAAGACCAACTTAGCGGCGAGGTTCCGCATGCCGTATTACTTCAAAGCAGACGTGCCGGGTGAAATCAACTTCCACGTCAAGGGTGACGTGCGCTATAAAATTAAGGTTTCCAACAATACCGCCGCGGTAGAGTTCTTAGGATCTACGATTCAAGCCGATCCGGAAGATATCACGTCCTCCGTCGTCGGATCCTTGCAACTCGGCACTTCGGTACGTTTGGACGAGTTCGTCACCGCCGTGTGCGTCGGCGACTTGTGCACCGGCCCGATGTTGGCCATGCAACAAGACGCCTACGTTGGCTTTGATACGTTCGATACGAACGGCGAAGTCTCCTCCGAGGATGAAACGCCGACGTGTTACGAAGGACCGGGTGGGCTCGAAACCACCTTTGTGGAGTGGGATTACGACGCGTCCGCAAAGGCGCAGTGCGTGGCGTCCGCCGACGGTGCCGCCAAGGGTGTCGGTTCGTACTTGCAAGTGCCGAAATCGCCGATGGGTGTGTACATGACCACTTTGAACGGTCAAGCACAATCTATCTGGCACGATTACCACTTAGACTCTGGAGATGGACACTTCTTCATGGATGAATTGTTCCACACGTGCGCCAAGGAGGACGATCCGGACACGTACGTCGACGCGTGCGATGCGGCGTATTTGGGTGAATTGCCGATGAAACCGACAAAGTCGGCGAGAAAAGCAGCCAAGCTGGCCATGAAGCACCATCGCGCGCACAGTAGCACGTTGAAGAACGTGAACGTGCCGAAACCGACGCCTGTCGCGCAAGTCGCCAAACCGGCGGCTGTCGCGCAAGCCAAGCCAGCTGCGGTATCTAAGCCATCTGCTGCGCAACAACAACAAGCGAAGCCTGTTGTGGTCGCGGCCGCGACGACTGTCAAGCCTGCTGCTGCTGCTGCTACCAAAACGCCAACCGTCGTGACTGCCAAGGCGGCGCCGGTTCGACCAGACGGCGTCTACGAAAAGAAACCGGACGGCATGATGCGCTTAGTCGCCACCGAGCGTAAAACGCCCGAGCAAGAGCTCGCGGAAAAGAAGAATGCGGAAGAAGCGAAGAAAGCTGCCGAAACTAAAGTTGCCGCCGCGGAGAAGAAAGTGCAAGATGCGAAAAACGCCGCGGATGTCAAAAAAGCCAACGTGCAAAGCAAAATCGCAGCGGACCAAGTGAACGCGGCGACGAAAGTGATGAACGACGTCAGGCAGCAACAGCAAAAGCAGCAGCAGCAGCAAAAGCAGCAACAGCAACAACCAAAACAACAACTCAAACAACAGCAATCAAACAACAACATCAAAATGACTCCAATCAACGAAGAAGCGAAGAACCTCGAAAAACGATTAGACTCCATCGAAGCTTCGATGGGCCGCGAAGAACTCGAAAAGAACTTACAAGCGGAAAAGTTAGCGAGAGGTATCGCCATCCCGGATCTTCCCACCGCTACGACTCCTAAAGTCGCCTCCGCGACGAAGAAGCCAACCCAAGCGAAGAAACCAACAACATCATCCGTGATTTCCGAAATTTCCATCGACGACATCGCGGCTGAAATCGCGGACGAGGCGAGCATGGAAGGCGCGTAACGCGTAAAAGAAAAATGTACAAGAGTGAAAGAGCGGGAAAGTGTTATTTTTAGTTTGAGATATTATTAGTTTATATATACACATATTACGTTTAGAGAGAGAGAGAGAGAGAAATAGAGGAGGATTGTTATTATTATTTATACACTGTTCATGTCGTACCGAATGCTAAACTCTCTCGCGTACGTTTACTGTATTCCTCCCTTCGCGCGGCGAAAGCGCAAATCTCAGCTTCTTTTCTTTCTTTACGAATCCGCGGCACAAATTTCCTCTAATTCTGATTAATAATGTCGGCAGCAGCATCGACATCGCGTCATCCTCGTCGTCATCGCGATGGCGAGCGCGAACAGCTGTTGTTCAAAACGACGACCGCGAGGACACAAACGGTTGAACATGGGTCGTCGTCGCTTGATTGTGATGAGGACGACAACAAGAACGTTTTGGGGAAAATCTCAACCTTTTTCCTCCTGTTGTTCGTCCTCAGCGTTGCGAGCGCGCTCGGGGTTGTTCTGACGAATGATAATACTGCGACGACGAAAACGAGAGCGCTTTCAATGCTCGGAAGCAGTTCGAGCGGTTTGAGCGCGAGCGCGAACAGTTACGTGCCGTATTCCGTGGAACTGATTCCAACGTTTGCAGAGCAAAGAAAACCACTGACTGATTTTACGTTTTACGCGGCGGTTGGATCGTGCCTGAGCGAAGCGCCGAAGGACGGTCGATGCATCGATTACGGATCGAGAAGCACTCACGGTGCTTCGATTTCGGAATGGAACGTGAGTTTAGTGACGAACATGGATAAAGCGTTCGAAAATCGCTGGGAGTTTAACCCCTCGGAGTCGTTGAGCGGGTGGGATACGAGCGGAGTGACTTCTATGCACTGGATGTTTTTCAACTGCCATGAGTTTAACGGCGACGTGAGAGAATGGCAAACCGGGAACGTGCAAGATATGAGCGGTATGTTTTATAACGCGACAAAGTTTACGAGAAAAATTGACCGGTGGGACACGAGTTCGGTGACGAACATGCACGGCATGTTTCAATTCGCGGCGAGTTTTAACAAGAACATTTTAGGGTGGGATACCGGGAAAGTGGCGAACAGCGCGAATATGTTTAAAAACGCGACGGATTGGTACAAGAAGTTTTCATGTCCGAACGATTCGAGCGTCCCGAACGAGTGTTCGTGCACGGCGTGCGTGAAACAGGAGGAGTTTTTAGAGAGCATAGAAGAGTGTTTGCGTTTAGCGCCCGGAGGGAATTGCGAGAAAGGGTCGCACGGCGCCATTCACTTGTGGGACGTGTCCCAAGTGACGGACATGTCGTCCGCGTTTGAGAATCGAGAATCGTTCAAAGACGTCGGTATTAGCAATTGGGACGTCAGTTCGGTGACTCGAATGGACAACATGTTTCGAAACGCGGTGTCTTTCAACGGCGATATTAGCAAATGGAACGTTGAAAACGTTCAATCGTCGCACCGCATGTTCAAAAACGCCAAGGCGTTCGATAAAGACATTCGAGGGTGGGTGATGATGAATTTGCCGTTATCGACGACGCCGACGACGAAAACGAAAACAACGACGTCGACGATGGGTTCTTCAGTAGTCAGCGAGAACCAAACCAACCACGCCTCTTGGGACATGTTTACCGGTGCGGACGCGTGGTTGATTAAATACGGCTGCCCGCACTGCCAACAATTCGAAGGCCCGCCGGGAATGTGGTCCACTCTCAACGAACACCCTCCGCCTTCGCCGCCGTTGCCGTCGCCGCCCATGTCGCCGACTCCCCCATTCGACCCATCGAAATGTACGTCCACCCCTGCGTTCGAGAACTTACACGAGTGCGAGGATACTTTACTCCATAAAGAGGATTGCTCCGTCGATCCTTCCACGAACGAGGAAACGTGCGCGGTGGAAGTCAAAGTCCCGGTCCTTGGATTTTGCGCGATGAAAGCCGCCATCAATAGGCTGAACAAAATCGAGTGCGGTTATTTATTAGAGGAGACCGCCTCGCAGACGCTCGATTCCGTCACCACGCCGGTAAACTTGCGGGGCATCGGAAACTACCTGGACGGACTCGCAACCGTCCTCGAGACTCAAATAGCGCCGCATCAAACGACGCCAAACGACGAAGACCCTTTCGACTTTAACGTCGCCGGCGGAGTCGGCGAAAAAGAAGAAGAAAAAACCGACGGCGTGTATGGCATGATTACAGATAAAAAGAAAGGTTGGTTTCCTTTTCTTTCTGAACACCAAAATTGACAATAGTAGCAATAGTCGTAGTCATCAATTAGGTGTATTCCCCGCGTTACGACAGAATTTCTCGCGCTTTGCATCCTCAGCTCGCCCGTGGGGAGGTTTCCTTTCCTCGTGCATCTTTTTTGGGGCGGTTCGGTACCGGACCGGGAGTCGCGCGTCGAGCGCGCTTTCGCTCGCGAGAACGTTGTGCTCCATCCAGCAGAGCGTAACGCTTTTCAATTCGCCAGTTTTTTACATTCACAAACGCATTACTACATCTCTTCTTCTCTCGTCGTTTTGTCGTTCGCGAGAGACGTGGTCTCACGCACGCATGACGTTCCCTTCCTCCTCGAATTACCACCAAAACAAATCTCCTTGTCTTTCCTTGCGCGAGAGACAACTCCTCGTGTTCGGGTACCCGCGAAAAGTCTCCCCGGGGGAAGTCTTGTCACTGGTGCGTTTTCTCGTCCAAGACGACGACGAAGAAGATAATGAAGAAGTAAAAGAAGAGACGGGGAAATATGTGGTTAAAATTTTAGACGAAGTGGACGTGCACGGGTGCTCCGCCGCGTTCGTGCAACTCCCGAGAACGACGACGAGAGCGCAAAGGTTTCGAGCGTTCGAGAGGAAAATCCAAAGTGGAATTCAGTTTGAAGGGGAAAATATTTACGCGAGAGCGTTCGATGCGCCGAACAGACCGGAAGCGTTGAAAGGACTCCCGAGGACCGTGGAGGAGGTGTTTAAGAAAAAAGAGGAGGAAGAGGCGAAGACGACGATTCAGACGACGATTCAGACGAAGAAGAGCGCTCCGGAAGGGTACGCTATTGGCGGGAACGTTGGTGGGAGCGACGACGGAAGCGGATACGGTACGAAGAGGAAACGAGACGGTCCCGGTCCGCTCTTATCGCTTTCGGAAAACCTAGTAGTAGCGGGAGGAGTAGACATCGTTCGCGAAGAAGAGAGACGACGTTTGATTCGAGCGGAGGTGTCTGGTGGTGGTGTTTTTACGCGAGATTTCGACGCGGTTGAGTTTCTCGAGTTTGACCCGGCGACGAGTCAACCCGGGGAATGCGAAAGATCGAGCGTGAAGCTCGTCGGTCGCAGAGGTAACAATAACGTAGAGAGAAAACTTGCCGTCGTTTACGCTGCAGAAGCGCTGTCGTTTTTTATCGGTGCAAGGGGCCTCGCAGTGAGAAGAATGAGGAACACATTTCCGACGGTAGCGTTTGAATGCATCGAGCATCCACAAAGATGCGTGTTTTTGTGGCAGAAAGGCACGGGCGCGAATGGCGACGAAGAAGTGGCGAAATGCGAAGAAATTTTATTCGAGAAGGCGGTTTTAGAGACGATTGGAACTTTAGAACGGACGACGGAGGAGTATGATTCGTTGTTGAGCGCGAAGAAAGTGGCCGCCCGGACGAGCGCGACGAGTTACGATTTCAGAAGTCAACGAAGTAGCGAAGATACCGGATTTGTTGTTCGTACTCAAAGCGATAGCCATCCCGCTCCGTTTGTTGATAAAACGCCGTTACCACCGCCAACGGCAAACGAGTACGATCATCTGTATCAAAATGATGACAAAGAGGAGGAGGAAGAAGAAGAAAAATTTGAGAACACGAATAGAATTTTAGACGGCGACGACGACGATTTCGGAGGAACAGGCTTTGTTGGTGGTGATGACGAAGACGGTACCTATGAAAAGTTAGACGAAAGAACCAAACTTGTATCGCGAAACACTCCGTCACCGATTGAGGAGGAGCTACAAGACGTCGACGCCGACGCCGCTGAGCCCGAGAAGAATAAAGACATAAACTCTCGACTGGACGTCCACAGAGCGTGTTCGGAAAAGCTCATTTCGAGAACAGACATCTTGTTCGTCCTCGGCGCGACGAACAAAGATTCGGGAAGCATTACCGAACGATTTGATTTAAACGAGCGATTCGTGAGAGTGCGCATGCCAAAAGGTAAAACCGTTTCCGCGAGCAACTACGCGTGCGGGATTGTAACGAAAGCTACAATGGAACCAGGACGAACGAAAATGCACGAAGTGACCTGGAAACTCGTTCTCGATTTAGGCCTCGCATCCGTACCTTCGTATATCACGGACGTGGCTTATTTGTCGAACGATAGTTTTACGCAAACCGAGACGAGCGCTTTCGCGGATAATTTGAAAACCAGAGACGGTGAGGATGTCGCGATGGAAATGGTGTTCGGTGTTCGGGCCTTAAATGTGTGATGATAGTTTTTTAAAGGAAAAAGATAGTAGTAGCGATAAATAGGGGAGACACGCGCGCATGTAAAGAACAATTTATAATGAAAGACATCAACACAGGATTTATTACATTATTTATTTGTCTCTCTCTCTCTCTCTCTCTTTCTCTCTCCGTTCTAATTATAGCAAGTTGGTGGTAGTAGTAGTCGTCGTTGTTGTTGTTAAAATAATACTCTGGTTAGTTCGGGTTGATGATGGCTTTGATTTCGTCGTACATGACCAAAACCATCGCACCACCGACACCTCTCAAGATGTTCGAGAACGCACCCTTGAAGAACGCGCCCGCGCCTTCGGCTTGGTAAATCTTAACAAACGCATCCATGGTGCCGGTGTACGTCGGACCGGCGGCGTTGCCCTTCTTACCGGAGGTCATCATCAAACGTCTACGAACGGTATCAAACGGATAGGACAAGACACCCGCGGCGTTCGTGGCGACTTGCGCGACGACGAACTTCGCAATCATGGAAGAATCCCTGGTCAACAAGGCACCCTTCCCGGTATCGTAGAGACCAAAGTACGAACCTCTGTACACGACGATACCTTGGACGGAAACGCCAAAGCCCTTGTATAAAGCACCAACACCGCCAGCCTTGGCAGTTTTGCCAATGCAATCGACCAAACCAGTGAACTCACGATCCTTGTTCGTGCCAACATCGGCGGCCAAACGCGTACGAGCGAAATCAAGCGGGTACACAATCAACAAAGACCCCGCGCCGGCCAAACCGCCAGACGCCATGTTGACCGCGAAAAACGACCAGAACGCCTCCTTCGGCGAATACGACGGAAACAAAGCCTTAATCGTATCCTTGAACGCAAAGTTAAACGCTTGCGTCGGGAAATAACGGACAATATTGGCCGTGTTCCCTCTCCAAAACGACCCCACGCCTTGCTCCGCGGAGACTCTCGTGAAGCAATTCACGATACCCGTGTACCTCGGGATTTCCCCGGAAATGATTCTCGGGTTCGCGTCTTGCGTTTGGATCAAAAGCTTGACGCGTTCGATCGGTGCCGTTGCGGTTTTCGCGATCGAACCGGAGACGCCGCCAGCCGCTAAATCTTTGAAGAAACCCAGCGGATCCTGTTTATATTTACATGTTTGGTATTGAGAGAGAAAAATTGAGTCAAAAACGTTCAAGCAGTCAGAGAGAAAAAAAAATTTCTAAAAAAGAGATCCGATCGCTTTCGGATGATGATGATGATGTTCTTCTTCTCGCCGGCGATCTCTCGCTCTCCTCGGAAAACCCAACTTTCGGGAGAACGAAAGAGGACGACGCGGGAGGAAAAGAGACGTCCATCGCTCTCTCTTTCATTCGATCTCTTTCCAACGCGGCGAGATCTTTTAGAGAAGAGAGTAAACATTTAATCATCTTTTGGCGGCCCTGAAGCGTCGGTGTTTGCTCAATAATCTCATCGCGCTTTTGAGAAAAGCTTTCGAGGAAGTGAGAGCGCCGCGACATTTCTTTCTCAATTCGATCGACGATTTCGCGTTCAAGAATACACGTTTCGTCCAAACGTACACATCTCGTCCTCGTCTCGTTTCACATCGCGCGTGATCGCGCGCGCACACGTTCCGCGCGACATCAATCACATTTGGATTTTTTCAAAAACTACTCTCGAGTGTACTCACCACTTCTTTCTTACTGTGCGCGGTGAACTGCGCGGTCGCTCTTTGCGTCCGCGTCATCTGCATCGCAGGCGTGACATGTTCACTCGACGTTGTTTGCGCTTTCAAGTTGCGCTCGAACGCTTGCTCGTAAAAGGCTTTCGTAAACGCCATCTTAGTCGTAAGTGTTTATATTAATAGTGGGGAAAAGCGGACCTTTGTTGAGAGACTGAGGAGATCTCCACGGACTTCTGATGGAATAATCTCGTACGGTTTGGTCGAAAAAGCACAAAAGAGAAAACAACAGAAGAGAGAAAAGAGCGCAGATTCAGAGAGCAGTTTCGTTGTTCGTGCTTTTTCACTCCTCTGCTTTTGTGTTCGAGCTTTTTCGCCTCCTCTTTATTATTGTGTGTCAACGCTCCGTTGTTTTCCCCCACACGAAACAAAAGGAGAGAGGTTGAAGAGAGAGAGGTCTGCTTTGAAAACAACAACAACAACAGAGAGAGAGAGAGAGAGAGTGCGAGCGCGTTTCTGGTCGGTGCTTTGTCGCCGCGCTCTGCTTTGTTCGAGCTTTTTTTGCCTTCCTCTTCGTCTCGTCTGTTTTCCCCACAAACAAATTGGTTGACACGACAGAGAGATAAAAATGCAACCATCTTCATCACAATCGGCCTTGTCGTTGGCGCGACGATTGGTCGCCAAATCAATCTCGGGAACTCTCAGAGGAGGAGGAGAAAGAGGCGGGGTACTTTTGACGACGACGAGCGCGAGGAGTACGACGACAAGCAGCGGCAAAGATGGCGACAGATGGGGGAGTCGGAGGAGGAGGAAAAGGAGTCAAACGAGCGTTTGTAGTGCGTTTACGACCGCGACGACGACTGCGGACGACGATAACGATATTCTCTCACTCCTGTGTCACACCGCACTTGCGAATCCAAACCGACCGGCGATTGCTTCTGGCATTCACTCCAAAGGCCCTTTAGACGCCGTCACGTATGCGAAACTGTTCAATTTTTCGCACACGCTCGCCAGATCGAAGGTTTTACGAGACGTGGAAATCGGGGAGAGAGTTGGGATATATTGCGCACCAAACGCGGAATTTGTGGCGTCGGTGTACGCGATATGGATGAGAGGAGCTGTGGCGGTGCCGGTGTCGGCGTTCGGGGACGAGGCAGATCGAGCGCACGTCGCTCGGGATAGCGGGATGAAGACGTGTTTAGTGCCGCCGAGGAGGAACGACGAGTTTTTTAGGCGAAGTGGAGATGTGAAAGAGGAAGAGTTTACGTGCGGCGAGGCGGAGATTAGGAGAGTGCATAAGATTCCAAAGTGGGCACTGAAGCCGTGCGACTTTCAAAAGGATTGGTTGGAAGACGTTCGTCAAAAGAGTGATGAAAGCGTAGGCGCGTTGATTTTATACACGTCCGGAACGACCGGTCAACCGAAAGGTGTTTTACACACCAGGCAAAGTTTGTATTCGCAAGCGAAAACGTTGAGCGACGCGTGGGAGATTTCCAAGAAGGATCGTTTGTTGCACTGTTTGCCTTTACACCACGTGCACGGGTTAGTGAATGGCGTTTTGGCTTCGCACGCGAGCGGCGCGACGGTGGAGTTTACGGATTCGTTCAAGTTCGATCCGAGGTATTTTTGGCGACGAATGCGAAACTCCGGGCCACAGATCACGATGTTTTACGGCGTACCAACCATGTACGCGATGGCGTTGCGACAGTTGGACGTGTACGATAACGCGGATAGGAGGAGGAGAGAGAAAGAAGAAGAAGACGGAAAATCCGTTGAGAGGAAGGAAAAAGTATCGACTCGATCGGAGTGCGCGGAGGAAGCGAAAGCGCTTCGCTTGTGCGTATCCGGCTCCGCGGCGTGCCCTCCTTCCATCTTAGATCAGTGGAACAGGTTGACTGGAAACCAATCGCCTTTGTTGGAACGATACGGGATGACGGAAATTGGCATGGCACTTTCGCAAAAATTGGATTTCTCCAGTCGCGCGCCGGGATCGGTCGGCGAACCGTTAGCAAACTCGGAGTGTAAAATTCTAGACGACGCGACGAACGAGTTACTCGTCAAAGGTCCGGGGATTTTCAAAGAGTACTGGAACAATACAAAAGCGACTGAAGAGGCGTTTACGAGCGACGGGTACTTTAAAACCGGCGACGTCGTTTCAGTTTCCGCCGATAAGAAAGACTGGCGCATCGTCGGTCGGGCTTCGGTGGACGTCCTCAAAGTCGGCGGCGAGAAAGTTTCCGCGTTGGAAATCGAAGCGAGAGTTCTGGAAGGTTTAGGCAAAACGTCTCTGAAAGAAATCGCAGTGTTCGGCGAGGCGGATGAAAACTACGGTGAACGCGCCGTGGCGATTGTTGCGCCTACGGACGAGTATAAATCTTTGGAGAATTTCAGCGACAAGTCTTTCGACGACGAGGTGAAAGCGTGGACGAGAGAAAACTTGACGAGTGAGCGATGGATCACGAAAACGTACGTGGTAGACTCTATCCCGAGAAATGCGATGGGAAAAGTCAACAAAAAAAGCTTAAAAGCGACGTTTTCGAGTTCGTAGTACAGTAGTTAGTTAGTTAGTTAGTTAGTTAGTTAGTTCGATTTTAGGCAACTCGTTTGACTTAAATGTTTATTCTTATACTACGTATGTCTTCGCGCGGCGATACTATTTCTCTCTCATCTCGGGGCGACTTTGTTCGTGTCGTTACTACTATTGCTACTGGTGTTGTTGCCGCCGTTATCGCTTAAAGCTCTCGCGACTTCAAATTCCGGTAAAGGCATCGCGTTTAACCGTCTGAAATCCTCGCGCGTCGGGATATCGTACTTCCCTTCTAAAAATTTCGCGAGACTGGCGGGCGCTTTCGCGCGATCTAAATACGCTCTCAAAGCGTCGCCTTGGACTCTTTCCTCTTTCGCTAAAGCTTCCGAAGCTTCGAGCAACAACGCTTCGTTTAGTTGTAATGTTTCGCACGCCACAACGAGCGCTGCGTTTAGTAATCCAGTCACTTCGCCTTCGACGTCGTGACCGGACTCTTTCGCGCGATCGCTAAACGACCAATCTTCCGGATTGCCGCCGGAAGATAAAGTCGGTATAGATATCGGACCGACAGAGGCGGACAAACCCCACTCGGCGAAACCTTTATACGCTAATGTCGTCGCGCGTTGAATATCGTCCGAGGCTCCTGTACTCACGCGTTTACACGCAATCATTTCAGCCGCGCGGCCACCCATAAACGTGGCTATTTGTCCGCGAAGTTCATCCGCGAACATTAATTTCCGCTCCGGTTCGTCCGTGTTTGGCGGCGTGTACGTGAAACCTAACGCACCTCCAGACCTGGCGACGATGGAAATCTGCTCCGGTTTGGTCGATCCGGGAAGCAACGTTCCGACGGCTTGCGAAACGATCGCGTGTCCAACTTCGTGCGCGGAGACGTTGAATTTCTCTCTCGGTCCTAACAGCGAGCGTTTCTTTTCCACGCCGGCGACTGTTCTTAAGACTGCTTTTTCAAACTCCTCTTTACCGACGGTAGTTTTGTTTTCGCGCCCGGCGAGTAACGCGGCTTCGTTCACTAGATTTTCCAAATCAGCACCGGTAAAGCCGCTCGTCATCGTCGCGATTTCGTCTAACAAATGTTTCTTTCCATCTTGCGCGTTGTTCTCCAACGGCAATCCTCTCGTTTGGACGTGGACGTCCAAAATTTCGCGTCTTCCTTGGACGTCTGGTTTGTCCACTTGGACGATTCGATCGAACCGACCGGGGCGTCGTAACGCCGCGTCTAACGTATCCGGTCGATTCGTCGCGCCTATGCATATCACCAATCGGCTCGCATCGGCATCGAATCCGTCTAATTCCGTCAGCAGTTGATTCAACGTCTGTTCGCGTTCGTCGTTGCCCATACCTCTCATTTTCCCATCCGAGCGACCCTTCGCGACGGCGTCGATTTCGTCGATGAATACGATCGCCGGCGCTTGCGCGCGAGCTCGAGCGAACACGTCGCGCACTCGAGACGCGCCCATACCCACGTACAACTCCACGAATTCGCTCGCGGCGACTGAAATGAAAGGCACACCGGCTTCGCCGGCCACCGCTCGCGCTAACAGAGTTTTCCCCGTTCCCGGCGAGCCGCACAAAAGTACGCCACACGGCGGTCTGGCTCCAAGCTTAGAGTACCGCTCCGGATTTTTCAAAATGTCTACGATTTCAGAGAGCTCTTCTTTTGCTTCGTCGACGCCGGCGACGTCCTCGAACGTCGTCGACGGCGGCGGCGTGAAATTCGGATCGTTGCGACCTCGGCCGTTGAACGACCTGCCGCCGACTTGCCTTCCGGCGCCTGGAATCCCACCGGGCATGCCGCCACCCGGCATCCCTCCTCTCCCACCGGGCATACCGCCCCCAGATCCCATCATCATCGAGTTCTCGCGAAAGTTCCTCAACCAAAAGAACAAAACGATCGACGCGAAGACTAAAAACGGGAAATCAAACGCATTCTTATCGCCGTCGGCGTCCACGGAGAAGAGCTCGACGTCGTTCTTTTCCAACTGCGCATACGGAGTTTGCGCATCTGCGGGCTTTCTGGTCGCGTAGTGAATCTCGAACGATTTCGACCCGTCGTTTTTGCTCAGCGTCGTCGTCTTTTCCCCTCCTCCTCGTCGTTGTTGTTTTCCTTCGCTAGAACCGCCGCCGGTTTCAATCACGGTCGGTTTCCTCGGTTTCCACGTCAACCGGTCCCCGGCGACGGTAACCGTCCCAATCTCATTCTTCCTCGCGTCCCTCAAAAACTTCGAATACGAAACTTGCAACACTCTCGCTCTCCTCTCTTTCATCGCGTTGGTCGCGCTCGGATTCCCCGCGAAACTCCCAAACGCCGCCTCGTACGCGTACGCCAGAAACGAAACCAACGCGTACGTGCCAACAATCTTCGTCGCCCGGTTGACTAACATCACCGATCTCGGTGGTTGCGGGTTCTTGTTGCCGTTATTCATTCTCTGCGGAGATGGTAAAGGCACATTTGGTTTCGCGTCGTTTGCGTTCCCAGCGCTGCCTTTTTCCATTTTATCCGCTTTTTCCTCCTTTTCCTCCTTTTCCTCGTCGTCACCATCATCGGACGTCGGGGAGGACGATTTCGACGAACAGCACTTTACCCCGTTACCTGAAACAGAAACACCATGCGTAGAACTCCCTCTTCCTCTCGCTTTCGTCGCATTTAAAGCGTTGACCGTGCTTCTCGCGCCATTTTTGTTCGAGAAAGAATGAAGCGTCGACGTGTTCCCCGAGGGGTCGTTGACGGCACGGAAACGAGATTTAGACGAAGAAGAACGCGTGGTTGCTTTGAACGCGCGCTTTCTTTCACCAGGAAAGACGCGCACGGACGAGAGTCCAACGCCGACGGGAATGGCGTTGAGTGAAAACAGCATCGTCGGACTTTGTGAGAGTGTTTTCGTCGCGACGAGAGCGTTTTAAGTGAAGCGAAAAGAAGGCGAAAAGAGCGAAAATGTGACTCGGAGGAGTACGACTTCATCCATTCCTTATGTAGTGAACACGTGTGTATGTGTATGTATATATCTATGCGCGCGAAATGCCCGAAGTATTTGCTCTTCGTTTTCGAAATTCGCGAGGATGATGATGATGATGATGATTATGATGATTGAACGCGCGTATGCGTTTGCGTTTTCTCGTCGAAGACTAAACTATAATCGGAACTAAAATAAACTATAATCGGAACTTGATTCTGATTCTGATTCTACGAGCACGTGTAACTCTCCGTGCTCGTATCGCCAACCATCTGGTAATGGACAGTCGTTGTCGAGGAGGTATTGTACACATTCGGTTTCGTTGTAGTCGTGCGCTTCTCGCACGGCCAAATAGTCCCAAGGCGCTTTGGCGGTTTCGTGTAAGTACTTCAAACAGTCCAAGTGGCCGTTCTTGGCCGCAAACTCACACGCATCTTCTAATTCATCAAACTTACGCTCAACAAGATATTCAAGTATATGAAGATGACCATTTGAAGCCGCTCTCGTGGCAGTCCAAGAACCCCAAGGCGCTTTGGCTTCTTCGCGTAAGTATTTGAGTATCTCGAGACGACCTCCTGAGGCAGCGCATCCACACGCAGACCAATTGATAGGGCACTCATTTGCAACACAATACTTGACCATTTCCAGATTACCTTGTCCTACGGCCGCATTAATCGTCCCTACATCCCACTCACACTTTTTCTCCTCTCGTATCCACTTGAGCAACTCGAGTTTATTCGTTTTAGCAACTTGCTCGCAGAAAGATGACGAAAGCCACCAACTCGGCCACAACGATTTATGCTCCCACGCAACTTCCAAAGTCGATATCGACGACATCTCTTCTATTTTAAACCTCTTTTTCAAATCGCTCGCGCGAGACGATCTCTCAATCAACTTTCTCGTTTCACTATTCACTCCGTACAAGAATTTCACATCGTTCGAATTCAATCTCGGAAGCACGTGTTTGAAACACACATCGTCGTTATCATTCACGAGCAAATCCCACAACAAAACCTTCCCTCTTTTCTCTAAATCGTCGTCCATCTCTTCCTCTTCCTCTCCCTCGTCCTCGCGGCGAGGCGTTTTTCTTTTCCTCGCGATCATATTCACGCGCGTTCGTCTCTCTTTTTTTTCTCAAGCGTTTGCTTCATTTTTTCCCCAAACTTCTTCGCGTTCTGCTCTGCGCAACAACCACCTTCAAAATGGTGCACGCGATCGCCTACTGGAAACCAACGAAAGAGGACAACAAGAACCAAGCGTCTTCTTCTCAATTCGAGTCCATCAATTTCCCGCCGTCCGCGTACGTGCGGTTTAACAGTCACTTGCTCTCCAGATTGAATCGATTGGACGACGGGGAAAACGAAACCAACACGAGAGCGAGCGTCACTTTGTATAAACGAAACGAAGCGAATAAGGGCGGTCCTTTCGTGGTCGGCTTGACCGATGCAGAGCGAGAAAGGATTCGGGAACAGTTTTACGTGGTGGAAGTGTTTGAGTCTTCGAAGAGCAAAAAGTTTGTGTTCGCGAAGAAGAAGACGAACGAACGAGAATACATCGAGGAACTTAAAAGTGTGAATCCAACGGAGTACGCGAGAGATAGCGGGAGTCGATTTCACGAGGTACAATTCGTGAGGAAGTTCGTGTGTAAAGAGACGACGGCGATCGACGACGAGGAGGACGTCGACGACGCGTTTTCGCCGACAGATACGAAGACAAAGAAGAAGCGTAAGAAGCGGCGGTATACGGTGCGAGTAGGACGCGTGGAAGACGCCAAAGCCGGGTCGAGGATGGTGTGCGGAAGCGTCGTGGAGGTGAGCAGGTTAGATTGTGTGGGCGTCGGCGACGGGAAGCAGGAGCAGGAGGACGACGACGGCGGAGAAGGCGCCGCGCGGACCACGAAAAGGAAACGAACGCCGCCTCGAAGCGAAAAAGACGCAGAAACGGACAAAAAGAAGCTCCTTCGAGTTCTCGAGAAAATCACGGCGACCGCGGAAGGGATTCTCGCCGACGAGAGAAAAGAAAGCGCAAAGACGGCGAAAGCGGCGAAAGTAGGAGGAGGAGGAGGAGGAGGAGAAGACGACGACGACGACGAGAAAGCGACAAAAAAAGAAGAGGGGAAAAAGACGGGTGAGTTCGTGGACGCCACCGCGAAGTGGACCTTGCTACTCGACCAAAACGACAGTGGTGAGGAGACGACGACGACGGCATCGTCGGGGTTTGACGTCCACCCGGCGGCAATGTACTGCGCGTTAGTCGCTTCCGCGTTTGAATAGTAGCTGAATAGTACGCTTTGATGTAATAAACGATATTGATGAGAAACGTTTAACGATTTTAAACTCACGACTCAACCTTCTCCGCCCATTCTCTTTGTCTCCTTTCTCGCGCAGGGACGACCACAAACATCCCAAATAACATCCAACACGCTAAAATCACCACCATTATCCCCAACATCGCTTGATTTACTTGCCTATCGCTCGCGTCTCGCATCAGCTTCGTCCTCTTCAACGTATCCTTCGCCTTCCTGTGCGAGTTCATAAATCCCCTCCCCGTAGATTGCACCGGCTTCGATCGCGCTACTCTCATCCCAAACTTTGCCGACTGTTGGCCAAACCTTCTCACGTGCTCGTTCTTCCCTATTTTCTTCGCCGCTTTATACCAAAACGTCGTCTGCTTCCTCGAACCATCGCGTAGGGTCACGTACCCGTCGTCGTCGTCGTTTTCGGCAACCGAGCGCGAGCGCGAGAGGAGACTCGGGGATACGTCCATCTCCCCGCTCCTAGCAGTCGCGCCGCCCAAAACCGACGACGACGGTGACTCCTCCTCCTCCTCTTCCTCCATCGCTTCCACTTCCACTTCCCCTTCTCCTCCTCCCAAATCCTCCTCTCTCTCCGCGTTGTTATTATTGTCATTCTCCTCCTCGTACGAATAATACGCGCTCTTATCGTAATCATCAAAATCTTCGATGTTGGACATGGTGTTCGACCCAATCGACGGGTTACTGTTCAGCGGAACGCCCTCGTCCTCGTTGTAAGAGTAGTAGCTGTCACCACCGTTTCTTTTCGGGGCACCCATGCGTGAGTATTGGAGGAGCTTTCTGTTGAAATTTCCATTTTCGATCGCAATTTGGAACGGAGAGGAAGAGGAGGAAAAGGAGGAGGAAAATCCGACGCTGAAGAGGAGTACGACGACGATCCCGGTCAGGATCGTCTTTCGAGGACGAGGCGAAGACCAAAAGACGGTTCGAGTAAAGGCTTTGACGAGAGAAGATTTCATGGTGAAATTTGTGACGACCTTCCCCCCCACAAAACAGTTGTCACAGAAAAAACGCAAATTTTTGCTTCTGCACGAAAAAGATCTCACATGTGATTTCATACTACTACTCCTCATAATTTTAAACGCGCAGCAAGAAGAGCATATACTAATGAGCAGACGAAAGAATCCACATCCGAAAAGAGCGGTGAACGCGAGGACGGTTTTTAAGGTGGTGAAGGGTAGGAGAGAGGAAGAAGAAGTGGAAGAAGAAGAACCTTTGGTGTTGTGTTCGAGGATTCCTGACGAGGATGACGATCTCGAGGCGAGTCAACAGATACAAAAAGAAGAAACGACTTTTATTAAGAAAGGAACGAAGAGGAAGAGAGCGCAACACGAGTGCGATGTGTGCGAGAAGCGATTTACTCGAGCTGATAGTTTGAAAACGCACATGCGTATTCACACGAACGAGAGACCGTACGAATGTGATGTGTGCGAGAAGCGTTTTACTCGATCTAGTGGTTTAAAACTTCACATGCGTATTCACACGAACGAGAGGCCGTACGAATGCGATGTGTGCGAGAAGCGTTTTACTCGATCTGGTAGTTTGAAAAGGCACAAGCGTACTCAACATCATTGAAAGCTTTTCATAGTTCAAGTTTACATACACTTTGATAAAGCAGTACAACAAAACCAAATAAATGAAGTTCCTTCTGAGCACAGAAAATTTCCCCAAACTGCATTACACGAGCGAGCGCGGAAAGAGAGAGAGAACAACGCTCTCAAAAATCATCTGAGTTTGAGAGAGACTTCACGAAGAAGAGCGTCGTGAATACTCGTCGTCGTCGTCATCATCTTTCATCGTTTCATTAAACACAACGCAAAAGAGAAACATCAGAGAGAGATTTATTCCCCTCTGAGCGCTTTTGATTCCCCTAATAAGGAAAGAAAGAAAGAGATAACATGTTCTTCGGTGGTGGACGGTCGAACGAGAATGAGTATGAGTATTACTCTTCAGAATTAGACGATTCAGACGAAGAGTTCGAAGATGCGCTGGAAATTGCGCGGAGAACGCGACGAGAGATGATGCACAATCGAGCGCAATTTGAGCAGCGGATGCATCCTCAGCGAGAGGAGGAAAAGGAGTTTAATAGTAACGACGGACGACGACTGGGAGATGAAGAAGAAGAAAGAGAAACGATGACGATAGAAAAGAGAGAAGCAAAGTTAAAATCCTGGGCCGGGGCGTTTAGCGCGTTCGACGAGGACGAAGAGGACGAAGGCGTTCGAAAACATCCGAAACCGCCGCCGTTTCCGTTACCGCGGGAGTTTGCGAGGCCGGAGTTTTTGAGAGAAGAGAGACGGGTGGATTTTGGCGCGGATGAATTGGAGTACGATGATAAAGGCCACGACGATTCAGACGACGACGAGAGGGTGAGGAGTCACGGGAAGGCGGCGACGCGTTCTGGTGGTCGTTTTCAGGCGGCGACGACGCCGATGTCGTCGATGCTCTCGATGCGAGCGAGTCCTTCGTCTTCGTCGAAGAAGAATGCGTCTTCTTCGTTATTGGTAGAATCTCTCGCGTCGCAATTGCGAGCGTGCGAGTTGAGAGCCGCGGACGCTTTGGAGGATGCCGAGAGAGAGTCCGAACAGGCGGCTAAATGTGAACGAGAGAATGAAAAGTTACGAGAGAAACTGAAACGGATGGAAGAGTCCGTGAAGGAGTTGCAAAAAGTGTGCGCGTTGGACCGACGGAAACGCGCGGAAGGCGAGGAGCGAGCGGCAGAGGCGAAAGCGAAGGAAGAGAGGATGAAATTAGACGTGCGCGAGGCGATTACTTTGTTGAGAGAACGGGAGAGAGAGATTGAGGAATTTGCAAAGATGGCGAAAGAGGCGGAGAGGAAGAAGAACGAGGCGAGGGAGCACGCGTTGACGATGCGGGCGAATTCGAGGAAGTTGGAGAGAGAAAACGCTCGATTACGAACAGCCGCGGCTGAGATGGAAGGAAGAATGGAACAGATTGTATCGATGAACGAACAGTCTGGAAGGTCGATTTCGGAAATTGTTAGGAGTAGTCCGATGAAAAGGCATCCTCAGCTCGCCGCTGATCGACGAGAAGAAGACAAAGAAGAAGAAGAAGAAGAAACGAAAAGAGCTACTACTGAGACGCATGCAACAGCAAAAACAACACCAAACATTGCCGCCGGTACGAGAACCGACGCCGTCCGACTCCAATCTCCATCCTGGTCCTGGTTCCGCGTCGCCACCGAAGACGCCTTGACGGTCTCGAAAACTCCCGTCGTCTCTCGACGAAACGGATCCGCCAAAAACGAAAACAAAACCGACGCCACCAAAGCCCCTCCATACGCGACCTCCGCCGACCTCCGTGCCAATAATCTCCTCCTCATCTCGCAAAACGAAAAAAACATCACCCTCCTCTCCTCCGAACGCGACCATCTCCTCCAACTCTTGGCCACGAAATTCTCAACCGGCGCGGGCAAATCCATGAAAGAACGAGAGCGGAAACTCGCCGTCGAAGACCGATTAAACCAAGTGGAGATGAGTTTGAAACAGGCGAAATTGAAAACGAAAACGCTCCGAGAAGAATGAATATTTATATATATATATGTAGTATTCTGATTGACTCGTACTAAAAGATTGTATACTGTTGTAAAGTTCTCGTCGGTGATACGAGTGTGTACATTTTGTTCATCAATTAAATTCCTCCTAAAAAGAAGCCTCGAGAAGCAATTTTCGTCATTAATTGGTTTTTGTGCGATCTCCTACAAATAACACTTTGAACAATACGAATAACAATGCGTCGTCTCTTCGGCCTCTCGCGATCGTTTTCCTACGTCACAACCTCGGTTTTGATCGCCTCTTTGATCGTCGCGCACGCTTTACTCACTCGCGAGCAATATTTCAGCGCGATGTTGTATCTCTCGACGTCGAAAATTTCCGTCGTGTCCTTGGCGAACGTCGCGTTCGCGTTGGCGTTTACCTTGGCGAAAGTTGTGAAAACCGTATTCCTGGGCGCGTTGCGAGAGAGCGAAGTCGAGCGGTTACACGAACGGACCAGAGAAGCCGTCATGGAGACGTGTTTGGCGATGACTATATTCAGAGAGGAATTCAACTTGAGATTTGTCTCCTTGTTCGCCTCTTTGTTGTTCTTGAAGGCGTTTCACGGTTTGTGCAAAGACCGAGCGGAACACATGGAAACGGCACCGCGAGTGCGAGCGATCGACAGATTTAGAATCACGAGCTTTATGGTGTGTTTGTTACTCGTGGACGTGGCGTTCGTGAAGTTTGCGATTGAACGCGTCGTCGCGAAAGGACCTTCGGTGGTGCTTTTGTTCGGGTTCGAGCACGTTATTTTGGCGAGTAAAATGTGCGTCGGGTTTGCGAAGTATTTCGTGACGATAGTGGATCGCGCGATGGATGGAAATTGGCAAGGGAAAGGCGCGTTCGTGTTTTATTTAGAGCTGTGCGCGGATTTGGTGCATTTGTGCGTGTACGTGGCATTTTTTTCCATCATCTTCGCCTATTACGGGTTGCCGATACATTTGTTGAGGGACGTGTACGTGACGTTTAGACAGTTTAAAGATCGAGTGGCGGCATTTTTGAGGTACAGAAGAGTGACGGCGAATTTAGATTCGAGGTTTCCAGATGCGACTGGGGAGGATTTAGACTTAGCGCGAGGCGGCGAAGATACGTGCGTCGTGTGCAGAGAGAAGATGAAAACGTGCCAGACGCACGCGGACGGGAGTCAAACGCCGATGCCGAAACAAATGCGCGCGAAGAAATTGCCGTGTTCTCACGCGTTTCATTTGCACTGCTTGAGATCGTGGTTAGAGAGACAACAGGCGTGTCCAACGTGTCGCGCGTCGGTGTTGCCGGAGGAAGAGAGAGAGTTGGAGAGAAGACAGAGAGAGAGGGAGGAAGGGCGGTGGCAAAGGTTACCGCCGGAATTGCAGCCGGGGTACATTGCACCGGAAGTGCAGGCGAGATTAGACGCGCAGACAGCAGAGGCGAGAAGGGAAAGAGAGGAGAGAGCGAGAAGGGAGAGAGGAGAGAATGGAGGTGTCGGGGTGACGGCGACCGAAGGAGGAGTACCGGGAGGAGGAACGGATGCGCCTTCTTCTTCGACGACAACGGCGGCAGTAGGTGCAGAAGCAGACGGAGAAGCGCAACGCGTTCGGGAGCAGCGATTAGAGCACCTCGAGCGTCGTTTAGGAGGCGAGCAACAACAACAACAACAAACGCCTTCAACGACTCCTTCTTCTTCGAGGGAACCGGCGGGGGCGGCTACTGCCGTCGCTGCGTCGACGACGCGTACGCCCGCGCGCACACCACCATCGCCGAGATTTTTACAACAACAACATCAACAACAAACGAGAGCGACGCCGCCGCCGAACATGACGACACCAATCGCGCCTTCTCCTTTGGCAAATCTCAACCCGGGCGGCGAGTGGTGGACTCCCGGTACCGCCGCAATCAACGCGTCCTACCAAGCCGGCATCTCAGCCGCGGCGACGAACATGGCAAACGACGAATCGTCGCTGTCTGAAGAAGACATATCGGCGCGTCGCATGGCGCACGCCGCCGCCGCCGCCGTCGCTGCTGCCGCGCAACAAGCGCAAATGGCGTTCATGAGCGTCGCGCCGCTCGGTTTACTTCCTCCGGGATCAAACATCAACGGCGGTAGTAGCTACTTCCCGTTTCCGATCGATTCACAACACCAACAACAACCAATGCCGCTCACGCCGGAGCAATACGAGAAGGAGTACAACCGTCGTCAAGCGCAAATGGAGAAAAACGATCAAAACGCGAACGCGAAAATCTCCGCGTTGGAACAAAAAGTGAACGAGTTGATGCAAAAACTCGAAGACCAGCAGCAGCAGCAGCAGCAGCAGCAGCGCCCGAACAAACCTTCACCTCCTTTGGAAGCGAAATTCGACCGAACCGCTGAAACGACGACGACGAATTCTCCTCCTCCGCCTTCTTCCTTATCTTCGCAACATCAACACGGGGAAGACACCAAAAAAATCGCCTTCCGACACTCTCGCTCGGCTTCGCCGTCCATCATAACCGCCGCGATGACCGCCACCGCCAACGCCGCCAACCCTACGGAGATCGAAGAAGAACAAGAAGAAGAAGAACGAAAAGAAGAACAAGAACAAGAGCAAGAGGACGAAGTTTCCCTCGCGCTTCGTTTGAGAAGAGAAAAGTGGTTGGCGCAGCAGCAATCGAAAGAAGAAGACGAAGAGCGATAAAGAGTAAAAATGTAATCAAAACACCCGTGTAATCTGCACTCAAAAGTCCCCACAAAAAACTTTGTTTCATTCACTTACCCTCACACACTTTTGTTGCGAGAGAGAAAGAGAGATTGAACGACTGATCCCCGCGAAAAAGCGCGCAGCAGAGAAGACTTACTAATAACAACATGTTTTTGTCTCTTTCTCTCTCCACGTGTTGTCCTCCTTCTTCGTCTTCTTCTCGTCATCCATTCGGAGGCGAATCGGCGGCGCAAATATGATTTCCACTTGAGACGTTCCTTTCTTCTTCTCTGCAAAGAAGATGTCCTCGAAAGATGTCCTCGAAAGAAAAAGGATAGAATCACTCGTTAAAGAAGGGTTCTTACCGATTCGAGCGCAGTTTTTGCGAGGCCCGTCCTCCCCGGAAGAAGAGAACGTCGACGGACCGAAGAAACCGTTAGAAGGAGGAAAAGAAGGAGGAAAGGCGACGGTATTACAGAGCAACAAAAACGGCTTGCGACAAGGCACAAAGTCGCAAAAGCAACGAAAGAGAGAGAAATACCTTTCGATGAGGAATGATTTGTGTCATTTTGTGGCGGTTGGGAAGGAGTGCACGTTTCAATCGACCGGGTCGTGCGAACGCGCGCACGACGCGGAGAAGTATTTAGAGGCGAGAAAAGACTCTTGGTTCGGCGGCGGGAACCTCCCGGATGGGCGATGCTTTCTCGGCGGCGACGAAGACGAGAAAGACGTGAAGTGTCCGTACGAGAAGAAGATAAAAGATGTGAGATGTCCGTTTGGAGTTCGGTGTTATTTTTCCGATCGACACGAAAATAACGCGAAAGAGTCGAAAACGTTGCTCGAGTGGCGACGGAGCGAAGGCAGCGAAGAGTTCAACGCCATGGAGGACTGGTTGCAGAAAAAATTACGCGAGTCCACGTATCTTTTGCCAAGATCGACAAAGTATTTAGAGATGGTCGGGAATGATTTGCTGTGCGTGTCGAAAGCGAAGAAGAGGAAGATTACGGCGATAAATCGAAATAACAAAGACGACGACGCGAACGAGAACGAGAACGAGGAGAAAACGGTAAAGAAGAACGCGATCGATTTCAATAAAAAGTTAGTCTTGGCACCGTTAACGACGGTTGGACACGCGCCGTTTCGACGCATGTGCGTGAAGTTTGGGGCAGACGTTACGATATCGGAGATGGCGATGGCTTCAAACTTGTTAGCCGGCGATCGACGCGAGTGGGCGCTGGTGCGAAGACACGCGTGCGAATCGAGTGCGACGAATAAGTTTGGGGTCCAAATATGCGGCGGGTACCCCGATTTAGTCAGCCGATGCGTGGTGCGTTTGTTTTGTTTTGTTTTTCGTGTTGTTTGTTTGCGCGTGTACTACAATTAAGCGATATAACGAGCGGGGTGATGATTAAACCTTGGGACTTCTTTGGCAGCCGCAGCCCTAGTAGGCGCAAAGGAGGAAGCGCCGGGGAGTGTTCGCATTCTCTGGCTATTTTACAGCTCGTGAGTTCCCAGTGCTGTCTGACCGCTCGATCGATGCAGAGTAATATTGTACACCACCATCATCGTTGTCTTCAACAAACTTTGTTTACCATTTTTATTCTTCTTCTTCCAACAACAACAACAGGAACTGATTGAAAACGAAGTCCAATGCGACTTCATCGACATCAACATGGGATGTCCAATCGATGGCGTTTGCGCCAAAGGTGCCGGCTCAACTTTGCTCACGCAACTTAAAACCGGTAAGTTGGAGAAAATCATCGACGCGGCGAGCTCCTCGTTGCGTAAGATTCCGTTGACGATCAAAATTCGAATGGGTTACCACGATCGCAAGCAACAGTGGAACGCGCACGATATCGTCAATCGATGTTGCTCGGCGCCGTCTTCGACATCTCGAGATTCCCTCAACGCCGGTTGGCTCGGTAAAGTCGCTGCGGTGACGTTACACGGACGAACGCGCGCGCAACGCTATTCGCGCTTGGCGGACTGGGAATACATCGACGAGTGTGGGAAAATCGCTCAAACTGTTTCAAACGGCGTCGTCCCGCTCATCGGCAACGGCGACGTGTATACCTACGAAGATTACAACGCACACGTGGACTCTGGAAACGTCGCCACGTGCATGATTGGTCGAGGTGCAATTATCAAACCGTGGTTGTTCCAAGAGATTAAAGAGCAAAGGCACATCGACGTCTCTTCCTCGGAGCGTTTAGAGTACTTTGCGGAATTTTGTAACTACGGGTTCGAACATTGGGGTTCGGATTCCATCGGCGTCGAAAAGACGAGAACATTTCTATGCGAATGGATGAGTTACACGCACAGATACGTCCCGGTTGGTCTTTTGGAGCACGCGAGCGTACAAAAGATGCATTTGCGTCCGCAACGATATTTCGGTCGAAACGATATGGAAACTTTGTTGGCCTCGGATAAAGTCGAAGATTGGATTAAAGTCAGCGAAATGTTCCTCGGCAAACCGAAAGACGATTGGACGTTCGTTCCGAAACACAAATCAAACTCGTACGCAGCCATGAACAGTCACAGTATCACGTCCTGGGAAGAAGTCGACGCGCAAGGATGAATAAAATAGGTACGTTCTTTGTCGTCTCGAATCTTTTCGTCTTCTCTCGCAAACGAAGATGCGCAAATGCGCGCTCGCGAGCACACGCTTACACACACACATCAACACACATACATTCTTGGTGATGATACACTTTTTTTGGAATTACCGTCCGACGTTGAGAAATGTTTTGCCTTTTGGAACGGCGGCCCTTCACAAAAACGATGAGCAGAAAAAATGGCTTCTGAAAGAATGCGATGGTGATGGTGATGTGTTGTTTGTGTATACGAAAATTCCCGCAAACGCGGGGCAAAGTGGTACTACGAGCGCGTTAAGCGTCGTCCTTAAATCGGATCGTCTCTCTCGAAAAATCGTCCTGATTCTCCTCCTTCTCCTTTCCTTACTCACGCTCTCTCGTTCTCGTTCCTTCTTCACAGATTAACAGATTAGAATAGAGACGCTCGCATACGCTTCGTGTTGTATTATTACGAATAGAAAGAAAGAAAACAGTTGAAACATCCTCACAAAAACATTAAATGAACGCGCGTAAAAATCATCACCTCTTTCCCCGCTGGTTGTTCTCCTCCGTCGTTTCCGTCGCGGAGTGTTCCTCCTCCTCCTTTGCATCTGCCTTAAACGACGAGGAATCTTCTTCCAAACGCCTTGAACCGTCGTCCTCGAAGAACAACATCGACACAAAAACGAAGAAAAATCTCCCCGCGAAAGTGGACGAGTTGAACGCAATTCACGCCAAGCAAGCGTTGCGAGAACTCTCCCTTCGACAAATCTCGCAAAACTACCAACCTACTCACGAGGAGAACAAAACGGTGCGCGATTTCGTGTATTCGTCCGTCTCGCGAGTTCTGTTCGCGTTCTCGATAACCGGAGTTTTTGGGTTCGCGAGCGTGGACGTGAAAAGCTTAAAAATGGGGACGAGTGGGAAGAGTACGTTTAAGAACGCGAGGAACGTATTTCGGGCGAGAGTGATGATTGGCCTCGCGACGGGGGTGTTAGGAGGCATGTTCGAACACAGGAGCGTGCAGTTTTATAAGAATTTATGCGTGAAGATTTTAGACGTGAAGGAAGGTGAGTCGAAGATGCCCGGAGAGTTGGCGCAGATATTGCGAGATTTGGATCCGCTCGGCGAGTTCGTGAAAGACCAGGAGAGGAAGAGAAATCGAGAGCGATAGTGCGGGTTTCGAGACGGGAGGGAGCGGATGACGAAGACGACGATGACGATAACGACAGCAGCGACGGTGGCGGCAAGAGGAGCGCCCTCGTTCAAACGAGACGAAGAAGAAGACAAAGAAGAAGAAAAACAACATCATCATCATCAACGACGAGAACGAGAACACTTCGTCTCTCAAAAACAAACCTCTCCGTTCTTCTTCTCCGACGTTTTCGAAAGAGCCACCAAAGACGACGACGACGACGACGACGACAACGACGACGACCCATCGTTTTCGTCGTCCTCGTCGAAGCTTTTCCGATTCCTCGAATTCGGCGAATCCGCGGGAGACAAAGAAGAAGAAGAAGAAGAGCGAAGAAAACGGAACCAACACCGGCGCGAAGAAAACGAAGAAAACGAGAAGAGAAGAAGAATCAAAAGAATACACAGACGAAGAAGAGACAAACTCCGCCTGAAAGAATCTGAACGCAAGACAAGAATTAGAGAGATTGGCGCCGAGCGGAGACGGCAAACGCCCGGATTGGAATTGTTTACGTAAACCGCCGAAACGCTAGCCTTTGCTCCATCGAAGAGCGCTCTGCTCCATAAAAAAATGTACTCAACGACACACTTTCACGCGCAACACGCGCACCAATGCATCGTCGCGGCCACATCTAATCGGCGGCAACGGTGTCCTCCCACGCGTGGGTTTTCCCCTTCTTCTTCTTCTTCTTCTTCGAGAGGAAGAGAAAACGAGCACAACAGGACGACGACGAGAAAGAATTCCAATCGAAGCCGCTTCGGGAAACGATCGTCGAGCTTTGCCTCTTCTTCTTCTCAAAGGAGCGACGACGCGTTGTGCGCGTTTCTTTGTCGCAGCAGCACTTCTGACGACGACGACGTAAACAACAATATTAAGAATACTTTGAACGACGACGATGCCATTTCTGCATCGTTACCTCTGAACGAGTTGAAACCCGGGGAGAAACAAAGCAGAGCGAGCACTATTCACAGGAGGAGTGAATTCGTCCAGATTTCATCGAACAAAGCGAAGACGATAAATCCGCCGGAGAATTTGTCCAAACTCCAACTTTTCGGCCGGAAATATTGGCCGTTGCTGGCGACTTTGGAGCTCTTAGCGCTCATCGGAGCCTCTCTGAACGGCGTGCTCAGTCGCAAACGCAGACAAGAGATTGAACGATTGAACGTTCAGATGCGCGCGATCATGCAACGCGTAGAGGACGAACGGTTCGAGAGGCACAATAAGAAGACTTCTTCGACGACTTCGAGCAGCCCGGCGATGGTATTGATTGGAAAAGGGAAATCGGCGTACGCGAACGGAGAATACGAATCGGCGATCGGTTTGTTCAACGACGCCGTCGAGGCGGCGGATGGCGGCGCGTTTAGTAGCGCGGACGAGGAAGATAAAATCGAAGAGTCGCTCTCCGCGCGAAAAGGTTTGGCGACGGCGTACCAGGCGTCGGGTGATTTAACCAAAGCCGCGGCGACGCTCGAGAACGCGCTACTCGTCGCCAGAGATAGCACCGTTTTCGGCATGCTCGGAGACGTGTACACCGACATGGGCGAATTAGCCAAAGCTGGAGAGATGTACGATAAGTGCTTGGAAGCCATGGATTGACGATTCGTAAAAGTTAAGATGGATACTATGTTAAGAGTATAGTCTTTTAAAATGAATAAATATGGCATGTCCTTAATAATACCGTTTTCTCGGACGATGATGCTCACGTGCCCTTTTCTGGCTTCTGATTCTTTCCTCTCTTCTTCGGGCAGTCATAATAGTCTCTTTCTCTACATCACCGCAGCGAAGGCGCCAACAAAAGCGAAGAGCGCGACGGCGTGACCAAAAATGGTGGCGCCCGAACTCGCCGGAGGCGTTACAACGGTGTGCGCAGTACCATCCGGGGCGATGTACGATTGTGTCGTCATTTCCGCTTTTGCCGGCGCGGTGAGAGTTTTCACCTCTTCCGCGTAATCCATCATTGTCTGCGCGTAATTCATGTAAGAATCAACTCCGGTGACCTCGCCAAACGTAAAGTATCCGTCTTTGCCAGCGGCGATGTAGTTGTTCGTACCAACAACGTACGTTTTGGTTATGTCGATGGCGGCCCAGGATCCTGCGAGACGCGAGTTAATTTCCACGTTCGACACGCGGAAACCCTTTGTCTTGTTCATGTCGACGTCCATGCGCAGTCCCGCGACGTAGGGGTACGCACCCGTGGATCCGCCATTATGCGCCATATCGAGGGCGTCTTCCATAAGCGCGATGATCTGTGTACCGGTCATATCCATCGTCACAATGGTGTTGCTGAAAGGAAGCATTGAATACGCGTCACCTTTCGTGAAATCACCAGCGACAATGTCCTGCCTGCATCCTCCACCGTTCTGAACGCAAATATCGGCGTTCTTCGTGCGGTGAAGGAACCCTTTTGCGACGAGCTGGCACGCCGCTCCGCCGTGTTCATACGACGCCGACGTTTCACATACCGTAGAGCGTCCTTGACCGGGAATGCGTTCGAAGCAGATATTTGCGGGCACGTCCGCAATCTTTTGCGTCTTGAGTATGTCCACTTGCGTTTTGTACGTCTCGAACGACGCCGCAGTAGCGGCGTCAGCAGTAACAGCGTGCCAGTTGTCGAGCGTATCGAGGTGAGAAACCATGGCGGTTTTTTTCGCGTCATCGAAGGCTTCGGTGTAGTCCTCTCCCGCGGCATCGACGAGATTTTGGAGGAATGAAGTCGAGTCATATACAAACTGGGGCTTACCAGAGCAGCTCGTGACATCGCCGTTCGCATCGAAGTCTACTCGAAGCTTCCCAAAGGTTTTTGAGTACTCCCAAGATTGCACGACGCAAACCTTCTTACCGTTTCCATTCGTTAATTCAGCGGGAAATGCGGCGTGTGGAGTGGCAAACCCCATCAAATCAGAAGCGTCGCCAAGGAGCTCATGTTTGTCACCGCCAACGATGACGTCGACGTTGTTCAGCGTCGCCATCCAACTTACGTCGTACGCGTAGCCGATATGTGTAAGCAGAATGATCTTATCGACGCCAGAAGCAACGAGCGCATCAATCTCAGCCTGTGCCGCCGTCTTCTCATCCTCGACGGTCGTACCTGCATCGGGGAAGGAAGATTCCATCGTTTTTCTCTTGATGGTCACGCCAACGACGCCGACGCTCTCTCCCCCTAGAGTGAAGACGTGCGACTTGGCGTACTTGGTTTGCAGAGGAGAGGAGGTCCCAGCGACTACGTTCGCGCTGAGTACTTTGGTTCCAGTCGCGCACACAGCCGCATCGCTCAAATTATCGATGAAAGTGGCGAGGTTCTGGTCACCGTCGTCAAACTCGTGATTACCGATGACCATAGCATGGAAGCACGCGTGTTGCATCATTTTCGCGTCAGCTGTGCCTTTGAACCACGAATAGTACGCACCGCCCGTCAAGACATCTCCCGCGTGGAGTTTGATCACGGATTGTCCGGCAGCTTCTTCCGAGGTCGTCAACGCCGACATCCCGGCAACGGTCATCGGAAATCCGCCGATCTTTACGTTCACCGATTCGCCCGTGACGGCTTTCGTGGTGGCGTCAGAGACGGTCAAATCGTGATCATCCGAATCGAGTTTGGAGTGATGATCGTTCATGGAGAGAATCGTGAGTTTGAGCGCGCCGGCGTCGGCTTTGAGCACAGCCGCGGTGCTGACCAAAATCGTCGCGAGGGCAGATTTCATCATCATTTTCTGTGATAGAGAGAGCGCGTCAGTCATCATAGCAGCGTGAGTGACGTTGTGGTTCGTCACTTTTCATACGGTTGTTCGAAAGGTCTCGTCGTCCAAAAACAAAGGCATCAAAAAGAAGAACAAAAAGGAGAATATTCCCGGCACCGACAATGAGAAACCGCATCCGGCACTCTCGTCGACGAGCGTGGTAGTAAAAACAACGATATCATTCGCGTCGCCGCCTAATAAAGCTTTCATCCAACACATCCTCCTCGTCATCGTCGCGCTCTCCTTCGTTTTCAAAGCGCTCGTCCTCGACTTGAGAATATTCCCGGCACCGAGAACAACTTCTGAGCACCCTCTTTTTCTTTTATATTCTCCTCTTCTACTTCTCTTTGACGCGCGCGTTTGTCCTCCGTTTTGAAGAAGGCTTTTGGTGTCAAAGCGAGACGACGAAAAAGCGCATCGCGGCGTCGTGGTCTTCGTCTGGAATACTTAGTATTCGAAGAAGGACGCGCTGCGCGCGGCATCATCGCGCGCGCTCTTGGCTCGGGAATAATCATCAGAATAAAAAAGTTCCTCCTTTTCGAGAGAGATATAAAAAGAAGAAGCACAACAAACCATCGAGACGCGCGCGACGAGAGAAGAGAAAAGCGACCACGAAGAAAGGGAACGACGACGAAGACGCACCGAGTGAGAGAATCGAGCGTTTGTCGAGAGATCTTAATATGGTTCTCGTCCGCAACGGTGTCGTCTGTGGAATAACGTTTTTTATTCTTTTCTGTGTCAAATAGTGCAAAAAGTGCAAAAAGTGTTGGAAAGAATAAAACGAGAGAACTGCTTTTCGACGTCGACACGCTTTGGCGATCGCAGCGTCGATATTGGAAAAGCGAATAATAAATCGACCAAGTTTTACGGTCTCTCCGAACGCGTGCATCAACGCGTATCGGCATTCTAAACGCGGCAAAAATGCATTCGCGCGTTTCGTCGTGAGCGGACACAAAAGGATTATATGCTTTCACATGTATAATGCAGACAAAAAAATTACTTATCCGCAAAAACGAAAAAACAGTAATAAAAACGTGTGAAAAAAAGGTAGTTTTTCGCAGAAGATATGTTCGAGACACCGCAGCCACAAGAACCTTTTCCGCGATGAAATATCTGCTTCGTATCTTCTTTGCCGTTGACTCTTTACTTTGAGAGCCTTCGTTTTGGGTGGATCTTCACTTAAAAAGAGAGAGTATATACTACCACTACTCTTTGCGAAGAGTGCTTTAAAAGCGAACTCGCGTCTCAAACCCACGAACACGAGGAGAAGACTCTCTCACAACGCAACGACGATAATAACGACGTGTGCTATCGCTTTTCTTCTCGCGCGAATTTGAATCCAAAGCAGAAATCAATTTGAACAAGAAAGGATATTTTTCCCGTTGATTTTTCCCCAATAGACGCGCTTGGTGTTTCTTAGAAAATGGCGACGAATGCATCGATGATGCTCTCGTCGACGACCGCGATGAGAAAGAACACTAACGCGGTGATGCACTCGTCGAGTCGCTCGGCGATGAGCGTCGCGTGCTCGACGTCAAAGTCCGGAGCCTTTCAGAAGAAAATGAATTATGCGCCCACGTCTCCTTCGGGAGGAGTGCCTTTGAGGAGGCGGAGGACGATGCGAACGAACGCGGTTGCGAGGGGACCGGGAGGAGGAGATTTTTTTGAAGAAGAGGAAAAGAAGTACGAGAACAACCAGCAGGAGATGAGCAGTGCGAGCAGTAGTACCAACAACGTGTCGTCGTCGTCGTCGTCGTCGTCCAAGGCTTCTTCTTCGTCCAGTCACGTCGACGCCGGCGCGAAGAACGAGTTGGATCCGGAGATGGACTTGCCGCGGAGAAACAACAACAAGGACCACGCGGCGGCTTCGTCGTCGTCGTCTTCGTTCGCGCGGGAACAGCAGCCGACGAAGAAGGAGAGTGCTTCGCGCGACTCGAAGAAGAAGAAAGTGCCCCCAGCAGCGACGAAGAAGAAAAGTAATGATACTAATAAGAACAACAACAACAACAACAATGCGACGAGAACAATGACGACGAAAGAGAACGCGACGATCATTAACAGCTCCGTGCCGAAGAGGAGCGCGAAGAAGAGCAGCGGCGCGATTACCGCGACGACGATGGCGACCGCGAATAATAATAATACTACTAATAATAATAATACCAAAACGAAAGAGGAGGGAGAAGAGACGTGTTCGTCGAAGAAGGAGGAAGAAGACGTGGAAGAAGATGAAGATCAAGCCCCGAAACACGAGACCACGATACTCTCTAAAGAACAATTCGAAACGCAAAAGAAACGATTGGAGCTTTTAATCGAAGAGAAAGAGTGGGCGGTGGAAGAGGCGAGAGATAACGCGGCAAGATCTTCTGTGAAGTTACAACGCGTCTTGGATTACGTCAACGCGGTGGAAGCGTATAAAGAGTTATGCTCGTCGAGAGTGCCGGATACGGTTTCTGATTTTCTTGGGAACTATGTGAACGTTTTGTGTTTGCCGAAACACGCGAAAGGCTACGACGAGGCGCTTTCGTTTCTCGGCATAGACTTTGAAGATTTGGACGAAGATGACTTGGAAATCACGCATGAAGATTTTTTGAGAGAGACGGAACATTACATGCGCATCGAAGAGAGATACGATTCGGAACGGAAAGAGACTGGTGGGAGCTTTGAAGACGAAGGAGAGTACTACGAAGACGACGAAGAAGAGTACTACGAAGACGACGAGGATTTGTTGGAAGCTTTATTAGGCGGCGACGCGAATTACATCGCCGAGATGAAGCTTCCGCTCGAACTCCACCTCGCACAAGACATCGACGGAAATTGGCGATGGTTAGAAGATGATCTCGGGAGAGTTTTGAAAAGGAAACCTGAGGGCGATTTTATCTTTCGTCTCATGTCTTTTGAAGATTTAATGAACGAAGGTTTGAACGTCAACTGCTTGCGAGAGGAAGTCGATCCGAACGAACTGATTGATTTCTCAAAGTGTAGGTCGTTTGATGACGCGAGACGAGCGATGAAAGAAGCCACCGAGGCGTTGCGAAACATGGAAGCCGATGGGTGGGTGGTTGAAAAGAGCTTTTCGGCCACCGCGGCGAGTTTTGGCGCTTCCTCCTCCGGAGATTCCACCGATTCGGTCTTTGACATCAGAGAAGAAAGCAGCGGACGACACTTGTGCATGACGAAAGAGTTGAGACCGTTGAGAACTATGTCGCACGTGGATGGATTACATCCGGAAGAAGACGAGAAGTGCGAACGAGAAATTCACCGCGAAGAAGCTGCCGGAGCGATGGCGAGAGATGCTTTCGACAGCTTTGACGACAACGAATAATAATAAAAACGAATATTGAATTTTTTACTTACGAATGAAAGCGAGCGAATCACTTGAACTACCTCCAGTACATCTAATGAACTACAATCTATAATATCTAATACCTGACTCTAAACTTGAGCAAAAAGTACGCGATGGCTAAATACGCGCACGCTAACGAGGCCAATGCGACCACGTGCACTCGCATCTCACTTCTCGTGGACCCGAAGGAGAAGAAATCCAAGACTTCTTTACCGGAAACTGGAACGCGTACGTCGCCGCCGCCAGACGACGGAGAAGATTTCTTGGATGGATCACTTTCGACCAGTTTCGGCGTAAAATAAAAAGTTCCCGCGTCTAAGAATTCGCCAATCATCATAGACTGAAAACCGTGGTTAATAAAGCTTAATCTCGTCAAGATTTTAACCAAGATGTGGCGATTGCCACTCCCGTCCGCCGCTTTCGCTCGCGGTTGTTCCTCGTTGAGTAGAAACCCGCCGCACACTACGTTCACGAGCAATAACAGCATACCGACGACATTTGCGGACGCATTGGATGGTGTTGCGATGGACACACAAGTACATAACGCCGAAGCCGTGATGTTTGTCAACACGCACACGAACGTAAAGTTTACAAACGAGAAAAAATTCAAGTGTAAACCGACGCAGAAATACGTGGCGAGAGAGAAGAACAAAGGCGGAATGGCCCGAACGACAATCACATCGAAAGCGATTTGACTAACGAAATAACCATCCACGCCGTACGCACCGGCGAGAATCTCGCGCCTGGACAATAAGTCGTCCTCTCTCCACACGGGGAGGGAGGAGAGTGACATAAGCGTAAGGAATAGAAGGATGAAGAAACAACATCCCATTCGATTCTGCACGCCGCCGGTGTCTCGACCGCACTGATAGAATATTGCACCGAGCGCAATGGCTGTGAAAAGCGTCGCGATGAAGTGCGTGGCAATCAAAAATGGGTGCCGAGTGGCGTTTTTGCGCAAACGTGCGAGGAGTTGCTGAATCTGAACCTTCATCGGCGCGAGACATTTCTTTGCCGAGGAACAAGCACTACCGCTACCTTTTGTTTTGTTTCCTCGTTCTTCGTCATCAGCGTCGTCATTTCCCACGACTGCATCCGACGACGCTTCAATAGCGAGCATTTCTATCGTGTTTTCGTTGAGCGTGAAGATGTCTGAAACCGCAAAGTCTCTGCACACGCGCGACGTCGTTTCTTTGGATGATTTGATGACAACGTCCAATATAAAGTCTGCAACGTGCACGTCTCGCGGTCGAGGCGGTACGTACGCCAAAGACTCAAAGAATCCTTTCGCTGATACTGAAGGGCCACTATATACAACAGATCCAACGCTCGAAAGAATCAAAATGCGGTCCAACAAACGAAAGATGTCCGGACGAGGCTGGTGAATAGACAACAAAACAGTCACGCCGTGGCGAGAGCCGAGTTTGGACAAAATGTCAACAACCTTCGCCGCGTTCGTCGAGTCCAACCCAGTCGTAGGCTCGTCCAGAAACATTATGCCCGGAGACATGAGAAGCTCAGTCGCGATGGAGACGCGACGCTTCTCGCCACCAGACAGACCGCGAGAAAACTGGTCGCCAATCAGAGAGTCTGCAAGTTTCTCGATGCCTAAGTCGCGCATGGTTTGGCCAACGCGACGACGGAGAGCGTTCGTAGACGTACCGATCGGCATACGAAGCGTCGCGTGGAACAACAAGTGCTCCCAAACTGTACTCGTGCCTGGTAAAACGTCGTCTTGGGTCACGCACGCGCTCGCAGCACGTAAACCAACGTTTGAGGCAACTTGTCCGTCTAAATATATCGCGCCTCGAACGTTTCTATCTGGTGGCGTGCGTCCTGCGAGTGTGTCGATGAGTGTTGATTTACCCGCGCCGCTCGGTCCCAAAACGGCAAACACGCCTCCCGGACCAGCCATACCAGAAACGTCCCTTAAAATGTGTTTCGTGCTTTTTTTCCTATCGTTTTTAACGCTCGCGTCGACGAAAAGATGTCGCCATGAAAGTACCATCATATCTTTCGACGATCTTTGTGGTATTTGCGTCGATAACGACGACGTTCGTCTACTCCTCTTCCTCCTCGCGAGATTTTTCTTGGTCTTCTTTTCCTCGCCGTTCTCTTCTTCAAAACTTTCGTTGTCGTTGCTAACATCGTCATCGCCATCCGCATCACTACTCGACGACGATGATGATGACTCATTATTCACAGAGCTATACCCGTCGTCGGAATACGCCGCGGAGTCATTCAAGAGCGCTTCTGTGTTCAAATCTTCATCTCGGACAACAACGTCCGATTCTTCCTCGTCTTCTTCGTTATATCTTTGCTTCCGCTCCCAAAGGACGTACATCACCATCCCAGCTATTATTACGGACACGAACAACAACATAAACGCTCGCGTCAACGCATCGCCCGTCCAATATACTGGCACCGTTTCCTCCAACGAACACCAATTTTCTTTCGCCATCGTCTGCTCTTCGTACACGCAATTACCTACCCTACAAGTTACCGCCAGCGTTGGAATTACTCCCGGTTGCGTCCAATAACACACGTTACTGCCGTCGCTTGTTTTTGTCGCATTAATATCGCACCAAAATTGCATCCCGCGATCACTCACCGGTGTCACGAGTGGGTTGCAGGGATGTTGCCAAAAAAGCGTATCGGTAGAGTTGTCCGTTTCGTTCGTCCCACACTTCATGGCGGTTCTACCAGGACACTTCTCGACATCGGACGGAGGACACGCCGTTTTCCCAGCCGTACAATCATACAACACGCACGTGTGATCGCTCGGATACGGTGCTCTGCATTTCTCCACGCTGTACGTGCACTTTGTAAAATTTGCGTCCCATACCGCCGCAGAGGCGAATTTGTATTTCCACTCCGGATAATTAACGTTATCTTGCGTAGGCATACCACCGTACGCGCGCACGTTGATCTCAACTTCTCGGCTGTCATCACCGTTACTATTCGTTCCACTTCCAATACTATCACTCGCCCTCATTCCTATTCTCGCCGCTTCTTCGAAAGACGACGACACCCCTACTTTCAACTCCTCCTCCTCCCTCTCCTTCATTCCGCTCGCCGCGACCACGTGAAACAAAAACGACTGATCCTTCTGAAACATACAATACGGATCCGTCTTGGCATCTCCTCCGCATTGACACGAAAAAACCTTCCCGGCTTCAAAGCTCGCCTCGGGAACTAATCGGTTTTGATCCGCGTCCAAATTTTTCGTCCTCCTCGGTATCGACAGTTCCTCCGTCGTCGGTAAAAAACAATCCTTCGTGCATCCAATCGGGTTCCGTTTTTTCCCGTTTACCACGATAGACGGACACGAATTGGACACATCGCACACGGAGCAATCCACACCGGACCATCCGAGCGGGCATTTGTCTTCTTCGTCGTCACTCTCGCCCTCGTCGTCTTCGCCCGCAAAAGCTCTAGCAGAGAGACCACTTCCACTAATTCTGTTACGAAAACGCGTGTCAGCACTCCCGCCAAAGTTACCCCTTTCCGCGACGCAATGCGCGCAATTTTCCGGATGCGAGCTGTTTACGCTGTATAAAATCGTCTGAAATTTGCACGGTGGATCAAAGTCGCGCATGGCGTTGAAACATTGCTTCTTGATGTCTTCTTTTGAGTATAATTGAATTGAAGAATCTCCCGAAACGAATGCATTCATCTCCGTCGAAGTCGTCATCACCACGACGCAGGAGAAGAGAAACAAGATGAAACCTTGGCACGACAGTATCATCGAAAATGTTTGAGACGCGCCAAGAAGAACCACGAGTCGCGAGACTTTCCTTTACTCCGCAGTCGGTAAAAAGTCGTCCTCGAAAGTGAATTTTATATTCTTTTTCCCAAATTCTGACGAGAAAATGAAGCGACTGCCCTTTAGAAAGAAAGAGAGATGCGAAGAGCGCTCAGATACAAAACAGCTATAATAGTATTATAATCTCTCACACACACTAAGAATCAAAGTTACATCCTTTGATGCAGTGCAAATTCACGCTTTTATCGACCATGGCGACGGGCTCGAAGACGATGTATGCGGTCGCTTGACCGCCTCCGGTATCGTCGGTCCAACAGTCTGGAACGACCGGCGCGGCGTCCACGGCCATCGCTTCGCTCGTTTTTACCCACTTGTAGAGACTTTTTGGAGGTTTGCCGCCGACAAACTGTCCTTCGGTTTTCGATTTGAACGGTTTGACGAATCGCTCGTCCAACGTTTCCCAACTGCCGTAGAGTTTTTCCACTTGCTCGCGTTGCAACCGCTTGGCCAACTCGTGCGCTCTTTTATCGAACGTCGTCGCGTGCTCTACTTTCGCCTTTACCTCCGGGTCCCACTCTCGTTTGTGCTTTCCTGAATTTGATTTTTTATACTGCGGATATCGAACACCAGCCGTGCGGCTTTGCGTCAACAAAAAGTGGTCAAAGTTATCCGTCGTGCCGACGATATCGAACCATTTGAGAACTTTCTCAAACTGCTCGTAATCGCTCTCGGTGATTTCGCACTCCTTACTTATTGGCCGCGCGTGCGTCCTCACCGGTTTATTCGTCGCATCCATCCATTCCGTCTCGTATCCAGGTTCTCTCAAATTACTCGTACATTTATTCCCCAAAATCTCTCTCATTTGTCCGTTTGTCGCTCTCCCGCTCGCCACGTAATCGCCGATATCGTATCCCCAACTTTCCTTCCCGACAACCCCTGGCCACATCTTTTTCGTCTCTCCCGGATCTTGCTCTTGCTGCTTCCTAATGTAATACTCGTAAAACGATAACGTTTGACTCGTCGGTTCGCGAATTAACACCGAAGTTGTGATCTCGCATCCGTACCCCGACCCTTCGCCGAATTCTTTCTTCAAACCGTCGATATCCGGCATAATCCGCGTCTGGAAATGTTGCGCCGGCCAATTCGACGGCCAGTTCCCTCTCAACTCCACAAGCGTCCGAGGTCCAACCGAGCGTTCTCCTGACTTAAATTTCTCGGCTGCGGCTTTCCATCTTTGTAATAAATCCGTCCACTGTTGCTCTTCGAAGCCGTATATTATTGGATACTCCCAGTCTCCCATGACGACGTTTTTGTCCCAAATGAAGCGAATAGTCGTCCCTCCAACTTTCGATATGTGCCGGTATAAATGCATCGCGCATCGAGGTAACTCGGTTTCTGCGTTTAAATATTTGTTGTTTATGTTGTTATTCTCCTCGGAAAAGGAAGACACGGGTGCATCGTCGTCCTTTCTTTCTTCCTCTTCGATGTCGTTGACGAGATTGATTTCCCCGAAGCGGTCTGACTTTGACTCCAACTTTAAGGCGGCATCGATCAGCGGCTGCGCTTCCGGAGGAGGTCTCACCGCGCTCACCGAAACTAAAACCGAAACTCTCCTCGTCAAAGTCGTCAAAAGGAAGAGAAAGAGGAACGAAAACGGAGGGAGGAGATTCATTCTTCTTCTTTCTTTACGCGGCAGTTGGGGGAGTTTTTTGTATCGCAAATTGGAAACAAATTACTTCATTCTGTTATTGCACGCGCATTAAAGCACAACACGCATCAACACTACCATGAACGGAAGGAACGCATCATCGTTGGCGAGGACGAGCAAAGCGTCGTGTTCGTCGTCGTCGTCGAGAAGAAGAAGAAGAACAACGAGAACAAATGTCCGATGCAAAGCAAAAGATTATCCAAAACCAAACTTGGACGTCACCTCTAACGAGAACTATCAACGCGCGAAACAACTCTCAGGAAAGCTTTCCAAGAACTACTCGGGAAAGAACAAAGAGAAAAGCGTCATCGTCATCGGAGGCGGGTTAGCTGGTTTATCTACTGGGAAATATCTCACCGATTTAGGCTACTCTGTGAAAGTGGTTGAAAGGTTGAAAATTTTAGGCGGGAAAGTGTCCGCCTGGCAAGACAAAGACGGGGATTGGATCGAAACCGGTCTGCATATATTCTTCGGCGCGTACCCGAACATGATGAATTTATTCAAGGAATTAAACATCGAAGACCGGTTACAGTGGAAGAAACACACGATGTGTTTCGCGATGCAAGATTACCCGGGGGAGTTTACGGAGTTTTGGTTCCCGGAGAATGTACCGGCGCCATTTAATATGGCCGCAGCGATCTTACAAAACGATAAGATGTTGAGTTGGGAGGAGAAGATAAAAACGGGCGTGCCGCTGTTACCGATGCTTATTGGTGGACAAGAGTATATCGACGCGCAGGATGAACTTTCGGTGAGCGAGTGGATGAAGAAAAATGGGATGCCGGAGAGAGTTTCGGAGGAATTGTTCATCGCGATGGGGAAGGCGTTAGATTTCATAGACTCGGATAAGTTGAGCATGACGGTCATTTTAACCGCGATGAACCGGTTTATTAACGAAACGGACGGGTCAAAAACGGCTTTTTTAGACGGGAATCAGCCCGATAGGTTGTGTAAGCCGATGAAAGAGTACATCGAAGGTAACAACGAGAATGGGACCAAAGGAGAGGTTATCGTCGGGATGCCTTTGCGGGAGATTATGATCGACGAAGCGAGCAACGAAGTCATCGGCGTTCGCGTAGGTGAAGGAGATGAAATCATGACGGCAGATATGTATGTTTCGGCCATGTCTGTCGACGCTTTAAAACTGTACCTTCCAACCGCGTGGAAAACGATGCCTTTTTTCAAACAACTGGACGAACTCTCCGGTGTTCCAGTTATCAACGTACACTTGTGGTTCGATAGGAAGCTTCGACCGTACGACGGCTTGGTCTTCTCGAGATCAACGTTACTCAGCGTGTACGCTGACATGAGCGAGTGTTGCAAAGAGTACGAAAACAAAGAGAAGACGATGCTCGAACTCGTCTTTGCGCCTTGCGACGCCCAAAGCGGCGCGGAGGTCAACTGGATCAAAAAATCCGACGAAGAAATCGTCGCGGCGACCATGCTCGAACTCGAGCGCTTGTTTCCCGACGAAATAAAAAACGCCAATTTATTGAAATCAGCTGTCGTCAAAACGCCTCGTTCGGTGTACCGAGCGATACCCGGGCGGAACAAATTTCGCCCCTCTCAATCTACGCCGATACGGAATTTCACTCTCGCCGGAGATTTCACGTCACAAAAGTATTTAGGGAGCATGGAAGGCGCAATTTTAAGCGGAAAGCTCGCCAGCGAAGTCGTGGACGATCGCTTGAACTCTTCCAGAGAGACATTTTCAATCCCGCCTAAAGAGGTTCACGAAAGCGTCCTTCTTCGCTCGACGTAGTTAAATATATAGCACTGCTTTTATTATTACACATTATTGTAAAACATTGATACTCTGTCGACGTTCTAGTCGCTCCATTCTTCGGAATCGTTCTCGTCTTCAGCCGCTGCGGCCATTTTCATCGCGGCGAGACCTTCGCTAATCGACGCTTCTTCCGTTTTCACAGCGGCGAACGGTTCTGGCGGCGGTCTCGAAAGCAAAAGTTTTTGTGACGACTTCTCTTGCTGCTGCTGCTGCTGCTGCTCTTCTCCTTTTGTAACATTTGGAGCATAGTTCGCACCTTCCGATACTTCCACAGACACGTTCAACTCCCGCCTCGACGATTCTTCGACTGAATTAAAAAGAGACGACGATGTTGTCTTCGTCGCAGTCGTCGTCGCTGATGAAGGCATGGAAGAAGAAGAAGAAGAAGAAGAAGCAGAAGAAGAAAAAGCTTTGTCTTTTCCACCAAAATCGTTCTTTGTGTTTTCTTCGTTTCCGTTCTCAGCATCGCCGTTACTATTACCATTCTTCGTCTTCGTCTTCTCTTCATTCAACGTAGGCATTTCAGGCACGTTTTGTCCATTGGCGATAGCCTCCTTTGCCTCTCTCTTCCACGCTCTGAGTACTTCTCGTTCTTCTTTTTTACGTCGTTTTTCCATGCGTTGTATTCGTCTCGCATTCTTTTCCAGGAGTAACTTTTCCTTCGTGCTCAATAGCTTTCCTCGAGGTTGTTGTTCGCGACCACCCTCTCGCACCGCAGCTTCTATTTCGCGTTCGGCTCGATCATCTACTCCTACTCTATCGTCCATTTTCACGTCACCGTCGCCTATGGGATCTCTCAGCATCATTTCCCAACATTCCGCGTCCTGTCGACACAGTATGGCGCGCGTCTTTGCAAACGCTCTCAAGGAGCGCGTCATATCAACTCCAATGCTCGCGTGCCAGCGAGCATATTCTTCCCTCGTTCTTTCGACGATAAGATCATACGTCTTGCGCCTAATCTCTCTCTTAGCGTCAGCTTCCAAGCACTCCGGATGTATATTTGCCACGGCGCGTCCGTGCGTCTCGATGACCTCGTCGTAAATGTCGCAGGCGATTTGGTAGTGCAAAAGCGCCGTCGTCCGATCTTCGAACGTTTCTCGAATCGCTTCGACGCGTTGCCTGCAATCTTCAAAAGACGGAACTAAAGTACGAAGCGCTTCACACGCCCTCAACTCACTCGCTGTACCCGTGAATGTCATCGATTCCGCGCAATCGGAAAGTGCGTGCAAGGTGTACCCCAAGGAATAATTTTTTGAGCGTTTTTGTAGAGCTTTCCCCCAACCTTCTTCGCTCTGTCCCATCTTCAACGCTGCCTCGCCTAAATCTCGTAGTTTCGTCGCGTTCACGCGTTTTTCGAGCTGGTCGATGTACAATTCCGCGCTTCGCACGAAAGCTTCGCACTGCTCGTCGAGCTTCGAGGCGTAGGTGATCACTTGTAAATACGTCGGATCTTCATCTTTCAGCACCGTGTGCCGAGTTCGCGTGTACTTCCTCTCTTTCGCGCTGCCTCTATTACTACCACTCCCACCTCCGCTGTTAAATAGTGACGCGAACCACGCTGAAGCCGAAAACCGCCCCCGCCTTTCCTGCTCTTCCTTCACCGCTCTCACATCCGCGTCCTCTGCCAACACGTTACAAACTTCTTTTAACTCGGCATCCAATCCGGAACTCGTAGTCGTGACAGTACTCGCGGCGGCAGCCGACGCCGTAAACACGCCTTCCGTCAAAAAGCTCTCCAACATCCTCGACAGCGCAATCGTCGGCGACTCGCAGCACCGGCGCAAAAAGAGCTCCGCGTCGCCCTCTTGTTGTTGTCCTTGTTCGTCCTCCTTCTCATCGTCGCGTCGACTCGGACGACGAAACAGTTTCGGCACCACGCACCCCGGATACGCCTTTCGCAATTCGTTTCGAAACGAGAGGAAATCGTCCGGAAATTCTCTCTTCACGCGAAACAGAGATTCGTATTCCTCTTCCTCCGTTTCCTCCTCCTCTTCTCTCATAAAAGTCTTCTCCCGTTTACTGTTCTTCTCGTTCGTCTTCTTTTTCGCAGGAGTACGGTGGTTCCGGCACTTGGCGACGTAGTTTTTCGCGTTCGATTGCGTCGTGATTTGGACGAAGAATTTGGTCGCATTTTGCGTCGTCGATGATGATGATGATGTCGTCATTTCGGGGAGTCGAGCGACCGAAACGCGATGTAAAAGAGGAGACGAATGCGCGACGTTGTTGTTGCTGTTTGGCGGTGGTGGTGGTGAGGAGGCAGGCATGTTCGTGCGCTCTTCTTCACCGTTTGCTTTTTACTACGAATGCGTGTTGAATTCTTTGAAGTTTTGGTGTTCAGTTTTCTCAATGGTATTGCGAGGACGCACATCGCTGAATATTCGTTTTACACAACATCATCACTCTACGCTCTCGCATGCGAGAACTCTGCTACACTATTACTACTACTGCTCTCTATGACTACTACTTTTCTAAAAAATACGTTTATTTATTTTACCCTACTCCTACTACTTCGCGCTCAACAAGCCGGCGAAAGCGTCCGCCGGGATGTCGACGTTGCCCATCCTGCGCATTCTCTTCTTGCCGTCTTTTTGTTTTTGCAACAGTTTTTTCTTGCGCGAGACGTCTCCGCCGTAGCACTTGGCGAGAACATTTTTGCGCATCGCGGAGACGGTTTCTCGAGCGATGATTTTACCCGAGAGCGAGGCTTGCACGGCGACTTCGAACATCTGTCTCGGTAAGGCTTCTTTGACTTTTTTGACCATTTTTTTGCCAATGTCGACGGCTTTGGAGCGGTGGCAGAGGGTGGCCATGGCGTCGACGACTTCGCCGTTGACCAGGACGTCGAGACGGCAGATATCGGCGAATTGCCAGCCGGCGAGTTCGTAATCGAAGGTTGCGTAGCCGCTGGTTCGAGATTTGAGTTCGTCGGCGAAGTCAGAGGCGACTTCGCCCAAGGGGAGTTTGTAACGGAGCATCGCGCGGAGACTGTCGATTTGCGAGTGTTCCAAGGCTTCGCCTCTTCGTTCGTTGCATAATTCGAGTATTTTGCCCGTATATTCAGTGGGAACAATTATGGTTGCCTCCACTAAACGTTCCTGGATTCTCGTATCGCGAGGTAAACCGGCGTTGGCTTCCAGACTGAGAGGGGATGTGATAACGTTGACGGATTTGATGCCTTCGATTTTTTGGTCGTCGGGATCGAGCTCATCGTTGTTGTCACCGCTATCCGCGAGAATAAGTTCTTTCGCGTTGCTTTTGTTGAACATTTTGGTCAGTTTGTACGGTACCGTCGGCGCCGTGGCGACGACGTCGGAATCAAACTCTTCTCGCAATCGGTCCGTGAATACTTCCGCGTGGAGCAATCCTAAAAATCCGCATCGGAATCCCGGACCTAACGCGGCAGAAACTTCCGGAAAGACCTCTACGGAAGCGTCGTTTAACGTCAATCGTGAAACAGATTCGCGCAATTTCTCAAAATCATCCGCCGAGGACGGGAAGATCCCTTGAAACACCATCGGTTTCGCCATTTTGAATCCAACTAAAGGCGTCACCGCTTCTCGTTTTCGTTCTTTTCGGTTGAATAACGTATCCCCAACTCTTTGCGCCTTGACATCGCGGTCGGACGTTATTACGTACCCGACGTTCCCTTTTTGAAGCGATTTTAACGACATCATCTCCGGCGCGTGCACGCCAAGCTCCAACACTTCCGCTTTCCTCCCCGACTCAAACGACTCGATGGCGTCGCCAACTTTGAGAACGCCATCGACGACTTGGACGACGCTGACCGCGCCGCGATATTTATCGAAATCGCAATCAATCAACAACGCTCGAAGAAAATTACCATCATCCGGTGAGGAATCCGCCGCCGTCGTTGCTATTGGCGGCGGCGGAATCTCATCCACAATCCTATCCAAAATCTCCCCCACGTTCTCTCCGCTCTTCGCCGAAATCCTCGACGCTTTCTCAATTCCAAAAATCATCTCCATCTGCCTCTCGCTCCCTTCCACATCCGCCAACGGCGAATCGATCTTGTTCGACGCCGCTACAATCTTCAAATCTTTCTCGAACGCTTGATAAAACGTCGCCACCGTCTGCGCTTGTACCCCTTGCGTGGCGTCCACCAACAACACGCATCCTTGACAGGCGCTCAGCGAGCGAGAGACTTCAAAGCTGAAATCCGCGTGTCCGGGAGTGTCGATTAAATTCAACAAGTACCACTTCGACGGATCTTTATACATGTTCTCGCCGCTCTCTTTTCCTTCTTTCCTTCCGACCATTCTGTCTCGCGAGTGTCGATACAACAAAGCCACGCTCTGCGCTTTCACCGTTATCCCTCGTTTCCTCTCCACTGGGAGTCTGTCCAGCAGTTGAGGCACAGAACCACCACCACTCTTCCCCGTCTTGTTACTCTCGATTGCCACGCACAGTTCCATCAATCTGTCCGCCAGAGTTGATTTCCCGTGGTCTATGTGTGCGACGATGGAAAAGTTCCGGACGTTTTCGATCGGGATTTGATTGTATAAGTGTTTCGTTTTGGATTTCAACTCCGCAAAGCTCACGCAGGTTTCCGCTTCTGCGTTTGGTGTTGATGTTCCCGAAGACGACCACCATCGTCGCGAAACGAACCGAACACCACCACTGTTTCTGTCGCGAGTAGTATCTGACGGGCAAGAATAACACTCGAGGACGGGAAAACGCTTCCTCCTTTGTTGTCGAAGGAGCGACAGCCCGGAGAGGAGTGTTCGCCGTCGTCCGTGCATTAGGGGACGAGATTTAGTGGAGAAATGCGGCACAATTTCCCCACTTTGCTTGAGGAAAAAAGAGAGAAAGAATGACGCGTTCTTCTCGTTCTTCTTTGTCTGGAGCGACCACGAGGCGCGCAAAAAAGCGCGGAAGAGGAGGCGTTGGGGAGAGAGATTCTTTGTGGGGTTTGGTCGTGAATGATAACGACGATGTTTGTTTCAAACACATTCTTCCGAGATTGAATTCGAACGATGTGAAATTCTTGTACGACGTGAATAGTGAAACGAGAAAGTTGATTAAGAGATCGTCCCGCAAGTCGGAGTTGAGAAAGAAGTTTAAAGTGAGAGAGATGTCGTCGATATCGACTTTGGAGTTTGTGTGGGAGCATATACCGTTGTACGAGGGTGACTGGACCGAACCATCTTTCTGCTGGCAAGTTGCTAAAACGAATAAACTCGAGTTGCTCAAGTGGATACGAGAGGAGAAACAGTGTGAGTGCGATGAATGGACGATTGATGCGGCCGCACGTCAAGGTAATCTGGAAATGGTAAAGTATTGCGTTGCAAATAAGTGTCCTCTCGGTTACGGAGCGTGTGAGTTTGCTGCCAGAAATGGTCATCTCGAGATGCTCAAATACTTACGCGAAGAAGCCAAAGCGCCGTGGGATTCTGATACTGCCGCTTGGGCGGCTTTAAATGGTCATCTTCATATACTCGAATATCTTGTTGAGCGTAAGTATGATGAATATGACAAAGATGCGTGTATGTTGGCGGCCAAGTCCGGCCACTTAGACTGTTTGAAGTACTTGCGCGAAACAGCCAAAGCGCCTTGGAACTGTAACGCCGTATACTCCGCGCACAAGAGAATCCAACCCGAATGTGTACAATACCTCCTCAACAACAACTGTCCTCTCCCACCTGGCTGGCGATACGAGCACGGAGAGTTACACGTGCCATAATCAGAATAAGAGTAATTCCAATTCGATGGTATAAAACATACGCGCGCGAAACATGTAGCAAACGCACTCTAGAAAAGAAGCTTGTAAAACACTCACATAGAATTCAAATTTCCCCACACAAAAGACTTTACACGCAGAGAGAGAGAGAGAGACACGGAGACGGAGCGCGCGAAAACCTGCTGTACGAATCATCATTTTGTCCTCTCGCACACGATGTCGTCGTCTTTCTCATTTCCTCTCGGGAGGTCGAAACAACAACACGTTCGTCTCCTTTCGACGGTTTTATTCATCCTTCTCTTGGGATTCGTTTTAGGGGATGCGTCATCATCATCCTCTTCATCGGTGATGATGACGACGACGACGAAGCAGAGAACGCAGGGACGAACAGTGCGTGTTGGGAAGTCCTCCACTTTGACGACGAACGGGAGCGAAAAGGATGATGATGATGATTATGAGGAGGAGGTGATGATGATGATGAAGCAGAGACGAACACTTCTTGGGAAGGCCACTTTGACGAACGGGAGCGAGAAGGATGATGACGATGATGACGATGACGATGATGATGATGATGACGACGATGCTGCCTCTTCTTCTTCTGCAAAAAAGAGAGAGGAGAAACAACGGGAAGCAGCTCCCGAGGGGTGTTTCTGGACCGGATGTTCCTGGTCCGCGACGTGTCCATCGAGCAGTCGCACGGCTACCAACGTCGTCACCGTTCGAGAAGCGGTAGAGTGCGAGTCAAGCTTTTTCGGCAAACTGATACACGGGAGAACGAAAAAACCGACGGAAAAGTTGTGTTGCGACGAGCGCGCGGCGGCGACGGCGAGGTGGGAACGCGGTGCCAAGTGGGCCGAAGACGGCAACGAGGACGCGTGTTTTAATAGATGCCCGAAGAATTCGAGGTGCAACGCGAAGCACGGATCGTGCGAGTGCGACGTTGGGTACGTGGCGAGAGATGCGCCGAAGGACGAGGACGAGGACGACGACGCCGCGGCAAGTATGCGGTGTTATCCCGTGAGAGAGGATCAGACGGAGGATTTGCCGATTGGGAGCGAGGACGTGCCGGAGATTGAAGATCCAATGTTAGAGAAGGAGAGGTTGATTGAGAAAGAAAAAGAGAGACGGGAGAAGTTAGCGTTGGCGAAGAAAAAGAAGATTGCCGAGGCGAAGAAGCTGGAGAAGATGAAACGGAACAAAGGGAAAGCGGTGATTGATGACGACGACTTCGACGACGACGATTCAGACGACGACTTTGGAGACGACGACGACATCGTCAAACAACCGACGCAAGAGATTCAGAAACAATTGAGAAGCGCGCGTCGAAAATCTAGGATGGGATCAAAAGAGAGGCAGAAGAGGAAGCAATTGAGGAAACAGAAAGAGAGTTCGAGATCTTTTTACCGATGGTTTTTCGTTTTAACGGTCCTGGCGCAAGTATTTGTCTGCGCCAGGTTGGGCGTTTTGACCAACGTCGCGATGCGAGTGTTTGGGAAAAACCCGAGGAAGTTGTTGAGATGGGGGGATTCGAACGGGAGTCAGCTGTTACCGACGCGATTAGCAAAGTCTCGCGAACGATTAGCGGCGCGCGAAAATGGCGCGGAGTACTTTTGATTTTTTCCGCACACGCGCATCTAGTTTTATTAGATCTTTGTATTTTAAGTTAAGTAAATGATGATTGTAGAGGAAGAAATAATTCACACGCGCTAAGTAGGTGTTGTTAGTTTTCTTAATTCTTCTGCGGTTTTAGAACATACCCGGCGGCGGCGCACCTCCTCCGGCTTGAGGGAACAAACTTGCTAACTTTTCAAACGTCTTCATAACTTCCGGATCGTTTTGGTATTTCGTAATGTTCATCGGGTTCGCCGAGCAATCCATCACCGCCGCTTGCACTTTCGGGTTTTGAAACGCGCTCGCCAACTCTGGATCTTGCATGATTTGCGTCAACACGTCTTCAGGTTTCATGCCCATTTGCGCGAATTGCTCTTGCACCTCCGGCGAGTTAATGTCCGGCATTGCACCGCCACCCATGCCGCCCATACCAGCACCTGGCATCGCACCGCTGGATTTCATAGATTTCATGATACCTTTAAGTTGATCCTTGTATTGCGGGTTGTTCAAGAGCATCTCGAACGTTTCTGAGTTGCGCATGAACTCCGGGAGGTACGGGTACATCAACTTTTGCATTTCCGGATTGCGAATCATGTTTTTCATGTACTCTAAAGACGCTTCGTCGTCTTCCTCGTCCGGCATATCGGCGGCGTCTTGGAATGGACTGCTGCTACTCGAGGACGTGCTAGCTTCCGTTTCCACGGTGTCTTCGAAAAACGATTTCTTCGGCGCCTCTTGCGTCGAAGAAGAAGAAGAAGAAGAAGACTCACCGACCCAGGTCAACTCCGGCTCTTCTGCTTTCTCTTCTTCAATATCAGATACCGTATCCACAGTCTTCGTCGCCGAACCTCTCTTGGAAGAAGACGGCGTCGAAGCGGCGCTAGAACTAGAACTCGGCGGCGGCGTCGTCACCGGCGTCGCCGTCGTATCCGTATACCTTTGCGTCGTCGCCGCCGGTTTTGGCGGTGGCGGTGGTTGTTGCATTCCCGGAAATGGCGGGAACGCGTCCCCACTACCCGGCATCCCCGGCATCCCCCCCGGCATCCCCGGCATCCCTCCCGGCATCCCCCCCGGCATCCCGCCCGCTTGACTCGTAAACTGCTTCATCATCTGTTGCATCATCATCGACTGCATGTCTTGCTTCTTCCCGGCTAAAAATTTCGGGACAATCACCGCCAACGCGACGCCTAATCCGACGTACAAGAACGGTGGGATGGATCCTTTCTCTTTCACCGGAGGTGGCGGCGCGTAGTATTGCCGCTGCGGTACCACCTGCTGCACCGCCGCCGTCTGATTCGCATCCCCTGGCGCTAACTCCGACGCAACGGGTGGTAAAGAAGACGATTGTTGTTGTTGCTGATATTGAACCGGAACTGGTTGGTACTGCGGTGGTGCCGGTGGCATCGGCGGGTAATACTGTTGCTGCTCTCCTCCTCCTCCCGTCGTTTGCTGCGGAATACTCAGCGCTGGATTCGATGATGATGATGATTGTTCGATCGTTTCTTTCTTTTTTCCCCAACCCGCTTTGACAATCGTCGCCAATCTTCGCCCGTTGTTGTTACCGCACTTGCCGGAAGAAGTGAAACAGTTTCGCCTCTGAAACAGTTGTTTCCTCGCGTTCGTGTGAGTAGTATTCGTGCGCCTAACGTGCGCGCCGTGTCCAGTGGTACTCGCACTGTTCGCACACATCATCATCATCATATTCCTTTTTGAGCGAGAAAGGATTGAAGCAAGAAGTGAGGCAAGTTTCTCGCAAAAAAAAAATTTCTTCTTCTTTTTTCGAGCAAAAGGGATTGAAGCAAGACTTCATATTTTCTTACTTTTTTTTTCCTCCTCTCTGATCACACATCACATGCGCATTAGTCTTCAAAGTCTCGCATACTAATAATAATAATAACATATGGGGCGAAGAAAGAATCCACATCCTAAACGCGCGGTGAACGCGAGGACGGTTTTGAAGGTGCCGGCGAGTATGGATGCGAGAGATAAAGAAGAAGAAGAGAAAGAAGAAGAACCGGTTTTGTGTTTGAGGATTCCTGACGAGGACGATGATCTCGAGGCGAGTCAACAGATGCGAAAAGAAGAAACGACTTGTATTAAGAAAGGAACGAAGAGGAAGAGAACGCAACATGAGTGCGATGTTTGCGAGATGACTTGTCGTGATTCCTATGATTTGAAAGTCCACATGCGTATTCACACGAAAGAGAAACCGTACGAATGCGATGTGTGCGAGAAGCGTTTTAGTCGATCTGGTAATTTGAAAAGCCACAAGCGTATTCACACGAACGAGAAACCGTATGAATGCGATGTGTGCGATAAAGCTTTTCGTACATCTGGTGGTTTGACACAGCACAAGCGTATTCACACGAAGGAGAAACCGTACGAGTGTGATGTGTGCGAGATGCGTTTTCGTCATTCTTGTAGTTTGCAAACGCACATGCGTATTCACACGAACGAGAAACCGTTTGAATGCCACGTGTGCGAGAAGAGATATCGTCAATTGAGTGGTTTAAAGTACCACATGCGTACTCAACATTAGCTCTCTCATAGTCCTTAGCGCATAAATACATACCCGTACAAAAGTACCTTCACGCCAGCACTTTCCCTTTCTCAGTCTTGCGCGCCCCGCGAAGTAAGAAATGAAGCACCCAATTTTTCCTTCTTTTTTGTCTGTCCTTTTGTGTCACATTTGTAGTGCTCCTCCTCATTCATCTCTCTCTCAGACAAAACGCAAACACACGACTACTTCTTTTACGCGCATCTTTCATCACAGACGAGGAGGCGTTCGTTGTTGTTGTTGTCGTCGCGGGCAAACTTTCTCATCCTCTCTCTTATTCTCTCTCTGATCTCTCGCGTCGTCGCGAAAGCACTCATCAATCCCGAAAAAAGGAGGAGAGTTCTTTCTCATCGAAGAAGACAAAGACAAAGACAAAAGACGAGAGAGAATACTACGATTCGATCATAAAACGATGATGATGATCCGAAACCGAAAGTTTTCCATCGTAGACGCGGTTTCGCACCCGTTCAAAACGATCGCGGCGAAGAGGAAGCAAAAACGAGCGACGTTTTTTGAGAATTTGGAAAATTACGACGAAGAACGCATCAACCAAAGGGCGGTTTTGTTGGAGAAGTTACGAAAGAGGTACGAGGAAAGGAAGGATTTGAAGAAGACGACGAGGAACGGGAGCAGTAATAGTAAGACTGAGGGGAGGACAGATAATGACGCGGGAGAGAAGAAGAGTAACAACACGGCCCCGGCGTCTCCGAATAAAACAAAGAAGAAGATGGAAAGGCCTATAATCCAAGAGCACGACGTTCCGAAGCTTTCGCCGGACGCGCTGGCCGCGGTGGTGGAAGATTTGAGACACGGAAGAGATAAATTTTCCATGACGGACGCGATGAGTATTATAAGCGGCGCGACTGTGTTATTTTCTCGAGAACCGAACGTGTGCAGAGTGTATTCGCACGAAGACGAGGACGGGTTCGTGATTATCGTCGGCGATATCCACGGACAGTTGGAGGATGTGTTGCACTTGTTGACGGTGTGCGGGATGCCATCGGAGAAGAATATATACGTTTTTAACGGTGATTTAGTCGATCGCGGAGGAAACGGGTGCGAGGTTGTGCTTTTGATTTTAGCCATGAAGTTGCAACATCCAGAGTTTGTGCACGTGAACAGAGGGAACCACGAGGACCCACACATTAACATTTTCGGCGGCTTCGAGGAGGAGTGTTTGAAAAAATACGACCACGGCGTGTTTCAAGCGTTTCACGAGTGTTTTAGGTGGTTTCCGATATGCACGATCGTAAACGACCGCGCGTTTGTCTGTCACGGAGGACCGCCGATGGAAGAGGATGGCTCTTTAGTTTCCGTGAAGCGGTTGGAGCAAATCCAGAAAGGACCGAGTTTTTTCGAATCGAAGAGCGCGAGACGGTTGGCGATGAAAAAGCAGAAGAAAGTGACAAGGAAAATGATGATGCTGAAGAAGAAGAGAGATGAACGCGTAAAACAAGCGAATGTAGCGGGTAATAATAATAGTAATAACGCGGGACGAAAGAAAGAGGACCCCGAAGAAGAAGAAGAAGAAGAAGACGATGCTGATGATGACGACGACGACGACGACGACGATGAACTGAGCGACGACGAATACGATTTAAAAACCGAACGAGAATTTCTAATCTGTAAATCTATGATCTGGTCGGACCCACACCCAAACGATGATTTCGTTGGCGTGGAAAATTCCACACGAGGTGCCGGCGGTTTATTCGGCGCGAACGTTACGCACGAATTCCTTAAAGAGAACAAGTTATCCTGCCTTGTGCGTTCGCACCAGTGCGTCGCGAGCGGCATCGAGACGTGTCACGACGGTCGACTGTTTACGGTATTTTCGGCGAGTAACTATTGCGGGAAATCCGGGAACAGAGGCGCTATACTCCGTTTACAACGAAACGATAAGCTCCCGCAACCGAAATACGCCATGACGTGGAAAAACGAGGATTGCGTAAACGTCGACTTGCGGCACAAAGTATCGTTTCATCGTAAAAAAGGAGACAAGAAACGCGCTTTGCAAATGGCTGCGATGCAAGCGAGCGAGTACATCATCGAGTACAAGAGAGAATTGTTTGACCACTGGTCGAGCATAGACATTAAAGGGAAAGGTAGAATAACTCGCGAACAGTGGGCGGATGGTTTACAAACGGTGTTGAAGCTCCGCTCGCAGTGGAAAAAAATGTTCCCGATGTTAGTTAGCGCGAACGAAGTCATGACCGGAGGCTTGTTTTCCATGAAACCAAGAAAAAAGACGCAATCAATGGACACTCTTGAAAAAGCGTCTTCCTCGTCGTTTAAGAAAGTATACGTGAAATTCCCGGAATTCTTGGCGCGATACACGCCGAGGCTGAAATCTGGCTGCCGAGAGTGGCAAGAAGAAGTTTTGGACGAACTTCGACAAGCGCTGATCACTGAGGCGAAAAATTTATCCTCCGCGTTCGAAAAAATGGACGTGGACGGTTCCGGTTCCATCGACTCGAAAGAGTTCACGAAAGCCATACGAAACATTCCAAATTTAGACGTGCTTTCCAACGCGCAAATTCTCTCTGTGTTCAACGCGTTCGACGTAGACGATTCCGGGACGCTCGATTTAGGCGAATTTAGTTCCATGTTTGAAGATTTCGTCAGCGAAGAGGCGGAAAACGAATTTTTACTGGATGTTTCTTCGCCTGGATCGCCGAGCACGAGAGCACGAAACGACGAGGTTTCCGTGTTGTGGAAAGATCGATCGTCGAAAGGAAGAGGGCAAATCGCGAAAATGATTTCTTTGAGTCGTTCGTTCAATCGCGTTTTATCTCTCAAGGAGAAGGAAGAGCGAGGGAGCGCGACCGAGGAAGAGTTACAATCGATCGCGTCTTTGAAGAAAATACTCTCCGGAGGAGGCGGCAAAGGAGGACGAGGAGAACAAGAAGGAGACAACGGCGACGACGAAGAGAAGGTTAAAATAAGCGACGTATGGAACGACGACATCGAACAAGCGATTTCAAAATTATTCACGGGATACAAAAAAGAGTTGCATCACGTGTGGCACACGATCATCGCCGCCGCTGGAGGCGAGCGAAAGAAAGAAACGCACCACCAATCCATATCTAACGCACACTTTGTGGACCTCATGTTATCCTTAGACGAGGTGATCAACGGCGATCTCAACGTGCTCACCGAGTCGAGCGCGAAACGGTTAGCGGAGCACATGGACACGAACAAAGATGGCACCATCGATTACGACGAGTTTATACGCGCGACTGAACCCGATGTCGAACAACTGAACAGATATCTGGCGTTTGACATTGATTTGTTCGAATCTCAAAGGAAAGCTGGCGTGATGTGATAAAGTTCACGATGAAAGGCACGGGTTCGTTCAAGATTTAATAATGTACGTTATATTTTGTATTTTGGACTATAATAATCTTTTCCGTCGTGTTGTAGTTCTGTTTGTGTCGTATTCTTTTCTATATTTATACCGCGCCAACCGCCGCATCTCCCTCCGCGTAACCAATCAACCCCAAGTAATCCTCCTTAATCGTGGCTATGCAGAAAATATCGTTCGCGTCTATTCTCATCCCGACAATCTTCACCCTCACTTCACAATCTACCCCAATCGTAATCTGCCCGTCGTCCGACTTGTAACAATTCTCATCCGTCACGTATTTCACGTCGTCCGGGACCAACGAATTACTCACGAACAACTGCAACGGCCCGGCTTCCGCGAAGAAACCAAACTTATTCACTTGCGTCACGACCGCGTCCAACACTTCGTTCTTAAATGGCCGGTACGCGACGCAGTCGTATTCCACCGCGAACTTTGCTCGAGCCGTGCCGTCGTCGGTGATGATCCCTTCCGAAACGTTCTCGATGTGCGTGATGCAGACGATAAATCCGTACCGTCCCGAACACGTGCCTTCCATCTGTTGTTGTTGTTCGACAAAAGGAGAGATACACACAGAGAGAAAGGGTATGGCAGCGCGTCAGCGAAGATAGAATGATGATGTCACGAGATAAAACAAATCGAACGAGAGAGAGGCGAAAGTCACAAAAAATGTCCATCCAGCAAGTGTCCAAAAACTCATCCAACTCTCTCTCTGAGAAGCGCTTTTAAAACAAATCTCTCGTTTCCACGATCACCCCCGATGCGATCGAGCGATTCAATACATAAACAGTCTCACCTCTAACTTAATCTTCTCCATGATCACGTCTTTCATTCTCGCGCCGAAATGTCTCGGTTCCAGAACGACGTTCTTTTCTCGTCGCACGTGGAAAAACATCCGATCGCTCCAATTCTCCCCCCCGACTAACGTCCCTTTGGACTTCTCTCTCTCTCTCTCTCTCCTCGATGAACCCTTCCGAAAGAACACCGCCGATGCGTGCTCTCTGTCTGACGCTCTTTCCGATGCGTGCGGTGCTTTTTTTGACGCGCTCTCTCTCTCTGAGTCACCGCGACAGGAAAAGAAAGAGCGAGACTTCAAAGAGTAAAAGAAGTGACGAATTTCCAACTCGCTCGCTTCCCCACAAGTGAAGAAGAGATATGAGAAGTCCGAGATTCTCGAACGCGGCGAACTGGCAAAAGCTCTCACTCGCGTCGACGTTTTTGATTGGTGTCTCAGCCGTCGTGTTTTCGACGTCTCGTCGAGAGAGGGAGTGGAGGCACGACCTGTTGAAAGCGGACGTCTTGAGGAAAGAATCGAACGATGACGATGCGAACACCAACATCCGCGCGATGAGAGGAATACTTTCATCGAAGAATAAAGAGGACGACGACGAGTTGAACGCGAAAAGGAGGAGAGCAGAGGTCGAGCGACTCGTGAGAGAGGCACTGGAGAGGAAAAGAGAGAGTGGTAAGGTGAAGGTTTTAGAGTAATAAGAGTAGTATAGTACCGTAGAATAGAAAGTCTTGTTGAAATGTAAAAATACAGATGTGTGCGAGTTGTCGTCGTCGTTTCCGTCGGGACTCGCTTGGTCGATGTTCTCTCATCGAAGCGGCACTCGGGCTTCCTCGTGAAAGTTTTCCTTCTTTGCCAACGGGTTGGTTAAATAACCACCGGATCGGTACGAACGCAAATAGTCGATGGTGATGCCGTCCATCTTCGCCGGGGTCATCCCTAACTCTTTAAATCCTAACTCGTTTGGTTTCTTCACGTAATCCGCGTCTTGAGCGTCGACGAAGGACCTGGTCAACCCTTTCGGCGTCGGCAACGGGAACGGGACTCGGTTTAACAAGAACTCGTGCGGCGCGGAGAGGAGTTTGTAGACAAACTTCGGGATGTACGCGACTCGGGCGGAGCGGAATCTGCCAGCGTCCACGGTTAACTTTGCCAACTCTTCCATCGTGAACGTCTTTTCGCCGGCTAAGACGTACTCTTTACCTACCGTCTCTTCGTCGTACGGCATTTGGCTGATGGCAATGGCCACGTCGTCCACCGAGACCGGTTGGTGTTTCGATTCCCCTAATCCCGTCAACGGAACGAACGGAAACTTACTCGCGTGTTCCGCGAACACGTTCAAAAATCTATCCTCCACGCCGATCAATTTCGCCGGTTTCACGATGGTCGCCCTCGGGAAAATCCTCCTCACCTCCTCGTCCCCTTCCGCTTTCGTGCGATAATACTTCGATTTCGCGTTCACGTCCGCCCCTAGCGCGGACACGTGAATCAATCTCTTCACCGAGGAACTCTCCTTGCACGCCTCCGCCAATCGTCTCGGAAAGTCTCGATGCACGTCCTCGAACGAAAAATTCCTCGTCTCCCACTCTCTCCCGACCATATTAATCACCACGTTCGCGCGTTCCACCGCGTATTTAATCGCCTCGTCGTCTCTCATCGAGTAATCGAATTGTACAATTTGTCCTAAATCTCCCATTGGTTTTAAATGTTGTCGATGGTTCTCCGAACATCTCGTCGGTACGAGCACTCGACTGCCGTTTTTCGCCAAGTGATTCACCACGTACCGGCCTAAAAACCCAGTCGAACCGAACACGGCCGCGGTGATTCCGGAATACGACGATCTGCCACCGGTGCCTTTTTTCTCGAAATCGACCGGTAACTCCTTTTCGAAGTGGTGCTGTAAAGAAGAACTCGACGAAGAAGCGGACTCGTTCTTCGCCGGAGACGAATAGAAACGACAAGAATGACTTTTCGTAAGCGTTGGGGAAGACGCAGACGCTTCAAAATCGCGCATCATTTTCATCATCATCGTCGTCTTCTTCTTCTCGTTATTGCGTAACAAAAATATCCCCGCGGCTCTCTTCGAAGAATAAGAACAAGACATGACGAGCGATGCTTTCGATCCCGCGTCTCTCTCTCTCTTTCTCTCTCTCTCTCTTTGACCTTCTCTTGCGTATAAAAGTGAGGAGATCGGACAGACTTAAACCCTATTAACACACAAAACCCTAAAACCCTTGTGTCCCAATTCTCGGCGGAAAAACCTCCTCAATAGTTTGCTCTTTCATCAGCAAGCAGACGATCTGCGCATTCTTTTGGACGCATCATCGGAGGAGGAAGAGGAGACGCGCATCACCATCTGTTATTCTTGTTGTTCTTGTTATTTGTTGTACATTTTGAGTGCATTGTGTTCGGGAAAACCTCTTTCTCATCATCATTTTCATCACCAGCGCTTCTTCCTTTGCGTTAACTGTGGTGGTGTGAAAGAGATTCAATAATCATGTCCACGCCGACGAGAACGCGAGGGGAGCAAGCGAACGAAACGAACGGCGGTAACGTTGGTAACAGTAGCAATACGAATTCCCCTTCCCAGCAGCAAAATCAATCGTTATCCCCGTCGATTGTGTACCCGACAAAATTCACCTGGCATTACGAAGGGAAAGTCGTGCACTTGTGCGGGTCGTTTACGAATTGGCTGGAAACCGTACCGATGGCGCCTGAAATCGTGCCGCCGAACGGGAACCAAGTCTTCTCCGTGGTGTGCAACTTACCGTCCGGGTACCATCAGTATAAGTTTATCGTGGACGGGGAGTGGAGGCACGACGAGAATCAAGCGTTTATACAGGACCCGCTCGGGAACGTGAATAATTGGTTGTTCGTGAAGAAGCCGTCGGCGACGAGCGGCGGGGGCGGGAGTTCGGTGGTTTCCAGTCCGAGCAATGGTGGTGGAATTGGGAGTCCGGGGATGAGTAGCGCGGAGAATGTGAGCATGCACAGCGCACAAACCGGTGGTGCTGGTGGTGGTGGTGGTAGTGGGTATAATCAACAGATGATGATGACGCAACAACAGCAAAACTATCAGCAAGGCACGGCGCCGCTGGAAGTGCCGGGGATGATGTCGCCAGGAGGAGGATCGTCCGGTATGAACGAGGCCGGCATTATTGGTGGCGGACAGCAAGCGCAAGTGATGCACCATCAGCATCAACAGGATCGCCCGCAAGCGCAGTGGTTAAGTCACGATGATTCGCAATCGGACAGCTTGAACGCGGCGGCGCTGGAGCAACAACGGAGAATACAACAACAACGACAGCACCAAGGTGGAGGAAGCGATCAGCACTTAGTCGGGGAGATTTCTCCAGAACGTGCGTCGCAAAGGCACCATCACGCGATGCGGGACGAGGCGAATGCGGCGGCGGCGGCGAATGTCATAGACGCCGGCATGGATTGGGTATCCGGAGGGATCAACGGGTTGCAGATTAAACGAGACGGCGACGGGAGACGGAAGTCTATAAACGTAGCCAGAGACGGTGGACCCATAGCGGCGGCGGCGGCGGCGGCGGCGGTGGCTTCGACTCGACCCCCAATGCAACCGAGCACGAATAATAACGACTACGTCGAGCAGCAAGGTGGAGCAAATCCGGACGATTACGCCTCGGACGCGTCTCGCGCGAGAGTCTTGGAGTTTTTGCAAAGACATACTGCGTATGAATTGATACCAGAGTCGAATAAAGTAGTCGTGTTTGATATCAATTTACCAGTCAGGCAAGCGTTTCACGCGTTCTACGAGCAACAGATAGCCGCGGCGCCGCTTTGGAATCCGGCAAAAGGGGATTTCGCCGGGATGATTTCCGCCGGCGAGTTTATAGATTTGTTGCGAGTGCTCTCGGAGGCGTTCAAAGACGTGAAGCAAGTTACGGAAGAAGATTTAGATAGGTTTACCGTCGCGAAAGCGCGGGAAGAATGCGGCGCGAGCGTGGAGAATTCGAGTTTACTTTCGGTTCGACCGGAAGATTCGTTACACCTGGTCGCTTTGGTTTTGTTAAAGAACAACATGTACTCCGTCCCGGTTGTTTCGTACGGCGGCGGCGGCGGCCAGCAAAGCGGCGGCAGCCAGAGCAAGAAGTCATCGGGTAGTAGCGGTGGTGGTGGTGGCGATGGTGGTGGGGGTGATACTAGTGATAACAAAGATAGCAATAACAACAACAAAATGGGAAGTAGGAATCGGAACGCGGCGCAGCTTCTTCACGTGACCAATCTCGCGGAGATTTTCGCGTGTTTGCACAGACACTTTAGAGGCGTACCTTCCTCCTTGCCGCTCTTTTCGCAGCCGCTTGGTGCTTTACCCATTGGCACGTGGACGAAAGAATTTGGCGGAAGACGGTCGCCGAGCGATTCCTTACTTCGGAGGACAAACTCGTTCGGTCAAGCGGACGCGGTAGAAGCGGCGTCGGATGAACAGTTCTTCGCTAATCTTCCGGAAGAGTTGCAAAGACTAGCGCCTTTGCGGTGTGTCTATCCTCAGACAACATTGGCGGAAGCGTTTACGATGATGAATGGTGTCTCGTGCTTACCAGTCGTGGACGACAGCGGGAGAGGTGGTTTGATTGACGTCTACGCGAGAAGTGACATTGTGAAATTAGCCTCGAACAACGCGTATTTGAACGTAAACATGGACGAATTTACGATAGCTAGAGCGTTGCAAAACTCGAGAATGGCTTCGGGCGGCGGTGGGTACGCACCATCGTCGTTGTTAGGCGGTGGTGGTAACGATGCCTCCATGGACGGATCATCAATGAACACGATGCCGAGCAATGTTTTAAATAACAAACCTCCGAGTCCGAAATTCAACGCCAGCGGTATGAGCGACAGCCCATTTCATTCCGGTGGAGGGTCGCCTTCGAAAGGTAATAATAATATTAGCACGTACGCCGGCGGATTTTCAACCTGTACGCGTTCGGATACCTTGCGAGCGGCGGTCGAGGCATTAGGATTACCAGGCGTGAAACGTCTAGTCGTAGTGGATGAAAAAACGGGAGCGTTGGAAGGTATCATCGCGTTATCAGACGTCATGCGCTTTTTGTTGAGATAGAGAGAGAAGAGAGAGATGTTTAATCGTTACAAAAATACAAACTTTCTAACATATATTTCAACTCGTTCCTCAAACTAAAAAGGTCAATACAACAACACTTCTGCGAATATCAGCACCATAGCCGCAAAATATGCGACAACAACTTTGTAAGATGGGAGCTTTCTAAATCCTTCATTCACGTCAAAATTAACGTTCGGCTCGCTTCCTACAGGCACCGAAGACGTGATGTATGGACCTCGTAAATTGTTCAACTCGTCTGGCGCAACGCAACCGCCGTACCCGTCGCAAACTTTCGCAAAGACGCCGTCGGTTGTCGAAGGAACGCTGGAGCACGGGTACCCTTTCTCAGGTTCAATGTAATAATCGTGTGGCCCGTTACACGACGAGGCGGAACCGTAGCACCTGAACGCAGTTGTCGAGCATACGCTTTCCGGAAACGAAACTTTTTCAGTCACGCAAAATCCGCCATGGGAGGTCGAATCGATTTGTTGGCACCAAAAATGTTGGTTTCGGCACTCATTTTTGTAGCAACTCCCAATATCGTTCGGATGCGTACCATGGTGGCACTTTGTACCGTATGGTTTCCAACCGTCCGCGACGCACGACTTGGAAGCGCCGTCGCATGTTTCTTGGACGTCGCACGTGGACACCGCGTCTCGACATACTGAACCGCTCGATTTTATAACGCAAGAACTATCGCAACATCCGTCGTGATAGCTGGAACACATTTTACCGGGGTTGAGCATACAAGTCGCCGCGTTGCAACACGTGTTTTCACTTCCATACACATCCGTGTCGGAACAGTCATTACCAAAGCAATCGCACTCCTCGCCTTCCTCGACGATACCGTTCCCGCACATCGCTTCGCTGCCTTGCGCCAAACACCCGTATGCGAAATACGAGGCGCTATATTTGGCCACCGTACACGTGCTCCATTCCGTTTCGAGTTCGTAGCCAGCTTTTGCAGCCATGATTAAACCGGTATCAGGACAATCGTCATCATCGCCGTCGTGCAAAAATCCGAGATTGTGTCCGATTTCGTGCGCAACCGTCGCGGCGGAGTATCGCAAAGAATTCGCAGGGTTCACCTCGTTCACGTTTACCCCATATCCATTGCACGCGCCACCTGTATACGCTAACCCGATGGTTCCACCATCAAAATTATGCCCGGATAGCACTGAAAGCACGTCGGCATCAGCCAACGTGGAGATTTCAGAAGAATATTTCCAATCATCTGCTTTCGTGAGTAAGTCGTCGCTATTTACCTCATCAGTCGCGCACGCGGGGCAAGCGAACGCGCCTTTTTGAACTGTACCCCACGGATCTGTAGCACCTTTATCCGTATATCCGATTACTTTGAGTACGATTTCAATGTCCGGGTAAAACGCATTTTCATACAACGCAGAGACGTAATTCATAATCGAGATGGTTTCCATCACGCAATCGAACGCCGTATTGTACTTCGACACTCGCGTTTCGTCATTGTGCGCGTACACCTCGATAACTCGAGTGTTTGCGTAATCAATCGCTTGCAACTTTCGTCGTTTTTTGTTATCGTCGTCGTTTGCTTCTTCTTCTTCGTCTCCTTTTGAAGGCATGAATTTAATCCGGTCTCTTTGTGTGCCAATCAAGTGCTCGGCGACTTCGTCCGCGGCGTTAAACGCGATAAAATCCACGCTTTCCAAACTCTCATCCTCATCCTCATTTTCAGCGCTCTCTTCTTCCCCTTCGTTCTCATCTAAAGCGTTGTTCAAAATCTTCCTTCTCTTCTTTCTTCTCTTCCTCGCTCTCTTCGCTTCCTCCACCTCCTCCTGAAAACTCTCGTGCGGCATCATTAAACTCAAACTCATATTCTTCGCGAGCAGCGCGACGTGCGCGAACCCCTCCTTGGCGCACACGTTCGCCGACACTCGAGAAGGACGAGCATTCGCGGCAGACCCACCACCCTCGTCTCCTCCTCCCGATTTCACGAAGCCTTTATACTGGCACTTAGTCGCCGCTCTTTTCGCCAACTCTCGAGTCTCTTCGTCTTCCTCGAGCGTCTTTCCGTCGAATCGAAGCACTTGAAAATTTTCGCGCAACAGCCCCTTAGTAGAGGCGGTTTTGGTCGACACCAATTCGACCTCGAATCGTTCCCCGAACGCGCGTATCGCGAACGATTTAACCACGTCGACGTTCTCGTTCTCGCGAATTACATCTTCCACGCGCACGATTTCGTACGCTTTGAGCATAGATTTTGTCGGCGATTTGAGTTTCACTTTCGTCGTCGTCGTTGTTTGCGCTTCGACCATCTTCATCACCGCGATGCACAAGACGGAGAAGAAAAAGGCCGACGCACGCTTTCTTTGTCTTCCTCTCGCCGCCATCGTACTACGCATCGTCGTCGTAAACAATAAATCGTTCCCTCAAAAACGTCGAGAGCGACAGAAAAAGCAGAAGCAGAGAGAGAGTGTGTGCGTTAATAGTATACGTATGCGCGGGTATCTTAATGCGAGGGCATTTATAGAATAGGGTAAGGAAAGTGGCGAGTTTCTTTGAGACCACACATGTACAGAATGACATCTATTTTTATATACAAAAACGCTTCACTTTAATCACGCGTTATTTTAACGCGCACGAGTCAGGCTTCTTGGCGGAAGTTTTCACCCAGAGCTTCACCATGTTCACACCTGACGAAGGTCCGGGGAACTTGTTCGTGCCGCCCCATGCGTTATACGCTCCAATCGAGAAGAACCAGTTGCCGTGGTCGACGGTGCCGTCGATAAAGTTCGAACTCCCGCTGTTGTATTCCAAACCTTTGAAGCTGTGAGTACTCGTGCCGTGGCCGTTCGCTTGAATCGAAATAGCTTTGAAGTCATCAACACCACGTTTACCCGCAGTCACTGGATTAGAAGTCTGCGTCCAGATGTTCGTTTGTGACAAAGTCGGATACTCGAGCTTGAACTGGAAGGAGCCCTCATCAGTGCGACCAAACTTTTCGACCTCTTCCAATCGAGAGTATTTGTAATCCGTCTCCGGATTGGAACCAACGCGTTTCGATTCAGCGTTGTTATTTGCCTTGGACCAGTAGTTACCCTTGCTCGAGTCGTGCTTGAATACCAAGTAGTAGCCTTCATCGTCGACAGTTGCATCGCAATCCAAAACCGGTGGCGGACTTGGCGGCGGCGCAGGCGGCGGACTCGGGCACGAGTCAGGCTTCTTGGCGGAAGTTTTCACCCAGAGCTTCACCATGTTCACACCTGACGAAGGTCCGGGGAACTTGTTCGTGCCGCCCCATGCGTTATACGCTCCAATCGAGAAGAACCAGTTGCCGTGGTCGACGGTGCCGTCGATAAAGTTCGAACTCCCGCTGTTGTATTCCAAACCTTTGAAGCTGTGAGTACTCGTGCCGTGGCCGTTCGCTTGAATCGAAATAGCTTTGAAGTCATCAACACCACGTTTACCCGCAGTCACTGGATTAGAAGTCTGCGTCCAGATGTTCGTTTGTGACAAAGTCGGATACTCGAGCTTGAACTGGAAGGAGCCCTCATCAGTGCGACCAAACTTTTCGACCTCTTCCAATCGAGAGTATTTGTAATCCGTCTCCGGATTGGAACCAACGCGTTTCGATTCAGCGTTGTTATTTGCCTTGGACCAGTAGTTACCCTTGCTCGAGTCGTGCTTGAATACCAAGTAGTAGCCTTCATCGTCGACAGTTGCATCGCAATCCAAAAGTGGCCCATCGTAAGCTGGTGGAGCAGAAGGAGTTTCTTCTTTCTCCCACTCCAAAATTTTCGTTTCTTCGAGATGTCCAGTGGCGCTCGTTGCTCCTTCAATCTTCGCTTCCGTCGCAATTTTCAACTCATCTTCTTCGGTTAACGAGTTCAATTTTGAAGTTACTGAAGCTGACACGTCCGAATCGATGCAGTTTATAGTGGCCTGAAGATTCACAGTCGTGACTCCCTCCTCGCTGCCAAGTTCTGCTCCAGTATTTGCAGTAGATTCGACGACTTCAACTTCAACCATGCTCGCGTCGACGCCAACCACTTCCGCGGTAGAGGACGCCACACTCTCGAGTTCAGCCGGACCAAAATCGCTCGCGCTCAAACCCGGACCAGAGAAACTCAAATCAAAAGTCACTTGCACTTCCTCCTTCTCAGTTGTAGAGGAGAATGAACACGCTTCTGGTTCGGACAAGCCGCACGTATTCGAACACGAACCCCACGTGAAACTTAACGCAGATCCGTCGTAGACTCGATTGTAAAATGATAGATCACCGTAAGTAATCTTCTTCGTGCACGAAGCCATCGAAAACGGTCCACCGATGGTCGGTTCTTCCGGTGCAGAGTGTGCTGGACAATAAGTGCTCCCATCCAAGGAAGATTCGCATCCAATATCTTTAATCGGCTCTCCGTTCCCGCTCGTTTTCGAGTACAAAAAGAAGCCAAACTCCTCGCCAACGGTTAAATCTGCCGCCGAAACTTCATACTCCCCGCACTTCCCCTTTACCGCGTTCATTTCGATCCCATTTTCAAACGCGAAGTCTGACGACATTGTCTTTGAAATGAGTTTCGCGCCGACGTTCTCCCAGTTTCCCGGATCAAACGACAACTTGTCCACCGGCGAACACGCCGCAGAGAGCGAAATCACACTCGGAGTCGCCGATTCTTCGCCCAACTTTGCCGCGTCCAAACTCGACGTTGTCGTCGATCTTCCTCGCAAGAACAAAGGCGCAGCAGCGCGAGAAGCGTACCCTCTCATCCTCACCGTCATCCTTTCCGAAGAAGAAGAAGAAGGAGAAGAAGAAGAAGTCGTCGTCGTCACCGCAAACGTCGCCAACAACACGAAAACACACGAAAGCAAGATGTATTTCGCGCTTCGGGAGAAGATTTTCCCCTTGATGGTGTTGTTGTCATCGTTCTTCTTCACCAACAAAGGCGTCGTCTCCATCATTCTTTGTTGTTGCCTTCTTCTTTACTGCGCAGATTCCCGATCGCGGATCTCTCAAAATGATACGTATGAGGAGCGAAACGACGGGAAAGATGTGTTTTAAAGTGCCGGATTCGAGCGGAATTTTTATTTTTATAGTGTTACACTGCTTACTACAAATTAGGTTTTAACACCCTAAACAAAAAGTGTCTCTCTTCTTCACTTTTGAGGGAAAAACACACGCGCGTGAAGCCATTTCTATCCGAGAGTGTAAGCGTAGTATCTCTCTCGAATACGACCGCGATGGTTCGTCAGAAAGAGAAGTAAGAGAGAAGCGTTCTTTTGAGTTGTTTTTATACGCATCAGTAAAAAAAATGAACGCAGAAGTAAGAAACCAACTCGCGCGAGAGGTGCTCCGAGCGACGCTTTCCTCCTCGTCGTTAGGGGAAAAAGCATCCGAATCATCCATCAAAGGCGGCGGCGACGACGTGTTCGCCGCGAGCGCGATGATCGTCGCGTCGATCAAATCCGGCGAGTATTCTCGAGCGTTAAAAAGCGTTCTGTGTTTTGCCTTTCAGCCTTTATCATTGAACAATAACAACAGAGGAGAAGAGGTTTTGGAAGAGAAAGAGTTTGCTCTGTTTCTCGCAGGCGTGTGCGGGTTGTGTTTGCACCAGAGAGCGAACGCGTGCGGACCGCCGTTACATTTGGAAGAAGAAGAAGAAGAAGAAGAAGAAGAAGAAGGGTTTGCGAATGCGATTTTGCAAGCGTTTCGAGATGGTACGTTTCGTGATGGTGGTAATGGTGGTTTTGCGCTGAATGATGCGCAAAACGCCGACGGATTATTACATGGAGATGTTGATGGAGTATTCGGAAGTTCTCGAGCGTCGATTGGCGAGATGGACGAGGAGGAGAAGGACCGAAGGCGAGCGAAACGGCGAAAGAGAAGAGCATTCGAAAAGGTGTTGTCGCGGGACGGCGAAGACGCGAGCGGGAGAATCGAGCACCCCGAATGTCTCGCGTTGGCGGTGGAGTGTTTGGTGAACTCGAAACAGATGATGAAGAGATTGGAGTTCGTGGAGAGAGACGAGACGTTGGACGTGTCCGCGAGACCGTCGCCGATGGGGAGGTGTAGGCGCGCAGCCGCGGAAGCGTTGGACGGGGAAGAGACGACGAATAGCAACGAGGAATTTCACGTCGTGAGAGATTGGTTCGCGGCGAGATGCGCCCTGGCACACCAGAGAGTATTGTTTGGACGAACGGTGACGCTCAGAAAACAGTGCTTGGGATTCTTCGCGAGGGCGTTGGAAGGGTTGTCGCGCGCGAGCTCGTTGGTAGGGGATAATGAAAAGAAAAAAATAGAAGACGCGCACTACCTTTACGGCACGTGCCTCATAGAAGCGTCTTTGATGGAGCACGAGTTCGGCGTCGACGATTCCGCGCGATATCTTTTAAAACGCGCTAAAGATGCATTAGGGGTTACGATTGAAAAGTCTGGCGCGTTGGGGTACCGCACGATCCATCAACAAGATGCGAAAGCCCAGCTGGTGCTGCGAGTGACGTGCAAGGAAAGAGCGAGCGCCGAGTCAGACGACGAGGACGAAAACGACGATGATACTGATGAAGACGAAAGTATCGCCGCCGGTTCAGGAGGAGGCAACGAGAGCGACGACACGGAAGTAGCGGACGGAGCAAAGGCGTCGAACTCCTCTTCCTCTTCCTCTGCCATGTCTCGCTTGCGCGTCGAACTCGAAGGTTTATCCGCGGATGGAAGTCAAATTCTTCCAAAACCAAAACTCCAAAACGCCTCTGATGCGGACGACCCGTCTTTGAATGCACCTTTATCGACGATAGCCCAAGTCGTTCTCTTGGCGGAGTGCGTCGCGGTGCGTAAAAAGCAAGCCGACGATGGCTTGCGTAACTGGGAAATGACACCGTACTTGGAACGCGTTCTGACGCAAGCAAAATCGCGCCCGATCGTACGAGCGAGTGCCACGGTACTCATGACTAGACACGAAAAGACGCGCGCGCGAACGCGCGAACGCGCTTTGTTATCCTTAGAAGACGTGACGAGATCCGTCTCTGAAGTCCCCGCGAACGCCATCAAGAAGATGAGACAAAGCAAGAAAGTGAAACGAGATTTAACCACTTCACTCTCTAAAATTGGCAAAGAACGACTGCGGTTCGCCTTTTCTGTCTGGTTTCCACCTATTCACGCGCTGAAAAAAGAGTTAGGCGAAGCCCTCATTTCGATAGGCATGGTTGGCGCCGCGTTGAAACTCTTCGAAGAAATTGAACACTGGGACGCGTACATTTCTTGTCTCGAATTGCTCGGAAAGAAGCAACAAGCCGCGGACGTGGTGAAAACACGATTGAACGAAGAACCCGGGAATGCAAAGTTGTGGTGCGCGTTAGGTGACGCAACTGGCGATGAGACGTGTTATCACAAAGCGTGGGAAGTATCCGAGGAACGCGACGCGAGGTCGCAAAGAACGTTAGCGAGATTGTGTGCGCAAAGGAATGATTTCGCGCAAGCAGTCGTGCACTGGACGAGAGCGCTGACGCTGAATCCACTCTTCCCGGGCGCGTGGTTTAACTGCGGCTATTGCAGAATGAAGTGCGAAGGTCGGGAGGACGACGCGTTGGCGGCGTTTGTTCGATGCGCCCAAATTGACCCAGAAAACGGGCAAGCTTGGAACAATGTCGCCGCGTTATCGATGCATAAGCAAAAGTTCCAAGCTGCGCGCGCTGCATTGCAAGAAGCGGTCAAGCATTACCGCACGTCGTGGCACACGTGGGAAAACTTAGCCATCGCTTCTGCGAAAACAGGGAGATTCGTCGCGTCGGCGAGAGCGTTAATGAAGGTGATAGAGTTAACCGACGGAGCTAGAGTCCACATACCGACGATATCGACGCTTTTAGACATGTGCGAAGAAGGAAGAAAACTTGGTCCCGAAAAGTGTGAGTGGATGCGCGACGCGGAGAAATGGGAACGCGAGGCGAATAAGAAGAAGGACGCAACGTTGCTAAGTTTGAACGCTTCCGATGACGAAGGCGAGGCGTCGGATGACGACGAAGAGGAAGATTGGAACGATGCCGCGTGCAGCAAAGCCGCGGCGGATATAGCGTCGTTCTTCAGCGATTTTAGCGTGAACGATACCGAAGCGAACACGACGACGGCAACAGCAACAGGAACCAAATTTAACGTTCGCGACGAAGAGATCGACGAGAAGACGGGCGCGCCAAGAATCGTCGTTAAAATCGAGGAACTTCTCGAGCAGATCTTGGCAAAAGCAGCGTCTGGAAACACAAACTCTGGTGGAGGTAACAACGCTAGCGGCGCGCCGCCGAGAGCTATGCACGATACCGCGGCCATTTGGCACCTGGTATCGAGACACGCGGAGAATTGTGGCGATTTCGCATCTTCGGTTGAAGCAAAATTGAAAGTTGTCAGAGCGTTAGACGCTTCGGGTTGGAGGAAAGACGGGAACGCGTTCGACGCGTACGTCTCCGCGGCGATGAACTGGGCGAATGCGCTGAAAAAAGAGTCCTCGGCGTGTACGAAGAAATCGGTTGCGAGCGCGAGAATGTTGCTAAAAAGCGCAGTTAAAATTGCCCAAAATGAAGGCTTTGACGAACGCGCCACGTATGCGCCTTTAACTAAAACGTTCGAGAGCGTAGAAGAGATTGAAAAGAGCTTCGATTAGAGAGAAGAAGGAGAGACAGACGGTACGTGCGATAGTGTTAGTGTTTCAAGGTAGTATTTTGAAGTAGTATATATCAATGCCAATCTAGTAGTAAATATCGCGCTCGGTGTGTTCTCTCTCTATTTTATTCGCCCATCGCATCCGGTGGCGCCTCGAACAAGTAATTCGCCGCCATCTCTTCGTTCTTATCGCACGCGATGTACGCTTCCACGCACTGTTCCATCGTAAAACCCAAAGCCATCAATCGTTCGCACGCCTCGTTCTCCTCTTTGGACAATTCGATTTGTTCCATCTCGCCTTCGCCCATTCCCTGCGCTTCAAAATCGCTCGGTTCGTTCAACAGTTGTAAAAACTCCTCCTGGTTGCTGTTAATCAAGTGGTACAACTGCGGGTTTTGTCTTTGCAACTCGCCGAGCATGGGTTGTAAAATAGACGGGTTACCTTGAACCATCGCGCGAATGGCTTGGAATTGCGGATTATCGCGAAGAAACGCCAACGTGTTCACTTCGCCCTCTTGCGCTTCCTCTTCCGCTCCACCGGCACCAGCGGCTGCTAAATTCGCCGGAATGCCTTGCGGGAACAAGTTCAACGGCGCCGAACCGTCCGCGGCAGCCGGGGGAGCTCCACCCGCACCAACCCCGGGAGCAGACGCCGTCGCACCTTCCGCCGTTCTCACCGCATTCGCCGCCGCGGCATCAGCCCCTGGTGCTGCTGCTGGTGGTGGTGCTGCTGCTGCCGCATTCGCCGCCGGCGCTGAAACCATCATCCCTTCCGGGATCCCGTTCAACAAATATTCCACCGCTCGATCTGGGTTGTTAAACGCCGCTCTCAACGCCGCCACGCACTGATCTCTCGGAAAACCCATCGCTTGTAATTCCTCGATCGCTTTTTCTAATTCCGCACCAACCACTAAACCCGGAGACGATACCGGAACTTCCGCCGTCGTTTGTGGTGCCATCGCCACCGCCGCGGCCGGCGCCACCGGCGCCGCAACATCCGGCGCCGAAGTCGCGGGAGGATTCGCCGGCGCCGGCGCCGCCGCCGTCGTCTTCTCCGCCGGTTTCTTCGTCTTCTTGCTCATCACCACCACAAACCCATCCTCGGTAATCTCCGCCTCCGAAACCGTCTTCTCGTCCTCGAGCACTTGTCCTTTGTGTACGAACACTAAGAAATCGGTTTCCGCGCCGAGTTGCGGTTGCCCTTCGATCGCCAATTTTTTGCACTGCAAAATAGTCGTTTTCGAAGGGTCCGAAATTTCAATCTCGAACTTTTGCGCCGTTCTGTCTTTCGTTGATTTGTTTTTATGTCGTTGTTTTGTGCATCACGCATCAGAGAGAGAGAAAAAGACACACACATCAGAGAGAGAGAGAAAAGAGCGTCGAAACCGTCAGCATCGCTCTCTCGCAGGAGAGAAGGAACGAGAGAGAGAAAACCAAATCTGGATTGGAAAAAACCGCCTCGAAGCAGCGCAAAAGGAACGAGAGAGATTTGCGAGAGAAAAACAAAAGCAAAGAAGAAGAAGAAAAGACGCTCTAAAACGCACAGTGTTTTCAAGTGAATCTTCATCTCTCTCTTTTCTTTTTCGAGAAAAGGTGGCGGTTAGGTGTAAAAACGCGGTGGTTTTGACGACGTTTTGCGCGCGCGCACAGTGGCGAGAAAAAGACGGAAGAGATCAGAGTTGCCTTGCTCGTTAGGGTTTAGAACCCTAAACCATTCAATCAGAAAAAGTTTGGTAAAAGCCGTCGGAAACGCGAAAGAGGAGCACACGCGAATACTCGGGGAGTCAGAGAGAGCGTTTCACTTTTGAAGCGCAAAAGTTCTCTCTCTCGTTCGCTCTTTCTTTCTGGTCTTTCTTCCGAGAAGGACGGCGAGAGGTTTACAACAACACTTTGAACACACATCATTCCTCTCGAGAAGAATTGGAAAACTCAACTTCGTATCACTTTTACTACGACAGTATTCGTTAAGAAGAGCTCTGGTATTCTTCGTTGAAGAAGACGAGTCAGAAGAAGAAGAAGAAGAAGAAAAAGTGAGAAGAGAATACTATACGAATACTCGATAATACTCTGAGAGACGAATACGAATGAGCGGCGGCGGCGTTGAGAAGAAAGACGTGGAGATGATGAAGTTGAGAAAAGATGATTCTGCTGATGATGAGAAACAACGCACGTACGAAGAGGAATGCTCGTACATTGAAAACCGAGATCCGACGTCGTACGTGGTTAAAATCGGGTTCGTGGCGAACATGCGCGTGCCTGGAATATTCTACGTGAACAAATTTCTCGCCGGATTAACGTTCGAGGAGTTGAAACAACACGCCGAACGAGGTCGCGCGGGCGGATTTTTACCCGCGGTGAAGCAAATCGCAAACGTGGCGTCGTTGCCGGGTATTGTCGGTCGATCGATCGCGTTACCGGACGTGCACTCTGGGTATGGGTTTGCCATTGGGAATGTAGCGGCGTTTGACGTGAACGACCCGAAAGCGGTCGTTTCTCCAGGAGGCGTCGGTTTCGATATCAATTGCGGCGTGCGGTTAGTGAGGACGAATTTGACCGAAGCGGAGGTGCAACCGCTGAAAGAGGAAGTCGCGCAGGCGTTGTTCGACCACATTCCCGTTGGCGTCGGTGGGAAAGGTATCATCCCTGTCGACGCGAAGACGTTGGACACGGCGTTAGAGATGGGCATAGATTGGTGCGTTCGAGAAGGGTACGCGTGGATCGAAGATAAAGAACGGTGCGAAGAAAACGGACGAATGTTAAACGCCGATCCGAGCAAAGTTTCGCAACGAGCGAAAAAAAGGGGTTTGCCGCAAATGGGCACGTTAGGTGCTGGAAATCACTACGCGGAAATCCAAGTCGTGGATGAAATTTACGACCAGTTCGCCGCTAAGAAAATGGGTATCGATAAAATCGGCCAAGTCGTGGTTATGATTCACTCGGGCTCGCGAGGGTTAGGCCACCAAGTCGCTACGGACGCCCTCGTAGAAATGGAAAAAGCGATGGCAAAAGATGGATTAGAACTGAACGATCGCCAATTAGCCTGCGCGCGGATCAACTCGCAAGAAGGTAAAGACTACTTAGCCGCCATGGCGTGCGCCGCCAACTACGCCTGGGTCAACAGACAGTCCATGACCTTCCTCTGTCGCCAAGCGTTTGCAAAAACCTTCAACAAAACCGCCGAACAGCTGGACATGCACGTCGTCTACGACGTCTCCCACAACATCGCCAAAATAGAAGAACACATCGTCGACGGCGAGTTGAAAACGTTACTCGTTCACCGCAAAGGTTCTACCCGCGCGTTTCCCCCGCACCATCCGCTCATCCCGGTCGATTACCAATACACCGGCCAACCCGTCCTCGTCGGCGGCACCATGGGAACCTGCTCCTACGTCCTCACCGGTACCGAAAAAGGCATGCACGAAACCTTCGGCTCCACCTGTCACGGCGCCGGGCGCGCCCGAAGTCGACACAACTCTCGACAAAAACTCAGTTACGAGCAAGTCTTGGAAAATTTGAAAACCAAAGGCATATCCATCCGCGTCGCCTCGCCAAAGTTAGTCATGGAGGAAGCGCCGGAAAGTTATAAAGACGTCACCGAAGTCGTCGATACGTGTCACGACGCTGGAATTAGTAAAAAATGCGTCAAGTTACGACCGATTGCGGTTATTAAAGGGTAGTCGGGAACGCGCGTTTAGTTCACATTTTTGTAGGCACAGTATAGCTTCACAGTTTTCGCGCGTCACAAACAAACAGAAAGAAGAACACACAAAGAGTAAACACACACATAATGAGTGCTACTAAAGCGCACGTCCGACCGATGATTACGACGACGACATCTTCTTCGCAACAGCAGAAAAAGCAACGACTTCATCGCGACTGCAGTAAAAACCAGAGAGTATTGGAAAAAAGAAGTGCAAAGTTAAAAGCGGACGACGAATGGAAAGATGAAGATGAAGATGAAGAAGTATTAAGAAGAAGAAACAGAAGAACGAGAAGAATGATGACGATGACGATGCTAACACTCGCGAGCAGTAGTAGCAGTCAAAACGACGAATTTTACGCGTTCGCGGCAATGAATAGTAACAATAGTAATAGTGCGATAGTGCAAGCGTTAAAACAGAAGCAAAACGCAGACGACGTGGAATTCGCGACAGATATCCGCCAAAGACTCTCCGTCACGCTCGCGTCATTCCGCCGGGCGAAACTCCTCTCCGATGTAGGCGAGTACGGAAACGCGAGACAGCTCTTACGAGAAGGCGGCGCGTCTTCTTTACGGAAGGATTTACAAAAAGTAGCCTCGTACGTCGCGTTGCGCAGACCGACGTTCGCCGAGTACGAAGCGGCGGAAACCGTGGGAACGCTGGAAGCGTGGGATAACGCCATGAGAGCGATGGAAGTTCCGGAAAAGCAACGGAAAGGAGATCAGAGAAACGTAACCGCGAACGACGTGAAAACAGACGCCAACGCGGCGATTAAGAGTTTGGAGGAGGTTGTGTATCTCATCAACGCGGACGCGACGTACGTGGACGCGCAGAAGCGATTGAAAAATGTCGATTTGGAGAAGGAATACGACGGCGAGTGAATATGCGTTTCGCGGTGTACTGTTTGAATAGAGTGCTGCTCATAGTTGTGTCACGGAAGTGATGAGAGCGTTGTAATACAAATCCGAAGAATAGTCGACTTTGTTTCCATTCGTCGTTTACTGCTGTCGTCGTCGACGTAAAAGCCGTCCGCGTTCGATGTCGCGTCTCCGCTTGTATCACTCTTGAACAATCCATCCACTCTTTAAGTTTTGCATCAAATCATCATCGTCACAAAAACTCTTTGTCGTCGTCGTCAAACACCGACGATGGAAACAGTCACACCAACGACCACTCACACGAAATCGTTAAAGCGTAAACTCGCCGAAAAGCTCCTCGCGATTGCCTTCCTCCTCTTCCTCTTGCTCCTCGTATTCACATTCGTCGGGGAAAACGACGGGGAAAACACCTTTCTATCTTCTTTCCAAAAGGAACACGCGAAACGTCACCGCGAGCGGCAACGGGCGATCAATCTCGCGCACCACGAGGACGAGGAGAAAACGTTTCACGATATTTTGAGTGGGGACGAGGAGAACGAGCGAGAAACGTTTATTCGAGCACACGATGAGGCGGTGAAAGTGCACTCTGATGATGATGGTGAAAATGATGATTCTTTCGAGGCTGAGGCTGAGGACGGCGGATCGAGGACGAACAACAACAACGACGAGAACAGATTTTCAAGTTCCAAACACCCGGACCTCTCGCAAACCATATACGAAAAGTTACAGCGCTACGAGCATTCCGCTTCGGCCGCGTTGGTGCTCAAACAACAACTCGCGAGTGGGAAGAAATGTCGCGAGAGCGAGTGCGCGAAAATCGGCAAAGGCGGCGTGCCGTTGAAGGCGATCAATCGAGGGAATCCGTTCGGATCGTTAGCGCCGCTGTGTTTCCAGGAGAGCGTGTTGGACGCAAAAGCGACGGAGTTTGGGTTGTCCTGGGATAAGAAAACGACGAAAGATGATTGGTTCGTGCACCGAAAGACGGCGAGCGAGGATTCGAAATTTAAGATGGAGCTGTTACCGGAGAGCGCCAAGAGCGTGACGAAGATTATGAATAGAGCGAGTAGTACTAGCAGTAGTGGTAGCAGTAGCAGTAGCACCTCCTCCTCCTCCTCCTCCTCGTCGTCGTCATTTAAAACGTGCGCTCTGGTTGGGAATTCGGCGATTTTGAGTTCAGGCCCAGCGGCTGGGAAATTCATCGATGCGCACGACGTCGTCTTTCGACTGAACCAAGCGCCGACGAAAAAATATGAGGACCGCGTCGGGAAGAAAACGACCGTGCGCATCCTCAACAAATCCTGGGTTTTAGGCTATGGAGGCACGCTTCGTTTGGAACACGGCAACGTGAAAGACTCCGACCTCCCGAACGAAGACGGCGTCCTCTTCTTAGCCTCGCGAGGGAACTTCCAAGCCATCACGAAGCTGATGAACAAGTTCCGCTCCTCGAGCGCCGACGGCGACGAAAACATCAAAGTCTTGCGCATGAACTTCAAACTCTACGATGTCATCAGCGCGCAACTGAAGCGGTTCCGCTCGTGCCTGGCATCGAAAAAACAAACCTTCACGGGTGGATCGACGCCGTCTTCCGGATTAATGGCCTCGTTGCTCTTAGCCGGTCGATGCGACGAGGTCAATCTCTACGGATTCGGCCCCGGAACCATTCGAGGTAAATACCAATACTACACGTTAGCGGGAAGCGAACGCGCGCACGGAGAATCCGTTCACGCGTTTGGGTTAGAGTTTGCGTTTTTAAAAGCCTTGGATAAAATCGGGTTGGTGAAAGTCTGTCGACCGCCCATGGACGACGAGAGGTGTCGGAGAGGGTTCGCCTAACCCGATGATGATGATGATGACCAAACAGAAGACGAAAACAAAAAGATGCCCCTCCTGTAAAATTCCACGCTCTCTTCTACGCCTCAATGCTCTAGAAATCTATCCTTATACGTTTTGTCGCAGGATTACCGTTGCCTTGCGCCTATTGCGTTAAAAACGCGTGTTTTAGGTGTTTTATTTCCCCATTTAGAACAACAAAAGGAACACTCGTCGACACCGCACAAAGAGTAGTAGACTTCCGACTCCGATGCCTCCACCTCCTTCCGGAGGAGCGCTTCTTGCGATGAACAACAACAACAACAACAACAACAGCACCGTTATTAAATCATCGGGGTCATCATCATTCCTCGGGGGGAGACGAGGCGTAAGTTTCTTCCTCTTTTGCTCGTTCGTCTGTTTCTTTTCGCTCCACTTCTCGTCCTCGAAGTGGCGCTCGTTACAACTCGAATTGGACCAAACGCACGAAAAATATTCGAAAGAGATCAACGAGTTCACGAGTAAAGTGCAATTGTTATCGAAGAATTCGCAAAGGATGGAAAGTTTAGAGAAAGAAAGAGACACGCAACGGACGCGATTGAAGGAGAAAAACAGCGAGATTAATCAGCTGAAGGAAGAGTTGAAAAAATCGAAACCGACTGCGGCGGCGAAGATGGCGCAGGAGACGAAGAAGAGGAACGAAGAGTTGGAAGAGCAAATCAGAGAGATGAGAGTGGAAATGGAAGAGATGAAACAAGGGAACGAGAAAGAGATGGAGGAGTTTAAGATGGATTCGAGCGAGGCGTACGACGGGTGTTCGAAGAGAGAGAAGAAGTTGCGAGGGGAGTTGGAGAGGTGTTTAGAAAGAGGAGGAGGAGGAGGAGGAAGCGTTTTAGAGAGGAACAGAAGTGGCGACGATGGTCTCAGCAACGCGGCGAAAGCAATAGAGAATAGTGGTAGCAGTAGAAATAGCATCGGCAACGCGGTCCGCGAATCCTCTAAGCGAGAGGAAGTTGAAGACGAGGACGACGAAGCGCTGGCGAAGAAGAAAGACGACCAACCCGAGCGCGACGTAAACGTAAACGACGACGACGACGACGTAAACGACGACGACGGTCAGAGAGGAAAAAACCAAGAACAACAACAACCTCGCGCACTCGGCGACCTGGACGAAGAGGACGAGGACGCCAAGCGCAAACATAACCTCCGCGTCGATCGCATCGAACGCCTCGAAAAACAACGCCAAGACCAAGCCAAGTATTGGGCGAAATACCAAGCCAAGAAACAACAACAGCAACAACGCATTAAGAAAGAGAGAGAGGAACAAGGTGAGAACGATGATTCAGAGAACGATGTAGTAGACGATGTAGACGATGTAGCGAAGAAAATGTGAAAACGAAGTTAAAAGTACTTCAGAACAAAAAATGTCGTTTGTAACACACTCCTTCTCGAACGCGTTCGTCGCAAAACCCGCCGCGCAAAAGAAAAGACAACAACAAAAACGCGTCAAAGTCGTAAAAGTCTCCGCTTCTTCCCCTTCCTCTTCTTCTGAACTCGACGATGATGGGAGTAACCAAGCGCTTTTGTCCCGGCGTGGATTTTCGGTTTCCCTAACTGTATTGGCGGCTTCATTCCATTCCCAAAACGAAAACGTCTCGCACGCGCGGAACAGCTCACTCCCGACCGTTCTGGTCATCGGGTCGACCGGTCAAACTGGAAAGTTAGTGGTTGCCTCCTTGGCGAACGCGAACGATGCGAACGTCATCGCCGGATGTCGCTCGCTGGAGAAAGCGAAGAAAATGAAATTGGACCAGAACGGGGTGGAATTGTTAGGCGGAGGTGAGCGAAAAGTCTTCGCGCGATCGATTGCGGATCGATTGATTCTTTGTCTTCTTTGTCTTCGTACCTCGTCTTAAAATCTCTGTTCTGTAAACATTCTTCTGACCTCTTACGATGAAAACATCTGTTCTATAAACACACACAGTGGACGTGACGGATACGACCGAGAACCTCGCGTTGGCTATGGCCGGCGCGGATGTCGTCGTCATCGCGACTGGGTTCGTCCCGGGTAACCCGTTCAAAATGAACGCCGCTGCGCACGAGGTGGATAACGAAGGCGTCGTGAATTGCGTCAACGCGGCGAAGAAAGCCGGGAACGTGAAGAAAATCGTGTTAATTTCGAGCATTCTCACCAACGGCAGAGCGGCTGGTTTGGCGGACTCGCCCGGTTTCAAAATAACCAACGCGTTCGGCGGCGTCTTGGACGAAAAGCTCGTCGGCGAAAACTACTTGCGAAACTCCGGAATCGACTGGGTCATCGTTCGTCCTGCTGGCTTGAAAAACGACCAATCTGGCTCTTTAATCGTCGGCCAAGAAGACGCCATGGCGAGCGGAGAAATCGATCGACGCTTAGTCGCCCAAGTCATGGCCAAAGCGGCGTTGGACGACAAAGCGAAGAATAAGGTCTACGAAATCGCAGAAGAAGGGTCGTATTCCAACGGGTACGATTGCGGCGCGCCAAAGTGTCAAATCGTCGGAAGCGATAGTAGTAAATGGTTCTCGTAATATATATATCACATGTAGTTCACCTTGTCTTAAAGTTGTCTTAAGTTGTCTGTGCATTTTTCAGCGCTTTTCTTGCTCTCTTATGTTAATTTTACTCGCTGTCTAACTCGATGACTTCTGCAGGTTCTCGCGTCATTTCTTCCGATTTCTTTCGTTCATTAGATTTCTCATCCTGTTGCACCTTCTCCAATTTACTCTGAAAAAATGCAATTTCATCGTGTATTCTTTTCTTTTCTTTTTTGAACTCCGCTACGTGCACCTCTTCCTTTGATCGAGCCTCGTCCAGTAGTTCTTTCGTTAGCTTCTCGCGCACGTCTTTTAAAACCTGAATATGTTGCTCATTCGTTCTGTTGTCAATCGCATCCTTGAGCACCTTTTGATGATGGGCGTTCAGCGCGTCGAATCCTTTTGCATGCGAGTTCCTGAGCGCGACGTACTCTTCTTTCTTTAGCTTGAAGACCCTCTCACGGATGCGGGAAAGTAGCTTGATCGCAGTCTCCAACATTTTGGATTTTGGATGCTGTTTACCTTGTACCAAGAAGTACTTCGCATTCGGAGTCTTTCTAAGCTCGGATTTGATCACTTCCAGAGCTTTGTATTGAGTTTCTAAATGCTTTTGTCTCTGCTGCTGCCGCTGAATCTGCTCGTAATCAGTCGGTGGAGGAGCTTGTTGTTGTTGTTGTTGTTGTTGTTGTTGTTGTTGTTGCTGCTGCTGCTTCTGCTGGTGATGATGGTACATCTGCTGTTGTTGTTGCCACATCTGTTGTTGTTGGTACACTTGCTGTGCTTGTTCGGCTTTCTTTTGTTGATGTTGGGCTAAGAAGTTTTCTAGTACTCTTTGTTGATTTTGCCTCTGCAACAATCGTTGTTGTTGCTGTTGCAAGTGTTCTTCTTGAACTCGTTGTTGCCGTTGCAACTGTACTTTTTCTTTTTCTTTTTCTTCTTCCTCTTCCACGCAGGCGAGCGATCGAATTTCCTCCAGCAAACTCTCCGGAATGCCCGTCATCCTCTCACGTGTCTTTAAAGACACCGGTGAAAAAGCCAAACTTTGCGTCAAATTGTGCCACTTAATTTGCAAATCACCACTTGAGCGCCGGAGCAAAGCGCCTGAAATATTTTCATCAGTCAAAGATTTTATTGCCGCCCACTGGCCTTTACCGCACAGTTTGACCCCAGCAACTAATGCCTGCACTTCCTCCAAAGACCAGAGGACTTTTGGACGCCGTCTTTTCGCCTCTTTAATCTTTCTTGCTTCCGAAGATTCTATGCGGGTTGGTACCACTCGTTCCCGATTCGTTTTCAAGTGATTTAAGGTGGCATCTTCTATCGTACTCGCGTACCGTGCAATTTTGTCGACTGTTTTCGCGTACTGCGTTGCCCCGGGCAATGATCCCACGCCCGAGTTTGCTTCAACCCCTTGCTTCCAATCCTTGTCGATTTTATCCGGTAGATAACTGGGATCGAGAGGTTTCAAACGCTCGCGACCTTGTAATTCGACTTCTTCGTCTGGAACTATAAAACCGCCCAAATCGTCTTCTTCATCCGCATCAGTATGCACGACCTCCTCTGCCGAATTATCCGTCGCCTCGCTATCGTTATCGCTATCATCATCGTCTTCTTCTTCTTCTTCTTCACTTTGTTCTTCGCTTTCTTCCTCCTCTTCTTCTCGCCTTTGCCGCTTTCTTTTCCTCCTTTCCTCTCTTCCTTCATCCGACTCCTCCAAATCCTCCAACTCTCGTTGCAATCTTTTCATCTCTCTCTTTTTCGCTCGTATCTCTTTCGCTCTCGCTCGTTGCTCCAACTCCTTCAACTTTTTCTTGAGCTCTCGCGCTTCTTTTTTCTCCATCTCTTCCCATAGCGCGCGTAGGCCCGGAGCGAGCGCGCCATCCTCCTCCATCAGCATCTCTTTCACCTTCTGCTCCACCATTCGATTGATTCCTTCTTCCAGTTCTTTGTTATTCAGAGCAGCCACACCTGAAGCACCATTTTCGTTACCGCCGCGTGTGTTTGTTCCGTCGTCCTCGTCGATTCCTTTTGGCTTCGCGGCGCTTCCTCCATCTCCTTCTTTTCCTCCATCTCCTCCAACGAAAGACACGCGACCTCGAATATCCCCCAACTTCCCGTTCACGTGTTTCACCAAGTTTCTGAATTTCTCCGCGAACGATTCCGTCAATTCTTCCTCTCGTTTCCTCTGCTCTTCTGTTTTCCGTTCCAACCGCTCGACTCTTTCCTCGGTCTTTTCCAGAAGTTTCGCGAAGCGTTTCGTCAAAGAACGTTGCAAAAAGGATGTGATTTTTCCACGACCTTCTCTGTTTTCGTCGCCGTCCTCTTCTTCGTCGTCGTCCTTTTCTTCGAAGCCGCCGTTTTCGTCTCCCCCATCTCTCGCGCTCTCCATATTCTTCTCACTCTCTTTCTTTCTTTCTTTCTTTCTCTCTCTCTCTCGCAGAAGCCCACGCGCGCGCTTTTTGCGCTTCTCACGGGAAGAGACATTTGAGAGAAAGATCACCTCTCAGAGTTAGGGTTTAACACCCTAAACATTTATATCCTCTTTTTTCTCGCTTTCTCTTTGTGGTCGTCACACAAAAACATTTCCCCTCTCTGAAAGAGAAACGTCTTCTCATCATGTCGCGCGGCGAGTACCGCGGCAATTACCAAAGAGACGACGAGAAGAACAAGAACAACGGCGAGAGATACCATCGCACTTCCAGAAACAATAACACGAATAACGGTGGCGGTGGATACAGAAACAACAACAACAACAACAACAACAACAACAACGGGGGAAATTGGCATCGAAACACCACCACCAAGCGAGGGAGAAGTCCCGAGCGAGAGGCACAGTTCCCGCATCGAGAGGTCCACGAGAGGGAGAAAACGACGACGACGACGAGTGGTGGTGGTAGCCGTGATGCTGCGACTGTTTTTCAAGATAATCCGTTCAATCGAAGCGCATCTTCATCTCAAGCGCAGCAACCGCTTTCGGTGGAAGAACTGTTGCAGAAGAAACGAGAGAAGGAACTCGCGGAGACGAAGCCGACATTTTTGACGAAGAAGGAACGAGAGAAGCTGGCGATGGAGCGGTTGAAAGAGAAACGACGAGAGGAAGGAGGAGGAGGCGATGGTGGTACGGTGGCGACAGCGCATCATCACGCGTCGTCGTCGTCGAGATTTGCTCGCGCGACGTCCGCGCGGGACGTGGCGGAGAGACAGTACCAGCGAGACAAAAGCGAGCAATCGGAAAGAGAAAGACAGGAACAGTTGGAGCAGTTTCGGAAGCAGTACGCCGGGGTGAGAGACGAAACCGAGAAGATGAAGAAGATGAAGCAGAAAGCGGAACGGGCAAAATATAAGTTTCAATTCGATTGGAGTAAAGAGGACGATACTTCGCGAGACGCGAATCCTTTGTACGACGCCAAGCACGACGTGAAGTTGTTGTTCGGGAGAGGAACGATCGCTGGAGTAGACGCGAGGATGCAAATGGAGCAAAATCACAAGTTTGAGAACTCTGTTGGGAAGAGGAGAGGGGGAAATACTGTGAATAACAATAGAAGTAGAAGTTACGACGCCGCCGGCGATGAAAACGCGCGCAGAATCGATAAGCATTCGAAAGCGCTCGAGAAATACGATAATCAATACGACAAGAAGAAGGAAACCACCCATTGGAGTTCGAAACCGTTAGCACAAATGAACGAACGCGATTGGCGAATCTTTCGGGAAGATTTTAACATCACGTTCAAAGGCGGGAAAGTGCCGAACCCGATGCGCGCGTGGAGCGAGAACGAGCTTTTGCCGCAGGAAATTTTACGCGCGATTGAGAAAGTTGGGTATACAAAACCTTCGCCGATTCAAATGGCGTCGATTCCTATCGGGTTGTTGAAGCGAGACGTCATTGGCGTTGCGGAAACCGGGTCCGGTAAAACGTGCGCGTTTGTTGTCCCCATGTTGGCGCACATCATGGGTTTGCCAAAAATGACCGACGAGGTCGCCGCGGATGGTCCGTATGCGTTAGTTATGGCCCCAACGAGAGAACTCGCGCAACAAATCGAAGAAGAAACGTTAAAATTCGCACATTTCTTGGGATATCGCGTCGCGTGCGTCGTCGGCGGTCAATCTATCGAAGACCAAGGCGTGCAATTGCGCAAAGGCGTCGAGATTGTCGTCGGTACGCCCGGTAGAATTATCGACGTCATAGAGAAGAGATACACCGTTCTCAATCAGTGCAACTACATCGTTCTCGATGAGGCGGATAGAATGATTGATATGGGCTTCGAACCGCAGGTGACGCAAGTCATGGAAGCTATGCCGAGCTCGAATTTGAAACCGATCGATATGGCGGAAGAGTTGGACAACAAGGCGATTGACAATAAACAATCGATTGAAACGTCTGCGAGGTACAGAACGACGTACATGTTCTCCGCCACCATGCCTCCATCCGTGGAACGATTAGCGCGCACGTATCTTCGCAACCCCGCGGTCGTGACCATCGGCTCCGCTGGGAAAACCTCCGATCTGATCAAACAAACCGTCATCTGGGTCAACCGATCGGAAAAAGAGCGCACGCTCGAACAAATCCTCTCCCAACACACGCAAACGCAAGCGATCGTTTTCGTCAACACCAAAAGAGGCGTGGATTCGTGCGTCACAGCCTGTCACTCCATGGGCTATTCCTGCGGCTCCATTCACGGCGGCAAAGGCCAAGACGCGCGAGAAGCCGCGTTAACTGGATTCAAACGCGGCGACTTTGACATATTAGTCGCCACCGACGTCGCCGGTCGCGGTATTGACGTCAAAGGCATCGATTTAGTCGTCAATTACGAGTTACCGGCGTCGATTGAAAACTACACGCACAGAATTGGCCGTACCGGTAGAGCTGGAAGGAAAGGGACCGCGGTATCCTTCATCACCAGCGAAGACCAAGACATCATGTACGACTTGCGCCAACTCCTCATCGAGAGCAACAACGAAGTACCTCCCGAGTTGGAACGGCAAAAAGCGGCCAAAGTCAAGCCGCAAAGAGACGCGCAAGGGAGAGTGTTGGAAGGAAGAGACGCCAGAGGGATGGACTCGATTATATTTTAATTGAAGTAGTAGTATAGTAGTTACGTTGTAGTGATTTGTTTTTCTTACATCGCTAGAAATTACTTATCGAGAAGTATTTGTTATACGTGGCGAGCGCTGAACCGACCAACAACAACTCAATCGAAGACCAACTCATCGAACGCGAGCAAAAAAAGAAGATGCAAAGCGAGCATTCTACCAACTGAATTATATCCCCGAATGATGATAGTTTGGAGATACAGCGAATCGAACGCTGGACAACTCACACATTTTTCTTTCTCCTCTGAAGAAGAGAAGAGCCAATCATCTCTTAGGGTTTAGAAGTGAATATATCCTCCTAAAAAACGCAAATTCACTCCTCACAAGTTTTGCGAAGGTGACGATGACGATTACGATGATGATGACGATGATGATGACGATGATGATGACGATGATGACGATGACGACGAGTAGCCTGTGATCAACTCTCCATGCTCGTATCGCCAACCAAATGGGAGAGGACAGTTCTTGTCGAGGAGGTATTGTACACATTCGGTTTCGTTGTATTTGTGCGCTTCTCGTACCGCCAAATCGTCCCAAGGCGCTTTGGCTGTTTCGCGCAAGTACTTCAAACAGTCTAAGTGGCCGTTCGCGGCCGCACGCTCACACGCCAAATTGTAATATTTATCATACTTTCGCTCAACAAGATATTCGAGTATGTGAAGATGACCATTTCGAGCCGCAAAATAGGCAGTCCAATAATCCCAAGGCGCTTTCGCTTCTTCGTGTAAGTATTTGAGGCACTCGAGATGACCGTTTTGGGCAGCACGTGCACACGCCCACTCATTGATAGGACACTCATTTGCAACGCAATATTTTACCATTTCCAGATTACCTTGTTCTGCGGCCGCATTAATCGGCCCTACACTCCACTCACACTTTTTCTCCTCTCGTATCCACTTGAGTAACTCGAATTTATTCGTTTTAGCAACTTGCGAGCAGAAAATTCTTTCGGTCCAGTGTCTCGGCCACAACGATTTATTCTCCCACACAAACTCCAAAGTCGATATTGACGACATCTCTTCAACTTTAAACCCCGTTTCCAAATCTTCCGTGCGAGAAGATCTCTTCACCAACGCTCTCGTCTCTTTATTCACCTCGTACAAGAATTTAAGATCGGTCCCATTCAATCTCGGCAAAATGTGAGTGAAACAAATATCATCGCACTTCACGATCACATCCCACAACGCGACCAATCTCCCCCCAACGCCTCCCTCGTTCGCGCTCCTCCTCGTCGCTCCAGAAGAAGAAGAACTAGAGCGCATCATTCTCTCTTTAATCGTTTTTGATCTAATATTTTTTGTATCTCACATGCGAGAAAAAAAAAGAAAGACGTTTCGAAGAAAAAAGTTTAGGGTGTCTGCCGTCGAGAAAACCTTCGCGATACCTCTTTAAAAACGCCATTGTTGCGCGACGCCTCGCTCGCAGTCCACACATCTCAGGGCCCGCCCACGACGTAAATAACTTCGTTTCGTCTTCGTCGTCGCGTAAGTAACAACAACGGTGGTGGTGGTTATTAAAAAGAATGTCCTCCTTAAAAACCAAAGCAGCGCAACACATCTCTCGGGAAATTCAAGCCACCGCGGTGCGACGGAATACCAATCGTACGTTTCTTTATTCTCTTCTTAATCATCACACTGACCTGCACGTCTTCTTAAAACAACAGTCTATGAACTCGCGAAAACGATGCCTGAATACGGCGTCGGGCAAAGGTTTACCAAAATCTATTGGCAACAACAAGAACAAGAGGAGAGCAAAAGAGTATTCCCAGGACCGACGTTTTGGACGTTGACGAAAATATTACCAAAAGCGAACGGTCGCACGGGTCATTGGGCGTACGGGATTTTAACCTGGAAAGGGAGGCAACGCATGACGGAGGAGAAAATTACCGGGACGCACAAGACGGTGTGGAAAGTAGTCGACGAGGTTAGAGAAGATGGGTTAGATAAAAGAGGGATGGGAGACGACGGGTTGAAGTTAGCGTTGCCGGAAAAAGAGGAGGAAGAAGAAGTAGTAGTAGGAGGAGGAGGAGAAGAAGAAGCTCAAAAATAGGTAGCAAAGAAAGAAAATGTATTATTTAGTTCGTTATTAAAATCTAATGGTGTTCATCATGTCGTCGTTGTTATTGTTGTTGCTATCGCGATCGCGATCCTCGTCGTCGTCGAGGTAAACTCTCTCTTCCGCTCCGTCTTCGAGCTCTAAACTGCCGCTGCTCACGAACGGATTTGCCGCCGCGCCTCTCGCCTGTCGTCTCTCGTTCATTTGTTCAATCACTCGCGATTTCAACTTTTCACTTTCTACTTTTATGTCTACGCTGACGCCTTCGTTCGCCGCCGCGAACTGTTCTCTCAACGTTTGATGCAACTGACTCAAATCGTCTTGCTCGGAGGAGACGTACGCCGTGTATTTGCTTGCTCTTCGGGCGACAATTTTCCTTCGGCGATTGACCACGTGCATGCGAAAGAAGCACGCCAAAAAACCTAACACGGTGCACGAGAGAATGAAATAGAAAAACCCGCCTCCTCCGTCTCTGGCGTCGATCAACGACCCTTTCTCTTGCACCGCGATTTCCTCGGCGTATAAAATCGCGTCCAAGTTCGGGTAGTTTTCCTTTACAGACGCGTACCCCTGAGTATATAACTCGCCTCGTCGCGGCCCGTCGCACCTAAATCCTAGACTTTGCGTCTCGTTGCACATGGTCGCGTCTTTCATCTCTCCGTACCCGGAATACAACTTCTCCACGATATCCATCCCTTCCGTGACTTCCGCGAACGGCACGCACTTTTTATCCAAGTCTTCGCTGTTGTCTCTCATGTTGACGAAAATTTCCGACGTTCTATCGTGGTACATTTCATCACCACTACTAGTATTATTACTACTGCTGCTATGTCCTAAACTCGTCCCAAACGCGACCCATCCTCTCTTATTACTCGTCGTCGTTTCCAACGTCTTCTCCGACTCGTCCGCGAGGACGCACCCGCTCGTCTCGTTTCGATCCGGATCGTACACTCGCGCCAAACTCGGTTCCGCCGCGATCCCAAACTGTACCCCGTACCCAGTTAAACTCCTATACACTAAACTCTTCCGGTAAAAGTGTTCGTTGACTAAACCTCGAAACCGGTCGAACGCGTTGGGCGCGAGCGCTCGATACGCTCGGACCGTAAACGTGCCTTTTGTTGTGGTGAATTTATAATCCGCTCGAAGTAACGTTTTTTCCGTGGATTCTGAGACGTATTTCGCGTCCAACTCGGGAGGTTTGCAGACTAACGGTGTTGTGGACGCTGCTTCTTCTGTGCACGCGATCGGGTGTTCTTCTTCTTCTTCTTCTGTAGTGCTTCCAAAGGTATTCCCGCTCATCTTTCACAAGAAGTTTCCCGTTAAAGACAAAAGAGAGAGGCAATTACAACACACTCTATTATACGCTCTCTCCTTTGAATACGCAGAAAAGAACGCGCTAAACACACACACACACACACTTACGCGCGTAGTATATATACCGCGTGTTATATTTCGACGAGAGACCACACAGAAAGAGCGGAGAAGAGCGAGGGTAATGGGGCACACCGAGAGAGAGAGAGAGATGCTTTCCCTTTCTTACAAGGCATTATAGGGTTGGAAACCCTAAGCAGAAAACTCGTGGTCAAAAAGCCGCCAAGCAATCCTTTTCCTCACACGTGTTTTGTTCCATCAGAGAGAGAGAGAGAGTTGGAGAGACGAGAGACGAGAGACGAGAGAGGGATACGCACACGGACACACACACACACACACACAGAGAGAGAGCGTTTTTAAAGAGAGAGTGAGAGAGAGAGACGGTGTGTTATTGTGCGCGCGTGAGAGTTACAAGAGAGAGAGAGAGATTGACGCTTTTTTCTTTCTTCTGTGTGACGGACGAACTTATCCAAAAACGAGAGAGAGGAGTTCTAGAAAAAGATGATGTCGCCGCTTCTTTCCGGGTCGTCTTCGACGACTTTGACTTCGGTTGGTTCGTTCAGCAGTAAAGGAGGATGCGCGATGACGACGATCGTGTCGCATTCGAGGAGTACTCGAGTCACCGCATCGTCGTCGTCGAAATCATTTCCATTGCCTCGAGGGAAAGCGACGTCGACGACTAATCCGATGAAAGTCTTCATTGTCTTTGCCTCCAGAAAAGACACGCCTCCTCCCTTTACGACTAAAGCGGCGACAAAAACAACTCGCTTGAACGCAGTTCTGGAACCCGAGCAGCAAAGACAACAAAACAACGGAGACAACATCAACGCCGAAAAGATGCCTTTGCAAGGAGTGAAAGGTGTAAAACGCTTGACGAAATCAGAACGCGAGAAAAATTCGAAAGATTACGAATGGGCGGCGTTGATTTCCAGCTGCGGAGTAACCTCTATTGCAATTACGGCGACGTATTTTCGATTGCTGAGGTCGTATAACTTGATGGACGACGTCGGTGGGGTGAGTGTTTTTCCGACGGCGGAGTTATTCGCGCAGTTGGCGCTGATCGCCGGAGCGGCGGTCGGGATGGAGTTTTACGCTCGATTCGCGCATAAATACTTATGGCACGACGTTTGGTGGTCCATGCCGATGAAATACAGGAAAGATTGGAACAAAAAGATTTGGTTGTTGCACGAGTCGCACCATTTACCGAGAGAAGGCGCGTTCGAGGCGAACGATATCTTCGCGGTGGCCAACGGCGTGCCGGCGTTTGTGTTGTGCTCGTACGGGTTTTTCACGCCGGGGGTGTACGGAGGGTTATGTTTTGGCGCCGGTCTTGGCATCACCTTATTCGGTATCGCGTACATGTACGTTCACGATGGGATGGTTCACAAACGATTTCCGACCGGGCCGTTGGGAAAACTTCCGTGGTTGCGAAGGGTCGCCGCGGCGCACACCATCCACCACACCGAACAGTTCCAAGGCGCGCCGTGGGGGTTATTTTTAGGCGAAGACGAATTGAGTAAACACCCGGGCGGTATCGAAGAACTCGACAAAGTCTGTTTAGCCAACGACAGAGCGGATAAACGACGCGAAATGGAGTGTTTAGCGGCTGGGTTTTCCAACGCCGAGCAGTGCGACGTCCCGATCCATCTCTCCGTCGGATCTTCCAAGGATGACTATTTAGTCGTTTCCCAAGACGAAACCGAGTTAGGAATCAAAGCCGGATTACACATTCCAAGTCAAATAGAATCGCCGCAGTGCGTGATCACCGAAGACGGGAAGCGAATCAACGAATCCTTAAAAAGCGTCGTTTCCGAAGCCAAAGAATAAGACTAATAAGAATACTAATATGTAAAGAGCGAGCGAGCGAGCGAGCGAGAGAGGAAGCAAACCCCAGCAGAGCGCGAACCGCATCACGCAAAGCGCCCGCGGCAAAGAGAACGCCGCAAAAGGGTAAAGTTTTGCGCCTATCCATAGAAAAAAGAAGTAAGAACGCAGCAAACGCACCTTGTTAAGCAGCAGCGAAAGAGAAAATGAACTATGTAATATATAAAATCGATATATAAAGATATAATACACGCGTAAATCGAGCCCCCTACGTGTTTAGGGTGTACTAAACCCTAACAAGTAAGTCGTTCTCTCTCTCTCTTCTTCATCTCTTCATTTCATTCAGGATTGAACGCGCCCTTGCAAAATCAAAATGTTCTCCGCTTCTTCCGCGATGACGATGACGCAATCGTCCTCGTTTTCCCTCATGAAGGCTCCCGCGAGTTTTTGCAACGCGAAACAACAAAAACATAAACATCAAAGGAAGGAGATAAAAAGAAATTTTTGCGTCCCCGTCAGCAGCACGATTCTCGTGAAGGAAAACGACGACGAGACATCGAAACCAACGACGACGAGAAGAAGAGACGCGGTCCTTTTGGCATCGTCCGCCGTGTTCTACGCGTTGCCGTCTTTCGCGTTCGGAGGTGGGAAAAAAGAAGAGAAACCAGACCCGACCGCGGCGAAGAACGCGAAGAAAGCTGCCATTTTGGCTGCCGCGAGAGCGAAAGCGGAAGGGCAAGCCGCGAAACAACAAGCGATATCGCAAGAAGAGTCGGAAGCGCCGAAGAAGGAGTTACAATCGGCGGCGTTTTTTGATGCCAGCAATTCAGGCGCAGGGGTGAGAGGTGGAGGCGCGGATGCGAGCAACACGTACGAGGTCGTGAAAGAGGCCGAACCGGCGGCTCCGGCGCCGTCTGAACCGGCGGCGACGACTCCGCCAGAAGCGCCCGCCGAAGCGGAGGAATCCGGAGGCTTCAGCTTACCGTCCGTCAGCTTACCGTCCGTCAGCTTACCGTCCGTCAGCTTACCGTCCGTCAGCTTACCGTCCGTCAGCTTACCGTCCGTCAGCTTGCCGAAGTTGCCGTTTTAATACATTTATAATACTACAGTACCATACCATACAATACGACATGTTACGACGTGTTCTTTTCTCCTCAGAACAAACAGACCTTTTATGGCTCAACTGATACTCGACACCAAAAGCCATCGAGGACGACGACGAGGACAACCGCGACGAGTATTTATTCCTCTCCTATCGCTCGTACTCGTCATACTCTACGCGAACTACCGGGTTTTCGACGTGCTGACGCAGATTGTATCCTCTCCGCCGCCGGCAAAAGGGAAAACCGATTTGGAAAATTCAAAAACTGATGAAACCAACGAGAACAAAACCGAAGATGAATCGATGACGATGACGATGCCTGCGATTGGATTCGGCACGGCTGGGTTAGGTTTGGAGACGAAAGAGAGCGTCAAAAAAGCCTTACAAGTTGGGTACAGAATGATAGACACGGCGCAAGCTCCGGAGTGGTACCGGGAAGATTTAGTTGGGTTAGCCATAGAGGAGAGCATAAACGTGGTGAAGAGAAAAGACGTGTTCGTGACGACGAAAATCCATCCTAGACATTTAGGCAGGAAAGGGATGGATATGATTGAAACTTCGTTAACAAACTTAAGAACGACATACGTAGATTTAGTTTTGTTGCATTACAGCGAGTGTTGGGGGAATTTGTGTTCGCGAGGGGAAGTCGTTCCGGGGACGTGGAAAGAGGCGTACAGAGAGCTCGAACGGTTAGTCGTGGAGTTTAAAGTCGCGCGGTTTATTGGCGTCTCGAATTTCAACGCGAACGCTCTGGAAGAATTGCACGCGTTTGCAAACGTGCAACCGTTGGTGGTGCAAATGCGTTCCGACGTCTTCGCGCAAGATCAGAGGACGATGGACGTGTGCGCGAAATACGGGTGGCGATTCGAAGCGTATTCCTCTTTAGGCGGTCAGTGGTGGCAGTATAAAACCAACCCGGTGTTGAATAACGACGTCGTGAAAATGATTGCTGCGAGATATAACGTCTCGCCTGCATTGGTCGTCCTCAATTACGCCAAGAACGTGTTGCATCAAACAATCATCCCGCGAAGTCGAGATCGGAAGCACATGGAAGATAGTTTGTTGAGGTTAGATTCGTTCGAGTTAGACGACGAGGAAATCGAAAGTTTGAAGGCTCTGGACGGGAAAGTACCTTCGAAAGATTAGAAGAAGTAGTGTGTAGGATTTTTAGGGCTCTAAATTCGTATAGCGGCAATGAATGTGTTTTGTTTTACAACATGAAATGAATCATCTATCTATAAACTAATATTAATCTTCTTTTTACAACTTCAGCTTCTTCTTCGCCGGTTCGTCTTCTTTATCGACCCTCGCGGTTTCGGCGAATGCATTATCGATCTTGACTTGACTCAACTTCTCCGCGCTTTGCTTCGCCACCACCTTCGCGAACATGCTCTTGATATCCTGCGTGTTCTTCTTCGCCACCGCGACGACTTCTTTTACGCACGCGTCGCCTTGAAATTCGATTTTTCCCATCTCCGGAGTCACCGGATACCACTGCAAATCTTCGCCTTTCTCGATGACGCCTCCTCCTCCTCGATGGGTAGTAGTTTCATCGTCCTTCAAAAACGATGCGATACGTTTCGTGTTATCCGTCAGCCACGTCTTCACCGCTTCTTTTTTTAACATCACCGGCATCCGGTCGTGCAACCAACTCAACCTCGTCCCTTTCGAGTCTCTCGTTAACAAACTCGTCGTCCTTAATATCTCGCCGCCGCCGTCGCAAAAATCGTCTCCTTTGTACGTGTCCATAACCGCGCACACGCACAGCAATTCCCCGTCTTTTCTCGACACGTAATACGGTTGTTTCCCCATTTTGTCCTTCTTCCATTCGTAAAAGCCGCGAATCAAAACCACCGCCCTTCCTCTCCCTTTATCTTTCGCGTTCGCCTCTGTGCACCTGTTGAACATCTGTCTTTCTAAAATCGTTTCCGAGCGACAGTTAAACGCCACGTAATGATCTCTCTTCCTATCGTACGTAGATTTCTTGTACGATGGAATCAATCCGAATCGTGTCGTCCACACCTCGTCTTCCGCGACGAGCGTTGCGACCGTTTCCGACGGCGCGCAGTTACGCAACTGAGCGTGCGCACCTTCGTTCACCCACGTCACGATTTTGACATCCTTTTCCTCCTTTTCCTCCTCGTCTTTATCTTCTTTCACAGCAGAAAAGAGTTTTTGGACGTCCTCGAGGGAAACGCGAGCGTTGACTCGTCCGCACATGATGATGATGTCTCTTCTTCTTCTTCTTCTTCTCCCGGTCGAGCAAACATCAACGGAGCATTTCTCTGCGGTACGTGAAAGAAAATTGCGTGGGGACCCCTTGAGTAGTTTAGGGTTGCTCATCAAACCCTAAATAAGAGAGAGGGGAAAATTTCTCGGAAGCTTGACTTTCCTCACTCTCCGTGGTCGCGCGCGCGCGCTCTTTCTAGAGAGAGAAAGAGAGAGAGAAGGAGAGACACGTAAAGATGTACTCGGAACCATCCTCCGAAAACCCGTTAAACGCGTGCACGTTTTGCGGCCGCCAACAGCTCAACAGTCGAGAGTACAATCACATTCGAGACACGTTGCATCAGCTCTCCCCGGCGGAGTTGGAAAATCGCGGGTTTTGTTTCGTCTGCTTGAACGAACAAAACATACTCTGGCAACTCATCACCGACCACGACGACATATTCCAAACGCACATCGTGTGCAAACTGAACGGCGCAGATTTGAAGTTCTTGAACCAAGCGAACAGCGAAAGCAGAGAGGCGATGAAGAGGAGCAAAAACGTCGCGTCCGTTCCCGGGAAGTTTAATGGTACGAATGCGTTACGGTTTGAGATCGAAGAGCGAATTCGCGAGAAACGCTTCGGATGACATTTTCATCTCATCATCTCGCCCCTTTTTCTTCTACGCATCATCAGATCTTCTCGTTTGATTTAATATCACGTTCTGTTTTGTTCGATTTTCAACTGACCACGTATCGTCTTCTTTCTTTGACTTCATCGTTCTTCTTTTATTACGCAGTGGGCGAGTTCTCGTCGAAAGAAACGCTCGAGTGGGCGTGGCAGCGATGGACGCGAGAAGAGGAGGAGTTCTGCTCTTTAGTGTGCGAGATTAACGATTTGGAGTTGCTGAAATGGGCGAGAGAGGAAAAACAGTGCAGGTGGGACGCGACGACGTCGTGGGAAGCGGCGAGTAAAGGGAACATGAAGACGTTGAACTACTTGTGCGAGGAAAATTGTCCGATGGACGAAAAGACGTGCGCGGAGGCGGCGGAGAACGGACACTGGGAAGTGTTGAAGTTTTTGAGAGAGAAGAAGAAGGTGCCGTGGGATCACAACACGACGAGCGCGGCGGCCGCGGAAGGGAACTTTGAGATGTTGAAGTGGTGCAGGCAAAGAGAATGTCCGTGGAACATCGGAACTTCGCGAGGCGCGTGTCAAAGCGGCCACTTGGAAATGTTGAAATGGGCGATGGCGAACGGTTGCATGGCGAACGAGACGACCACGAGCGAAGCGGCAGAGTATGGACAGTTGCAGTGCTTGATTTTCTTACGATCGCAAGGCGTCAACTGGGATTACCGCACGTGCAAGATGGCCATGAAGCACGGTCACCGCGACGTCTACGAGTACGCCGTGGAAAACGGGTGCCCGACGCAAGCGCCGGAACCGACGGCGACGCATCATCACCACCCACACCACCACCATTTCCACCATATCTTGGGCGGTGGTCCAGGGGGAGGTTTAGGAGGCGGTCCAGGCGCAAATGGCGGCGGTCCCGCCCCGGGAGGACACATGCAAATGTTGCAACAACAACAAGCCGCCGCCGCGATCGCCGCCGCGCAACAACAACAGCAAGAACAAGATGAAATGGAACTCGAGGAGTGGGAAGCAGAACTTCATTGATTGCGAGACTAAGTTAAGAGAGAGAGAGAACGCGGGTGAAAACTTGATTCTTTTTCTCTCGGAGAGATACAACCAAAGAGGAGGAATATTTAATTGAAAAACTCTTTACAACATAACACGAACACGAATAACACGACGACGACGATCAATAAAACAATGCATCGTTACCGAAGAAGCTCGTAAAAATAATAGAATACGCGAGATGTTCTCCACCACCGCCTCCGCCTCTTCGTTTCGTTTCCATCTTCCTCCTCGTCTTCCTCTTTCTCTTCGGGGGCGTTCCCCGCGTTTTTTATCCATTTCCAATTCGGAAGGAGGAGGAGGAGAAGAAGACAAACATCATGATTATCTGCGCCATCGATCGACCCCGGGCAGATACGAACGGACGAATTTGAAGCTCGAGCACGCGTGTTCGGACCATTACCCTCTGGATTTGTTTCGAGCGCAACTTTCGTTTGGTTTTAACGGTGGCAGTACCAAAAGCCTTTCAGGAGGGGAGTTGGGAACCAAAAGAGAACGAAATACGTCAGATGACGACGACGAGAATGTTGACGAGAATGTTGGAATCGAGATGTCCGTCATCCTCCCAGAGTCGGAAGAATTAGTGGCGAACGTATTCTCTGCTTTGGGAAAACCGGACGAGGATCCGCACTGGGCGGATGTGTGGCACGGCGGGATCGCGTTGAACGAATACTTGGTTTCGGACGAGAGCGGCGGCTCGTTAGTGCGAGGGAAGCGAGTGTTAGAGTTAGGTTGCGGCGTCGGGTTAACGGGTGTTTTGTGTGCGATGGAAGGAGCGAGGAAAGTGACCATGACGGATAGAGAGCCGTTCGCGTGTTATTGCGCGGCGGCGAGTGCGGTTGCGAATGGATTTGGCTCGGTGACGAAAGCGCTGGATGAAGACGCGAGCGTCGTAGACGGGTTGGCGCAGATGGATGTAGGTTTGTTAGAAGGTGTAGTCGATAGACGTAGCAGAAGTAGCCGAAAGTGTGAATGCATCGAGGCGAAGATTATGGATTGGTTCAAGTTGGATGAGTATCTCGTCAAAGAGCAGGATGATTTTGCGTACGACGTCGTCATCGCGTGCGATTGTTTGTATTGCGAAGAAGCCGTCGAAGCCGTGGCATCGATCGTATTTAAAGCCTTGTCGAGACGACAACAACACGGCGCCACGTCGTCGCCGTTTACGTTTCTCCTTGCCGATCCGCCGTCGCGATTCCCGCAAAACCACGAGAAGTTTCTCAAAATCATACGAGAGAAGAGCGGCGTGAAAGACGTAAAGAGGAAAGATACGCTGTTAGCAGTTCGGAATCCGTGTCAAGAGGATGAAGGCGAAATAATCGTCAAGATTTGCGAATATGCGTTCCGTTAGAACGTATGTCTGATGTATTTCTACATGCAATTTGTACTGCTGGTAGTATTATCTAGAATGTTAAGCGCTAAAATTTTAATTTATCATCTCGAAGTTTCGTACTCTTCCCTTCGGAGTCAATCATGTTCACGTCGTGCGCTTTGGCAATTTCCATAAACACTTCCATGGATAAATCAAACGAGTGCACAGCCGTCGTCCCTTTGACTTTATCAAAGTAGTGGTACGGAATCTTACTTCGACTCGGACGCCAATTCGAGAACCCGTACATGTCCACCGAGTCACACAGATTCAGCATGAACAACATGGCAAAGAAACCAGACATTGGTTTGCGCTTGTACGCACCTGGATGTTTCAGCTGCTCGACTGCTTTACCTTCCTTGACCAACTTTTCATTTTTTTCGCGGCGTTCCGCCGCGCGTCGTTGTTCGAGGACGTCTTTCAGCTGCAACCAAATACCGTAGCCTTTTACGGTGAAATCCGGCGAGGTCAACACCGGGACAACTGGAAGCTGTCCTTGCGCTTGCATCCGGAGGAGTTTCGGGTACAATTGATTTCTCAACGTGTGCAACACGGACTCATACATGACTAAGAACGCGTCGGTTTCTACAACCGGCGTTCTTTGCGTGATTTCTCGCGCCCAGTGAAAATTGATCATGTTAAACGTCGTCTTCGAGCCGACGTAATCGGTAAATCGACCGCCAACCGGGGCGTTGTTCATTCGTAAAACCGCATCGTGCGCGTCGATATCTTTCCCATGTCTCGAGGTGAGTAAAGCTCCACCGTTACCGACAACTGCACACGTCTTGTACCGCCACGACGGATCGCGAGGTGGTAACGCGTCGTAGAGGTGTTTTGTGATGCGAAATGTTAAACCACGCGTTCCGGGCGGTTTTGAGCGCAACGCTTCTTCCAAACCAGCGCCGGCGGTTTCAATTTTCATGTGTTGCTGTTGTTGTTGTTGCTGCTGCAATTCATCGCTACTATCACCACCAAGTCCGAATCCAACGTCGTCGCTTTCGTCAATCACCGTCTCGGCTTCAGCCGCTAAGGCTTCCACATCCGCATCCGCCGCGCCTTCGCCCCCCCCGCTATTTCTATGTCTCAACAACCTCCTCCGTCTTCTACTATTTGCCGTCGCCTCCATATCCGCCTCTCCAACGCTCTTCCAATTCGGCAAATCCTGCGCCATGCCGACTTGCGTCACCGCGTACACTCTTCTATAATAGTTCATCCCGTCCACTCTCGGCGTCGGATCGTACTTAAATATCCCTCGGTGCGTCAACAAAGGAACCGACCCGTTAAAATTCGCCTCCAAAGCCGTCCTCTCGCTCCCTGGTTGGTCCACATCGAATGGAAGCTTCGAAACGAGCCATCCTCGGGCGAGATGCGGCTTATTCCCCGTCGCCGCGGTTATCGTCGCGACCGGATCCTCGTTACGTTCCGCGCTCGTCGTCGTCGTCGTCGTCTCGCTACCGCTACTCCTATTCTCCTCCTCCGTCTCATCTAAATGCGCGTCCACCGTCGACTGCGGTAAATCGTGCGCAATCACCGCTTCTCGTTCGTGTTCGCCTTCTTCCTCTCTTCTTCTTTCGTTCCCGTGGTTTTCCTCCTCCTCCTCCTGAAACGTCGTGTGTTGATGAAACTGAGCAAAGTGCTTCACCTCGTCCAAAACATTTTTCTTCGTCTTCGAAATCGTCGTTTCAGAGAGAAAGCCGCCGAGTTTACGTCGAATTCGCACTCTGAACGTGATTGTCTTCTTCCCCGAGGAGTTTGAGGTGGTTTTGAGGCAGACGCCGACGAGAAAGACGAGGCACAGAACGACGACGAAAATGCGAAAATTGGTTCTCTTCTTTCCCCGCGAAGGAGGATGATGAAAGAAAGACGACCACCCGAAAGCTGATGACGACGTTTTGAGGTTCGCTTTTGGCGTCACCGCCATCTTTCGAGGAATGGGGTGACGTGATTTCCAAAGGTGTTTTTGTTCTTTTCGCGTTTTTGTCGTCGTCGGGAGGGGTGAGAATTTGTGAAGTAAAACGCAGGTGTGTGAAGCGAGAAAAGACGCGAGCGATGGTATATATGGTATATATATTCGCTATACGACGAGTGCATAACAGTCGGTGCTAGGCTAAAAAGGTAAGTCTCTCTCTCTCTCTCTACATTATTCGGTGATCACTTTCGTCCCCAACCCTTTGAAATCCCCTTTCTGGACGTCTTCGCACACCGTCACGTACGAGTACATCTCCTCGTCGGCGTCTTCGTTGTCGTTTCTTCGTCGAGAGATTTGGACGCGAATGCGCTTCGGGACGTTGCGAATGCCTTTGGACCAAACGGCTTTGTTTAATTTCACGTCCACGCGGACGTCGGACGTTTTCATCATCTTTTGCGCGAACGTTTTGATCTGTGTTTGGTAATACAAGAGGTGAAGGGAGTTTTGAGTCAGTTTTTGTTTAGGGTGTTTTGGGGTCTTGCACCGGAACACAATTTTCCCTCATCTCTCTCTCTCTCTCTCGGTCGCGTCGCCCGAAGAGCACGAACGAACGCGCACCACGCGCAAATACGCGACAAACGCGCAAATAAATACACCGCGTGTACGTTTCGCGCGTTTCGCGCGTCTCTCGCAAGTCGTAACAGGATCCATTTTTCGAGATTTCAAGTCTGTTTTTACGCAAAAATTTACGCGTCTACGAAAGGAAAAACAAAAGGAGCAAATTTGCGCGTAGAAGAAAAGCATTTTCGGAAATCACGCCGAACGAGCACGTACCGCTTTCACCGCGCGCGGAGCTCTCTTCTTAAAAGTCACTCCGTGCGTCGCTTTGCCCAAGTTGATGGTGTATTCTCTCGTGACGACGTCGTCGGCACCCATTATGTCTCTATGCGTTTCACGAGTTGTGGTTTTGTCTAAAAGTGGAGAAATTTCTCTTTGCTTTCTTTTCGGAGGTCTTTGTGTTAGGGTGTAGGGTTTAGTTGGGTTGCCTCTCGAACTTTACGCTTCGACTATCTATTCGCTATACTCGTCGTCTAAATCGTCGTCGTCGTCGCTACTGCTAAAGGCTAAAGCGCCGGCGGGGATGCTTTTCTTTGTCTTATTATTCTTCTTCTTCCCTTTGGGTGGGTTCTTCGCTTCTCCTCCTCCTCCGCCGAGGAAGCCGTTTTCTTCTTCTTCTTCGTCGTCGTCGCCCGACGCGTCGAGGTCGTTTTCTTCTTCGTCGTCGTTTTCTTCTTTGCGGCGGAGCTCTTCGGGCTCGACGAAACCTCGAGAGACGCGCATTGCCGTGGTGGTGCCGTCCGAGTCGATGGTGACGACGATGATGGATTCGTAGGGTGCGGTTTGTTCTTCTTCTTTTCCTTCTTCTTTTACATTTTCCTCGATGTTTCGTCGATGGTTTCGTTCATTTTCTTTCTCGTCTTCTTTCAAAGGCAGTTCCGCGGCGGTGCCTTTCTCCTCTTCCATCGCCAAAGCTATCAAACCCGCCTTCTCCTTCGCCTCCGGCTGCTCTTTCAAAGAAGGATCCGCTAACCTCTCCAAACCATCTCCGTTCGCCACCGCCTCTAAAAACGTCTCGTCGACGACGCCTCTGTTCAGCGCGAACGCGTACGCTTTCGTCTTCGCTCTCGCTCTTCGCTTCGCGCCGTTGCCGACGTTTCCGTCCCTCTTGTTCCTCGTTGTTGTGTTATTCTTTGTGTTTCTCTTCTTCGTTTCCTCCGGTTTCGGATTCGGTTCGCACATCAAACACAACAAAGGCGGTTGTTGTTGTTCATCTCGTCTGCGCTTTCCTTTTCCTCCTTCCTCCTCCTCCTCCTGCTCGCCGACAGTAAACATTTCACACCTCGGCGTGCACTCCAACCATAAACCTGATCGCATCAAACCTAAATACGCGCCGTATAAGTCGCTCGGCGTCGCCACCGCGCGTGAAAAGTCAATCTCATCCAACGACGAAACCGTTGTTGTCTTTGCGGTCGATGTGTTCACGAACGCACATCTCGAGATGAACTCGGGAAACGAGAGCAACGTTGTCGTCGCGTTCATATTCCGAGACGAGTGTTGTTTCCTTCTCCTTCGTTTCCTCCGCCTCTTTCTCCGAGCGTAGGCGAGATGTCACGACAACAACGGGTCGCGTGCCTTCTTTTCCGCGTTTCAAAGCAGCGCAGAAAGTGCCGCCGTGTCAACACTTTTCCCGGAGAAAAGATACGCTTTTTGCAGAAAAGGAAGCGAAAGAGGTCGCACACGACACGAATACGCATCATGCGCGAGAACAACAACACCACCACCGCGTCGCTCGCAGAACGAGTCAAACGCGCCATCCAATCGCGGAGAAAATTCATCGTCGAGAAGAAAAACGAGCTCGGGGAGAAATCCTTCCGGAGACTTCTCGAAACGGATTTACGCCTGAGCAAACGACAGTTGGACGAACCGACGGTGAAAGAGACCATCGGGAAACTGCTCCTCGAAGTGATTGAACGTGGAACGCTCGAGGAGGAGGACGATTTGGAGGAGGAGTCGGAGGAGGACGAGTATTCGGAGGAGGACGACGAAGACGACCAGGCAAAGGTGTTGGTAAAAAGGAAGCGAAAGAAGTCAGAGAAGCAACCAACTCGCGAGAGGAAGACGGAAACGGAAACGCCGAACGCGAAAGTTTCGAAACTTCGCAAACTGTGCAAAGATGCCGGAATTACGAAAGCGACGCACGTGTTCATGAAGTTTAAAACGAATTTGGAGCGAGAGGATGCGTTGGAGAAGTTGCTCGGGGAACGCGCGTTGGATATTCGCGCGACGGCGCGAGAGTTGGCGAAAGTCAAGGAGGACATCGAACGGGAAAAAGATCTGGAGGATATCGACGCGTCGAATATTATCGAAGGTGGGAGACGAAGGAACACGAGGACGCAGGTGAGTTATAAAGGTTTGGACGCGTCAGAGAGCGAGGAAGAGGAGGAAGAGGAGGAAGAGAGCGACGTGGAGATTGAGAGCGACTCGGACGAGGAACGGAAGAAGTTAAAGAAGAAGAAGAAGAAAGAGAAGAAGACTTTGAAGAAAAAGAGTAGCTCTGATAGTAATACGAACAACACTAGGCCCAAAAGTAACTTGAAAAAGACGCAGAAGAGTGCGTCGCCGAAGGCGTTCACCGCGGCGAGTTCGAGCGATGATGACGAATGATGACTGTGAGGTGCGCGCGCACGAGAGATATCAAATCTTTCTTAATATACAGCAACGGATAAAACTATATAAAGCATCTCTAACTACAAATTCTCTAATAACTACTTCGCCTCTTTTGTCTTTACCTTCTTCTTTTTCTCCTCTTTCTCCAATCGCTTCTTCTCCTTCAACTGCGCAATCTTTTCTTCGATGAATTTCCTCTTCAGCTTCTCTCTCGCTTCGACGGTTTCCATCTTCGCCTCTTCCCTCTCTCGCCTCGCCGCTTCCGTCTCTCTCGCCACGTCTTCAACCAACCGTCGCTCTTTCTCTCGCTTCTCCTCGTCTCTAAATTCTCGCGCTTCCCTTTCTTCGTCCTCTCTTCGCCGTTGCTCCCGAAATTCGTTCCGTTCTCGCTCTTCTTCGTCTTCGTCTTCGTCCTCTCTTCCCGCGTATCTGCGTCTCTCGTACGTGCTCCCAAAATCGTACTCGTACTCCTCCTTTTCCTTTTCCTCCAGTCGTTTCCGTCTGAAATCCATACAGTCGAATCCTTCTTTCGGTACTTTCATCGTCGTTCCTCCCAAATCGTCGTCTTTCGACAACTTTTCGTACAAACTCGCCTTCGTCTCCAACGTCGTTTTCTCTCTCTCCTCGTCTCTGACGTCTTTTAAATTCCGTTCACGAACGCCTTTATTCTCTTTCAATAATTCTCTCTTCTCTTTCGAAATTCGCTTCGTTGTTGGTCTTTTTCCTCTCGTCGTCGTTTCCGCTGTCGTTCCTCCCGCTGTTCCTGTCGTCGTTGAAGAAGGTTTACGAAACGCGGTTTCCGATTTCAATTTCGCCTTCTCCGCTTCTAAGAACACCAAAGAGGATTGGGTGATATTTTCGATCGGTTTCCGTTTCCGTGGGAGGAAAGAACCGGAAGCGAGCCATCCGAGGTTTTCGTTTTCGTTCGTCTTTTTGCGTTTCTGAGCAACGCTCTCGCTCGGAGCACTCGCGCGACTACTCATCAGTGTTAGTAGTATTCGGGGCGAAAGAATGGAGAAATGTGTTGACTTTTAATTGTATAAATAATCCTCACTTTTATATAACGCGCGAGAGAGAACGACCGGGTTCTCGTCGTCCTCTTCCTATTCCGCAAGGAAGCGAAGAATTATTATGTCGTTGTCTTCGTCGTTTCTTCCTCTCAAAATGATGTGCGTTCTCTTTCTTCTTTCTCTCTCCGTCTCTCTCGCAACGTACGAAGCGTTTCAACTGTTTTTAAAGCGGCACGTGTTGGGAATATTCTCCGTCCGTCTTTCGCTCTCAAACTTTCGCTTTCGGAGCGCAAACAGAGAGGCTCTTTATTCGAAATCGCGAAACGCACCCGTTCTTTACGTTCTCTCTCTTCCTCAAACTTCGCTCATGCGCTTTTTCTTCTCACGCAGTATATACGTCGTCCTGTCCGTGTGGATGATGCAAAAACTTGAGGTGACGGCTTCTCAAGAGACAAAAATTGCATTCGGAAGCTGCAACAAGCACCAAAAAATGAACGCGACTTCAATATGGACCTCGATCGAACGGACTAACCCGAACGCATTCATATGGCTCGGAGACGCGGTATACGCGGACACTCGGATTACGTTCGAGAAGAGGAAGTATTTTGGAGAGAAGTTCCACGCTGAAGCGTACGCGGCGGTGAAGCGGTTCCCGGCGTACGAGAGGCTGGCGAAGAAAGCGCGGATTTTAGGGACGTGGGACGACCACGATTACGGCATGAACAACGCGGGGAAACATTGGGAACACAAGGAAACGGCGAAAGAGTTGTTTTTAGATTTTTTGGACGAAGGGAAGGAGACGGAGCGACGGTTGGAAAGAGACGGGGTGTACGAGAGTTATTCCGTGTACGAGGACGACGAGGCGAAACGAGGCAGGGAGGTACAGATTCTATTGTTGGATACTCGGTGGAACTTCGTCGACGGATCGACGCCTGAAGATGGAGAAGCGGATATTTTAGGTCCAAAGCAATGGGAGTGGTTGGAAAAGGAGTTGATGAAACCGAGCAACGCGGAGGTGACGTTGATTGGGTCCTCGATACAAGTGTTCGCCGAGCTCAATCAGATGTATAAAGCGGTGAATTATAAAATCGCGAGAGAATTCGGGAAATCGATAGAGAATTGGGGTTCGTTTCCGTCGAATCAAAAGAGGTTAATGCGTCTCGTCTCCAAGGCAAAAGAGAGAAGGGTTATATTCTTATCCGGCGACGTGCACGTAGGGATGATTGACGTTCGAGCGCCCGGATGTCATTTACCGTACGAGAGCATAGACGCGACCAGTTCTGGAATCACGCACGTCGCGGTGGAAGAAGTCCGACCAAAATGGGTGACGTATTTTTACAAAAAGATGACGCCGTCGAAGTTCATGCCGAGATGGTGGTACCCGAAGAATATCGTTCCCGATATCTACATGGGGTTAAACTTTGGCGAAGTTTTAATACATTGGGATAAAAACAGCCTAGACGTGAACATCTTGGGCGAAAGCGGTGAAGTCGTCGTATCCAAGGAAGTCTTATTTTCCTCGCTCGAAGCGCCAAAAGGAGGAACGACGGCAGAGCAACCCACATACGAGGAATGTTTCCGCGAGCGTTCGATGTCCGATTTTCAAAAACAATGGACCTTTCACAAAGCGGCGTTTTTCATCGTGTTCCCGTGGATCGTAGTTTTGGGTTTCGGCCTTTGGGCGTGGTACGTACTCGTCGTAAAAACAATCTGTTGCAACCCGAATATAGGTCGACGAAAACGACGTTCGAAAATAGATTAAAAACAATGGCATGCGGTAGCAATACTAAATATTTGGATGTAGTAGCAATACTTCACTTTCATTTTGCAACGATACGATATATGATACACGTTACTAGTCATTTCTAATTTTTGTCTCTGCTATTTTAAAGCCTCGCGCTCACCTCTAAATCCTTCTTCAACTTCTTCACGTCCCCTCTCTTAATCTTCCAATCCCCACCACTGGTTTTCCCATCCGCACTTGGCGCTAAAAACCTCGGCACTTCTTTCGACGGATCCAAGTTATACGTCTCCCGAATCTCTCTCTGCGACATCCCCAATTTCGCCAAATACAAATCGTCAATCAACGTCTCCCCAGTCGTCCTCGCGTCTCCGCACAACTGCACCACGCAATCCGCCAATATGCTCGCTTTTCTCCACGTATCTCTTTCCCCTAACTTAAAATTCGTCGCCGCTAAACTTTCGATAATCGTCGCCGGCCACAACGCGTTCCCGGTAATATTCGATCCCTCGCCTTCCGCCGCCGCGCCGAGCGCGACCATGGACATCCCACATTTTGACATGTAATACGCCGTCTTCCCTGCATATTCCGTGTAACTCTTCGGTAACGGTGGTCCCATGCTCACGACTCTCCCCCACTTATTCTTCAGCATGTGTTTCATGCACTCTCTCGTCATGATAAACGCGCCTCTGGCGTTGATGCCGTTGATCAAATCATATTTGCTCGTCGGCGTGTCGATCATGTTTTGCCACCACAACGCGCTCGCGTTGTTCACTAATACATCTACTCTGCCGAAATGTTTCACCGTCTCTTCCACCGCTTTGACGCACGCGTCCGCGGATCGTAAATCCACCACCACGGGTAACGCTCGAACGTTTGGATATTTCGATTCGATTTCCGAGCAGACGGTGTAAATGGTTCCCGGTAAAGTCGGGTGCGCTTGGACGGTTTTCGCCGCGATGACGACGTGACATCCACGACTAGCTAACGCCAAAGCGACTTCGCGCCCGATACCTCGGGAGGCGCCGGTGATTATGGCCACTCTGTTCGTCAAGTCTGGGGCGGAGGGAAGTGGCATTTGAGGGAGAGATATTAAGTGACGTCGTCTCGTTATCCAAAACTCCTTTCAAGTCTTGTGAAAAATGGGAGAAAAATTGTACGTATCGCGCAAGATGTTTTGTATTTATCACACGGCATATTCCTACTAAAAACTCTCTCTCCAACAGCGTTCGTTATTATTATTCAGTCGTTTCCATCGGCGAGGACCCGGATGATGGTGATGATGATGCTCTGAGATTTTCGTCCTCTTCGCTGAGCGGCGACAAACCGCTCCCGCTCGTTCTCTTACGTAAAAGAGGCGAGACGGAAACGTTTTGACCGGCGGCGATTTGCGCGAACACGTGCGAGGATAACGCGTTGACGTCGATGGCGTTATCGGTGTTGTTCGTGGAGAGTTGAGTGAGAAGTTGTTGGAGTTGTTGCATGCTCAAACCGCCGGCGCCGTTGTTCGCTTTTTCGGCGTCGTCGGAGGAGGTGCTCGTGTTCAAACTCGCCGCCGCTTCTTCCGGGCGTAAATACGGGTGTCTGAGAATATCTGGAACCTCTATTCTATTCTCCACTCGCCGCTCTAAACATCGCTTCATTAAATCAATCAAGTGATCGTTTTTAACCGGTAACGGAGGGAATTCGATGGTATGGTTCGGGTCGGTGATTGCGTGGAGCTTTTGTACCAAGCCGTTTATTTTGCTAAACGGCGTGTGTCCGTATGCCATTTGGTATAAGATGCACCCTAACGACCAAATATCGCTGGCTCTTCCGACTGGAATCATATCGCCGTAGGCGGATTTTTGTCCGTTGAGAATAGCTTCCGGGGACATGTAATTGATGGTACCAACTTGATGGTCGCGAACGATGTTCGTGTGATTCGGCGCTTGGTTGTGATTGATAGCCTTCGCGATACCGAAATCGATAAGTTTCAGAGTTCCTTCGACGAAGAGAAAGTTAGCAGGTTTCAAATCCGAGTGCACGATTCGAGCTTCGTGTATAGTTTTCACCGCTTCGACCATTTGCTCGAAATAGAGACGCATGAAATTGTCGTCTACGAGTTGCGCGTGGCCGCTCTCCGCGCGTTGGCGCTCGCGCTTGTTCAACATTTTCGCTAAATCAATCTCCCCAAACTCCAAAACCACTAAGATTAACCCTTCGTTTGGACAGACTTCCGCGTCGACGATTTGAACGATGTTATCTTTCCCTCGAAGACGTTTCAAGAGTTTGATTTCATCGATGAAGCCATCCACGGTTTCCTTCTGCTTGCCTTGTAAACGAATCCTCTTCAACGCCATGATCTTCCTCTTTTGCGAGACGACTTTATATACCTTACACGTGCCGCCTTGGCCGATACACTCTAACTTGGCGTATCTCGCGCCATTCACGACTATATGTTGATCGTCTTCCCGCTTTAACGGCTGTTTGGAAGATGATGATGTTGGTTGCTTCTTGCTCACCGGCGCTTGCGCGTTCGATGTTGGATGCGCCGCCGAGGAGCTCGATTCATTCTTATTCTTACTACTATTACCTTCTGCTGCTGCTGTTAGTGTTGTTGCCATGACCGGTCGCGTGACCGTAGTTGTCGTCGTGGCTGATTTTTTGCTCGATTCTAATGCCGCCGCTAGTCGCGCGCGCAAACTTTCTGTTTTCTGAGCCGTGAGCGGATTATTATTATTATTGTTGTTGGTGGTGGTGATGGTAGGCGTCGCATGCGCGTGATTATTCCCCACTGTTGCTACCGTTGTGACCGTATTGCCAGCATTGGTGCGGTCGCCGCTCAAACTCGAACTCGTGGTGGATGTGTGATGATGCGTCGGTTGCGTCATCGTCGGTTGCTGAGAAGTCAAACACCCCGTGGTGGTGTTCATCAGCGTCGGATCGTGCACGTACCCACTCTGTCGCCGTCTCGCCGCGGTGTGCGACACCATCGGTTTCGAGTCAAACGTCAACGGTTTCATCGCCGACGGTGGTTTCTTCATCGCGCTCGTGGTATTGTTGCTCATCATTCTCGCCCCGCCGTGCAACGTCGCCGTTCTTCCGCCTTCCGTCACGTCTCTCACGTAGGGCGACGGAATCGCCGTCGTAAAATCAATATTCTTCCCTTGCACGTCTTCCAGCATAATCTCCAACGCCTCTTTCGGTTCACAATTCGCTTCTAACCCTTTCTTCAAGATTTTAATCGCTTTCTCGTCGCCTTTCAATTGCCCGCCAAACGCCGCCCACTCGCACCAAAAAATCGCGTGCGTCTGCCCGATGCCTTGCGACTTCAAAAACTTAAACGTATCTCTCGCGTCGTCCGTGTTGTGAACCATTTGTTGTCTCGCGTAACCTAAATACACTCTCAAATAATCTTCGTTCTTCGCGTTCCCACTTCTCGGCAGCGTTTTCGTCGCCAACTCGTACAACCGATACAGCGATACGCCGTTTCTCGATCCGGTCACCACGTTTACTTTCCCAGTCATTTTCTCCGCAAACATGCCTTCCTCCCCCTCTAAAAACTCCAACCACGCTTGCGGTGACGTCGGGTTCGCTCTCACCGCCGTCGCTCTTTCCACGCGACTCGATTTCTCTCTCCACGGCGTATCGCCTTTATGTTTCAAATACTCGCCTAAAACGCCTTCCCACGAGCCTCGGTCGCGCGAGGAGCGCACGTTGGTCGTGATGGTTTGCGTCATGTTTTCCCGCTGTCCTTGAGCGTTGTTCAAAGAGATGGTCGCAGTAGTAGAAGAACCACCACCGATTACTTTTGGAACGTAGTCGGATAAACCTTTATCTTTCTCGTCGTTCGTAGTATTCTTCGTTGTATTGGTCTCTTCTTCTTTGAAACTCTTCCCAACAAAATTCTCCTTGTTGTTGGTGGTGTTGTTCTCGTTGGTCGTGAACAAAGTTTGATTCTTTCGATCGTCGTAAACGCGACGATCGCGGTGACTGCTCATCGAGAAGAATCACACGTTCGTTGCGTGTATATTTGTAACGAAAAGAAGCGCGTTTTAAAAGAGCTTCTCGACCAAATCAATCCACACGGACGCACAAACAAACGGTTCCAAAACGCTTTCAAAAATGAGATATATCCTTTTCACACAAAACACATGCACTGCTCTCCGACAAACAACAACAACAACACTACTAAACCTTTCTCTCTCTCTCTTCAAAAAAGGAATACTATACCAGCACTGAATGCGAAAGAGGGAAATGTGCGTTTAGAATACTATATGCGCGCGCTTTAGAGAGAATGTGCGGTCTGAGAAAGATTTAAAAATTTTTCTTTTCCCCCTCTTGCGCGTCAAAGGAGCGGAGGCACAAAAAAATGCATTTAGGGTCACAGTCATTTTTTTTTTTGGTCTCGATTGCCCAAAAATTTTTTTTGGTCTTCCGAAGGTCCGCCACTTTGGAAAAAAGAAGCAAAAAGAAGACATGAGACGAGCACTGTGAATCAGCTTTTGTCTTTGTTGTTGTTCTCGCGCGAAGAGGAGAGACAAAGTTTATAAAAGGCTTCGGTGAAAGAAAGGGAGCGGAGTTTTTGTTGTTGTTGACACGCTTTATTGAGAGGACAATTTACCTTTTGCGCTTTAAAGCAGATATTCCTCTTCTCTTTTTTCTTCGCTGTTTTTAGGAAATGATGATTACGACGACGACGGCGTTGACGAAAGCGCTTCTTTCTCTTTGTCTTCTTTTACACGTCTTCTCTGTTGAAGTCGAGGCGATTCGACCGATGACGACGGAAAGGATGCCGTCATCACCACCCAAAAACAAGTATAAAACGAACGAGGAGTTACGCGACGCGTTCGATGCAATCGCGAAGAACTGCGTGGAGACGTCCCAGGGGAAACGGCACGGAGAGGTGATTCCAATCGGCAGTTCGGTCAACGGGTTCGAGATATTCGCGATGCGAGTGAGGAACTTATACGATGACCACCGAGACAAGAGCAATAACGGAGAGAGGACGACGAGCGAAAATGAAGAGGATGACGACGTTTTGAACGCACAAACGACGCCTTCGTTTGGATTCATCGGGAATATGCACGGCGACGAACCAGTCGGGAGAGAAATAACGTTGCGCTTAGCGGAGTGGGCGTGCGGAGAGGACGACAATCATCGCGAGAACGAGGAATCCTCCTCGTTTTTTGGGAACGATATCGAGAAAGCGAGTAAAGTGAAAACGAAAGCGACGTTGTATTTCATCCCGACGTTGAACCCGGACGGGTTTGCCAAACGGAGACGAGAGAACGCGAACAATATCGATTTGAACAGAGATTTTCCGTTTATCGAATTCGCGAAACCGGAACCGAGGAGAGTGCCGCATCACGTGAAGATGGGGGCGCCTCACGTGCAAAATAGGAGGGTGAATGATTTATACGACAATACCTTGAGGCAGTTACAACCGGAAACGCGGTCGATTATTGAGTTCAGCAAACGAGTTAATTTGACCGGCGCGTTGAATTATCACGAAGGCGCGTTGGTCGCGAATTATCCCTGGGACGGGAATCTCGATGGATCCACGAAGTACTCGCGAGCGCCGGACGACAAGATTTTCAAACGCGCGGCCTCGTTGTACGCGCAATCGCACGGTGAAATGAAAGAGTCCAAAGAGTTTGTCGGAGGCGTGACGAACGGCGCGCAGTGGTACCCGTTGTGGGGCGGCATGCAAGATTGGCACTACGTCAAGACGCAAACTTTAGACATTACGATTGAAGTGAACGATCGCAAATGGCCTTTGGAGGATGAAAGACTCGGGGAGATTATCCGCGCGCACTGTCGAGCGTCTATTGATACCGCACACGACGTCATGTTTGTTTCCGCTCGCGGGTTTGTGTTCGATAAGAGTTCGAACGAAGCGTTGGAGAAGTGCGAAGTGCGCGTCGAAAATTTAGATTTCGATCGACAACTTCGCAACGATGGGCAAACGAATAAACCACCGCTGCCGGTGTTTACGAATAAGAGAGGATATTTTGTGAAACCAGTTTTTATTGCTGGCGAGACGAGCGGAGGTACGACGAACACGTTTGAAATTATGGTGACGTGTCCGGACGCGTCGCAGACGCATCGGCAAAAGATTACCGACGTGGACGTCTCAAATGGCGTCGATTTGGTCGTTCGCATCTTAACTTCAAACAGTAAAAAGACCGTAGACGTGAAGCAAATGGCTGCTTTGAGAGCTTCTTCTTCTTCTTCTTCTTCTCCTTCTTCTTCATCATTCCACGGTGGGGCGCGCTCGCAGCGCGGCGGCGCCACTCGAATATCGCCAAAGAGTAAGAAAAGTAAATACATCCTATTTTGCGTAACGTTAACTATTATCGTTATTCTCGTTCGCCGCCAACGCCGTCGACGTGCTAAATTGAACGCAGTGAGGAAACTAGAAACGAACGGGCAAACGTTTTTGAATTCGCCCGTACCGAAAGCGAGTAGTTTGATATCTTAGAGATTGTAGAAGTAGTAAACGCGTTGAATATATTAATAATACAGTAGTAGTAAACATATAGCATTAAAATAAAAACAGGCTCTATCTTTAAGCGTCCTCTGTCGTTCTCCACCGCGTGCGCGCACACATTTGAAAATACAATTAAAATACAGGATATGTCGCCGCGCGCGCTCGAGAGCGTGGTGAGCCTTCTTCGTCCGTTCGTTCTTTGATTTTTTTTTTCGTTTTCTTCTTCGTTTTCGTCGAACATGTATATACCTGAGAGCAGCAGTCGCATTCTTTATTGAATCATCGCGGGATAACTCCCGTGTCTCTTCAAATCGTGCACGTCGATGACTTCTCCGATCATATCAGAAAAGGACTCCACGCGGAAGACGTTGCCGCACATTTGCCCGGACGAGTTCACTCTCGGAATCGATCTCACCGGCATCGTCCCGTACTTCCTGAAGCCTCTCATGGCAGTCTCTCCAGACTTTGTCGGTCCACACGCGACGCCTTTCTCCCCGGGAACCCACCCAATTGTCCCTTCCGCGACGAACACCGCCCCTTTGGGAAACGGACTCGACGCCGGGAAACACTCGGAAAACAACTCGTTCTTCTCCTCGGTCGAAACGAACAAACAATCGCCTTTTTCTCCATCCGGCGCTAACCCCCAATACAATGGCATTGGATTCCTCGTCGAATCTCTCGCCACGATTAACCTGTGCGCCTTCTTATCGTAAATCACAAACGCGAAGCCTCGCTTCCCTTCCGCTTCGTTCGCCTCGGCGAGTTGCTCCAACTTCGACGCGATGAAGTCCGTGTTCAGCGCCGGATCGCACTTGTGCGTTCTCCTTTCGTGTAAGCGAAAATTGTTCGACCAGCGGTAGAAATCGAGCATACGTTGCGCGTTGGAGACTTGCGCGTACGCGTCCACGTGTTCGCCTCTGTTTTTTATATTGTTCGGAGAAGTATATGTAAGTATTTTTAAACTCTCTTCAAAAGTGGTGTTGTTTTGGCGTTTTCAGGGACACAAAATGAAGATATTTTCACACCATCTGTGCACCTCTTTTCCGCGCGCGCGAACATTACAAACGAAGAAGACAAAGAAGAACAAAAAGAAGAACAAAAACGAACCTGACGAAGGCCGAGTGCATGTCGTCCAACGTGTGCAAATTCGGCACGCAAAAGTCCCCGCAGAACATCACCGTCACCTCGTCGTCCGAAACCGCCGAGATGGCGTGTTCGGTGCTCACCCAGGTGGCAAAAGCACCCAAACCGAACGTTTCGTACGTCCTCGTCGCCTCTTTAAACGCGTCTGATTTAGAAACGCGTCGCAGGCGAAGTTCGCGTTTCGCCCGGAGCAGTTTGACGCGTTTCGCGTGTTCCGCGATCGTAAATATTCGCGCTTTATTCGAAGAGTCGTGGCTTAACTCTTTCGGGTTGCACACCGACGAGGCTTCGTCCAGGCACATGAAAAACGAACCTTTCCCGATGGATGCGTTCGAGGGAGACTTTGGTTCTCGTTGATATTTTCTCGCGTTTTCTTGGTGACTGCCGCCGCAGAATGTGTTTATGAATCTTTGCATGTTTGTTTGTTTGTTTCGTTCGTTCGTTCGTTCGTTCGTTCGCGCGTCTCTCTCTCTTAAAACGAGGGATCTGTGTTGACCTAATTCAGATATTTTCTGTAAATGCCAGCTCAGCAAAAACACAAAAAAACAAAAGTTTAGGGTTCTAAAATAGGGTTTGAAACCCTAAGCAAAAAAAAATTGTCTCTCTCTCTGCCACGAGCGAAAAAAGAACAAAGCGCGGCCTCTTTTCCTGCACATTTTTGTTCGGAAAGGACGCGCGAGAGCTTTGTGTAGAGTACGCACACGCCTACATCGCATCCTTCGACAAACGCACAACAAAAAGATGTTCTCTCGTAAAGGCACCGGTGGTACTACTACTGGTCCCACGAGCAGCAGTAAACTCGTGATGAAATCCAAAGGATGGAAAGCGGACAAGTACGAATTCCAGGTGACTGTTCGCTCGGTGTACAATCTCCTCCCCGGCACGAAACGAACGCAATTGCTCGTCAAACGAGGCTCGAAAGTTGCGAAGACACAAATCGTGGACGCGTCGAACGGCGAGTGCGACTTCAACGACGAAGTGTTGAGTATTTCCACCTCTCTGTTCGTCAATCCGAGAACGGGAGAGTACGAGAGTAAACCGATGTTGCTCACCGTGAAGGAAATCATGTCCAAGACGAAAACGCGAGTGTACGCGGAAAGCAAAATCGATCTGATGGATTTTTGCCTCCAACCAGGGAAGGAAATCACGAAGACGGTCCCTTTAAAAACCGGGAAAGGAGAGAAGACGGTGCAACTGACGCACGTGCAATTTTCGGTGCGAGCGATACCGGTGGCGGAAGGGGTGGCGTTTTCGGAAATTTCGAGCGACGCGTCGATCGCGAATTTGAGCGATTTTGACGAAGACGACGTCGCGGAAGGAAGGAAGAAAAAGAGACGAGAGCAAGACATTAACGCGGAACTGGAATCTGTCCTCGAAGAAGAAGAATTTGAAGAAAGTTTTGTGCCGTCGGTTTCGGAGGATCTGTCGCCGCCGCAGAGAGGGTCGGATCCGACGGCGTCCTCGGACGTCGGCGGAGCGCGAGCGTACTCGACGGCGAAGAAGAGGTCGAAGAAAGCGAACGTTTCGTACGGTGATGATGATGATGATGATGATGATGACTACCAGGAAGATAAAGAATCTATGTATTCCAGCGAAGATGATGTTCGTGTAAACAGTGATGAGAATAATAAAATTCAAACCGGAGCGCTCGGATACGATTACAACGCCGACAGCGCTTTTGTGTACAGAGGCGAAGGTCAAAACAACGAAATCCAACAAGCGCCAATGCAAGGACAGTTACGTTTTGAAAACGTCGACGGCGGCGTGGAAGCGACAGATACGTTGGTTCCGGGTAACCGCTCGTTGCGATTGATGGTGAACAGAAACTGTAAAATTAACGTCCGAGTTATCGATCGATTCGGCAATCCGCGCGCCCGAGGAGGGGACGATGTCGAAGCGGTCGTCGTGCACACGGAAACGAACGAACGTGCGAGCTGTAAAGTAACCGATCATGGTGATGGGTCGTATTTGCTCGACTTTTCCTGCCCTTCCGCGGGTGTATGGATGCTTCGATGCGCATACAACGGACGTTTGAGCAACGAAGTGCACAAACTCGTTGTCTCACACGGACCGTTGACGGCGACAGATTTGATTTTGGATTTGCCGCAAGGTACGCAGCCGTGTGGTGGATATGCCCCTGTTCGCGTGCGCATTGCTCGACCGGAAGATGGACGCCAGTTTTCCGGTGCGGAAGGGTTCCAAGTGAAACTCACGGCCCCGTCGGGCGTTTCCGTCGGCATTCCCATCGAGTGTCAACCAGGGTCGATTGAAGCCGTTGGAACCATCTGCTGGCCAGAAGTTGGCGAAAATTGGGTTTCGGTTACGTTAGACGGTCGTTCGTTACCTGGTGCGCCGCATGCGGTACAAGTTGCCCCGGAGGTTGCGTGCTTGGCCGCCTCGCAAATCACCGGCCCGGGCGCGCACAAGTGCATCGCCGGCGAACGAGCCACGTTCATCATCGAAACGAGAGATCAAAGAGGCAACCGCTTACGAGAAGGCGGGTTTGACTTGGAGGTCTCCCTCAAGTGTAAAACAAAAGCTGGAAACGACGAGCGATTCCGAGGCGAGATTATTGATTTCGGGAACGGTTCCTACGAAGCGTCGTACGTGTGCAAAGTAGCTGGAAATTTCGAACTCGTCGTTGCTTTAGGCGAAGAAGAATTAAACATGAAAGCTATTTGCGAACCAAATGTGGCGGTGATTCAATCGTGCGTCTTACTCGGGGACTCGAATCTCGATTTAATCGTCGGTAAAGAAGGTCGAGTGACTATTCAAAGAAGAGACGCGTACGGGAACGATTGCCCTTCGAGGCAAGGTCAATTGGCGTTTCGGTGTACCATCGACGGCCCAGGTTTAGCGAAATGCGACGTCATCGACGGTTCTTACGGTCGATCAGACGTCGTTGTCAAGTGTACGATTATCGGTCGATACTTTGTCTCCGTTTCGGGAGGTGAACACATGGATTCGTTACCGGGCGCGCCTTTTGAAATTGTCGTCACGCCAAGCATTGCCGCGGGATCTGCGTGCGTAACTTCAATTTATGGTGCACAACTCGCCTCTCCCGACAGCGACGCCTTAGTCGCCGTTGCGGGCGATGAAGTCATCGCGAACGTTTCCCCGAAAGATATCTACGGCAACGCGACGTCGTTTACGAGCGATCAGTCGATTTTTTTCACCGCCGTCATGGACGACGAAGAGTACCACTTTGAAAATCGCGGAGGTCCCAGAGCTGAAGCTACCTTATCGGCGAGTTTTCAAACCGCAGGTTCGTACTTGCTTTCTGCCGATGCTGCCGAGGAACCGTTAGCCGGGTACCCGCGCATTCTTATTGTGGTTCCGGGAGCAACAGATCCGAGTAAGTGCATGGTATTTGGCGAAGCGGCCGCTGGCGTTCGCGTCGGACGACCGAGCCATCTCACCATTCACGCCGCGGATAAGTTTGGCAACTTGAGAGCTACTGGTGGCGACGTGTTAGACATGACTTTAGTTTCGCCGGATGGACGATCTGTCGTGACGGCGAAAGTTGTAGACCATTCCGACGGCACGTATGGGTGCGAATTCAAACTGGACCAACCGGGAATGTGGGATTGTCAATTAGTCGTCAATGGCCAAACTGGTCGTTCGGACGTTCAATCGATTTTAGCAGAATACGGTCCAGTTATAGCGCAAGAATGTTCGTTCGTTGGACTCGGCTCGGATAATTTAGGTGGCGTCGTTTGCTTCGAAAACGGCACGATTACGATTTACCCGAACCATGCCGGCAACGGAACCGTGAACGATACTTCAGTCGGTCGCAGATTTAACGGCACGGAAGCTATGACTACTCGAATTCTGTTACCATCTGGTGAAGTTGCCGAGGTGAAATTGACGTTCGAGAACGGCGTGTATACCGGCACGTACCGCTGGACGCAAGTCGGCATGCACACGATTTCGGTCAATTTAAGCCAAGAAGCTATCATCGGGTCGCCATATAACGTCGAAATCCTCCTGTCGTTGCCGCAAATTCCCGAGAACCTCTCTGCCAGAGAGATTGCGGACATGTTACCGAACCTTCTTCCGGAAGGCGCCGCGCAAGCGCTTTCGAACTTGTCTCCGAAGGACGCCGCGGACGCCATCCAAGGCCAAGACGTGGAAAACGTCGCGAGAATGTTGAGTGGCGTCATGCCTGGAACTTGCGCTGAAATTCTCTCCGAACTTCCTCCGAAAGATGCAGCGGATATTTTAGGTGCTATGCGTGACCCAACAGACGTTCTCCTCGCTATGAGTACGGAAGACTTGGCAAAAATCTTAGCCAGCGCGGATCCGGAAGACAACGCCAAATTCCTCGACGCTTTGAAGCAATTAAGCCCGGGAGATTTAGGACCGCTTTTAAAAAACTTAGACCGTGGGAACTTGGAGAAGCTATGCGAAGACATCGATATCGCCGATGTCGTCGGAAAATGTAAAGATAAAAAGGATAAAGCTGGTATTCTAGCACGATTACCGCCGAGGCTCGTACCAAAAGCCATGCGAACTCTGGACGTGAAAGAGCGCGCGGAAATGTTAGAGATGATTGAAACTATGCGCAGAGAAGCTGGATTTAGCGAGTCTACGAGTGGAGACGGTTGGAACTGGATCGATTTAATTGCCGGGTGTTCCAACGCTTGGCTTTCGGATCCTTCCTTGCCGGCCCACGAACGACAAACTAGACGACAAAACGCTTTAGAACGCTTAGAAAATTTAGCGCCGGTGATGATAGACATATCCTGTAAAGGCGGATGTGCGCTGTATGAAGCTGGCTTTGACGATGCCGACGGCGAAGACGTCGCAGTTGTCGTATATGCCTTACTTTTAGCGGACGATACCGGGGGGGTCATGCAAACCAAAGACGAGACGAACTCGAATCACGCGTTGAGTTTTTTCCGATGCTGTCGAGAAGATCAACGCATCGTGGCGTTGCCCTTCTTATTGGATAACAAATCCTTTGGTCGATTAGCGTTGGAAATGACACCGGAAGAGCTCGCAGATTTGCTCAAAGATCAAGATTCATCGACCGTCGAACGCGCCTTTTGCCAAGTGTGCAAGCATAAAGGTCACGAGCTGGCGGCGAATGCGGCCAACTTGTTAGACCCGGTGCTGGCTGCAGAAGCCATTTCGATTTCTTTACAACCCGATAGTAACTGCGACTTGTCCGGAATGTTCCAGTTTTTGATTGCAGAGATTTTGGCGCTCATCGACCCTTTGGAAGCTTTGGGTAAAGCTTGCGAAGGTTTGATGAACGCACACGATATTTTGGGAAAGCTTTCTCCGGAGGACGCGTGTCGCGCGTTGCGCGGCATGTCGCCGGATGAGGTGACTAAAATGTTACGTAATCTTAAAGGTGGCGATTTGGACTCTGAATCGTCATTGGCTAACGCCGTCGCTTTATATGCGGCTGGTTTATCTCCGGAAGCTGCGGCAGCTTTGATCGAAGACATCGATCCAAACTTTGCTATTTCCTTCGTTTCTTTGATGCCGGAGCAAATGATTCAAAACATAATGAAGCACTTGAAAAGACGCGACTTGAAAGATCGCATCTTGAACCGCTCGACATTATGCTTACCGCAATGCACGGTGAAGTTTGCTGAATATCAATGCATTGCGGGCATTCCGGCGAAGATTGTCATCGAAGCGAGAGAAAAGGGCGGTTCGCGCATCCCCCACGGCGGCGCGCAACTCTCCGTTTTCACGCGACCGGCTGATTCAAAGCTCGCGTCCCAAATGGAACCCATCGAAGGTGAGATTAAAGACAGAGGTAATGGTGATTACGAAATCATTTACGTTTCCAAAACCGCTGGTCCGATTGAAGTTGTTGTCCTCGGCAACTCCGAAGAGGCCATTTACGATTCCACGTGCTATGCCGGTGACTGCGACGTGCTCAAATCTACTCTTGATAAGTCAGGGTTAGACGAGTGGAAAGCCGGCGAAGGCGGGCTGTTGCGCTTGCAGCTCGTTGACGCCTACGGTAACAAAATCGACGCGAACGATTGCGTCTTGGACTTCAAGGTTCGTTGCGTCGGCCCCGGGACGGTCAAGGCGAGCAACAAACGTTTGCCGATGCCGGATGGTCGAATCGAGTTTGAACTCGAAACGAACACCACCGGAGTGTATACCATCACTGTTTCGTGCGTGGATACGAATGAAATCATTCCCACGACTCCCTTTGAAGCGGCAATGGTGACTGGAAAACTCTCGCACGCCGGTTGTAAAGCCGTGTTGCAAACCTTGACATCTTCGACGAAAGGCTTCAAATTGGACAACGGATTCAACGGCGCGAAAGGAGATAAGAGTAAAAAGTCTCCGCTCGTTTGCGCCGCAATGGCTGGTGAAGAAGTCACCGCACTGGTTGATGCGTGCGATCGATACGGGAACCCAACTGTCTTCAAAGGCGAAACGGTGACGGTATCTGCATCCGGTCCGGCGCATTTACCTCAAGAAAGAGCGTTTGAAGTCGCGGACATGCGCGGCGGTCGCGTCATTTTGCGAACGATTTGCCCGAGAGCTGGAAGCTACGTCGTCCACGTTGCCGTCGATGGTATTCCCATCGCCGCATCTCCGTTGGCATTGCATGTGTTCCCTGGACCGTGCGTGACTGGACGAGCGACGTTGCGTGGGGATGCGTTAGCCGGCGTCTTGGCCGGCCACGTCTCCAGGCTTACGGTGCAAACCGAAGACAAGTATGGGAACAATTGTCACGGGGGTGGCGATCGCGTCGATTTGAGCATTATTTCTTCGGGTGGGAACAAATCGACGTGTTTGGACGTCCACGACCACGGCGATGGTTCGTACACAGCGGAGTTTGTAGTCCCCACGGCGGGGAGGTACACGTGTTCTGCGGTAATCAACGGGAAAGTCGCGAAAGAATCCACGGTCGAATTGATTGCTACTTACGGTCCAGTTTCAGCATCTGGGTGTATTTTACGCGCTGCACCGGGTGTGGAGCATTCGAAACATGTCGATCGCGTCGCCGGGTTGATTGGCGCGGGGAATAATAACGACAACGTCGTTATTGATACGTGCGGCTCGTTGCGAGACATTTACGTCCAGTCTTTGGAATTTGAAGCGACTGGGAGAGGCATGTCTGGGAAAGAAGCGTGTTCCGTGCATTTAATCGCCCCTTCTGGTGCTTCGCACACGTTGGCCGTTTCTTTTGCCGAGAGAGGCGCTCGCTACAAAGCCTCCGCGAGGTGGTGGGAAGTTGGGCGTCACGAAATCGTAGCTACGATTAATGGTGAGCCCATCGTCGGATCGCCGCTAATTGTCGACGTCGAAGCGCAGAACTTGAGCTTGCCAATGTGCCGTCTCTCCGGTCCGGGTCTGCAAGGTGCAGTTGCCGGTGAGAAGGCGACGATTTTGATCGAGGCGAGAGACGCGAGAGGCAACCGATTATTCACCGGAGGCGCTTTATTAGGTTTGGCCATCCGAAGTGGTGGCGATACCACGAGAGGTAAAGTATTCGATTTAGGCGACGGGACTTACGAGGCAGCATACGTCGTCGAACGTGCCGGTCCGTTTGAACTGTCGCTCTTCCTCGGTTCAGAAGCAGCAACTTTTCGCGCGAATTGCGTTCCGGGGAGAGTCGATTACGCCAAGTGCCGAGTGGATGGCGCTACGCACACGAGATGGATTGCTGGGCAACAACTTGCGTTTACGGTTACGCGTGTCGATCGATTTGGTAACAGGGTCCCGCGACGTGAAGGTTTAGCGCCTTTGTATGGCTACGGCGTTGGACCGAACAACGCCGAAGTGGCTGTGGAGTCCTTAGAACTTGGTAACGGCACCTGTGAAATCAGATACACGGCGACGGTTGCTGGAACGTACAACTTGGGCGTGTACGTCGCCGATGCGCCTTTACTGCCATTCATGAACGAAGAAGCGGAAGAGTTGATGCATTACGGACGCACAGAAGGCAAAACGAAAGCCTTGCCGGGCGTTGAAAGTCACGAAGGTGAGGACGTTTATTCCAAAGCCGAAAGACAAAAACGCATCGAGGCGAAAACGACCGAGTACGATGAACACGCGAAAACAATCATCGATGACAAGGGTAAAACCAGGCGCATTTTAATCGCAAACAAAGCTTTAGAAAGAGACGACGCGTTAGCAGGCGCCGTGAAATCTGCGCAAAAGAAAGGTTACGATGAGCGCAACTCTAAAATCACCTTCGAAGAGCGCACGGCGGTAGCTATTGCTGGCGGCCAATCCATCAGCGAGTTGCCAAAATCGTTGCAAAAAGTCAACGCCGCGGATGGTACGATGCTCTTCCCTTTACCGAGAGGCGTATTCGAAATCCCGTTGGTCGCCGCGGTTGCGGAACCTCAGAATTGCGACTTGATCGTCGTTGGCGCGCGTCAGCGTAATGGCGACGATTACGACACAAACGGTGGCTCTAAAGCGTCTTGGGTTGCACCAGCGGGAGAAAACGTTCTCGTTTGCGTCACTGCGAGGGATCGATTCGGCAACGACACGTCCTGGGAGGAAGGCCAGGTGATTCAAGTGCAAGCTCAAGGTCCGGAATTCTTCGCTTTTGATGTCACGGGGGCAACGTCGCGTCAAACCGATTTCACGTCAAAAATGACTCGAGCTGGTACGTTCGAGCTGCGAGTCTTGTGCGACGGTTTACCGGTATGTTGGAGAGTTGTCCAAATCATCGCTGGACCGACGCACCCGGATCGATGTTTCTTATCTATGGAAGGTTTGAAAGACGTGAAAACGGGCGATTTAGTTCGATTAACGTTAAGAGCGGTGGATCAATACGCCAACTTGAGAGTACAAGGCGGAGATGATGTGCAATTGGCGCTCGAAGGTCCGAACGGCGCTTACGCTCGTGGTGCTTCCGTGGTCGACCATGGCGACGGCACGTACGCTCTCGAGTTCGGTGTCACCGTCGCCGGTCGTTGGATTTTATCCGTCCGTATCAACGGCCAACCATTGATTGAAGGCGGCATCGCCTTCCACGTCGCTTTTGGTACGTTGACCGCGGAAGAGGCCGATATTACGCTGAACCCAGCGCTTGACGCGCGAGGCGCGGCAGAGTGCGGGACGACGACGGATTTAATCATCGTTGGCGCCGGTTTCGAAGTTAACAAACGCTTAATGACTGGTTTAGAAGCGATTTCGGTTGTTTTAACTTTACCGTCAGGCGTCTCCGAGTCGCTCCGCTGTACGCTCGCGAAAGATATGACTCGATACGTGGCCAAAATTCGTTGGCTTCATCCGGGTGTTCATCACATTGCGGTTTTGATCAATGGGATTCGCGTTCCGAAAACTCCCATTCGCGTCATCGCCGAAGGTCGGGAAATTTCCTTGTCCGCCTGCGTTGTCTCTGGCGAAGGTGCGACGAGGTGCATCGCCGGCGAACCAGCTAAGTTTCGACTCCACGCGAGAGATTACGGTGGGAATCCGATTAACTTTGGCGCAGCAGAGAAGATTCACGTCGAAGCGAGGTGCCCGGGAGAAAGTCCGATCGCCGCTTCATTCCTGAATAATCAAGACGGGACGTACGATTTCGAGTATGTGTGCACGAAAGCTGGTAAAGTTGATTTGTTCATCGCGTTGCAGACAAAAAATCCGAGCAGTCGCACTTTAAACTGCGTATGCGAAGCGTCGTGGTGCGAACCGTCCGAATGTCGCGTGGACGCCTCCAAAATGCTCGTGCAATGGCTCGCCGGTGAACCCGGCATCGTTCGCGTTCAACGTCGCGATCGGTACGGAAATCCGACGAGACGAAGCGCGAAAAACGGGTTGAACCGATTCGCCGCGGAAGTTGTAGGCCCCGCCGTCGTGGATTGCGAAGCGTTAGAGTTAGGCGACGGAACGTGCGAGTTGCGCTTGAGAGCGGCGGCATCCGGCGTGTACGAAATCGACGTTCTTGCGGTTGCCATCGATGCTACGAATATCGTCGACGACATCGCCGGTGGTGGTGCCATCTTAGGAGAAGCCGATCCAGAACTCGTTGCGACGTTCGTCGCGGAGTGCGAGTCTACTCAAACCTTCCCGGCGGCATGCGTCGCGAGAATCGCGCTACAAATCGATCCTCTCGATGAATCAGCCGGTGAAGAGCGCTTGGGCGAGCACGACTCCGATGCCTCCTTACCGGCCACAATCGTTGCCGGCGACAAAGTCAACGTCTACGTCTTGCCTCGAGATGCGCACGGGAACAAAACGCAATGGACTGGCGGCGAACGCATCGCTGTTCATGGCAAAGGCCCGACGGAGATTGCATTTGCGCCTGGTGACGATGTCGGTGCATTTTCAGCAACCTTTACGGACGCGGGTACTTACTGCGTTTCCGCGTTAGTCGGCGACAGCTCTTGCGCTGGATGGCCTCGTACCGTCCAAGTTGTTGCTGGTCCGGCGGACGCCAACGCGTGCATCATTTCTGGCGAAGCTTTATCGCGCTCCACGACAGCCACGGAAACCACGCTCATGCTCCAAGCTGCCGATGTTTTTGGCAACATGCGATCTATGGGCGGTGATTTAGTCGAAGCTACGATCAAAACCGAACACGATGGGTACGTTGACTGTTACGTCGAAGATGTCGGCGACGGCACGTACGTTTTACGATTTGAAATGGACGAACCGATTCGACACGACGTGCATTTAAGCGTCAACGGCGTCAAGGAAAAAATTTCTAGGTACTCGCTCTCGCCATCTTTAGGTGTTTTAATTGCCGGCGAATGCGTCGTTCGCGGCGTAGGTGGGGAACGTCCAGAGCTACACGACACGCAAACGTTATTCGTCCAGCCGGCGAATCCGTCTCGAGTCATGTCCGGACGCGAGGCCATTGTGTGCACGGTACACACGCCGTCAGGGTTGGCGTTTAATACGCCCGTGGTGTTCAATCCAGAATCGAGACACTTTTGGTCTAAATTGTTTTGGGTCGAGCTCGGGAACCACTCGGTTTGCGTTACTTTAGATGGTGACATCTTACCCGGCTGCCCGTTTGTCGTTCGCGTGCGGGACCCGAACCAGGAAGCGTACGACGAGTTCATGCTCGACGCTCGCGAACGCGCGCCGTCCTCGGCGGTGCGTGCGAATAACGCATTTGGCTACGTTTACGGTACAGATACGCACGGCCCATTTCCGGATTACTTCGATTGGGCCGATGATAACGACGATGACGACGAGATGAGCTCCACAGAACACCAAGTCATCTTTGGGAGTGCGAACAGTAACGAACCGAGAATTACCGCGCAACAAGCCGAAGCGGCGTTACACGCGTTGCGCAGCCAACCTTCGTTGGAGGCAGCGGCGGAGATGCTCTGTGGAATGAAGCCAAACTTGGCTGGTGCGTGCTTGGATATGATGGAGCCAGAAGAAGCGGCGAGCGTATTGGCTGCCATGCAAGACGAACGCGCCTTGGCGGCGGCGTTCGTCGCGATGGAGGAAGATAACGCGTCGGCGGCGTTATACGCCGGGACGGCTGAAGAAAGAGAAAAGATTTTGAACGCAATCTCACCCATGGCAGCAGCAACGTTACTCACGCGAATGACGGCGCAAGATGCGGCAAATATCTTGTCCGACGCGTCTGCGGAAGCGAGAGCGAACATTTTACGTTCAATGTCTCCGAAGAAAGCGGCAGAGATTATGGCTCGTTTCTCGGAGGTGTACCCGCACTTGATGCGCGAAACCTTTGGCGCTCTAGATGCAAATTACGCGGCGAGGCTTTTAGCGTCCATGCCAAACTTGACTGATGTGGACCCAGAAGTAGTCGCCTTGGTTTTATCGAGAGTGGATTCCGATGTCGCATCGAACTTATTGTGGAAATTGCAATCGACGCCGGCAAACGCGGAAGTTGCAGCGGCGGCACTGTGCGTCATGGCGATGACGGATATTGACTTGGCTGCGAAACATTATGCAACGTTGTTGGTTTCTGGGAAACCGAAATCGGAACGATTGGACGAAGCTTTAAGAGCGACGAGTATTGGGACGAAGATTGCAGATTTGGCGGAGAATTTGGTTGCGACTGGGGCGGTCACCCCGCCGCCGGTGAATTTGAGCGGCGAAGCGCTCGGCGGCAACGCGGCTTCATCTGGTGAAATCAAAGAACACAGGTGGGGCGCAAACGGTGTAAAACCGTCCAAGTCAGCCACTCTTCGAGCGGCCAAATCTTTGGAAGGTGTCCCACCCAAGGTTGCCGCACAAGCGCTCGCCGATATGCGGGCGGCGGCGGCGGGTGCCGTGTTGGCGACCATGGACGCCGAACGCGCCGCGCAAATCATCGCTAACATGAACCCGAAGAAACTTGCAGAAGCTATTTCACAAATGGAATTGGACGATGCCAAAAGAGTCTTCGCGTCCTGTAAACGAGGTGACCGCGCGAACATTTTGGAAAACTTGTCTTTGGAAGCCTCCGGCTCCTTAGTTGGCGCTTTAGATCCACAATCCGCGGTGGAAGCGCTGAAGATGATTGAAGACGAAAATAAAGTCATGGACATTTTACGACGCGTAAAACCTCCGTCGGCTTTAGCTGCAATTCTTATGCAATATACCGCGGATAAAACTGCAGAAATCTTCTCAAAATTGACGCCGCAACAATCCGCGAGTGCGATGTCTTCCATGTTTGCCTCGTCTCAGGAAGGCGCGAGGAAATTGAACGCGGCGTTGGCGCTCATGAAACCAGACGAAGTCGCTTTGCGTTTACAAGCGCTATTACCGTTAGACCCACACGCGGCGAGCGAGTTGTTGTATTCCATGCCAGAACCGACGAGGTCGAAAGTCTATGCGCGCATGGAATCGAAAGATTCAGGGAAAATTTTGCACAACTTATCGCCGAAGCGAGGGATGGAAATCTTGGCCAACGCGTCCGTGATAGAGGCGACGCCGAAAACGCTTTCTTCCTCTTTGGAAAGTTTGTCGAAATACGGTCCAAGTTGGGCGAACCAAAAGCAAGCCGAGCACGAAACGACGAAGTCGAGAGGCGTCGTCGCGGATTGTTTGCTGAAGTTATGGCACGAAAGCAACAACGTTCACAAGCAAAAAGATGCCGAGCAAAAAGTGACATCGAAGAAGGCATGCATCGACTGTCTCGAAACAATGGACGCGAAGGTTGCCGCGCACGCGATTGGGAACATGACGCCGAAAGACGCGGCTGATATCGTTTCTGCGTTGACGCCCGAAACTGCGGCGAGCATCTTGACGAACATGTCGGAGTCGAAAAGAGCTGCGATGTTGTTAAAGATGACGCCGGAAGCGGCTGCGGCGTGCTTGAAATACCTGTCTTTAGACGATGCCTCGGCTGCTATTCGCGCCATCTTGGAAACCGACGACGAGGACGCCATCAAACGCGCATCGCAAATCTTAGCCGCCGCGGATCCATTCAGAGCCGGCGAAATTCTTACGAGCATTTCGAGCAACATGGAAACGGTACGAACGGCGATCAAGAATATGCCATCTTCTGCGGTTGCGAACATCTTTGCCGCCGGTGCCGTGGAACCGGACATTGCGGCAAAAATTATTGACGGTCTCGACATGGACATCGCCGATGGTATCATCGCTGCGTTACCGCCAGCTAACGCTGACCAAATTTGCAACTTAGTCAAGGACGACGAATTGCGCAACCGCGCCGCGGATCGCGCCATCGTCGTCTTGGCGTCTTCCAAGTTGGAAGGCGACGGATGGCAAAAAGCCACGGCGGGAATTGAAGCCGAATTTATTATGCTTTCTACGAACCCAGCGGGCAAACGCATCTTCAAAGGCGGCGCAAAAATCAACTGCGCGGTGTACGAGTTGGATATCGCGAACAAACGAACTTCGAAGATTCCCATCCAAGCGAAAGTTGAAGATTTGCGCGACGGGTCGTACGCAATTCGATACACGTGCTTGAAAGCATCGCCGCACGAGTTATCCATAACTTGCGCCGGCCAAGAACGAAAAGCGCGCATTATCGTGGTCCCAGGTGAAGTCGATCCGAAATCGTGCGTCGTCCTCGATTACGCCATTACGAGGAAAGAAATCACGACCGCCAGTGACGGGAAGAAAAAATTGAAAGCCTCGGGGGATGAAGAAAAGAACTACGAGATTATTAAAACGCCGTTAAAGAAGTACGTCTGGCGATCTGGTGATGTCGTTGAAATCCCAATGATTTGTGCGGATAAGCACGGAAACATTGTGCCGCCGCCGAAACACGAAGATTTGACGTCCACGTTCGCGATCGTCGCCGACGGCGACGGGCCAGGAACGGTTGAAGCAGATATCGGGAGAATCGAGAGCTTTGATAAAAACGATAAGCACGGTCCAACTGCGGTTGCGCGATTCCGCGCAACCGCCTGCGGCTCGTACACTTTGCTCGTTTTCACCGCCGACAACCAAAAGAAATGGTGGGAACGTGGCGGCAAAGCCGAATCGCCAATCCGGGGGGCGCCGATTAAACTCGATTTAGTCGCTGGCGCTGCGGATGGTTCGAAATGTTCAGCCAGAGTTGAAGGCGTCAAAGAACGCGCCGGCGCAGTATTAATCGCCGTCGCCGGTCGAGAAATTGACGCGTACTTGGACGCCTTTGATGCCTACGGCAACGCGTGCTCGTTTGACGCGGACCAAAAAGTTCGTGTGGATTGCGCCGGCGCGAGCGATTTACTCTTACGGGAAGCCTCGAAGAAGGACTTGAAGAAGAAAAAGAGCGCGATTAACGTCAATGAAAAAGCCTTTTCGGGTACGCTTACCAAAGCTGGTTCGTACTCCATGCGCGCGACGGTCGACGGAAAAATCTGCGCCGGCTTCCCGAAAGTATTACAAGTCGTCGCGAATGAAATCGACGCGAAGACATCCGTATTGAAAGGCGACGCGTTGGCAGAGAAGCAAGTCCGCGTGGGCACTCCCACCCACGCAATCTTCTTAGCGAACGATTCCTTCGGCAACGCTCGACTGGAAGGCGGGGACAACGTGGAGATTGTCTTGAAATCAAACGATTTCATCGACGAAGGTTTGGAAGTTGATGCGAATGTCGAAGATCACGCGGACGGTACGTATTCGGTACGATTTACGCTGCCTAAGAGCGGTAAGTGGACCGTGCACTTAAAATGCTGGCCGGATAAAGGTGAAAAGCCAGAGCAATCCGTTCGCATGTCCTTCAACTCCTTCGTCACCGGTGATGCGGGTACGAAATCGCAAGACGTGTCCAACACCGGCGTCATCGAGTGCCTCCGCGGCAAAGTCAACGCCTTGACGCTGAAATGTTTGGAATCCAAACCGATGTTTTTCGTCGGCGCGGAAACCGCGTTTACCTTACAATCGACTGACTTTGACGCCTCGCACCGAGAAGTTGGCGGTAAAGAAGCCGTCTGCGCGCGATTATTATCTCCATCTGGTGTCTCTTCAATTATTCCTTTGAAGTTAACCAAGGACAAAATCCGTTACCGCGCCGTCGTTCGATGGCCAGAAGTTGGTCGACACACGTTATTTGCCAACCTGGACGGCGAACCGTTAGTCGGCTCTCCGTTTACGTGCGACGTCAAACCGGCTGAAATTTGTTTACCACTCTCTGAAATCACCGGTTCTGGTCGAACCGAATGCGTCGCTGGAAAACGATCCTCCTTCATCATCCGTGCGCGCGATCACCGAGGTAATCGCTTGCGCATGGGAGGCTCTCCGATTGAGTGCGTGGTCACTTCCATCATCAAAGCCGAAGACAAACGCGTGGAAAGGCGCGAGGATACGATTGTCAATACCGAAGGCTCTGTTCTCGATCAAGGCGACGGGTCATACGTCGTCTCGTACTTTGTCGACATCGCCGGTAAGTATGAGATCGAGTTGGTCGCTGACGACTCGAGAAGATCGCTGCATGGTATCTGCGAAGCCGCGGAAGCGGATCCAAATAGATGTCAAATCGACGCTTCTGGCTTGCGCAACTTGGAAGCCGGCATGGTTGGTATCGCGAGAATTTTACGATGCGACAAATTTGGCAACGTTTTGAAAGCGTATCCTGATTCGTTACCGTTCCGCGTGGAAGCGTCTGGCGCAGGACCGGCGGAAATCGAAACAGTGGAAGCTGGAGACGGATCGTGCGACGTTCGATTCGAAGCGAGAGTGGCGGGTAGGTACACCTTGTACGTCTGGTCCGGGTACAAACGAGACCCGGTGAAAGGCGCGCCGATCGAAGTTCGCGTGTCGCCTGGTCAAGCGGCGGCGGCGCATTGCGTTGCCACCGTCGAAGGCGCACACGACGACCAAGGGTTCATTTCCTCCAATACCAATTCGAGTATCACCCCGAACGTGGGTCAAATCAACGCTCGCGCGGGTGATTTTCTCACCATTAAAATGCACGCTCGAGACCGATTCGGCAACGCTACCGTTTGGAAGGAATGGCAAACGCTCGAAGTTCGTGCATCTGGACCGAGAGATGTGCGATTCGAGGAGATCCAGTCGAAGTCATCGGGCGGAGGTAGTCAAATCCGAGGCCAATTCCGATCGATGTTTTCGAAAGCTGGGAGTTACGTCGTGTGGGTCACGGTTGGTGGCCAAGCCGTCGTCGGTTGGCCGAGAGTTATCCACGTCTCACCAAACGTCACGGACGCGGACCAAAGTAAGATGCGTCCGGAGGCGGAAACGTTGGCGTTGATGAGTGAGCTCGTCACTTCTAACCAACGCGGCAACCGAATGCTGTTAGGCGCGCCGGTGAGAGATCGAGGCGCGTTTGGTCAGCGGACGTTAGCGGGCGCGACGATGGCGGAGGACGAAGACAACGTCGACCAACTCAGAAGAGAAACAGAAGCGTTGAAGATTAAATTGGCTGAATACGAGCGAGCGGCGGCGGTCGTTGCCATGGCGGCGCAAAAAGGAGTCGAAGCAGAGTTGAAGCAACAACAACAACAACAACACGTCGTCGTCACAAAGGTGGTGAAAGGAGGAGGAAAACAACAACGACAACTGCGCGACATCGAATCCGAGACGGAGGAGGAGGAATAAAAACGCACGCATAGCACACATATTTATTTTCACATGATACTCAAGTTATTACTCTTTACAAACAATCACTTCATCAACACCAAAACGTTTACACACTTCTTCTTCTTCTTCTTCTTCGTATAGAACAAACTCCTCACAAACTCCTACGCAGACAGACGCGCCGCTCTTCTTCGCACAGTATTGACAAAAAAGGAAGTTCAAGAGGCGCTTTGAGCGCCACGAATTTTGAAAAAATCTCATCTCCAAAAAAAAAAAAGGAAGTCGAGCAGTCGCTTTTCCCCTCGTTTCATCCCTCTGCGACCTTCTTACTCAACATAACACGGAGGACACAAAACTGTCCTCTCCTCTCCCACACACCGTCTCTCTTGCTTCTCGATGAGACGATGACGTATTATTACACGCCTCTTCTTCTTCGTTATATAGGCGCCTATAGGAGGCTACATCGGGTTTACGTTACTCATCAGATATGAGTGGTAACAAAAAAAAACGCATTACACATGTGCTTTAAAAAAAAAAAACGTCTTTTAGTTTCCTGAAAAGTCGCCTCAAAAAGGCAGATATTCTTGGATATTTTCACCTCTTTATAAGGCGGTTATACGATTCCGAATTAGTGTTTACTCTCCTCACAACTCATACATATCATACGCACGTATAAAACGTGCACATCGAAGAAGTACATGTGCGCGCAAAGCACAATAATTGACGAGTGTAAAAAGTGAGCGTCTCATATCTTCTCTCGCGCGTCTGTGAAGGCGAAAGGCGAGCAAAGCATTTTATATTTAATTTGGCATCTCTTTACCCGACTTTCCGGGAAGCGAAGGGGAGTCGCGTCATTGCACATTCAAAAAAGAATCACACAACGAACTCTCGCTCGATGGCAAGAGAGGCAGTCGTGCGACGACATTCATTCGCGCAACAGGTAATACGATTCTATTATCATCGTTTTGTATGCGTTTCTTCTTCTTTCGGCTTCAAAGCGCGGAGGATGTGCGAGAGAGACAAAGTCGGTTCAGACAACCAATGTGCCAATCCAAATGTCCTTTCAAAAATCTCAGATCGAGAAAAAAAAGAAGAGAGGATTTTAAGCGCGGACGATGACATTTTTTACGCTCTCTTAAACTCACTCTTTCGCGCACTCTTTTTCCCTTTATTATTGTTCGTGTTGTTATGATTGAAAACAGGGCGGCGCGAATTGGATGGAGGACGATGCGAACGATGGCGTGGACTTTTGGCGCGATAACGTCTTTTCCATCGCGGACGACCATTTTCGAGCGAGTTTGAACGCGATCGTCGCGCCTTCGGAACAAACTGAAAGAAGAGCAGATAGGGGAAGCGGGATGATGCTTGGTGACGAGGAGGCGGCAGGAAACGGTGAAGGAAGAAGCGAGCTGGCGAAGTCGCTCGTCCAAGGTCAAGGCGATTTGAGCGAGCACGATTTTTTAGACGCGCTCGACGAGGCGTTGTTTGGGTTGGGAAGCGAAGAGATCGCGGTGAGAGTAGAGGAGGAGGCTGGGAAGACGAGGACAAAAAATACGACGAAGAAGACGGCGAAGACTTCGAAGACTACGAAGCATCAGCCGGTATACAAGAAGAGTTCGACGGAAGCCGGCGAACTCGCTCTCGCCGCGACGGGCGGTGGCGACTCAAACGTGCTCATCAAATCGACCAAAGCGAGACTCAAAACGACGAATCGATCGTTAGAGTCCTTATCGTTCATTCTTGGCAGCGATGGGTTTGCGCGAACAACTATCGAAGGTGTCAAGACAATACCTTTGCGCGAGAAAGGCGGGTTGAAAGAGAAAGGCGAATCGTCGCCGTCGACGAAGAAGCCCAACGGAAGAGGTCGCAAGAGAAAATCTGAGGCGACGAGAACGGTCGCGCCGCCGCCGCCAACCGGCGACACGACGGACGAAGACAGCACGGACTCTGAAATTCACTACGATCTCGAAGAAAATTTCCTCAAGAGCGCTGCAAGTTTGTTAGAGGAATACGAAGAGACGCCGACGAAGAAAAAACGCGGTCGTAAACCGCTCGATCCAGAGGTGAAGAAAGCCAGGCGAGAACAACGACTCCGAGAGAACAAAGCGACGAACCACGTAACCTCGATATCGTCGAAAGCTGCCATCACGCGCGAAAAGAAACCAAAACCACCACCGGTGGAGAAAATAAAAGGCCAATGGTCCAAAGAGGAAGACGAGGAGTTGGTTCGCTTGGTCACGCAATTCGGCACTCGCAAATGGTCCTCGGTGTCGAGAGCGCTGAACGGTAGAGTCGGCAAACAGTGCCGCGAACGATGGAACAACCACTTACGACCGGACATTCGCAGAGGGTCGTGGTCGACGAAAGAGGAGTCAAAGTTGATCGAGTTACACAAAGTGCTCGGAAACAAGTGGGCGGATATCGCGAAAGGGTTACCGGGACGGACGGAAAATGCGGTGAAGAACCACTGGAACGCGACGTTACGAAGGAAAGACGGAACGCCGAGCGAATTGAGAGTGTACGCGACGACGCAAACGAAAGGGAGAGGACCAATTGGACGACCGAGAAGTCGAAACAAACGACCCGGCGACGAAGAAAGAGAGGCGTTGAAGGAGAAGATTTTATCCGCGAGCGTTCAAGAGATGGACTTGGCGAACACGAACGGAGACCACGAAAGCGGCGCGGCGGCGCTCGGCGTCTCCTCGCCCGTCGCGGGCGACAACGAAGGATCGTTCGTCGCGTTCGGGAATACCACGACCAATCACTCGCAATCGTTATTAGAACAAGTGTTGAACAACGAAGACGAGCTTAATAACGTGTGCGAAGATTACAACGACGACAACGACTTCATCAAGAGCGACGATGTCGATATCACCGCGGTGAACGACGAAGACGACAACGCGACGTCCCTCGAAAGATCTGTATCCGAACAAACGCGCGAAGCAGAAACGCAAACGGACCCGATCAGCGATGAACAGCTCGTGGTGCTCTCAGAGGACGATGGGACCGCAGAGTACGCGAGTGGGTACGCGACGACCATGACTGTCTTTGGCGGCGGCTGCGGCGCCGCGCGCTCGGTGCAAAACGCCGCCACGGAAGAGTACGTCGAAGGCGACGAAGACGATGTGGTAGACGTGGAGAAACCATTAAAGTCGAGCAGAGAAGCGCCACCGAGAACGACGAAGAATCCGCTAAGGCGACAAGCTGCTTTAAATGCGACTCTCGAAAAACGAGAACGACGAACGACGCGTTCGACGGTCACCTCGTCAAATCCGACGCTTCTCGGATTTGCCATTCCGGAGCAAAACGTCGTCGCCACGAACACGCGGAGCAACAAAAGCTGCGGCAAAAGCAAACGCCCGAGCTCTGTGATTGTCACTTTGCCGAACAACAAAGTCGATTTCGCACAAATCGTTGGCATTCACGATCCGTGCAATGAATTCGAAACCAGATCCTCCGCGCTCGAAACCGCCTCGTACGCCTCGCCGACGCCGCTGCCGCGAGAGAAATCGGTAAACATTCAAAAGACTTTAAAAGAGCTCGTCGAGTGCGTCCGAGGCACGGTACAAGGCATATCCGGAGTGGCGTTGACGACGAAAAGTGGCACGCAGGCGCAACAAAAAAAAGTCGGTGGGAACTGTTTCGTCGTTTCCATCGCCGCCGACCAGTGGGCGAACGCTATGAAAGGCGTGAGGTGCGCGACGGCGTTTTTGAAGACTTCCTACTAAAATCTAAAATACGCGAGAGGATGACGGGAGAAAATATTACTATAATCATCATCATTACCATCACGAGTGTTGAATTCTTTATATTACTATTATGTGTTATTACTATTATTACTATTACTATTACTATTATTAGACACGCTTTTGGCGTTATTATGAATTCATCGGCGGATGAACGAGCACGTACTCTTCCGCGTACTCGCCCTCTAAAGCGCACGATTTACTACACGTGTACACCGCGATCGACCCAAAATCCAAGCTCGAATCGTTCAATTCCACGGACTCTTTCGGAACGATGAAGGAAACAATCGTCGGTAAAATCTGAAACTCAAACCTCCTTTTCCCGCGACATCTCGGGCAGTCCGGGATGTTCCGATCGTCCGGCGCGAGTGATTTTGACGGCCACATGGCTTTTGCGTTTTGTGCTGGACAATATCTCAGCACTTGATCTGGAAATTTTGCAAGTTTCACCGAAAACGTGGCGAGTCGTTGCGCGTCGCTGTCGATGACCCCGGAGGCGATTTCTTTCAAATCCGTCTCGGTGATCGCCTCGTCGCCTATGCTTTGGAACATTTTTTTCTTATTCGTATTCGCACTCGTCTTCTTATTATCGTCATCATTCGTGTCAGCAACGACTCCCTCTGAGTCCATCGACGAGCAACTCGCTTCGTCCGCGTCGCTTTCCGGTTCGACGACGATTTCAAATTCAGGATAGACGGTGTTCTCGTTCTCGTTCTTCGTCTTTGTCTTCATCTCCTCCTCTTCCTCTTTACTCTCACTACCATTACCACCACTCAAAGTCATCTTCACCTTCGTTTCTATCGCTCTTTTCTTCATCTCAAACTCCCGAATCATCTCCTCCACTCTTAAATCGTCGCTCTCTCGTACGCCTCGTCTCGGCGCCGGCGTCGTTCCGTAAAATTCGTTCGCTCTCGCCAGTTGCGAGCGCACCGCTCTTACTTTTCCTTTCTCGAACACTTTATCCCCATCGACGGATGTGAACACGTATATCGTTCTGTGAAATGCGTTTGCGTTCAAACTGTCGTCTTCCACGTCATTCGCGGCGTATATTTGCAGTAGAAAATCCATCCTTCGCTTCGTCGCGTTCGCTTCGTGCATCTGTTTAGGGTGTACCGAAGGGTCCAACCACTGCGGGTCGCCGCCGACTTTCGAGGGGAAATAGATGGCGTGTAACGCGGTTTTATCCTCTCGTTTCTCCAAAAACCCGAGGTCCCACTCTAAGTCGTCGTTTGTATCGTCGTCGGAGGAGGACGACGACGCTTCGTCGTCCTCTTTCGTTCTCGTTTCTTTCTCGTTAAAATTGGAGTCTGCGCCGCCGTTGTCGTCGGGGAAAATCGAAATCGAATCTAAACGCGCGATGGTTTCCTCCGCGTCGCGTTTCGCGTCCTCTTCTTCTCTCGTGAGCTCCGACGACATCTTTACGGGTTTTCCTCTCGCGAGTGCTCCTGCTTGCTTCTGAACGAGAGAGAGAGAGAGTTTGTAGGTGTGTTTTCTCCGTCTTTACGAGTGCACATCTCCCAACGGGAAAGCGCAGCTTTTTATGAGGAAACGTGATCAGACGTGCGAGATCTCTCTCATCTCGCTTCGTTCTCTCGCAAAGGCGAGGATAGGAGAGAGACGACGATGAAAAGAGCGAGAGCCTACCTGATTGAAAGAGAGAGAGAGATCAATATCATCTTTTCAACATGATATATCTTCTCTTTTTGTGACACGCATATTCTTTCTCCGCCGTTGTGTGATCAGAGATTTGTACTAGAGACTATAACTACAAAGAGAGCCACACAAACAAGTTTGAGCAGACTCGTAGTGGCATCTCTTTACCGACGAATACACACCTTTCCTACGTGCGTGAGGGACTCTGAAAGAGCGCACGCTGTACCGTTATGAGTGCGTGCATATAATATAATATGTTTGACTTGAAAAAAAGACGTTTTTCTCAAACCTCACAAAAGTTCAACTCTGCGAGCGCGTTTTGAACCATCGACGCACCATGAGCGCACTACCTTTCTCGCCTTCGAATACTACGAACGACGATTTGTTCGTTCGAGCAGCGGACACAGACGGTACGTTTATATTGAGCGCGTTCAAAGAAGCGCTCGTTTTGCTCCTCTCCTCTCGTTTCTCTTTAACTTCTTCTTCGTCGTCGTGAAATGGAATTTGAACGCGTCGTTCTCTGCGTCGAGGAGTCCCGTGATGAATACGAACGAGATACCGATAAAACTGCCCGAGCGATACACTCGCGGAGACGACAGATATACACGTAATTCATGAGGACGATATATAACGACGACGAATTAATAATGCTCGAAAGAAGGAGAGAAGAATATACCTCATCGTTCTTTCTTTCTTTCGCGTTTACGAATTTCGATCGGCGAAAAGGACGGCGGGGAAGCAAAATCGGACGAGAAACGTAAGCGTGTACGAAGACGCTCCGTCGCGCGTATGTCTCTCTCTCTTTTGGTCGCTTTCGTCGCGAAAAAACGGAAAGGCTTTGTCGATTGTGTCGCTCGTTCTCGCGAATGTCGCACCGCGACACGCCCGCGTCGTTCCCGACACGTTTGTTTCTTTCGTACTCACAACACGTGTGTCCTCAAATACTTAATTGAAAACAACATTTTAAACAGAAACGCGCGAAGCGTTGGCCGCGGCGACGAAACACATCACGAAACTGACCAACGAAACGAACCAGTCTGATTTGCTGGAGTTGTTACGAGAGGCACCGAGGGAGGCGTACTCGTTGCAACAACCCGGGTGGCCTTCGGAGTTGAGGAATTTGACGAAAGCGCCGTTGCCAAAAATCGTCTTGGAGAGGTACGAGACTCGCGAGTCGGTGTGCTTTTGCGGGTGCTTTCCGGAGATATCCAGGGCGTGGGCGACTGTGGATGATTCTTTGTTCTTGTGGCGGTTTGACGTGGACGACGACGTGCCGATTGAGTTGACGGAGGAGTTTAACGGGCAACCGATTGTGTGCGTCGGGTTAGCGGATCCCAGGGAAGGGGTTTTTATAAGTCAGATTGCGAAGATTTTAGTCGTGTGCACGACGGTGGAGATAAAGATGTTAGGGATAGTTTCAGACGTGAGTCACGTCACTGCGAGTAAGGAGGATACGAATACGAATGGAAAAAGTGACAGAAGAGATGCACTAAATGGCTCTCGAGGGAAGAAGAAGAAAATCGCGTTTGACGTAAACGCGCCTTTGTTGATTCGCGACACGACGTTTTCGTGCCCGACGGATGCGATCGTGTTTAATCAAATTTGCGGATGTTCGAGAACAGGAAGGATTTTCTTAGCAGGGAACGATTCGCACGCGTACGAGCTGAAGTATCACGGTGGCGGTGGCGGTGACATGACGCTAGCTTCGAACGGAGGGGGGTCGAGTAGCTCTTTTTTCAGCCGAGGCCAGCCGAGGGTGAGAAAAGTTAAATTTTCATCATCTGGGTTTTCGTATTACATCCCGAATTCGTTGAACGTGTTCAGCGTCGAAGACCCGTTGTTGCAAATCTTATGCGACGAGGAGCGGAATATTTTATACACCCGCTCGCAAAACGGCGCCGTGCGAGTGTACGATTTAGGCGCCAAGGGAATGGACGCACCTAGACGCGTCGTCGAGGTGAATGATATCGCGCAACTCGCTGGAAGAGGAATATCGAGTGGCAGTAGTTATTACGGGAACGGTTCGAGACGATCGATGTATAATGGGGGTGGAAATTCGATGTTTGAAAACCGATCCCCGTCGTACGGCGGTTCTCGAGGCGGGTACGGCTCTCCTCGATACGGCGATTACAGGAGTCCGTCTTCGAGTGGGCGGTACGGCCAAGGTTCGCAAACAACAGAGGCGAAGAAGAAAGCAGGAAAGCTGGTGCACATTGCCATCGTTTCCACTCAGGAATCCGCGAGCGTGACTTTAGTAGGCGTGTGCGCCGACGGGCGACGCGTGTATTTGACCGCGTTGCCGTCGCCGTCGAGCTACGGAAGTTATTACCCATCGTCGTATCACCGTATTAGCAATGGATCGTCGAACAGCAGTGGAAGTAGATATGTCACTCCGACGCGTTTATCTGTGGTGGAGACGCGCGATCCTCCCCCATCTGGCGGCTCTTCTGCGAGAGGATTAACCTCCGCCCGAGCTTTACTGGACGCCTCGGCGAACGCGCTCGAAGTCGAAGCCGCGCACTACTACAACGGTGTTTTGCTCTTATCCGACAGCAGCTCGCACGACGAGTCTAGTAAATTATTCTTAGCCACGCGAGACGCGATGTTGCCCATGCACTTGCAACTCCCGCCGCCGATGACGGCGCCGCGCAATACCGGACCGGCGAGGGGTTTGCGAGAGGTTGTGCAAAAGCCCTCAATTTTAGAAGGTCGCGTCGCGGCAAACGTAGGTGCTATCGGTGAGTTGCCGATGCCCTCTAGAATTCGACGGGATTTAGACCCACCGTTTCCAAAGGGCACGCCAGCTTCAGTCGTCGAACAATTTACCGGCTCAAAGTTACGAAGCGAACTCGTCGAGCAAAGCTTGTTTCGAAGCAAACGCAGGAAGTTTGCGCTCGTGACGAACAGTGGCGTGGTGACGTTTGAGAAAGCGCGACCGATCGATACTTTGGCGACGTTGTTGCAAAACAAAGTTCCTGAACACATCGAAGAGTTCTTCTCGTGTTATGGACCAGTTGAAGCGGCGATCATGTGTTTGACTTTATCCATCGCTTCGGCGGTGCATTTAGGATTCGCCGAGCCTATTCCGCCGAGCGTTAGGGATGCCGCGAGACGGGCGTTCGAGGATCCGAGATTCACCGGAGAACCGAGAGTGGATAGCGAAGATGCCGACGTGAATGGTACGAAAGGTGCGAATGGACAAAATGACGATGCCGTGGTAAAAAATCTGGAACGATCGTCCGCGGCGTTTAACATGGGTCGCGCCATCGTGCAACCGAGTTTGCACTTCTCGTCCGCGCACAAGGCGATTCATTTGTACGTTGCGCGAGCGGTTCAAGCGATCTGGGAGCGACCATTAGCAATTGCCATTCGCGAATCGCAAACGGCAGAAGCGGCGAACGCGTCCTCTTCCAACAGATACGGGTACGATACCTCTCGCTCCCCTTTGCGATTCGCCTCGGACGCGCTTCGCTCGGCGGCGCGGTTTATCGGCGACGATTTAATTTTACAACTTTCCGTGGAACCGGAGACTTTAGAAACCATCGAACAGCGGTTGCGACCGATTGAAAAGTATTTGCAGACGAGGAAACCGAGAACGTCGAGTCAGTTGACGCCGGCAAAGAGGAGAAAATTAGCGCTCAACGCTGCGAGGGAGGAAGAGAATTCGATGGATGCGCTCTTAGCGCTCGTTTCGAGAGCTTCGCAGGCTATTTGTTTGTTGAAGTTATGTTCAGAAACGGACGATTTCGAGTCCGTCGCGGCGGCTTTGCCGCACGAAACGCGCGTGACGCTGACACAGGTGCGCGTTTATACCTTTTTACTTTTTGTTTTTCTCTCCTTTCCGCTCAAAACACACACGCGCGTAAAAAGAAACGATGAAAGAGGCGCGTTGATGATTCAATCATATAATCTGTCAATCAGATGAACGTTTCGACGCATGTTTAGAACACATATGGTGCCCTTCCACTGAGCGTCTTTTTCGATATTTTTGTTTATTTGTGTGTGTGTGTGTGTGTGATGCCCTGCTTCCTTTGTTCGTACAAATGTTCTTTTCCGCTCGAGTCGCGCTAACTAACACTCACTCAAATCTTCTCCTTTTCCAACGAAAAACAGATGTCCATTCGACGATTCATTTCGACGCCGGAAGGTGCTAAAGTCGCTTCTGCGCTCATCGAATCGCTCATGGCACGTGTTGTGTCCTCCTCTCGAGGCGACGCGGCGCCCTCCTCCGACGCGCTCGGCGGCGCCGTGCAAAAGCGCAGCGAACAACTTTCAAAAATGTTACAATACGGCGCGCCTGATTTTTTCGGCGCGGATTCTCGAACTTTTTATCGCGCGAGGGATATCCTACAACGCGCGCGAGAGGCTCGAGCGCTTCGCGACGTGGAGAAGAGAGATGGTTTTGTCGGCGAAGCGTTGCGATTGTTCGCTCAGGCGCCGTTAGCGGGCGATTTGAATGGCGCTTGCGCTGAATTAGTCGATTTGAGAGCGTTCCACGGAGTGGTCACGTTAAGTTTAGCAGCAGCGGCGACGTTGCGCAGGATGGAAGAGCAGCGGAAAGCAGACGCGAGTACGGGTGGAAGAGTGCAAGCCGAGCCTGATATGGTACGTTTTTGTTTGCTTCTTTCGTTCCTTTTTTCTTTCAACATATCATCGCGGTGAGGATACGCAAACTTGGAAACGTACGCGCGGGGCTTACCGCCTCGTTTCCGTGGCGAATTAAAAAATTACAGAACATCTAAGTCTGAGCGATATTATTTCGATACGTTCTTTCTCATCCTTTTTTTATCTCTTTCTGTGTTGCTGACCTTATGATCTCTTCTATTTTAATAACAGAGTCTCGCTCAGTGCTACGCGTTGATATCCACGGCCATCAAATCCTTAGTCACCGGAAAACCTTCCGACACGTTTGTTCCTGACGACCAAAGAGCTAACACGATGGGCACTCAACAGCAGCAACAACAACAAGAACAAGATTTGCACCCGGGTTCCTTAGCGGTCGTTTGCGCTTCACTTCCGAAAGACGCCAGAGAAGCAGGCATTCGACGCATTCTCGATAAAATCGTCGAGTCCGAAGAAGACGACGTCATTCAAGTCGCGGCGGAAACCTTGATCGCTTTAGATCGCTTAGATGATGTCTGTAGACTCCCACCACACGCGTTAGAGGCATTTCTTTGCGAGTACGGCGCGTTGAACAAACATTTGAGTTTGCAACCGACGACGAGAGAAGAGGCGAAACATTTGCAACTGCTCACAAGATTGTATGGCGATTACGGACAAGAAGGCATGGCGGCGGATGTATGCGTCGCGTTAGCAGAAAGACACGTGGCTGATCGTTTGTACCCGTCTCTCGAAGAGCGCATGGGTTTGTTTCGCATGGCGTTACAGTACGGCACGACGAAAGATCCCGCGACGGGCGCGTTCAAAAGAGACGCGAGACAAATCGAAGAGATTGAAGGCAAAGCGAAAGTGTTGGAGTTTCAAATGCGATTGGAAAACGCGCTGCGAATGAAAAGCAAACGCATGCAATCCATGGCTGCCGGCGAAGTTGGTCAAGGTCAACAAATAGATCACAACTTAGTGCAAGAGCTCGAACAAGCGGCAAATGATCTGCGCGAAAACATGAAATCGATTTCGGATTTGTACAACGACATTGCTCGACCGCATCGGTTTTGGGACATTTGCTTGGAAATTATCGCGTGGGCGCGACCTCAACGAGGTTCCTCGGAGGACCAAGAATCGTACGCGGACGCTTCCGCGGTCCCGAGAGAACTCTGGGATTGTGTCATCATCGATGCTGTCCAAGATGTCCTCTCTCGAGCGAACGAAACGCACACGCGGCGCGCCATCGTTGCCGCCGCTTGCGCCGCGGTAGCCGAAATCGCCCCGAAAGTCTTCACCGAATCCGCCGCGAACAACGAAATTGCATTTCCAATGTGCCACGTCACGTGCAGACTCGAAACGTTAGCGAGCGGTCAGTGGGGTGTCATGCTCAACTCGCCGAGCGTCAACGAAAGCGAGCAAGCCGAAGATGACGACATCGCGGATTGTATGTTACAGAGCGTCCGAGGGAACTGTCCTCCGGTACAAAGAGCGTACGATCGTTTACTCGCCGCCGAACATCGCAGAATGCACGACGAGGAAATTGGCGAGGAAATGCACAAGGCGTTACACTCAACCAAGTTGCGCTTGCGAATGTTGAGATCCGCGTTGCGCGTCATGCACGCCTGGGATGCGGCCACTGGAGGCAGCGGTAACGGATTCTCCTCTGGAGTTGGTGACGACCGAAACAACTTTGATTATTCCTCTAGAAAATCTTTCGCGAGGGCGTCTATCGGCGACATTTGCTTGGCGTACTCCCGAGTCTCCAAAGAGCTCGTCGGCGCTTCCCACGAACAAAACGTGCCGAAAGAACTCGCCGTCGCCTTTGAGCGTTTAGCCGATCGATTTCTTCGTTGATATAAATGAAAGTACGTGCCCGGGTGGTAAAGTATATATAGTAGTAGAAACGTTTTTACCGTGTATTCATAATAAGTAGCGCTAAATGAACTTACTCTCAGAATTCCTCTTTCCTTCTCTCTCTCTCTCTTTCCCTTTCTGCCTTCTCATTAATCCTCGTCTTTTTTCGCGGCACTCAACTTCTCCGCTAAATCATCGGCTAAATCTTCCGCCTTCTCCTTCCCTTCCTGCTCCTTCTCTTCTTTCTCCCCCTCTTCTTCCGTTTTCGGCAAACTCGCCATAATTTTCTGCGCCTCTTCAAACTTATCCTGAAACAACTGCGCCTTCTCCTCGCTCCCAAACTTAATGCACATGTTCTGCAACGCCGGCGCTTCGTCCCCGTCCGAACAATCCATCGTCGTAAACACCCTCGCCTTTTCGCTCCCCGCGTGCGTCGTCACCTTCGTCTCCGGATCGATATAAAAATTCGCGCATATTTTCAGCGTCTTGTCTCTTCGCATCAACAATCGACACTTCTTCGTCGCTTTATGCTCGAGTATTTTCATCGGTCCTAACCCTCGTTCTTTCCACTCGCCCTCTAAGAATCGATACGCTTTCGTTTTCGCTTCGAACAGAATGTTTTCGTTCTCCTCGCCGGTCGTTTTCGTTTCGCTCGATTCGATGATTTCCAGTTTCACCACCGGGGTGAACTCTTTCGTGCACTCGCGTTCGACGTCTTCATCTTCGCCTTCTTCTGCCGCTTCTTCTGGTTTCGTCGTCGAAGAAGACGCAAACGCGGACGGATTAAACGTCGTCGCAGTACCTCCTCCCGTTGTTCCAAACGAAGAGCTTGAACCGAAGACGTGGTTCGTCGACGCGCCGGATCCAAACACCACCGGAGCAGGTTTCGCTTCCGTCGGTTCCTCGGTTTTGGAATCATCCGATGCCATTTTTGTATAGCGTTAAATGCTTTGCTCTTTGCGTATATTTAAACGGTGTTTTTGTTTAAAAACAACACACACGATGATGTAGTAGTGATGCGATGCTACGAATGAAGGGTTCAGTCTCTCTCTCTCTGTGAAAGCCGGAGGACGTGGAAGCGTTGGATGTTTAAAGTGGTAAAGAGGTGAAAAGAGAAGCCGATCGTGTCAAGACCCGAACACCCTAAACTGAAGCTTTTGGAAAGAGGACGGACTCCATTCTTTTTTCTCCGGAGCGTCACTTCGCGAACGGCTAAAAGTGCGAGCGTGTGAGCGAACGTATTGTTTATATACGACTTCTTCGCTTTGTTGTTCGAGCGTTCTCTTTGAATAATTCGTCTCCGAGGAAGAACGCGCGTTCTCGAGTGAAACGTCTTTTCCAACGCACACACACCGAGAAGAAAACAGTCTCTCGGATCTCGCATGTGATTTAATACTACTACTCTACTCATAATTTTAAACGCGAAGCGAGAAGAGTGCACTAATAATGAGCAGCAGACGAAGAAAGAATCCACATCCGAAAAGAGCGGTGAACGCGAGGACGGTTTTGAAGGTGGCGAGAGAAGAAGAAGAAGTGGAAGAAGAACCAAAAGTGTTGTGTTTGAGAATTCCTGACGAGGATGATGATCTCGAGGCAAATCAGATACAAAAAGAAGAAGAAGAAGGAGAAGACGAAGAAGACGAAGAAGACGACGAGGGAGACGACGACGACGTGGAGCGATTGCGGAGGATTCTGTGCGTGCCGTGTGATGATCTCGTGGAGCAAAATCAGATGCGAGAAGAAGAGACTGCTTTTATTGCTAAAGGAGTGAAGAGAAAGAGAGGGCACGAGTGCGATGTTTGCGAGAAGGTGTTTCGATATCCATCCGGTTTGGCCATACACATGCGTACGCACACGAAGGAGAAACCGTATGAATGTGATGTGTGCGAGAAGCGTTTTACTCAATCTGGTAATTTGAAAACGCACATGCGTATTCACACGAGCGAGAGGCCGTACGAATGCGAGGTTTGTGATAAAGCTTTTCGTGATTCTAGTACTTTGAAAAGCCACATGCTTATTCACACGAACGAGAAACCGTACGAGTGCCATGAGTGCGAGAAGAGTTATCGTCAATTGGGTAGTTTACAATACCACATGCGTACTCAACATTAGCTCTCTTTCATAGTCATCTGTAAACATACACATGTACATCACATACTCAACGAATCAAACGAACTTTTACTCGCATTGTCGTCGCGTCGCGTCTCGCAACGAGAACAGAGTAAAGAGAGGGCAGAGACACCTCATTTTTAGGGGTGTAAAAATCGTCACTTTCGCGCGCGTATTCGTTTGAAACAGAGCACGCGAGGACGAAAAGTAGCAGCAACGGAGAGAACAAATAAAAGACTTCAAAGGGCTTTGTGAACAACACTTGAGCATCCTCGACGAAAGAGAACGAGAGAGAGAAAGAGATACAAAGAATGCGAAGATCCTGCGTGGGCGTTTTGGCGGATTCTTCAAAACGGCGCGACGCCGGTGCGCCGGCGGTGTGCTTAGGCGTGCCGTTTCGAGAGCGAGACGACGGGAGTTGGGAGGACGACCACGAGGACGACGAAAATGAGAAAGCGAAAATGAACGCGTTGGGAAGGAGGAGGAACGGAGATGAAAATGTCGGGTGGAAATTCGCCTGCGTAGGGTACGGAAGCGCCAAGAGTCTCTCGCAAAGCGAGAGGAGGAAAACATTTGAAGAAGAAGAAGAAGAAGAGTTACCTCGATGTCGCGGGTTGGAGATTCTAGTGAGCGAACGCGTCCTGAACAAGAACGATGATGACGACGACGCGGAAACTAATAACGGAGATCAAAGAAGAAGAGAAGAGCGACGGCGACGAGGCGTAACGGATGCGAAAGAGGATAAAGACGATTTTATCGTCGCTTTGCGCGAGAAACCAGACGAAAACGAGATCGATAGAAAGAGAAATAGAACAACGACGAGCGGTAGTAGTAAAAGCGCTTCTTCGTCCGAAAAAGAAGAAAGCGGTGTCTTCGCGGGACGCCAACGCCGCCTCTTCCCGCCCCCGCACGGGACGCCGACGCCCTCGTCCTCCTCCTCCTCCTCGCGAGAAAGAGAAAGAAAAATCGACGCCGAGCATAAACTCCCTCCCGAGCTCAAAACCTTCAAACAAAGGTTCTACATGCAATCGAAGTTGATTTGGACGCGAATGGAGAAACACGCCAAGTACGTCTATTCCGGCGCCTTTGCGAAAGATTTGTAACATAAAGCAGCAACACCAAAAGCATCCTCAGAAATATCACACACACGCACACACTTACGCACACTTACGCACACGTATGTTTTCCTCCTCTCATTCAGAGAGAAAGAGTAAAAGTGGCGTTCGAGTCGTCGAGAACGATGCACTTCGTTCTCAGGACGAAACGCTTATGCATACTTTCAAGAACAAAGTGTCCATTCGAATCGGAAACGAAGCCGTCGACGGGTTCCTTTCGTTCACTTCCGAGCGTGTACTGTTCTCTCGAGAAGACGACGATAAAGAAGAAACGTCGTGGAAAGCGTTCCAAATATACTTCAAAAGCGTTTGCGTGCACGCGATAGAGTCGTTGGTGGTGCACGCGTCCCCGGAGGAGGAAAAGAAGGAGGAAAAGAAGGTTGGGGAGAAGTGTTTGTATTTGCAAGTGGAGGGCGAGTTGGATCCTTTAATTGTACGAAACGCCATCGAACGAAGCGACGAGGACGAGGAAGACGACTCGTTCGAGGAACCGGCGACGGAAGTGCGGATTTTTCCAGTGTTGTCAGATGACGAAGAAGGTAAAGAAGAAGAAGAAGAAGAGAGAATGGTATTAGAGGAGATGTTTGAACGCATGAACGAGTGCGCTACGTTAAATCCGGACACGGAGGACGAGAACGAGAACGACGAGAACGACGATCCGATGTTTTTCGGCGCAAATGGGATGGTTACCGCGGAGACGTTGTCGTTTCTCGAGGAGGGTGGTGGTGGTGAGTATTTTACGAACGAGTTTGCGATACGAGAAGCCGGGTTCGGGGAGAAGTTGGATGAGTTCGAGAGGAAGTTGGTGATAAGTGAGGAGGATCGGATGAGGTTTGAAGATGCCGAAGAATAGATGTGCTCATAGATTTGCTCTTTTACTATCTAAAATGTACTGTTATTATAAAACTACTTCTTCTATTCTATGTGCGACGACCGATGCGCGTACGCGCTCACTTCGCCGTTAGCGGCGCCAACGAAGACGTCTCGGTCCGACCCAGTTTTGAAACACGCCGCGGTAAATATTCGCTCAGACGGAGAATTGTGTTTCTTCTTCTCATCATCATCGTGGTCGTCCCGTAACTCTAAATCGCGGAAGTCGTTTTCGTCTCTCAAAACTCCAGCTTCTTTACCCACGCGGAAAACGTTTTGTGCGAATCCAGATAAGACGATGTTCTTCTCGCCGTCAACGTTCACGCGCAACGAGGTATTTGCCGAAACGAGGGCATTTGCAAAACTCGACGTCGTCGTGGTATCTGCGGCAGCGACGATTCTCCCTCGCATTCTCGTTTCTAACGCGCAACACTGACCAGAATCGTCAACGGCGACGATAAATCCGAGCGCGTCGCCTAAGCCGTCGCCCAACGGCGCAAACGCAATCGATCTCGCGGCGATATTTCTTCGACTCGCGACGCTCTGTTTCCACACCGATTTCAAAGCAGACGAACGCGTATCGAATGCTTTGACGACGCCCGAATCGTGCGCAGACACGATAATGTGGCACTGTGGATCTACGAGTACGTCGTTCGCACCGTCGCCGGAAAATTCGTTCGTACCGAACACGCTGACTTCAACGCGTTTCTCGATGTCGCGAAGCGCAATCGCGCCGTTGGCGTGGGAAGTAACCGCACGGCCTTGTTCAGTCGACATCGAGGGAACTTTAATAGCAGTTATTGGTGTCAAATTGGTTGAACTAACGCGGTCGACAGACCCGTACTCGCCGTTATACGCAAAAAGATTGCCATTGGATGTGGAATACAACGCAATCGGGAGACGGCGCGCGTCAGAGGCGACAACGCTTTGTCGCAACACCGCTAAATTTGTAATCGTCGATGATGACGCTGGGACAGCACGAATGGTATGTCCGTTCTTCATATCGATGATGCGTACAAATCCGTCCGAACCAGTTGAATACGCGACGTTCGAATCTGCAAAACATTCCAACGCAGTCACCGCGCCGTTGTGCGTCCTCCTCGACCATTTCTTCACCACGTGCGAACCGTCAGCACCATCACCATCCGAAGGTTTCGGCGCCCTAAAGTTTCCTAGAACGACAGATTCGATCTGCTTATCGAGAGAAGTGTCAATTCCGTGCGCGTCGCTGAATGAACGTTCCAGCATGTTATTACTTGGCGACGCGGCTCTTCGTGAAGGCGAATCGTTCAACTTCAGCGCCTCGATGCCATTCGTGGCGGCGTCTTCTTCATCATCGTCTCCGACAAATAAATAATCGTCTGCTCTCCTCGAAACGAGACGGATAGTATCGATAACACTCGCGCGAATATCCATTGGTATTGGCGTGACCATTTCGTCCTCATCGTCGTTGTCGTCGTCGTCGTCGTTATCTTCTGTCGTCGTTCCTAAATTCTCGTACTCTAGTTGAGAAATCATCGATTGGCTTTTTCTATTCGTCTTCCGCTTGGCACCGACAGCGCCATCGTCTTTCCATCGCCTCCAAGCCTCGCGCCTCCTCTTTGCATGCACATCACCGAAGATTCTCTTCGGCGTCTGCCCAAACTCGTTAATCTGCGTTTCCAAACTCATCTGTTCGTCGATCGATGCCGCGTCGTCTACGTTAATCTCGCCTTCGTACGTTAAAGGGTGGAAAGAGTTCATTTTGTTTTTACAATCGTTCTGGAACACGCCAAAGATTAAATCAATCCACTCGTGTAAATGAACACTCGTGGTTTCGGATTCTAACGCTTTTCGGTTGATCGATGTAAATCGAACGGGGTCGTTTTTTGCCCATTGAGGTAAAACCACATCGTCGATTTTCGAGTGGGGCGCGGACGCGCGGTGGCCGAGATTGAGTTTCAAGTTGTTTCGAAGAAACTTCCGGGAACATTCCGGTATGTAAAACTCTGGTATGAGTTCTTTTAAATCCGCGTTGTTGTTTAAACACGACGACCACGTCTCCGATATAGATTTAAACAAGCGATCGGGCTTATCGAAAGATCCGTTTTGCAACTTTAAATTGTGCTTCGGCGCGCATCGAAGGAGGTAGAAGAGGACGTAACCCGGCGCAGAGTAATGGGTTCCGTATAAGAACGGTTTTTGAGAGTGCTGATTTCGCTTCTGCATGTCTTCCATGTGTTTCATTCGCTCTTGGAAGTATTTCAATCGCTCTGGATTCAACGCGCCAATAGGTTTCGATAAATCGCGGTACACCGAGGCGTCGGAGACGTCGATGTTCGCTCTATTACTGCTGTGTTTATCTGAATTGAAACCGTTATTACTGTCATTCTCACCACCGTACTCTTTCAAAATCCAAGGGAACACGAAATACTGCGCCACGTCGTGAAATGAGCGACCGGAGAGTGCGTTCAAATACATCAGGTATTCAAAGTTTGACACGTCGCCGATTTTCCACGCGTTCGTGACTTTCGAAATTGCCTCGACGTTTGTCGGGTCCAAGAATCTCGACAGAGTTGTCGTTTCGCTTTCACTCTCGTCGATTTTGTTCTTTAAAAGCGCCTCTATTACAGCTTCTCGCGCGGATTCAGAACGAAACGCGAATAAAACACTCGAACCGCGCATCATCGTCGATTTCGATTTATTGCTAACATCGTCGTCATCGCTCACTTCGTAAAACACCTCCACAGCAACTGGTCTCGACGCGTACCGCCTGCGAGCGACCGCGACGACGTCTTTCAAAGCCACCCAATTCGCTATATTTTTCTTCGCTTTGCTATCTCTCACAATCAAAGGTTGAAAATACAAATGCGCATCCGTCACTCGAACTCTCCCGGCTCTTCTCACCAACGGCGAAATCTTCGCCGCGGGTGCATCAAATCGACTCGTCTCCCCTTTCACCCTCAGATTCTTCTCATCGAATCGTAAATTACCTTCCCTTTGCCGAGATAAAAACGCCAGCTGTTCGCACTTTGTCTGCCTGTTTTTCTGCTTCGAAATGTTCAACAGCTTATTCGCCGGCGTTCGCAACCGCTGCTCGATGCTCTCCTCCCCGTCTTCCTCTTCTTCCATCGTAATTCTCCAAACGATCGTTTCATCTCTCACGATTTCTCTCCTCTCGTTCCCACAGATCAAAACTGCTTTCGCCGTCGAAATATCCACGGCATTCCGTTCCACTCTCGACGTGTCAATCGAAGGTCCAATCGCGTCTTCGTATTTGATTTTCACAATTTTTGCTTCTTTTCCTTCAACTCGTTCGCTCCTTTTCGTTCCTCCCGGGGATTCCCCGAACACTTGTGCCAGTGCACTCGTTCTCGTTCTCATCGTCCTCGATCCAGGCTCTTTATCTTCGTCTTTATCGGAGTCGTTTTTGGGTTCAAAGCACAGCGCGTGCGTGGTCATCCAAACCGTTCCTCGCGTTTTCCGTTCGTACGCGTTCGGGAGAGACACGCAAAGCAAAGAACAGTTTTGGACGACGGCGACGACGTCTTCGTGGTCCTCGAGGAAGAGGAACGAAAAGGAGGAAGAGGAGGTCATTTTCGCTATTATATCGTCGCAAAGATGATGAGACGTCGTCGTTCTCGCCGTGCCTCGTGCTGGCACATTTAGCAGAGAGAGTTCTCGTTGAAAGATTGGATTCGTTCGTTAAGAAAGTGAGGAAAAACAACTCTGAATAATCGACTTCTCGATGCAAAGAACATCATCATGGAAAAGGTGTTTAAAACGAACTCTGTGCGCGTAACACGAATAAAACGCGAGTATTAGTAGTATTAAACCTGGAACACCTTCATGCCTCTTCTCGCGGCGACTGACCCGGGACTTTGCATGCTCGCCAACGCCTCGAACACCGCTCGAACGGTGTTGTGCGGGTGATGACTCCCGTGCACTTTCGCCTTCAAATCTCTAATTCCAGCTAACTCACAAATAGCGTCGATGATATCGTTACACCGTCTCCCACTCCCTGAGTTACTCGGCATCATCTTCACTCTCGTTTTACCGCATTTTCCGTGCAATTCGTGAAAAATCGTGTGATTTTCAAACCGTTCGACAAAGGTCAGACTCCTCGCCGCTTTCTTGGTCGCTTTTTCAATCGCCGGGCCAACCTCGTTGGCTTTACCAGTCGCGAACCCAACGACGCCTCGACCGTTCCCGACGACCACCATGGCGGTAAAGTTCATCAATCCGCCCCCTTTCGTCACTTTACACGTCCTATTCACGTCGATGACTTTTTGTTTCAACGACTTCACCAGCGCCTCTCTCTCCCGATCCTCCTCGTCTTGAACGTTCGAAAAGACGCGCCCTTTCAACGCCTGATTCAACAAAAACCGTTTCTGTTTCGCCGGTGCTTCGTCGATCCTCCGTTTCATCGCCTCGTACTCTCGAATCGTCTCGTCGTCCATGAAATCTCTCGGGTCTTCCGCAGTCGCGCCGCGTTCGATGAACTCCAACGTTTCGCGCGGCGTCCAATCTTTCATCATTTTCCTCCCTGAATCGATGTCATCGATCGTCGATTGTGGATCTTCTTCTTCGTCGTCGTCGCTGCTGGTATCTTTACCTCCTTTACCTCCTGAACCTCTCGCGTTCGTCCACATCTCGCTCGAGAAATCTCGCACTGAAATCACCCTCGGCGGAGGCGTCGATTTCACACTTTTGCTCGTCACACTCATACCGTCATCATCATCTACAACAGTAACGACATCCTTTTCACTTTTTCGTCTCGATGAATCCCACGCGGTCCCCGTCCTCCAGTCGATATATCCGTCGTTCTTTCGCGCGTAATTCGTCCCGTGCATCGATCGCACATTCTCCCTAAAAACGTCCCTCTTCCTCGCGCGCGCGAATCCTACCCCGTTGCCGCTCATACCGTCAACGAAAGAAACTGACGACGACGATGCATTAACTGCCGCCGCTGCCGCTGCTACTCTGTGCTTTTGAGAAAGAGAGGACGAGGACGCGAACGCGTTCGTGAGTGCTCGACGCATTTTTCGTGTGTGTTTTGTGAGGTTTTTCGTAAAGTTTTTTCTTTGAAATGAAGGAAACATTTGACTCAAAGAAACTAGTATACGCTCTCTCCCTCTCTCTCACCGCGGAGAGGAGGAGGAAGAGGACAACGATTCTTTCTCCGCGTCGCTTTCGCTTTCTGCTACTACTGCTAGACTAATATCGCTATTATTGGTACTGTTACTGTTGTTGTTTTTGTTCTCGTCGACGACGGCTGAAATGGCTTTGACGAGCTCGGAAGGCGCGTATCGTCCGTTGGCGGTTTTCTCTTTCTTCTTCTTTTTTAATTCGCTTTTGACGACGCGCACTTTATCCCGGGTTAATTCCGCGGCTTTTATCGCGTCGTCGTCGACGATGAACTGACCGCCGTCTGGGGTTAATATGTGCGTGACGTATTCGGAGACGTGGAAGTCGATGGCGTATTCGGTGTGTTTTCGGTTCAAGGCGTCGACGATGGCGAGGATGTAATCGGCGGCGGACATGCCGCTCGTTTCGCGGTCGACGGAACCGTTAAAGAGGAGGATCTTTGGGCAGTTTCGTTGGGCGATGGTTTCGCCGACGTTTCGGAGAATCAAGTTCGGGACGATTGAGGTGTATAAAGAGCCCATGCCGTAGATGATGGCGTCGGAGGTTTCGAGTTGTTTGAGCATGGTTTTGTTCGCTCTCGGGAAGATTTCACCGATTTCGTTCGAAGCAGAATCCGAGCCGTCGCCGGTGGCGTAGTAAATGCGCTTGATTGGTGAATCGAGCTTCTCGGAGGCGGTGACGGCTTTATCCACGTCCCAGACGGATAACGGGCGCAAAGTCAAATCTACCAAACGGCTTTGGATCAACTCGGAGGCGGAGGAGAGGTTGCCGTCGGCAAGCGCGTCGCGAACGCGCGCGTGACCGTCCGTAGATTGTGGTATCCCACCCCAAAACTCTTTCCCTTCGATTTCCGGGAACTCTCCGGATTCGATGATATCGGTCCAGAATTCTTTAGAGAAGACGCTCGGAACCTCTTGTCGTCCGTCCTCCACGTGGAACTGCTTGGTGAAACTTTTCTTATCCACGGACGGGTGCGAAATATCGTTTTGGCCTCGAAGAATCGTTCCGTCCGTTAACTCGGCGTTAATTGTCACGCGTTCGTTATCTTCACACTCGATGCACGGCACGACCATGGTTTCTCTCGGTAACTTGGAAACTCGCGCGTATAAAAAGATCGCCGCTTCCATGGACCGGAAAAACATGCGAGCTCCGGCGAAGAAAAAGTTACCTATGGATCCGTTCACGAACGCGAAACGTTCTTTGTGCGTGTTCGTGGTAACTTCCGTGTGAAAGTGAACCAAAAACCGTCGAATAATTGTCGCGTACGCGTTATCGATGCCGTCCCACAGCGGCGAATCGCCTTCTTGAATCTTGTACCATTCATTTTTCGCCAACTCTTCATCCGTCGGGTGTAATCGATGCGCTAATAACCCCTTCACCGCGGTGGCTTCTCTCGTAGATTCGTCGGATAAACGCAAACACCGACTGCGAATGTCTCCTACGGCTGGTCCACCGGAAACTCGAATAATTTCCGAAGTCGACCCACCGTCGTCGGAAACCGGAAGCACGTGCGTGACCGAAGTCGTGTAATCTCTCAACGCGTCGCAGATGCCGTTCATAGCCGTCCCTCCAGAGAACACCAACAAAGACGACCCGGACGATGTCTTATTCTTCTTCCTTTTTATCTTCTTTCCCTTTTTCTTCTTTTTCTTCAAAGTCTCTCGTGATTCCTCGACGCAATCATCTCGTTCCGTTACACTCGTCGTCGCCGAAGAAGGTTTCGTCGACGTCGCTTCGCTCGCTTCAACATCACCATCATCATCTTCTTCGTCTTCGTCTCTCGCGACGACGCACGGATCGTCCTCGTCCTCGTCCTCGTCCGAATCGTCGTCCTCGTTCATGTCCACGTCGTTCAAATCCATCCAATCCGTGATCGCGTTCGTTCTCGTTCTCTCAGTACACTCCTTCCTCAGTACGATGAGAGAAGCGTGTGGTACGCGCGACGAAAACGAAGACCACGAGGACGCGCTTTTCGTCGTCCTCGTCCTTCCTCCTCTTCTCGCGTTGTTGTTTGCGGTGGTAAAAAAAGTGCCCCGCGTGTCTTTGTTGGTTTTCGCATTCGTTCGCATTCTCGTCGTCGTCGCAAAACCGCCGCTGCTCGTTAAAGAAGTCATCATCATCATCACGGAGAGAGAGAGAGATTATTCCAATTCCCAAGGGGACGGACAACAGACCAAAACGTGGTGATCCCTTACGCGCCTCCTCCTTTCGTCTCTCTCGAACGTTCGAACGGTGGTAATACTAATACTACTCCTCTCTCTTTTATCTCTCTCTGTCGCGTCTGTAAACTACCACGAATACGACTCACTCCTCTCTCTGAAAGTCTTTATCTCTGGTGTGTATTATTCCAATGACATTTGTGAGGTAAGTTCCACTGTTATTTTTTCTCTCTTACTCCACTCTAAAAAACACACTCGAAAGATGAGATATACGTGTTTTTGACGCTTTAAGAAGAAGAGGAAAACGAGAGAATCTGAAGAGAGAGAGAGAGAGAGAGTTCTGAACGAAGTTTTGCGTGTTGTGTGTGAAGAGGCGAGAGCGCGCTCGCTTCTGCGCTTTGAGATTTGATTCGATTCGATTCTTTCCCGAGTGGATTACTCTTCGAGAGATTTTCTTTCCCGAGGAGTACTTTAAAAGATGGTGGCGAAGACGAAGAAGACGAACGCGAAGACAAAAGGTGGTATTCAAAAGAAGTCGTCGTCAAACGCTGCGCTCGCGGCGAAAACTGCCGCTCTTAAGAAGAAGAAGAAAAACAACGCGAAGAAAAGCACAACACCAAAAGAAGAGAAACCAAACTCGAGCAAGTTCGGATTTTTGCACCGCGCCGACGGTACGAACGCGAAGAAGAACACTTCATCCTCCGCGTTCGAACGCTCCGTTGCCAACTTTCCAAAGTTTGACCCGGAAGCAGGGTCCTCCGTATACGGCGTTTCGTCGTTATCTCATAAAGACCACAAGCGATGGACGCTGGATTTACGTTCGGATTGGCGTTTCTTTCACGTGGTTTCCTTCGTCGTGAACTTTAGCGCGACATTGTTACTGCCAATATTCAAACCGGAGGAGTTGGAGCGAGGTTTGCTTTTCCCGGAGGAGTGTTCGAAGTTGATCGAGTTGATGTGTCGGTTGATGTTTTCTTCGGGAGAAAACGACGAGAAAGAAGGCGAGAAGGAAGTGGTGAAGGAAACGCTGACGATTGGCGATTGGGAGGGACAGTTGATTTGGTTGTGCGGCGAACTCGCGGATGAGAATCCGGACGAGTTTCCGCACGGGAATCCGTTGGATGAGCAAAACGCGTTCGTCGATGCGAGCGAAGCGAAGATGAAAAAGTTGAAGACGTTTTTCTCGGTCGATCCGATGACGCGATTGGATATCTTGTGCGCGTTGTGCGAAGATAAAGCGGTTCAAAGTGAAATCGTGAAAGAAAACATGGAGGATCGCGCCGAGCGCGCGAGAAAAGTCGCCAGAATCTTGGAAATGGAAAACGAGAGGAAAAAGAGAAAGGAGAAGGAGAAAGGTCAAAGGAAGACCGATTTAAAAGCATCGACTGAAACGTATTTCACCCACGACGCGACGGCGGAAGTTCTTCGAGACAGAGACGTCCACGGAAACTCTGTCGGCACCGACAGCGAAGGTCGGTATTACTTCACGCTCGGCGACGCGTCTCCGAGAGTTTGGAGGTGGGATAAGCTGAAAGAGGCGGACGCGAAGGAGGTATTTAGTTACGACGGCGTCGAGCCGGCGTGGCAAACAATTTCGTGCACGTTAGAGGAAACGGAAGCGTTAGCGATAGTATTAGAGAGATCCTCCGGGAGTGAAGATCGCGCGTTGGCGAGTTACTTAAAGAACGCGTTCATACCGCTCCACGCGAGACAACGCGCGATCGACCTGGACGCCAAAAAACGGAGAGAGGCGAAAATGAAAGAACAAGAAGCCAAGGAAAAGCGCGAAGCGGAATACCGCGCTAGAGAAAATAGAAAACGGTCCGGACGAATCGCCGTCAAAATGATCGAACAAGAACAAGCTCGGTTAGAGAAGATCAGACAGGAAAAGTGGGAAGCGGAAAAATTCGAACTACGGCGAGAGGCGTTGATTACCATGAACGACAACGCTCGTCACTGGATGTTTTTACCGTTGCGATTGAGAGAAAAAACGGACAAACCAGCTGGTTTGGCCGTGGATGCGTTTGTCGTGCAAAAAGGCAAAGGGAAACCCAAAGCGGTGTTGAACAGACCAGACTTAAACGCGACGTTTGTCAGTTTGAAAGATTTGAACAAAACGACGATTACGAAGAAGAATCAACGCCTGTTCGGTATGGCGTGCGTGGATAAATTTTTTTCAATCTTATGGCCCGAAGACGGAGGTTGGTACGACGGGTGCGTCGTATCTTACGACGAAGCGACGCGAGAACATTTCGTCGCGTACGAAGACGGATCGACGGAACACGTCAACTTGGATAAACAGAGAATCAAGTATAAACACGACGTGGTCGTGAAGAAATACGTGGACGAGGCAACAAACATCACGAGCTACTCTTGGTACAGAGCGAAGAAATCGACCGCGGAGAAGGAACTTACCATCGACGAGCTGATGTTAGAGTACGTGACCGGTCACCACCCGGGAACGGTGTTAGCGCTCGATACGAACGTTTTCGACGTGAGAAAATTTCATCGCCACAAACCGACCGGCGGCGAAGACGAAGAAGGAGCAAAAGTCGAGAGGGAAGAAGATGATGACATTGGAGGGGACGCGACGACTTTTACTACGTTCCCAGAGCGAGGCGACGATGAAAACGATGATGAAAACGACGGCATCAACGAAAGCGTCAAAGTGTCGACGTGACGATTGACGTCCGCGCGAAAAACGTATAAAGTAAAACTTTATAAGAAGAAGAAGAAGAAGAGCAAAAAAGAGTGCAAAAGTCAAGAGAAACGCAACGCAATAAACGCTCAGAAATGTAACGCGTTTAAGAAATAGAGAAAGATATGCGCGTTTAATGCTATACAACCGCCTCAATTAAGGATGCGCTTTTACCTGCGTTTTTCGTGACATTTTCATCTCTGATGCATTTTGGATCAAAAAGACCTGCCATTTTCGGAAAATACTCCTGATTAATTTCTCCGTCTTCTTCGTAAACACACACGCATACTTTTCGAGTCACTTTTCCTCGCGCACGATACACACATCCAAATAGCGTTGTTTTCCGTCGAGAGTACACTTTTTTACGCGTAAGAATATTAACATCATGAGCGATTTAGATTGGGACGACGAGGAGTTCGAACCATCTGCGGTCGTCCAAGAGAAAGCGCAATGGGACGACGAGGAAGAAGAGGAAGAGGAAGAAGTCCCGGTGGTGGCAAAACCGAACACGAAGAAACCAACGACGAAAAAAGCAGAGGTAAAAGCAGCGTACGTGGACGAAACCTTGGCGGACCCGATCGCGGAAAAACTGAGGCAGCAAAAGCTCGTCGAAGAGGCTGATTTAAAAGCCGCGATTGAGTTGTTCGGCTCCGAGGAGGATTTCAAGGACTTCAACTTGGAAACGTTCGAACCAAAAAACGCGAAGGATTTTGAAAAGCTCGCCACCGCATCCGTAAAGAAACACTTTTATACACACAGGAACAGTCCTCACTATAAAGTGGCCGTGAAGACGTTCATTAAAGTTGCGTTGAGCGAGTTTCCGGGCGCGGATGTGAAGGAGATTGAGTCGCACGTCGCGGCGCTTCGGAACGAAAAGATTAAGAAAGAAAAAGAGATGCAACAAAAGAGTAAGAAAGCGACGAGTGGGAGTAAGAAGAAGTTTATCAACACCGGGAGCACGAAAGGAGACGCAGGGTTGGACGATTATAAGTACGAGTATCAAGACGTGGACGATCAGTACGATTTCATGTAGACTTTTTTATTAGCGCCGTATTTAATTCATTCACAAACATTTTTGGATACTAATGTAAAAACGAACGACTTTTACGACTTTTGTGTGAAGAATGTTCGATCTTATTATATGAGTATTGTACACATCTAAGTTCGCGTGCTGCGATGCTATTTTGCTCTAATCCTACTATTAGTTATTACTATTACTCTATTGAACGGTTTGCGCCCATTTTCGTCGAAGTTCCGCGAATTCATTCTCCCAAGTAGAAGCGTTTACATCCGTACCGCCTCGTTCCATCGCGCGGTCGATTAACAGGACGCCCCCTTTTGCACATCGTTCTGCACCATGCATATCGCCATCTTCAATGCGCTTTTCGATCGTTTTCGTAATTGCGGTAGATGCTAATCGAATGCCAGAGACGGCATCATCCCCTAAAGCGATAATCGCGTCGCATATTTTCTTACGCGTCTTCGCGGCGAGCTTTCGCGCGTGCGTTTGTTCTTCCAGTGATTCCGCAAAGGATGGACCCGCAAGAAACGTGACGAGTAACGATACGACCAACGCGAGCTCGCAATTGTTCTTAAACCGAAACGAGACGAGATCGACGACACTTCCGACGATCGTTTCGCCGTTTTCTTCCTCCTCGTCTTCTTCTCCGTTTGCGCTCGGAGCGCCTTTAAACGGTTCGAGCAAAGCAGCCGCCGCGAGCGCTTTAATGGTAATCACCGATATTGACGGCAGAGCACCAAGCAACGCCAACGCTTCCAATTGAACATCTTGCGGAAGTTTAGTGAACGGTCCAGGAATCGGTTTTTGGCCTTGGACGCAAACGGCAAAGAAAGGAGCAATTTCAGATTCGATCTTGCGCATCGCTAGGAGTATCCCGGCGTTATCGTCGTTTTCGGTTTCAGTCAACGCGGTGTTTGCCAATCGTCTCGCGGCGTTTAGCAATTGATACGTCGTTTTCGGCTCTTTGTGCTTCATGGTCCACAGCGCTCTCGAGGTGAAGGAGATCCATTCCAGCGACGGTTCGACGACGTCCTTTCTTCGTCCTTTCTTCGCGCTTCTCTGGTCAATCATTTCAGAAAAGATTTCCACGCACGCTTTGCGTTTAAGTCCCGCAATTTCCTTCGCGTTTATATTCCCACTGCTCTTTTTTTTATTCAAAGTACTCGACACCGATGCGTTCCCGGAAGCCACTTGGTTCCACACTCGCGCGATCGCAAATCGAAGATGCTCAAACGATACATCAACGATTCCTTCGTGATGTACTAACAACGCATCTTTCGCGACGCGTAACAAATCCGCGTACCACTCATCTGGGGTTTCCACTTTGTCCCCAACTTCACCTCCGTCTAAAACAACTCCTGGAGGCGTAATAGCAGACGCCAACCACATCCTCGACGAGTAGCCGATACCTGGATACGCCTCTGAAACCAATCGGCGTTTCGAGATGGAAAGTAGAACTTTGCACGCTTCGACGTTATGTTTTGCTAAACTCGCGCAGACTTCGTTGTTACTCGTCGCGGTAGTATTTTTAGCGTCTCTTCTGTTGCTTTTGTTTTGCGCTTGTTTTTGTTTCTGCGAAGCGCCACTGCCGGCGCTCCCGCTGCCGCCCGGCGCTGATGCCGGAAACGCGCGGGATACTAAAAGAACTTTTTCGACTTTCTCCGCGAATTCAACCTCAAAGGCGTCGTTTGTGGTTGCATCTTGTAAGCACGCGCTGCCCGTTAACAATCGAATGCACTCCATCGCACGAATCATACATTCGACGCGTAAAACGTCCACGCCGTGTTCATCCCTCAAAGTCTCCGCGCAATCTTGCCACACTTTCAAGCAGTTCGCTCTGAGTTTACGAAAAGCAATCCTGGTCTCCGAAGACTCGGTTTCTGAGTTCGCGTCGAACGTGGTCGATTCGTTCGTATTCTTATACAAACGATTCGAAGAAACCGAAACTCGTGGATATTCGCGCTCGTTCTCTTCGTCGTCGTTTCGAAAGTTTACTCGAAAACCACCACGACTTACTGACGTCATCTTTATCTTACTCGCGCCAAAACTATTTTCCTTCTCTAAAGCTATTAAAAACGCAGCGCAACATTCCAACGACGTAATTTTCCCTTCCACGTCCCTTTTGGTATCGATATTTCCACCCGTGGATCCTTTCTTCGCTCTTTCCTCGCCTGAATCCAACAACGCGGCGTTAAACCGACCTAAAGTCTCCCTCGGCGCACGTCTCGTCACCATCGCTCTCGGCGCGAAATCAATCACCGCCTTCAACGCTTTCGGCGCGTCTTCTCTCACTCTCGCGTCCACGTGCGTCAACGCTGCCCCACACCTCAAGATAATCGAATCCGCGTGAGGCGAAATACCGTTTTCGTTTTGAAACGCGGGTAATAACCCATCTCTCAGGCACTCCAACGCGCTCTTCCTCACGTCCGCGTCCGCGTCCACGAACCTCGCGCACACCGCTTCGCACACCGCGTTCGCGTCCGCGCTCCCGCCGTTCCTCCGACTGAGCAAAGCTTCCTGCTTAAACTCCGAAAGTAACTCCAACATCCCTTCCAACGCTTCTTTCCTCGTCTTCCCCGCGTGGTGCGTCGTTCGATTCACGAGTTCTTGCATCCCCGTCCCTCTTTTCGTTCGCAACGTCCCATCGTTCGATGCATTCGCCGCCACGGATTGTTCCAAAACGTTCACGCGTTTCGACGTCACTTTCGCGTCTGTGTTCGTGTTGTTCGTTTTCTTGATCTTCTTCCCGACTTTCCGTTTCGTTTTCACGAAATCAATAGAAGAGGTTCCTTTGGTAAACTGCTTCGTCAAACCGGTCGATTCGCGTCGCTTGTCTTTCTCGAACGTTGGTTTCCCGGCGGCTTTCGCCGAGGCTTTTTTCGGGTTGTATCTCGGCATCGTATCGCGCAGTGCGCGTATAAAAAATCACCCAAACGCGTTCGGTCACTCTTCTCGCGCTTCCTCCTCGAGAAAGAGAAGCGCTTTCTTGTAAGTTCTCGCGTCTCGGTAGCACACGCTTTAAAGAACTTTTCAACGACACAAGTGGCGATGGAATTCTCTTTTTTTTGGTCAATTAAATTTTTTCCAATTTATCCATTTTTTCTCTCTCCTCTGCGCACACGAAACACACGAGATGAACATCTCCGCCTCTTTCTCGGCGTCAAAAACGACGATGCCGTCGTCTCGATCGTCCTCCCGTGCTTCTTCTCGCCGAGGCGCGTCGTCGAAATCGTCGGGTGGTTTTTCGCAACAAACAAACGCTTTGGCGACGAAAGCGAGAAGAAACGGGATGATGAGGAAAAACGTATCTTCTTCTGCGATGAGTGAACGAGAGATGTGTTCTTCTTCAACATCGAACGACGACGTCGAAAAGGAGGCGGTGTCTACGCGAAGAAACGCGTTACTTCTGAGCGCGTGTGCGACAGCTTTTGGTTTTTTCACGAATGCGGAAGAAGCGGAAGCAGCCGCCCCGGCGGAATTCGCCGAGGAGACGTTGAAGATGATCAACATGACGAAAGATATTCTCAACGGGAAAGATTACGACCAAACGAAGAAACAGTACGATCCGGCGAAATTGCAGGAGTTCGAGGAATATCGCACGTATTGGTTCGATAAGTACCAATACCAACACGGGAAGTCGTTTTACGGGTACGCGAACACGTGGAATGCGCAAGCGAAGGTTGCGTTTCAGGTTTCCATGTCGAGTAAAGAAGGCGCGAAGAGCGAGTACCCGAACGGGTTCGATCCGGAGAGCACGGCGTATAACAAGGCGTATTTGATTAAGATTTTGGATAAAGCGGAGGATGAGATTAAGGACTACGAGAGCAGAAACGCGTTTTAATTATTATATATCATTATGTTGTCGTTGCCGAATGAGTAGTAGTTTTCCCTCGTCGAAGTTTGTCACCGCGCCGCCTTGCGAATTTTAACTACGCGAACTTCAAACAAAAGCGGTTCGGTGCAATGCGCTTCAATCTGTCGTCTTTGCCCAAACTCAGGCGGTTGCGGTTTTAAAATTTTCGGCGCGCTCGCGTACCCAAACTCTGGTTTCACTAAAAACTTCCGCACTTCGCCTTTTTTCATCCCAACTACCATTTCCGGAATAGTATCGACGAACCCGTCCGCGATGGCCCACCGTTCCGGGTCGCCGTTTCCACATCCGATGCCGCAATCCGCGTTGGAGTAAATGAAATACCCATTCGCGCGTCGCATGACGTAATCCACGTCGACGACGTCGTTTCTTTCTACTTCCTCCTCCCCGCTTCCAGACGCTAATAACTCGTATTTCAAACCCAGTCGCTCTGTTTTCTTTATGATTGGGTCTGCATTCGACGGAGGGGGAGACGCTAAACCAGGCGCGCTGCCGTCGTTTAAACTCGCCCACTCCGATGACTTGGCGAAAGCTGCGATGTTGTTCGTAGCAGAAAAGGCAGCTGCGGTCGATGATGCCAACAGCATCTGTCTTCGATTCCTGTTTACGAAACAATCCGCGTCAGATTCTGTTAAAACTCTCTCGTCCAAATTCTCATCGCGTTCTTCTTCCGTTTTACTTTCACCGTCGAAAACGCGCGGCATAAAAGGGGCTTTCCGTTTTGTCCTCCGACGCGTCGTCGTCGAGTAACGATGGTCATCTCGAGAGAACGAGGGAGTGTTCGTCCTCGTTCGAGCAGCAGCGAGTTGTTGCATATTATATCCTTATTCTTTTTAGGGGAAAAGTCAGAAGGGGGTTTTCTTTTGTGGGAAAAACGTCAATTTTTTTTTTCTCTCTCTCTTTTCGATCTGATCAAACACACTTCGCGCGTTTCGCGCGCGCGCGTTTGAAGGCGATGATGTAAGTCAAAATAGATTCAACCTGAGATGCTGATTTCACCGTCGCGCGCGCAGGAGGAGGAAACGCGCGCGAGGGTGACCCGTGCTGAACAAGAATCACTGAGCCTACACGTTCCAAGAGAGAAGAAAAGAGGTTTGGTTTTGTATCTCGTAACTCTTTGTTTTTCGTTCCTTCGTATAGCGCGCGCGATGATGCAGAAGGGAACGGCGAGATGTTTACAAGGCAATGATGTATACAATCTGTTAAATGTTGAATCTGATTTCGTCCGAGTGGTGCGCGGGCACACTTGGCGGTGACGAGACACTTTGCGCTGAGCCTGTTCGTGGAACTCTTTTCTTCTGTGTATCGAGCTCGTTTTTTTCTCTCGGAAACAACCTTTGGATGTGCGTGCGTCATATATGCATGAAAGCACACACAAGACGGCGATGATGAAGGAAAAGAAGAGTGTCGGATGAGTTTAGTACGGTGATATAACATTTTTAAACTGAGCCGGTCGTTTGCGCGTTTCCGAGAGTTTCTCTGTTTCTTTTCTTTATCCTCTCTCTTTCGTTCTTTCGGCGGCGTTTTCCGAGCGAGAGAGCGCTCGCGGCGACGGAGAATATACTAAGGTTTTTGGTCTTTTAATCGATGACGGGGTCGCGATAAAATGTGCAGCGACTGGTGTGACGAGGAAAGACGCGAGTAGTCAGATACTCAAGGCAATGATGACTTAAAAACTTTTTGTCGAGTATGAAGCTGAGTGCGAAAGATGATGTACAAATTTAAACTGAGCCTAAAGTATTCAATCGAAAAAAGACACGCGCAAACGTTGCTATGGTTAAATTTTAGTATTGATCATTACTATCGATGATTTCCTTTCATTAATACGTGTATCCCTACTACTCCTCTCTCTCTCTCTATTATACATATATCGTCTAGTATGCGTGTTTCCTATTATTCTCTCGGTAAAGGCGCGCAGTAATCATCCGCGAAGGCTAAAATTGAACTTCTCAAAGAGTGATTCAACGTCAGTTTTTTCTGCGCCAATTTCTCGCCAGTGATCGGACTCGTGTCGTGCTTTTCCAACCATCTCGCAATGGAGTTTCTATCGTACGAGTGACCGTCGCTCGTGATGACTGGTTCTAACATAACTTCGCACGTGATGCAATCGTAAAACTCTTGCGGCACTTTCATCGTCGCCGAGGCGATTTTGATCTTGGCCGCCGCTTCAACCATAATCGGCGACGGTTCTTTTATGCTCGGTTCTTCTTCGACGACGGGGACGAGATCATCCACGTCGACTTCGAACAAACCATCAGAAGCCGAGTACCCGTGGTATAACATTTGGTTTTGATGCAAAAAACCATCTTTGCTGGGAGATCTGTCGTGCCCTGCGCCTCGCGACGACAAAGACAGTGGCGGCAGAGGCGGAGTCGGACTACTGTTTGGCGGGCCACTGGTAGTAGCAGCGGTATTAGCACTATTCGTATTCGTCGACGCCGTTGTGGTTGTGGACATGTACGCTACTGACGCTGCAATTCTCCTCCTTGGCCCAAGAGGTAATCCTAACGATTCTAAATCGCGTTCGCGAAGCAAGACTAAATCGCTCATCACGATGGATTCTCGTTCGAAAATCTCGGCGAATTGTTCCAAGTTGAGCATGCGAAGCCATTCTCGCACTTCCGTGTTGTTCGGCATTTGTTGCGCTGCTAAAGGTTGCGCTGGCGGTGGACCAGGTGGTAACGGCGGTTGCCCCGTAACGTTCGGTTGACGCACTTTTGCAATGTCGTCGTCGTCGTCAAATGGACCGAACACGTCGTCGCCCAAAGAGGAGAACGTCAAGCCCAAAACGTCGTTCAACGCTCCGTCCGAAGCGAACGAATCCGTGCGTTGATGGACAAGCAAATGCGCCGGCTGATGACCTCTATCTTCACCACCAATTGAAAGATGCTCGCCGCCTCCAATGCTACCAAATCCAGGAGGTGGTCCAACTGCGGATCTTGAAATTTCTCTCTGCGCGGCTTTGTCCTTGTGCAACTCGTCGAGATGAATCGGCGCCATCGGAGGCAACGGCGTCTCGTTCATCTTAACAGACGTAGTTGCGGACGTCATTTGCTGCTTCGCGCGTACGGCACGCACGACATGCTCGGGTGGCGGACCCGGAGGTGGTTTCGGCAGGTTAAAGTGCGGCGACGGAATCTGTTTCGGACTCGTCGGTCCTCCTCCTCGGTGATGTTGCTGTTGATGCTGATACATTTGCGCCTCGGCCACGTTATGTTGCTGATGCATCTCGTTGCTCGCATTGTAACTGCTCTCCTTCGCTTTACTCTTCGCCTCTTCTTCTAACTTTTTCTTCTCCTCTTCCTCTTTCTCCGCTAACCTCTTCAACCGTAACTTTTCCAACTCCGCCTCGTGCTCCAACGCTCTCAATCGTCTCTTTTCAATCAACTCCTTCTCCTTTGCCTCTCGAGCGATTCTCTCCGCCTCTTCTCTCTCAAAAATCATCCTCTCTCTTTCCAATCGTTCGTTTTTGAGACGCTCTTGTTGCAACTTGAACTCCTCCAACGCTTCGTCGTCGATTTTCACTTCCTTCGCGCCGCCTTTGTTCCTGCTTCCTTTTTTACTACCGGAAGCGGAGTTGAACGCGTTCGACGCAGACGTTTTCGAAGACGACTGCGGCGGCGTTACCGGCGATCCCGGTTGAGAAGACGATTTATTCATGCTATTCTCGTCCTTGTTCTTCTTTTCCTCTGTCCTCTCTGCGATGTTACCGTTATTCTCCGCGTCGCTCCTCGCGCCGTCGCCCGCGCGCGTCGTCGCGGTACAAATCCTCCTCTTTCTCTTCTTGTAAAACACAAAAGCGGACCCAAGAGTCATCGCGATTGCTGTTGTTCCCAACATCACCACTCGAATGCCGATGTTCCCTTCGGGGAAGAGCACGTTTATCATTCTCTCGTTGAACAATGCAACGACAGAAAAGACGCCGACGAACATCATCAACATCATCAAAGCCGCCTTCGGGGCTTTCGAAAGCGTTTTCATCGTCGTCGATGTTTCCGTCGTCGTTTGTTCGCTCTCGAGAGTATTCACCGCCATTCTCTCGTTCTTTCTTCACGAAGCGAAAGAAACCCCTTCTTCTTCCGCTCTTCTCTTTAAAAAGGAGTAGGAAGAGGCGTAGAAAACGACTTCCGCTTAATCTCTCTCGGAAGGATTAAATTCTTCCGCACTTTTAACAAAATCCCCGCGTGTCGTTCTGATGAATTAAGAGTAGTTATTACTCCTCTCGCACTTTTGCGCGAAGAAAAAAGAACAAAATTCGAACCCCGTTACTCAATATTTACTTCTCTCTCTCTTTAGAGTCTTCTCCTCTCTTCCTTTTGTCTGCAAAACAATCTGTATGTACTCTATGTTTAGAGAAGCAGCGAGTGAGGCGATTCTTTTCTGAAGCGATTGCACCAAAGAGAGAGAAAATACGTGAAAAAAGATATTTCGGCCAATTAATGTTAAACCCTATTATTACCCAGTAGGCGCGAATTCGCGCTCTTCTTTGTTTTTTATTCCTCAACGAGCTCCACTTCAGTCACATTTTTAAAACCTTTTTGCTCTGTTTGTTTCTTCTTGGAAAGACGAGGAGAGAAGGAACGAAGAGAGAGTTTGAGAGATCTGATACGGAGATCTGTTGTTGCGTTTGAACACCGAAGGAAAAGGGGAGAGAGAGAGAGAGAGAGAGAGAGAGAGAGAAAGAGCGAGAGAGAGAAAGATTATTATAAGATTAGATTTTAGGGAAAAAGAAGAGAGAGATGTCGAGATACGTGCACAAAGCGCGAACGCTCGCGCTCGAATCCGCGACGACGGTCACGAACACCGTCTTACCGTCGATAAAGAAGTCTCTGGAAACGTCCATCGCGAAAAATGCGGAGTTTATCGTCAAAGACGAGCAGCAAGCGGCGAAGCTCCCGAAGCAACTTTTGTATACCAATCTCGCCCGAATCCCGAAAGCGATCGAAACGGCCGAACGAGAAGCGGGAGTGGTCAAAGAACGGTGGCAGAAAGTGGACGAGATGAGCGTGAAAGAAGTAGGGGTGGCGGTTTTGTTCGGGTTAGAGACGTACGCGTGGTTTTGCGTCGGGGAGATTATCGGGAGAGGTGGGAGTTTGACCGGGTATTAGTTTGTTTGTTGGATCGCGCTCGTCGTGTGATGATGATGACGACGACGACGATGATGACGAGCGATGGGATCGCGCTCTATTACTACTACTATTATACTAAAACGAGTACTGCTATTACTACTACTACTACTAAAACTACTCTTCAAACAACCTTACTAATTGTTACTGTTATTCATGCGTTATTATTATTCAAAACCTGGCGGCGCTTGGCCGGGCGGAATGTACGCGTTCGCGTCGAATCCAAAATCTTCTTCGAAACCATCTTCGTTCTCTTTATTCGATTCCAAAGCGTCGTCGTCGTTTACGTCGTGAAAATCGCACGCGTCTGCTTCGCCGCTTTCTAACAGTTCTAAAGAAGTTTCCATGGCCCTTTCGAACTCCTCCGAAGAGAAGAACATATTCAACTGTCTCTGCATTTGCTTCGCGTCGCAATCGCCGATGCCTAAGACGTTACCTAAGACCTGGCGAAGTCGCTTCGATGAAACGCCGAGAACGCCGGCTTTTGTCGTTCCTTTCAATCCCCTTCGCTCCATGTCGTCCACAGTCATCCATTCCAAAAGCCCTTCTGTCGTTGTTGCCGTTGCCGTTGTCGTTTCACTGCGACTACCACTCGTTGTCGCTTTTATCGTCCTCGGTGCTCTCGCTTCCTTCACCGCGACTCGTATCGCTCCATCTGTCGCAAACTCAACCCCGCAATCGTTCACTTCGTGCCATTTCGTCTTCTTCTTACACCGCGCTCGATACCGCGACACGAACGCGTGTTTCGCTCGAGGTAAATATTGGATAAAATTTTGTCGGTACTGCCTTCCTGCGACGTCAGGATCGGTAAACACAATCACTTCCTCTGCCTCCACGATGCCTCTTCTTTCCCCGTCGCTTCCTCTTTCTTCTTCTTTTAGCCATCCGGCGTTGCGTTCCACCGCGCGCACGATATTCGGTTGAATTTTCCACTTGTTCGCCTTTACATCGAAATACGATCCTCGCATCGCGAACACCGCGTTCGGGTGCGCAACGTTCAAAGCTTTGCGAACGCGTTTGGCGTCGTTTACGCCTTCCACGACGACGATCAGTGATGGTGGTTCGTATTTCGTCTTCTTTTCTTCTTCCTCTTTAAAACAATAACAACGGTTCAGACGACGAGGATTTTGCCGCCAAAAAACGGGAGCGTTTTTGTTGTTTCTGGACGTCGCCGTCGTCGTTCTCTTACCCTCCTCGCGTAGAGAAAAAGAGACCCGCGACGACGAGGAAAAGGAGAGCGACACCATTTTCTCCTAAAAGTCGCGAGATGATTAAAGAACGACGACGCGTTTGTTTTTTATGATGCGTTACTACATTTGCTTTTTATTCTTATTTTACATTTTCCCCTACCAGAAGGGGTGTTTTGAGTGCGATATCCGCCGCGCGGCGCGGCGCTGCAGCGGCGAGTGGTCGCAAAGCTGCGAGTGCCATTGCTTGCATACTATATTCATTGGACTTTCTCTACTGACGAGGAGGACCCCGACGGAACAATCGCAACACCTTCGTCTTCACGCTCTCTTTCACCGTCTTCTTCTCGGCTTTGTGCAAGTTTTTCACGTGCAATCTTAACAACTTATCGTGCCTCTCTTTCTCTCGCTTCAACTCTTTTTCGTCGACGTCGGATTCGGTGTCGCTACCTTCGTTTTCGTCGTCGCTGGAAGTGGTGCTCTCGCCGAAGAACGCGTCGTCGTCGTCCCGGAACTCTTGCTTCGCGAGTCTTTTCGCTATGGCTTCTAAACTTTCCGGCTCGCCCGTTTTGGCTTTTTGCGTCTTCTTCTTCTTCTTTTTCTTCTTCTTCTTCCTCGCGTCTTCGTCTTTGTCTTCGCTCTCCTCCAATACTACGCCGCGTTTCTTTCGCAACTCTTTCTCGTACCTCTGTTTCGCCGCCTCTCGCGCTTTGCGCATCGCAATCATTCTCTGCACTTGCGCGTAATCAAATATCTCCGCTTTCTCTAAAATCTCCCCATCCTCGGAGGTTTTGACCACGTTCCCAACTCGTCTGGCGACGTGATTGTCCCACGCCAAACGGACGAGTTTGAACCTGTTTTGTTGTTCGAGAAGAAAGGATTGATTCGTTTAGTTAGTTAAAAAGTCAGCGAAAGAGCAACCGCTTTCTTAAGAGCGAGAAGGAAATATTTAATCGAGAGGGATGAGGAGAACCACAAGCGACGACGAAGGCAACGGTGGCAGAATCATCGCTTTTCTCTCTCTCTTTCTCGAACTCCCCCTCGTAACTCGAGAAAAGAGAGAGAGAGAAGAACATGGCGCGCGCGCTCGCAAACGAGTTCAAATTCGAGAGAAATGTTCCAAAACGTTCAACAACAACCACCAACCTCTCCTCGTAACTCGCACGTTTCGCGATCGGTTTCCCGACGTGTCTGTCCGGGTGAAACCTCAACAACGCTCTCTTATATACCGCGGGCACATCTCTCGGGTGTACTTTCGCGTCGAGCTTTAAGAGTCGTTCCAAGACGACGTCGATGTTCCCTTGCGCGGCTTCGGATTGGAGACCAGACTTGACTTGTTCGAGTTTTTCCCGGTCCTTGTGTAAAGTGTACGACCGATCGAGCTTCGCGTTCGGCGAGGGAGGCGGCGACATTCTTTTCGCGTTATGAAATAAAAAAGTCGCGTCGTGCGACGACGAAAGCAGAGCTCAAGGAAAAGAAGCGCTTAAAGAGTCGTTAAAGTTATGCGCGCGCGCTTTGCACTGAAGAGGTTTGGGATTTAAAACAATTAAAGAATCCAATTAAAATAAGAGTACGCAGAGAAATGCGCCAGCACAGAATTTCAAAATTATTCCATAAGGTTCACTCTAGTAATATGTATTAAAACTCTCCGCGAGACTAACTTCCTATTCCGTATTGATTCACAGATGTCAGCACGGATTGAACGTAGACTGATGAATGCGCAATTTCTTAATTAATGTGATGGTACACCGGCATACGCCGGCTTCCAAAGGCTAACAACAAGTTCCGACGAGTAAACTGGGCGTTGACGACGGGGCAATTTTTCGTGCGGAAGGTTTTCGTCGGCGCGATTTTCGGGATGATACCAGTCACGACGGATTCTAAGCCGTCTTTGTGGTCCCAGATGCGCACGGTGTCGTCGGCGCCTGCGGAGGCGAGGATTTCGCCGCCGCCGCCGGAGTAGTCTAAGCTGTAGACCGCGTTTTCGTGGCCGAGCATGGTTTTGAAACAGCGCGCAGAGTCCAAGTCCCAGGAGTGGATGATACCGGAATCGTCCGCGGTGGATATGGATTGACCGTCTGGGCTAAATGCTAAAGCGGTGACACCGCTGGTGTGTCCGGCGAAGAGGCGGGTGCATCGACCGGTACTGACGTCCCATAAACGAACGGTTCTATCGGAGGAACCAGTGGCGACGTAGTTGGAATTCGGGTGCCACGCGACGCAATCGACGTCGCCGATGTGGCCGCAGAAGGCTCGGATCGGGGAGGATAATTCAGTCGTCCAGATTCGACAGGTTCTGTCGTGGGAACCAGTGGCGAAATAGTTACCGCACGAGGCCCATTTCGCGCACCAAATCGGGGTTTGGTGGCCTTTGTACGCGCAAAGTGGGATTTCGAGTTCGCACGACCACATGCGCGCGGTACAATCTCGAGAGACGGAGAGGAGGTAGATGCCATCGGGTGAGTATTGAACGTCGTGAACGGGTGCGGAGTGACCGATGAATTCCTTCACTTTCATGGATTTCCCAATCTTATCGCCGCGTTTGTATACTTTTTTGGTCTTTTCCTTATTTTCGCCGGTTTCGGTCGTCGTCCCGCCATCCGCCATTTCTTTGCCCCCAACTTCTTTTTCGTCGTCTTCTTCGTTATCCTCCTCGTCGTCGTTTTCGCCACTCGTTAAATCCCACGTTCTCACCACAGAATCAGAAAAGCCGCCCACAACTTTCTCCACGTCTGGCGACATGCTCGCGCAAATCAACTTGCCTTCCGCGTGCGTGAACGTAAAGAAGCAACAGGAAGGTAAATTGTCAGACGTCACTTTCACTCTGTTCGAGAAGTCTTCCAAAGCTCTCAATCCGTCGTCGTAATCGTACTCGGGAATTGGTATCTCGCTCTCCACGAGCCTGGGATTTCGTAAGCGACTGATTGTCGGAGGCACGTTCGGCACGTCTATCTCTCTTCTCTTCAAAACCTTATACCCGTCGACTTCGATAGTCTCTTCGTCTAAAATTTTCTCTTCTTTATCGTCGTCGTCCTCGTCGTCGTCGTTCTCGCTGTCCGAACCTTTCTTTTTCCTCTTTTTGTAAATCTTCTTCGGTTTATACGCGGCCACTCTCGCGTCTTCTCGTTTGATCGCCTCTTCGTGTTTGGCTTCGATTTCCCGAAAAGCTTTCTCCGCTTTGATTTCTAAAGACTGTTCGAGTAAACCAAATCTCCCAGGTCCGCTGTTATACGCGGCAATCGACGCCGTCGTCTCCCCAGTTACGACACCGCTGAAAACCGCGTCTATGCTTTTCTCCTCCTCCTCTTCGACAAACATGGACGGTGAGTCCCTCTGCGTAATTTTCACGCCGACGTTTTCGTTCAAGATGGCTAAACACTTCGTCGCGCCGTTCCCGTCCGAGGCTCGTAAAAACCTCACCAACAAATCGAACGATTGAAAACACATCTCGATCGAAAACTTGTGCTTAATAAACTTCATCGCGCACGGATCCGTCTCCACGTGTTCCGGCAACGCTACGCCGCTCAACCCTCGAATATCGTCGCAGTGCGCTCTCACGTGGTCCTCGTGAAACCTCGCGAAGAAGTCGCGAGACTCTTCCACTTTGTTCTTCTTCACCAACGTCAAGTAACAGTGCACGAACATTGGAAACAGAACGCGCAGTAACTCCGGTTTGTACATATCTAAAGCTCCGAAAATCCAATCTCTCACTCTCGCGTACCCGTCCAGAACCTGCTCGGCGTTGAACTTTCCGCCTTCCTCCTCGAAATCATCCTCCACGGAGTGCAAGACCAGCAAATCGCTCAACGCCGCGTCCGCGCCTAACGCGACTAAAGACATCGAGCTCGTCGCGTCTTTTTGCAGTTTCGCGTCCACCACGAGCGCTCGCTCGGCGTTTTTAAAACCTCGCTTTTGGAGGTATTTCAGAACGACCGTGTCCAAAGGTTGACGAATCGATTCCTTTTCGCGACCACTTTTGTCGCCCGTGGTGGCGGTCATGTATCTCTGAATTCTCTCTTTAACTCTTTCTTGTTTGTTTGTGTGTGTATATTATATCAAAAGATGTCGTTCTCGTCCTCGTCTCGTCGCGTGTAGACGCTTTTAAAGAGAGTAAAGCGAGTGAAAGAACTGAAGAATTTTCTCCCACTTCGGATCGAAATTCAAACGATTTCCCCGCACTTTTCTTCCACTCGTACACATACTGAGTCGTCGTCGTAGTAGTAGTATTAAAGATGTCGTCGAGAACGATCGTCTCCACGACGTTGGCGTACACGGGAGGGTACATATTTCTCGTCCTCTTGGCGGTGTGTTTAGCCACCGGTACGTGTACTCTTCCTCTCGCTCTCGTGCTCTTTCTTTCCCCGCGCGCAATTATAAGTTTTGATTTTCGTCGTAAACCAAGCGAGTACTGTACGAGTCTTCCTCTCTGACGAACTCGTTACCCTCTCTCTCACTGTCTGCGTGTTTTTACTCTCGCGCTTTCATAAAACAGGTCTGTATTACCTCGCGGAAATGGTCGAAGAGTACACGCGTTTTGCGAAGAAATTCCTCCAAAACGCGATCAAAGCTACCGTGTGTATACACGTGCTTTTATTTTTCGTCGACGGCATGCCGTTTACCGCGTGTCTCGTGGGAGGTTTGTCACAAATCGCGTATTCGAGATTACTCAAGAGATACCCGTTTATTGAAGTACAAACGATGGAATTCATGGGTTCAGTCGTGATGTTGATCTTAACGCACGTGTATTGGATGCGATACTTCCGCGAGGAGAGGTATTCGACGGAATACGCCATGGGATTTTTCTTGTGCACGACGTGGTTGGTGCCGTTTGGGTTTTTTATTTCCTTGGCGGCGAACGAGAGCGTGTTGCCGGGAGGCACGAGTGGGATTGGGGGCGGTCCCGGAGCGGCGACGGGGGGGATTAGTGGGAATGGCGTGTACGGTCCGGGATCGAACGGGAGTAATAGCAGAGAGAAGAAACGAAGCAACGTGGTGTTGCAAATTTTAGACTGGGTGAAGATGAAGTGGGAGATGCTGGTGAGGGTGGTGTTTCCGAGAGGTGTCCAAGCGTCGTATAAGAGCGGGTTGCACACGTATTAAGAATAAAGAAATATATATATATGTGTGTGTGCCTATTGAGAGAAGAATCCCCGGGGAGAAGAATCACTACATACTTGAGAACTACTCGGAATGAAGAGTTGTATTAGTGTACAATTTGTATAAGTAAATAGATAAACTACAGAGAGAGGAAGATTAAACCAGCATCGCGTCATCGTTCCCTGTTTCTTGAGTATCCGTCGTCATCATCGTCGTTGACGACGCATTCAAGAGCTTCGCGTTGATCAGTCTAAGCGCCTCCAAGCTTCCGCCTTTCACGAAACAACTTCTCATCGCCTCTTGCGCTGCATCCACCGCATCTCTTCTCCTCTCATCGTTACTAGCCATCGCGTCGTTGCTACTCAGAAAAGCTCCAGTCTCCGCGATCCTCTCCGCTTGGTGCAACAACGGCTGTAACCTCTTCGCCGTCTCCACCACCGATCGACACGCCTTGGCGCCTTCCCACGCGTTCTCGTTCGTCTCTCTCAAAGCCACTTCCGGGATTTCCCCTAACTTCTTCGTCAATTCCCCGTGCATCTCGATTTCCTTCGACAACCCTTTCATCTCGGATTTACTCCTCATCGTCACCGCTCTCGATTTCGCGATTCGTCTTCTCAAGCTTTCCAAGCGTTCGTCCAACGCTTTCTCCTCCTCCACCGAACACTGCGGTAAATGTTCCACCGTGTGCATCGTTCTCTCGCTAAAATCGGACGGTAACTTCACAATCTCGTGCGGTACCGTAAAACATCTGCTCGACGCTCTCGAGCTGAACTGAGAAAAATGTTTCGAAATGTTCCGTTGCGCGTGTTGATACAGCGAGTCCAAGCCTTTTTGAATTCGCTCTTGCTGCTGGTGTTGGGGGTGATTCCCAGAATCCATCATTTGTGTTCGAATGCATTGTTCGAGCGTATCGAAGCCATCCGCGGCGTACACTTCCACCTGTACAAGCATAAAAAGAAGAGAGTGAGAGAAAGAAAGAGAGCGAGAGGTCAGTTTCTATAAAACTCGCGCGTTCGTATCCCGCGTTCGCAAAGCAACGCATCCATCGAATTCAAATTCCCGTAGGGGGAAAAGAAATAATTTCAAAAATCATCGTAAACTCTTACCGCGTTCAACACGTCGTCAAGAACGTCTCGCGACCGTAACTTTTCCTCTTTCACCTTCTCCGGGTTTAAGATGTCGTCTTTCGTGCGTCGAGGCCTGTGTGCGTCGTTTTCATCGTTCGCCGGTGGTGATTCCGTCGCGTTTATTTGCGCGTTTACGACCATTTTTGTGTCTTTTTGTGAAGAAAAAACGGCCTTTTTTGGATCATTTTTTCTCCCTTAAAGCGGCATTGAACATGCCAATAACGACGACGAAGAACAACATAAACAAGAGAAAAAGAAACGACTTTGAGAAAAACGAGGATGATTCAGACGATAAAGGCCAGTTCGACGTGTCGGTGTTACTCCCGGTGCACAACGCCTTGCCACATTTAACCTCGTGTTTACTGTGTTTATTCGCACAAGAGAAGGTACGATTGGAAATCATCATCGTGGATGATTCGAGCACGGATGGAAGTTTCGAAAGGATTGGTGTGTGTAAACGAGCGTACGAAACACTAAAAGAAGGAGAAGGCGGGGAGTGGAAATTGACGGAAGACGAGAAGGAGGAAAAAGAGGACGTCGGAAATGATTTCTACGCGAACAAGGTGGAGTGTAATTTGAGGGAAGAGTTTGCACACTTGGAGGAGGAGGAAAGAGGAAACGACGATACGTACGAGCGAATCGTGCGGAAATATTGCAAAGGAAAGAGGCATAAAATAATCCTTAGGAAGTTAGAAAGAAGCAAAGAGGTACGGTCTGGACAAGGGTTGGCGTTGAACCTGGCGTATAGTTTGTCCACGTGCGAGTACGTGGCGGAAATGGAAGCCGACGATATGAGGCCGCAGAGATGCTTTTACGAATTGTTGAACGCGTTGAAGTTGCGGGAGGATTTAGACGCGACGTTTAGCCAGATTTCGTTGATTGGCGATTTACCTTCGAGTAATGCGCCGCAAGAGGGATGGATTGGGATGGAACGGTTCAGAAGGTGGCAAAATTCATTGACGTGTGGTACTACGGAGATGGCGCCTGGGCGATACATAGAGATTCCCGCGATGCGAGCGAGCGGCTGTTATCGGAGATCATTTTTGGAGAAGAAAATGAATTTGAATAAAGAAGGGGAAGGGGGCATTAGAATATACGATGATTTGTGGAGAATAGGAGACGAAGTGGTCGATTTCGCCGTTTCAGAAGAGCAAAGAACGTGCAGTAGTTTGAAGAGAAATCCCAATCACTGGTGGCCGGTTGACGTTTCGTTCCTCCATCGCGCGTTTAATAGTGGCATGCGTTGCCATAAAGTAGAACGACCGATGTACTGGTGGCGACAATACGCGAAGCAATCGACGAAAGTACACGATAGGTGCAGCTTAGAGCGCTTGCGAGCGGCAAAAGTACACTACATGTTGAAGGAGGATGGACCGTTAGGCTTCGCCGCTTTGTTTACCGCCGACGGTGACACGGACGCAGAAGTTCGCGATGTCGACGCTCTCGCGAACTCTTCCGAACCGGACTCGTCGGCGGCGAAGATAAAAAATTCTCCTCGTGGCAGCAAAGAGCAAAAGAAATTAATCATCCGCGTATTCGGCAGAGGCGAAACGCTCAACGCCTACGTCGCCGACATCAACCGCGAAATCGAACTCATCCGCGCAAAAGAGAAAGAGGAACACTACGCGCGACACAAAAAGCCCCTCGATGCCACCGCCACCATAACCACCACCGACGAGGACGATGATACGTACCAACCAAAACTTCTTTACGTCGTCGAAAAGCGCGACGAAATGCCCGGCCTCCCCAAACGCAAGCGCTCGAAAGAAAACGGTCTGGACAAAAACACCAAACTTTGTCGCCTCTTCGCGTTTGGTATGCAGAAAGCGAGGGAGAAGATTCTTCGAGTCATGCGCGACGATTTTGATACGGGTGGTTTAGATTGGTTCGTCGCTTAAAATCATCCAACATTTATAGAGCGTTTCGCGTTTGAAAATGCCTTCTTTTCCTTCTCTTTTCAAAGGGGATTCACCTTTACTTTTCCTCAATTCTCCAAAGGAATAAAACGCATAAAACACTCGACACACGCTCTTTATTCATCGCGCAAAAACTGCTCGCTCTCTCTGCTGATCGACACCGCGGGCGCACCGACGATGATGTCTGGTAGTTCGTTCGACTGGTCTTCGCGCCAGTCTTTAATCCAAACCCTCTCTTCTCCCGCGCTTTTAGATGCGCTTTTCTCGAATCTGCGTCACGGGAAATTGGATGGAGGCGGAGGTGAATCTGATGAAAGTGTTCACTCTTCCGTCGTGAAAGGACAAAAAGCGGTCGCATTTTTACGCCCGTCGGGGTTACCAGACGCAACTTTATCCCGAGTTTGGCGAAATGGAACGAACGGGACGGGAGAAATTAGCGATCGAGACGGGTTGCGACGGGTGTTGACGCTCGTGAAAGAGGCGTTGGAGGAGGAGGAGAGGAGGAGGATGACTTCGAGCGGAGCGGCGGCGGACGGCGGATTGATGACGATGACGAGCGGCGGATTGACGCCGACGAGCGTTTCGAGCAACAGTATTCAAAGCAAACCGATGTCTGAGAAAGATAAGGTGAAGTACGAGAAGCATTTCTCGAGCTTAGACGTGAACAGATCCGGGATGGTGACCGCGGAGAACGCGGTGCAGTTTCTCGGGAAGGCGAGTTTACCGGAGAGAGAAATTCGGGAGATTGTTCGGAAACGGTCGAGAGGGGCGATGAGTTTGACTTGCGACGCGTTTTCGTTGGCGATGCACGACGTGTACGCGGTGATAAAGGCGAAAGGAAGTGGAGGACACGGAGTGACGCCGATGGTGAGCGGGAACAGCGGCGCGGGTGCGAACTCGACTCCGGGAAGCGTCATGAACGCCCAGTTCGCGAGTTTGAACACGCCACAGAATCAATACGACGTGTCGTTGGATACTTTTGTGACCGCGTCCAGGAATAATAATAACAACAACAATAGCATCAATAATACGACTTTGGCACGACTAGACACGCCAGACACGTATTCGAGACCTCCTTTAGATTTGGGATTCAGCATGGATAACGCGGCGGTGGCGACGCCGGCGGACCCGAGAGAGCAAGCCAAACTCGAGAAAGAGTTGAATCAATACGAGAGTAAAGTATCGCAAAGTGACCAGAGAAATCAACGAGCGAGAGATGCCATCGAGAGCACGCGAGCGAAAGTTGATAAAATGCGAGAAGCTGCGGAACGCGCGGAGAAGAACGCGCAAGAGGCCAAACGCGAGGCGCAAAGCGTCATCGAAGACGCCGAGAAGAAACGCTCGGAATACCGTACGCGAGCGATGACGGCAAAGGCTCGCGTGGAAGAGCAAATGCGAGAGAAAGAGAAGCAAATGCAGGTCGCGAATAGAGATTTGGAAAAGTTGCGTCAAAAAGTTGAACAAGCCGAGTCTGTTTCTGCGTTGCCGTTGAAATCGATGGAATCGAAGCTCCGCGCGCTGCAATTTGAAGTCACTCGAGTAAAGACAGCCGCAAAGAATAGGCAAGACGCGTTATCAGCCGAGCTCGTGAGAAAAGGCGCGGAAATTCGCGAGATGGAGCGCTTGAAGGCTGCTGCGATTCAAGATGCCGAAAATATCGAACGTCAATTTAAAGAAAAGCGAGAGCAAAGCGAACAAGCTTTAGAGCGAGGCAAGCAAGCGTTGGAAGCGGCGAAAAAATCAACCTTAAACGCGGAGAATCAACACTTTGAGCGCGTAGAGCGCGTTCGAGAACTACTCGTCGATGCAAAGAAAGAGTATGTGAAAGAGAAAGAAGCGCTCGTCGCGGCGAAGAAGAAGTTCGAAAGCGAACTGGCGAAACTCGAAGAGGAACGCGCCCAAGCTGCGCAAGAATTCGAGAGCCAACGCATCGTGACAAAAAAAGCTCGAGACGCGCACCGTTTGCAACTTCAAAACAAACGCATCATGTTAGAAGAAGCATCGGACGCGCTGAAGGAGGCGAAGAAACAACGAGATGTCATCGAGGCTGAGCATAAAGCTTCGCTCGCCACTGCGAATGAAAACTTTCAGCGAACCGAAACTCGATTGAACGCCGAGAAAGCAAAATTAAAACAAACCGAAGAAAAACACAAAGGCGTTTTGAAAGACATCGAGGAGAAGATTGAAAGCGCAGAATCGAGGACGGAAGATATAATTCGCCAGATTGAAAACGCCGATCGCGATTTAGAAAAGCGAAAGAACGAACTCGAGACGAGGTTAGAAGTCGCGACGGAAAGCTTGGAGAAGACGGAAGAGGAGTTACGCGGCACAAAGTTAAGAGTCGACGCGCAAAGAGAAGAGTTGGATTTGCGCGAACAGGCGTGCCAAGAGAAAGAAGCGGAGGCTGAAAATGCCGCCGAATCGTCGAAATCGTTGATCAAGTCAATGGAAGAAGACGTGAACGAGTTGCGGACGAAAATTGAAGCCGAGGAGAAGCGCGTCAACGAAGAAACCAGCGCGGTGCAGAGAGATTTAGAGGCGAAGCGTGCACACTTGGAATTGGAAACGACTAAACTAGAAGCTGCGCTCGATCGCGCGAGAGATGTCTTCCCGCGCGAAAGCGCCGCCGCTCAGCAAGCGTACGCTTTAGAAGCTATGATTGCGACGACGGAATCGGCGAGGGAAGAGGCTGAACGGTCGGCGGCGGAATCCGAGGCGCAATCGGAAAAGAACATGGCGAGGTTGATGGAGCTCGCAGAGATGGTTGGCAACGCAAACACGGAATTGAAGAGTTCGTCGAAGTTTACAGGAGGAGAAACGTTCAGTTTTACCACCGCTGCTGCCGAAGAAACGACGTCGACGAGTTCGTTTGAATTCGCGTCGGGCGCCTCGCCGTTCGCGGAATCGAAGGAGCTTAAATCGGACGCACCGGAGCCGTTCACGGGTGGCTTTGCCGAAGCCGAAGACGTTTTCTCGCCGCAAGTGAACTTGAAGAAATCGTCCTCCGCCAACGCATTCGCATTCGATGATGGCGGCACCGTGATGAACGACGCTGACTTTGGCGACGAGTTTGACGCGTTCGCGAAACCGAAAGCGACGGGAAGTTCCGAACAACCCTTATTTAGCGCACATTCTGCGCCAGCAGCTGTCGAAGATATCGACGGTGACGATCCATTCGACGTCGATTTCGGTACGAATAAAAACACCGCCACCGCCGCCGAGGACAATTTACGCAAAGAGGCAAAAGAAGACGACGCGTTCTTCAAAGATTTCGGCGACGACGCGTTTCCTCCGTCACAACAAATGGAACGCGAGAGTAGCAAAGAAAATGTCGAATGGTTCGAAGATGGCATGAATAATTCCATAGATCACGAGCAACAACAACACGATTTAGACGACGACGACGATGACGACGATGGCATATTTGGTCGGCCAATTGCGGCGAACGATGGAGGAAGAATGCCTCCGGAAGACGATCTCGCGTTTGAAGAGGAAGATTTCTTCGCGCCGATTGCCCAGAAACCTGTTCAATCGTTCGAAGATTTCAACGACACGATTGGCGATCGAGGTGAACAGCAAACGAATAATGGATTTGAGGATACCAACGACACCGACGATGCGTTCAAACAACCAGGACAGCTCGGCCGGAATAAGTTTGACGACGACGACGATGCGTTCAACGACGAGTTCTCCGGCGATTTCAATTCTCGAGAAGATAACAACGGAGCGAACAATAACAACATGAACGACGACGGATTTTCGGACGATTTTGGTGATTTTGAATCGTCCAGGCAAAGCGTCGAAGCTGCTGGCTCGTTTACGAACAAAGCATTGAAAACGAGTAACGTCGATACCACGTTCGACGACGACGCCACGGATGAGGACGATGAACCGTCGTCGCCGAATCGCCAACAACAAAGTTCTGTCGCTGTTCCGGAGATTACCGAAGACGTCGGCGATAAAGAAAACGAACTTCCACTCTACATCAGTCGCGACGATCTCGAACGTTCTAAAAACGCGTGGTATACGCTCAGGAAATCATTGAACGATCCGAACGCGCTCGGCGTTACGGGCGCGCAAGTCGCCGCCATGGCGACGAAAACTGGTTTGCCGAACGAGAAGCTGGCGGGTATGTGGAACGCGAGTTGCACGTCCGACGGATCCAGTTTGGGTTTGGGTGATTTCTGCGTGTTTATGCACTTGTTAAAGCACGCGCTGAACGGTGGGAGTATGCCAGACTTTCGCATCGAAGGGTCGTTTCGCGAGGAAATGTTAGGCGCGGATATCGTCAACGAAGAAGCGAGAGTGACGAACGAAGCGAAAGGCTCGTTTTTGAAAGACGAAGAGAGCGAAACAGAAAAGTCAGCGAAAGAGCAGCAACAGCAAAAACAACAACAACAACAACAACAACAACAATCTATGCCACCGCCCGTGAACATCGCCACGCCGCCACACGCGCAAAGTCAACAACAACAACAACAACAACAACAGCAAGCTTCCCCGACGCGTCGTTCGGCAGGCGGGCAGCATTCGCCGACGCGTCGCGGCTCGGACGCGCTTCCGATTGAAGGTCAGTCGCAACGCTTAAAAGTCTTCATCGATTCCGTCGCAAACGTCAAAGATGCCTCAAAAATGCAACAGGTGCACTGTAAAGTTTCTTTAGTCGACACGAACGGTCAAGAACTGGAACAACCGCAAAACACGGCGGTTGGCGCTCGACCCGGGAACGACGCCAACTCGCTCACGTTACAAAACGCGGTCACCTTATCCTCCGCGCCGGCGACTTGGCCCGCCGGTTCTGCCGTTTTAATCGAACTGAGACATTTCAAAAAGAAAGAAAATAAAGTCTCCACGCGCTGTTGGAGTTTCATGGAAAAAGAATCCGTCAGACCGGGTTTGTTCGGTTTGCCGTTGGCGAAAAAACCAGCGGATCCTCTCCGCCAACGCGTCGCGTTGTTCAACAAAGGCACGCCCGATTTGAAGTTGCGCTTTAGCTTCGTTTAAGTACGTAGAAAAAAATTGAATAAATATGTATATATATATATAACACTCGTACTTATACACTAACAACTGTACGAGTGCGTGTACGTGTAAAACCTGAAAGAGAGCAAAACGTCTTCGTACGTAAACCTTCACTCTTTTCGCATCTCACATGTTTTCCTGTTCTTCTTTGAATGAAAAATTTCCGTTTTTTCAATTTTTTCATTTTTTTTTCAATTGGCTGTCGAAGAACATTTACGTCACTTTGTAGAGATCAAATTTCTCACATTTTAACACCAAGATTTAAGACAACTTTTGCTGTTCTTTCAACGTCGTCGCTTTCGTCTTCTCGTTTTCTTTAACGGAAAGAGAAAGAGAGAGAGAGAGAGTGTGTGCGCATTCGTTGGTGCGCAGCGTTTGTTTTGAGCGCTTTCGTTTTCGTTTAAACGGGCTTTAATCTCAGATCTGAAATTTCCGATCAAATCTCGCTCTTCTTAGGTTAAGAATGACAACGAGCTCGAAGAAGATGAAGGAGGACAAGCGTCCGTCGCAATGGCGCGAGATCTTATCCGCCGGGGTGGACGGGTGGTCCTCGTTCAGCGACACGTGTTCGGACGAACCGAACGAGAAAGATCGAGGGAATAACAACATCACGACGAGCAAGAGCGGTTTGGAAGTCCAGCAGCAACAACATCAACAAACGAATCATCATCATCATCATCAAAAAGAGAAATCGTACCCGTCGTTGGACGTGCACTGGAAGCAAGAACGAAGGGACATCGAGTGGCAGTGTTTATGGCTCGAGTTACGTCTGAAAGAGTTGCAATCGCACAAGAATAGGTACGAGAAAAAGTTGAAATTGTTGGATGAAAATGCGGCTGCTGGAGGAGACAAGGAAAGAACGAGCAAACCGAAATCGAAAAACGGGAAGCTGGCAAAGATGGTGGTGTTTAACGAACATCCGCTTTTTGATCCAATTCGAAGACGACGGGAGAAGATTTTGAAGAAAAGGAAATTGATGACGAGTGATGAGGACGACGACAAGGAAAAGGACGGCGAGGACGCGAAGATGGCGACGGAGGTACCGGACGAGGACGGGAAATCGAACAAGAAGGCGAAGACCGACGACGACACGTCGAAAGAACACAAAGGGAATAAGTCCGGGTCGGGTGGTGATTCGGACGTCTCCAACACCGTCATGCACGAAAAATGCGAGGATTTGAAAAAGCGCTGTTTAGGTTTGATGCAACGATTAGGGCAACCGCCGCCGATTTTTACCTCGAATCAAGGCTCCGGCGGGGGCGCGAAAGGAGGGAAAGGTGGTGGCGGTGGCGGTGGTAGCGGCCGCGGAAATAGAAATGGAAGGAATAGAAACAGGAACTATCCGCACGGCGGTGGTAGTGGTGGTAACGCCGGTGGAGCTGGTTCAGGAAAAGACGGAAACAACGACACCAATAAAGCCGAAGCTGGAAACAACAACAACAACACTAGAAAACACATGTCGCGAAAGACGGACGAGTACGATATTAACAACGTCGTCGGTGATATCGTTGGTGCGAAATACGTCGAGCGCGCGTTGCACGAAGACATCAACACGCCTTCGGTACGAGTCGTGACGACGTTTACCATGTCTGTAGAAGAATTGAGAAGACTGAATAACATGGACGCGGCGGCGACCGCGGACGCGAAAAACAAAGACGGCGACGACTCCTCGGATGAAGACATCTCGGACGAAGCGTTCGCTACTCGACACGCCAAGTACGAAGTCATGGAACGAAATGCGCGCATGCCTCTCGAACTGTTGAAGAAAGCCGAAAGAGAAAAGAACGGCGGTAAATCGCCGAGAGGACGAAAAGCAAACAAACCGTCTTCAGTCTCGAAATCCAACTCTGGAAACGAGGACGAGAAACGAGCGGTGAAAAGATCGGTCGATTTAAACGCCATCCACGCCTCCGCGCCGGTCGTTTTATCCAAAAAAGGCGGGGACGCACCGCGTGCCTCCGAATCGAATTCCGACTCTCCCAGCGACGGCAGCGCCGAGCTGAACGAAGACGTGGTCAGAGAAATTTTACGAGCGTCGTGAGAGAAAGAGAGAGAGAGAAGAGAGAACCTACCTACACGTATAGCTATAAAACACATATATAATAATAAATAAAAAGAAAGTACTAGTATGTAACATTGTGTAGATGATTCTTCGCGTAAACAGCGGAGCGTTTCACCAACCGACCATACCATCGTCAAAGCGAAGAATATCTCGTCACTTTTACTCCTCACAAAACAAAAGGAAAAAATGCGAACGTGTTGTCTCCCGTCGTGTACGTCCTCCTCCTCCTCTTCACCTCTGGTCTCGTCTTCTCCCGCGTCTCGTCGTGTACGTCTTCGTAAAGTCCACCTTTTCGCGGCGAATGAAAACGAAGAGCGAGAACGAGAACTCGACGAGAAAACTCGGGAAGCTTTGCGTCTTCCGTCGAAATCCTCCCAAGACGACGAGGAGGCTCCTTCTCAAAAGGGAAATGAACGCTTCGGAAACGTAGACGGCGGGAAATACGGCCTGGGAAACCGAGTGGATAAAGCGTTGGATGCGACGACGGACGAGTTACAGTTTAAAATAGGCGCGATTGTCTGCGTGACCTTGCCCGTGTTGCTTTTGATTTTCGGGCCAAGACCTCCGAGCGAGTATTAAGAGAGAGAGATGTTGTACGCGTGTATTCTAGTAGATGTTATGTAGTGTATATGAGTTATAAATGATGCCTTCGTCTGAAAGGGGAGTCGCTGAGATTCATAGCTCGGGAAAGTCTCGCCATGCGCTCGTCGTCGTACATGCGTCGAGATTCTTCGGCGCTGCGGGAGTAATGTAGAGACTGCCGCTCTGGCGCTCGATGTTGCACGACGGGTTGTCTCGTTTGCGGGACTCGAATAGGGGTGAGCATTGCAAAGCGAGAGGTGGTTGGGTCGATGGTATTGCTAAAGGATGATGATTGTTCTTTCGGGTGTTGTCGTTGTAAGCCGACGTACTTCTCCTCGACGTGCTTGCGCGTGTTTGGCGTCGGCACCCAGTGTTGCTTATCGTCGTCGAAACATTCGGACGAAGTTGGTTCATCTTTTTCTTCTGCCTCGGCTTTGACTTCTTCGTCGATACTGGTTTGCGTGGCCATCTCTCTCGCGTCGTATGCGGCAGACCATTCGAATCCAATCGTCGGCGATGGCTCTTTCGGAGTGAGCGTCTCTTGTTGTTGTTGCTGTTGTTGTTGTTGCTTCTCGCGTTCTTCGATTTCTTTTTGGAAGGCAAAAATGGCGTTTTGATGCACTTGATACTTTCGCTTCATCGCGCTCAAAGGCGTTCCAACGGATGGCGGAGCTTGCGGTGCTTTTATATTCACCTGTGCACTCGCATTTACCATCTCTTTAGGTGTTTTCATCGTTTCCGGCGTAAATTGCAACTGAATCGGTTGCGCCACTGGAATCGCCTTCGTGTTCGTCCCGACCGATTTCGCCGTCGTCTGTTTCAACCGAATCGCCTCCAAATCTTTCTCCAGAGCCACTCCTTTCGTCGCTTTGCCGAGTAACGTGCTCACGACCACATTTAACTCCTCGTTCTTTCTCTCGAACTCTTTTAACTTCTTCTCCATGTCCAAAGTTTCCAACTCTGCTCTCGAGGCGTCCCTCTTCGCCAACGCTTGCCATTCCTGCGCATTCATTTCTAAACTTTTAATCTTGATGTCTTTCTCTTTAACCAAGCTTTCCAACTGTCGAATGCGTTCCGTAAACGTTTCGAAGCCCTTCTGATTTGTAACTTTCAAGTGCACCAACTCCTCCTCTTTCTCTTTCAACTGTTTACTCACCTTCTCTTCAATCTGTCGTTCCAACGCCTGCGCAAACTCAACGCTCTCTTTGCTATTGTTTCTCGACAATTCTAACTCCGCATCTTTCATGTTGTTCAAAGCTTCCGTCACGCACTCAAACTCTCTCTCTTTCTTTACCAGATCATCGAGAAGCTTCTCTTCTCTTCTCGTCGTCGTCGTCGTATCCTTCTCTTTAACAACAGCTGTCGCCGTCGCGTTTGAACTTTTCGCTCGCGAAGCAGCCATCATCGAGCGAGTGCCAAAGACATCCACATCTGCCTTCTTCTCCTTAGTAACTTCTTTCGTCTGCGTCGATGCCATTTTCACCTCTCTCAGTCTCGTCGGTGTATTCGTGGTCGATGATGATGTTACATTCTTCTCCGCTCGCTCGCTCCGCCACTGGTTCACGTTGGCACTCATCGATACCCGAATCTCTTTCGATGCAGATCGCAAAGGCGAATTCGTGCTGTCTCTCAGCGGCGACTTCGGTAAATCTCGAGTGTTGTTCATAACCATTGGAGATGATGATTTCACACTCTTCGTCTCTTTAGTGGCGTTCTCTGCGTCGTCGTGATGACTTCTCCCATTTCCTCGACGCATTTCCCCAGCAGACGGAAACCCGAATTTCTCGCGCATATCTTTCGCCAACTCTCGCGTTCGAGGCGTGAGGTCAGACGATCGATTCCTCCGCGACGGGGAATGGGTGGTGTTTGCAAACAACATGTGGATGTTTTGATGATGACAACAAGACGAATGGGAAAGGAAATGTGCTTGAGCAAAGTGAGTACTAAAGTGAGGAATTTGTGTTATTATTCCCCCTTTTGGTCTTTAAAAATTCAAGCGAAAACGCCTTTTACAGCCGCTGCCGCTCTCCCATCGATCGGAACAGAACAGAAAGAGATTTATTACGAACGATGATGATTTGGATGAACAAAAATATACAATAGTACTACACACACTTTTTTAACTACCGGTACACGCGTATATATGATGCGAATCTTTTAATTACCGTTACCGCTACCGGTTTTCACGGAACACTTTTGAATCTCCGCGCGGATACTTTCGTGCAGTTTCTTACCCATACTCGCGTCGCCTCCGAACATGTTACTCAACGCCGCCGGTTGCATGCGAACGAGTTCTCTTCCTGCGATAGTTGTTGGAACTTTTGCGTGCTTGAACGCGCCGTTTTTGGTCGTTTGAATCCATCTTTCGAGTTCATCGCGTTTCCATTTCACCGGCGGTATGCGTCTCGCGACATCTTTTTTCACGACGGTTTTCTCGCCGGTGAGTTTTGAAACTTCAATTTCGAGCGTTCTTTCCACGTCCTCTCTCGACTCTTTGTAACAACTACTCTTGGTAGAATTACTGTTCGTGTCGATTTCGCAACTATCGCCACCGATTTGAACGATGGTTTTCAACGTCATCGCCGTGTGTTCGGTATCGATGGATGCAGGCGACACGGTACCGATAACCGCCATCTTCGCCACGTCGCTCACGAAACACTCCGCCAAGACTTTCGTCAGTGGACTATTTCTATACGGAACGTGGATAGAAGATGGGTCTTTCGCGTCTGCGCGCAACTTTCGAAACCGAGCGCACTCTTTCAGCGCGTATAACGACGCGTTGATAGCAGCAGTCTCCTCGCGTTGTTTGGCATCGTGATGCACGTTGTCCTCTTTCCGTTCGCTTCCGGCACAGTCCACGAGTGTTAAGCGCCTTTCTGATGTCAATATTGATGATGACGACGACGGAACTTTATACACCGTCAGACGTAACACCGCGTGCGACCGAGACGATTGCGCGTTGCACTGCGTCGCCGATACCGTTCGCCTCGAAACGCCCTCCTTGACGCAAATTTCAACATCTTTCGCGGAAAAGCACGCCACAGATGTCGCGTTAATTAACTCTACTTCCATGTTTGCTTGCTTATCTTTACTATTGCATTTTGCCATTCTATTCGTTTCGAAAATTTCTTTCAAAACGACTTCGTTCCTTTCCGCGCCGAGAAGATCGAAGCATTTCTTGCCTTGAATTTCAAAATATTGCACGCATACTTTCTCAACGCCATTCCCGGATGAGAAGAGACTTTTGAATGCATTCAATTCAATGTTCGACATCGTGTGCGTCTTTCCAGATCCAGTCTGGCCGAACATAAACAACGCCGCCGATCCTCCGTCTTTTTCGATGACATTTTCAACCAACGGTTTCACCGCCGTCTCGTACACTTCAATCTCCTCCACGTCTTCATCGAACGCTTGGCCATGTAGCGAAAACGTCCCGTGTTTCACAAACATTCGCTTCAAGTCCGCGTGCATTTGACAGTTGTGCACGACGATTTCGTTCGATTTAGACGCGCTAACTGTGACGACATCAAACTCGCCCTTGCTCGTTTCGCGTTCAAACATAGGCCGTTTCCGAGCGTAGACGCTAATCATTTTAGTGTTGTCAGAACTGATACTCATCGCATCGAACGTCTCATCTTTTGCATTCTTCATGCGCCATCTCTGCACGGCCGCTTTGAATTGCTTCGCGTGTATTCGTCTCGATTCTCTCTTATCGAACATTTGACGAAGCGATTTCTCTTCCTCCTTTTCCTTCTCCTCGGTCTCGGCGCCGCTACTAGGGGTGTCGGTCAAAATTTTCATCTTCTTCTTCTTCTTCACGAGTGTTGCGCTATTGCTACTTCCCGGTGTCCTCGTTGCTACTCTATTGACACCGGGTGTCGATTTATTACTCTGCGACGCTAAAAACGTCGGAGGTCGAAGCGATTTGATCTCTCCCGTCTTTGCGTTTACCATCGCGTTCTTAACTTTTGGCGCCAAGGATGGAGAAGACGCGGACGGAGGAGTCGATTTCTTCGTCTTCAGCAACAAGCTCGAAGACCCCGAAAAGGCCGGTTTCTTGGTCGGTGGCTTGGAAAGCATCAACGGGGACCGCCGCGAGGATTTATTCACCCCTTCGCCACCCGCGCCGCTCGAAGAACTGAAAGGACTCTTACTTTTCGTCTCCCGTCTTCGCTCGCTCGCGATGTTCAACGTCTTCGTCTTCTTCCTCACCAACTCCTCCTCTTTTTCTTCACCAACCATCGACTCGCTCCTCACTTTGTTGTCATTACGGACGACGCTACTCTTTTCCACGATCGAAATTCTTTTCTGCACTACCGGCAAACTTTCCTTCGCGTCGTAAAAGACATCGTTCGGCGACTTTGGCGACGCCGCCGTCGCATCCATCCGTCCCCGCTGTTGCTCTCTAACCTGCATCGCGTACCTCCCCAATTCCACATTTTGCGTCCTCGGACTCCACATCGCCGCCTCTCTCGCCATCTTTTCTCTCTCTTCAACTCTCCTTTGCTCTTTCTCTCGTTCTCGTTCCTCTCGTTCCTGTTTTTTTTGTTGCAAAAATGCCTCTCGTTTCTTCGTCAAATCGAGCGCTTTTCGCCTTTCGTTTTGCTCTCGAACTTTCTTCTCTTGCGCAGATTTCCTCTCTTGATTCATTCGCTCGAAACGGATGGTTTCTGCTTTCTGTCGCATGCGTTGGCGCTTTAACGCGTACTCTTTTGCCGCGAGCGATGCCTGTGGTGTGATAATAATAGCAATAAGAGATTGATTCGTGAGATATAACACACATCTCACAGCGGATGTGACATCCCCTGAGGGGAAATTTCAAAATCACGGAGAGGGGGAAAAGAGAGATCGAATGGAAAACACATCTTAAAAGTGATGAATACCTTCTCAGCCGCACTGATAGTCGCAGTGTTAGTCGTAGTAGTAGCAGTATTCTTTAAAGTCATCTTTAAAGTAGCAAAAGTGGTGGTTGTTTTCGTCGTCGTCTGTTGATCATCATCAGCATCCTCCTCGCGAGGACTGGTGAGGAGGATGGCATTGCTTTCCCGAAGCGTGGTTTTGGACATTTTTTTTTTGTGAAGCAAAACGAAAAGGGCGAAACTTTACAACAAGAGTACGACGACCAAAGAAGAAAAGAAATGCACCGAAGAAGACGGCAAATCGACCTCGTGCTCTCTAAACTTTTGGCATCCTCCTCTTCGTCGTCGAGCGTTCGTCTTCCTCGCCGCCACTTTTGGGCGGCCGCCGCAGCGGAGCTCGGTGGTAGTCATGGAGGAAAAAAAGGAAAAGGAACAACGTTTTTGTCAAAGTCGTTATCCACTTCATCCAATCCGCAAAAGCAGCGCGCGGCAGGAGCAGCACAAGACGACATCCAATCGACGCTTCGAAGAGTCAATCGAAGGATATCTCTAGGCGTGGACTCCGTGACGTCCGGTGAAGTCGCAAAAGCGAACGCGAAGTGGGTAGATAAAGAAGAAGAAGGAAAAGGTGAGAATTTGCTTGGGAAACGACCCCCAATAGCAGCAGCAGGAACAGCAGGAGCAGCGGTAGCGGAAGACTTTGACGACGACTCTGTCGTAGTTCGCGCGAACAACGCGACGACGACGATGATTTTCCTCCACGGATTCGGGGACACCGCGCCGCAGTGGGAAGCGTTCGCGAGGACGCTCGTGCGCGGGATGGAAGAGTACGTGGATGTGGTTTTACCGTCCGCGCCGAAGAGGTATTACGCGACGAACGCAAACGAGGAAGAGGATGAGGAAGAGACATCGTCATCCGGTGGTAACGGTAAAAAGACGCAAGGCAGTGGAGGCGAATTATTCAGCGGCCGAGCGTGGTTTGCGCCGAGGTTGCTACCGAGTCGAACGGATTACGAGAGCATATTAGCGGAATATGAAGACTTGTTGGACGAGAACCAAGCGGAGTTGGAGAAACGGTCGTTCTCGTGCGACGGGATGAGAGACTCGTTCGAAAGATTGAAACGGTTAGTCGAGAACGAATACCCGCGGGAGGTTATTTTGAGCGGGTTTTCGCAAGGTGCGGCGATGGCGGTATCGTTGATGTGTTCTGGGGATCAAAAGCCGAAAAATTTAGTCGGATGCTTGAGCTTTAGAGGGTACTTGCCGAGGAAACCAGACGAGATGAAAGTGGGAAACGAGACGACGTCGAGGACGAGCGAGGAGAGTGACGATACGACTGGCGTGAACAACAAGAATGTTTTGCTCATGCTCGCGGGCGAATCAGATCCGTTAGTCCCAGTTCGATGGACAAAAGAGGCGAAAGTAAAAGCAGAGTCGCTCGGATTGGACGTCCAGGCGTTTTTCAGCGAAGGGTACGGGCACAACGTGACCAGCGATGATATATACAGAGCGCGTTCGTGGTTACGTTCGAGAGTTGTTTTATAGTTAGACAGCGCCAGCGGCAACATTTTGTATTTTTATTCAATGTACCACCACGCATATGCATCACATGAACTTTGGTTTCTTCCTTTTCAACTTGTTTCTAATGGCTTCTAAGTCTACCCCGCTATCTGTGTTGTTACCCTTCGTTTCTTCGTCTTCAATCTTTCTGCTATTTGTTGTTGTCTTATTCGTCTCGAGGTCGCGGTATAATCGGTCAATCTTGTCTAATCCATCTTCATTCGCCGATGGTGGCAAACGCGCGCCCGGAAAACGCAACGCTCTCGGGCCTTCACCGCCGTACACATCGGAGAAATCCTCCTCCTCGGCTTGTTTTGCTGCCGCTGCGGCGGCTCCGGTGCCGTAATGAATTCCAGTCACCGTCACAAACCCACCCGCTAAATCCTCATTCCCTTCCGCTATCAACTCCTCGACTCGTCTCTCCACTTCCCTCTTCAAAATCGAGTTCCGTAACTTCTGGTCGCTAAATACGCGCGTCAATTCTTTGATATCTTCTGTGCACCTTTCACACGCGTCTCCTAAGCTCTCATCAACCTCTTTCGTCTTCATCAATCGCATCTGCACCATCTTGCTCTCCAACAACACCGCGTTCCCGCTCGTCGCCGGATGCCCTCTCCATTCGCACTTCCCCGTCAAATCATCCACGGGTGCTTTCGGAAGCTTAAAAATCGTAAAGAACATCTTCTTTTTGCATTGTTCGAGCATTCTCTCGACTTCTTCTCGCGTAAACGGTTCGATGTGTTTCGTCAACTGCTTCTCGATCTTTCCGTGTTGGTGTCGTTCTCCGACCCCTACTCCCCCGCTTTGCTTCTCCAACAGACTCTCCCGTAACTTTCGTTGTCCATCAGAAGTGCTCACGTTCTCCGTCCTCGCTTTCATCGCGAGCTTGGCTTGTTCGATGGCTTCTTTCGCGCTCGTGGTTTTAAGCTTTTCAGGCTCTCGTTTCTTCACGTTCTCCTCCTCCTCTGATGATAAACTCTTCCTGGCCAGCTCGAGCCGCTCGGCGTCCACAACCATCGCCCCGATATCCTCGCACAAACCTCGCAAGTCTCGCTCGTATTTCAACGCGTCCAAAGAGTCGATGCCGAATTCAACCAGGTTTTGAAATAAGTGCGATAAATTATGCGAGCTCAGGAAGGTTTGGAGTACGTCTCGTTCGTTCGTCATCTTATTCACAGAGACGAGAGAGACGACGAAAGTATGAAGCGAATTCTTCATTTTCCAATTCCAATTGCAAACCGCAGAATACGAGAATCAAGTCTCTCTCCCTTTCTGCTTTTATAACCCGCAAAAGGAAGATCCCTCTCTCTGTGTGCTCTGTTACGCGCGCAGAGACAGACAGGTGCTTTACTCGATCATCCGCGCGGCATTTAGGCGCGAAAGAGATCATTCACAAAAGGAGGTTTAGATACACATTTCCCCTAAAAGTAGGGAAACGGAATCGTACGAACCGCGCGCTTACGCGAGAGCATGAGCGCGTCTTCTCCTCCTCCTGGCAGTGATAACGATGATACGAAAGTAGAGGGTTCGTCGTTTTTTCTCGAGGACGGCGATGATGATGCGGACCAATCGATGCAGAAGCAGACGCGTGAGGTACGGTGACCTTTTCCCTTAAAGTATTACCCCTTAGTTTTACCACCAACAGGATCCAGACTTGGCGCTCGCGAGAGTGTTGCAAGAACAAGAGCGAGCGTATTTCGCGTTACAATTCAACACGGAGAATACGAATAACAACAACAACACGAATAATAATAGTATGGAGGATGGGAATACGAATTCAAAGAGCAGCACGCGAGCGGTCTCGCCGTCGTCGAGAGACGAGGGGTCGCCGCTCGGGACGAATACGTTTCGGAGAGGGAGACGAGGACGAGGGGGGCGCGAGAGAACGGGAGTAGAAGAAACAGAGGAAGAGGAAACGAGGACGAGCGAAGAGGAAGAAGAAGAAGAGGAGGAAGAAGAAATGGACCCTTCGGAAGCGTTGGCGAGGAAGCTCATGGAGGAGGAGGAGAGATTGCACAGGGAGAGGATGTTGGCGTACGCCGGGGTTTCTCTGAATACCGCCGAAACGACGCAAGATCACGTGATGGTTGAAGGCGAAGATATTCCGCCAGAAGACGACGATGTGGCGGATCCGGATGATATGACGTATGAAGAGTTGTTGCAGCTAGGAGAGTGCGTCGGGAGACAAGCGACGGGCATGTCCGGGTCGCAGATTAAGCAGTTTTGCACGCTGAAGGAGTTCACTCGGTCTGGCGCGAGCGGCGCGAAGAGGAAGGGAGGTGACGAGGAGGAAGAGGAAGATTGTTGTTCGGTGTGTCGATGTGAATTCGAGGAAGGCGAGATGATGTTAGAGCTGAAGTGTAAACACGGATTTCACGAGGAGTGTTTGCGGCCGTGGTTGAAGGAGTATAAAACGTGTCCGCTCTGTAAGACGGATTGCATGTAAAATTTGAGAGAAGCGAGAGAGTTGAGTTCCGAGAACGCACCATCATTTATTTAGCATTACATCTATTGTGTTTCAATCAATCAAAGCTCGATACAGAAATGTTCGACGCGCCTTTCGGGTCCCAGACCATGGCCGTTAATCCTGGTTTCACTTCCGCTTTTTTCTGCGGTAAGACGCCGTCAATACGTACGATTTCGAAATCTCTCTTCTTGAGTTCGTCCAAGGCGTCGGCGAGCACGCGGGCGCTTTTGCCAACCATTTGCGCACGAACTTTCAATCCTTTCTCGTTTTCCAAAGTGACGAAAAGCATTTCGAACGTTCTATTCGTTTTGGGATTTGTTTTACTCGTCACGCCAGTTTTCGGTTCGCGAGAGCACAGTTTACCGACTATCGTAAAAGGGTGCGCATCGTCAACACGCGAAGCGATGGTGGCAAAATCGGCTCGAGTCGAAGAGTATAGGACGTTTCGATCGCAGCGTTCGAACCACGGAACACTATCCTTCAGTTCGACTTTCTCTTCGATAATCTCGATTGGTTCCGCTTTGATTTTCTTGTTGTACGGATCGACGTTCTCTGCGTTTTCGTCGTCGCCTTGATGATGAAATGGTCGCTTCCTTTCTTCATCAACATCCTCTTCTTTTTCGTCGTCATTTTGTTTAATCATGCCTTCAATAGCGTACCGTAATTCATGCAAAGGACCGTCCATGTGTCTCTTGTTGAGCGCGTCGCCGTATTTAAACGCCCCTTCGATCACTGGAACCACTTTCGAGGCGATTTCCATCGCGCAAAACTTTGAAATTTTCGAAAATCGAGTGAGGAAACTCATGGCGCAGATCCACGGGTACGGGACACGCTCTTCTTCGAGACCGTTTTCTTTCAACACGTGCACGTGATCGGGTGGTTTGCGAAACGATCTGGACGCCTCTTCTAATACGCGATAGGAATGCGCGTAATTGCATGAAATCGACTCGAGCATTTTTTGTCGAATGTCCATCGCGTGCGCCTTGGTCATCGGCGTTGCCACGACGTCCCGCGCTCGGCTTTGCGAAAAGTCTTTGCATCCCCCCAAACATGCCGCGATCTCCCCGGCGCACGCTTTCATGCACGCTTTAGTGAAACATTTCACCCAAACTGGGGCGTTCTGGTAGTCACTTTTCGTTTTGAAGTGTAACGGTGCCTTTTCATTTTCAAACAACAAAATCAGCGCGTTGAGACACATGGAACGAATTTTCGCATCCGCGACGGCAATCGGCGGCGGCGCGGCGCCTCGACCAATTGCACAGACCGGCGGTAAAATCGCCTCGAGAAAATTCACACACATTTGCCCTAGTAACGACGAATCTTCGCTCGCCGCGAAGAGGAAATTGGTGTCGTCGAATTGATCCTCTGAATTCGACGAGCGTTCCATAGCAGTTTCAAACGCCAACACCCAATTCTCGCACGCGATGTTTGCAGACGGGACTGTTGCTAAATTTCGCGCAGATCCCACGCAATTTCCTAAGACACCTAATAACACAGCTGAACGCATGCATTCTCTACTCTTCCGAATGTCGACGTTGTTGTCGACGATGTACGAGGCGTCGTACAGAGAAGCAAAGAAGCCGCGCGAAAATTTTCGACCCGTCGCTTTCTTCGCGTGTTTCCGTTCGACACACGCGTAACAGAGCTGTTTTAACAGGCTACAGCACGCGATGTTGTCCAAAGAGAAGAAGATGGCTAGGGATTTCGCACTGTTGATTAAGCCTTCGAGAATGGTATCAACTTGTAACGCATCTGATTCCTCGAATAAGATGGACGTGAACGTATCGAGCGCCATTCGCAACGCTTGGACGCGCGGCTCCACGCCGAAGAGTTTCAAGTCGGTGTTTCTCGAGTAAGCGGCAGCCATGACAGCTTTAAAGCCAATTCGAAACGATCTAGATTTATTCGCACTTGCACGTCCCGAACATTCTTGCACGCGTTTGTCGAATACTTCTTGTAAAGCGTTGATGGCAGCCACCGTGGCGACCGGATTGCCGCCAACTTCGCAACATCGAACTAAGGATTCAATAACCCACGAACTTCGCTTAAGAACACCCGCAGTATTTCGAGCGTCCATGGCTTCGCTCTTCAGCATCGTCGACGACGAAAAGGCATCAAACAATCGCGGGTGTCTCGCGCACGCTCGCGCCAATCTCGCTCGCGCTCGGTGTAATCCGTTGGCCCGCAGGAGCGCGTTTTGCTGACGTCGTTCACCCTTCTCGGAAGCGGCAACGTCCATGGCACACAACGCCCACAACTTCAACAACGGTGCACCGATACCTCCGCGTAAAACCGGAGTTGAATCGACCAGTCTCGCGTATAAACGAAACGCTTTCGCGCGTTTTCTTGGATTGGCTAGTTTCCAGAAATCTTTCGGCGCGAACGGGTGCGAAATCGCGAGCTCGGCTTTACCCCACGGCCACACGCCGGATTTGACGAGTAAATTGAGCGTTCTGGCCGCCGTTTCCGTAGCCGCGCGATTTACCGCGGACGAATAGCCACCGCTCTTGTCGTGCATGGTTTCAATATTTTCGTAATCGTCTTCGTTCTCTCGCAACAAATCAGCAATATGAGGCCAGCAAAATCTCGCCGACGCATCGGCGACGACTTTGTTCTCCTCTGAACGACTTTCAAGCCAATCGCGCTCGCCTCGCGAGACACACACAGAGATCAATCCTAAAGCACACTTGCGAATTTTCGGTCGAAAAGGAAGCTTTGGCGAGACAAACATACCGATGGTATTTGAAAGCATCTTGGAGCGCAAGAACGCGCCGTGCGAGGGCGTAAACGCTAACCCTTTGGCGACGACGCGTAACACGGATAGCGCGGCTAGAAGAAGAATGTGCGTAGACTCAGTCGTTTCGATGAGTATTGTCGCCGTCGCCACGGCGATGTCTGTCGCGCGCTTTTGTAAGTGAATGGTTTCGTCCGCAACGGGCGGCGGCGGTTGCGTGGCAACGGCTGGATCGTCGTCGTTTTCCTGCGACGAATCCGACAAACCGACAATGACAGATTCGTTTCGACGCGCCCTTTCCACTTCATATTCCTTCATGATTCGCAAATTTGCATCGTCTATGCGCTTTTGACACCCTTCGCTTACTGCTGGCGCAATCAAATCGCTATCTTCCATTAACGACGGATTGAGCAGTTTACGGCTCGCTATCCAGTTTTCGCGCTCTTTCGCCAACGCGAACTCGTTGCTACACAAAGAAACGAGACGCAAGCAACTCTCCAAAGCGTAATTCGCGCGCTCTCTCATGAATTCTCTCGTTGTCTTTTCGCATCGGACGGCATTCCCATCGCCGTCGGTGATAACTTCCCCGTCGTCGAATGTACCACCGTTTTCCTCCTCCTCGTTCACTTTGAAAACGTCTAAATCTTTGCCCGACCAGTAACGCTCGATCAATCTCAAAGACGCGCGTAAGCACGTCGCGCGTTGTGACACGTCAAACACTCGAAATTTCACATCATCGTTGATCAAATCGGTAATTTTCTTACGAACGCGTAACGAGGACAGTTTCTTGTGCTTTAAATACGGCGCGTATTTATTCGCGCGAAGACACAAAGCGTAAAACGCGCGCAATTCGGACTCCTCGCTCGCGAATAATAAAGCTTCCGCGCGCTCTAAGGAATCGAAAATCTTCTCGTTGAACAACTCAAACGACGCGTCTTCGATGTTCCGTTTTTGAAACGTTTCGTTTGAAGGCGAGGTTAACTCGATAAACTCGCGTAAAATCTGTACGACTTCGCCGGAAGTTGAGGCGGCGGCGGCGGTCAAAACGCGACGTTCCTCTTCCATTTCTTGCGCGTCCGCTCTCTCGGCCTGTGTTTCGTCTTGGCGGTGCATTTCAAATGCCGCAGCTTCGGCTGACAACACTTCTTCAGTCGGAATATCTTCTGTGCTGCTTGGAAAAATAGTTGTAGTGGTCGTTGTCGTCGTGCTCGCCGGAGGTTGTTGCGGCATCGCGGGAGGCTGCAAAACAGTCGCGGCAGATTCATCCACAGATGCCGGATGTGTTTGCCCAGGTCGATTTATATTGACTCCACCCGGAACTACACTTCTCAACAATGCACCACCACCGGTAGCACCATTGATGTGCCTCGCGCGAGCGACCGATTGAATCGCTCGACGACGTTTTCTTCGCTCGCGCCTTCGGCGAAAGAACTCCATCTCTTCGCTCGTCTCGTCGTTCAAGTGTACGTCTTGCGTCTGACGCGGTGGCCTGAGTTCTCCGCCAATACTGTTGGTATCTACGTGATTCGGAACCGAGGTACTCGTAACGGTTTTTTTCACGCGTTCTCCGGCTTCACCGTCGTTCATAATAATAACATCGTCGTCGTCCTCGTCTGTTCCACGAATGTGGGCACCCTCTCTTGCTCCTCCTCTTCCCTCTTCTTCTCTTCCCACTCTGTTTTTCAAATCCAGCTCGTGCTTTTCTCGTCGTTCTCTTTGTTGCTGCGCTAACATTTCGTCGTCAAATTCACCGTCGGAGGAATCGAGCTCGGATTCGTCGTCCGAGGACGCGGCGAATAAGAACGCGCCGCTGTTCCTGTCGGCGAACCGTTTGAACATGGTGGTAATGGTTGCCAACTTTTTCGGTTTGGCGTTTTGTTCTTCTTGCTGCTGCTGCTGTTCGCCAAAAGTTGCACCATCTCCGACACGTATCGCGTCCTCTTCGTCCATATCGACATCACGTTCCCCACCTTCTTCCTCTCGTATTACAGGCGCATTGGCAGTATTCGAAGTCCTCTTGGTGCTCGCGCGCTTACGCGACGCTTTCCCTTGTCCGTCGCCAGCCTCCTCATCGTCACCACCATTCAACATACCTCCATCTTCATCGTCATCCACTTCCTCATTCACGGCACCAAACGCCATTCGGACTTTCATCTCAATCTCTCGTCGAAGCGTTGCCGCTTCGCGTTCGCGTTCCATCTCTTCCTTGTTTTTACCGCTCGCTCGTTCGCCGCCGCGCGTCGAATTCTTCCCAGTCGTCGTAAACTTTGTGTTACCACAATTCATCGTCCCTTTCGGTTGTCTTCTTTTCACATACGCCGCCGGCAAATCTAACATCGGTGGTGCATCTTTCCCAGTTACCAACGCCGTGGTGATCAAATAATGCGCCACTGATTGCCATCCGTATTGCTCCGCCTCTCTCGTCAACTGTTGAGTCGGAAACAAATGCCGCTTATGTCTCAAACAATTCGCCCCGGAACAGTTACAAATATCTCTGCACACTGGACATCTCCACTCGTCGTCCGCGATCGCTTCTTCGATGTTCTCACCCATGCGCATTTCCAAACACCATCCACACCACGACCCTCTTCCTCTCCCGCCTTCCGGCGCTTTCGCCCACGTCGCACACTGACACGTCGTCTTCGCGTCGCTCGATTTCTGTCGACAAAAATGGCACGAAGTGCACTCGTTGCACGTCACTCCAGCCGGGTGAATGTCTTTACACCACACTTTGTTCGCTCGCTGGTCGCGATTCCACGCGCGCGCTCTGCCGTATAAACGGTCGAAGTGTTCTTTCGTGTAATACTCTCGATTTTCGCCTTGTTCAAATCTTAATTTCTCCAACTCCGGGCCGATGTTTCCACAGTTCACCCCTCGCACTTGTTGCGTGGCGTCTACGTGCGGTGGTAAAACTGGAGGACACGCGACGATGGTGTTGTTCTTCCTCGTCGCTTTCCCTAAATCGCCTCTCCCTCGCATCGCGTTCATCTTTTGCCATTTCCGCGCGTCTCTTCGCACTCGTTGTTGTCGGTTGCCTTCGTTTTTCAAAATGCTTCGAAATCTCTCTTGGTCTTTCTCTTGGTCGTCGTCTCCGGAATAATCGTCGTCCGAGGTCAGCTGATCATCCTCAAATGCCTCGTCTTCATCCTTCTTATTGTTGTTGTTCTCAAAAAAAGAAGCGTTGAAAGCCTCCTCCTCCATCTGAAATGAAAGAAGAAGAAGAAGAAGAAGTGCTTTTGCGCGTTTGCGTCAAATCGTCGACGAAAAGTGAAGAAGGAGCTGCTCCTTTGAAATTTTCAAAATTTCTCTCAAAGCGTGGTATTTAGGGTCTTATGTAAACCCTAAACCATTCGTAGTCTCTTTTCTTTTTTGTTTCGTTTTCCCTCCGGTTGGATAAAAGAGCGCCTATAGAGGGGTTTCAGGGACGACACGTTATATACTTTGTTTTATATGACGACTCTTTCGATGACGAGAGGAGGGTTTTTGACGACCGCCGGTGGTCGTGGTGGTGGTTACGGTGCGGGTGGTTCTTCTTCTTTTTCTTCTTCTTCTTCTTCTTCTCGTTGTTGTTGTTGTTGTTGTTCTGCGGGAAGGATGGAGGCATCGACTTCGCAATCATCGTTTTCGATGATGAGTGTGATGAAGAAGAAGCGGTGTAGTAGGAGTAGCTTTAACGAGAATAATAATAGAAGAAGGGAGGAGAATTTTGTGGTGAGAGCAGCGTCAGAGGCGAATACTAATAATAACGACGCGTCCTCGAACGTGTCCTCGTCGAGACCAATCGTCGTCATCGATAACTACGATTCGTTCACGTACAACCTGGTGCAATATTTAGGCGATTGCGGGATAAAAAACCCGCTGGTGTTTAAAAACGACGAGAAAACCGTAGAGGAGATTCGCGCGATGAACCCGAGAGGGATATTAGTCTCCCCTGGCCCTGGGAGACCGGAAGATTCGGGAATTTCTTTGGAAGTGTGCGAAAAGTTAGGCCCCGAGTTTGGCGTCTTTGGCGTCTGCATGGGCCACCAGTGCATCGGTCAAGTGTTCGGAGGCACCATCACGAGAGCGCCGTTAGGGTTGATGCACGGGAAAAGTTCCCCGGTGTTTCATAAAACCGACGTGGACACCGTTCTATCCGGTTTGAGTTCCCCGTTCGAAGCTGCGCGGTACCACTCGTTGGTCATCAGCAACGACGACTTCCCGCACGACGCGCTCGAATCCGTCGCTTGGACCGAAGACGAGGTGTGCATGGCGGTGAAACACAAAAAGTACCCGAAGATTCAAGGCGTCCAGTTTCACCCGGAGAGCATCATCACCGACAACGGGTTGCTCATCATCAAGAATTGGGTGAAGTTAATCAACGAAGTTTGAAATATATAATACTATATTTACGCTTTTCCTCTTACTTCTTCACTTTTTTCCCCTTCTGAAACAACAAAAATGAGTTTAGCGTGCGCATACTCCTCCGCTTTTAGAAGACTCCTTTCGGCGTCCGCGAGACCGTCCACATCCTCTCGCATTCGGCGGCGACCTTTTTCTGTATCCTCGTCGTCTGAATCATCAAAAGTCAACCACGAAGGTGCGGTGAAAGTCTCGCACATCCTCGTCGACGCCACCGAACCCGGGAAAGCGTTGCTTTCGGAATTCCAAACTTTACTCGACGGAGAAGCGGAGACGTTCGAAGGTTTAGCGACGATGCACTCGAAATGCCCGTCCTCTTCGAGAGGTGGGAATTTGGGGTACATCACGAGAGGACAAACGGTTGCGGAATTCGAACGCGTGGCGTTTTCGACGCCGATAAACGAGGTGGCGTTTGCCACCACTCCGTTTGGGCATCACTTGATTAAGGTACTGGACGCGAAAGAATCCGGCCAGGCGGTGCCGCAAATGCAATCGATTCGAGTGGACAAGGTGAAGCAGTACGTCGACAGTGAGAGTTTCTCGGAGGTTAATCTCATCGATTGCAGAGAGGAGCACGAGTTTGCAATTGCCAAAGTGGACGGGTTCAAACTGTATCCGCTATCGCGAGCGGAGAAGTGGCAGATGACGATTGAAATGGACGTCGATCCGGAAAAGAAGACGATTGTTATGTGTCACGGGGGGATTCGTTCGGCGAAAGTGTGTCAAATGTTGCTTTCGCTTGGCTTTGAGGACGTTCATAACGTCGTCGGTGGGATCGACGCGTACAGTTCGATTGATAAGTCGGTGCCGAGATATTAACAATTTGTACAGTAGGTCGTAGTTTTAAGTAGAAATAATTATCATCCAATAAATATATATGCATCTGTTTTACACTGGTCTTATCTTACCCTCTAACGCAAACCTGACGTAATCTTCCTCGCTGCATTCCGGCGCGTGTGGCAACAACTTTTCGTGCCACATTTCGAAACAAAACGCGTAGCGCCCGTCGCCCGTTTTCGCGAAGAATTGAATCGGTTGACCGTTCAAATGTCGCTCGAGTTTGAGCGTCAGCACTTTTCCGACGTCAAAGCTATACGAATCTAAATGTAAATAACTTTGCATGTTATCGAAGGTGTATATTAACCCGGGTTCGTAGTAATATTTTTTGGCCGTCGCCGGATTGGCGAGTTCTTTTACGCGCCTCGACCCTCTCGCTTGCATATTCAAGTGTTTCACGCCTTGGAAAAATCCATCGTTCCCTTCGACTATGTCGCAATGTTCGGGAATCATAAAATCTAAAATGTTCGGCACCGTTTCTTTCGTATCTACGCTCATTTGCGAAACTAATCCGCCGAGCAAGGCTAAGTAATATGGCTCGTTCGCAGTCACGTCGCAGGCTAATCCTGGAGTGATCACCTTGAACAACTCTTGACCGGTGTACACGATCGTTCTCGGAGGAATATTTTCAAAAGGACGCTTAAACTCACCACCCGTAACGACTTGGTCCATCCGTATCCGCTCTTTAAATTCGCCTTGCACGACAACCTGAAACGCGATGTTGTTGCATATTTGACCGCGCTCGATGTAAAACTGCTCTGGCGTCTCCCCTTCCATGCCGAGAAATCTGCACACGACTTTACCTTTGAAAATATCCGTTTCGAATTCTAACGCCGTTTCCGTGTTGACAGGACACGTGTCCGTTAACTCGTTCCATTCGGCGTACGCTTCTTCTCCCTCCTCCTCGTTCTCTTCTTTCTCGTCCTCCTCCTTCGTATCCTTCTTCTTCTTCAATCTACTCCACGAGTTGTTTACGCACCTCTGACTCGGTTCTCTCGCGCTGGACCGAATAAACACCGGCCCGTGCGGCCACAATCCGCATTCCGGCAGAGGTCGAAACTGCGGGTCGTTCTTCTCCTTTTGCTTCTCGCGCATCTCTCGCCACGCCGCTCTCGCTTCGCGTTCCAAACGCGCTCTCTCTCTCGTCTCGTACTCTTCCTTACCGAGCACGTGTTCGTCATCGCTCGAAGATTCCGTTTCATCCTCCTTATAGTTGTTCGCGTTTACTATTCGTCTCTTCTTCTTCATCATTTTATTCCGTCGTCGTCGTCCTCGCTCGAACGTCGCCTTCGCCTTATAATACGCTTCAGCCGCTTTCCTCCGTAACCGTTCGTCGTCGATTTCCGTCGGCGTCATCAACCTTCCCCCGACGGCGAGAAAGCACAGCGGCATGGTAAAAAACATCGCGCTCACGTCAAACGCGAACGCCAGGGAAATCGCCGCGGATGTGCAGATCAACGCGCCGACGATGACGTGGAAACTCGACCAGATGGAATGCATCGCTCGAGGGAACGTGTCGAACACGACGAGGCGGATTGATTTGAGCGAGAATGCGAAGTAAACGTACGAGCGCAATTCCGAGCACAGCTTCATGGATTCCTCCAAAATCGCGTTGGATATGGAATAAGAGTCGCGGTCGTCGTCGTCTGCACGTCTCGACTTCTTCGCGTTCGTCGTCATGGCATGTTTATCGCGTGGTTTTGAAGTGGCGATTTGTCTTCACTTTTTTCCCAAGAGAGAGACCGTTAGAGAAGGAGAGAGAGAGATGCGGACGACGACGGCGAGGACGACACCACTCCCGCAAAAAGAAAGCGCACGACGGAAGAGGAGGCACATACGACGAAGATGCGCTTTGAATCCCGCAGGGGCTTGCGAAAATACGTTCCATACGTCGTCGTCTTTCGTTGTTGATTTCGATTTCCCACCATTCGTAGGTGTTGCTTTAGATACGAAAGAACGCGTTGCACGCATGCTCGAAGCGACGATTTCGAGCGCGTATTTAGCCGACGAAGTGGACAAAGAAGAAGACAAAGAACGTTTACGAGGAATGGTGGAGAAAAAAGAAGACGGAACGCCGGTAACCGCGGCGGATTTTGCGATTCAAACGTTGATGGAAAACGTGTTAGGGGGTGATGGTGAAGAGGTTGTTGGCGAGGAGCGGCGCCCGGTCGAAGGCGATGCGTCGTTTGATCGAGTGAAGGAGTTAGTCGAGAAGTTTACTCCGCGCGGGAGGATGGCATTGCTCGAAAAGGAGAGGTGTGGTCCTCGCAGGAACTACTTCGTGTTAGATCCAATCGACGGGACGAAGGCGTTTGCGGCGAAACCGACGATACGATCGAGAGCGTACGCGTTTACGGAGCAGTATTGCATTGGTTTGTCTTATCACGATGGGGAAACTGGAGAGGTTTTGGCTGCGTGCGTGGCGGCGCCGAGATGGGAAAGAGGTAGTGGTGTGCTGCTTTGTGCCGTGAAGGGGAAAGGGTGCTTCTCGAAGGAGCTGTTCACCCCGGCGTCGAGATGGAAGCGATGTTGTTTGATGTCCCATTTGTGTAACATACGTTTGGCAGTGTCGGAATCGGACGTCGGAAAAGCGACGACACTGAACTCCGGTTGGAAAGTACCGAAGTCGAATTTAGATGAAATTCCGTATGGGAGCGGTTCGTTGATTAAATACGTCGCGATAGCAGTAAACGCGTGCGATGCATTCGTGCACTACAAACCGTGGACTTTTTCGATGAACGTTTGGGACCACGCGGCTGGTGTTTTGTGCTGCGAAGAGGCTGGGGCGATTGTTTCAGATGGGTTTGGTAATAGACTCTCGTTGAAAAGGAAACCAAGAAAGGCAGAAGGAGATTTCGAAGAGAGAGATGGCGTTGATCCAAGGCGCGTGTTTTCGCCCCAAGGAAAAGCCGTCGTCGTCGCGAACGAGGAGAGTTTACACAAAGAGATATTGAGAGCGCACAATTCAGGCGTCAAACAAATTAACGAATTTTAGGCAAGCGTGGGTGTAGCAGTAGCAGTAGTAGGTACCAGAGAGAGACAAAGGCGGTAATGTATCATTGGGAATAATAAGCAGATTAACGCGGCGCGAAAACGCATGACATTTTCTCCTTTTTTTTACGCCTTAAACTTTGCTTTCTGCTTGTCAATGGCATCGTGGACGTAGGAGGCGGCAAACGATATTTGGTGTCGAGATTCTAACAGATGCTGCGCGCGATTGATAGCGCGGCGCAACTTTTCATCTTCATCGTCGTCGCTTCGTGTTTCATCGTCTTCATTATCATCTTCTTCTTCCTCCTCTTGCTCCCATGCGTGTCGAAGTAAACGAGACAGTCGCTCTCTTTCGCTTTCGACTTCTCGCAACTTATCCGAAGCAGACTGCTCGTTTGTTAACGACTGGTTATCGTATTCCGATATGCGATAACGATTATTCTCTAAACACTTCTCGCTTTCATCCTCATCGTTCTCTTCCACTACCTCGTAGCGAATTTTATCCGCCGCTGCCTCCAACATTTTTCTCGCGCGTTGACTTCTCGCCGTATCAATCACGTGCGCTTCCGCTCTTCTCTGCGCAGCACCAGTTTCAATCTTCAATCTTTGCGTTTCGTGCATCGCCATCTTCGCACTGGCTCTCGCCGCGTCGCACGATGCTTTCAACTCTTTCGCTTTGCGCTCGAGCAACTCGGCGTTTTCGTTCGAAACGGCGGCTGTTTTTAAAGCCTCTCGGATTTCACGTTGCGCGATTTTCTCTTGCTTTCGCCGCCTGTTCGCATGTATGTCTTCGTTACGCTTGCGCTTAATTTCGTAGGCGACGTCGTCGTCGTTCGGATCTTCGTAGAGAACTTTGTCCTCAAAATCTACGCTGTTGATGATGGCGTATGACTCGTCCGCGTATCTTCGATTTGACTTGTTCTTTCTTGCAGCCTTGATGTCGTTGTCCGTCTCTCCGTCATCGTTGCTTTGAAGTGTATCGCGCGCCGCGTTATCAACCACAAACACGAGGTCGTTCGCCGAACTCGCTAAAATCTCACGTTTCTTAAGCCTCGTCTCCAGATTTACTGCCATCGTCTCTTTCGATCGCTTTGCTTTATCCAACTGTTTTTCTAAGGCGTGCACTTCTTCTCGCGCTCGTAGTAACTCGACGTTGCCGACGTTCGGGTCGAGTTTGTTTTGCGTTTCAATCTCCATCTTGCGCTCGCGGTTCCATTTCGATACTTCCTCGCGAAGCGCATCAATTCTCGCTTTTTCTTTCTCTACGTCGCGCTCTTCGCACGCTAAGTTGTTCTCCGCCGATTTAAGTTCTCTTTTGGCATCATCGAGCGTCGTTTGAAGCGTTTGTTTCAGGACTTTGAACTCTTCCGGTGCAGACGCCAATATTTGTTCCGAAAGTGAAACTTCTTCGTTCAACATCGAAAGCTGCCTCCGTAATCGATCGATTTCTCTATTTATAGCTAGCGCGTCTCGCTCGTATACTTTCGCATCTCGCTCGTGTCTGTTCTTTTTACCCTCGTAGAGACGTTCGTCGGAGAGCAACTCTTGTAACAACGACGCGGATTTTTTTTTGCCTTCCGCGAGCGTCAAGAGTTCGTTTTGCGCGTTTAACCAGTTTTGACGCGACTGGTTGCTTTTATTCCGCGTCGCGGCGAGCTCCTTCTTCAAGCTCGCCAGCGTGGCGTTCAATGGTCCTCCAGTCGATTCATTCGTGCTGTTATTAGACGACGCCTTCACACGTTCTGCGGCTAATATGCGATCGTTAATGCGTTCCGCGCGTTTGTCCAAAGCGTCCCTTTCCATCGCTAACTTTTCCAACTCTCTTCGTCCGTTCTTTATTTTAGCCTCTTTCGCTTCCGTCTCCAAAGCCATATTTTGAATCTCAATCTCAATTTCCTCAATTTCGCGATCCGTGTCCAACATTTCTGACTCGAAGTCGAGCGTATCCACGTCTGCCATCGCCTTTAAGTTTTCGTAACGAACAGTCGCGGATTCGATGTCTCTCGTTTGCTTCTTTAAACGCTCGATACTTTTCGAGTCAAATTTTGTGCGCTCGGTTCTCGCCGCGATCTCGTTGGAGAGTTTGGACACTATTTCATCTTCCAAAGCGTGTTGTTTTTCTCGAAGCTTTTCTCGTTCTTCGTTGACTCGATCAATTTCACGCGATACCTCCGAGGCGCGCAAACGAAGCGTCGCCGCCGTCGCGACTAATCCGTCCGTCTCTTTTCTATCCTCGTCGGTATCTTTCGCGTGTTGCTCCGAGGTTATGCTACACGCCGAAATCAAGTCTTCATTTTTCTTAATATCGAATAAGAGCTTCTCTTTCTCACTGTCGAATGCCTTGATGTCCTTTTTCGCCAACGCGATTTCCTTAAATTCTGCGCCAATCTCCAATCTCACCTTCGCTTCTTCGCGATTAACCGCCGACGTTTCCTCGAACAACCGTCTCGCCTCTTCGTCCGTTTTCTCGCACGTCTTCACCGTTAGCGCCCACCTTTCCCGTAACTTTGCATTTTCTTTCCGTTGCTTTTCAATCTCCATCGCTCGCACTTCGTTCTCCTCTTTCATCTCCTCCGTCTCTTTTCTCGCCTGCGCCGTCCTCTTCTCCAGCGTCTCCGTCTTCTCTCTCAACTTTCTTTCCGTCTCCATCATGTTCTCGACCCGCTCTTCTCTCTCAAAAATGACTCTTTCATTCATCGACACCACTCTTTCGCCTTGCGCGGTCTCTCTCATCGTCCGTTCGTACCTCGCCTCCGCTTTCACAACCTCCGCTTCTCGTTCGCGTCTCGCCCTCGCCGTCTCGTCCAACTCCCGCTGTAATCTCTCGCTCTTCCCCATCTCCTCTCGTTCCATCGCGCGTACTTTTTCCAACCGCTCGGTTTCCTTCTCCATCGTCTCTTCTTCCTTCTCTCTTTTCTCGGTGAGTAAAGTCACGTCGCGTTCCATTGCCACTGCGCGTTCGTTCGCGCGTTTGATTTTTTTTTGGTCTTCGTGTAAAATCACCGCGACTTGTTCTCTCGCTTTTCGTTGCTTCTCCGCTTTACTTTGCGCGTTTTGCAATCTCGCTCTCAACAGGTTTAAGCGATCGCGCTGTTGTTGTTCGATTGTTTTTTGCGCGGAAGAGAGTATTAAGGACGACGATTCGGACGAAAAGTCGTCGACATCGTCAGCTTCTTCTTCTTCTTCATCCGACGACGACGGTGCAAAAAATACGCGTCGTTTCTCCTCTTTGAACATCGGGGAAAGCGTTGGAGGAGGTGCCAACGGGGTAGGTGTTCTGCCTCTTCGTGCGGCGGATTTTTTGAAGTTGAACAGCGCGGAGGACGGCGTTTGCGGCTCGTCGTCGTTTGCGTCGTCGTCGTGATCCATCGTCGCGTTCGACGTTATCTTCTCTTTTCCTTCCGTCCGCGCGTTTCGCGCGGAAGTTTTTATGATGTCTCTTTCTTTTTTCGTCGGTCAACGCATGTGAAATGTCTTCGCATGTAGAGATCACACGTTAAAAAAAAATATACGCTTGCCCACGACGACGACAAAGACAAGAAGAAGAACGAGAAGAGCGAGCGAAAGTTAGACATATAGAGAGAGAATGAGCGAAAGGGAGGAAGGATCGAACGAGGAGGAGACGACGGAGGAAACTGAAATCGAAGGAAAACCATCACCACGGGAAGAGTTTAGCGAAACGAGCACCCCTAAAGAGGAAGAAGAAGAAGAAGAAGAAGAAGAAGAAGAAGAAGAAGAGCGAGAGATCCAGACGCCACCATTACCATCACCACCTTTACCGCCGACGACGAAAGAACAAAAACAGTCTCGAACGAACGAGCTCGGCTTACACGAGCAATGGCGGTCGATACAGCGCTGCGAGCGACGCAAAACGAGAGAGGAAAGGAAAGACAGAAGGGAAATTGCCAAGGAGAGACTCGTTGACCGGTTGGACGAGAAGACGGAGAAGTTGGATCGAGAGTTGGATGTGGCAGAGAAACAGACGCGGGCGATGGCAAAAGCACACTTAGAAACGGCGGAGAGGATTTACGACGCCGCGTTGAAGTGTAAGAAACAAATGCGGATGGATTTGGAGGAGAGCATGCGCAAGGCGTTCGCGGCGTTTGCGAAAGAAGCGGAGGAGGTCAGAAAGACGCACGAAGAGCGCGTGGCTGTAGCCGAGCGGGCGATGAAGGAAATGACCACGCGATTTGAAAACCATGAGTTGAACTCGAACTTTCCGAGACACGCGAGTACGATGGCGGAGATTAAAAACCAAGCGGAGGAAGAGCGAGCGAATTTACGGTCTACGCTCGGCGCCAGATTGGAAAGGGCGAGGAGAGACGTGTATCGAGCGAGTGGATGTGAAAGGGAGAGAGCGGCACCACGCGACGACGGAGACATGCGTGTTACTAAAAACGACGACGAAGAAAGGAAGGATGATAACGACGACGACAGTAATACCGATCTCGACGAAAACGAAGGAGACGAATTGATGACGCTCTTGAATACCACCGCGACCAACTCCGCCTACGACGCGTATCACCCGAAACTCCTCCACCACCGCTTCCGCCGCATAAACCGTCTGAAAGACGCCAAACTCCAGCGCATGGAAGTAACCCTCTCCAAACTCACTCGCGAGCGTGAAAAGTGGCAACGAAAAACCGCCTCGCTCGAACAGGAGCACTCCGAAGACGCCCGTAAAATCGAAACGCAAACGAGAGCCGCGTTGCGACAGGCGCGAGACGCGCGACGACTTCGAGCGAAAAAAAGTAAAGAACACTGCGAGCAGTTAAAACAGAAATTGGCGAGAGAGTATTATCACAGTCGTCTTGACATCGCAAGTCCCAACTTCTCTGCGAAAAGCGACGACTTTAGACGCTTTAAGGAACTCTTCAAATTTGCCTCATAATAAGTCAAAAGTCACAAAAAGTCTGCATTATAAACACACACATAACACTCCGGTAAAAAGACATTCGAACACCATTTACTACTGAACAATCCGAAAACCAATACTCAGTAGTCGTTTGAATCCTTCTTCGTTTTCACACTCGTCGCGTTGTTGTTGTTGTTGTTGTTGTTCTCGTTGTTGTTCTTCCTCTTGCGAGGAGGCTGAAACATCACGTCCGGGAAAAACAACGAAAAGAGCGGCAAGATGAGAAAAAATCCATCCTCTTCTTTCGACCCTTCGAAAGCGATAAACCGCGCGGATGTGATTTCCGACCCTCGATTCCAACAGATGCAAAGCGACCCTCGATTTATGACCATGCGTAACCAGTCGAGAAAAGTGAAAATCGATTCCAGGTTTAAGAAGATGTTCGAGGATGAAAATTTTCGCGTCGGCAACCAACGTGGCGGCGGATTCGAATCCCAAGGGAGAAAAGTGGACAAATTCGGGAGGAAAACGAACGGGAGCGGGAAATCGAGGAAAGAGATTACGAGGGAAGGGTTAGAATCGTATTACGATTTAGATGAAGACGAGAAAGAAAAAGAGGATACCGAGGAAGAGGATGAAGGGAAACGTGGGAGGAAGAAACCATCGGGAGTTGATCGTCGGGATTTGCCGGAGATGGACGCCGCGATGCAGGCGAAACTGGACGCGTCGAGAGATCGGATGCGAGGCGTTGGTCTCGAGGATTCTTCTTCTTCTTCTTCCTCTGACGACGAGGAAGATAGTAGCGAGAGCGAAACGAGCGACGACGAGGACGACGCGTTGAAAGAATTCTCGGACGGTGAAGAGCTGTCCGACGAAGGCGTGTTAGCGAGCTACGCGGAAAGAAGGGAAACGGGGCACGAAAGCTCCGTTCCGGAACAAGACGCGACGAAGCGGTTGGCGTTGGTCAATTGCGAGTGGCAGCAAATACGAGCGGTTGATATTTTAACCATTTTGCGCTCCTTTTGTCCGTCGAGTGGAGAAGTGAACAGAGTGACCGTGTACCCGTCTGATTTTGGTCTCGAGCGAATGAAAGAGGAAAACGTCATCGGGCCGATGGGCGCGGTGGCGAAAATTAAAAAGAGCAAGTACGGAGGCAGCGAATTATCCCAGAAACGTAAGAACAAGAAAAGTCTCTCCGAATTTGAATTCGGTAAAGAAGGAAAAGAAATCGACAACGAACAGTTGAGGCAATACGAACGCGATCGATTGAAATACTATTACGCGATAATCGAGTGCGACTCTGTTAAAACCGCAAAGTCGGTGTACGAGCAGTGCGACGGATTAGAGTTTGAACGGTCGTCGGCGCTTTTGGATTTGCGTTACGTCCCGAAAGACCAAGACTTTTCGAAACGCGAAGTGCGCGATGTTGCAACGGACACGCCGGAAGATTACGAGCCTCCTGAATTTGAAGTGAAAGCCTTACGAAACGCCACCGTGAAATTGTCCTGGGACGACGCCGATCCCGCGAGGAAGAAAACATTCGGTCGGAAAATTACCGAAGATAAGTTGAAAGACGACGATTTTAACGCCTATTTAGCGTCTGATTCAGAAGAAGACTCCAGCGATGACGAAGAAGAAGAGAAGGAGAAGAGGAAGAAAAGTAAGCGCGAAGGGAAGGAAGAGAAGAAGAAATATTTAGCCGCGTTGCTCGGGAAAGATTACAAGAGTAAGACGAGTCGCACAGGCGTCAAGTTGGACGATATCGATAAAGACGACATGAGTAAAGACCCGAATGACAACGACGACGATGATTTCTTCCTCAACGAGGACGACGACACCTCTGACTCTGAGTCCTCGTCATCGGAAGAGATTGAAGACACCGCGTTGGCGTCGACGAAATACGCCATGCAAAAGAAGTTCTCAAATAGATATGGGAACAAGTCCGGCAAGAACGGTAATTCAGGCGACATGGAAGTCACGTTTCACGCTGGACTAGAAGATTTCGGTACTAAAATGAAAAAGAAGAAGAAAGAAGGGACGCTTGGGCAAAAAGAAACCGCCGAGGAGCGACGCGAACGGGAACGCCGAGAGAAGAAGTTGACCGCAAAGAAGAAGAAAGAGAAGGAAAAGAACGGCGAAGAAGAAGAAGAAGAAGGAGAAGAGAAGGAATTCGCAGCGGGTACGGACGAGGGAGCAAACGGATTCGACGATCCATTCTTTGCGCAAGAGCCAGATGCAAACTTTGACTTCGATAGCGTTCGAGATGACGACGATACCGTTGACGAAGACAAAAAGAAATCGAAAAAGAAGAAACGAGGTTCATTGGACGACGGAGAAGACGGAAAAGCGAAAGCAGAACTCGAGTTGCTCATGATGGACGAAAATGTCATCTTAGGAAGAGGGGACGCGCAAAGCTTGAAAAAGAACAAGTCTCTCGCGAGGAAAACCAACGAAGGCGAAGAGAAAGTCACGCGTAAAACGAAGAAAGCGAGATTGGCCGAGAAGCGAAAACTTCGAGGTAAAGCCGCGCGAAGAGCCGAGTCCGACGACGAAATGGACGACGACATGGATGACGAAGGCAAAGCTAAGAAAAGTATCAACGTTCAAGATGAACGATTTGGTGCGCTCTTTGAAAACCACGAATTTGCACTCGATCCGACCGATCCTCGGTACAAAGACGTCGAATCGAAAGCGCTCATCGCGAGCGAACGCGAGAAACGTCGCGCGAAGAAATTGGCAAAACTCGAGAAGATGCGCAAAGAGATGCTCAAAAATGGTGAAAACGTTACCGTGGACGAAGACGACGATTTTCCTGGGAGTGCTGGTAAGAAGAAAGCATCATCTTCTGGAGGCATCGGAAAGAACGAGTTGGATTCGATGATCCAAAGCCTGAAAAGGAAACAAGCTTTGGCGATGCAAAAGAAAAAGTAGTTGTAAAATCACAATACTCGCGCGTATATATAGTAGCAGTCCAATGCCTTTCAAAAAGTTTCAAAATTTATTATCCATTCGCGTCTGCGCATCCAGTGCCAATTGCAGATTGACCTTTCCGCTATCCGTCACCATCATCGAAATCGGCATGTCAAGATCTCCGCTGGTAAAAATACCATCGTTTTTCGGCGGCGACGGCTGCGGTACATTCGAAGGTGCAATTTGCGAAGGTGGATCTGGCGCCTGGGTTGTCGATGTTGGTACTGTTGTAGGTGTCGTCGCAAGTGGAGCTGTTTCTGGAGCAGGTGCCGCTGGATTCCCTGCTTGTGGTGCTTGTTCTGGCTGCCCATCAGTCGTTCGGGGTGCGACTGGCGTCGTCGTCGTCGTCATCGTCAATGGATCCCGATCGACTTGCATTGGCGTCGCCACCGTAGTTTGCTCTTGTGGAAAAACCGGTTTGTGAAGAAACGCCGCCGTTGCCATCGGCGCCATCGGCACCCCGTTCGTGGTCATTGTGACGAAACCCTCTGCATTCGCCGCCGTCTTCGTCGCTGAACCAGGTTTTCTTCCTTTCTTTTTCGGTCCTTCCATATCCCGTAAGACACAATCTTGGTGCCTTTCACAATATCTCGTCGCGCCAAATCGGAATTTCGGGCAGTGCCATTGCGAGCTCTTTTTGCAACATCTTTGTTCGTCCGGCGCCGGTGGAGCCGACACTTTCGATGATGGTTTGCGTGGTTTCCTAATTGCTACTAAATTAGGTTCCTCCAAACTACCGACTGGAATTTCGAGCGTGAGATCGCCGACGGGTTCCGGCGCCTTCTTACGCGCTTCTTCGGCGGCATTATTCGGATGCGGCCGTTTCTTATCGTTCAAGGCCGTGAGGTTTCCTAATATGCCGTGGAGTAAATTTCTATCTACTATCGGCTGGGCCGGCTGCTGAGCCGGTTTGCTGGGCCTGTTTGCTTCTATCGGTTTGCTCACTTTACTCACGTGCGAAATCTTCAACAATCCACGCGCGCCACACACTTTCAAATGCGCGGCGTGTAACGCGGATTTCAAATCTCTCGCAAGTCTGTGACCAGGTTCTAACCCGCAGCTTAAACGTAAGAGCCCCGCTGGACATTGACTCCAAGGATACGATCCGCCTTCCACGGACGCCCGATGTTCGATGAGCGACTCTGGACCGCCTAAAGAAGTGGCCGGTCGCCAAATTTTGGTCAACGTTGCCGTCGTTTTTGCCATTTCAAACGCGATTTCGTGCATCTTAATTGCGTATTGCTCCGTCGTTGACGGTAAATTGGCTCCTCCTTCTGTTGTCGTCGTCGATGTTGTTTTCAGGTCTTCTTGATTTCCCGTTCCTCTTGTTGATGCTGGTTGTTCGTTGTTGTTCACAGCAGCCTTCTCTGGCTCCGTCGTCGCCTTCGGATCCGGTAAAATCGGGGTAATCACCACCGACAACATTCCGCCAAACATTTTTTTATTCTTCCCGGCTTGTTGTTGCTTTGAAATAGCGTGGTTTTCGTGTCCAGGCAAACCTGGATACAACACCACCAACTCGAACCACGGTGATATCGGAAAACTCGTCGTCGTCGTCGGTGTAACCGCGGCGTTTGTTGCGTTTTGTTCGCCGACACTCGGCGCCACCTTTTCGCCCTTCTCTCCTTTGAACTTAAATTGCACCATCGACATTGCCACGTGCATCCCATTTTCCGACGCTTTCGGCACTCGCAAATGCAACGTCCTCATCCCTCTCAACAGCAAGAAGCAATCAAAAGCGGACAACACCGCCCCTCCGGTAACTCTCGCTTCTTTAATCCTCTTCCAATTTTTCGACTTTCGATCTTTGCAACTCACGGCGCCCGCTAACACGTCCGAATGCCCGTTCAAATACTTCGAACACGAATGTATGACAAAATCCGCGCCTAATTTCAACGGCTGGCACAACAACGGCGTCAACACCGTCGCGTCCACGAAACTCGTCACCCCGTTCTTGCGACACCACCCCGTCACCGTCTCGATGTCCAACACTTCCCACGAACTGTTCGCCGGCGTCTCGATCCACATAAACTTCTCGTGTTCTTTCTCCTCTTCGCACGACACCATCTCTATGGCTAATTTCAAATACTCCAGCGAACTTTCATCCGTGTCGTACTGCACGATTCGAACGCGCATCCGAGTGCACCACTCGCGGAAGTGTTTCCGGTTGATAAAATACGATCTTCGTGGGAAAAACACCACGCAATCCGGAACAAAACACGCGTTCATTATCGCGCTCACCGCGGCCATGCCCGAGGAGAAAACGCAGCTTTCCTCGGCGTCGTCCAGTTTTGATAAAACGTGTTCGACGTGCGAGGCGGTTGGATTGTCCGCTCGAGAGTAGATTAAGGGGTGTTCGCCATTATTCAGTGTACGCGCGTTGTAGGAACCGTCCCGGGAAAACGTCGTCGAGGGATGAATCGAAGGGACGATGGCGCCGGTTTGTGAGGACGAGTAATTCGCCGCCGACGAGCACACGAGCGCGGCAACTTCCAAGTCCATTTTGTTCTTTCTCTTTTCGTGCTTTTTGGGTTGGTTGATTCACCAGAGAAGCGGAATAAAGAAGTGAAGTGTGCGCGTGTGTTTGTGAGGATTTTGAAATCGAAATCGAGTCAGGAGGAGTCGCCTGAGTGTGCGTCAATTAAATTTACGCACGCGTTCTTCTTTTCAACGCGCAAAAACAGCTAAACTACTACTACTTTACGCACGAACGACAGTCAGCGCAGATTCTAGGTATAAGTTTTCTATGGCTACTGATTCGAGTTTCGTTCTGTAGACTTCGTACTCCTTCGGTTCCCTCTTGCAAGCGGCGCTAAACTCGATATCGGTCTCGCCAGAATCCGTGAAAGTTTTGAAGAGGAGGAGGTTGAGTTTCTCGACGTGTTGTATTTTCAAAATTGAGCAAGCGTCTTCTTTTTTCATTTTCATGCGGTTGTGGCTGACGTTTAAGCGCGAGATGTATCGAGCGCGGAGCGGGTCGAGACACGCGTATACACAGCAGAATTCGAGAAACGTGAAGGATTCGGAATCGATCGTTTTGAAGAAGGAGACGTATTTGCCCACATCTACGCAGACGGAGAGGTACATGGCTCTCGAAACGATCGGAGAATTCAAAACGCCGAGTTCAGCCGCGCGAAAATCGATGTTGTCGAGTTTAGAAGAGGACGAGGAAGAAGAGGAACGGTTCCCTTCCATTTCTTTTTCTTTTTCCTCCTCTTCTTCTTCAACCTTTGCCGAAAGTCTGAGTAACAACCGATAGGACAAAATCTCAGCTTTATCCTCCGGTGAGACGAACTCAGCCCGCTCCGTGCACATGATCGAGTACGTAGCCAACGACTTCCCCAATTGTTCACGAAACTGTAGCGCCATGGAATGATCCCGGTGTATCATTCTTCTCGCGTCCGGATCCGAATAATTGAATTTCACCCATTGCGCGATGTATGTGTACGCTCTCAGTCTTTGTCGTTTTCTGATCTCGTAATCGAATCGAATCATCATGTGCACAAGACGTCGCATAATTCGCCTGCTTTTTGGTCCACTCGCCGATTGCGCAGTCAAGTCTCCTCGAATCGCTCGAGAACGATCCCGAACAAAATCCGCGAGTTCAGAAAACGTCTTCAACGCTTCGAAATCCAAACTGTTCTCATCGCGCTTCAAACAATCGCAAACACCACCAATCGTCTCTTCAATCACCGTCGCTACTCGTTCCAAACTCTTCTCTATCGCATCTAAACTCCTCACTTCCTCCGGATTCCCGTTAAACGTTCGCGAAAATCGTTTCATGAGCAATTCGCCTTTTGCACCTTCGAACCTTGGGTCGAAATCAGACCGAGCCAATCGCATCGTTCTTTCTTCTTCCGGGCACAAATCGTCGCATTTTGCGACTAAACGCGCGTCCTCGTTTCCCTCCTCGGTTTCCAGAAACTCGCGCTCAACTTCTTCATCTTCTTTGTCTTCTTCTTCTTCTTCTTCTTCTTGATATTCTTTTTCGTCTTCTTGTACATTTTCAAATTCATTTCCAACTGTCGATGATGTCGACGCTCCGGTCGCTCTTCTCTCCTCCGAATCATCATCATCATCATCGTCGTCCTGTTGTATATCTTCACAACCACGGATACTTGGCTCCTCGTTACCGTCGGCATTTTCGTCGCAATCATCGCTCGCGTCGCTGATTTCTACTCCCGCGCGTTTCGTTTGCGCTTGACCCATGTTCTACTAAAAAAGTGCAATATCTCTGAAGAAAACAAAACGAAGGAAAAGGAAAAGATGGAAGCGAGAGGAGCGAACGCACGCTGTAAGTCTCTCTCTCTCTCTCTCTCTCTTTCTGTTATTACAACTATAATTATATTCATGATTCGGAACTTCATTCTGATTCTGATTCGGAACTTGAGAATACTTCTGATTCTGGCACGCGTAACTCTCCGTGCTCGTATCGCCAACCATATGGTAAAGGGCCGTAGTTGTCGAGGAGGTATCGTAAACATTCGGTTTGGTTTTTCTTATGCGCTTCTCGCACGGCCAAATAGTCCAAAGGCGCTCTGGCGGTTTTGTGTAAGTACTTCAAACAGTCCAAGTGGCCGAACTTAGCCGCATACTGACACGCAGTTTCGACATATATATTATACTTACGCTCAACAAGGTATTCAAGTATATGAAGATGACCACTTAAAGCCGCCCCATTGGCAGTATACGAATTCCAAGGCGCTTTGACGGTTTCGTGTAAGTACATCAAACAGTCTAAGTGGCCGAATTCGGCTGCATTCGCACACGCACCTTCGTCATATTCATCATATTCACGCTCGACAAGATATTCGAGTATATGAAGATGACCATTTTGAGCCTCCAAAGCTGCAGTACCCGAATCCCAAGGCGCTTTGGCGGTTTCGTGTAAGTACTTCAAACAGTCTAAGTGGCCGAACTTGGCAGCACTTGCACACGCAAATTCGTAATATTGATCATACTTACGCTCAACAAGATATTCGAGTATGTGAAGATGACCATTTTCAGCCGCCAAATCTGCAGTACCCGAACCCCAAGGCGCTTTCGCTTCTTCGTGTAAGTATTTGAGGCACTCGAGATGACCTTCTGAGGCAGCACATACACACGCATTCATTAATATGGCACTCATTTGCAACGCAATACTTTACCATTTCCAGATTACCTTTTTGTGCGGCCACATTAATCGGCACATAATCCCACTCACACTGTTTCTCCTCTCGTATCCACTTGAGCAACTCGAGTTTATTCGTTTCAGCAACTTTACGGCAGAAAATTCTTTCGTCCCAGTAACTCGGCCACAACCATCGATTCTCCCACGCTACTTCCAAAGTCGATATCGACGACATCTCGCTCACTTTAAACGCATTTTTCACATCATCCGCGCGAGGCGATCTTTTAATCAAAGCTCTCGTCTCTTTATTCACTCCGTACAAGAATTTAAGATCCGTTCGATTCAATCTCGGAAGGATGTGCGTGAAACACACATCGTCGCACTTCGCGATCACGTCCCACAAAGAATCTCTCTGACCAATCATCATCCGCCCGATTTCCTCCTCGCCAGACATCGTGGGCTCGTTTTCTGCGCGCGTCTTTCTTCTCTCTTTTTAGGGGAAAATTGTGATGTCTTTTCACTCCAGCTGGGGAAATATTCTTCATTGAAAATAAAGAACGCACAGATATTATATACGCACACATTCACCATTCCTCCCTCGACGAAGAGATAAATTGCGACGAGAGAAGTCATCAACGGAGAGAAGTGCTGTCGTCAGAAGAGCAATTTTTGAATGGATTACGCCGAGAACTGCTCCGACGACGATGCTTTCTCATCTCGCCTTGGTGATGTGATGATGAAAAACCGTTACTTAGGGGATGTCGCGCCAGCGGATGAGGTAGACGGAAGGACGACGAATACTTTTCTTCGGCAAAACGGAGAGAAAGAGCTGCGCAAACTCGCGTGTCTGACGGGCGTGCCAGATGCGAGGAGACGCGCGATTTGGATGAAACTTCTCGGCATCGAGTTTGGATTGATTTCGCAAGTGCAATTTGCCACCAACGAACGAGAGTGCGATGAAACGCTCTCGAGAACGATATCGGCGGATTGCGAACGGTCGTATTTTAACTTGGAAAACGAGAAAGAGTTGCAAAAAGAGAAGAGGAAGGAATTAGAGCGACTGCTGCGATCGGTGTTTGGGGGGAAGAATAGGTTGAGGTATTATCAAGGGGTTCACGCCGTCGCGCAAGTAGTCTTGTCGATTGCAGAGACGGAAGAGGAAGAAGAGGACGCGAACGCGAAATATAAAATCTCGTGCGCGATGCTCGACCGGTTGGCGTCGTTTAGTTTGAGAGATAACACGAGAGAAACGATGTATCCGGTTTTGTTGTCGTTACGAATAGTATTAGCACGATTGATAGAAGAGGCTTTAGGTGAGGACGAAGTGCTGAAGGAAGCGATCGCATTTGGCGCGCGGAAACACGAGTATCAATTCGCGTTGCAGAAAGTGTTGACGTGGCATTCGATGTCCGCAGATAGCAGTAAGAGAAGCGTAGAAAATTCTAGCGAAACAGAGGAAGAAGAGAGCAGAAATGAGTGCGTGAAACGCGTCTTTGATTTATTTTTGGCATCGCATCCGCTCATGCCGGTCTATTTGACCGTGGCAGTTTTGTTGCGAGAGCGAGAGAGTATCATCAAAGCGAGGAACGAATTGGACGACGAGGACGACGACGTGATGTTTTCGTACTTGAGCCGTTTGGAGACTTTTCCAGATTTGACGAGTTACGTTGAAAACGACGACGAAAATTCGGGAACAATTCGTAGAAATGGAATATCCGAAGAAGACATCGACGAAGCGGAAAATGGCTCGGAGCACGAGAAGAAGAAAAAGATGAAGCAAATGATGCAAAAAGTTCGAAGTGTTTCGTTCGGTTCGTCCTCGTCTTTGGCGAACATGTCGCCGAGAAAGCGGCTGAAAAAGAAACGATCACAAAAGCGGCAACTCCAAGCCGTTGACGCTTTGTGTCACTCCGCGTTGAAACTATTCAACGAGTTTCCGCCAACCCAAATCTTGCGCGCGAACGAAATGAAGACGACATTCAATGGTTCCAGTTTCGATCCCAAGCGGTATCCACCGCGTTTTGCGTTTTCTAAACTCGCATCCCCGACGCCGCCGCACAACGAGGACAACAACACCACCGACGAACTAGACATCCACGTCGGCGAACAGATCGAAATAAAAAAAGCCGCTCGATTGAAGCGCCTCCGCCTCGCCCAACGCAAACTTTTCGCGTTTCGCCGTCGAGTGCACGCGTTACCGCTCGTTCTCAAAATGATCCTCTTTTTGCTCGTTTACGTGCAATACTGGGAAAATGTGAGAATCATTCACTATCAGCTCGCGTACGGACCGGACATCCGCATTAGCCTTGCTCGTCCGCGTTGGTGGTTTGGAGAGCTTTTTCGAGCTCTTTTGACGAGATTGTTTACTTTGTAATCCGCATAAATAGAGCGCGCATAAAACGAAACAAACGTGCTTCACTCTGTCCACACTTTCTCCCGTCTATTTTCATAATCTCCAAGCGATGTTTTCTCGGCGCATTTGTTCGTTTGCACGTCTTTTAGTCTCCCTTTTCCTGTGCGTTTCATTCGCATCTTTTGCAAGTGCGGCAGAAGCGAACGAAAAGTGCAATTCCGAAAAGCAGAAAGAAACAATCGACAGAGCGATACGATCGCACGGTTACGTCAACACCAACGAAAACGAATACGCGAGAGTGATTTCGTTGGCGAGGAAAGAGCAACACTCGATGTATGCATTTGAATCGCGATGCGGGTGCGCAAGCGAGGAGGATATTAGGAAAGATTTAGGCATGAACGAGACGGGAAGAGGAGCGCTGGACGAGGAGGAAACGGAGTCATCGGATAAAGAGCGACATTTCGCGTGTCACGAGTTTCTGGGAAAATACGGCAACTACGTCGCGTGGAGGAACCGCGTGCTGTCGAACGACGCAAAGTACGAGCAGGAGCGCAAAGAGGCGAAGTATTTGGTCGTCAAAACGGCGTGGTTTGGACTCGGCTTAGGCCACATGGGGAGTACCGTCGCCGAGTGGTTGGCGTTTGCGATGCAAGTGAAACGAGTTTTGTTCATCGAGGAGTTGGCGGATTGGAACGTTCTGGAGTACTTCGAGGGACATTTAGGAATGGATTTGAGATACAGAGATGCGGAGGAAAAGATGATGAGAGAACGCGTGGGTGGTAAAGAGAAGGAGGCGATTTTGGCGTTGGGCGCGCTCGGCGCTGACGAGAGTACGTGTAGGAAAGGGCACTGTCGAGCGCGGTCGTTTGCGGAAGCGAAGACGTGCAGAGAATATAAAGAAGGGGATGGTGCGAAACCAGAGTATTGCGACGGGGAAAAAATAGCATGCGAATCCGCAGATGTCGCCGGTTGGCAGTGTGAACCGTGCTTGCAATGCGCGTCGGATTTGTTGCAAAACGCAAAGTGGGTGACGATTCGCTCGGACGCTGGTATTAAACCACCGAGTTTGATTAGCGATCCAGATTTGAAGAACGAAGTGTTGAGACAATTTATATGGCAGAGTGGGAATTCAAATAAGCGCGACGAAGATTGGGACGTTTTTAAAGCGCTGACGAAAACGGTCGATAAAAGTCGTTCTCAAGATAACGACGCGTATTTTCCAGCCACGGTCGCTCAACATCCATGTTTACGATGCGCGTTTTTCGCATTGATGCGTCCGAGAGCAGAACTAGCGGAGGCGTGGGGTGCCGTGTTAGGCTCTAAAGCGGCAGATTCGAATCGGTTACAGTGTTTAAAAGTCCGCACGGGTTACCCAGAAAGTTCCACGTGCTTCCCAGACGACACGCCGAAATCGGACGTATGCGTGGAACAAATTTTCTCGCACCCGACATGTTCGGTTTCCTACCAGTTCCACACGGCGGTTCGTTTAGTGTCGCGGACTGATCGAGAGCGACACGTGACCATTAAGGAAGCGCTAAATTGCTTGGCATCTCAAAAAGACGCCTTCATTCATGTTGCCACGGACGCCCCGGTTGTCGCCGACTACGTCTCTCTTTTCTCCCCTCGAAACCACGCGAACGTGTTCATCTTGCCAGGTAGAGGTGTCGACTTGAATAACGGCTATCGCGATACCCAAGAAAACTCTTTTCAAAATAAAATGAAAGTGGCGTTGGATTTTTACGTTCAAGGTTGGTGCGATGATACTTTGATGTTATCTCCGAGCGAGTATTACGTCTCCGCGGGGATGCGTACGATGGTGCCGAACAAGTTCACCAACGACGACCACCATCCGTCGTTGTGCGAGGAAGTTTTTGGGTTCAATACGACGTATAACACTAAAGAAGCCAACTCGTGGTCGCACGCGCCTACTTGGCAAGAGAAAGGATTAGAGGCGAGGTCGAAAGCGAAAAATCTAGAATGTTATTCGGGCACGACGGAGGAACCGAATCCGGAAGTTAAAAACATCGGGAAGATTTCCGTTGGAGCGAAATCCGACGACGAGCTAAAAAAAAGTGTGGAGGAGGTTTCAGTCGCGAAACAATTGAAAACAGGGGAGGTTGACGGAAAGGCTTCTAGAAATGAAGGTGAATCATCGAAGATTGTGGAAATTGACGCCTCGACTGGCGAGGAAATTCTTTCCAGAGGGGCGAAAATGGAAGACATCGACCCAGATTCCACGCTCAAAAATAACGAAATGTTGAAACCACCTGAGGACGCCGAGCAACGAGAGCAACACCAAACGCTAACTGAGGAGGAAATCGCGGAAAAGAAATGGCACAAAGACGCGCACGACGCGGTCATGGCGACCATCAATACCCACGCGCAAAAGAGCAAAGAACACCAGGAAAGAAAACAAAAAATAGTCGATGAAGAATCGAAAGCGCGAGAGCGGCGCTTGGAAGAACGAGCACACAGACATGAAAGAGAGCGACAGCGCGAACGCGAACATCCTTTGAATAAGGCATACGAGATGAGGCGCTCCAAACGCGACGAGGCTAGGAAACGAATCAACGATATCGCCGCGCAATACGACCGAGTACTCGAAGTTGAAGAAAAACGCCAAGTCGCCAAAGATATGATGCTCATCCACGCCAGCGAAAAGAAAGACGGCGAGGGAGGAGGAGAAGGAGAAAACGAAGAAACAGAAATCGACGGCGAGTTATCGAAAATCGAACGCAACGAAGACCGCGAAAACGAACTCGAGAAAATATCCGAACTCGAAAAGATGCCGCTCGTGTTGGAGCCGCCGAACGTCCTCGTCGACCTCCCGAGCGCGAGCAGCGCGAGACGGAGCGGCAACTTCTTCAACTTCTTCTCGTCCTCGCCGGATAAAAACGAGGACGACGGCAAAAACAACTACGCCTTCGGTACCTTCCTTTCTTTCGTGTTCGTGATACTCGTCTTCGTCGTCTTCGCGGTCGTGAGAAGACGAAGGAGGAAGAAAATTTTACTCGCCGCCAATCGAGCGTACGCGGAAGGCAGAAGTTTCATAGTTTGATCGTTTTAGCAGAATAGGTTATTTATCGACACAAAACGCTCGCGTTTTATCTTCTCGTACTCATAAAGAACAAGTACTAAGTACACGCGTTTTACAAACGGAAAAGAGAAATGTCGTCATTATCCGCGACGGAGCAAGCGAAACGGGCGAGAGTGGCCAGTCGTCAGCTCCAATCGCTCGCGACTGCGCAACGCGATCGACTTCTCGAGAACATCGCGAATGCGTTGGAGAAGCACGAAGGGAAAATCATGCAAGCGAACGAGGAGGACATTCTTGCCGCGACGAACGCACCGGATATCGACCAGAACTTAATCGCGCGGTTGAAACTCTCCGGTCAAAAGATTAAGAATTTATCGGACGGTTTGCGAGCGTTGAGCGCTATGGAGGAACCGATCGGGAAGCTCGTCGAGCAGACGGAAATTGCGAACGGTTTAGAGTTGAGCAAAGTGACGAGTCCGTTGGGGGTTTTGTTGATTATTTTCGAGAGCAGACCGGACGCGTTGGTACAGATATGCGGTTTGTGCGTTCGAACCGGGAACGGGTTGCTCTTAAAAGGAGGGAAAGAAGCGTCGAATTCGAATAAATGTTTACACGAAATCATCGTGAAAGAATTCGACGCGTTCAACGTCGATCGGGCGTGCGTGAGTTTAATCACCGGCAGAGAGGAGATCAAAGAGTTGCTCGGGTTACACGACGTGATTGATTTGTGTATTCCGAGAGGTGGTAATGCGCTCGTGACGTATATTCAGAATAACACGAAGATTCCGGTTTTGGGACACGCGGACGGGGTGTGCCACGTGTATTGCGATAAGGATTTGGACGCGGAGAAAGCTTGCGAAATTATCGTCGATTCAAAGACGGATTATTGCGCGGCGTGTAATGCGATGGAGACGTTGTTGATTCACGAGGATTTAGTTAAAGTAAACGTGCACGAAACGTTATTGGGGGCGTTGAAAAATGCAGGGGTTGAGTTGTTCGGCGGCGATCGCGCGAGTAAAGAGTTGAGTTTGCCTTTGTGCGAAAAGAAACGGTTGGAATACGGACGGTTCGCGTGCACGGTGGAAATTGTCAAGAGCATGGACGAAGCGATCGATTACATCCACGCAAACGGGTCCTCGCACACGGATTGCATTTTAACGATTAACCCGTTGACGGCTGAGCAATTTTTACAAAGAGTCGACTCGGCGTGTGTGTTTGCAAACTGCTCGACGCGATTTAGTGACGGTTTTAGGTTTGGATACGGTGCAGAAGTTGGCGTGTCTACGTCTAGAATCCACGCTCGAGGTCCAGTCGGCGTCGACGGTTTATTAACCACTCGATGTCTCATGCGAGGACACAACCAGTCGGTGAAAAAAGACACCGGGGTGGAATACACGCACAAGAAAATTAAAACGACCGGATTAGGTAAAGGCAACGAAAAGCACGAAAAAGCGTTGCAAGGATTAAAGTTCGCCACCACTGTCATCACAAACGTTCTGATGATCTTGACTGCGATTAATAAAACCAAGAAACCAAAAGTAGACGACGAGAAAAAGAACAACAAAACCAATTCTGCCTCGGGGAGAAAGAGATGACGAGCCCGCCGCCAGGAACCATGTAGTAATAACACTTTAAAATGGAGAGAAGAAGACGAAGATCACTAAACTAAACCATCTAATATATAATACTATAATAATACATCTACTATTTTCATAACATCAACTGCGTGCCTCGATGGATGTTCATCCGAGAACGCGCCAAATACCTAAAATAGAAGCAAACACATTCTTCATTTAAAGAACGTACGAACAGCTCATAAGCGCATAAAGTGAGAACGACACACCAAAAACGACGACGACGGCAAGAGGAAGACAAAGAGGAGCATTAAGAGAAAATGATCCACTTTGCCCTCCTCTTCTCCAAGCAAGGCAAAATCCGCCTCTCGAAGTACTACGAGCCGTACAGCCAAACCTCTCGCTTAAAGCTCCAAAGAGACGTCATGAACCTCATCTTACCTCGACCGACGCGCTTATGCAACGTCGTCGATTACAAAACGTACAAGCTCGTCTACAAAAGATACGCGTCGTTATACTTCGTTTTCGCGGTGGACGTGGAAGATAACGCGCTGATAACGCTGGAAAAGATTCAACACTTCGTGGAAATATTGGATGCGTATTTCGGGAACGTGTGCGAGTTGGATTTGATTTATCAGTTCACGAAGGCGTATTACGTGTTGGACGAAGTGTTCGTGGCCGGAGAAATGCAAGAGAGTTCGAAACGGTTAGTGGCGAGGTTAGTCAGCGAACAAGACGCGCTCGTCGAACAGATTAAAGTTCAGGACGAATAGCAGAGAGGGGAGTTAAAGGACTGCGTTACTTCCGCCGCTCTTCGTCTCTCTCTCGAGCGAGCGAGCGCGTTGAAGAGCTTCATAGAACATAATCCCATAGAAATAGAAATAGACGTATAAAAACGAGTCGTAACAACAGTAGTAGCGGAGTGTAGTAGCACTCGTCGATTTAGGAGTGCGTTCACTCTTACTTTCACTTACTCGCTACGAACGCGCTTTTCTCCCTTTTCTGCTCCATTTTTTCCTCACAAAAGCAACGAGAGAATGCCTCCTCGGACGGCGACGACGACGACGACGACTCGCGGGCAGCGCGCTTTGGCGGGAACGACGACGACGAGTAACAAAAACAAAAGAAGAGCGCTTTCGGATGCCTCGAACGTGAATAGTCTCGATGCTACTGTTTCCGCGTCTCAATCGAAGAAGACGAAGAAGAAACCAAAGAAGAAAGCGAGCGGCAGCCATCTTCAACCGACACATCATCGCGACGCGTCGGAAAACGAAGAAAAAGATGACGATGCGAAAAAAAAACGCCTTCTGTTCGAAGAACTCATGCACGAATTAGACTTGGAGTGTGCGTTTTCGTCGTTTACGTCCTCGTTAGGTCGCGTTATGGTCGCGCTTTCTGCGTGCGCGCGTTGCGTTCGTTTTTAGATATCTTTTTGAAAATGTGTTCCCCCTTTTTGGGTGCAGAGTTGGAGAAAAAATGTGAACACGCGCTTACGCGAATGACGAACGCGCATAAACACACATAAAACTGACCATTACTTTTCTTTCCTCTTTCCCTCTTTAACAACAACAACACTTAGTTCAACGCAGAATAGACGAAATACGCGCGCAAACGCTCTCGGCGGAGGAGAGCATTCAAAAGCAATTTGAAAACCACTCGAAAAAGTTGAGCAAAGTATCGAGGAATAAACGTGCGAGGGATATGAAAGGGTACGAGGAGGAGGCGTTTGTCGCGGCGAGAGGAGAGACGATTGGTTTCTTACTTCGGGAGGAGGAGGTTTTGAGGGCAGCGACGACGGGAGGAGGAGAGGGTGGTGCGACGACGACGAAGAGGAAGGTGAGTAGCGGAGAGAGTGGTGGTGGTGGCGGCGACGAGAACGGGGGGATAGTAGAACGGGGAGAAGAAATGGTGGGCGCGGATGTTGCTCCTCTTTTGGTAGAGGAGACGACGGTTATCGATACCATGATTGTAGAGGAGATGGAAAACGAAGAGAACACAGAGGAGAAGCAAAAGGATGTCGAGGCGGAAGAAGAGGAGACGCGCGAACGAATGGTTTTGAAAACCGACTCCGGGACCGAGGTGGATCTGGCGAAGCTTAAAAGCGCCGCGGACGTCGCGCCGGAGATGGGAGGATACCTGAAAAAGTTGCAACACCAACTGAGCATTCTTTTGGGTGGCGGAAGTCGCTCGTCAGATTGAGGATGATGATCTTCCGTGTACGATATTTCTCTATTTTTAGCAAAGCGTGATATTACTAGCAGTCGTAAATAATCATAAAAACAACTATAATCAAACAGACAAAGTGCCTTTCGAGGACGCCACTGCTCCCGCGCGTCTGGGATCGATCGATTTGCATTGTTTCAAACACGTTCCAAACGCTCTCATCGCGGCTTCTGCTAAATCTTTATCCGTCGACCCTTTCTCTTTGGTGACCAAGTGCACGGTCATCTGGCCGTTGAAAGTAATCGACATGAATAAGTGCTCGACCATCTCGCAACTCAAATCGCCAATTGAATCACCTGCGAAATCTAAATCGTACCCTAAATACGGACGGTTCGATAAGTCCATGATTACCTCCACTTCGCTCCCGTTTACGCGCGCCGAACCGCTTCCCATGCGATTACAACCGGCTTTGTTCCCCAACGCTTCGTTCAAGCACTGGCCTATAGTGATCGCGACGTCTTCGGTCGTGTGATGATCGTCGATCCACGTATCTCCCGATGCGACGCATTTTAAAGTACCAAACTCTGCGGTTTCTGCCAACGCGTCGAATAAAGCGTCTAAGGTTTCAATACCCGTGGAGATTTCCAAACTACTATTCGCCTCGTCTTTCATATCCAAATCGAGCGCGACGTCGATGCTCGTCTCTTTCGTGCTTCTGGCTCGACTCGCCGCTCGACTCGTACTGTTGTTACTCCCGCTGCTACTGGATTCAACATCGCTGCCTTCGACTTCGTCCATGAATTTTCTCAAACACCTCGCGAAACTCTTAAACGTCGCCTCGACTATGTGATGCGCGTTATCGCCTCGATGCTTTTCCAACCGAATGGTCAATCCCGAGTGTTTCGCCACTTCTCGAAAAAACGTCTCCGTGTACACCGTTGGATACACGCCAATGTGCGTTCGATTTCTCGGTCCGTACGGCGCTAAGGAAAACAGTTTCAACTCCCCATCTTTCTCCGAATCAAACTGCTCAATCAAACACGACGCGTACGCTTCGTCCAACGGCGCGGCGAACCTCGTCCCGTTCGTCCTCGCGTTCGCGGCGAACCCAATCCGACCTTCCGAACAGAGCATATCTTTCAAAGCTTTCCCTACTGCTTCCCCACACGCCATAAACGTCGCCTCTGCGTCCTCGTCCGAGGCATATTTCGCCGTATCTGGTTCGCATTTCACCATCTCGCCTACACGTTCCTTCTCCACTTGGACGGACACTCCGAGCTGCGCGTGCGTCGTCAACTGGTCAATCATGTGGTCCAAAAATGGTTGCCCGGTCGCAATCTGTCCGCGTTTGCCCATATTTTCAATCGACGAGGTAGATTTCATCGAGCTGCTACTATTACTACTTCCGCGGCCGATCGTGAACGGAGAAGTTACGTCGTTTTCATCGTTGTTCTCGGCGCAAACCACCGTCTTTCTTTTGCGCAAATCGAGTGCACGAAGATGAGACAATCGTGTTTTGTTGTTGGTGTTGTTCCTCCTCCTCGACGACGACGACGACGCCGACGATGCCGAGACGAACGATAAAGAGGAGGAGGATATCATCGTCGTCGTCGGGTCGAGAGAAGTATATCGCGCGTGTGTGTGTTTATCTCTCACTTAATGTGTTTACGCTTAATAAAAGTGACGGGATTTCCCCAAAGCATACCACGCAGCACACACACGCGCGATCAGAGACGATGATTCAGACGACGTCTTTTTCCTCCTCTTCGTCGTCTTTGCGGTGTTGTAATCGTTGTTTTCATCATCATCATCATCATCATCATCATCGTTGGACCGAGAAGAAGAAGGCAAGAGGAGGACGAAACACTGCGCTCGCGAGAAGTCGAGCGAAGGAAGACGACGACGACGGCGAAACGACCCCGAGCAGAGAAGAAGAAACGCGAACAACAGCACCTGTTGTTGTTTCGCTCGCAAAGTTGAACACCTCTCCTCGCAGAATCGCGCTCGCGATGACGTCCACGACCGCGCTCGCGTTTGGGGCGAACTTTCTTGGCATCACGTCGCTCGCGTTACGCGCGAACGAACCACTCGCGAGAAAGTTAAAACTGGACGCCGTGTACGAAGTCTCCGGCTACCGCCGAGACAGGAACGAAGAGAAAGGGTACGAGTTCCTCTTCCCGAACGAATATTTAGCGGACCAGACGATTGCGCGGAGAAACGCGATGAGGAAAGCACAATCGCTCGATTTACCGTCGCTGAGAGAGACGAAAGGACAGAAAAACGTGGGCGAACCGGAAAGCGCGTTCGGACCGATGGGGACGAACGGGGAGGAGAATATGAGCGTTATCGTGCAAACATCCAAAAAAGGATTCGATTTAGGGCAGTTTGGCGACGCGGAGGAGCAGGCGAGTTGGTTGTTAGAGAACGCGTTGGCGAGACCGGGATCCGGGAAGGAGGCGAAGTTGTTCTCCGCGAGCGAGACGATCGGGGAGAATGGAATCAAATATTATCAGTTCGAGTATACGATCAAGACGGCGAACTGGTATCGGAGAAACGTCGCCGTTTTTGCGCAGAATAAGAATACCGGAGACGTGTATACGTTTGTGGCGCAGTGTCCAGTGGAGAGATGGGATGGAATGGGAGAAAAGTTTCGTAAATCGGCAAACTCGTTTCGCGTTTTTACGCCGAAACCGCCGAGCTTTTGATGATGACGAGTGATTTCAACGAAACGTTTTTGTATTAACATAGTCTTTGCGCAGTAGTTTTGATGTAGTAGTTGTAGTAGGAGCAGAATAGATGACCATTATTTATGTGTGTGTAGTAGTTTTGGATTATTCTGATGAATACCCCGAAAAATAATACTTTTAGATATGTGCAGATGTCGCGAGAAAGAAAGAAGAAGCTCGAAAAAATCACTTGTTGAGTTCTTCGACAAGCGAGACTAACAACCCGACGCCGTAGCCCGTGCCTCTTCCGCTGTCGTGCGTGGACGGTCCAGCCATGTCCACGTGCAGCCACTTTCCGCCTTTCTCTTTCCATTCATCGTCGACGTGGTTGTACACAAACTGTGCCGCGCACGACGATTGCGCGTTCGCTCTGTTCTTCACGCTGTTCTTCATGTCCGCAACTTTGGAATCAAATTCTGAGTTGAAAAACTCCGGCGCGAACGGCAACGGATGCGCCAAATCGCCGGAAACTTTACCGCACTTCACCGCTAACAATTCAAAGTCGTCGTCGTTACAGACGATGCCGGAAAATTTAGAGCCAGTGGCGACCATTTGCGCACCAGTCAAGGTAGCCATGTCGATTAAATGCGTCGCGTTCAACGTCTTGGACGCGTACGAGACGCCGTCGGCTAAGACCAATCGACCTTCGGCGTCGGTGTTGTTCAATTCAACCGTTTTGCCGGCGTAGGACGTGATGACGTCGTCGTTGCGGATGGCACCAGATCCGATGGCGTTTTCGGCAACGCACATCAATAACTCTAACGGTTGCTTCAAAGTGATCGTACCTTCCGTGGAACATTTCGCTAACGCTTCAAAAGCCCCGAGCATGGCCGCAGCGCCGCCCATATCGGCTTTCATCCCCGGCATCGAACCGCCAACTTTCAAGGACAACCCCCCGGTATCGAACGAGATGCCTTTACCAACCAAAGCAATTGGTCTCTCCAACGCTTTCACGCCTTTTGGAACGAACGTCAAACGAATCAATGCCGGTTCTCTCCCGTCCGTGGAGGCTGATTGGCCGACAGCGGCGATGCATCCCATCCCGTCCCGTCGCAACTCTTTGTCTCTCCAAACTTGCGACTTTACCCCGCCAACGCGTTTCGCCGCGGCCAAAGCCTCGTCGACCATCCCTTGCGGATCCATACTCGTCGGTGGCGTATCCACCATGCGGCACGCGAGTTCAACCGCTTCGCTGATCGCTTTCGCTTTTTTCGACGTCGCTTCAGACGCGCCGCTTAACGCCACCACCATCGGTTCCGGCTTCGTCTCCTCTTCCTTCTCGGAGGAGGAAGACCCTTTGCTCTTCATCGAAAACACCGGGAACGCTCTCGTCAACGCGTTCACCAAGCTCCCAAAATCGCTCTCGTTCTCGCTCGCAATCACCACTCTCCTCGTCTTCCCGTCCCCGCACGTCCCTTTCGCGATCTCTTGCAACCCGTGCGCTCCGCTCGCGTCGTTGTGCCTCGACACCTGCGTCGGCAACACCCCAATCGCAATCTCTTGCACGACCGTTTTCTTCTTCTCGTTCTCCCTCGTTCCAGTTTGGATGACTGTCGAGGACGCTTTTTCTTTCTTCGCGCTTTCCAAGAACGCCTCGATCAACTTCATCGTTTTCTCGTCCACGTTTTTCGCGAGCGTTTCATCCTCTCGAAACAACGTTTCCAACGCTTTCGGTTTCCCGATAAAACTTAAGCGGTCGAACAATTGCTTTTTCCCAACGTCGTCCGAAAACGCTTTCGAGGAATTATCAAACTTTAAAGTCGGCGTTTGAAACTGGTCCGAGGAAGTCGCGTGGTATCTGCCTCCGTGGTTATTCGCGTTCGCGCTCATCAAACCCGACGATGTCTTCGTCGCGAAGTGCTTCCCCGCTCGTACGCGTCGACGTTGATGCACAAATCTGGAGAACGAAGACCGAGAAGAGAACGAGACGACCACGGATGAAAACGCTCCCCCAGCGGCGCCTCCTCGGAGCATGTACTGCTGTTCTTGAACGACTACTACTACTCCTCGCGCACTGCGTGTGTGTGTGTGCGCGCGTGCGTGTAAATGACGTTTTTTGTATGATTTTTCCAAACGAGATCGCCGCATAAAAATACGCGTAAAAGTTAAGAAGAAGAAGATAAAGAAGAGGAAGACGCGACGACGGAAAGTAAGCGTTATATCGCGAGAAGTACTCATAATAAAAAGTTCTTTGCGAGGGAAACGAATAATGGGGGGTAACAAGCGCGGACGAGAAGAAGAAAAGGACGACGATGAAGAGGAGGATAGTTTGGCGGTACGCGAGCAAGAAGAAAGACGGAAAGAAGAGCGCGCGGAATCTGTTTTCGAGGCGCAGATGCGAAAGAAGGAGGAGGAGTTGAAAGAGGTCAAAGAAGAGCTGAGAAACCTTTCGCCAACGCCGTTGTGGAAGGTTGTCACGGATAAGCGGTACAAAGATATCTTCGAGACACATATTTTATCGAAGTTGAACGACTTGTCTTTCAGAGTGTTTCGAGAGGTGAACACGGAAAGTCGCGACGCGTGTAGACGGTCAAGGATGAAGTTGCAGGTGACTTATGAGCTTATTACTTACAGTGGTAATCCAGAAGTGGCAGAGAAAGAGAGCAGAAAGCTCGAGGGAAAAGAAGCGCAGTATTTTTTCTGCAATCGAGCAGCTGGTATGGGAAACCTCGCGTTGGTTCGTTGGTTACGAGAAGTGAAAAAGTTTGATTGGAACGAGTTTACGATCAACGCAGCAGCTAAACATGGTCATCTTCACATTGTGACGTATTGCATGGAACAGAAATGTCGATGTAATACGTCAGAGTGTTGCAAATGCTGCCAAATCCGGCCATCTCGATATCCTCAAATACTTGCACGAAAACGGCGCGCCTTGGAATTCGTTGACTTGCACTTTCGCTCGCGAAAACAACCACCCCGAGTGTTTGCTCTACGCGTTAGATAACGGGTGTCGAAACGACAAACACGTCCCACAACAACAACAACAACAACAGCAAGCAAACAACGCTCCGTAATGTGCCACTGGTCGGTTGGATGCTGCCTATCACCACAAAGCGCGTACATTTTTCATCGCGCACCCGTTCTTCGAGCGATAATAAACGAGAGACGAGAGAGAGACACAAGATACGACAAAACAAAAGACCTCACAACTTATCGATATATCTACACACACACACACACACATATCAATCGATATTAAAATGTTTTCTTCTTTTTCATCGACATGTTCCTCGACGAATTCGTTATGTTCTTCTTCCTTTTCGGAACGAAGCAGCTTCGCGAGGAGTAAGAACAAAACGAATCCGAGATCGATCGTGTCGTCGTCGTCGGTCCAACGCGGGGAAGAATCGGAAGCGAGCACGAGCGAGAGTTTAAGACCAAGAAAGAAGAACGAGAAAACAAGAAATGTAGTAGGAATGACCGCGTTGGCGGCGTGTGCGATTTGTGCGTTTTGCGACCAAAACCAAGCAGCAGCCTTTGATGCGATCGATGCCGCGAACATGGATGTCTTCGCGGTTGGATTCCCGTCAGATACGTCGCTTTTAGGCCATCACGAGGAGCGCGAGGCGTTCTCGCAAATCGCCATGGCGGGCGAAGACATTCCGTTCTGGGCGAACATGGCCAAATACGCACGATTTTCCATTTCTATCATGGTTGGTTTCGTGTACATGTTCGCCAGGCCGGTGGCGAAGTTGATGAAAGATCCCAAGACGGCGGCGTTGGTCGTTTTGGTCGCCATCGCCGGGGTTCAGTTTTTCAAATTCACGCTGACGGAGATGTTGGCGATGAACGATCCGGAGAGTTTTTTGTAACAGTAGCGCTTTTTGACGTGATAACGAATATGCTGAATACACGAAGAGTATATAGGAGCTTTCTTTCTTTCTTTCTCTCTTTCTCTCTCTGTCTTCAATGTACGCGTGTTATGTACGTTTTCTCTCGTTTGCGAAAGGTACTTTCCTTTCACTTCTCGAATTCGTCACAACAACACACAACAACGAACCATCATGGGAGCAATCAAAACCATCGCGTTGCTCATCGCCATGGAAGCCGAGGCTGAGCCTTTAATCAGTTCGTTTAAGCTTTTGCCGTGTCCGAAATCGCACCATCACGCGCCGTTACCGTCGGTCGTTCGGAGCGGGGAAATCTCTTTCGGTGAAGAGAATAAAGCGGTCGAGATAGTCCTCGTGACGTGTGGCCAAGATGCCACGCACGCGGTGGATTCGGTCGGCACAGTTAACGCCGCGTTGTGCGCGTACGAGGTTTTAAAAACGCACAGACCGGACGTGTTAATAAACGCCGGGACCGCCGGTGGGTTTCAAAGCAAAGGGTGCGAAATCGGGGACGTGTTTCTCGTCTCCGAGGTGAAATTTCACGACCGGAGGATACCGATACCGACGTTTACGTCGTACGGGATCGGCGCGATCGAAACTTTGAAAACGCCAAACATGAGAAAAGAGATTACGAGTTTGAAATCGGGAATATGTTCCACGGGAAATTCCTTGGACGCGACGGATGTTGACCGGGAGATGATGCTCCAAAACGACGCGAGCGTGAAGGAGATGGAAGCCGCCGCGGTGGCGAAAGTGTGCGAGATGTTTAAAACGCCGTTCGTGTGCGTGAAGGCGATTACCGATATCGTCGACGGACCGCACGCGACGGAGACGGAGTTTTTGGAGAATTTAGCCATGGCTGGAAGGCGGTTGCAAGAAAACGTGCCGAAAGTGTTGGAGTTTATGAGCGGGAAAAGCGTCGCCGACCTCTAATCGTAGAGGAAAGCGAAGCCCGAGACGACGAGATCGAGAGAAAGAGAAGCGCCGCCTTGTCGATCGACGCTCGTTGAAAACCGACGAAAGAGAATGATAAATAGTGATTCTAACGCGTAGTATGATTATAGTAGTAATATAATAGTAGTAATAATAATAACAAAGCGTCTCGCTTTCTCGCTCCCTTTCTCCGTCGTCGTCATTCCGTCGACAAAAACGAGATCAGCGGCTCCAATTTTGGTTTTGAATTCTCTTCTCATTCCTCCTTCTTTCATAGCTACGCATGTACACGCACACATCAATCGAATCATTTCTTACCCTTCGTTTTATTTTCTTCTTCGATCAAATCTTCTTCACTCGGTGCTTCCCACGTGGTCGTCCCTCCTTTGGAGTAATAATACCGTCGCTCTTCGAAATCCACCCAGCGTTGCCAGCCGTTTCCGAGGGAAATTCCATCCGTCGTTTCGTCGATTTCTGTTGTTGTAGAGATGACTTTTTTAGTGCCGTTATTCTCCGATCGCGCGCCCCCGCAGCAGGATTCAAACATCTTCTCGTCTTCTTTAACTTCTTCAGAGCGAGGAGAGCGAGACGAGAGTGGAAAAAGAGTGAAAGAAAAGCGCTTTTATGAGACAATTTTGTGGATTGTGGAGAATTTGAACAAAAATTGGACCAAAAATGGAGGTTGAAAATACACCAAAAAACAAGCTTTTCGAGTGCTCAATGCGCGCGTAACTTCTACATCGCGATGAAACGAGAACTGAAAATGAACACACAGAATACTTGTAGCAGTGTGTATCTGTTTGTGCATTTTCAGCGATATTTATGTGCACACGCAGAAGATATGCGCGAAAAACGAGAGCGTTTTTTGCAAGAAAGAGAGGGAAAATTCGGACACATGTCTGCACATAAAATCACACATCAAACGCATCTTTTAAAAGGAAAGAGAGAGAGAGAATACCGCGCGCTTTACCCGCGTGAAAACCTAAACTGCAGCTTTTTTCTGTTGAAGCGACGTTTACCTGAGTATTGATCGATTTTGTTGAATAATAAAATGTCCGACAAAGTCTCGTCGTCTCCGTTGAAATCAACTTCACCTTTACTTTTGGGGAAGAAGAACGGCGACGAGTTTGTTGCGAATTCTTCTTCTTCCGACGACGACGACGACGCGTCGTCGTTTACGTCCTCGTCCGAGGAGGAGGAAAACGAGGAGAAAAAGAAACGCGAAACATTGGGAGTGGTTGAGTTTTTATCGAACGTCGGGAAGCTCTTGGAAACGAGGGAAGGCATCGATAAGACTTTGAAAACGTTAAAGTATTCATCCGTGTTAACGGCTTTAGTGTTGGTTGGTAACGAGAACGACGAAGACGGACAACAACAACAACAACAACGAACCGCGAAGCAGTTGAGAAAACTTGCGAAAAGTTTGAGCATAAGCCGCGGGTCGTTGCGGCTGGGGAAGTTTTTAAAGTTTTCTTTGCAGTGTCGAGAACATTTGGTGCTGTATTTAGCCGCTCGAGAAGGAGGAAGGAACAAAAGAAGTTCGAAGAGTCGAGAGCGGACGTATAAACACGCGTTAGAATTTTTAGCTTTATTCACGGAAGCGGTGTATTATTTTTTAGAACAAGGCGTCTGGTTACAAAATGTCGGCGTGTTTAGACCGGACGATCCGGTGAAACGGAAAGAGTTGAAGATGTTGGCGATGAAAGTAGAATTTTTCATGTACGCTACGTCCATACCGTTAAGAATGGTGGAGTGGCGAGAAATCGAGAGATTGGAAAAGGCAATGTGCGTGAAAAAAAAGAACGAAGCGGTCGCGTACGAGAGGAGCATGTCGCCGAGTACACGGTTCCTTGCTTTCATTTCGTCGCCGCAAAAGAGAGGAGTGGACGAACGACGAGAGAAAGAAATAAAAGACGAGGAAACGGCAGCCTTCGCGAAAGCAAACGCGATCAAGTCGATTGTAAAAGACTCTTTGGATTTAGTTTTAGTCACTTCAGATTTAGAGTGGATTCGCGAGCAACGCGCTCGTGACTTTGTCGCGAACGAGTGGGTGTATTCCACGCTCTCCTTGAGCTCTGCGTTGATTTCCATCTCCAAGTTATGGGCGAAAACGTTGCGCGTGTAAAAAAAAATACGAAACGCCCCGCATTATATATGGGTTTATAATAAACAATCATTTCGTCCGCGACGAAGAAGGCACATCACATCATATTTACAACAATAACATTCTCTTTATCTTTCGCTCTTCTCAGCGCGCGGAAGTGTGTACTATACACGCTGCACATCGCCAAAAAAATTATTTCTTCACCGCGTCTTTAAAACTCTTCCCGGCGCTAAAACTCGGATACGCCGCGGCTGGAATCTTCAACGGATCCCCGGTTTTCGGATTCCTCCCTTCTCTCGCCGATCTCATTTTACGTTCAAACGTCCCGAACCCGGTCAAAGTAATCTTCTCGCCCGCGGCAACCGACGCCGTGACTACGCCCAAAGCCGCGTTCACGACGTTCTCCGCGACTTTCTTCTCCACCCCGGCGGCTTCCGCCACCGCGTCCACGAACGCTTTTTTGTTGATCGAGGCAACCGCCGAGTACGGTCTGTTTTTTATTTATTCACGATTCACGCGTGCGCACAGAAGAGGAAAGAGTCTCGTTAGTATTCGTCGTATCGGCGTAACGATGATGACGATGATGAAAAACGTCGTCGTCGTCGTCAAAGGTAGTCTTTCGAGAGAAAAAAGAGAGCAGCAGTAGTACGAAGTCGTTTTCCCGCCATTTTCTGTGCAATTCAAACTCCCAAAAAACAAAGAAAAACTTTTGTCGCAAAAGCGCGGAATGATCAAATGTAGAGACGTTCTCATCTCTTTCTCTCTTGTATCGCGTACCTGACGATTTTAGTCGCGGACGATCGATTGTTCACCGCAAACTGTTGCTTCAAACTGGTTTTCGTGGCGACGAAAGTCGCGCATCGGGCGATGACGGACATGCTTTCTAAAGGAAGAGAGAGAGAGATTGATGATGATGATGCGCGTCAGTGGTAAATTCGACACCTCAAGGGAAAATTCAGAGAGAGAGAGAAAGAAGAGACGCACAAACGAATCTCGAAAGACGCGTCTGTCTGTCTCTCTCGCCAAAAAAGAAGCCTAATCCTCTTTCTTCGCATTTTGGGGCCGTCGTCGAAGCAGGAGGACGTTTGAAAAGAAAAAAAGACGCGCGACGGGAAGAACCAACAACCTTTATATTATATTTGCGCGTAAATGTGTTTCCTTTTAAAAAACTGAGGAGAGAATGAGTTTTGTAACTGTCAAAGAGTTTCGCCTAAAAAATTGGCCCCCAAAATTAGATCGAAGATTTTTTGCAATTTTGCTCTTTTGCCTTTTACTCTTCTTCTCTGAAGAAAAAAGATCACACCACACAAATCAAATCGCTCTCGCAGAAAAAGAGAGACGAGAGAGACAGAGTCCTTTCAAAAGAGTTTATCAGCTCACTACACGCGTAAAGCTTTCACTCTCTCGGTGGCTCTTCGAACACGCGCGCACGAGCCCAAATACGCGCGGTTTGGGACGAAACACACACACACACACTCTGTACTCTTTCGGAAATTGGAATGGCCCTCAGCCACGGAAGGATTACGAATTTTCCCAACGCGAAGAGTTTTATTACGCGTAAGGATCGAACCGAAGAGGGGATAAAGGGGAGGAGGACAATGACGATGAGGAGGAGGATGATGACGATGCGTCGTGTTTTCGCAGCGGCATCTTCCTCTTCGGGAGGTGAGACAGGCCGTATGAATCATACGACGCAGCAGTTTTTTCGGAACGAAAACGAAAGGAGAGTTTGGCGAAGCGGCAACGCGTCGACGTCGTCGTCTGAATCGTCGTTTTCGGGAAGCAGACGAGAGTATTACGCGTTCGGTGGTACTGGGAGGAGTGGAAGCGACGTAAAAGCAATCAACCATCCGGAATCGAAATCGTCGAGTTCGACGTCGTGGAGCAACGGGTACGCGGCGAACGCGGATTTCATCGAAGACGACGAGGAAAACGAGGTACAAAAGCTAAAGGAAAAACAAGCGAGAAAGATACAAAATACACCAGCAGCAGCAGCAGCAGCAGCGGCGGCGAAGAAACAAACGCAGTATAAGAACGATTTCACATTCACCGGAGAAATCCACCGAGTGACGTTTCACGCCGAGGATACGGGCTACACGGTCGCCAGAGTCCTGTGCTCGGACAAAGATACGTTGAAAGAACTTCCGAAAGGCGCTTTGACAAAACCAAATCGACGACCGAAAAAGGGACAGAAGGAAGCACCGGCGACGATAACGGTCGTCGGGGAGATGCCGAACGTTGGCGTCGGGCAGACGTTAAAGTTGACCGGATATTGGCGATCGAACCCGAAATTTGGCGTAGAGTTTGTTTCCACAAAACCAGCGGAAATGTGCGTCCCGAGCGACGAACAAGGCGTTATCGCCTATCTCTCCAGCGGCATTTTACCAGGGTGCGGACCGGTCACGGCGGAGAAAATAGTCTCGCACTTTGGAGGGAAAGAAACATTAGCGGCGTTAGATTCTACGGAGGGAGCGAAACTGTTGACGAAAGTCCCAGGTATTGGCGCGAAAACCGCGGTGAAATTGAAAAACAACTGGGACGAATCCAGTTCGAAACGGAAAGCGACGTCGTTTTTAACTGAAGAGTTAGGCGCCTCAGCGTTGATTGCGAGACGCGCGAGTTTAAAGCACGGCGCTCAGACGGAAGTGAGAGTAAAAGCGGATCCGTTCAAAGCTTTGAGCGATATTAAAGGATGTTCGTTTCATCACATCGACGAAATCGCCGCTCGATTGAAAAAATCACCGGACGATCCCTCGCGACTCGGCGCGGCCATGCGCTTCGCGTTACAACGCGTCGCACAATCCGGTGGTCACGCGTACATGACGTGGCCGACGTTGAAAGATCACAGTAGAAAGTTGTTGGGTAGTTCGGGCGCGTTGATACCGGACGACGTGTTCATCGAGGCGGCCAAAACAGCCAGAAACTGCGGCGACATTTTCGTTTTTCAAAACTTCTCCAACGGCGAGTTTGGCGCAAAAACTCCCATAGCATCTTTAGCGCAATGGAACGACGAGACGCACATTTTTCACGGCAGCTTGCACGAGTGCGAAAAATCAATCGCGGATGACTTGTTGAGACGATTGAGCCGACCTAAGTTCAAAGTCGATGAAGCTCGAGTCGCGAAATGGCTCGAGCTCACGGCGGAGAAAGAAAGCTGGGGCCAACCCGGATTGTCGCAAAAACAGTTGGATTTTTTGAACGTAGCTTTAATTTCGCCGTGTGTGGCGTTAACTGGCGGTCCTGGTACAGGTAAAACGTTTGCAACGCACGTCATCGTTCGCTTAATGCGCGCTATGGGAAAAACAGTCGTCATGTGCGCGCCAACCGGACGAGCCGCGCAACGCATGGCGGAGATAAGTAACGCCAATCGATCGATGACGAATCCGTTACAGTCGAGTACGATTCATCGTTTGTTAGAGTTTAAAGACTTTTCGTCGCAAGGAGATAGTCAAAACGATGCGGATTCGAATGGAACAGGAGACGATATATCGAGTGCAGCCGTGGATGATTCGAACGCGTTGAGTTTCAAAGGCGTCTTTGCGAGGAACCGAGCGAACCCGTTGGATTGCGACGTGGTGGTTGTCGACGAGGCATCCATGCTAGATGCGCCTTTGTGTGCAGCCTTGTTAGACGCGATTCCACCGAAAGCGCAGTTAATTATCGTCGGCGATGCCGATCAGCTCCCATCTGTGGGACCAGGTGCCGTGTTGAGAGACTTGATTGCTTCGCAAAGGTGCCCGCACGTACACTTGGCGGAGGTGTTTCGCCAAGCGGAGAAATCGAAAATAGTTGGTGCCGCACACGCGATTAATCGAGGTGACTTTCCAGAAGATATCATTAAGGCAACCTGGTCTGGTTCGCAGTTAATTGCATCGGACGACGCGTCCATCGATTTAGGCGATGCGAATGTAACCGATTGCGTGTGGGTGGACACTACGGAGAAAGAAGACGACGCCACGGCGCGAGAGATTTTGAGTTTCATCATCGACGATATTTTACCTCGACGGCGCATCAACGCGAAAGAAAAGTTACAAGTCTTATCGCCGATGCGGAAAGGCAACAACTCCGCGGCAACCTTGAACGCTTTCTTGAGAGAGAAACTAAACGCGGCCGACGGATCCGACTCGAGCGAGTTTGCCACCGCCTCCTCCTCTTCCTTTTCGACCGACGACGAATCCGACTTCCTTCACAACGACGCCGCCGACATCCTCAAACTCCGCAAAGGTGACCGCGTCCTTCAAAAGAGAAACGATTACACCAAAGAAGTTTTCAACGGCGATCTAGGCGTCGTCACGTCCATCGATACGAACGTCACTACCGTCACCTTCAACAAAAAGTCCATCCAATACACGAAATCGGAGGTCCTCGCCAACCTCCTCCCGGCGTGGGCAATGACCGTCCACAAATCGCAAGGTTGCGAATATAGCGCTGTCGTGCTCTGCCTCTCCTCCGCCCACGGGTTAATGCTTCGCCGAAACCTCTTATACACCGGCGTCTCTCGCGCGAAAGATTTATTAGTCATCCTGGCGCCTCGCCGCGCGATGGAACGCGCGGTGCAAGACACGCAAAGCGCCGAAAGAAACACCGGTTTGGCGAAAAAATTAAACTCGAGCTACGACATCTACCCGCATTCTTCATCTTCGTCGACGGAGAAGAAGAGTGGGGGGGTCGTCGGAAGCAGCGGCGGCAACCCCGCCTCGAGCGCGTCGTCGAAACAGAAACTCACCAAGCGCGAAGCCAGGTGAGAGAGAGAGAGACAGAGAGACAGAAGAGAAAGTGCTTTTACGTAAAGATTTTATGCGTGTACACATATACGCGCGACTTAGACGCGGTTAAAATGACTCTTATTTATATACTCTGATATCGAGCGCAATGACACAAAGAGCGCGTATCGCGCGCTCTCTCGCCCTGGATGATAGTACGCCACGTCTCTTTTTGGATTTTTCTCTTACGAAAACCTCACAGTTTGCCCCAATTCTTATCCCAATTTGTATACTTTTTGCACGCGTGAACAGAGACCCTTTTCGCTCGGACGAAAAGAGAGAGAGCGTTAGAGAGCGTCTCTAGAGCGCGCTTTAGATATATAGAGTTGTTTGAGCTCTTCTTTTTTGCCCGCGACAGACAGAGAAAGAAAGAAGGAAAGAGAGAGAGGCATCTTCTCTCGCCGTCCAATTTCCGTTACGTTTTTGCGCGCTCTCGTTGTTGTTCTCTGAACTCGAGAACACGACGAAAGGAAAGGAGAACATCAAAATCATGTTTCGACGAGTGTCGAGACGAGGGTTTAATGCGATTTTACGGACGACGTATTCGTCGGCGGCGAGGAGTGTCGACACCTTTAACGAGAAGTTGATGTTGCCTCTAAAAAACGTATCTTCTCGGTCTTCTCGAGTAAATAAGGAGAGCTGCTTTTTTTACGACCGAAGAAAAAATTGTAACTCTGTGAGGACGGTTTCGACGACGACGATTCAGACGACGGATTTTGCGTTCCACCGAGGCCACCGACGGAGGATGAATACTACGCGCGACGAGGACGAGACCCAGAGGAAGACGACGATTTCAAAAAAGCTGCGGCGCGGCGTATCGTCGTCGTCGATGAAATCGGGTCAAGAGTCCACCAACAGACGCTTATCGGAAGCGTTTTCGAAGAACTTAGTCGACGACATTTATCGCGGTTCGTTTCGGAACCAAACGGGCGTGTCGTTGAAGTACATGATGGATTTTGGGAACCATCCGAGAGATCAGCAGTTGTTATTTTCTGCGCAGTTTTTACACAAAGAGCTGCCGATTCGATTGGCGCACAGAGTCGCGGAGTTGGAGAATTTACCGTTTGGTTTGAGCACGAAACCGCAGGTGTTGACGGTGAGAGATTGGTACGTCGAGTCCTTCGAGGATATTCGAGAGATGAAGGAGATAAACTCGATGGAGCGGGAGGAGAAGTTTACGGAGTTGTTGTCGTCGGTGATGAAGAGGCACAACGACGTGGTGCCGATGATTGCCAGAGGGGTGTTGGAGTTGAAAAACGAGCTCGCGGAGAAGAGTAAGAAAGGAGGATCGCACGGCAGTAGTAGTACTAATAATAATAATAACAACAACAACAACAATAGTAGTAGTAGCATCGATGCTAATCGCATAGCGCACTTACCGGAAATTCACCAGTTTCTAGATGGGTTTTACATGTCCAGAATAGGCATGCGGATGTTGATTGGACAGCACGTGGCGTTACACGAGCCACCGAAAAAAGACTACGTTGGTCTCATTTGTACGAAAACGAGAGCTTTAGAGGTCTGCAAAGATGCCGTGGATGACGCGAGAGCGTTGTGCGCGAGACAATACGGCGACGCGCCGGAGGTTGAAATTTTCGGGGATCCGAATTTGACATTTGCGTACGTTCCTGGGCACATTCATCACGTGGTATTTGAGTTAGTAAAGAACTCGTTGCGAGCGGTAGCGGAGAGATATAAAGATTCGGACGTACCACCACCGGCGATTAGAGTGGTTGTCGCTGAAGGCAGCGAAGACGTGACCATCAAAATTAGCGACGAAGGCGGCGGTATTCCTCGGTCTGGATTGAAAGAGATTTGGACGTATTTATATTCAACCGCGGATTCGCCTTTACAAGAGATGGAGTTTAGCGAGGCAGGCGCTGGTTCGACGCCAGTAGTTTTAGCGGGGTATGGGTACGGTTTACCGCTCAGTCGTTTGTACTGTCGGTATTTCGGTGGGGATTTGCAAGTGCTGTCCATGGATGGGTACGGAACAGACGCTTACGTGCACTTGAATAGATTAGGAACGGGTACAGAACCGCTACCGTAATTGTCAGTGGTGTTTGTTTGTAAACTATTTTTCGCAACTGAGAATAAAAAAACACTTCTCAGTCTGCGCTTCTTGAAAAAGATTCAAATCTCTTCTTCTTCTTCTTCTTTTTCCTCCTCTTAAAACGCGCAAGCGTTCAACTCTGCTATGCGTTGCTTCCCACTCGCGTCGAGTTGAGGCAAGAAAGCGCGCATTAATGATCTCGGTAATCTCGCTTCGGGATCATTTTTGCTCTTTTCGTTGGAAATCAACGCCGTCGCTTGTCTGTTGAACATGTCGAACGCAAAGCTGATGGAAGTCTCCCAGGCTTGGGAGTTCCCATCCGTCAAATGAACAACTTTCCCGCGCTCGATGACAATCGCGAGTGTTTCTTGGATGGATTCTCTCGGCGATCGTTTACTGACGAGACAACTCGGGAGTAAGTTTTGCGTGTCGGCGTAGGAGATGCCGACGATTAAACTCCCCAAAGCGCCTTCCGTGGCATCTTTTGAGAGCATCGAGGAGACTTCCGCGGCGGCGCGAATTAATCGATCCACGTCAGTGATAACACTTTGTCCGTCTCTCTGCTGAAAAGACATGGCTTGTGCGGCGGCGGCTTGTGCGGCACGACTGCCTTTAACCGCTTTCGAGGCGGATTTTTCTGCAAACTTGGCAATCTTGCCGACGTTTCGAAACACCGCCCAGACAAGTTGCGCCGCAGACGGCGACGCTGGATCCAACGCTTTCAAAACGCTCGCAAGCATTACTCGACCTTTCGGTAAAGAAACAAGTCTTTGGAAGATGACGTCGCTTTCATCGCTGCTCAAAACCGGCGATTCTGGCAAACGCAAAGTAGAGACCAAACCTTCCAACAGAAATTTTTTACGTTGCGTCAACGCGTCCTTCGTCTTTTGCTTCATCGACGCCTTCTCCACTTCGTTTTCCTTTTCTGCGTCAATCTCGTCTTCGTGGTTCATGGTATCATCGGCGGCGAATTCATTCTTTAAGAGTAATCGGTCGATATCATCGACGTCTAACAATAAGTACATCGCGTCTTCAATCATAATTCTCGCCGCGAGTAAAGGTTCGTTCGCCAATCGCACTCTCGGCTCGTTTTCGTCATCGCCAGACTCGTCGTTCTCTTCCTCCGGGCCGGTTGGAATTTGCAATAACTGTTTCGGCGTGCGAACGTTTGAAAACGGCACTTTACCCAACCCTTCCAAGCCAGGCACGAACGTCACTTCGCCTCTCTTTTCTTTCACGTGCGAAGGCAACTCTCTCAGCTCCTCCGGACAAAACGGTTCTCTCAAACGCCCCGGATAATTCTTCGATAAAAATGCTTGATGGTAATAATCGTGCGAGTACGCCTTCTCTTGGTCCGGGTGCGTCGCTTTCCACTGAATGCGTAAGATTTGTTCAATCTCTTCGCCTGTCATCAATTCGCCTTGGAATCGAGGACGACCGTCTCGTCTCGGCCCGGTAAATATGCGTCTCTGTTTTCCTGATTCTGTGTAGTGCTGATTGAAACCACCCACACCACCTGGACCACCTCGACCACCTCGACCTCCTCGACCACCTCGACCTCTTCCGCCGTGATGGTGATGAAATCCGGGCGGTCCAGGAGGCGGCGCCATCCCTGGCGGCGGCGGCATCATCCCTGGCGGCGGCGGCATCATCCCAGGCGGCGGAGGAGGACCTCCATCCTGTCCCAGCGGTGGAAACATATGTATACCTCCCATTCCCGGCGGCGTTCCTTGTGGCGGCATCATACCTTGCATCGGCGGTGGCATTCCCGGCCGTGGCGGTCCTTGCGGCGGCATTTGGCCGCTAAACATCGGGTGCTGCGCTCCAGGCATCGGCGGTAACATCGGCGGCGGCGCCGCGTGTCGCTGTTGGCCGTTGTTGTTCATGTTGTTGTTGTTCTCATTATTACCCCCACCACCATTCCTCGCCGCGTTCAATAAATCCATCGGCGTCAGCAGTTTCTGTTCGATACTCGCCGACGACGGAATGTCCACTTCTTTCGATTTCAACTCTAAATCTTCCATCTCGCCTCCAATTTCTTCCATTTTCTTCCCGTTCTCATCTTTCTCTTCTTCGTTGCCGAAAAACCCGGCCAATTTCGGCGGTTTCGGAATGTTCGCGAAGAATCCCATCTTTTCGTCTACTCCGTTTAAATCTTTTTAACGTGGCGTGCTTATTCCTTTCTCTCTCTCTCTTTATTGCCGAACGAATGAATCGATTACGAGAGAAGAAATGTTTCGATCGATCGATCGGCCGCCCCCAAATCTCTCTCTTTCAAAGAGCGCTCAAACTCGCTTTAAAAGCCGTCGAAAAGAGATGAAGTGTTCAATACAACGAAAAAGCCTCCTCTTTACCTTCTTCTTCGAGAAGAAGCGCAAACAAACGCGTGTTTTAAAGCGCGCGTCTTTACGTTCCTTTTAAAAACAAAATCGATGAGAATCGTTCTCGTTGGTATGACGCGAGAGACGAACAATTAAAATTCAGTTTTTTCTCTTCTTTTTCAGTCAAACGTTTTTTTTTCAATTTGGTCAAAAAAAAAAGAATTACTCGCATGTCGTCGCGTGAGGGAAGAAGAAGAAGACAAAGAAGAAGTTCTTTCTCGTCGAACGAGGAGGAGGAAGAGGAGAAGAAGAAGAAGACGAGTGATATAAAGAACAGGAAAAAGAGCGATTTGACGCGCTTGGCGGCGGAAACGAGACGACGCAGAGAGGAGTTTTCGCAAAACAGCGTGAGATGGGCACGGGAAGAAAAAGAGAGAGTTTTGAAAAAGGTGAAGGAACGGAGAGAGGAGAACGAGAGGAAGACGGAACTGTTTTTACCTTGGAGAAGGAAGAGGAGGGAGATTATTGATGGGAGGAAAAGCGCGTGCGAAGTGAATTTGTTGAACGCGGCGGGTGAGGAGAAGGAGGGAGAAGAAGAAGAAGAGGAGGAAGATTTTGGTCTCGTCGTTCCCAGGCACTCGGAGCCGAACGTGCGATACGCGAGGGAGGAAGAAGAGGAGGAGGAGGAGAAGAAGACTGATGAACAAAAACGAAACTCTGTGTCGATTTCATGGTGGTGCACTTTCACGACGAATGATACGGAAAGAGAGAAGCGTGAGAAAGCGATTGAAAAGTTGCGCGAGCGCAGGCGCGGGATTTTGTCCTCGGTCAAAGCGGAGAAGAAGAACGAGAAGAAGAAGAAGAAGCACATTTTTGTACAAAACAAAGAAGGTAAAGAAGAAGAAGAAGAAGAAAAACCAATCGTATGCGCGTCTTCTCCGAGACAAAATTTGAAATCCAAGCGGTTTCGAATGAAACAGGAAGTTTCCGAATCGAAAGATTTTGCCGGTCAAGAGGCGAAGCTTTTAGCCTCCATCGCGCGGCTGGACGAAGTCGTGAAACGAACAAACGAAATAAACGGTGGTGCCTTTGCCAAAGAAAATGAACTACGAAGGAAAGAAGAAGAGCCAAAAAGAGCGCAACCTCCGCAAGAAGAGCACGCTCTGATGCGTTCCATCGCGCGCTTAAATCTTAAACTCGAGTTGACGCATGAAACCATTCAAATCCACGACGAGAAGCTATTCCGCGAGCTGCTTCAAATCTCCTAAAATATAAACTCATGCGTAGTGATGTGTCCGTCGTGTGATTAAATAATAATACTCGTCTATGAATAGATACTAATCACGCCAAAATCAGCCAACGAAGCCATGCACTGCCTCTCTCTGGAAATGACGTGCGAGACCATGTTTAGTAATTTCCTCCTCCTTCTCGCGATGCCGTCGTCTTCAACTTCGCCCGCGATCATATCCGACTCAACCTCCTCGGCCGATTCTAACCCGTCTAATTTCTCCTCTAAAGTCTTCTTCGCTAACTCTGCTGTCGCTACTTTTTTGCTACTGTCCTTCTTCTTTTTGTTCGCGTTTGCCGTCTTCCCAGCGCCGATACCGAGCATATCGCCGATTCTCTTATCTTTGTTCCCGTACACTTTCACTTTCGGCTGTTCGGCGAGTTTCCTATTTTCTTTTGCGCCAAACAACGCGTTTTCTCGAGCGTTCGTGCTGACCGTGTTCCAATTTTCGTACTTCACCACGCCTCTTCCGCTGTTTAACCACGCCGATTTCGGTATCTTACCGCTTGGACGTTTGTCGTAATACCACTTCTCCAACTCTTTCCCGCCAAACCCAATCGCCGAGACGCGTTCGCATTTTTGCAACATGAGAAACAGCATCAACAAACCAGAAGTGACGATGTGATTGTTCAACGTATCGTCCAACTGTTGCGCCCACTGACGAAACGCGGGATTCATCGCGTACGTTTTCTTCGTACCTAATCGCATCAAATCCATCGGGTTCCCGTTCCATTTCGTCAACACCGTTTCGTCTTCGTATTCTCTCACGCCTTCGTATTGCGTGTTGGTTAATCGCAACGTCGTGAACGACCCGACGTCGTGTTCGTAGCCAATCGTTGGCGCGTTATTCAGACGAACGACCACTTCGTGTTCATCGATCGTTTTCCCGTACCCTTTCCCTTTCAGCGCCGCTCCCGAGGAGACTACCGCGCACGTCTTGAAACTCGCCCTTTTCGCAAACATCTGCCTTTGATTCTTTTCGTCGTCGTCGCTCCCGACTTTCCCGTTCCACGCGTCCCCAAAAATATCCTTCTCTGGTACCTCCCCTCGGTGAAATACCTTCCCGTTCACCTTAATCTTCTTCTTCTTCTTATCTAAAAGCATTTGCTTCTCGTGCCAAATCTTCCTCGCTTCCTTCTCGCTCACTACGTTGGTCGTCGTTCCGAGACCGCCGCTCTCGCTCCTCTCACGTTCCTTCTTAAAGAACAAATCCTTCGCTTTTTCGTCGTGTCTGCTCCGTCTTAAAGACGGCGTATCTGGTGTGAAAATATACGTTTCGTTTTTGGTACTTTTACTTGTCCCGTTGTTCGTCGCGTTTTGGTCTTCTTCCTCCTTTTCCTCCTTTTCCTCCTCGAGTTCCACGTGAAACACGTTTTTGTGCACGGAGACCCAATCGTTATACGGCACGTTCGGGAAACATTTCGGCACGTCTCGAGCGACCTGTTCGCAAAATTGGCCCTCCAACGCTGCCGGGCAATCGGAGATGGATTCTTGTCGTTTTCGATGGCGCAAGTCCGCTTGTTTCGTTTCGATGATTTTGGACGATGCCCCCGTCGAGGGCGCAGCGTGTTGTTCGCCGCGAATGCTTCCCCGAGTTGGAGGGAACAAAGACGGGACGTGCACTCCGTCCGCTGCGTTCTCAAAGACGAGAAAAACGAGCGAAAGCGAGAAGAACGATTTGGGAAACTTCACATTCGCACTCCTTTTCGACCCGTTCGTGGTGGTCTTCGACGTCGTCGTCGTCATCTTTTACGCGCGTCTGTTTAGAGGAAAAGTCTGGGGAAATTTCGATTGATTTTCCATCTCTCTGTGTCCTCATTACTTTGGAGCGAACGACGAGAACGAACGAAAACCTGTCGCTGTGGCAGATATAAAGAACTAAAGAACGAGGACGAACGGTTTTTCCTCATCTGTTCTTTTGCTTCGTTGCTTTCGTAGTCTTCGTAACTCTTCTGTTGTTGTTTAAGAGAGAAAGAAGAAGAAGAAGATGGGGAAAGAACGCTTCTCCGCCTTCGACGTGTGCGCGGAAGTGTCCTGCTTGAGACGCTCGATTTTAGGCTTATGGTGCGTACAAATCTACGACGGCACGGAGAAGAACTCGTTACTCTTGAAATTCAACGAACCAGCGGCATCTTCTGAGGAGAGGACGGGAGGAATCCGCGGCGGCGAAGTGAGCGAAGCGAGGAAAGTGAACCTTCTCGTCCAACCTGGAGTGAAACTGCTCGTAACGAGATACGCGAAACCATCGACATCGAGCGGTAAAAGCGATGGGAATGGGAGTAAAGAACAACAAAGTGGAGGCCCGTCGAACTTTGTGCAAAAACTGCGGAAACACGTGAAGCAGAAACGGTTGAACGATATCCGACAGCTCGGGATGGATCGCGCGGTGTTGTTGACGTTCGGGGCGAACGAGACGGAGACGAAGTTGGTGGTGGAATTGTACGCGAGCGGGAACGCGGTTCTGTGCGATAGGGAGTTTATGGTGATGACGTTGTTGAGGTCTCACGTGGATAAGAGGAAGAACTTGAGGATACTGGGGAAAAGGAGGTACCCGGTGGAGCGGTTTCGAGCGTTTCGGATGCCGACGAGAGAGGCGTGGGAAGACGCGCTGAGAGGGGTGTACCAGGAAGAGGAAAGAGCGGTAGATTTAGACGAAGACGAAATGGAAGACGAAAAAGCGTACGAGGAGGAGAAGAAGAGAAGAGAGTCAGAGCGGTTGGCGAATATCCGCGCGCCGCAAACGTTGCGAGAGTGCTTGTGTCGCGGATTTTCGTTCGCGCCGGCGCAGTGCGAACACGTCGCGGCGAAAGCCGGCGTAGAGAAAGGCATGCTCGCACCACTCCCTCTCGAGAGCGAGGACGTGAAAGGAAAAATTTTCGAGAGCATAGAAGAAGAGTTTCGTTGGTTTCGAGACGTGACGCAAGGGAACGTGTTTCCAATTCCCGAGGTGACTTGCAAAGCGCTGACGATGGAATTGTTGACATCGTCGTCGGGAAAAGAAGAAGACAAAGGGAAGAAGAAAGAACCACAAATTGTCGAGGTATTCGAGGACTTCTCTCCGCACCCGATGAAACAAAACGAAAACAGGAAAACGGTCTCGATCGACGAGATTTTAGGTAGGGATAGTAGTGGAGAAGAAAAAGAGGAGCAAAACGTGTTCAACGACGTTTTGGACGAGTACTACGCGAAGCTCGAGTTACAACAAGGCGTCGTGCAAAGAAATCGCGCGGAAGCGCAAGCGTTGAAGAAATTCGAGAAACTGAAGAAAGATCAAGAGAACAGGTTGAAAGTTCTCGAACGCGACGCGGAAAAAGAAATGCAGAGAGCGGAACTGATCTCTCGGAACGTGGATGATGTGGCGAACGTGTTAAACGCGGTCAACGACGCGTTGGCGAGCGGGATGGCGTGGGACGATTTAGAATCTATGATTCACGAAGAGAAAAGGAGAGGCAATCCAGTCGCGAAGTTCATTTCGAGCTTAGATTTGAAGAACAACCAAGTGACGATAAAGCTCGCTCCGAAAGAGGACGTTGAGATTGACGAAACGACCGGCGAGGAAGTCGTCGTGAAGAAGCACAAACCGATCGACATCCCGCTCGATTTGAGTTTATCGGCGTTCGCGAATTGCAACGCGCGTTTCGACCTGAAGAAAAAACACGATACGAAACTTGACAAGACGGCTAAACACCACGACAGAGTCGTTTCGGACGCAGAGAAGAAAGCGTTGATGAAAATAGAGACTTTGAGAGAGAAAGCCCTTCCAGGCGCGAAAGCCGCGCGAACGCCGTTTTGGTTCGAAAAGTTCATCTGGTGGGTCACCTCGGAGAATTGTTTAGTTTTACACTCGACCGATAACACGCAAGCAGAAATGCTGTTCGCGAAATACGCGAACAGAGCGGAAACTGGGAACGATTGCTTCATCTTTTGCGACGAAAACGGCGCGCCGGCGATTACGCTCGTCAAACCGCCGCCGCGATATTCCTCGGCGAATGGTAACGGCGAAAGCGCTACTACGCTGAAAGTGCCCTCTCTTTCACTCGCACAAGCTGCGCAGGCTACCGTCGCGAGAAGTGAGTGTTGGGCCAAGAAACGGTCCGCGTCGGCGTGGTGGGCGAGAGCGCGAGATATCTCCAAGCGTCGATGGGACCTACCGGAAGATGCCAGTTTGCTCCCGAGCGGTAGTTTTGCTCTCGTGAAAGGAGCGCGCAAGAAGTTCTTACCGCCGGCGAAACCGGAAATGGGTTTCGGTTTACTTTTTGCCGTCGTCGCGAGTGGTGAAAATACATCCAGTCACGAAAAAGAGCGCGTGGTAAAATCAGAATCCGCGGATGCGACGTTTTACGACGAAGACGGGGACGAAAGGCGGGGTCGTAATATTCGAGAAATAAGCAGCGCGGAGGAGGAGGAGGAAGAGGAAGAGGAAGAAAACGAAGAAGACGAAGAGGAAGAAACGAATGTAAATGGCGAAAAAGTGGTAAACGAGCTCGCCACGCAGATGGAGTCAAAAGCTTCGATCGATGCCGCAGGTAAAGGCAGAACGAAGCAAAACGAGGTTTTCGAAGGCACAAAAAAACGCCTCTCCGCTGCGCAGCGCAAACAGATGAAGAAGAAAGGCGGGGGGTTGAACGGTAGCGGTGACGACGTCGACGTTTTTGACCCGCTCAAAGCGGCGGCCGCAGAGGCCGAGAGCAAAGAAACAAGCATTTCTAACGACGACGAGATTGAAGAGGACGAAGAAGAGAGCGACATCGACGACGGGTGTAAAGAAAAGAAAACAAACGACGCCTCGTCCGTCTCGAATCCCAACAAGCCAAAGAAGCGCGGAAAATCCGCGAAAGCGAAACGCGCGGCTAAAAAATACGCCGAACAAGACGACAAAGATCGCGAACTGGCCATAAAGTTACTCACGATGAAGCAAAAAGAGTCGAAGAAAGATAGGAAGAAAGCAGCTTTAGTGACATCGTTGAAACCAGAGATGTCTTCTTCTTCGGATGCCGCGACGATGAAAAAGAAGCAAATCGTCCTTCCCGAAGCGCCGACGCCGGAAATGCCAAACTTGAAAGAACGCGGCATTAAACCTTTGGTGTACGAACCACCAGACACCATCGACGACGACGACAGGAACAGTAGCGACGACGACGAATCGACGAAAAGTCTCAACATCGCCGTCATCCACGAGCGTCGCGATACACAAACCGAAATCGCGTTGCGTCAACTCACCGCGCAGCCGTTTGAACTCGACGGCGTGTCCTTTTGTCTCCCCGTCTGCGCCCCGTTTCAAGTCCTCGCGAGTTACAAGTTTCGCATCAAACTCATCCCAGGAACGCAAAAAAGGGGTAAAACGGTGAAAGATTGCGCGAACATCCTTTTAAAAGCGCCGATATATGCGTCGAACGAGGAAAAAACCGCCGCGCGCGAAGCGCTCGAGACGAAAATCGAAGAGTGCGCTCGCTCGCTTCCGCTCGGCGGGTGTAAGATTACGCTGCCTCCGGGCGCGATGAAAGAGCTCCAAAAACAGCAAAAAGAGATGAAAAAGAATAAAGTCAAGACTAAAAAGTCCTAGAGAGCTGCGTGTTTCTACGCGTTCGTGTTGAAAATGTACTCATCATCGCATTACCGCCGCTAAAACTCTACTCTCTGCGCGCTTTCGCCCGGTGCCAAAAGTGACTCAAATCGTTCATCCTTTCCACGCACAACCCGGGGATTTCCCCTCGTTCTTCTCGTATTTCTCGAAAATTCCCGAACGCACCTATCGTTTCGCTAAACGTCGCGCACAACGCCATTAAAAATGCCACGAACAATTCCATTTTGATCGAGAATGCGATGAATAAAGATGCGTTGTTGTTCTCCTCGTGCATCTTTGCGCTCGATTTTGACTGAACATGAATCTGTCTCGACGCCGCGTGGCACACGACGAGAAAGGACAAGAGGAATAGTAAGAGGCCTTTTTGCCTCTGTGTGTTCGCGTCCATTTTATACTCGCTCGCTCTCTCTTTATATCTCTCGCGTGCACCTTCCTTTTTACGTCAGAGTTCTCCGCACACGAAAGCGGAGAAAAGTGTCGACATTTTCGGGAAAATTCGTCACTCACTCTGCGCGAGATACTAAAGACGATGAAAGAGGAAGAGGAGCGTCGATCGCTTCTCCTTTTAACGAGACACGGTTCGAAAAGAAGTAATACTTTCAGCGAGAGTTTCAAAACTCGCTTTTTGAAAAGTAGTTCGAGGACGCTCGAGGATGATGCGTCGTCTTCTTCTTCTTCTGTGTCGTCTGCTTTGACGGGGACATCGAGCCGCGTGATGATGATGTTCACGATGTTTACGTTTATGTTCGTGGGTATCACGTTTGAACGAACGAAAAGAGAAGGAGAGAAAGGAATGCGTTTTCAACACCTCGGAGATACTCTGAATACGACCACGGATGATAGTGCCGAGAATACGACGAGTACTACTAAGTTAACGTTCACGTTATACACCGCGTGTTCCCCAATGGACAAAGTCTTGCCCACGCTGAGAGGCAAAGGAAGCGACGATATCAATGACGACGATATGAAAGAATACGACTGGTTTTCCAGAGTCAAAGCGAAACTTGTACTCAAAGACGACGACGAGAATATCGGCGGGAACGATTTTAGCTTCAACAGAGGTATTCCGATGGAGCAGATAACATGCGGCGAGTATCGCGTCGAGACGGGGTTGATGAAGCGAGGGACGGCGTTTGGGTTCGCCTTGTACGAGATACCACCCAAAGATGATGATGATGATGATGTTTCGAGTTTAGGAAGATTGATACATTACGAAAACCAACGGAACGACGCGTACGAGTTCGAACCTGAGGGAGCGGTCGTGGTGAAAGATATCGGGTGTTTGACGACCGATCCCAAGAGAGTGGATAAAAGGTGCCCGTGGGGTGAGAGAGGCGGCGTCGTCGGCGGGTACTCGTCCTCAATCGCGGAAGACGAACGCGAACATCCGTTTGGAATGCGCGAGTGCACGTATAAGTACGAATACGGCGACGTGACGTTTTATAACCGAGTCTTTGACGGGAAGCAGTTGGAGTACGTGTGGGGGAGTTGTTTAGAGTCGTGTCCGGCGTTTACGAAACATCCGTTTTGCGCCGCCGCGGCAACACCAACATCACCACCCATAGAAGAAGTAGAAGAAAAGAAAGAAGAAGAAGAGGAAGAAGAATCATCCACGAGCAATCAAACCTCCGAAGGCAACGACGAAGAAGAAGATGAGGAAAACGACGAAGAAGAGTTTACGTGCGAAGATGGCCATCACGTCATCAACGACGGAGAGACGAATTCCTGCGGCGAATGCCCGCCTGGTTCTTTTTCGTTCACGCCGAACGACGCGTCTTGCCAACTGTGTCCGAAAGGATTTTTCCAACCGTTCGGTAAGAGCGAACGGTGCGAGGCGTGTCCGAAAGGCATGTACCAAGACGAAGAAGGTCAGAGGTTTTGCAAACCGTGCGACGGATCGGAGATATCTCCGGACGATATGACAGAATTGAAGATGGAGGAGTTGCACGACGAAGGCGTACCAATCGGTGGCGTCGCATGGAAAATGGTATCACCCGCCACTAATGATTCGCCATCGTCGTCTCGTTTAGGTGTCACAAAGCGTCGTTCGTCTCGTCGCGAACAAAACAATAGCAATCGTAAACTGTTAGGAGGAGGTTTATTCGGTAAAGGCGGGTGGTTCTCGGACGATGACGACGAGAACGATATCAACGGCGACGGCGTCGTCGACGCGAGGGACGTCATCGAGCGAGAAATTGAAGACGCGAGAGCGAAAGGTAAAGGCGCGGAGAGTAAAGATCAGTGCGTCGCGTCGTCTGCTTCGCCGGTCATCGTCGTCGACGACCAGGACGGTACCATCGCGACGAACGACGACAAGAGCACGCCGATTGACGTAAACGTCACGAGTGAAATGACGAAAGATAGAGTGATTCCAATGCCGACGACGCCGAAGGTAAACGTCGTCGTGAGCGACGAAGCGAAAGAGGCGAGGAAAGACAGAGAACCGGAAGCCACGTTTGAATCCGCGGCTCAAGAGACTCCTTTTCCGGTCAACACTCTTGACGCGGCGGCGGGTAATGTTTCCACGAAAGCGACTGAGATTGATCCGGAAGTCATCGCCGACGAAGCCGCGACGCTTAAAAATTCCGTCCGTCACGAAAAAGAGCTGAACGATTTGCTTCGAGAAAAGGAAGTCGACGACGACGATACCATCGTGGACAAGAAAATCGTGAAAGAAGAGGCAATCATCGAAACGTTCGAGAAAGTAAACGTCAAAGAACTCGAGAAGATTGATCAGACGTTAGCATCCGTTGCCGCTGAGGAAGCGGCGACGGTAAAAGACGCGTCCTTATCCACATCGGTAGATGTCGAAGAAACCAAGGAGGATTCAACGGCGACAACGACGAGGATGACATCTTCTTCTCCTTCTTCTTCTTGCGACGAAACCGTGCGAGGTGAATTCGGCGTCGGCTACCGCGGGTGTCAAACGACCACCAGAACTGGGAAGAAATGCATCGACTGGTCCAAACAACCGTTCGGGAGCAAATACGGCGTCGCGCACGCAAAGTGGTCGCACCAATCGCAACCCGATTTCATGGATGAAAATCCGCGGAACTATTGCCGAAACCCGAGCGCATCCGCGGATGGCATTTGGTGCTACGTGGACGCGCAAGGCGGCTTCGATTCGTGCGAACCAATCAAACGATTTGCCGCCGGTTTAGGCATCGACAACCTTCCCATCGAAGAAGAAGAAGAATCAAAAGAAGTTAAAGAACAAGAAGAACAAGAAGACGTCTTCACCATCGCCGCGGCGGATCGTTTCGAGAAAGAAAAGCAATTTAGAGTTTAGGGTCTTAGATAAAATTAGGTTTTAGAGAAAAAGGGAAGAAAAAATGGTACAAAATTCACACAAAATACGCTCTCTTTTGCTGGTACATACACACACACGTAAGATGTCGACTGGGGAGGAAACCCATCCTTTACTTTTGTCCAAGAACACGAAGTTCAATACTCTTTCTCTTCACGACGAGGTACGCGAAAACGATGGCGTTTTGAAAGTCGGATTTGATGTTGGGGAAAAATCATTACAGAGGAGGAGCCGCGGACATCAATGTGTCCTCCTCGCGTTGGCGGCCATCGCATGCTCGCTTCTCGTCCTGAAAATACGCGTGCACTCAGAATTCGACGAAACAAAGCTAGGCGCGACCACGTACTACGAAAATCCAGTGTATACGGATCAAAACACCGACCCGATGACGGAGAAGAACGTAAACGATATCAAAACGTCTCGTTTGGCAGTCACCTTGCACACCGGGTGCTCGCCGCACGAAAAGCTCCCGTGGCACATCGAAGACAAATCCACGTGGGGTCAAGAAGTCGGCGCGAAAATCATATTTAAATCCGATACGAACGATTTCTTCTTCGAACGAGGGGTGGAGATGGAAAACGTCGGGTGCGGGTCGTATTCGATCGAGACGGAGGACTTACTCGTCGGCATGCAGTTCGGGTTCGCGTTGTACCAGAAGAATAATCAAACGGCGCACCAAGCGACGAAGGATATCGGGTGTCGATCGGAATCGGACTCGGATACGAGATGTCCGTCGTGGAAGTCACCGCATGGGGACGGTATCCGAGGCGGACCGATGGAGATGACTGAATGCACGTTTCAATATAAGTACGGCGCGGTGACTTTTTACAACCGAGTCTTTGACGGCGAGACGACGGATTACGTTTGGGGAAGTTGTTTGGACACGTGCCCGGCGTTTACGAGAGCGCCGTATTGTGGGAAATCGGAAGAGGTGCCACAAATTGGCCAGCTTGAATTGAGAGAAGATGAAAAGTGCACGCCGGGCGAGTATTTACAAGCAAACGGCAAGTGCCAGAGATGTCCGGTTGGACATTACTCCGGGGAAGCCGAAGCGAGCGAGTGTCAGCCGTGCGCGGCGGGAACCATGCAACCAAACGAAGGTCAAACTGAATGCATCGCGTGCCCGAACGGGTGGTACCAGAGTGAAATCGGTCAGCAATACTGCGAATCCTGCCCTGGCTCGAGAGCGGACTCGTCGAGACGCAAGTTACAAGGCGGCATGCTCGATAAGATGAAAAATTTCGATTGGTCAAAGTTCGGGTCCGTAGATGGCTGGGAATGGATACAAAACACAACCGAGACGATCGTGAACAAAACGGAAACCGCGTACGACGATGCCAAGAATGCCGTGAATAGCACGTTGACCAGCGGCGCGGACACCGTGAAACAATCGGCGAAGAAAGCCTCGGACGCGGTCTCCGACACGTTTAGTAAAACGAAAGAGAGCGCGGAAGATTCAAAGGACACCGTCGATGCAGCCGCCGCGGACGCGAAGGAAAAGACGGACGACGCAATCGACGACGCCAAAAAAAGCGCCGAAAAGACAACGGAGGATGTGAAAGTGGCGGCGAAGAAGACGCAAGAAAGCGCCGAAAAGGCAACGGAGGATTCGAAAGAAAACGTCGACGATGCCGTGAACGGCGTAAAGAAAGCGACGGTTTCCGCCGAAGAAGCTGCGGAAGACGCCGCCCACGACGCCAAGGAGAACGTCGAGAAAGCAACGACGACTGATCCGAAACAAGCTGTTGACGATGCCGCGCACGAGGTGAAGAAAGCGACAGTTTCTGCGGAAGAGGCTGCGGAAGATGCCGCCAACGCGAGCAAAGAGAGCGTCGAAGATGCCGTGGAAACGGTGGAAGACGCGGCAAAGAAAGTGGGGTCTCACGGCGGTAACGATAGCGATAGTGATGGTAGCGAAAGTAGTAGCAGCGAAAACACAAGCGAAGACGACGTCGTCGTCGAAAAGAGCGTCTCAGTTGAAACGACGACGACGACGAAAGAGGCGAAGGAAGAGAGTAGCGGACCAGTCGCGCAGGCGACTACTCCTACTTCCATCTCTAGCGACGAAACTTCTTCGTCTTCTTCTTCTTCTTCAACTACTACGAGCGCTGCTCCGACGACGACGACGCCGTCGACGACCACTTCGACTCCAACTCCTACGACTCCTACTTCGACCTCCTCCTTTGAAAACGGCGACAAAAGCACCAACCGCGGCGCCACTTCCCTCGCGCAGTGTCCGTCGGCTTCCTCTTCTTCTTTCGAGTTAGGAAAAGAAACAGAAAAAGAAGAAGAAGAACTCACGAGTCGAATCGGCCAAGCAAAAACGACACCACGAGCTTCGTCTTACCGAAGAGGGTTCCACCACATCGGCAATGGTGAAAACGGCGTCGCGACGCCGCCTCGCTCTTGGGCGGTGTAATATTATTAGTTAGCGCTTGTACACAACGAAAAATTTACCCATATGACTCTACAATGAAAACACCTTTACTCAGTGATAAAGAAACAAACAACTCTCCAACGCATCGAAATCAATCAGAATATCAATCCATCGCACATAGGAGCAGTAACTTGGATTGCAAGGCAGGCGAGACTTCCTCGCGCGTATATTACGTATAAAAACCAGACTACTGCAATTAATTGTGCGAAAAAATCTGCCTTTTTTTCACGAAAAAAAGTAAAACAAAAATTCTCTTTTGGGACGCGTCTCTCGAGGGAAACGCATCACATTAAAAGTCACACGTATCGCGCGTAGTACACATACCTATCGTCCTATTTTTGTCGCCTTCACATCATGTCGACGAAAAGGAACGCGGGTTTACACCCAGAATCGCTCTCGTTGTTGCGTTCCATCGAGAACGACAACATGAACAGAAGAAACTCTACTCCCGATCGAGCGGGGAAAACCACCGGAGGCACGACGCTTGTCAAGCTTTTCGGCGGCTTCGGGGTCGCGTCGCTCGCGATCGCCAGTTACGTTTCCGGGTACAAGAGCACGTCCAGAGAGTTACTCTCTCTCGGTGAGAATAAAAGTGCGAAGAATAAGGTGGTGTTGCACACCGGGTGTTCGCCAGTCGCGCAGGTACGTTTCCGAGATTTGATTGCACAACGCCGCGGCCTCTCTTTGAGTTTGAGACTGAAAATTTTGTCCTCCTATTATTAACTTCTCTCACTCTCTCTTACTCTCTAAACATTAAACAGTTACTGGTGGACACGTTCGAAGTGGAAGACTTGGCGGATTGGGGCGAAGTCGTCGGCGCTCGTGTCTCCATCCACGGGTTAACCGGCCACACGATGACGCACGGCGGGTGCGGTCGGTACGAGATCGAACAAGACGAAGACGTGCAGTTTCACCACGACGGGCCGTTTGAATTTACGTTGTTCGCGAACAATCCAGCGGATGAAGTTTCGGTGAAGGAAAGAAACGCGAACGTGACCATGCACATGACGGAGTGCACGAAAGAGTTTTCGTACGACGGGCAAAAGGTCATGCAGAGAGTGTTCGATCGAGACGGGGACAGACACTTTGTGTTTGGGTCGTGCGATCATCACTGCCCGGGATTTTACGAAGACGTGTTGACGCACTACGGGACGGCGTGTCCGGTGGATGAGAAGAGCGCTGAAACGGTTTTACCAGCGAATTCGACCGAAGGGTCAGATGCGGGGAAGTGTTCCCCGGGGTCGTTTACGAACACCAACGGCGAGTGCGAGGAGTGCCCGATTGGAACGTACACCGACGAGAGAGGGTCGACGACGTGTAAGAGATGCCAACCGGGGCAGTTTAACCCGTTCCCGGAGGCGCAAGGGTGCATGGCGTGCCCGGATGGGTACTTCCAACCGAACTGGGGGCAACAGTATTGCGTCGCCTGCGACGGCGACGCCGCTTTGGGGAAGAAAGAGTTTGCTTTGCAAGGCGCCTCGAAGAGAAAGTTGTTGGGCGGCTGGTGGGGCCCCGCAGAAGATGAGGACAGCGACGACGCGGAAGACGTGGAAATGAACCACGAGCAGTATCACAAAATCGGCGCGACGTCGTTGGATCAGTGCGGTGCGCCGGCGGTGCAACAAAGTGCCGACGAGTACGAGAAAACGCAAGAGCATGAAAACGACCCGACCTTTGACGCGACGCCGGGAAGCTCGAACGAACCCGTCAACGACGGTCCGAACGGACCGGCGGCGACGCCGGTGTTGACTGGGAGAACCGATAAGCTTGGTCACTGCGTGTGCCCAGGTACGAAACCGAAACCGAAGCCTGTCGATGCCTCCGGATCATCTCCTTCGCCGACCTCGTCGTCTTCTTCGTCTGAAGTTGAAGTGAACCCGGTGACGCACGTCGTCGCGGGCCAACCGTGCGGACCGTGCGCACCTGTGGTCACACCAACACCGGTGACGACGACGCCGACGACGACGGTTGAAGAAGAGAAGAAAGATGAAGAGAAAGAAGATGCGTCTACCGATGTCAATTCTTCGCCGATTGAAGATTCCACGGCGACTACGAACACGAACGACGACGGCGATTCGGCGGCTCCGGAGGTGCAAGATGAAACGAACCAAGAACCGATTGAAACTTCCGCGGCGTCGGAGGAAGAGCCAACACCTACTCCGGAAGGTCCAGTGACGACTGGTCCGGCCTCTCAAGGTCCTGGCCCGGAAGTAGATGGGAACAACAACAACAATAACAGCGATGCACCGCCGCAAGAACAAGAAGAAGAAGAACAAAACGATACGACAACTGACATCACGACGCAAGAAGAGAACGACGATGATGAGCAAACTCCGCCGCACCAACCCAATGCTGAACAACCTACGTCGGCGACCATTACCTCCGCCTCCACTTCCGCCGCGGACGCCGCGAACACGACGCTCCCGGCGGCGGACACTCTCTCGAGCGGCGAAACCGTCTTGGAACAAGAAACAAAAACCAGCACTGGTTCCATCATCAACGTCGAAACTCAATACACCGCCGACGGTGAAATGATCAAAGTTACTACGGTTACCAACCCGTCCGGCGCGTCGGCGACGACCGTCATGCACGTCGAAAACGCCACCCTCCCGTTGGCCACGTGCGACGAGATTGAACACGGCGAGTTCGGCGTCGGCTACCGAGGATGCCAAGACAAAACCAGAGACGGTCAGCAGTGCATCGACTGGAAAGACCAGTACATCGCAGATGGCGAAAAACCGTACACGCACAGCAACTATCCTCTCGGCATCGAAGAAAACCCGGGGAACATGTGCAGAAATCCCGCGGACGACAAGAGCGGCATCTGGTGCTTCACCGGTACCGACGGCAGCTGGCAAGTCTGCTCGCCGCTCATGCAAGCCGAGGCGGATTAATTTATTACTATATTACTACCATACTATTCCTAGCTTACTTATTATTTAATAAGACGACATACTACTATACATGTGTATAAAATTCTTTCTTTTTCGTCGTTCTCTCCTTGAAACGAAAAGACGTTTTTTTTGCTTTATCCATCCCAAAAGGATTTCGTCATTATATCTACTTTATTACAAACAAGACGCAAAGTAAAGAGACTATTAATCGATAATACAGTAGTGAGCCAATACTACTAAGAATGAGAGCGACGATTAGTTCTTCCTCTGTTCCTTCTTCGTCGTCGTCGTCCTCATCCGCTCGTTTTGGATGCTCTTCATCATCATCTTCCAAAACGAAACGACAGACGACAAAAGCGACGATGAGTTTGACGATGTTTACTAGAAGACATAACAGAAGAAATACAACAACAGATACTACTATTACGAATAAAGCAATTCAAGACCCGTCCATCGAGACGACCGGTCGTCTCAACGAAACGCTCGAGGTTGAAGACACCGCGTCCGCAATATTTCCAAAAATCGGCATGCACCCAGACCGAGAGCACTTGGTGGAGAAAGAGGGAAATTTTTCGTGGACGAAACAGTGGTACCCGGTCGCGGTGGCAGACATGATCGACCCATTAAAACCACACCCGGTGACGTTGTTAGGGACCGATTTGGTCGTGTGGTACGACTCAGTCGGCGAGAAATGGAACGTGTTTGAAGATAAGTGTCCGCACAGGTTGGCGCCGCTGAGCGAAGGGAGAGTCGAACCGGACGGATCGCTGTTGTGCGCCTACCACGCGTGGCGGTTTGACGGGGAAGGTAAGTGCACCGCGATGCCGCAGGCGAATAACCAGAGAGAAGAGGAACGGATTAAAGGGAACCCGCTGTCGTGTGCGAGCAGCCGACCGACCATGGAGGAGCAAGGTTTGATTTGGTGTTGGGGCGAAAGCAGTTCAGGTTCCGACGAGACGGTGAAAACGGAAGCGATGATGACGCCGGCGCCGGTGATTCCAGAGATGAAAGGGGTGACAAAAAGCGGCGAAGCGCCTGGTGGCGCCTATAGGAACCACTGGCAAATGCGCGATTTGCCGTACGGGTGGTGCGCATTCTTTGAAAACGCGATTGACCCGGCGCACGCGGTTGTTTCGCACCACACGTTAGTCGGCGATCGGTACAAAGATCCCGCCGGATTCGCGTGCGTCGTAGAACGACCGACGACGGATAACGCCGGGTTTCGATGCGCGATGGATCCGGCAGTGCCACCTTTTTATACCATTGGACAGTACGACGGT